CCCCCCCCCCCCCACTGTTTTCTGCCCACCCGTTGCATCATCACTGCATCACGCCCGTTGGCGAAAGTCCAGAATCTAGAGTCTAGAGCTGGACCCTGCCCATCCATGGCGACATGGACGCTGGCGATCGGCTCTTCTTTTGGATTCCACCAGCTCTACGGATACTATCCTCTTTTTTATCCTTTTCCGGGCTTATCTGGTGGACCCTGACCTACAAACCCTCACACCACTTGCATCACCAGTCCCCTGTTTTTACCCTTGCTGTCGACGTCACCAATGCGCCGCGATGCCGCCGCTGCTGCTGAAGCCGCGTTGAAGCCGCATTGCTTTTTCTTTATATTTCCTTCAGTTCCTTTTCCCTCATTCTCTCATCACCTTTTCCTCCTTTTCTTGCCTTCTCTGCACGCTTCCCACATCGCCAAGACACATACGCATCGCTCTCCACCACAAAAACCTTGTCCCTCGTATCGCCATCCGCCACAATCGCTGACGCGCGTCTTTTTTTGTTATATTCGAAGCAGGCCAAGAGATATATTTTGGATCCCCTGACTGCCCCGGAGCCTTCGCAAGAAACCGGACCAGGCTCCTCCCACTATAACGTCCAGCTCCGGACCACCCGGCCCATCCCCGTCGCTTCGCCGCCCTCGTCGCCGTCACCGCGCCGCGCCTGCTCCACCAAGTCCAACAGCCAACACCATCATCGTGCCTCGAGAAAGCAATCGCCCAGTGTCAGCAGTGACGACGACACTCGGGATCCCTTCACCGATAACCGCACCTCGGCCAACTTTTTTAACAACCCTACACCCCCCGAGTCCTCCGGCTTCTTAAAGTCCAATCCTTACTCGGCCCGGCGCACCTTCAACCTCGACACCCACCACGAGGAGACACACTCGCACCGCAGCGGCCTCGTCTCACCCCCGCAGTCCCCCGAATTACCTGTGTCAGACAGCGCGCAGCCGTTGTCTCTCTCCACAGCGGACTACCACAGCGGCCGTGTCCCCATCCGCTCCGTCAGCTCTCGATCCGCCCCCGGCCCTTCGTCCCGGCACTACACCGGCTCCCCGGAGCCGTCTCAGCACAACCGCAGCCGCAGCGACGGCCAACACCGCTGCCAACATCACAGCCAGCCGCGCCCATCCGGTCTCGCCGAACGCTTCCCCGGTGACATGTCCCACCGCCCGCTCGACATGATCCGCCGCGAGACTCGTGCCGCCGATCGCCGGCACCGCAAGCGCGTGTCCGAGGCGGACACCATCGACCTGCTCGACACCATCGGCCCGGCGTACCACCACGGCGGGCCGTACGATGCGACCCTCGCCAGCCGCAACATGAACAAGATGTACTCGCCCGTCGAGGCCGTGCGCGACTCAAACATGGCCGCCCTGCGCGCCACCCCGCGCGAGTTCATCCGCGACGCCCTTATCCACCACCGCCCGCTCCAGGGCACCGCCACCGTCCCCAGCGGCGCCCTCGACGCCAGCGGTCGCCGCATGTCCTACGAGGAGGGCGCCGACCTTATGCGCGAGCCCGACGCGCCCGGCGGCGCCTACCGCCGCTACGACTTTGTCGACTACCACCCCGACGACCTCAAGGGCAAGGGGGAGCCCTCGTACACCATCGAGCGCGACCTGAAGAAGAACAGCAAGGACCGCCGCCCCGGTGACGAGGACGCCATCGAGATGGAAAGCAATCCTCTCATGGCCAAGAGCCTGCGCCGCCGGAAGAGCGTCCCCGCCGCTACCGGCGCCTCTTCCGGCGCGCAGCCTGCCGAGGGCGAGGCGGAGCATGGCCTCAACCGCCACAACTCGGCCGGCCACCGCATCAGCGAGGGCCTGAAGCGTCGCTTCGGCAGCCTGCGCCGCAAGAAGAGCGCCAACCCTGACTGCGACTAATCAGCTCTTCGTCCTTTCTGACTCGTGTGTACAATACAGTTTGTCAACAGCTTTGTTTCCTTTGTCTAGCTACGTGTCAATGTTTTTTTACCTTTTTTTGCAGCTGGGAAAGGAGGTTATACACCCAGATATAGAACTATTTGAGCTGGGGTTTTAACGATATACAGGATGGATGGCGTTTCTAGGTTGGGCGGCGACGACAAGCTTCAAGCTGTCATGATGAATCAGTTCTTTATCACAACACAATCAAAAGTTTAAACAAAATCGTTACCGGAAACGGGGATCCAGAATATGACCAGTGAATGGATTAAGCGAGATTCGAGGTACACCTCAAGGTCCGCGAGAGACTTGGGCGAACAATGTAGAATGATATCCGAAACACAGAGACTAGCTGAACGCTGCATCTCATCTTCAATGATGCCGAATCCCGTTCATATTGATATAAATCGACCCCAGCTTGACAACTCCTCTTCGTTCGGGAAACCAAAAATGGTGATGTCTTACCCCATTCCAAGCCAGATAGTCACCAAATATGCTTTTTCTAATCATTCTACAACCTCCCGTTTTTATAAATACAAGAATGACTCCTTAAAAGTACGCCATGCCCGACCACCCTAGCACGCCCTCCAGCTCTGCCCTCAGCTCGGCCAGGTCGTCGTAGCCGCTCTTGGCCGCCATCTCCGCGCGCTTCGCGGCGCCGAGCTCGGTCCAGCGCGTAAGCACCGTGCCGTCGACGATCATGCGTCCTGACGCGGCCGCCGTCTCCACGCCGACGGCGCGGGCGTGGCTCTGCGCGCCGCGGCCCTCGGGTAGCCGGTGCGCCTTGGGGTGCAGCCCGCCGTGCGGTGTGACGGTCGGCATCAGCTGATTCGCGAGCGACAGCAGCCGCCGGTACGCCGACTCGCCGAGCGGCGTCAGCGCCGCCAGCTGGCCCGTCGGGCAGCTCAGTAGCAGCGTGTGTGGCGTCTCCGCGCCCGTGGTGCCCATCGGCTGCGGCTGCGACGCGGGGATGGTGCGCTCCAGGAGCACCGTCGTTGTCGGCTCGTTTGGCGACAGCGAGAACGTCGTCCGGTGCAGGAGCAGATGGCCCGGGGGGGTGAAGTAGAAAGAGCAAATGGTACATACGGTCAGGGTTGAACTCGAAGACGTGCAAGTCACCATCGGCATCCACGCCAATCATAGATAGGTCCTCGCCATCTGGTAAGAAGTCCGCCACGAGCATTGGGATTTGACCGCTGCTCTTTCCGAGCACCTTGAAGGTGTACGGCTCTTCTGTGTAGCCTGCGAACCACATGCCCTTAAAAGCGTCAGCCATGAGGCACAGGCCAGTGCCACGCAGCTCACGGACACCCAGGATGTGGCAGTTCATATCCAAAAAGGCGACGGGGAGCAGTCCTCCGTCCTCGCGCAGACCGCGCACCATGCACTTTTGGCCCTGCGCAATCAGCAGCAGACCCGAGGTGCCGATCTCGGACAGCGATGTGACGCCACCGCGAGGCAGCTCTTCCTTGGCTTGGAGCTTCAGCCTCTTGTTCGTCTCCGGCCGCCCGGGCTCGGGGATGACGGTGACAATGTCAAACACTTGGACACGGCCACGCGTGGGCAAGTCTTCACCTTTGCAAATCGCACTGCCAACGGCGACAACCATACGTCGCTCTTTGGTTTCCTCAGAAATTTCAAGGTGAAGTGCCATCATGCTCTCAATGGTCTCGCATGATTCGAGATCTAAGCTATGAATGACGGTCCATGCCGCGGGGCTGATGAGTTTAAGAATACCTCGTGGCATGGTTGGCGCAAAGGTGACGGTCTCTTTTGCCCATTCTTTGTGGTAGTCATCATCCCGGGGGAGCTCGAATGGCTCACTGGTCGAGCACGCAGCAATATACGTTGCCGTGTGCGAGTGAAACGAGACTCTGTTGACGTCGCAATCGAGCGGGATCTTCTTAACTGAAATTCCCAGTTCGGCATAGTTTGTATCCGTGGGCAGCTGACTGACTCTGGCAATGCCTTTGGTATCGGCGTAAATGAATCCCCGATCGCAGCCTTCTGTGTTGAAAGTGCTCATGCCTCGTACGCCTTGGCCCTGAAGACCGACGATGCGAGGTATGCTCTTCGCCGACTTCAGGATGAAACTAGGTGAATCACCGGATAAGAATACCGTGCTGTAGCCGCCGACGTTTGCGCAGGGTTGGAGCGGAACGAAGCGCCTCTGCTCTGTGTCATCGTCGTCCTTGCCAGATGCCGGCGCGCTTTTCGCAATAGTAGAATTTGTTGACTTCTTAAAGAAGAGGGTATCCGAGAGCGGCGCTGAGGCGCTGTTTGGTTCATGGTATCGTACAGGCTCGTATAGAGTCAGATCATCAGTGTCATGGCGAAGAATGAGATACGGGCTTTTAGCGACCACGTCGCCAAGGTCGGCAACGAGAATTTCGGTCAGCGTTTCTTTCGCAGCGGCCTTGCGACCAGTAAAGTTTGCCGATAGGAAAGGTGGTGTCGAGGTAAGGCCTTCTGCAACATATACCGGCTCTGAAAGGTTGTTCAGATCATACATATGTAGAGCACCGGCTGTGCTCATCAAGAACAACATGACCCTCGAGTCGTCTCCCTCCTCAGGCTGTTTTGGTTGAAATATCCCGTCGTGATCAGCGTATAGACAGCCTGTCTGCCACTTTATCGAGGTCAGGGGGCTTTTGTCTTTCTCAACTTCTTCTAGCTCATCATTGCTGCCAATTTTGGCAATGAAAACGCTGTGATCGTCTCGGATAATCGTCAAGTACGGATCGGCGATGCTTGCGCTCACCACTCTTGGTTCGGCTCCTGTCTCTTCATCCATCATGGGCAGAATCTGGCTTAGGCCGAGATCCCCATCATAGCATCGGACTTCTGATTTTAGTACTTGAATAATTCGCATTTGCTTTCCCATGGTGCCGGCCATGACAGTGAAACCAGCCGCAGGCTCGAATTCCGTGTCTTTTAAGCTCTCGAAGCCAGCATCCGTCAGGGCGTAAACATCCGAAGTTTCGTAGCCATCTAGATCGACCTTGGCGACAATCATAAATCGGTCATACAGCTCCATGCTGTCGTATTCGCTGCTGACCACGGCACTGGAGCCGAGTGCTTTGGGTACTGGCTTTTTGACGCACATGGTCCAGAAGCCTCGTGCCTCCGGAAACTCGAATCTTCCAATTACCTTCGGTTGGATCTCACGGTTTAAGATGGCAATAGCGCCAGCCTTTCCTCGGCCAACGGCACAAGCAAGTTGCAGCTCCGATGTAACGCCATCTCGCAAAACTGCCTCTTCACTATCAGGCGGGAATACTGCTTTGCCCGGTGCAACGTCGTGGATCGGCGCCAGGCAAAGCAAGGAATCTTGTATGCGAAAGACTGGTTCACCACCTTTCACCGCCCCGTTGGCAGCTTGAGACGGCTTAGCGGCAGCCGATTCGGTGCCGTATAGGTCGTCATCCTCGTCAAAGTCATCATCCAGATCGATGTCTTCCACATCAAGGGCTAGGTCGGCATCTAGGGCTCTCGACTTTTTGCGTTTCTCCTGGGGTTGCTTCCTCGACCACCCGAGAACAACTGAGTCACCAGACTCGCTCCCGATAAACATAGAAGACTTTCCAATTCGGGAAATACAGGATACGCGACTTTTGAGGATACTCCCTCCGTTCTCTGGTGACACGGGAACAAGGCTGATTCCAGAAACCGTCCGCCCGTCAATCTTAAACGAGATGATTGACAACGATGCATCGTTGAGAATCAGCAGCAGCTCTCCAGTTTCCATGGAAATCGGTTCGATGGCACATCCTTCCAAGCGATAATTCAGTTGCGATTGATCAGCAAGACTAAAAGATGTCATTTGCCGTGCCATGGGGTTCACCGCAACGCCATTGGCTTTACCAGACTGGTCGATGTGGATGAGCTCATTTTCGCCGACAAGAAGAGCACCTCCGACAGGGTTGGGTAGCGGAAGGACACGTTTGAGGTCTTGCGGCAAGCCTGTGACTGATAGAATGGTGGTCGAAGCACGCTGCTTCAGATCCAAGGTAAAGACTTTATAGGTCATGTGGTCCCTCAATCCTAGGGCAATCGAGGTAGACTGTGCAGAGGAGAGGATGCCAAATGTAGGTTCTCGGTACTGGTGGAGGAAGGAGAGATGTACCGGGTGCAGAAGTGTCGGGTCGAGAAGAGGGAGTCGCAGCACAAAAGACGGCAGATATTGTGTTTCGGTGCCATGGCCATTTTCATTGGTCGCAAGAGAAGCCTCCTTGACAGGCTTTGGCCCGTCCAGCGCCTCATCCCAGTCTTCCATCTCGAGATCCTCCTCGGCCTGGCGGAATGGCAGAATAGACAAATTGCGGCTGCCAAACTTGAAGGCGGCGCATCGACTGGCAGGGTCGGCTTCGATGTAGTTGACGTACTCACCAAAGGGCAGCTCCCACGGCGCACCCTGCAGCTCGTCCTTTTCGTAGTAGTGTATGGAGACGGTATCGAGGGCGAGCCGCTGGGGGTTCCACTCGGTCAAGCACATCTTGGCGCCGCGGTAGGCCAGCAGGAGGGCCTCGCCGCCCGAGGCGGTATCGCGTAGTTTCAGACGGGCGAGGCCGATGACGGTGCCGGCGACGGGGATTTCGGCGACGAGGACGAGTTTGGTGTGCTGGGCGCGGTCGCGCGGCAGCAGCAGGGCCTCGAGGCCGTCGTCATCGTGGCCGCGGACGTCAAAGTCGGGGTTCTGCTGCTGCTTCGGGTCTCCCTTGCCGGACGGCTGGTTTTCGGGTTGGTACTGCTGCGGGTCGAGCTCGGCGGCAATAGTTCGCGTCTCGAAGACCTGGAGGAGGGAGCCCTTTGCGACGACGAGGTTGTTGGCGGCGGCGGAGGTCAAGGGCAGGCTCAGGGAATGGGTGACAGCCGAGGGCGCCACAAGCTCCGTGTAGACCTGCATTGCGGCAGGTTCATTCTCGCTCGCCGACTGGCGAGTCGAATTGGAGAGGGGGTGATGTGGGTGACGGCTGGTCGCGAGTTTGGCGAGGTTGCGATGGGAGGTTGAAAAGCGGACAGTAGGTACCACCAAGAGCTGGAGCTATGTAGCAGTGGTACAGATAGTGGTGTTGTGGCTGGAGCTGAGGCTGAGGCTGGAGCTTTCGGGACGGCGGTGCATTGATCCGCCCAAGTAATTACAGGCAGCCAGGCAGGCAGCTGTTTGCGCATCTGGGGAAGCTGAGACAGTTCTACAGGTTCTACAGGTACCTCGTACCACCTCGCTAGCAGCCACAGTAGCTCAGCTATGATGTATGTATGTATGCACTAGTGGCTGCTCACTTATGCAAGTTTCAATGGTTCGACATTCTTTAATTGCGTCACAAAACATTCATGACTTCTCTCATCCATCATCACCGTCGCTCAACCCCATCAACAGACATTCTCATCCTACCACAAGCCTCAAGCAGCCCTGCACCAGCTCCCACGATTCACAGCAAACAACCGCCCCGTCTTCGCCCAGCTGCCCCAGCTCGTCACCAGCACCACCACCATGCTGGCGGACGCCGGTCTCATCCAGACCAGCCTGATCTGGGTGACGTACGCTGGCGCCGTGGCCCTCTGCCTCATCGCGGCCGCCGTCACGACCCTGACGTGGCAGACGCCGCGCGAGCGCTCCGCCGTCGTCAGTGCCGTCGCCGTCATCAGCCTGACGGCGCTGCTCGCCACCGTGCTGCTGCTCCCCGTCGACATCGCCCTCGTCTCCGCCACGGGGTCCGCCCGGCTCGGCGTCAAGAAGCCCTGGGCCACGCCCGGCCGCGTCGCCGACCTGCTCCTCGCCCTCAAGGTCCTCTACTACACCCTCTACAGCCTCGACGCCCTACTCTGCCTGCTCTTCATCCCCTTTGCTTACTTCTGGTACGAGGAGTATGACGAGATTGAGTTCGAGGAGGAGGGGCGCACCTGGCGCTCCCGCCTCTGGGCCGCCGCCAAGTACACCCTCTTCTTCGTCGCCCTCGTCGTCGCCCTCTTCCTCGTCGGCTTCTTCGTGCCCGCCGCCGGCCGCGGCGACCTCGATGGCCCCCAAAGCTGGAGCTGGAGTTGGAGCGGCAGCCACTCTGACTATCTGCAGCTCATCGCGCAGAGCAACGGCGAAAAGGCACTCACGTTCGCGCTCGGCCTGCTCGTCACCCTCGGAACGCTCCTCTACGTCGTCTACACCGGCGCCGGCCTCGCTCTCATGCCCATCTCCTTCATCCAGTCCGCGCCTGGAGTCTCGGCGCCGCGCCTCTCCGCCGCCACCGCCTCGCAACTCGAGCAGAACCGTGAGCGCCGCCGGCAACTAGAGATGCGCTACGCCGGTCGCAGTGACGGCGACGGCAACGGAGCCACCGCTATGACTCGCAAAGACCGCCGCGAGCTCGACGCCCTTATCCGCGAGGAGCAGACGCTTGTCCGTCGTGAGCGTCTCGCCGCTGAGGCACAGGGTGAGGGTCGCAGCGGCCTCCACCGCGCCTGGCTGCGCGTCTGCGCCTTCTTCCGCCCCGTCAAGATGGCCGGCGGCATCGCGCTCCTCATTCTCTCCGTCCTCATCGCCGTCTCCATGCTAATCACCGGCATCGACAAGGCCACGCACTCGGCGTGCAAGCGCCGCTGCGGCTATCTCGTCGATCACATCCGCGTCTTCCAGCCCATCAACTGGATCTTCGTGCAGGCCGCGCGCGCCTTCCCCGTCGACTACGTGCTCATGGCCCTGCTCGTGCTGCACCTCTTCAGCAGCTCCGTCTCGGGCATCGCCGCCGTCGGCATCCGCTTCCTCTGGATCCGCGTCTTCCAGGTGCGCCGCGGCCGCACCGCGCCGCAGGCCCTCCTCATCGCCACCGTCATGCTCGGCCTCGTCACCCTCGCCGTCAACTACGCCGTCGCCATGTTCGTCGCGCCCCAGTACGCCGCCTTCGGCACCCAGACCTTTTGCAGCCTCGACCCGCCCGCCGCCGGCCGCAACCCCGACTGCCGCAACCGGCCCGACGCCGTCCTGCCCTGCGGCGCCCGCGCACGCGAGTTCCCCTTCGCCGCCCGCGCCTGCACCCCCTCGGTCGCCTCCACCTTCCTCAGCCGCATCACCGTCACCTGGCCCTTCTTCGGCATCGTCGCCTTCTGGGGCCAGTTCGCGCTGCTCGCCGTCTTCGCCGTCGTGCTCGTCACCGCGGCGTTCCGCCCGCCCCGCGTCAACCTCGCAGAGCTCGACGAGGACGCCGAGGAGGACGAGGAGGAGAGCCTGCTGGCGGCCACCGGCCGGCGCTTCGCCGCGAGCTGGGAGGACGCGCGCACCAGCGGCGGCAGTCGCGGGAGCAACAGCAATAACAACAACTCCCGCAGCTATGGCACAGCCAATGCTTAAAAAAAATATAGACAATGAGGAGGGAATCTTGCTGCGCCCTCTGTCTTGTCTTGTGTATCATCATCTCTTCTTAGGGCTGGAACATTATTTTGCATCGTTAATCGGATAGGAAAAAGGGGCGGATAATAGGTGACGGAACATAGAATCACAGATTCGGGTATACGACGATAAAGGGAGCATGTGTTATCTTGGTTTTTTTTCTTTTCTTTTTTCTTTTCTCGTTTCTCGGTTTCGAATTTTTTTTTTTTTTTTTTTACTCTTGTCTACCAGGTTCAAAGGTTTTCTTGCGTTAAGGTGTTTCTCGTCAGATTTGAAACTTTCTCTTCTGGTACATCTCTAATGACAGCCTCAAATCGCATCCTTATTGTAGAAATGGCTGCTATTCATAACGTGAAATGTGTCTGTCTTGTCATCATTCCAGCGCCGGGCTGATTCCCGTTTAGCTATACAATACGACAACCTGTTTTTCTCCCTCGAAATCTCGGCGCCAATCACTGTCGCCATGGACCCTCCCGTTCGGGGCATCTGAATCTCCATCTATCCTGGCCAGGTACATGCGAAACCCCTGAGAAAACGAAAATGAAGAGCAAAAAAATTCCAAGGCATCATGAATTGACCAACCCAATCCAAAGAAAAACAGAAACTAAATCAAGAGAATTTGCATTTTAGCGTCTTTCCAACCGACGCAAACAATAAAAAGAATCGAGAAAATGAGAATCGAGAAAATGAGAATCGAGAGACTACGGATTCCAAATTCCATATGGCAGTATATAGAGTTGTAAAGAAACGCATGACGAGAAATCGTCAGCGTTTCTCAAGCGGACTCAGTCCACAGCACGTACATGAGCGTCGTCGTCCAGATGGCGCGGGTATCAGTAAAAATGCCGGAATCAAAACACAAATAAAAGCAGCCAACGGAAAACGCAAATAGTCTTCGCTGAGCGAGACCAAGAGCAGTGAGTTCCTAGAAGGTCTGCTTTGCTCCTAAATCAAAGCAAATAAGTGTGCCATCAAAATGACTCGGAGTCGGTCGTTATTCAACCTTGACACGTTTGGGCTCAGTTGGGGGGCCGTGGCTGCTCGTACTCGAGGTTGCGGAACCTTCGCTCTTTCGTTTCATGGCTTCCCGCGACTTGAGGCTGTCGGTAGTGCCCGCTGCGGTGGGCATTGATGACGATGCCGCCGTCGATGCCGAGGAAAGGGCCGACTGGTTGTGATCCTGGGATAGGAAGCTAGGGCCGGAACCCACCACGGGCGTTGAAAAGTTGAGTGGACTTGGGAGCGTGTTGCTATCGCTCGCCTTGTAATTCCACTCCGGATAGAAGCTACTTGGACTAGGGAGAAACTCGCCGTTGAGGTACCTGGATGGTAGCGCAGATTGTGGTGTTTCATTCTTGTTAGGGGCACCATTCCCTATTCCTTGGGGGTTCACCGGCGGCCTCGCGAACGGATTCGGTGGTCCAGTGGCCCCTGCGGACAACAGCGAAGAAGCGGACGGAGATGGCGGCGGCAAGACGATGGAACCATGTCGCCTCTGCGTATGTGTCGGGGTCTCGGTAGAATTGCGCGGCGAGCTAGATTCTGCAGTAACAGCACTTCCGCTTTGCTCCGATCCTCCATCCGGGATTTGCACGGTAAGCTTCGGGCCACGGGGCCTGGCAGATAACGGGCCGCCTGTCAGGCTGTTCGTCCGAGACGGCGGCGCGAATGCTACGTCGGGAAGGGAAACATTCCGCGACTTGTCCATGGAGCTGTGACAGCGTGACAACGGAGGCGACGTCTTGATCGAAGCACCCGCGTCAACAGACTGCGAGCGACTATTAGGCTCTTCCTTGATAGTAGATTCTTCCGTGCTGAACAACTTGGAGTGTTGTCCGAGAATGGATCGGTTCTCCTCCACGGGGGTAAAAATGCTGTGCGATCTGCGTTGAGGAAGCTTCTTGATAGCAGAATCTGTATTGAGTAAAGGCGGGTGTCGGGCATCGGTCTCCGGAGCGGCGTCTCTCGAGGGCGGCGGCTGAGGATCCGCAGGGCGGCGATCTGGCGGTGGAGGATGTGGCATTGCCGTTGGCTGTTGTACATCAGGACGTGGAGGCATCGACATAGATTGGGGGGGTGGTTGGGACTGGTATTGCGGTTGAGGCTGTTGAGACGGCGGCTGAGGTGTGTACGCTGGCTGAGGTTGCTGAGGGTGTGGTTGAGGTGGGCGACGATCGTCTCCATAGGCTTGAGGAGGCGGTGGTTGATGGGGGTGCTGGGGGTGCTGAGGGTGCTGAGGGTGCTGGGGGTGTTGTGGGTGCGGAGGATAATACTGAGGACCGTGAGGGTGCATCATGGGCTGCGCAGGCGCGGCAGGGCCGTTGTAGATGGGAGGCGCAGGCATGTAAGTGATGCCAGGATGTGTACCGGGCGGCGGGGGAGGAACCATGCCCGATGGTATGCGGCGGCCGTCGTTTCTCGAATCGGGGCGTCCCATGGGGGGCGGATGTGGCGAGTGGCCGCGGGGAGGCAGATGGTGGCCATGGTGATTGGGATAAGGCGCGCCATTAGGAACAGGAGGAGAAGCTGTCGGGGTGTGGTGGCGTATTTGGGGCGGGAAATGGCCGTGTTGAGGGTGATATTGCGGAGGCATCATCTGGGCCTCCTCGTGACCTCTTGGGGGCGTCGCGTCGCCATCTTCGTCGTCGTCGCCGTCGTCTCCACCGGCAAAGTCGTTTGGACCTTTGTGTTCGTTTGCACCGCCATGCTGGAAGGTGATTAGCTGAAAGGGAAACGGCGAATTCAGGGGAAGCGGTTGAAGAGACTCACATATTGGTGGCGGGTAATGAGATCATGCATGTCGGCAGAAGAGTACTCGTACAGCTTCTTGTTGCTACCAAAGATGAAGACGGCGACGTCGACAGAGCAAAGCACGGAGAGCTCGTGAGCCTTTTTGAAAAGACCGCCTTTCCGCTTCAGGAACGTGCTATAGGAGAGGCATGTTGGTTAGCAGACATGGGGAGAGGGGGGCTGAAGGCAGAGAGGCGAAGCGATGAAGCATACACTGAGCGGTTGCGATCATCTTTGATGGCTTTGATTTCAATTTTTCTGCGACCCATTGTGACGAGTGTCTATGTGAAGCAAAAGCAGGTGGGCGTGGTGAGCGGCAGGTGGCCGGAGAAAGCAGGGCCACGCGCCGAGTTTATGTGTATCGTTCGTTGGCCGTATCGCAGCGTTGGTAGACGGGCGTTGACAACTGGGCGAGGGCAAGCGAACAACTGGGCGAGGGCAACCGACCAGGAGGCGTCCGCTGGAGGCTGGACGCGGCGCAGGCGCAGGCGCAGCACTGATGAAGCGAAGCGAGCAAAATGTCGCAGAGCGCGTGGTCGAGGCTATCGAGAAGGAACGAGTTTGTAATTTAGCAGCAACGGTGAGGAGCAAACGGAGTGCTGCTGGACGAGTGGGCCGGCGAGCAAGCAGGTTCGTCGCAAGACTAGGCGGCGGCGGGGATTGTGAGGGCAGCAAACAGGAGGGCGAGAGGCGTTGGCGAGAAGCGAGAGGCGTTCGAGGATGAGGACGAGGAACGCGGAACGGAGCAGGAAGACATGCAACGGGGTGAGGAGGGAAGCGGGCGGACGGGCGGGCGGCGGGAGGGAGGAGCTTCGCTGGCGGGCGCAAACAAGCAACAGAGTCGGCGAGGGCGCAAAGAAGGGGAGACAAGTCGTAGAGAGCGAGGCACAAACGGCGAACAAACGGTATTGAAGCTATCACAGTTGGCCAAAAAGGAAGTCTGGCCGGGAGAGAGCGCACGCTGGTTGCGCAGGATGATGGGGCTGGATCTGGCGTTGGAGGGTTCTAATAATAGACCTTGATCGTGTTCAGTTCATGGGAGGAGGTTTAAAAAAAAAAAAGAGCGAGCAGGATGGATGGGGGTGGGGGGGGGTACTGCTACCTACTGGAGACTGGAGCAGTCAAGGCTGGCAGACACAGGGAGGGACAGGGCAAGTCAGTGCCAAGAGCCTCTGGACTGGAGAAGCAGGAGGCTAGCCCAGCTGTGCTTGTGCTGTGAGTCTGTACCCCCGTCTGCGGTTAGGAGGTACTGATCACTTTGATCAGTGAGCCCATGTACGGATGCTGGTACAAATTTGCAGGCGAAAATCGGGCAAGCTCGGTGGTACCGCCGTGCCTCCTGCTAAGCTGTGGGGGGGTGGGAACTCTTTTTTGGTGAGCGTGCCGCCTGAAAAAAGGCTGCTTTTCTCCCTCGTAGTGTCGTGCCAGGTGAACGGAAGTGGTGTGGCCTTGTCGGAAAAAAAGCCGGGCTGGGGTTGAGATGGACCCTGTAAAGTTTAAACGACCAAGTATCAAAAGCGACTACGGATAATTATTATTACCCAGTGATCGAGTTTTGGGGGTTGTTGGCTTGACACTGATCAGCAGTGAAGCCGTTGCAGTCCTGATTATTCGTACAGGCCGCAGAGGTGCAATTGCCGCGATGTTGAGAACAGGCGCTCCCCAGGCCTACCTGTTATTAGCGGGACCCCAAAAATGAGTGGGATATGCAATTCCAATGTTGGCACCATAATAATGAGGCCTGAAAAGGTAGTAAGAAGAGGATCATATGGGAATGCAGTTGCCTGATGCAGAGGGGCATGCAAAAACCATCGCCATCAGCTATACCGATCCCTACGGATATTTGTTGTTAGTACCTGCGTGTTGGCTGGTACAAGATACACATGTATGTACGTACATATGTATATATGTACTGTACATACATACATAGGTACGTACCTCTCCGCATGAGTCGAGCCAATACAAATCGGTATCGCGCACCAATCTCTCACAAACATCGTACAGAGTGCTTACTCGACTCGAAACTAATCCGTACCTATTGCCGCTTTCCTTCTTTTTCCGGTTTCCGTCCTCTTGTCGCCTTGCATCCTGGAAATAACAAGCCCCAGTTCCCAGTTCCAGCCATTCAACCAGACACCGAAAAGCGCCACCAGGGTGGCGTGGCGTGGCGTGGCAGTGGGCTTACAGGGGATGGAGGGGGGCGTTCCCCGCTACGAACTAATAACACGGCACAGCCGACCAACTGGACGGCCCCAGCAAGCGCCGTGGCCACCAAGACTCGCAGCTTGTCCTCAGCCACATGCGGAAGACTGCCAATAAGAAAGACACGGTAAAAAGAGAGGAGGGGAAGAATAGACAAAAGGGAAATGCAAGAAGAAATATTCACTTCACGTTTTGTTTGTTTCAACACGCCCTAAAACGCGAGAATTCGATAAAATAGAGAAACCAAGCTGATGCACTAACTACTAAGCCGTAACTATTGGCACACACTCTTTCCATCCTAGCGAGTCATTAATCTCTTCATCTGGTCAGCATGCACATCATCACTCTTTTAATAAATCGTCAATCAAGTCATACAATGACCTTGCCTTTTTCACTACGTCCTTGTTACTAGCCTGCATCTCATATTCCTCCGTCCCCTCACCCCCGGACCACACTCTCCTCTGTCGTCTGAGACATGCGCAAGCCTAGCAAAGCAACAAACGCCTTGTCCCATCTTGCAGCCCTTGTCTTGTTTGAGCTTGCTGTGGGCTGATAGTCTGGTAGGTAGCGTCATCCCGCCTTTCCCTAGCAGCCCAGAGAGAGAGGGGGAGATGAAAAGCAAAGCGCTTGCCTGCCTCTTTTGGTCGTTCCCGCCCTGTGTAATCTCATGAACCTGCGACAGGCTCACCTGAAAGAAGAAAAGGAAAAAAAAAATTAAATTACCTGCCCCATGTTTCGGATAGCCATTTATTATCCAAAGTGGCGGCCTTGGTCCGTTTTGATCGTCTTTCTTAACTCTATCCGTTCTGCATGCATGTTGTCAATCGCCGTGACTCAAACTTGTTTCCTTTCGTCTTCTTTCAACTACCACGACAGCTTGGCATCTCCAGCCAGTTACCGAATTTGGCTGAAACTCCTGCATCCGCCGTCATGCCGACGTGACACGGTCGCCGTTGCAAACACAGTCACTTCACTTGACTTGACTCCCTCCCCGCACAGGTCCCCTAGTTTATCGATGCTCTGTCCTCTCAGCCACCCAGTCAAGGTTCATGACGCGCGGTCCTGCAGACCCAATGGCTTTTTAATTAAAAGTCCATAACTAGTTGCTCCGTATCCACGCGCCGCTTGCCGGCAGGGCACGGAAGGGAGAAAAAGGTCAAGTACTTAATTAACAGCCTCAACAAGCTCAGCTGTGTCCGTAAACTTATCTTGCTGCTAAGCCACCGAGAAGAAAAAGATCTACCTTACCCACGGCAGTGTCAAAACGAACTGCCCAAGCCACTGTCCTAAATGGGTTCTCGAGCCCAAAAACTGAATCGCGATACCTACCAACTATACTCTAGTCTTTATTTGCCGGCCCCGGTGGTGGAGGCTTGGTTGCCGGGTGCCTTGAGGACGGCCAATAACGAGTAACTAGATAAATAGCCGGGGGGGACTTTTGTATTAGGAGGGAAGCTTCTTCCGTGTGCCTTTCAGAGCTTCAAGGTTCCCAACGGCAACGCCGTTGCGCTCCGCAACGCCACGGTTTGTGATGCTAATAAGTCCATCCCTGTTAGCGTCGACGCTCATACTACAAGGCTTACCTACCGTAGGGCCAAAGAGCAGCAGCAACATCACCGATCACGGCTCAACAAACTTTAACTAGTTATCCGATTACTTGACGCGTCGAAAGCAGAGAGGTGAACGAACGAGACATCCTGACGCCGTCTGAAAGGGCTCAGTTTGCCTGCCTCCGTCCTGGGCCAGCAAAGAAAGAGCAAGCAAGGAGTCGGATGACCGACAGGGCCGCGTCAACAGCCCGCTCGTTTCCCTACTTCTCTTCCCCAAACTGCCGCGGTTCGAGATGGTCTTGATGTTGGTACCCGAGACAGACGCACCACGCCCGCTCCCTCGCCTGGCGGCTGGCCGCATCGTAAATCTCGCGCCCCTTCTCTATTGCTCAACGCCGCACCCCTCGCTTAAGCTAGTAGGGTCGCAATGGCAGGCCTGTCGCACTAACTGTTAGCCTTGTGGCACAGGGACGAGATTAGGGACCACATGGAATGGAATGCAAGGGGAAGGTGCCTTTGATCTCCGAATACCCTCTGCAGCTGCTAATCTCGTTGCTCGTATGGATCCTTCTACCTAGCTAACCATGAAGCGATGGTGGCACGGCCGATCTTTTCTACTAGCTATCTTTTTATCTACTTGTGCAGTGTAAAACCAATATAGGGAAACAAGATTATTGTAAAAGAAAAAAAAAATTGTACAATTTCTTCACATGCTTATATTCTCACCATTTCATGCCGACTATGCGATTGTTAATCCGGAGCACCACCGCTACAAGATCACCGTTAGTTAGGTGGCGGAGCAGAACAACGATTGGGTAAGTGTTTTGCCATCTAGATATGCAAAAGGAAGTGTATGCCATTCTATCTTTGCGCGTTGTCATCGTGTAACGGGAAGCGTGACAGCTGTCCGTGTGTATCCGCTCATCAATCCGCACAAGACAGTAACTATAACCTGCCGGTCGACTTCCGCACCCTCTGCTCTTCATCACCAATGTTAGACGAGACCCTCAACTCTTTGCCATTCTTGAGCAAACTGTTGTACCAGGTGACGATGCGGCACCCCATACATGAGCCAGACAGCGTCGCATGTTGCTTGCCCTACCCCTCTTAACCCCCTCACCCCCTCGTCTGCAATCATGCAGATTACAGATGCAGCAGGCATCCATCGACCGACGTTGTTTTCGGATGCAACCCTGATCCGCTCTCTTTTTTCAAAAGAATTCTTCTAACAATAGTAACAATGCGTGCCGGCGGGGGCAAGCCACCCAGGGACAATCTCTGCCCCGCACATAACTGTCCCTCTCTTTGTTTTGTCGTCGTCAGAGTAGGAGCAGGAGTAGGGATATTTGGGAGATAGGATGGGACTGATCAGAGGAGGAGGAGACATGAAAAGTCCGCGGAGTAGGACATAACAACGGCAAGTCGGAGAAGAACAAAGAGGCAGGGCATCCCATCAGCGTGACAAATAACATACCCTATATCCCCGACGACATCCTCTCATGGGCAAGCAAACGACACAAACATTAGCGCGTAGAAACACTCACTCTCCAATCCGTCAAGTATCGATAATTTTCCTCTTCACTCACTCAGTCTTGAAGCGCTCTGTGTTGCTGTCTCCATCCCATCCTCATCACATCGTCATCACCCAACCCCAAGGCGGTAACTATGTACGAGATTTACCAGCCCATCCGTTTCACCGTTTCTTGCCATGCCCAACTTGACTGAGTTTCTCTCCTTCCTCTACCCTCTCGGGGTGCATGAAATCCTCGCCCCCCCCCCCGCCGGTTTAGTTTCCCCGGGACGCGATACCCGGGGTGCATTACGACGAGCCTTCTCGCTTCTAAAAATAAACACACACGGCAGCAGCCCACGAGGCGGAGCCTCATCACACAAATCGTCAGTCAGCCCAGCAGGAAACGAAAACAAAAATAACCAAAAAAAAGCCCTGGGAAATCAACCCACTCCATACCTTCTCTCCTGCTTCAGCGATGTTGGATCGGTTGCTTGGCATCACAACTCGACGCGTGGCTTCCATGGGGGCACAGCCTCTCTCCTCCCCCCTCCTCCCCGCCTCTCACCGCCACGGAATCACATCTTCAGCATCACATCTTCTCATATGTATCAAACCACTTCGCTTCATCCTCGAGTCCTGGTCCCCCCACCCGCAGATGCATGATTCACGCTCGTCAGACATGGCAGTTGGAGGACTCAAAGAGGAACCCGCCTTCTATTCTGGGCTCTGATCCTTCTCGCCCCATTTGCCTTGCTACGCCGGGTGCCCCCGACCTCTTATTACTAAGACCTCCATCACTTCTTGCTTGCTTCGCCTCGCCCTCGATGCAACGTCAATAGCTTTCCGCTTTCCATTTAACACGCTACCGATAACTAGCTATTCTTACTGGAATATTCACGATACTCGAAAATGCCCGCGTAGCCCCCTCCCATTGTAAAACGCCAGACACCCAACTTCCAAATTTCAAGCCAAATAAATCAAACAACGACGCTCTTCACGATGGAGAGCCTGCGCCGCCGGTATTGTAGCTGCCGAAACCGCCGTGCTCCGCCGCCGCATCGGCCTTCATCGTACCGTTGAGCAAAGGGCATAGTCTTGTAAGAGACATTCGTTAGCAAAGAGTTCGTTGGCCAATAGATCAGTAAAAAGTGGCAACAGCAGCAGCCAGCAAGCAGTGTCTCCCAAAGCAGCTCTCTTTCGTCAGTCAGTCTGTAGCCGCGTCACATTACGCGTATCTCGTCTGGAACCTTGCCGCAATTCGCTCCTCAGAGAGAAGAGCCTCGGCATTGCGTCGCTCGCGTTCTCGCTTGGCTGCCTCGCGGGCTTCAGCATCTTGCTTTCGCCGCTTTTCTTTCTCTTCCTCTCTCTGCTCCTTTTGCTGCGCTTTTCTCGCCTCTCGCTCGTCTCGCCGAGCCTTCTTTTCGGCCTCTCGTGCCTCTTCTCTCTCCTCTCGTTCCCTCGTCTTTGTGAGTTGCTCCGATCGGCGTCGTGCCTGCGTGTGAGATTTTTGAAGCTGCTTTGGGAAACTGAGCTTTTTTACGCGTGTCTGGTCTGCATCTGCATCTGCTGTTTTTGAAGGGGGTTGGGCTGCCGCCCAAAAATCAAAAGGCGGGCGTGGGGGTAGGGAGATAAATTCCATACTTCTTGTTGGTCTTGATATGGCCAACCTGGCCACAATTGGCACACTTTCTTGTCGTGCCGGTGAGGACCCTATCCCCTCCGGTGGAGGGTGACCCTGCGTCGCCGGCAGCTGCTTTCTGATGCAGCTCTTTTTGCTGTTCTCGCGCTTGTCGTCGAGCCTTGTTCTTCTCAAGTCGCTCGAGCTCCTTTTTGATTCTGTAGACATTGTTAGTTGCCGTCTTCCCCCAATCATATCAGTTGCAACATACCTAATGCCTGCAAGACGGTCATGGTCGGCATTGCCCGTTGGACGCACGCTGTAGATGCTGTTCGCAGATATATGTAAGCTGGGGCTTTAAACTCAACGCCCACCAAGTCCTCCGTGGCTGCCGTAGCACCAGGTCCATTGCTGGACTTGGACAGGCTTGTAAGATGCTTCAAATGAATGCCGTTGCGCAGCAGTAGTTGGACGATGGGGGTCAATTTGTCCCACTTTCGCTGGGGGAGCGAAAGTGTCCGCAGTCGGGGATTTACATACTCTTTCATCTCTAGTTCCGCCTCGGTGCGCCGCTTCAAGTACTGGGAGATGACGACCGGGTCATGCACCACTTCCGATCGTGTTTGGATAGACCCGTCCGGTAGTTTGTAATCACGCTTGATTCGAATCGCCCGCTTTTGGTGACGACTGGATGAAGTCAAACCGCTAATCTGGCTGATTCCGTCGTCAAAGTGCGCCGGTGTTGCTGCCACCTGAACGTTAAATCGATCGTCTTCGTCCTCCTGCGGCTGAATGTCATTGTCATCGTGCGGCGTTGCGTCCGTCAACGTGGCCTTTTGCTTCTCCCAGATTTCGCGGATACCTTCCTCGTACATAGCTTGCTGCTTCTTCACATTGTACGCATGTCCACCGTTTGCTCGCTTCTCACGCTCAATGGCGTCCGCAGATGTTGCGAGAGGTCCCTGCACGGCCTCGATATAACCTCCCTTCATCGAAGTCCGGATAAAACTGAACCCCAGCCCGTGTCCGGTGGGATCGCCCTCGCCGTGAAGCTGAAGCATAGCCTTCTGGGCGCAAGCATCAATAAATGCTTTTGTCGTCTTCCAAGGTGCCATCTTGTCGGCGAGCGTTTCCTCTTGCTTTTCTTGCGCTTTTTTAGCAGCTGCTTTGGTAATTTTGCTGTTGTTGTCGTCATCCCCGTCATCTTCCTCTCCGTCCTCAGCAACCTGAGTTTCGTCCTCGATGGTGGCATTTCGAGGATCATAGCCGGCGTCCTCAAGTTCCTTGATACCGAGCTGCATGGCATCCAGCAAGCTGACATCTTCGGGTTTGATCATGGCGCGGATGGCGTTTTCATCCGGAAGCACTTCGTTTTGACGTAGGCGCCACATACCCTTCTCTCCGCTTTCTCTGTCATACTGCAGAAATTCTTTGAGTTTTTGACGGTTCTGCGTGTCGGTTGAATCTGCAATGTGCCGGGTCATTTCAGACAGCTGACAATTGTCTGTTCGACTGTGCCGAATCATGCGGTAAGCGAGCATCTTCATGCGATTTTTCGAAGCATTCGTGACCTTTCTACTATGGGGCCCAGGAACTTCAACCGACGGAAACTCTTGTCCCACCACATGAACATGATCAATCTTGTGCAGATACCAGCGCGAGCCATCCACGCCTGTTGTGTTGCGGACAACCAGAAAATCGTTTTGCCTTGGGGTATGTTTAAAGACTGGAGCACGGTACATTTCGTTGTGCAATGTCGGCACGGTCTCGCCTGGATCAACGGTGCCGAAAAGCGAGAACGGAGAACGATCCTCTGGTAGCAAAGGGCGATATTCACCGAGCTCGAGCTTAGGTAGCTGTTCTTCATCCTTCTCGTCCTTGCGACGATAGTAGTTGATGAGCTTGGTGCCCATGCCGAAATTGTTCAAAACGCGAGGTCTTGGCTCGCAGTATTCGAAAAGGACGGCAGTAGAATTATCACCCAAACTTAAATCCTTGGATTTGAGGAACACTTCGTGCGCCTTTCCCTTCATCATCTTGCGCTTCTGGTGTAGCGGCTTATCAAATTTGATGCCATGATGCGAGAATTTCTTGTAACGGAAGCGAGGGCGATGGTACTCGTCGGTTGTACCCGGCAGCCGCACCTTGTAGTAGGGCCAGGTCAACTTGATCGCGGGCATACTGTGTTCCACAGAAATGTTGCCGAGAGTAGCGCGGACTTTGCTCTGGTGGTTCTCTTTGAGCAAGTCATAGGCCTCATCGTTGGAAAGGTTAAATCGCTGCGCCATCGTGCGTCCCAAGCGTCCTGTGCCCGTCGGTTTGCTCTTATCATCCTGCGAAGCACGCTTGCCGTTGAGTTGGGAATCCGATTCTATCAAGAGGTGAGGATCGCTCATGTCCAGGTGAACGCGCTTCGCACCGCGCTTCGTTGCTTCTTCGAAATTGTCAAATGATGGCGCAGTATACCGAGGTATTTCGGGAAGGCCAGATGCAACAAACTTGCGCTTCTTTGACCGGCTCCTTAAGTCTTCTCCGAAGTCTTGCAGGAACTCCGCATCCCATTCGTCATCTTGCTCAGCATTCATATGCTTGATCTGGGTGCTTTCCGCAAGTTCGGCAGCCTGACGCTTTTCAAATTGTTTTTGAATAGCCTCAATATCATTGCCCCAATCTTGACAGGCCAATTCAATGTCGCGCATAGTGTATCCCATAACAGGCTCACCATCGGATTCTTGATCGATATCAAACTGGACTATCTCATCTTCGTTGTCTGCATAGTCCTTGCCGCATAGCACTAGACGCTTGGAATTAAACGCGTTTAGCCTCTGTTTAAGAGAGCTTGTTGCTGGTCCTGGGATGCGAAACTGCTTTTCCTCATCCGGCGCAAGATCGAGGCTCAACTTGCTTGTGACGAGATGCTTAGGCTTCTTGGCTGGCTTCTTCCCCATCCATGTAGCCTTTTTTGGCGGCAGCAGTTCGCTCCAAACGAGAATGCGATCCGTTTTGTATGCGGGCCACATCTCCTTGAGCAAGTCTTCCACTGTTTCGGCGGGAGCAGGAATGTCGGGATCTTGATTCGCGGCGCCATACATGTGCGGGTCAGGATCGAAGTTCATTCCGGAGAAGCTTAATCCCATATCTGTTGGTTGGGTTTCGTCACCAGCTTCAGTGTCGCGCACGCGAGGCCCGGGGGATGGGTGGTCTCCGATGGGATCGGTAGGCGAAGATGGCCCATCCCCAAAGAGGTCGTCGGCATCGTTACTGGTACCACCATCGTCGGTTAGGGAAGGGATCTCGAGTGAGCCACCAGCAGCGGGCTCTTCGTCCGGCAAGTCGTCATCGCTAATGTCTTCGAAGTCCTCCGCGTCGTCGGCCTTGTTCGTTTGATCGAAGGGGGTATCGTCGAGCTTCAAGCCGCCACTGGAGCCATCTTGACTCTGTTCCAGAAGGCGCGCAATCTCACGCTGGTCCGCGGATTCTTGCGCCTTCCACTTGTCCTCATCAAAGGAGGAGAAATCCTGATCTTCGGCCATCGTGGCGCCGCGTCCCCTATCGCGAGCCCTTTTGGTTTTTGCGTGAAACAGCCTCAGATCATTATTTTCAAGTAAAAAATATTGCGCTTCGCACTGCGCAAGCGTGGTGAAGGATGTGCGCAAAGTTTGGGAGAGAATGCGCGTGGCGAGGATGTGAATATGCGCTTTAGGTCTGGACAGAAGAAGAGGTCACCTCAAAATGATGAGTCAGCAGCTAGTGCAGGGAAGTGCTGCCTACCTAGGACTTCAGGCACTTTGGGGGGCAAGAAGGCGTCGGAGTTGAAAGAGAATCTCTCTACGAAGCTGGAAATAGCCTTGCTGCGGTACGAATCGTGGCTCTTTATTTCAAGCTCGTTCATCGTTATTATCACTATCGGCACTACCATTACCATCACTATCATCGCCGTCACTACTATCATTGCTTAATCTAGCAGCACCTCTACACCAACTTAAACACAAAAAAAGAAGAAAATGATTACATCACGCGGGGATACATGTATAATTGGGTGAAGAAATACAATACGAATACAATAATTGCTATCAGATCACCCAGGGGAGGAATGTTCCGACAAAACATCCTATGTGGGCAACTACTTAGTGGGTGCATAATACACCAACTATGCTGAAACCAACAGGCAAGGAAAGGGCAGTTCCGATGTTCTGGAGCGTTTCACGGTTGCAATGAATTATAGTCATCTATATTGAAAAATTCTCCATTTCTATTGAATCATAGTAAAAAGTTCATCGACGTCAAGGATATCATCTTGCCCAAAACCCCCCCAAAAAAAAGTCATAAACCGGCTGAAAGGCCAGTCCTGCAACGCTGATGGCCGCCCAATCCAACTCGCTTCCAAGGCATGTACCAAGAATGAGCATTATAGCCCCGCTTTAAAAAAAGGTAGAAGAATCGAGAAAGCACAGAATTTTGATACACATTAATGTCCGAAACGGAACGATGACGGGCCCAGACATTGACCATCCTAGGCGGCGAAAACGATGGCGCCGACAATCGCGGCAAGTGGCCAGAAGCCCATAGTCTCAAGAGCTTTCTTGGCCGCAGCAGAGGTCGGGTTGCCGTCAGCATCCATGTCTGCATCGCCCTTAGCGGTGGTACCGTTGGGCAAGGTGCCGTTGACAAGGAGGACTTTTTGGCCATCCTTGGTTCCGACGGTGACGACGCTCTGGTTGAGGCCGGCATAGCTTCCGTTGCCGACGAGATCGTTGAGGTGAGCGGTAACGTTACCGCTATCGTCGCAACCGCATTCGGCGCCTTCAGCGCAGCCGCAGATGACGGGCAGCTCTTCCTCCTTGTTGTCGTTGGATTGATTGCGGAAGCGGTAGGGGTCGTGGTAGTTGTACATGTAGGCGCCGCTCGCCCAGACGCCGGGCCAGAAGAAGAGGGCAGAGCCGAGGAGGAGGCCGGGGACGATTCCGTTCCTGGCGGCACCGGCGGAGTAGGGAACACGAGAGCCTCCGCCGTAGTATTGCCCGCCGCCGTACTGGGGCTGGGGGCCGGATCCTGACTTTGTGGTGCCGCCGGAGTTTACACTGGGGCCTGTGTTGGTGGGCGAGCCACGACTACCTGTAAATCTGTATGAGTTGCGATCCCGAGATGACCGAGATGATGGGGAAGAACTGGACGTGCCGTAGCCGCCACGATTGCTCACGTAGCCGGAACTACTCGAGAAACCGAAACGGCCGAGCTGCCAGAGGAGGCAGACGAACCAGACGAACCGGAGCCGCTGCGGCTGCCAGAGGAGCTAGACGAACTCGAGCCTCCACGGCTGCCAGAGGAGCTGGACGAGCCGGACGAGCCAGAGCCGGAGCTTCCGCCGCCGCGGCTTCCTGATGAGCTAGACGAACCTGACGTACCAGAGCCGGAGCTTCCACCACCGCGACTCCCCGAGGAGCCGCCACCACGGCCGCCGCCACCGCCACCACCCTTGCGCTTGTACAAATCATGTTCTTGGATATCGGCCTGTGCAATTTCAAGCTGTTGAGAGACGGCCGCGGCCGAGGCACCTGTCAGAAGTGACAGGGCGAGGACTGCGCAGTCGAGTCTCATGGTTGCGAATGAAGTTGTGTACGCAAACCCAGGCTTATGTGCAAGTATCCGAACCGAGCTGAGGATGGTTTGAGGCCGTTTGCTTTTGGAGATGGGTGCAGGGCGAGCGAGTTCGTATGCAGCTGCACAGTGATGGAGAAGAAAAGATTCTCTGTAGTTGTATTGGATGGCTCTGCAGTGCCAAGACCAGGATTGAAGGGGGGGTGTCTCGGAATTTATATATGCATCATGGGAGGAGGAAGGAATGGAGCAGAGGGAGGCCTGAGCAGCCTGGTAGAGTGCCTTGGGGACACTAAACAGGGGTCCGTTGTTGTCCATTGTCTGGGGGTTTCCTGCCAACTCCCGCAGGCTGGTATTCATGACCTCATGGAGTAGCCGCACCACCGGGGCTACCTTTTTAGCACCTGGAGCTGAGCTTATTTCCAGGGCTGCATGCGCCACTGCGCTGGGGGAGCATTGGTGCAGCTAAACCAAAAACATGTTTAGCGGTCGCCCGGGTGGGTGGCAAAGCAGAGGACGGTGTTTTTAGGCACCAACTGCCCAATAGCATCGTTAGGCCTCTTCTGTGCTGTAGTAGGACCTCGCTAGGGCTGCTGTCAGTGGGTAGGTAGTAGCCTTCAGCTTCGAGTCCGGCTGGTTTTGCGGTCGATGATGTTCAGGTTGAGGAATTCGAATTCTGGTCACGCTGACAAAGAACAAGTGCAGCCCAATGTAATGACAACGTCCGTTGGCTTCCAGGCTGTGCAGTTGTCTAGGAGAGTTGTACAAGTTATCAGACTCATTTCGAGAGCAATACAAAGGCAGTACTGTCACAGTCGCACGCAGAAATCATCATGTCCAAGGTATGGAGGTGGCTATTTATTACACTCACAAAGTAGCTCTAATCATTGCACTGTAGTACAATTCCTTCTGAAAATCTGCCTCGTCATAGTGCAACATTGTCAGCGTATGTTAGGGGCAACACTACCAACCCGTCCACGTATGTACGAGCAACCCGAAGGCACCAACAACTCGGTTTATGGCTAGGTAGTGCAGTGACTAGAAAGGCTGCAACATTCCGCCGAAGTTACGAGGTACTGCTTCAGCCTCGCCAGTTGATTTCCCAGAACAGAACAATAACGACGAATGCCAAGAATCTGCGCGCCGCCCTTGAAGGAACAAGGCTCTTTCTTGTTTTTTTCGCGGGCGACGTACCATCTCAACGTTGAGGGGCGAGAGGCATTCTCCGACCTTCCAGGATAGACCTGCCAGGGGCCGTGGTGCCTGTGTCACCAACAAGCATCCACACGGCTTGGCTTTGTGATACAGGTAGTACATAATGGCGACAAGATGGCAAAATATAACAACATCAATCAGGGAACTTTGAAAATTACCGGTACAAGGGTCTTGTCCTGCCATCCTCAGGTAGCTTCCACGCTCTCAACGACATAGTTATCACGTGTCTGTATAGATCATGCCTGCACATATGCAGGGCTTGTCGATAACGGACATCTCGCCCTGTCAAGACCGGAGATAGAAACTTAAATCTGACCTCCAGCGGTCATCAAGTCGCCGCTTCGCTCCCGAAACGCCCGATTAATAGCAAGCCCCTGCAATGGGCGTTTTGCTGCGCCTCGTTTCTAGCTGAGGCTGTGCATTTGACAAGTGGCGTTCGGCCAGCCTCACATCACTCATAGCAGGGTAGCACCAGCACGTGCTTGTCCATTTGAATTCGAACAAACAAGTCTATCAAAGCTACCTTGCTTAACATAGGGCAATAAATAGTTGATCTGACGTTAGGTGAATGTTGAATTTCTCGAAGCTATTCTTGGATGACTCACCTCACATCCAATACACTGACTGCTAATCTCTAGCAGCAAGCCAACAGCTAAGAAAAATGCTCGGATTGATTTGGAACATCTCTTTAACCGAATGTGTAGTCTGTATTGATCAAAGATATTACCCTCAAAGTTCAAGGGCACAAATCTGGTGTAGAATTGGGACATTACAAATACTGAAGAAAAATGCGGTTTGTAAGCCGAAGAACATACTCCAGCTGCTAGCCCCGGGCTTGCGCCAGAAGCGGACACAACTTGACCGACCTCAGCCTCATCAGCGTCAACTCCTTCGCGCCTCCGGTAATCGCAGTAACGCGGCGCGTTGGTATGGCCGTAGCATCGCCACCGGCTGCCAAATTTTCTCGCGCGCCAATTCGTCAAAGAGCATGCTATCCCCGCGTCCCCATCCGTCATCTCCGCATGCGTCGTCCGTCCCGCGGCGGCGAAACGGGCGCCCGCAGGCCTGCGAGCCGTGCCGCGGCCGCAAGGTCGGCTGCGACCACAAGCTGCCCATCTGCTCGCGCTGCAAGAAGGGCAAGATAGAGCACAAGTGCGTCTACCTGGTCGGCGCCTCCAAGACGCCGTTGTCCCCGACGCCGCCCCGGAGTCGGGAGCACACGACGACGAGGACGACGACGTCGACGACGTCGTCCAGCCAGCCCTCGCCGGACCAGCCCGCTACCGCCACCGGTACGAGCCGCACCAGTCCCCGGACGAGCGCAGGGCACCTCCATCACCACCGGGAGCATGCATCCATCGACGCGCGCCCTTCCGAGAGCGTCAGGTACGAGGCGCTCGGCTACATGGGCGCGACGAGCTTCTCGACGGATCTCGAGGAGGCGCAGCGTCGCCTCATGTCCATGCCAGGCGCCGAGGGCCAGGTCAGCTCGGTTCTGCCGCCGGATGCGCCCTCGTATTCGCTGCGCGACTTTGACCCGCCGGCCGCGGCCATCAACGTTCTCCGCAACATACCGGATCGCGCATCGAGCTACTACATGTTCGAGACGTATCGAAATATTCACGACGCTTGGTGTCGGCTTGCCGCGAGATGGCTGCTGCACTCATTGTGGGACACGTTTGGTGAGATCCTGGAAGGGGATCGAAGCGACAAGTCCCTGTCTGTCATGGCCAAGCAGCTCTGCCTCAACACCACATCCGTTCTGCGAGAGAATCATACAGATCCAAAGGAGTGGTTTAAAGAGTTTTCCGGGAATAATATGCGTTGGGAATGCATCGGTATCCTTTTTGCCTACTGGAGTTCGGGTCTGCTCGGTCTACCGCGAGAGACGTTCAGAGGTAGCTGTAAAGCGCTAAATAACATGGACAGAAGAACGGCTCTTGAATTTTACAAGGAGCTGGTCGCGGACTGCGCCAATCTTTGCTGGAACGCAGGTCACGGCAACACACTGCTCTGCTTTCTACTATTCAAGAGGAGCCTATTACAATCAAATATTGGCGGCGACGGAGGTAAGTAACCTCTCTCTCTCTTTTCCGGAAAAACAGGCCAACACGATAAACTAACAGTTGGACTTAGATCTTCGCCATTTTAGATTACACGGAGACCTCGTTGCGTTGACAACCTACCTCGGTCTGCACACCTCGAGCGCCGCATTCGGCGATCGGTCCGTATCTGTACAAATCAGGAGGCGGCTTTTCGCCGGCGTCTTCAACATTGACAAGCTCATTGCCATCTTCACCGGCCGCCCGCCCCTGCTCAGTCGGCGCTTCATCTCCGAGTCAGAGCCGCTCGACATCTCCGACGAGGACCTCCTACAGGTCCCTCCTCAAGGCACGCCACACGCCGGGATTGACAGCGCGGGGTGGAGCCTGGGAAAGAAGATACTGCCCGTCTCGCCACTCCGTGCCCGACTGATGATGGCCTACACCCGCGACTCGATCCTGGAGATTGCGCTCCGGAACACGCTCATCGCCTGCGAAGATCCGCTCCTCGAGCTCAAGCAGCAGGCCACCAAGATGTACGACGGGTTTCCGTCGGTTCTCAAGTACGGCGCGGACGACTTGCAGAACCCGGAGTTGGACCACGTGCAAGTCTACACGCGGCTGCACATCACATTAGAGCATCTGCATAATGTCTTCTTCATAGAGCGCCTACTTTCCAAGGTCCAAGAAGGCGTCACTGCCGAGCTCGTGAGAATCAGCCTTGAAATCATCGAGCTGTCCCTGATCCCATTTACCAACCGACAGTTGACGACGGGCGTCATGTGCGATATCGACTGGCTGCTCATGGCGTACGGAGCGCCGGCCGGTGGCGTCTTGTGCATGGAACTGCTCAGGCCAGCAGCGGCGTCATCCGGGGCTTCGGGCATCAAGAAGTCGACCATGATACAGTCCTTGAGCATGCTTGTCGGATGTCTCAATGCAGTTCCTCTCGATGCTCCAAACTACGGCGTCAGCGCGACGCTCAAGAAGATCATTGAGCAGGTGCTGGACCGCGTGTTGGACCCGCCCGCAGAGACAACTGGCCAGGAGTTTTCTGTGCAGGGCTGGGAGACTGACTTTCTCGTCGACGCCGCTGATTTATTCAACTCTGATCTTCTAGATACATTTGACTGGTTTCGGCCATAGAAAATCCGTAATAATGATACCCCAGTGCAAGGTTCGAAAGGCTTTGGTCTGTCTGTATATTGGCGCACATTTGAACTATAACATTCTCACCATTTTTTAAAGATATATCTTCTCAATAAACAGCCCAGTTCAACCTCAGAATATTATTGGTTAAGCAACCTTCCGCAGCCAGATACACATGCGCGTGATGCTCAGCCATGATGGTGCCCCACCTCAACCTCAACCTCCTCATCGTGGCAGGGTGCACATGCTCAAGAATCATCTACACACTCCTGCGTCACAAATCCTCCCAGTTTCTTCAGCGTCTCCTTGCAGAGCTACGTGTGTAGCAGTGTGCGCAGCAGTATGGTCAACGACGTCGACAAGAGCTTGCTAGATCGCCTACAGGCACTGCGGGGTGGCCCGGGTGGCAGTCAACCATCGCAAGCGCCTCAGTGAGAACCTACCACCAAGTCAGCAAACTCTCACGTAGCACTCACTGACAGAGCTATAAGGAGCATAAAAGTTGATGTGATTGAGAGGCTCAAAACACCATCTAGAGAGGATGCCCTGGCCGCGCGGCTCCGATCTCTGCGCGAAGGCTCGGCCACGCCGGAGCCCGAGGGGCAACGACCATCACCAAAACCCGCTGCGCAGCGAGCGCCTGGCCCCTCAATAAAGCAGGCACCTATAGCTCTTGATGCCTCCGATGAGCGCAGTCATCAGGAACAGAACATAGATAACGTTTTTGAAACCGACGACGATACCTTGCAGGAGCTCTTAGCCGACGTCTCGTTGGACGAGGATCTGGGTGCCGCCCCAGGCGCGTATGAGCCGAGCGAGGAGCAGGTCAAGGCACTGCTGGAACAGCTCGCCAATGATATTCCCAAGGACACAAACGCGCCATCCGAGCGTCGAAACGGTAGCGACGATGAGCCCGACTCGGACGACTCGGACGGCGAGGCCATGAAGCGCAAGGTCAAGGACGTCATGGAGAGGTACCAAGATGAAGCGGAGCTTGAAGCAGCGCAGCGTGAGGAAAATGGCTCAGACGCGGAGGACTTTCAGGAACCTCACGACGAGGCGACGCACGACGCGGACGCCGCCGCCCTGGGACTACCCTCTGTCCCTTCTGACCTGCAGCACCTCGCATCGTCCCCGCCACAGGGCGGCTACAAGCCCGGACTGGACGACATGACCGCGCGCCTTGCCGCCCTGCGCGCCCCAAGCCACAACACGGACGGCGGCGGAGATGACGACGACGATGCCTCGCTCGCCTTGCCGTCAGTGCCGACCTCGCGCCCGTCAGCAAAGGGGCCGCAGCCGCGGCTCCAGACGCGGACAAAGTACACGGACGACGACACGGACGGCTGGTGCATCGTGTGCCTCGAAGACGCAACGCTGCGGTGCCTGGGCTGCGAGGACGAAAACGTCTACTGCGCGCGGTGCTGGCGAGAGATGCACGTCGGTCCTGCGGCGGCCTTTGACGACCACAGCCACCGCGCCGTCCAGTTTGCGAGGGACAAGAAGAAAAATAAACCGCGCAAGGTTGCATTGGGGGCGTAGCATTGCATGTTTATGATACCATCGCATTCAACTAGGAGTAGGGTAGACTTGTTTACATCCTGTGTACGAACATCTTTTAACAATACGCCGATTCATTCATCGTTATTCACCCAGCTCAGCGGCTGACTGCTTTATCTGATCCGTGTTTTCGAATCACTCAAACTTTAAGACAGCTTTGATAATCCACTGCGACATCATTAGCAAAACACACATAGGTAAATCATACATCGCAGCTGTGTTGCGGTAACTCACCAGCTGGCCGTTGCCCACCTCGATCGCCACCTTGTCCACCTCGACCTCGTCCGGCATCACCACGCGCTTGCCATCCCCACGCTCCTCCCACCAGACCTCCGTGCCCGCCATCGTCTTGGCCCTCTCGCCCGCCGGCCAGGGGCTGCGGGTGACCATGTGCGCCTCCACGAAGCGGTCGAGGTTCGCGTCCGCGCGATCCTTGCCGTCCGGGCCCTCGTACGTGGAGGCCCCGCCGTCGCCCTCCTTCTCCCACGGCTTGCGGGGCAGCGCCTCGACGGCCGAGTTGAGCGGCGCGAGGACGGTGGTGCGGGCGACGTCGCTGGCCAGGCGCTCGTCGGCGGCCGCGTCCCGCCGCGCAAACGACGAGAAGGTGGACAGCGCGCGGTTGGAGCCCAGCGTGTCGCTGAGGCGCACGGCGAGCTGCACGGGGTGGCCGTCGTTGCCGTCACCGGGCATGGTGAGGAGGCGCTGGGGTGGTAAGCGTGCTGGCTGGGCCGGCGCGGCGATGGTGACGTCGTTGTTCGGTCGCGGGCTGCGGCGCAGGGTGGCAGCGACGGTGGTCAGCAGGATGAAGCAGCTCAATATCGCAATGACGGAGCTGCGCATCACAGGTTCTCACAAACAGAAGAAAAAAAGATGCTTTCACTAGAGATGCGGAAAAAATGATGAAACCGGGTAACGGAAATTGGTGAGTGCCCAATCTATTGCTGTCTACCTATTATGTCTGACCTCAGCGTAGGAGCAGGGCAAACGACGTCACTGACGAATGGGGCAAGGGCCGCCGGGACTTCCCCGCGCCGGCCGTAGGCTGGTTGTCCAGTCATCTGCCTTGGTCGGAGGCCGACTCACGAGGCGTTCGATCGGTCGGCGATTTCGGAGAGCATGAACGAGGTTCTGTAAAATGAGCAATAAAATCCCAAGATAGTTGGCTGAGATAGAATTCAATTGACACGGCCATGACTGTCAAGCTCAGAGCACATGGACGCTGACTGCGCTGCGTGGGAGCCGGGTTCGGGGTTTTCGTGGAGCTGGCAAGAAGCCGAGCCACATGCGCGCACCACAGCGGGAGAAGAAGCAAGTCGCATGGGCAATGGGCGTATATATGCACCCACGGAGTCCGGGACCTCTATGGAAATTCACATAACGATTTACCCGGGCACTAAAATCTCCAGGCTTTCGGTCGGCACATCATTCGCAAATCGGCATCTCCAATACTTTTTTTTTTTGGGCTACCCCAAAAAGCCGCAGGCAGACTTTCACGTGCGAAACCGGCGCTCACCAATCATGCTACAGGTATTTGTTAGTCGACCTGCAGGGCATCATCTGACAGACTAGCCACGGAGAAGCTGCCCCTCCCAGCACTTCCTCCCCAGCGCCCAGAGTGTGGGGAGTCACAATGTCACTGTACCCGTGGGGCAATAGTCGGAGGAATTCACATGTGAATTGAGCGCGTCACCAGACTATTTGCACTGCATTTGGAGTAAGCTGTTAGTGCCTAGAGGCGAGCTTTTGGCATGTGGGAATTGGCAAGATTCGAGATTTCGATAAAAATTTCGTTTCTTGAATACTTGAAGGTATCATCTTCAAGATTCTTTTTGGATATTCCGTGGCGCTGGATGAGGTGATGGTTGTTGGCGCAACAAAACTTAAAGGCCGAGGCTCCGGTATCGCCCATCATGTCCACATATGAGAAGTTGGAATCGGTTGTTGGTAAAGTGGCCGCAGAGCCCCAGTATCCATTCATCTTACTACTTATCGATGTTCACGAGCCTCCAACTTTTTTGTGCTCAGCCGGCAAGGCTCCCAGGGTCGGCCCGTTGTCTCGCCCAAGGCCCCTTACCGCAGGCCACTGCTGAAAGGGACGGCGAGGCGTTACATCTCCGACGAATAAGTCTTGTTCTGCTTGCGGCAGTCTGCTCCTGCCAACACAATTTGCAACAACTGGCGCATGGGAATTGGTGAGACGGATTCGGTGGTACTATTCCGAGAAGAGCAAGCCACCCGGGGTAGCACCCCGAAGGTGCGCTGTAATTAACGGATGCCTGGGCGTTCGGGGGATGGGCGAGGCTATGTAGGAGGTAAGCGCCGGCTACTCGGTCGGGGGCATGTGGGTGCGGCGGGAGGAGGGTGTCGGCACAGGGATGTAGTGGAGGAATGGCAGAGGAAAATGGCAGACGGAAGTTGGCGAAGTTGGTGTCTTTCATGATAAAAGTGAAGATGGCGGCTAGAATAGTCGGTGATGCGACGATATGACAAAGATGATGTTTTTCCGTTTGTTGCTTCTTCCTTTTTGAACTCGAAACTCGCGACGCCAGCCGCTGACGGCTGGTGGCCACAACGGCCTTTAACTGGCAGCCGGAGGCAAACAACCGTGGTGGGGCGTCTACAAGTGCTGGCAGCTGGCAAGCAAACGCCGCTGCTCATGGCAACTGGGGTAACTGACGGCGTCCGGCACCTGGTTTCGTTAGGCACTTGTCCTTCTCACTTTTAGCGGCCTCGCCCCCCAGAATCGCCCCTCCAACTGCCCTGCCCACCCTGGAAGTCAGTGGCCAATGATCCCCCGTCAAATGCTCTCGTCGCTTTGTTCCCCCCCAAAAACTTGACCTCGGCTGTCCCATCGTCCTCGGCGTGCTGGCTCCACCATTCCTCCCATTGCCTCATAAACTCCCTCCAAGTCCGGAAGTCATTTTAACCTTTGTTCTTCTCCTTATCATTCCATCCTCTCTCTCCATCCTTTTTCTTCATCCCTCAAATCCTCTCCAAGCTCATTCTGTGTGCGCAGGCCTCATCCACTCACCTGCCTGCTCTTCTTCCCTGCGCTTCTCCCCTCAATCTCTCTTCGCCACATCACATTCCCACACACACAGCACAATGGCTCCCAGAGTAATTGTCGTCGGTGGCGGTCGTAAGTCTCTCTACTACCTCGGTTTGCCGGTCTGCGCATACCCCATGTTTGCGCGCCTTTGACCATCGCGGGTTTTCTGCCGGCGTGCCGTCTGCGAGCCCCCTCGCCGCGAACCACATTGCTGACTCCAATCTTGCCCAGTTTCTGGCCTGAGCGCTGCTCACACCATCTACCTCGCTGGTGGCAACGTCGTCGTCCTCGACAAGCAGGGTGAGTGGATTCGCATCTTAGATCCTTCGGCCCCTCGTCCGACGCGCTGACCAATCTCTACAACAGGTTTCTTCGGTGGTAACTCGACCAAGGCCACCTCCGGTATCAACGGTGCCCTGACCCGCACCCAGGTTGAGCACGGAGTCCAGGACAGCGTCAAGCAGTTCTACGACGATACCCTCAAGTCGGCCCGTGACAAGGCTCGCCCTGATCTCATCAAGGTTCTTACCTACAAGTCCGCTGCCGCTGTCGAGTGGCTGCAGGACGTTTTCAACCTCGACCTCACCCTCGTCTCCCGTCTCGGGTAAGTCGACATGTGATAGCTGGCAGTCTCGGCTTATCCCGAATCTTGTAATCACAATTCACTGACTCTAACCTCTTGCGCAGTGGTCACTCCCAGCCCCGAACCCACCGTGGTCACGATGCCAAGTTCCCCGGTATGGCCATCACCTACGCCCTGATGCAGCGCCTTGAGGAGCTTGCCGAGACCGAGCCCCACCGCGTCCAGATCATCAAGAAGGCCCGCGTCACCGGCCTCAACAAGGAGGGCAACTCCGTCCTCGGTGTTTCATACGAGTTCGATGGCCAGACTCAGACTCTCGAGGGTCCCGTCATCCTCGCCACCGGTGGTTACGCCGCTGACTTCGGTGAGGGCTCGCTCCTCAAGAAGCACCGTCCCGACACCTATGGCCTTGCTACCACCAACGGTACCCACGCCACTGGTGATGGCCAGAAGATGGTCATGGATATTGGTGGTAACGCCATTGACATGGATAAGGTCCAGGTCCACCCCACTGGTCTCGTCGACCCCAAGGACCCCGGCTCCAAGTGGAAGTTCCTCGCTGCCGAGGCTCTCCGTGGTGAGGGTGGTCTCCTCCTCAACGCCGATGGTGACCGCTTCTGCGACGAGCTCGGCCACCGTGATTACGTCTCTGGCATGATGTGGAAGGAGAAGGACAAGGGCAAGTTCCCCATCCGTCTCGTCCTCAACTCCAAGGCCTCCACCGTCCTCGACTTCCACACCCGCCACTACTCCGGCCGTGGTCTCATGAAGAAGATGTCTGGAGAGGAGCTCGCCAAGGAGATTGGCTGCACTCCTGACCACCTCCAGAGCACCTTCAAGACCTACAATGCCATTGCCGAGGGCAAGCAGAAGGACCCCTGGGGCAAGAAGTTCTTCCACAACATGCCCCTCGACATCAACGACACCTTCCACGTCGCTCTCATGGAGCCCGTCCTCCACTTCACCATGGGTGGTATTGAGATCAACGACAAGGCTCAGGTCCTCAACCAGGACAAGAAGCCCTTCGACGGCCTCTTCGCCTGCGGTGAGCTGGCTGGTGGTGTCCACGGTGCTAACCGTCTTGGTGGCTCTTCTCTCCTCGGCTGTGTCGTCTACGGCCGTGTTGCTGGTGACACCGCGAGCAACTACCTCTTCCAGAAGGCCCTCAGCGGTGCCGGCTCCGGCGCTGCCCGTATCGGCCAGATCTCTCTGCACCTCGACCCCTCCGCCCCCGGCAGACTGACCGTCCAGTGGGCCAACGGCGGTGCCGCCGCCCCCGCTCAGATTGCTGACGCGTCTGCCGCTGCCGCTGCTCCCGCTGCTGCTGCCGCTCCCGCCGGCGCCGCCCCCGCCAGTGCCACCAAGGCCGAGGCCAAGCCCTTCTCCATCCCCGAGAAGGAGTACAGTATGGAGGAGGTCGCCAAGCATAACACCAAGGATGACCTGTGGGTGGTTGTCAAGGGTGTCGTCATGGACCTCTCCAACTGGCTCGACGACCACCCCGGCGGTCCTCAGGCCATCATGAACTTCATGGGCCGCGACGCCACCGAGGAGTTCGAGATGCTGCACGACGACGAGGTCATCCCGAAGTACGCCCCCAACCAGGTCATTGGCCGCGTCAAGGGCCAGGAGCCCAGCCTTGAGCTGTAAGCGGCTTGTTTTTCATAACCCCAAAAGAGAAAAAAAAAAGAAAAACACGCTCGCATAGTATTATTTTACGGATTGATGGGTTATAGATTTTGACGCGGACTAAAAGAATTCCCCCCCAACATGTATCAACCCAAACGGAGGTGACCTGAGGGGCAATTTGGCGCTTGGGACTTTTTTTGAACATGTTTGTGTATTTTGGATTATTCCCTATGTATTCTCGACGTTGTACAGATAGCAATAAATGCATGCATATGACTGATCTCTTCTTTCGATGATACTACCATGTCGTGATCGGTCCGGAACAGCAATAGCAACGCCAGGGGACATTACGTATTTGGCAGATGCCCCAACAGCAGCATGAACGTACATGCCCGTTCTGTCTTGTTTCGTGCTATGGCGAATTGGGCTCAATCACGATATCTGATCGTCGGGAAACGGCATATTCTATTCTCCCTCTTTACCCGAGAAGACACGCTGGCGTCTTGTTTCACCCATCTCTCGTCTCATCTGACCACGTTTCGACTCCTCGACTCAGGACTGCTCGAGCTCATTTTCAAACTTCCTTCACTGCCCCCCTATTAGCACATCTTTACGCAATAGACACGCCATTTTTCGCGCCGTGTCCGCCCACAGAGCAGTGGGGAGTTTTGAAGCTGTGAAACGAAGCTTCTCGCCACGAAGAAGCTTGTCTCAGGCGAGGCTCTTGGACGAGCTCAACTTCAAAAGAATTTTTGCTTTCCACGTGGCTAAAAGAAAAATCAATGCACCAATGCAAGGAACGACACTGCCAAGCAATCTTTCGATGCTTAGCAGATACGCTTTTAGAGGTGGTGGGTGAGAATAAGCATCGTCGACGCAATTTTTAGGACCTATCAGAGTTTAGGGCTGTCCGTCGTCTTTTACATGCAATTAGATAGTAGTGACTTCTGCAACAAGAGCGTTCAATAGACGCGCTTGGTAACGTATTCGGCAAACCCGTATCAAAACAAATCAGGCGTCGCTTCGCTCAGTCAGATCCGTCGGGTTCCACAGCAAGCCAGCATCAGGTAGGCGAGACGGTCTGGATTCTAGCAGTGCAGGGAGCTCTAAGTTATTGCGAGTCAAACAGCTAATAGGTAACTTTGATAGAGAAAAGTGAACGACCATGCCAGAGGTTCATTTGTCATTCTGGCGATGGAGGTGAAACAGCCGGGGGAGCTAAGCCGACAAGCCGACATGCCGACATGCTGCGCACCTTGCCGCCATTGAATGAGAGAGTCGAAGGAGATTATCTTTGCAAGCCCGCCAGCGCCTCAAAAGCCACCCTCACATCAGCATCGGTCGAGTAAAGCGGCAGATGGCCGAGGAGAAGTACGGTGTGGCGCTCGGGTCTAATTATAGTGCCCTTCTTCAGAGCGAGGGATTTCCTTGATACTAGATTTCCAGTTCTTGAGCCCTAGAGGCAGGCTCGTCATCCCGGTTTGATCCTCGATGGTGCACGGCTGTAGCGATGGCTCTTGAGAATGGTTGTCAAGCCACGCCACCCAGAGCTTGGGAGCCCTGTCACGGCACATTGAGAAAGGAGAAAGGGCAGTTCTGGTGGTAAACATCAAGTCCATGCAATCTAGAACCTCAGAGGCGTAGCTATCGAATGATGCGAAGAGAGGAAAGAGAAAGGGGTCGAGAGGGGCAAGCCATACGAGTGCGATGGGACGATGATGATAGGAGAGCACGTTGGGCGTACCTTCATACAGTGGGTGGAGGTATTCGTATCACGATGCTGGCCACAGATCTGCGCTTGAGTTGAATGCAGAATGAGATGTTGCGGGTCAAGCAGCTCACCAGATTTGAGACATTTCGCTGCCAGTGAGCTATGCGGAGGCGCTTGACTTACAAGTACACCACTTCCAGCTGAGACGGAAGCATGATATGAGTAGCCAGGCTTACCAGTGCGCCTTTAACTCGTGCGCGGCTTTAGGAGTTGCAAATGGACGTCATAAGTAGACAAGTTGAAGTTGCTCAGAGAGTAGCAGGAGCAGGCTCGAATGCCATGCCGCTTAACACAGAGCTCGACTCAGCACCACAAAACAAGAGGTTCAATACCGTGCTTATGGGCTGATTCCACAGCAACTCCTACATGTGGTGGAGATGATGAACCGCATGCCGAGTGTCAAATGATTCAAGCCCGCTAAACTGTCAGGGGCTTGGCCTGCGGGAGGCGAGGCGTCGTGGCGCGGCCATAATTCGCCAGGCTGGCGTAGGCTAACGCAAGACCCTCCGCCACGAAAGCAGAAAAACTGAACAATTTCATCGGGTTTGAGCGTATTCCTTGTTTGCTGACCAGAAGCTCCCAGTTCATGGATGTGCGGTAGGGGCCGTAGGGCGCAGCAGTGACCACAAGGATGGTGGTGGCCAAAGCGAGACCGCAGACAGGATCATGGCGTTGACGCAATGGCCGAGTTAGTTCTTCCGCACATCGACGTGCAAACCGACAAGCTGGGTAGCAGTGGATTATTAGCAAACTAAATCAAATAAAATCATCGGCTAGTGAGAAGCACGTCCGGGGTGCTTGACCGGGCAAGATGCACGTTGCCGTGGCTTTTGGTGTAGTGATGACAGAAGAAGAGTGAATACTGAGAATGCGGTCGCTCAGCCCCGCCAACAGCATCTCCGCGGATGGATTTTCCAGGACGATCGATCGGTGAAGGGAAGAAACAAGAAGATAGGCGCAAATTAGCTTATTCGGCTGATTAGGCAAGGTGAGTAGTTAGCAAACGATTCATGGTTCAAGTGTGACGGTTGAGGAACGGGTGATGTGATGAAAGAACGTTTGCCTCGAGGTGGGTGGGCAAGTGGGGTGAGGCGGGCGGCCGGTTAGTCTGTCCGCGATTATGTACAGTACCCGACCTATGTATGTATATATGTATGTATGTATGTACCTACCCATAATGGCAGCTGCTACAGCGGTGAGTGGACAGGGAGCGCGGGGAGCAGGGGATGCGGCGAGAGGGCTGGAGTGAACACAGACAGGTCTTGGGCTGCTTTTCCATAATTCTTCTTGATCCGGGTTTGGTGCAGCGAATTATTTGTAGTACCAATAGCTAGTCGCTGCTGGCGTCGAAGCAAGTGTGCAACGCAAGTCTGGGGAAGCGGGGACGGCGCAGACGACTAGACGACTTTCTTTCTTGAGCACCAGCCGCCGCGCCAAACCAGGAAAGGCGCTGCTGGGCTTTGCTGTAGAGGGTGGGCCTAGGCCAGCCAGACTCCAGACTGGAAGAGCGCTGCAGTGACCGCTGGAAGGGGCAAGCCCGCTGTAACACACCGCTGCACAGGAGCAATCAGGCCCTGAAGCAGCCTGATGGAGACTGGCTTTTGAGGTAGCCGGTACTTTGCCGAGGTCCCGCCCAGAACTGTGGCTGCTGGAAATTCAGCCAATGAATCCAGACCTGGCTTGCAGACGAGTCAATCATGCTTTTGTCAGTGCTGGTAATTATGGGGTTCTTCCACCACCTTCTTGGTAGAGTCTACCTTCATACATAGATACCTCCTCAAACGTTCACCTCGCCATCTCCGGTTTGCCCTTTTGCAGGGCCGTATGTGGTGCGTCGTTCACAGCAGACACCACCAGACCCTGCAACCCCGTCCCCCCGGCCCAGTCTAGCTCAGTCCCCTGCAGCTGCACTCGCCTTCCCCTGCTGTTTGCCTGTTCAGCCTGTACTTGAAAATGGTCAGCGGTGCACCACCACTGCCCGCCCACTAACACGTTACCACTTCCGCTTGTCTCAACCTCTTCTCACTGCTCTCTCCCTCTCAACTCACCATCTTCACTCCACATTAATAACTTCCCAGCATTACCATCCTTACTACGGAACCCTAACGCTGCCAATCTCGCCTCTCCTTTCCTCACCCGTCCTTTGTCTGCTTGATCTACTCTACTCGCCCTCACGTCGACCTCTTTCGCATCGCTTCCGATCCCGATTATTACAGCCAATTTTGCCGAGCCGGGTTTCTCCTCAAGTCGTTGCACGCTCGCGACTCCCCGCCTGCTGAAGAAAATCGCCCCATCCTGACGATCAACCGTTGGCACAACGCAACCCTCCATTCAATTCCCCAACGGTTCCCTTCGAATCTTGCTTCGACGACGGCCAAGTTTGGCAATACCCCCTTCCATCCCCGATTAAGCGCGAACGATCGCCGCCGACAGCTACCGTGGATTGATTCATCGTAATCCGACGCCATGGCGATTGCCATGCGCTGGCATAAGCCTGACAATGTCGCTGGCTCGTCAGCTCCAGCCATCATGGTTGGCCTCTTCGTCGCTTCCGGTGGACTGCTGTTTGGCTATGATACTGGGTAAGCCTTGGAATGTCCTCTTTGCCGCAACCTTGGCCACTCCTCGTCTTTCCACCTCCCGACCAAGACACAACGGCCTGGGGTGCACCGACTACTCGCGAGCCGGCCGACTGTCACTGTCTACCAAGAATGCGTCTTGCTACAACTATGCAGAGTGCTGGGCAAAGCATATTTTTTTCTACTCTCCTACAACCCCTTCAATGCTGCACCTCGTCCTCTAGAGACACGTACTGACTCTGCTCTCTGCTTATAGCGCCATCAACGGCATTCTCGCCATGGACCAGTTCAAAAATCAATTCGCTACAAATTGTAGCGACCCCGGCGCCAACACGAATCTCTGCCCAAAAGATGCTTCAATAATCGTCTCCATTCTGAGTGTTGGAACTACTGTCGGTGCCCTCATCGCTGCTCCATTTGGGGACTTGCTGGGTCGCCGCAAATCACTCGTTCTCGCCATTTGCCTCTTCTGCATTGGTGCCATCTGCCAAGTCTGTGCTCAAGCCATTCCTCTTCTTCTAGTTGGACGGTAAGCTATCGTGTCTGCCTGTATGTCTGTATTACGTTTAATATTAATGCATTACTAGACTCATCGCTGGTATCAGCGTCGGCGCCGTCTCTGTCCTAGTTCCCATGTACCAGTCCGAGATGGCCCCAAAATGGATCCGTGGTACGCTCGTTTGCGCCTATCAGCTCTCTATCACCGTTGGTCTCTTAGCCGCTTCAATCATCAACATCTTAACTTCACGGCTCCCAAGTTCAGCATCATATCGCATCCCTCTCAGCTTGCAGATTGTCCCTGCGCTCATTATCACCATTGGCCTCTTCGTCCTTCCAGAGACTCCGCGATTTCTTGTCAAAAAGGGACGTAATGAAGAGGCCGGTATTTCACTAAGTCGCTTGCGTCGGCTCGACATCACCCACCCTGCTCTCATTGATGAGCTACATGAAATCATCGCCAACCACCAATACGAGCTCACACTGGGCGACGACTCGTACAAGGAATTATTTGTCGGCACGCCGCATCTTGCACGCCGCACCTTCACCGGCTGTGTATTGCAGATGCTCCAGCAACTTACCGGCATCAATTTTATCATGTACTATAGCACAACCTTCTTTGGCGGTGCGGGAGTCGGCAGCCCTTATACCAAATCTCTCATCATCCAAATCATCAACGTCGTCTCCACCATTCCTGGCATCCTCGTCATTGAGTCGTGGGGTCGACGAAGGCTACTGATGGCTGGAGCTACCGGCATGGCTGCTTGCCAGCTTTTTATTGCATCCTTTACCACAGCAGCTGGCCAGGAGCTCAAATCTGCGCAGCAAACCATTCTGATCGTGTTTTGCTCTCTCAATATTTTCTTCTTTGCCTCATCTTGGGGACCGACGGCTTGGGTCGTCACCTCCGAAATCTACCCCCTGAAAGTACGAGCAAAGGCCATGTCCATCTCCACTGCTTCAAACTGGCTGCTCAACTTCGGTATTGCCTACAGCACCCCGTTCATGGTGGACGTTGGTCCTGGCAATGCCGGCTTCGGTCCTAAAATTTTCTTCGTTTGGGGTTCCTTTTGTATTTTTGCTGTCTTCTTCGTGTGGTTCATGGTGTATGAGACAAGCAAGATCAGTCTCGAACAGATTGATGAAATGTACGAGCGAGTCAACTGTGCCTGGAACAGCAGGAACTTTGAGCCAAGTTGGAGCTTCCAGCAGATGGTAGATCAAGGCTGGTCTCCTAGTGGCGTTCCTCCTCCAGGGCATGAGCTTCATGCAACCACGTCGCACATGAGCGCCGAGACGACACTCAACGACTCGAGTTCCTCAACCACGGCACGCGACGCAAACCACCCTGCGGCAGCGGGAGACAAAGCCGTGGTGCCAACCATGGCCAACGTTGATTTCAGCTATTAAGCATATTATACCCCTTTTCACAATAGGCGCTCTTGATTCGGTTTACACGAGTTGCTTGAATCTTCTCGACATTTTATTATTTGACACTTGTTCATCATCTACCTATTACGTCCTCATATGACACGGATTTACAGCGCGGAGTTTGATGATGCTTTGGAGTTTACTGGAAATTGATTCATTATCTTTGTGCGGTTCCTTGGGGAATAACATATTTTACTTTGGCAAGGTCAAACTCAGGTTGCTGAGATATTGCAGTTTCATTTCAAGACCTTCTGCGGGCATCTGTGACTTAGCTATTTTTCTAATCACACTATTGCATTGACTACACTCAATGATGGACAGTAGTTTACCTTGCCTTTTTTCCCGAATTCAACCCTTTCTACATATTGGCGCCGCTTACTTTAAACTTGGGGGTATTTCTTGTTTTACTTGGGGCGCATGCATGCCACGTCGCCGCTTGATAGATGGTGTGGCCTGGGGGCAACCCGTGATCAGTCACGGCGGAGAATTCAACAGAGAGGGAAGGTGACAAAAGTGTGCTTGCATGCAAGGAGAAGGGGCGAAAAAATTGCGGAATAAAAACCCCCGTCGGCCGGGTAAGGGGAGAATGGAACCATCGTGCATCGTGACCGTAGTTGTGAGGTGCAAAAAAATACAAAAAGAAATCTCCGAGGACGGAGTCGAACCGCCGACTTTTCGATGACAATTATTCAATTACAGTCGAACGCCATGAACCAACTAGACCACTCAGAGATACTAGCAGCAGTTTTATTTTAGCTTATAAGGGTAATGCCTCTAGCATGCTCCACTTGCTCCCGTTCCGCAGCTACCCTGTAGAGATGATTGTGATTGTTCCAACCCCGTCCGCTGAGGTTACGTGCTTTATCGGAGTTTCCTACAATCAAATAGACCGCTCAATTTAAATCCAGTCTTCTATTTCGTGGTAGACCCTTCGCAAACGGTATGTTTTCAAGGCCTGTCGTAAAGGGTACTTGGGAAACATATTCTGAGTATATGTACGGATAGGTTCCATAATATGGCTAAAGAGGGAGCTAGCCGCACCCATTATGTGATGTATGAGTCGTTTATCACTAAAAACACAACGCCAAAGAATTGCATGTACCTCTTTATAATCATTATGGAAATGAAATTGTTTACCATATAGCAAAGCGTCTTACGGGTGTCAGCGTACAATATGTCATGCACCGAGCTGGCACGCACCCCACACAGTACCAGTCAGCCGAGGCGTTGCCAAATCAGGGGTCTGGCAATTCCAAGCCCAGTCGGCTCCCCGCCGAGCCGTGAGCTTGCTTCAGACACGTACCACAATCCTGCATCCCGTCATTCGTTTCTTTGCTTCACCACTCCGTTCCCTCCCTCTTTCCACGGAGTTGCTGCTTTTACCAGGATGCGATAAGGGAGCGGCTGTCGCGCAATAGACCCCTCAACCCGCCGCCCACGATGGGTGTCCTCTCCTTCCTCAAGCAGGTCTACACCCTGGACACCCTCGACACGCGATTCATCTCGTCCTCGTCGGTGCCGTACAAGACGGCCATTGAGGCGCGCAATGATCCCGCCGCGGCGCAGCGAGATACCGCCCCTAAGCCGCAGAGCCGCGTGCAGCCCCCCAAGTGGAACACGCCCGAGTTTTACTTTTACTATGTCGTGGTCGTCGTCGCGGTGCCTTACATGTTCTGGATCGCCTATGACGTCTCGAGGCGTAAGTCTCTCGTTTGACCCCGCGTTGCGTGTGCTCGGTCCTGGTGCCCTGACGTCGCTAACAATGTTGCTTGCAGCGTCCGATCCCAGATACCACAAGTTCGAGCGGTTCCTGTCCGACGGCTGGGTGCCCGGCCGAAAAATCGACGTCTCCGATGCGCAGTACCATCTGTTCCGCGGCACGCTGCCGTACATGGCCGCGCTGCTGACCCTACATCCATTCCTGCGGCAGGCCTGGAACACCCTCCGGCCCGTCGACGCTAAGCGACCGATCGGCGCCGCCCGGCTCGAGCAGCGCGCCTCGTTTGACTACGTCTTTGCCTTTGTGTTCCTCGTTGCGCTGCACGGCGTGTCTGCGCTCAAGGTCTTTGGTATCTTGTACGTCAACTACAAGCTGGCGACCAGGCTCCCGCGGCCTTACGTTCCCGCCGCGACGTGGATCTTCAACATCTGCACGCTCTTCGCCAACGAGATCTTCGACGGCTACCCGCTGCGCAGGGCAGCGGCCCTGCTCTCGCCGCCGCAGCTGGCGGGCGCCGGCCTCCAGGCGGTGGACTCGCCGCTGATGGAATGGGGCGGGTGGCTGGACAGCTTCGGCGGCGTCGTCGCGCGGTGGGAGGTTCTCTTCAACATCACCGTGCTACGCCTGATTAGCTTCAACCTGGACTACTACTGGAGCCGTGATAAGAACCAAGCCGGCATTTTCGAGGTAAGTTGCGCAGCGCACATCGTTCTCGCCCTGGATAGCTGCTAATACACCCAAGAAGAAGCAGCTCGACCCCGCAAACTTGTCTGAAAGGGACAGAATATCGATCCCGGCCGACGTGAACGACCACTCCTTCCGAAACTACGTGGCTTATGCCATCTACGCTCCGCTCTACCTTACCGGCCCGATCATGACGTTCAACGATTACATTTCACAAGCCAAATACCGCCCGTCCAGCATCGAGAAGCCGCGAACGATCCGCTACGGAGTGCGCTTCCTGCTCGTCCTCCTGGCTATGGAGCTCATCCTGCACTACGACTACGTCGGGGCCATCAGCAAGGCCAGCCCTGTCTGGAGCGATTACACAGCCGCACAGCTTAGTCTGCTGTCGTTCTTCAACCTCCACCTCATCTGGCTCAAGCTCCTGCTGCCGTGGCGGCTCGCGCGCCTCTGGGCGCTCGTCGACGGCATCGACCCGCCCGAGAACATGACGCGCTGCGTCAGCAACAACTACAGCACGCAACAGTTCTGGCGCGCCTGGCACCGCTCGTACAGCCGGTGGCTCGTCCGCTACCTCTTCGTACCGCTCGGCGGGTCCTCCTTTCGCAACTGGCGGTCCGTCGCGAGGTCCATCGTCACGTACGTCTGCGTCTTCACCTTTGTCGCGCTGTGGCACGATATCCAGCTGCGGTTGCTCATCTGGGGCTGGCTCATCGTGCTGTTCATGCTGCCCGAGTTCGCGGCCGCGGCGCTGTTCCCCAAGAGGAAGTGGGAGGCCCACCCGACGGAGTACCGCATGCTCTGCTGTTTCGGTGCGGTTTTTAATGTGTTGATGATGATTACGGCCAACCTGGTTGGTTTTGCGGTGGGCCTGGATGGGCTGGAAAGCATCATCAAAAGCATCTTGCACGACTGGTCTGGTAAGTCTCATGGCACCCTTGTACATCATACTGTGTCTAACAAATTTTAGGCCTTCTTTTCTTGGTGACGGCATGTTCTGCCCTCTTTGTTGGAATCCAAGTCATGTTTGAGATTCGTGAATCCGAGAAGCGGCAAGGAGTCACATTGAAATGTTGATACTGCGGAGCCAGGGGAGGCAGCAATACCGTATGTTGTACAGTTGTATACTAATTAGCATGACATTGACTTATCGCTATCGAAATGTATAATCTAAAGTACATGGAAACAACTACATGTCACTGTGATGATGATGCCGCAAGATGCGAGTCCATATAGTAGTGATGACCAAGCCCTTTCTCCCTACGACTGTGAACCGCCTATCCCTTCCTCTCCTGCTCCTTTGTCTCCTGCGTCGTCCCTCGCTCTAGATCCGTCTCCTCAGCGGTGTTCGTCTCAGCAACAAACTTGCCCTCCATGCCGAGCTTCTTCTCCGTGACCCAGACGCGGAGGTGGATGAGGCCCCAGACGAGTGCGAAGATGACGATGATGCCGACCGCGATGCCCAAGATGTACGCTGCGACGAAGCCGCGCCCACCGACCTTGTCGTGGTCGAGGAACCTGTACGTGTACCAGCCCTGGTCCGCGACGGTGATGAAGGCGACGGCGAGGTAGCCGAGCAGGATGAGGATCAGCCCGAGGACGTGGACCCAGGGGGGCGGGGCCGCGCGGGCGAAGACGAGCTCGAAGAGGGCAAAGGCGCTGTTGAGCGCGTGCTGGCTGACGTTGCTCCAGGCGTCGTAGGTCTCCGGAAACCAGCGGCCCGTGAAGAGCAGGGTCCAGGCGACGACGGTGACGAGGAAGGGCAGGGTGGTGACGGAGGTGTAGTAGAGGGCGTGCAGGGCCTGGAGGGGGCGCGGGAGGCGCGCGAGGAGGGAGGAGCGGCCGCGGGAGAGGATGTAGGTGAGCGTGTGGGTGGCGGAGACGGCGAAGTAGAAGGCGATGCCCCAGTAGGTGAGCACGGTGAAGTAGGAAAAGGTGCGGCGGGCGGTCTGGCAGCCGCCGGCGGAGGCGTGGGTGCAGGTCCAGCCGAGGGTGAAGAAGAGGTCCACGAAGGCGTAGAGAGACTAGAGAGGTGTCAGGTTAGCATGATGGATGGGTTCGTAGAAGTTGCGTGTGCGCGACAATGTTGGTTGTTGGCTGATCGATTTGTCGATCGAATGTCTCACACGTACAAACAGAGCACGGCAGGCGAACAGGAGCCAAGGCGGTAGAAGCCAGGATGTCTCATAGCGATGAGACGGATCCCAGGGGCCCTTGCCAAACTTGAAGGCGTCTAGAAACGCCATGGTTTTTTGTTGGTTTTTTTTTTGTTTTTTGACGAACTCGTTGTTTCGCAAAGAGAGGCAAACGCTGAATGAGCCGTAAGGCTGTTGCGGTGTGGGTGATGCAAATACGAAACAGTAGTTGGAGCGAGATGATGAAGACAAAGAAAGAACGACGGCACCCTTACTGGGGTGTTTTGAAGAAATCAAGAAAGGTCGTCTTCTTCGTTCCCCTCTAGCAACTCCAAACTTTGATTGGTTTTTCTTTTTTTCCTTTGCTTGCGTTTTATGGCTTGTGGCACGAGATGCGCCCCTTCGAGCCACGAGGGTTTGCCGATAGACCGTGGCTTTTAAGCTAGTTAGTTTTTGATCCGCGCGCGAAAAGAGTCGGCTAGCTTTATTTACTTGGGCAAAGTCCACAAGGTATAAAAAAAGGACAAGAAAGAAAGATGACGCAAATTAATTAAGCTTTTGGTTTCTAGGTAGTGGGGGCTATAACTTGGCAGGTATGGAGTAGCCAGACTGTGATCTTTGCTCTTTTTTCACGGATGTCTTTTCATTAATAGGGCTGATATAATTCGTAGATGTTGGGAAATACGGCGCTCCATTTTATTACTCAACAAAAGCTTACTGACGGCTCATTCCATAGGTAGTTATGACATATTCTTTACCTAGCAAGTGTTGTCCCTGCGAATTTGAACTTGACAGCACCGCGTCGCCGCCCGGGGTTGGGTCTAAACCTTCAAGCCCCTGGCTCTTGAAAATGTCATTTGTATTAATCCACAGCTGTCATAATAAATGCTAACGAAGCGACTGCCGGTAATGTTGATCGGATGCTGGCTGGCGGTGGAAGCGCTAGGTTGATGAATGGCTCCAGATCCGACTGACTAGTACAAGAGAAGTAAGCAAAATTCCGATATGCAGCTTTCCGAGGCGACAAGCGCAAAAGTAAAAAACTAGAACTAAAAGAAAAAAAAGAAAACAAAGAATAGGCATGTAAATTGGGGTGTACGTGCGAGGTATGGCAGAACCGGGACGAACCGAGCCACCACGTCTCGGTTGCTGGCGTCGTTTCAGAAACCGTTCTCCGGGGGCACCCGCGCAAGGTTTCGAGGGTCTGACAAGAAGAACGCGGCATGTTTCTGGAGCAATACACGGAGTAGAATAGGTATGGAATTATGGAATCACGCAAAGCTACACGACGTCGACAGCCGGGCAGCGCGATGGCCAAGACTGTTAATAAGACCCAGCCACACCTAGCACGTCATGGCATGTTGTTGTCTTTCTTTGTTCCAGAGGAGCTACATACCGCTTGCACTCCCGCATCGCGTCAGGCTGATCAATCTGTCGGGCAGTTTCCAGCCAAGATATCGCTGGGCATTGCAACATGAGCTTGTTGGCCGATGATGGAGTCATTGTTTCTTTGATATTGAACTCGGCAAGAAAAAAGAAAAGAAGAAAGGGCCAATGGCATCGCATCTGTAACCGGCTTCTGCCGCCCGGGACGAGTGCTGACCGAGTTTCATATGGCGATGCGGGACGAGATGACACATCGGCGGCAGGGGCGCCGAGAGTCTCGGGGTATGTGCAAGGAAAAGAGGCGAGGTACGAGGGAAGAAAAAAGAGATGAGCTTTCCGCAAATCGTACGCATCGAGTTAATGCTATAGTTGATAATAAGAGTGTTGCCCCTGACAGGATCTGGTATTATGTTTCGAGGGGCTTTGGGTCGTTCATCTCCCGCGGCGGGCGGCTTTATTTGGGCCGTGATATAGTTAACTTGGCAACACACCGTTTGTTGTCCGTAGTTTTCACTAGCAAGAATAGCTGTCAGCCGCTGGTGCTTCGGCCCGTAGGTACGGATAAGATTGTGTATCGTGGACATGAATCATATGTATAACTCATGTGTTATTGGTATTGGACTGCAGACTGAGCGGGTTGAATGATGCAGGTGCATGCGGGCGGATGCAGGTGAGCGAGGCCAGGGGTCAACGACGGGAATTACTAGCGAGCATCCATGGATACGAATGGGCTGGTACCTGAGGGTATTTCCATTGAACTCGCAAGGACGGGACGTGGAGATGGGGATACATGATACGACACGAGCGCTATGACGCGAGGCTACTTGGTCAAGGACGACTGGATTGGTGGCATCTCTGGGCCGGAGTTAGGCGGAGCTGGTTGGGATGGGAACAAGGTTTTGAGCTTGGTTGTTTCGTTTACTTGGTTGTTTATGCGATGGTGATGGAGGGGATTCGCATAATTGATGAAGGGGGGGAGGAAGAATTGAAGGAAGATGGATGGTATGAGCAAAGGGGGACTGAATACCTAGTATTGTGGACTACCAACAGTAGCGCGATGTTTGGAAACAAGACACGATCAGGAGAGTTGCGACTCGCTACTTAGTTCTCACTAGTCTGCACATCACACATGGCATGGTATTTAGAATCTAAAGATAGAAAGAAACACAATGAGGCTGTCTCAACGGCGACCTCAGTAGCGCTAACGGGAGGAGCGATGGGAGGTTGATCACTGGGTTGATCACTGGAGTCGAGTGAAGCCACAGAGCATGGCGGTTTTTATTAGCGGTGTCTACGAGACTGAGAGGTGAGCGGGAGGTCTGTGGACGTGTCGCGTGTTGTTTTGCCGAATGCTTTCTTTTCCTCATCTCAAGTAGAGTGGAAAAAAGCAGAAAAAAAAAGGCAGACAGACAGAGAGAGCAATAATCTATCATCTTACGGATTGCGAAAAGTATTCAATCGGTAATATTAATCCAGGCACGAGGCTTGCAGGGTCATTCGTTCTGCACCATGGCTGCCCTTGCAGAGGCGTTTGCGCAAAGACAGGCTCTAGAAGAGTTAGCAGTGTCCACAGCGGCCCACAGCAACTGTTTTGGCTGCCATAAAAAAAAAAAAAAAAAAAAAAAAAAAAAAAAAAAAAGGGTGTACCTGAGAGACACTCCAGGGCCAGGCACCTCCGAGAAGCCCCAGGTCCCCCCCAGGAACAGCCAATAAGGGAAGTCACCCCCTGACAAACACTGCTGAAGATTCCGTCTTAGCAGTTAACCTAATTTAGCTCCCTTTGCTTCTAAAACGCCCGAAAACGCCCAGAATCGCCAGTTCGGCCTGCAATTCCATTTATTCCCTCCTGTGATACCACAAAGAGGCATGCAGATAGCACTAGTGGTTTTAATTGAGCCGAGTGAGAAAGACACAGGCTGTTTTTTGAATAGTGCCAGTGGAATCCTCTTAACCCGCTCCTGCCACCCTATAATCCCAGCACGCAGCCACAATCTATCGTCTCCAGCTTGGCACAGAAATTATTGCTTCTTGCCCGCTGCTGGCTCGCTATCCTCCCGGTATTGCTTACTGCGCAATTATGTATTACTGGGCATCTGCCGATATCAATACTGTGCATGCATGCATGCGCAATCCTTCCCATCCCCTCATTCTCGTCGGGCCACACGGTATCCGTACTCAGTACACCCACCCTAACTAACACTTGGCACACTCTCTATCCCCCGGTCCTTCCAGCCCAGCCCAAGTCCAGCTCAACCCAGCCCAGGAAAGCCCAAGCCCATGAGTCCTAACGACCAGTAATTAAAAAGGTACCTACATACATACCTAGCGACGTGTTCTGTAAAAAACTCCCAAGTCAAAGTCACTCTGGTTCAAAATCCTGCTCGGCCGCCTGCCAAGCCTTTATCGTCCCCCCCGTCAGCGTCAACCACGGCCTCGCTCGAATTTCAGCTTTTCTTCTCCTTTCTTTCGCTTTCAATCCTTCATATCTCTCTTCCGTTTCTTTGCGCGTCTAGATCTGGATCGCTCCCTTATCTCTTGGACCCCGACGTCACTTCAACCACTTTCTTTGTTTGTCCCTCCCGTCCAACCCCCTGTTCTTTCGCAGTCCGTCCACCCACGGCCGCGTTGCCAAGTTGCGCTCCCGCCAGCAGATTCCCCGTCAATTGAATTGTCATCTTCGCAGCAACAACCAACTCTCACGTCATTCACGCTCTCCACGCCCTCGACCGGCACAGCATAACTACTGCGACTCTCTGACTACGCCGCATTCCACTGCCACACGCATCCAACTGCCACGCCCAACTGTCACATCCCCAGGCCCCTTCTCACACGCCAACAACACCGCCAGCATAACCTGAGACTCTTCGCCGCATCCCATCCACCCATGCCTCTACGCCTGTAACCTCGAAACCAACATTCCCCGGCACTCTGCCTCGGCCTGCTCCGCGCACACCTCCCATCAGACGGGGCTGCTGCTCCTCTTTCTCACCTTGGGCAGCACCTCGTCTTGACGCGATTCGAAAATGGCCGCAGCCCAGCTCCCACCTCTCCAGTTCGAAGAAGGCGGCCTTCAAATTGTCCTTCTACCGTCGCTTGACGACGGAGACGCTGGATCTTTTGACGACCCCTTCGCCGACTACTTTAGCCGCGACGCCGAAAACACCAGCCCCGAAAATAAGTCGCGAGACCAAGATAGCGCCAAGCCAGAGCAGCGCATCCAACAGTCTACGAGCCAACTACCCATAGAGACCTTGCCGTCGACAGCCTACCAACCCAAGCCACCAACAACCCAACAACACTCTCGAGACACGGCGCAAGCCCAGCAAACAACTCAGCAGCCGACTTTTCAGCAACCAGAACAACAATACCAACACCAACACGATGCTGAGCAACAACTTGAGCCAGAATCAACCAATCACCACCGACAGGATTCTCTCCAGTCTGTACGGGAGGTTGAGACCCAGAATCACTGCCAGGATTCGCCAACGACCGGAGACGACTCTGCGCCCGAGCACCCCATACCAGCCTTCCAGGATGCCTTTGCCGAATCTCTTCGAGAAGCCACAGAGGGGACAGCTGCACAGAAACCTCGATTGCAACAACTAGATGCCAAATCTCGTCGCGAGCGACTCCTTAGTCAAGGCAAGGATGAAGACCCGTTTGATATCAAATGGCGATACAGACCAGGCCAGACACAGCACGAAGTCATGAAACTGGTCGCCCAGATATCCTTTGGTGTCTACCTCATGTTTAATGGCATGGCAAATAGCAACACCCAGGTTATTGGTATTCTACAGGGCCATATTGACGAAATCGATGAGTTCCTGGAAGTCGCCCTCGAAGATTTGAACCAGGCCGTCGACGATTTGACCAAGCGCATTCAGCATCTCAAGCTCCCCATGGAGAACATCACTGTATTCGAGCAGCTGCTTGAGGACCGAAAATTTCGCGCCGAAATTCTCGACGGAAACGAAAGGATAGACGCCATCCTCACACGAACCAACGTCGCCATGCGACAGTGGGATGATGACATCGAAGCCGGTCTTCGAGGTAGTACAGTCTTCGCTAGCTGGCTCAACGACCAAGTCGGCGGCGATTGGCGCGCCGAACAGCCTGATCTTGTCGATGTGTACGACGCCATGAAGGGCAACACCGAAGGGTGGCTAAATGCTTTCGAAGATATGAATGATCGCGCCCAGGATATTAACGGCCTCATCATGACACTTATGACCATTATCACTGAGATGGAGACCAAGGCCGGCGAAGTGAGCCGAAGAACCTGGGTAAGCTTTTCCCTTGCTATTTGCATACCCTCCATACGATCTGGCTAACTCATTCTCTTTCCAGACTTCTGTAGCACCCTTTTCTACTCCCACGGGAACCGTTCAATCCGCATCCACTCGCAACACTGTCAAGGGTGCCTCTCCATCCCCTCCACCATCTCGCAACTCGCACGCCAAATCGTCCAACCACTCGGTCAATCATAGCTACGTACCGAATCACTTGTCACTGACGCCGAATGAATCAAACCAAGGAGACGAAGACGAAGACGAAGACGACGACGACACATTCTTTCCTCTCCCAGGCGGGTTACCCTTGCTTCCACCAACGACGAGAAGTCACCGAGAGAATAGCTCCATCTCATCAAAGCCGCGCTCAGAGCCGATGACAGACTCGCCGACAATCCATCAGCTGGAAATCTCATCGGAGCGGACACGCAGCAACCCCCCATCCGAGGATACATCGCTGTATATGCTCCAGCCACGCACCTATACGCCGCAGCCTCCTGCCCCCGTTCCCTCTCCTATGCTGATAGCATCACCATCGTCGGCGGAACCCGCGCCTCTTCGCAAACGACCGTCTCTGCGCAATCGTATCATGAATCCACCGACTTCTATTCAAATCCCGCCAACATCTACACCCGACTCTCCGCTCTATGTGCCCTCGTCGCACTTCGGGACACCCCGAAGCACTAGCTCGATGCACGACCTGCGAAACTCCGAAGGCGGCTACAACCGCCCGCCGCCGCGGCCTCGCATGACCTCACCCTTGGATACACCGACTTCTGATCTACGCACCTTTACGCCATCCCCATTTTCTGAACATCACTCCTTCCATCCTGTTCGAGCTTCACCCCACTCGCCACTGCAGCAACGGCCGCACACCGCCACTGCGCCGCCGCGGCCTGGTACAAGTCAAACGACACACAAGCCTACACCGCTTGGTGCAATGACGAGCGCGAACAACGTTCCCTTTACACGCCCGACAATGGATCGTGTTAATACAACGAGCGGTATGTCGCAGCACACGGAACGTCACCTCAAGAAGAAGAAAAGCGCTTTTGGCTGGATCAAAAAGGCTTTTACCATGGATGAGGATGAGCGCGCCGCATTTGAGTCGCGCAAGGCGGGCAGCGCGCCGCATCAACACTATTACGATCCCAATACGCCTCGGTTCCTTGATGGCAAGAGAATACGCTAGAAGCGACGGAGTCTCTTGTACCTGTTTTCGAAAGGTGTCTATTTGGCGACATTTGTATATACAACACGGCAACAGATCCAGGATGCCAGTCTTGGCCACGATGTGGTGCAATATTTGGGGCAATACCCCAGTACCTCGTTCTCATAATCCCCTTGTTAAAAGGCACAAAGTCTCGTCAGACGTCTCACACTTACTTGCATTAGGAGGAAAGCGTCAGTGATACTATAATCACTAGGCTACCCTTCCACGATACCTCTTTCCCTACTCCTTGACTAGGAACGTCATTTTTCTTTATATACCACGTCCTATGGTTTGAATACTGCTTTTAACTCGATGGAACATACACCACTACGGTACTCTCTCTCTCTCTCTCTATCTGTACATATGCGAATAGAAATGGTCCTGTCCAAATTCACTTGTATTTGAAATATTGCCAAGCATGTGTCAGAACGTAAGAAATGCACCTCTCAGACAGGGTAGGTGGATGAGTCTATTGCCCGTATGGTAACGCGTAAAACACAAAGCGGGATGTGTCTATATACTGAGAGCGAAATGGAATCTATCCTAATCTTTGAATGCACTTACTCGCCCAGTCCGTAGCTCCGCACCCGGCTGAAGAAAAACGGTTTGTTATTCTTGAGCAGGAACTCGGCCCAGTCCTCGGTCAGCTTGTTGTAGCTGTAGAAGCCGCACAGCACGAGCTTGTTCCCGCGGGGCGCCGAGGGCTTGCCGGCGCTGCGCACGCGCAGGTCCATCTTGAAGACGTACTTTGCGCCGACACCCTCCGTCTCCACCGAGAGCTCGTCGTCGCCGCTCGGCGAGGGGGCGCCCGCACCACCACCTCCACAACCGCCACCACCACTGCTGCTGCTGCTGCCGGGCGGGGAGAGGCGCCACCGGCCTCGGTGGGCGAGGCGCATGACGGCGCCGGGTAGGTGGCTGCCGTGGTGGCCGGCGGCGGTACTGGAGGAGGAGGACTCGCGGTGCAGGCGCAGGGCGTCGCGTGTCATGTAGTGGACGACGTCGGCGGGCGGGTCCGACGCCAGCAGGCTGATGAGGGAGCCGTCGCGGAAGAAGCGCAGGTAGCGGTAGTACGTGACGATGTGGATGGGCGCGCCGCCCCAGGTCAGCTGGTTGGTCGAGGCCTGCCCGGAGCGCACGTAGTTGACGGTCGAGATGTAGCACCCGCCGAAGCGGATGCGCGGCCGCGCACGGAACATGGCCCGCCACGTCGTGTACACGGACGGCGTCAGGGACAGCGTCGCGGCGTGCAGGCGAGCCGCGCGGCGTTCGGCGCGCTCGCGCGGGCTGAGGCGGATGGCGTCGGTGTCGGCGACGATGGCATCAGAGTTGGGGGAGTCTTCCTCGTCACTGTCCTCCTCCTCCGCCGCCTGCTCGTCCTCGGACTCCTCCGAGAGCGGACCCCACTCGATGCCGCGGTTCCAGCGGTAGTGCATGCCGGCGAAGCCAAACTCGGCGCCGAGGCAGACACGTCGCCAGATGCGCTGCTCGCGGGCGACGAGGTATGCGAGCCGCCGGCAGACGAGGGATAAGCGCACATACTCGGCCACGTCGGCCACGGCGACGTCGTGCAGGATGTGCGTGAGCAGCTCGTCGGGGAGGCTGGCCATGGGGCAGGGAAGGACTGGCGGCGCCTCACCTTCGACGGCGGGGTCGTCGGCGGTGGCGGGTTCAATCTGCAGCGCGGCGAAGCCCTCTAGCAGCTCGGACAACGTCTTAGGCGGACCGGCGGGGACCTCGGGCGCGGGGGCGGAGGTGGTGGTTGCGGAGGTGGATGCAACCGTGCTGCTGCTGCCGGATGCCTGGACTGTGGGCGCGTTTGCTGACGCCGCTGGGAAATGCTTTTCACGGTATCGGCGCTCTACGCCATGATCCATCTGCGTTTTGTCAGTACGGTATGGAGGGGTTTCGAGTGTAAAGGCGGCAATTGTCTTGCCTTGTAAGCTTTGCGATATAGTTGCAGGCTGTCTCCCATGTTACCTTGGGCTTCCTTCTCCATGGCCTCCTCATAATGGTCGAGAGCGGATACAAGGCGCCTCTCCGGGGGTTTTGGAGCGGCGAGTGTCCTGGCCCCGGAAAATGCGGAGAGTGACGGCGCGGGCTCGTCAAACGAACGGCCACCCAGATAGTCGGAGCCTTCCTCTAGGATCAGGGCCCGCCGGGCGGCCGTGGGGCTGGGCGGCCCGTTGGCCTTCTTTAGAGGTCCGGGCCGCGCGGATGAAGAAGAAAACGACTGGTGCGAGGCGTCGTGTCGGCGGCTGTGGCTCTGACGACGATGATGACCGGCGGGCGAGGATGACGGTGCTGCGGCATCGGCGGTCGTAGGCTCGCGCTGGGATTGGAGATCTGAGAGCCATTGCTTTCTAAAAGACTCGAGCTCCGAGTCCAGGCCTTCGCCGGTAGACATGATGGGATGTGGTGGGTATTTGGTTGTGAGATTGAAAGGGAAGAAATGTTATCGGTACACCGCCGGCGGAGTTAATGGTGCTGGCGTCAAACGGCAGACTGAGGAGGATATTGGCTTATCATAAGGAATACATGTTGAGGTGGTATAGGTATTCGGAAAAAAGAGGTGTGAGATGAGAAAACTGAGACGATGATGGCGGCGTGACAGATACGGCGGAAAGATGAGAGGGCCAGATCTCGGCAAGTGGGTTTTGTCGATGGAGGGATTGGGAGGCTTCAGTTGAGGTTGGATTGGATGTAGATAACTTAATGCGTCACCGGCGTAGAGATTGACGGGATATTGGTGGGGATTCTGGAGAGGCTGAGTGGCTGAGTTACGCTGATGCCCTGTAATTCAGCTGTAATTCAGGGGATATCGGGCTGCAATCCGGGCTTGTCAGCGACAGCAAGTACCTGCAGTGGCACTACGACCGCTGATTAGTCAAGTTTCAGCCTCCGAGGATCCGCGTAGGATGCACTGTTAGTGAAGCCCGCCTGCACCCACCTCCAACCTTAACACCGGCCGACAGCCCTGTTATGCCCGGCGCTGTCGGAGCTTGCACTGTCCTACACCAAGCTTTGTCCGAGTCTTCCACCCCAAGTTACGCTAACGTAACTTTTTCTCACCTCCGGCCACGGGGAGGCGAAATCCACCAAAACTTTGTTAGCAACGCCCGTACTCAACGACTCCTCTTCCTCACCCACCTTCATCTTATCAATCGCTCCCTTTCTCTGCTTCTCAACACGTTCTGCATCTCGTTTCGTTTTGTTCTTTGCCATCAACCCTCCCCTCTCGCGACCAAGCCAAGCTCTACCCTTTGCTGTCAGCAACATTTCGTCATAGACCTCGTCTCGCTTCGGCCGAGCTCCCATCGATCCATCCATCCACCTTGACGGCCCGCATCACCACCACCGCCATTCACGGTTGGCGCGGCCACGCGCAACGCGCATCATGAGCCGCCCTCCCACCAGCGGGCAGCTAGCCGCCAGCGATATCACACCCCAAAACCATGACAGGATAGATCCGGCCCTGCCGCCTGTGCCCCCGATCACGCCCACGCAAACCATGATCTCTGCCATGACAGGCAGTCTGCTCACCTCATTGCTCGGTGAGTCAGATCCACCATTCTCGCCCGTGGATGCGAATACGTGACTTGCTAACAAAAGTCTCTAGTGACGCCGCTCGATGTCGTCCGAGTCCGCCTCCAGTCACAAAAGCCGCCCGTCTCCGCCATCGACTTTTCCAAACTCGCCCTCACGCCGCACAACCTTACCCCGATCCAAACCGCCAACTTAGGAGTCACAGCATGCTGCCGCGAAGTCTTCTTTGCCGGAAACAACGCTGAGTTCTGCTTGGCCGCGCCGCAAATCGAAGGAATCATGGCTGGGGTGGCCGGTGCTCGCGCTCACGACTGTGCTGTCCAAGAAGTTGAGAAGAAGACGTACAAATCCACTATAGATGGACTGCGCAAGATTGCCCGTAACGAGGGCGTTACCACCCTGTGGCGTGGGCTGTCCCCGACTCTGGTCATGACGATTCCCGCCAACATCATCTATTTTACTGGCTATGACAATCTTCGATACCACCCGAAAAGCCCCCTGTCGAACCTCTCCTCCGATTATGCACCGCTTGCCGCCGGCTCCATTGCACGAGTGATTGCTGTCGCCGCGGTTGGTCCGATCGAGCTCTTTCGCACGCGCATCCAGGCCTCAGGATCTGCCTCTGGTCACTTCATGGAGACCCTTAGCGGTATCAAAGCCATGGTCGCTGCCGAAGGTTACGCTTCACTCTGGCGAGGCTTCAACTTGACGCTTTGGAGAGACGTACCATTCTCCAGTCTATACTGGTGGGGATATGAGACGCTGCGGACCAAATTCACCGACATGCGCGAAGAGCGACGTGGGCGCTCCCTATCACGCGACGAGGACCTCTTGACGGCCCGACGTCGGTCGCGCAGCAACGAGAAACAAGCCGAGACCTTTTTGGACAGCTTCTCGGCCGGTGCCCTGTCCGGCGCCTTTGCCTCTATTGTCACCATGCCTTTTGATGTTGGCAAGACGCGAACGCAAATCTACAGTGATGGCACTCCGCGACGAACCGTCGGCACAGCAGCAGGAGCCGCGCCGGAAGAGCAGAATATGATCCGACTCTTGTGGCACATCTTTAAGACTGAAGGCGCCGCCGGACTATGGCGCGGCTGGATTCCACGAACTCTCAAGGTTGCACCGGCCTGCGCCATCATGATTAGCAGCTACGAAGTCGGAAAGCGAGCGTTCCGATCAATCAACGAGCATACGGCGCATAAGAGGCAACTCGAATCGGATAGATAGGCCGGCGTGCCAAGCATTTCAACTCAGGAAACCGGGATATAGACTCGAAATCAGCGGGGGGTGGCTGGTCGTTGCACTTACTTTTTGGCGTTACGTGGGACATCTACACACAAACGCTTTTCTCTTTGGCTATGATGCTGAATTCATCTGACGGGACTTCTTATTTAATATCTTGGCAAGGACAAAGCAAATAAAACGGAGCGCATGTGTACGATAGCAACCTAAAATAATCACAAACTACTCTTTATTCCTTGCAAATTCAATGATTGAAGATGAGATGCAGATGGCAGGTGGTCATCTGTGGAGCCTCCGCTTCGGGAGCGGACTTTATCTTGCTGCAACGGCGGATGGCCGGAAGCTCCCTGACACGGACAGTGTCTCAAACATCCATGCAACAATGATTGGAAGAAATCCGCAAACGGGCTTTCTGCAAGGCATTACGAATTTATGTGTCATTTTATCAGAATTTGAATTGCCAACACTCGACAGACTTCCGCCAAGCTGACGAGGTGAAGCATGGCCGCTTACCTGACCTGGAGGGACGGAGTCTGGTCACATAATCACCGGTGAAAGACACTGCCACGGCCCCAACACACGCCGAACCTAGTATGTGACCGCGTAGCAAGTATGCGCGAATTGTGTTGTTCATGCTTTCTGCCTTGACAGGAGTCGGTCATACGCTCCGGGCCGGACCTAACTGACCGGACGCCGGCGGCCTTGACACTGGGTTGCTGCGCAAGCAGGTTTTGACGGCTGCTCTACGGAAACCAAGGAAAAGGACCCCGACATTTTATTGCATATGTCTCGTATTATAAGTAAAAGTAGTATCCTGCCTTTTGAGCGTGTAGTAACCTTGAAGTGCACGGCCCTGCTCCCACTGCTACCCAGTCTATTGCATGCTTATATACAAGCTTCGGAACTCTGATAAGATCTGAAGACAACTGTTCTTGTACACGACATCGTCGCCATAATATTTTCCCTTTTTTGCCCTATTTGCCCCTCAAAGCTCAGTCTGCTCATTACGATGACTGAAATCGTCGACGTCGACTACCTCATCGTCGGTGCCGGCGCCATGGGCCTCGCCTTTGCCGACACCATGCTCAGTGACAGCAAGGCGACCATGGCCATTGTCGACCGATACCACGCGCCCGGCGGGCACTGGACCGTCGCCTACCCGTTCGTGCGGCTGCACCAGCCGTCGGCCTTTTACGGCGTCAACTCGAAGCCGCTCGGCAGCGATCAGGTCGACGAGCAGGGCCCCAACGCGGGCCTCTACGAGCTCGCCACCTCGCAGGAGGTGCTCGCGTACTACAGCCAGCTCATGCAGCAGCGCTTCCTGCCTAGCGGCCGCGTCACCTACCACCCCAAGTGCGAGTACCTCGGCGACGGCGCCTTCCGGTCGCTCGTCACCGGCAAGCTGTACCGCGCGGGCGCCAAGGCCAAGATCGTCGACGCCACGTACATGAAGGTCACGGTGCCATCGATGGCGCCGCCCAAGTACGAGGTGGCCGCGGGCGTCGAGCTGGTCACGCCCAACCAGCTGGCCGGGCTGAGGGAGCCGCACGAGAGCTTCACAGTCGTCGGCGCGGGCAAGACGGGCATCGACACCTGCCTGTGGCTGCTGGCGAGCGGCGTGCGCCAGCAGGACGTCACCTGGATCGTGCCGCGCGACGCGTGGCTGCGCGACCGCGAGGCGCTCCAGCCGGGCGACCTGTTCGGCGCGCGGCGCGCGGCGACGCTGCAGACGCTGCAGCGCGCCGCCCTGACCTGCTCCTCGCCCGACGACTACGTGGCGCAGATGGAGGAGGGCGGGGAGGCGATGCGGCTGTCGCGGGACGTCCCGCCGGAGATGTACCGGTGCGCGACGGTCTCGCGGGCGGAGCTGGCGGAGCTGCGGACCATGCAGAACATCGTCCGGCAGGGCCGCGTGGTCTCGATCCGGCCGGACCTGGTCACGCTGCAGCGGGGCTCGTACGTGCCGCGGCCGGGCACGCTGTACGTGGACTGCTCGACGGACGGCCTCGCCAAGCTGCCGCCGACGCCCGTGTTCCAGGGCCGGACGCTGCGGCTGCAGCCGGTGCGGCCCTGCCAGCAGGTGTTTAGCGCCGCCTTCATCGCGCACGTCGAGAGCGCGTACGCGGACGAGGAGGGGGGCGACGCGCTCAAGAACGAGCTGTGCCGCCCGATCCCGCACCCCAACGTGCCGGCCGACTGGCTCGTCACCGCCGTCCTGCACCTCCGGGCGCGGGCGCTGTGGAACGCCCACCCGCGGACGAGGGCCTGGCTGCTGGCCTCGCGCCTTGACCTTGAGGCAAGCTTCCTCCCTGCGGATGAGGTGAAGCGCGAGGAGCTGCTGGCGAGCGCCTCCTCGCCCGAGAAGCGCGCCCAGGCTGGCCAGGTGTTGCAGCGTCTGTATGGCGTGCTGGATGCCCTGCCGGAGAAGGAGAGGGATGCGGCCAAGGCATTGATTGGCGATTTACCGAAATTGGACTAGCTGCTGAAACTACCTGAGATATGCCGATTAGCAAGTGGAATATGTGGGATATGTGAATTCAAAGCTCTCTGGTCAACTTGGATGGTGTTTGCAACTGGGTGGTTGCTGAGTGCTGAGCTCCACCAACAAGGAAATCTTGATCGAGGGCGGGCGGGCCAACTTACTTTATCACAAATATGATCAACTCAAACCTTGTCTGCGCAGCCTAAAGTGCCTTGCGACCGTGAATAAACTCGACATCCGAAATTCTAACGATTAGCAAACAGAAAGCCTTTAAGAATCCTTATCCACCCAGGCGTCTCTCCCAGCCGCAGACAATATCGCAGCCAAACAAACGGAGGGGGGTCAAAATCTGACCGACTTCTGTTTGAGGCCTCAAAGTACAAGAGACCGACCGTTATTCGACAACTTAGCACAGCATCTCCCCTTGGAAAGCAATGTACAACCTAGCCAACGTCGAGAGCCACCGCTTCGGCGGCCGCCAGGAGGAGCCGGCCGTCTACATCACCGAGATTGCGCGCACCGGTCTCGGCCTCGCGGCCATCGCGACAGACAATGCCATCTCGCTACTCGACCCCGCGCGGCTGGCAGCCGGACCGGTCGCGGCCTGGCACGCGCCGCACGGTGAGTCAGTGACGGCGCTGCGGACGCTCGACGACGCGCTGGTGTGCACGGCCGGCGAGGACGGCACCGTCGCCGTGTGGGATCTCCGGATCAAGGACGCCGCTGCCAAGGTGGCGCATTTCAAGGGTGAGTCTTGACTCGTCGTCGTCTTCTTGTGGTCTCTGGTGTTCATGATGATGATGATGATGATGCTGATCAAATGGCAACTTGCTTGCAGCGAGCGAGGCGCCGATTCTGTCCATGGCGTGCAGCAGGGCGACCAACACAATCGCAGTCGGCACGGAGCTGCACAACCACACAGCCTCGATCCATCTCTGGTAAGTTCACCGCCGATTTTTTAAAATTAAAAAAAAAAAAAAGAAGCATGCCCTGACAGCCCATGATGATGACAGGGACGTCACGGGCGCGCCGGCCCCTCGCGCACACTACCAGGACGTGCACAGCGACGACGTGACGGAGCTCGCCTTCCACGGCGGCCAACCGGCGCTGCTGCTGTCCGGGTCGACCGACGGTCTCGTGAGCGTGCACGACACGCGCGTCGCCGACGAGGACGAGGTGACGGTGCAGACCTTCAACCACGGCGCCTCGGTGCACCGCGCCGCCTTCCTCGGCCCGGCCTCGAGCGAGGTGCTCGCCCTCTCCCACGACGAGCGCTTCGCCCTCTACGACGCCGCCGAGGAACGCGCTGGTGGCGATGCGATCCGCGACTTTGGCGACCTCCGCCCGCTGCTCGGCTGCCAGTACGTCGCCAACGTGACGCCTAAGGCCGACGGCCTCGGCGCCGTCATCGGGGCGGGCGCCCAAGAGTACGTTTAATCTCTCTCTTTTTTTTTTAAATTTTTTTTTGGCGAAATTTGGTCTATCGAGCCCTGGAAAACTAACGAGAGTGCTGGTAGTAAACAATTCTTTCAGCTCAACTTTCTAGCCAAGGACGCACAGCAACAATGGTCCCTCGACACGGCGAATGGCGTCGGCCTGCCCGGGGCGCATGGAGAGGAGATTGTGCGATCATTTTGCTTCTTCGATCAAGAGCAAGTCGTATTCACTGCGGGAGAAGATGGCTGCGTAAGAGGATGGCGCGCTGGATAGCGGAAACCAAACGTGCGCGTAAGCTCGCCTGCGTTGGAAACCGACCTCTTGGGGGTATATTTCTACGAACACAATTGTGCCACCCAATTCTATGATCTCCTGAATAAAACTACCAAAACAACAACGCCGATAACAAAACCAAACGCCAACCGACTTTTAATTAAATGCTTTCAGCTGAATTTGTCGTGCTTGCTCTTGACTTTGACATCCAGCAGCGTCTCGTGGTAGTTGCCCTCGCGCCGCGCGCGCTTGAGCTTCTTGACTTCGCCGTCGTCAAGGCGACGGCCCACGGCCTCCTCGAGCTCGCGCCGGCTGATCTTGGCGAGGGCCCTCTCCTCCTTGGAGGCCTTGATCCGGGGCTTGAAGCGGGCCTGCATGCGGATGCGCAGCGTGGTGGCGAAGGAGATGGCGTCGGCGTCGCCGCGGACCTCGTCGCGCGCCGGCGCCGACTTGGCCGAAGACGACGACGGCTTCACCACGCACAGCATGGTCTCGCGCAGCGTCTGCACCTGGAACGTGCCGGGCGTGTCGGCGGTGGCGACCAGGCTAAAGGTCTCGAGCGGCGAGACGGCCTCGGAGTGCGCGGAGAGCAGGCCGATCTTGTCGCAGGCCAGATACCTAAGGCGCCAAGTTAGCAAAGAGAAAAAAAAACAAGAGACATGGGGTACAAACCTCCCGTGGTGTCCCTTGAAGCGAAAGTGCTCGGTTCCTGCGATGCGGTTCGCGACCCAGACCTGGCGGACGTCGTGCGGCTCGGCCGTCGCCGGGTTCGCATCGACCATGTTCTCGACGGCCATGGTGAAGACCTTGCCCGCGGCGTCACAGGCCAGCGCCGAGGGGGGGTCCGTCGGGAGGACGAACATGACGGGCCCGGAGACGTCGGACGGGGCGTCGGCGGCGACCCAGGTGTCGTCATCGTCGGCGGACGGCACATCGTCCGCCTTGCGCAGCTGCTTGCTCGCCGAGGAGGAGGCCCCCGCGCCGGCGTCGTCGTCGCCGTCGTCGGTGGTGGCGCGCGCGCGCTTGCGCTTCTTGGGTTTGTCGCCCTTGAAGGACAGCGGCTTGACCATGGCCCCGAGGAGGGATGTGGAGTCGTTCGAGAAGAATTCGTACGTCTGGGGTTTCATGCAGCTTCGGTAGATGGGACGGGCTACGATTTCGTATCTCGGGCCGAAGGGAGGGGGGGTGCGCCTTGCTACGGCAAAAGAAAGAGGTGAAGTTGGAGATGGCGGGTTCGGAGAGCGGCGAGCTCCAAAGTGGTGGGGGAGCTGAAGATGCCGCTTTAAGAATGAATTTTTAGCAGTGGGCTGGCTGCTTGGGGGGTGCTGAAGGGCCGGCCGAAATCCTCTGCAAGTTCTCAACCGCAGCGCTAAAGCAGCATGAGGCTACAGGTACTAACGGCGTGGAGGGAAAAAATACAGGGCTATTATCCGTCGGTTCTCGGCCTAGCCCACCAATTAACAACGCTGAAATTCCTTGACCTAGGCATTGACAGTGGCTGCGGACAGCCCCTCCCCGCCATCAGCATCAGCCACCATGCCCATCATCAACTGAACGACTGACGTTCTGCTGTGCTTCCACAAGGTCTTCTTCTCTTCACTCACTCACTTGACCGTATTATTCAGCCTTTCTTATTGTGTGTCATACCTGTCTCATTTTTTCTCATCAAAAAAGACCACCCTCCTATTTTTGGCAATACGCAGTAAGCCACATCCGCCCTTGTCACGATGGCCGCGCAGGCACAGGCCGTCACCGTCTCGCTCAAAGATCTCCAATCTGGTAGGTTCCATCTCGTCTCGTTTGCTGCCACTACCACTACATTCACTGCATGCCCCTCAAGTATTTTATAGTAGCTGACTTTGTAAACTCCTAGGCAATGTCTCCTTTGAGACTCTTCAACAGGCTTTCGGCCCGGACTCGCTCGGCATCCTCGTCGTCAAGGATGTGCCAAAGCAGTTCCCCAAGCTGAGACACTCAGCCCTGTCCTATGCTTCCTATCTTGGCAATCTGCCGCATGCAGAACTCGGTATGTGCATGCATGCAACTCCTACATGGCTCCATCTCTTCCTTTCCCTTGTATGCGTCGCGCTGAAACGACGAACCCTGCTCTAGAAACGCTCGAGAATGCCCACGCCAAGTACCTCACCGGCTGGTCCCTCGGCAAGGAGACGCTCAAGAACGGCAAGGCCGACACCTTCAAGGGCTCCTACTATGCCAACTGCGCCTTTTACGTCGACGCCTCCCTCGAGTGCGCCAAGCCCACCGCCGAGTTTTCCGAGGCGACCTTCCCCGAGTACCTGTCACCGAACCTTTGGCCGGCCGAGGCCGTGCTGCCAGGCTTCAAGCCCGCCGTGACGGACCTGTGCAGGCTCATCATCGACGTGGCCGTCCTCGTCGCCCGCGCCTGCGACCGCTTCGCCGAGAAGGAGATCCACGGCTACCCCAAGGGCTACCTCGAGCACGTCGTCAGCACCTCCAACACGACCAAGGCCCGGCTCCTCCACTACTACCCCCAGGGCCGCGAGGACGTCGCCGACGGCGGCGACGAGGATGACTGGTGCGCCACGCACCTGGACCACGGCTGCCTGACGGGCCTGACGTCGGCCATGTTCATCGACGAGACCGACACCGACACCGTCGTCCCCGCCGGCAGCGGCTCGTCCCCGCTGCCTGCGTTGAGCGAGCTGCCCGCGTCGCCCGACCCCAGCGCCGGCCTGTACATCAAGTCGCGCACCGGCGAGACGTTCCAGGTCCGGATCCCGCGCGACTGCATCGCCTTCCAGACGGGCGAGGCGCTCGAGCGCATCACCGCCGGCAAGTTCAAGGCCGTGCCGCACTTTGTGCGCGGCGTCAAGGCTAGCGTCAGCGACGGCCGCATCGCGCGCAACACGCTGGCCGTCTTCACGCAGCCCAACCTGGGCGAGGAGGTGGACATTGAGCAGCACCTCACGTTTGGAGAATTTGCGCGCGGCGTGGTGACGAAGAATACTGTATCATAGCGTGAACCAGACATTGAAGTTGTAAATAATTGAATCACAATGTTGGACACATACATTGCATGGTGTGTAGATAGATGTTTCTATATAAAATGGTAAACCTAATAGTTGTAGAGCATGTAAATCTCGTACCGGCTGGAAGTGTATTCAAATAGTTTATTTTTAGCCAAACATTAGCCAAGACGGAAAAAGAATGTAAATGATTTTATATCCGGATGTTGAATCCTCTGTACTCATTATGCTTTGCTGAATCAGCTCAAAGGCTGAACCAGAAAGCACACTCTGCGGCGCAAGCCGATGTTGGAGCGGTCAAGGCGCAGCTCGCAGGTTGGCCAAATCAGCCGTCTCAGTTTCCCACCCAACCTAAAAAGAAAGATTGCAGGACAAGAAAAGACCGGACGAATCTATGCCCAAGCGCCGACGAGACTCATGCCAAACGCGCCCAGAAAGACCAGGATGCAGGCGCCGACGCGCGACTTGCCGCGGAGGTAGCGCCAGCTGGCGTCGCTCAGGAAGTCTTCGGAGAGGAGCTCGACCAGAGACGCAAACGTGAGCAGCCCGGCGGAGATGGCGTTCATGACACCTACGAGGATAAGACCGACCTCGGAGTCGGGGCTGTAGAGCGTATGCGTGGCGAGTCCAATTGCTTGTCCAAGAGGCGTGCTGAAGTTCTGAGTTAGCACTACGGTGGAAGGATACATGAGCAAGAACGGTTTGAACGTACGTGCAGCCATAGGCCAGTGCCATGAGCCACGGCTGAATCGTTTGCTTTTCCCATTTGACGGCCGCGATACGAGAGCCCAGTGCCAATCCCTCAAAGGTTTCTATAGCCGAGTTAGAACGATGGGCTTTGCTAATGGCGCATGAAACTTACGGTGGAATGTGATGGCAATGAGCAGCACGATGAACTCGTTCCCAACAGACACGCTCAGAGCCATACCGATAAAGACACTGTGAAAGAGGATGCCCAGCTCTAGGAGGATGCATTGAAGACGCTCCCTGCGCAGCTGTTGCTGAGCAGAGAGAGTGGGAGGCCGGAACGAGTCCTCATCCGATGACAGCACCGCATCGTTCTTGCCAGTCACGGCAATCCTGGACGGGTCCCGCGAGGTGTCGACCGACGTGGACAGCGACCTGCTCAGCTGCGTCAAGTTCTGGCCGACGCTCGACTGCCTGCCGCCTATCGGACCCATGTCCCGGATCGGCTGCGTCACGGAGCCATCCGCGCCTCGCTCCCCCTCCGCTACAAACGCCACGTTCGCCATGCACCCCTGATGCCCACCACCGCCATTCAAGGCAATGTCCTCGGGCTGGATGCGGCGCGAGGGGTGGAAGACCATCTCAATCACAGTGACGAGGAAGACGGCGGAGAGGGCGATGGCGCCGGGCATGGCCGGGTAGTCCTTGGTCCAGAAGCTGGAGAGGCAGGGGTTGCCGAGGGAGACGAAGGCGGTGGGCAGCAGGTGGACGAAGGCGGTGGCGATGAGGACGCCGGTGCCGAAGTGGCGGACGACGAAGAAGAAGCGTGCGGGGATGCGCAGGCGCGGGAACTTGACGGCGAGCAGCGGAAAGGCGCAGCCGGTGAAGGAGACGAAGAGGATGATGAAGAGCGCGCCGACGTGGAGCGGCGTGTTGTACTCGTCGCCGCCGACGCCGCCGGTGGCGCAGGTCGAGCGCTTGCGGAGGGGTCCGGAGGTGGCGGCGGCGGCGAGGAGGGCCGGAGCGGCGGAGGAGACGGCGGAGGTGGCGGTGTCGTTGAGGAGAAGCATAGTTGGCTCGCCGGGAGACGACGAGAACGCGGGGGCTACGACAGCCCGAGAAGAGGGTTCCCGGAGGGAGGAGAGTACAGAGGAGACAACAAGAACGGAGGAGATCCAGGTCACCCAACCCCAGACGTACCGAGTACGCTGAGAAGAAGGAGATGCTGGAGAGGCAGGGGGTCCGCCAAGGACCGCCGTGCGAGAAGACAGGGATGGGCCTGAGGAGACGAGTTAGTGATGTTTCCGTCCCTGGTGATCCGCTCCAGTCCAGTCCAGTCCAGTCCAGTCCAGTCCAGTCCCAGCAGGATCAATGAACAAGATCACGAAGGAAACATACCGTTCCACCACCATCCTGCTTCTGCCGCCTTGGGCAACTCGGGCTCAGGCGAGGCGTGGCGGAGCCGCTCATCCTGGGCGTCGGCGCCGCAGAGGCCCGCGTTGCCACCGCCGCCGTCGTCCTGGTCGGCGGCAACGTGTTCGCGGAGATTGGCCATGCCGTTGAGGTCCTCGCAGGTGGTCTGGCCCGGTGCGAGGGCAGGCGGGCTCTGGTTGAAGGAGAGGTGCCGCAGGGCGTGCTCGTCAGCCTTGGAGAGGCAGATCATGTTGGGGGATTCTTTCGGGCGTTGGGCTGCTCGGGCTGCTTTGGTGGTTAATATTCGAGACGGGAATGGCAAGGGAGACCTGCAGACACGTCTGTCTTACTTGTGGTTGAGAAGAGAAGGAAGAAGAAAGGGAAAAGGAAGAGGTCTAGAAGACGGGATTTTCGAGTTGCGGCAACCTGTATGGATTGATGGATTGCCAAGGCTGCGCCACTGTGGAGAGATTGGTTCAGCGCCGTGACGTCCCGACACTAGTTGGAGGAACTGGACGAACGCGGGGGGGGGTTCTACAAGGACCTGTGCATTGAGCTGAACAAACTATTCGGGCGATTGCGTCGAGAGCTGAGATGAGATGTGCGGACTGGGCTTCTTGAATTGGACAATGTCCGAAGGTGCATGGCTGGGCGTAATTGGCATGTGTACCAGAAGTATGCACATATTGGCCCGGCTTCCGATGATGATGATGGGTGTTGGTGGCGTTTGCAAGCCACAGGCCCGCCTGGTTAAGCTTAATTAGTAGCAGGTATGTAGCTTTTTGGCCGGGTGCAGGCGGGTGGCATCTGCTGACCATCCGATGATCGTTCTGCAGGATGTTTTTTCTTTCTTTGCTTTTTGCCCTTACTTTCTCTCGTTCCTTTCCATTCAGCTGTTCAAACAAAGCCACTCCCGATATGTGCCAAGCAAAGTCCATGATGACTGCGTTGGCTATCATCCATCCATATGCGACGGCAGCATGTGGGAATAGAAGATGCCGTCGGAAACTGACCAAACTGGTAGTCCCGAGACAACAGCTTACGACAATCTCAACCAACAAACATGCCAAGATAGGGATTATTCTGGAACAAATGTTTAATGTTCTAATGATGTGCATCTCGAGCTAACACACGGATCCCCAGCCGGTACATCACTCTAACTAACTGTTATTATTAGTAGCTCTTCAACGGTTAACCATCCGAAAACCCCGCTGCACCGCGCCACTTGCCACTTCACCAGCCACTTCGAATCCCCAAGATACTTCCTTACCTGACTGAAGCTACGCATTTGCAGAGGTACCGTCCATACATAGCTTCCCAAGCTATCAACATGACGCCATCCCTCATCTACATCTCACACCTGCCATAACCCCCTCACCATCACCATCATCCGCATCCTCTCTTCTTCCTTCCATCTTCATCATCTCCCTCAGCACAAATACCACCCATCAAGCAAGCAAACACCATGGCCCTCCCTCCCAAGTTCGCCGCCCACAAGCTCCTCTTCGCCCCGCCTCCAGACACCTCCTCCTCCGTGGTGCCGCCCGCGACGCACACTCTCGAGCTCTACCTCGACTACTGCTGCCCATTCTCTGCCAAGCTCTTCCGCACTCTGCGCACCGTCGTAGATCCCCTCGTCCGTGCCGATCCGGCCTGGTCCCGCAGCTTCGCCGTCATCTTCCGCCAGCAGGTCCAGCCCTGGCACCCGTCTTCGACTCTGCTGCACGAGGCCGCCCTCGCCGTCCTGCGCCTCGCCCCCGAGCGCTTCTGGGAGTTCAGCGCCGCGCTCTTCGACGCCCAAAAGTCCTTCTTCGACATCAACGTCGTCAACGAGACGCGCAACAACACCTACCGCCGCCTGGCCAAGCTGGCCGGCGGCGTGGGCGTCGACGACGCCAAGGTGTACGAGCTGCTGGCCATCCCGGAAACGGCTGAGAGTGATGACAGGCTGAATGTCGGCAATGAGGTCACTAATGACCTTAAGGTGGTGACCAAGATGAACAGGCTGATTGGCGTCCACGTCACGCCCACCGGTGTCTTTGACGGTGTTCTGCAGGACATTAGCTCTGGCTGGGGCGAGAAGGAGTGGAAGGAGTGGCTGACCAAGAATGTGGTCTAAAATAGAATGAATGACTACGATTTTTATGAAGCTTGAATAGAAAAAAAAAATCGGATTTCATCAGCTGTACGATAGTACATGGAAAACTGCCAAACATGAGAACGAGGCCAATTTGGACAATCTAGACCCTAGCCGCGCTGGCCCAAATTTGCTCCACCAAAAGTCAACGACAACCTTAAACCCTCCATCAACAACTCCGTCACAGGCTCCGGCCAACAGCATCACCACGATGTGCCAACTCTCCCCAATTAGTCCAACGCTTCTCTCTCGGATCATAAGACAACACAGCGCCAGCGTCTGCCGCCCCGCCACGCAATGCGCCCAGCTCCTGCGGCCCAGGGGCCACACCCTGCTCTTCCGCCTCTACTCCGTCAAGACGCCGCCGCCGCCGCCGTCGTCGTCGCGGCTCTCCAAAGCCGCCGCCGAGGCCGTCTCCAAGCGACAAGCCGGCGCTGCGGTCGCAAAGGCCAAGGTGAACCTTGGTATGCCCATCCCACCCCGCCCAAACTCGCATCCTCATCACTTGCACACCCTCGCTGACATGGCGAACCACGCTCATCAGAGATCCCGGAGCGCCTGCTCATCTACCACGCCGGCACGGGCCGCACCACCTTCCTGGCCATGCTCAAGGTGACCACGCTCTTCGTCGGAGTCTTCTTCCTGTGCGTCGCCGTCCCCGGCTACGTCCAAGCCGACAAGCCCATCGAGGAGACTGTCAAAAGTAAGCCCCCCCCCCCTTCCAACCCTACTCTTCGCAAACCTCAAAACTCACCCGCACCTTCAGTCGCGCTCTGCGGCGTCGTCCCCCTCCTCTTCGTCACGTACACCACCGCGCCCTTCGTCACGCACGTGCACGTGCACCTGCCCTCCGCCGCGCGCTCCTCGCACGCCGCCCTCGAGCGCTTCGTCGCGAGCGGCCCGCCGCCCGGGACGCGCCTCACGGCCACCACCGTCAGCGTCATCGGCAAGCCGCGGTACAGCGCCCTGCGCGCCGGCGACCTGGTGTCCGCCGCGCGGCGCGACCGCCGCTTCGGCCTGGTCAACTACACGCGCGACGTCGCGGCGGAGAATGCCACCCGCAGGTGGTACGAGCTGCCCGCCGTCCGCCGGTTTCACATCCCGGAGAATGCTCAGCAGGCGTCGGGGAGGAGGGGGCGCGGCGTTGCGCAGACGCGGGCAGGCAGGAACCTCGTGGAGCCGTGGATATGGGACGCCATCAAGGAGGGCATCGCGAAGAGAGCTGGCGAGCAGCCGGTGGCGCCGTGAACGAGGGCTGTCTGGGTTGGAGAGAGTGGTTTGTGGGCAGATGTTGTAACACTACGTGTAAAAAATATGGCCTTGTTTCAAATCGGCGGAATGCCAGAGATGTGAAGAGCGTTTCTTCCCCGAATAACCCGTAAACGTCAACGTAGTTGCTATTCCGCCGCTGGGCTGCGTTCATACGCTGATCTTACAGAGTAGAGACGAGTTGACACCCATCACCTCTTCGGCCGGATCTGAGCGCCGTATTCGGCTCAACGTGCCTACGCCGATGGGCATCTCGCCCAGGAAAAGCCACACGATTCCCTACAAATAGTATCCCCCCCCTAGCCTCCCCGCAAAACGCCGAGGTAAACGAGAAGGACGCAAAGGGGGTGTGTATGTAAGTATGTTAGCCCAGATCAATCTTTTGATTTTCCCATCTGCCCTCATTCGCCCACTCGCCATCGTCCCTCTTCCCCCACGCCGAAACCCATGTCCGAGGAGGACGAGCGCAAGCCGCGCGGGATATGCCGCTCTGCGAAAGCCAGGCTGGAATGGAGTTTCCCTTCTTTTTTTTTTTTTTTTTCAACTTTGGCCGAATAGCGAAGGGTCCCCTCTCTCTATGGCCATAGTGGGGGACAAAAGTAATATAAATTATATTGCCAGTCGAAGGCTCCACATTCTTGAAGAAGGGGGCGGCCTCCTCCTCTCCCTCCCAGCGAAACAAATCACCCCAATATCGCACAGACAGAATTCTTGGCAGAATGCTGGGGGTAAACGCAACTTGACAAAGGCCTGTAACCGAGAAAGGCCGTTGACGAAACCTTGTTTTTTTTTCTACTGCACCCGCCCTTTGAGGGGGCGCGGAGTCAACGCCGTCGCATCACCGAACTCACTACCGAAGCAGACAAGGATAGTAAGGACGAACGCGCATGAACGTCCAGCACCACATGCCGCATCTCGCCTTGGAGATGAGAAAATAATGCCCACCTGCAAGGGATCAAGGTGGAATTTCCTACGGTGATTCGTAATTATGACCCTTCCTTGCACGATGCCAAATATGCGACGCCCTGTATAGGCCGGCCCATCTTGCTTGGCCAGTCACTCTATCGTACTTGGGCAAATCATGTGTAGATGTCTCCAAGAAACCACTTTCTTATATAACGCAAATCCCATGCAATGCTCCGCAACGCCTGGGATATTCCCCATCATTAAATAAATCATCGTGATCCATCACATTTTTCGTAATCCAGCCCCTGCGACGGCATTCTGCATGCGTTTTCGTGCTCCACCGGCCAGCCACACATTTTAAGCTATATCTACCGATCCTGGTACATAAAAAGGGAAATAGATGATGGGAATACGACGCTGGTCGAGAAAGCTTTGCACTTCGCTCGTATTTGACCAAATCGCCAAACAAGACAACGGTTGGCAGCAAATGTGGCCAACGCAACAAAAAAGACCTCATAGATAATTATACAGCGAGCATCCTGAAATGTCAGAACGCTCTAGGTAGCTGAGAAGAGGAAATCGTCAAGGTCATTAATTCGACTCGAAAGCACCGCTGAGACCGCAAGACTCTTCAGCCGAACTCTGCGGTTTTATTGGTGGTCCCAGGCACGTTTGAGACCACCCTCGTACACGCTAGCAACAGACTCCTGCCACATGGCCGGAGTGATGAAGTTGGCCATGTTTGGCACAAAAGGTGGAGGTGAGGTATTTTGGGCGCTTGCAACCATGCCCGAGGTCGCCGTGTGCGTATCAGACATGCGAGTGACGTCTGAGCCGCCAGGTGACAGACCAAGCGTCGAATTGTTGTTGGTCTGGGGCGGCTCGACAGCGAATGTATTATTCCATTGCCTGAATACTGTTAGCTTGTCATCGTTTTGATTCATATTTAGGTAACTTACTCAAAGATGCGCGACGGGTTCCATGTAACGTGATCCGCAAGTCCCATATTCGGCGGCATGGTAGCCGCCGAAGTTGCAGCGTGCGGCATAAGCTCAAGATGGCCAGCGGGCGATTCGTTCTTGACGCTCATAGGATCACTTGAAATCGGCGGTGTGATAGGGTTGCTCACATAGCGAAGGCTGCTGTGTGCATCGAGGTGTTGATCCAGAGAGCCACTTCTACCAAGGTTGCCGTGGTAAGCACCGCTGGGCATGTGTGGGGGACTCGATTTGTTCGATGGATGTGGGCTCCCATAAGGGAAAGATGGCTTTAAGACGAACGCCCTGCGGGTATCTGCAGAAAAGGCCTCACGGACCGTGTCGATCTGAGTCTGAAGCTCAGGCATGGGCCATACTTCCATCACTTGTTCCATGATGCGCATATGCCTGGTGAAGAACTCCCGAGCATCCGAATTCAAGTCGGGATCAGGGGAAACGATGGCAACCTAAAAGAGTCAGTAGAATATTCTGGAGATCTTGCCGGAATTACCTACTAGGTGAATGACGATGCATGATAAGCCGGCATAGACTGTAAATGAGAATCCACGCTGCATACACTGTAGGCCAGACAGGCCAAAGTTGCTGATTATGGCTTCTTGCAGTCTGCAAATAGCCTTAGCAGCGTTGTAGCTCTGCAACATATGTTGCTTCCATGCAACACGGTTGGCATTGGGGTCAAGGAACGAAAGCTGGGGTCGGTTATAAAGGATGATGGTGAGGTAATGATAGCTATGCAGGTTGCCGATGAAGCTATTAGGCAACCAGGGAGGCGAGTTGTCGGCTGGGAAAGAAATGGCGAGGTCGGCTGGAAGATCGCTAACATATGACGTGATGGTCTTGTCGAGCTCTTGGAATTCGGGGTCGATTCCCCAGTCTTTGCGCTTCCGCAGCCTTGCATATGTGGTGCTCATCGTCCGGATATTACGAACGATACGGACAAAGTAAACAAAATTCCTCGAGACTTGGTACTCTGATTCGTCAGCACCAGGCATGCGCTTTGGAATGGTGAAATCAACGGTATCCATGCTGACGGAAAGATCGTGACGGCCTTGAGGCGTGCCAACCATGACTTCGCAAGCAAAGACTGTCAACCAAATACGGGTGCGCAAATGGCAATCGGTAGGGTTATGCTCGCAGTCAATACCGTCCTCATGGTCCTCGTAGTGCTCATCAAGCCCAAGATCTTTAGCCATCTGAACGCACTGCACCACCGTCATCCAGGACCGAAAGAAGTAGCCACGTTTGGGGGCAGCTTCGCGGGCTTTGAGTATCATAAGAAGAGCCTGGAGCGTGCTAAGACGGGGCGTATCCATGAATGCGTCAGCATGTCTTGAGGCGAGACCAAGCCACTGCTGGCCCATGGCAGGCTCCTCGGCGAGCCGGCCGCCAATGGCAAATATGGCCTCGAGAATGAGGGGCGAAATGGATTCACGCGCATGACGCCATTGATGATAGATGTGTGGCTTGTATAGTACAGGGACGTAAGGGTGCACGTGCGTAAAGTAGAGTTCGAAATATTGTAGCGCAGTCTCTTCGTCGGGCATAAGCTCTGGCGGTATGCGGATTTTGGAGCCTGAACCTGACAGGATGGGTGGGAGACCGCCGTAATCTTCGTCATCCTCGACAACGGGTTCCTCGCCACGTCGAAAGGAGGCCTTGTTTCGTAGATAAGGTGCTATAAGTTCCGTTAGCATACATGGTGTGGGTAGAACAAGATAGCAGCTGTGCCATACCAGTGCCGACCTCGTTGAGCTTGAGCGTTCCAAGAAGATCAGCTAGATCTTGCTGCTGATAAGAATCGGTGGTGTAGGACTCGGGGGACGCGCCGGGATGACCAGGCTGACCAGGCTGGTTGAAAGAAGGCTGCGGAAAGTTGCGTTGCTGCACGTATGAACCCGGGTCGAGCATGTTTGGAGGGACGGTGGTGTAGTTGATATCATGTTGTGCTTGAGAGGGGTCGTAGGGAATGGTATAGAAGCCCGCAGGATTTTCCGTATAGTTGGGCATTTGAGGGTACATTTCCTGTTTCTGGTGCGATTGCGGAGGCATCTGCATGGTCATTTGGTGAAATTGATCCGGGGTGACGAAGGCCTCATAAGTAGTTGGATCGCCGGCGCTGTCGAAGCCGTTTGGTCGCACACAGTGGAGTTTCAAACGGACGCATGCGGAGCAGGGCCACGAGTTCGTAGTGGCGGCATCGCATTTGATTTTTCGTCGACGGCATCCTTCGCAGGCTCGCATCACTAAAAAAAAAAAGCCAGCAAGTCAGCAGTAGAACTTGAGTGCGAAGCATCAGCGGGCGCGCGCGGCTTTGGCCGCGGCCTAGCGTGTGCGTGTGGTTTGGGGGACATGCCTTTGAGGCGCTTGTGGCGGTTGTGTTCGTCCACGAAGACATAGTCTGACAGAGTCCTGATTAGCCAGATGCAATGAAAGTGGCGCATGTTGGCACAAGATATGGACATACTTTTTTGCATCTCGCGCTGCTGCTGCTGTTGCTGCTGGGGGTATTGGTTCGGGGCGAATGTGAAGGACGACATTTTGGCGAGTGAGAGACAGCGTTTATAGATGCTAGAGGGGATTCGAGCGAAGGTACGAGCCGAATGGCCGGCTCAATCGACAGGGGAAGGAAATCGGCATTCGACGAGGGAGGGATGAGAGGTGTAAGGAAATAGAAATGGAAATGGCGACGGCCATGTATCGAGCCGGTGGGGGTGGCAGCGTAGCAGATGAGGGCGGCGGTCGATGTGGCGCAGGTACGTCAATGGAGGGAGCAGGAGACAAACCAGGAGGCACCGGGAACGGCCAAGGCGCTCGAGGAGCGGTGACGGGGACGGAGGGGGATGCAGGGAGGTGCAACAAGTTGAAAACCACCAAGAAATGTGACGAGAGATGAGAAAAGGCAGCCGTTTGTTTTGTTGCAGGAGGGAGTTGTAGCTGAGTCGCGCGAGTCGGCGGAAAGCAAAAGTACCAGACAGCGAGTGGGTAAGAGTGTGTGTACAAGCGGCCGTCTTGGGGTACCTGACGTTATAGGTACCGGTTCATGTGGCTCGTGTGGCGGGTAGGAAAATAGAATGAAAAAGGGAAATTGGAAAAAAAGAAAAAGGAAAAAAATCTAAAATGAAAAAAAGGTGCGACAGGCGCCAGCCGATCAGTCTCGGGGTGGTGGGAGGAGGGACAACGGAGAGGGTGAGAGGAAGCGGAAGCATCAGCCAACCAGTTGGTAAGTAGGTAGCCAAGTACAGAAAGAGGTGTACTGTAGAATATTGTGTGTACCCGGTTGTAGGTACCGCACAGGAGGCAGGCGGGGGGGGCCAAGACACTGGACAAAACGGGCGGAATGTCAGCGGCGTGGAGTTGGGTGGCGTGGAAGGCGTGAGAGGGAAGGCGTGTATGGATGAATGGATGGATGGATGGATGGATGGATGGATGGATGGAGGGATGCCCAGTGGAGGGATGAAGGATCAGGGATACCCTTACCTACCAACATACCTACCCTAGTTAATAATAAGGTAGAAAAGATACGGAGGATGGGGATGGGATGATGGATGCTGGCGGCGTGCGGGAGGTGGCCTTGGTGGAACAAGAGTCAGTGGACTGCCTGTGGTTATGGTTACCTCCAGAACAGATTAGTACTATTACTTGCCAGAGCTGCCACTGAACAAGTTATTATCTGCCAAGTACCTAGGGAAATAGCTTTAATACACCACAGCTATCGCTCTCTATAATTTCTCAAAATTTCACAACCTTTTCCCAGCGTTGGCTGCACACTCCCGAGGCAGCACCAAAGGCACACCAGGTAATGCGGAGATGAAGAATACCCATCCTGAAAGTCGACACAAGGAGGATGGGTCGCTGGAACGGGGCATGTACAGCCAGCAAACGTATGCCCAATAAATACAAGTACGGATCATTAGACTCAAGTCAATTATTGATCTATGAGTGGAAGCTCGCAACGTACTGTACGAGATGACTGACCGGACAGGGCTTGGTCCTGCGGCGGCGCTCGCTGCTAGACAGCTGGCAGCGGAAGGCTAGCAAAATATCTACGACAACTGAGAGACAAAGCTGTGAGGGTTTGAGGGGAATGACAGGGGCCTTAGGCCTGCCAACCTGCTCCCTTACTTACTATACCTTGTTCATGCGAGCCGCGGAACGGATTAGCCTGGAGATTATTCACAGCATCCCGTAGGTATTGCATAAGTTTTATAAGGCCTGCTTAAACGAGCGTTGCAACTTGATGGTCAGGGCGTTCCAATCGGTTAATAGCCATGGTACGAAATTATAACAATAATCATTATAATGGTCATAAGAATCGCCAGGCGGGATACGTATTTGTGAGCAGGTAGTAAGTTACCACTGCATCAGTTCCCACGCTGTTGGTAGCTGGCTACAGGTAGTCGTTGTCTTTGTATTTTCACGTCCGGATCTCTCCGTCTTGTGGTGCTTACCTATTTTATTGACTACCATCACTGCACCAGTAAGCGATTCGATTCAATCTCCCTCCACATGGGTTACCGCCCGTGCCCACTCGCCAAGAGGTATCCGTAAAAATCGTAAATTTATCATCGCAAGAACGCCGAGTTATTTGGGCAGACAACTCCGCGGCTTGTGTTCCATCCCATGGCGGCAACCTGGGGCGCCAAGCGGTCCTTACAAGGCAAACTAACATTCAAAGAAAATCACTATAACCAACTAACCAACTGCCCAATTGGCTAGCTACTTACTTTATTGGATGTAGGTAACTAACTGACTTGACTCTTCACCAGTTTGACGGGCCCGGTAACTTGCTTTTCTGCATTGCTTCAAGCAAAATAGGCGCTGGCGATTCGCTAAGAAATCCACCAGTCCTGTCATGGTGGTCGGCGTTCGGTGGCTTGACGACTCGTCAATCCCTTACGCAGATGCAGATGAGCCAGGAACACAATAATAACCTCGAGATGCTTGTTTCGCTCACACTCGTTCGGCTGCGGCCGTGCTTCGCTCGAGCACAGGCACAGATTACCAGGGTGCTTCCCATCTACCAGTACAGCGAGAACTCTTGTTCAATCCCGTCGACAAACCCACCGTAAACAAGCAGCATTGACATAATTCCCCCAGTAACATAGTAGGCATTGCTGGTAGGTGCCTAGGGCTGGAGTTGCAGCAGGTGGATTTTGTCGCCACCCCGGTTAGCGATGGAGTCCGTCCCTTCCAGTACCAGACCATTCAGAAAGACAGACCCCGTCCCCCAGGCAGGTGAGATGAATGGATCAAGGAGTCGAGGACCTGTCAGGCTGGTGGAGCAGAGCAGCCACAGCCACCGGCTTAAGGGTTCGGTACGTGCTGTAATAGGTGGTCTCTGGTGCTCGTATGGATGACAGAGGGCTAGTGATTTATCGACAGAGATTGAGAGCGGACAGAATGCCCTTCTTGCTGTACTTTCCCCTTTTTTTTTTCTTTTTTCGAAGCTTCCTTTTCACTTGTCCCGTTATTTTGCTTTTTCTCCCTTGGATACCGCTTACTACTTACTATCCTGCCCCGATGGCCCGCATTACCCTATCGCGTCACTCACCGAGTTTAATTAATCCAGCCAATTAACTAGTCCTACATGGTCATCCATATTTGCATATTTCGATCAACTATCTGCACTTGCTGCATACCACGTAGTTGGTAACTGTGGCCATGATCTTTACTAGTTTGGCCTCAATGGCCTCTGCTCTGCTATGTTGTGCTAACTACTAGCAGAGACTCAAAGGTGTGCTTTGTGTCCCCCGGTTTGAGAGCAATGCCATCATCTTCCCTCTTCTCTAACCTGGCATCCCAGTCGCACATGCCAGAACCAATGTACCTACATACATACATACACCCACATGCAACATCGACGACTCGCTGCAAGCCGCAGGTGGCGCCGTAGTTGTGGCGTCTGTTCACGCCCACGCTGCGGGGCGTCCACGACCTGGATATGCGGGGAATGCATGTCGCCAGCGTTCTACTATCCCGGGACTCGGTAGTCGTCTCATTACCACCATTTAGTTTTGCATGCATTATGCCATGTGTCAGGGATAAAATGAGACGGTGGGAGAAGGCAGCTAAAAAAAGATGACGTGGCGTCAACTAAGTCATCTGTTGACTGCCCAAGTCAATTCGCCCAGTTATAGGCGCAGTGATCTGTCCCCCCTCAGATCCTCAAGGCAAACGCGCACCACGCTCTTCACAGCAAACAAAGGGTCCTTACAGCTGCCAGCTGGCGGCCAGCTGCCAAGCCACTTCCTACAAACCACACCAACAGGTACGGTACCATTTTATACTCTGTACCACACAAGCAACACCACACGCCATCTCATCTCCACCCAAATAGCAAACAAATTCTTTTCTGCTCTATCCTGGTTTCGCCGTAATACTACGGCTTCTTCCTCTTTGCCTCGTTCCTTTTCATAAACCTATATGACAGTCAGGTCCATACACTGTCTACGTATCGTACCGCCTGGCCCGAAACTGTACCTCTCCAACCTTTGCAAAAACAATTGTCTAGTCGAGTCGGCGGCCTCTTGCCTCATTTACCCCTTAACCAGCCGACCTGTGCCTACCTATGTACGCTGCTCGCTGGCTGTTAAGCACCGTGAGATAGTCCCATATCCATCGGGTTGCTCACGATTCAGACCCAACCCAAATTCCGAGCTCCAAACTAGGCCACCCACCTCCAGAGCTGTCTCATCACAGGCTACCGAATATGTTCCTCACAGCTCAGCCGACCACGGCTTACCTGGCTTCTTCACCTTCCATTCGCTAGCTTGACACCTGACGAACGAACGGCCTTCAGGCTGTGCAGACGTCTGTTCTGGGACAAAGACAGGGCGCCGCCTCATGACGCACCTCTAACACAAAGGGGAGAATGCGCGCCACGATGTTGATGCATCCGCGTCGCCTATCGGGAACTCTGCCTCGCCTTGCCCAATGGTGCATACGGTATTTCGATAAGGTGTGACCCAGTTCCGCATCCACAAGTTCATCCATCCACAAGCATCTCCATTTGTCACAGCAATTTGCGCGTAAGAGTACACACCTCTTCCTCTGCGTATCGCCCATCCTGTTGGTTAGATCCCAGACACGCCTAGAAACATGGCCGAAACCCACCATCCGGCCTGCCCGTGGTGCGGACCTGCGCTTCACAGTCTCGCTGAACGAAGGCGGCGCATGTGCCAATGTTCGCCACACGCCCCATACCTACAGACTGCAATTCTCAATCTTGACAAAATGTTCTCAATGCGAGATGCTCCTAGGCAAGCCCTACGTCGATCCATCTTCATGCGGTCGGCATAATAATGCGCACCCTATGGTAATTCCTCTTTTTAGCCTCATGGTGGGAGTCAGACCCGTTTCAGCCTCGAACCTCTTCCCTTCCAATATGGATCTCGGCAGCCTCGAGGCAACTCCTGCGCTATCAATCTACAGTTACCTCAACACGGTTCTCGCTAGGCCAACCTGTCCTTGCCCGTGACCACCTTGCAGCAATTCTTCTTGCGAGTAATGAATTTTATTCGAGACCATTCTGTCACGGCAAACCTTGACGCTCAAAGCGAAGGGGTATTGCAAAATTGCGATTTGTGCCGACTGCGTGGGCAGCAACCGTGGCTGCGCATTCCGCGGACAATATCCTTGCCACGGAGTTCAACGTCACCGATTACCCAAAATAGGTGAGACCTACGGGGTACACACTGCTCTGTAGGTGTCTTGGAAGTTCGGCGTCTTGGTGCACAAGGGGACCGCCCGCTTTCAAGAAGCGTAAGAGTGCAAGATCCATCAGCAAAACGCCGGCGCGAATCGAATTCGACAACCAAGGCATAATATAATATTCGCGCTTGTGCGCCGCGTATGGCAAATTATATTGGGGCCTTTAACGAGCGACGAGGCTGACAGGTAGGTAATATGACGAAATTTGATGGCAACTGCAATTGATACACCAGGCTTGGCACCAGAGACATTCACCGAAGGGCCGTGGTCCTGCAATCTGAATGCAACAACCCCTCTTCGCAGTAACACAGCGAATAAAAGGCTTGGACAACGAATAGGAAACCCTGGAAAAGTATGACAGGCGCCGGGCCGGATCGATACTGGCCCATCTCGAGAAAATTGTGGTGCTGGTTGCATCGCTATGCAGCCTTCCCGCTAACTTGCTGTCAAGTGGGCGAGTCGAAGACAGATCCCACCAGCAATGTGGAGCTTGCAAGGCTCGACTTCGGCCTTTTTATTTTTGCATTTGGATCATTTTTTTGGCTGGGGATGGCGAACAGTCCAACTTGCGATCCACCAGAGAACCAAGTCCGGCGCCTGGCGCCTGAATTGTCCAGGCGAGCCGAGGCAGATGTTGATGATGTGTTGCTTGGCTCCGATGCCCAAGAGCCTGTGCGTTAACGCGGGCATAGAAAGATTCCCTGACCTCCACAGCGCTTTGTCCAATTACAGGAACGACAGGCCCAAGTTCTGGCCCAGACTTGAGCATGAAATGGGGCTGGTCGCTTTCGTCCTGAGCGGCGGCGTTGAACATTCACCGAAAAGTCATCCCAAGTCGAACGAATCACCTTGTCAGCTTCTAGGTTTTGCTAGGGGAAATACCCCATCGAGTTGAACGCCCGCAACACAGCCAGACATATTCAAGGATAGCAAGCCACACACGCCCCTGCTACTTTCTAAATTGGGAGAGGAAGCAAAGGGCTGGTGGCGCACGAGACAGTACAAAGACCTCCATCACATGTCATACAACCTGCAAGTTCAATAGGAGTTACGTCCACTGGACCTGCATTCACATTCAGGCTGCCGAGGCTTCCGCTGCGCCTGGTGGCGCACATCGCATTCTGCGCAGCGGCGTGGCTGATCCCCAGGGTGCCAAGGCAAAGCCGCACGGCAGGCGAGCTACCATGGTTGGCGATCAGGTGAAACGCGGGCTTCACAGCCCGCCCTACCGAAACGGGAAGCTGCTGAGGAAGCTGTGTCACTCTTGATGTACTACGACGATCACGTTGCAGCCCGCAGATTTCCACATGATGCAATATTGCTTGCAGGGGATGGCTAGTCGGCTCCGAATTTCCGCAGGGCGAGCTTGTGCATCTAGCTTCCAGAAAGTTAAAAAGTCGAAAGGACATGGCCCGTACACAGCAGTGCGTCTTTGCGTGTACACATCTAGGGGGGCGCGAAGTTGTTTTTAAACGGAAACAAAGGGAAGTTGAACGCAAATGTGGCATCTCAGCCAACCAACATCCGTACAGGACAGCAGTTTGCGCCGAGGGCGGCATTCCAGGCCGGAGCTTTGGCCGGGCGGAATGGACGTCTCTCTCGCCGCCATGCAGAAGCCCGCGAAGCAACGCCTTGCTGTCTCGGAGGCCTGGCTTTTTTGTTTACTACGGATACTCCAGGGCCAATGTCTTGTATTTTACCCACCAGTCGTAGCGGGAAGGGTAGCCAAAATGGGCGCCGCAACGAGAGTGCGTTACCGCGCGGGACAGACAGAGTCTCGCCCCGGCCGGTATCCGATCTGACCTTTGAAATATGCACTTCGTCTGCTTCTTATTTGCTTATGCTGTTTTACAGACTGACATTAGCTTTGCATCACCACAACACACCTTATCGGCCATGCCGTGTCGGTAATCTTGCTGCCTTCGGGGGCCACGGATCTTCGTGCTTACAGGTGGGCGGGCACGCTTCCTCCAGAAGCCACCACCCACTTGTTAATACAAATTAGTTGGTACTTGGCAGACGAAGCCGCAGAAAGCCGAATCGATTATTTTACACGCCCGTCGCCAGGGGGGCACTGTGCATGCCACCTTGCCAAACCGTATGGGGTAGCAAGTGAACTGGGGGAGACTGGGGACTTTTTGACGAGCGAAATGTCGGCGACCTTTTGGAAAAGAACGGATCTTTGTTTGCGTCTGCTGTACTGGGATGTGCAAGACGCCAAGTTTTGAATCTAGCTTGGCTGGTATGATGCTGGGCCACAGATGAAGCCACGATGACTCGGTGATATGTCGCCTAGACGAGTAGGTTTGATTATTTGTCGGCGCGCAGCATTCTTGTCACAATGCAGCTGCTGTACTTGTTAATCTAGTATCGAAGGCATTACTTATTATGGCCATGTGACTGGCTATGGCAGGTGTAAAATAGCGGGGCAAGTGTAGTCTACTCAGCACACGACAATTGCATCACCAGATTGTGCGGGACACCAAAAAGACAATCTCAACAACCACGTCTATGCGAGGTAAAGACGCAAACCACAGCCTGATTCTATCTATATGAGGGCGAATATCCACTCACCCAATTCCGCGAAACCCTATCCCGAAGCCTATAGTCCTCAGAGAGACTCGTCAAAGCTCCGAATCGCTGCTTTGAACCCCTCCATCAGCCATGTCACCCGCCGCGCTCGATAACGCCAACCCGACGGTCCTCAGCGCCTCGGAGCTGCCCACGCGCAAGCATAAGATCGTCCCCCGCCGGGGCCCCGACTCCAAGTACGCCGACATCATCTTTGCGCGGCCGCCGTACCTGTCGAGCCCGTTTTGCGGCGACGACTACGGCGCGGCCGTGGCCTGGCCCCGCGCCGGCGGCGGCGGCGCCGATGCCGGCCTCCTCGACTATGACGACGATGCCGCTCCGGAACCGATTGACGAGCAAGAAATCTATGGTATGCGTGCCTGACCGTACCATCTGCATATTGGCATTGGCGGTGGCTAACTCCGTCATCTTGACAACGAAACAGACCTCATCTCTACCATCACCGACCCCGAACATCCCGTCTCGCTCGGCCAGCTGTCCGTCATCAACCTCGCCGACATTCATCTGACGCCACCGCCGCCGTCGTTTTCCTCCGCTGCGTCGGCGGCGGCACCGCCGCTGGTCGACGTCTTCGTCGAGATCACCCCGACCATCACGCACTGCTCGCTGGCGACGATCCTCGGTCTCGCCGTGCGGGTGCGCCTCGAGCGCGCGCTGCCGCCCAACTACCGCGTCGACGTGCGCTGCAAGGAGAGCACGCACGTGCAGGACGACCAGGTCAACAAGCAGCTCGCGGACAAGGAGCGCGTGGCCGCGGCGCTCGAGAACGACTCCCTCCGGGGCGTGCTGGACAAGATGCTGGAGACGTGCTACTGAACAGCGGTGTGGGTGTTGAGCCAGGGGAGAGAGGGAGAGAGAGAGAAAGTCAGAGCGATCTCTCGTGGATGGAGACACAACCTGTTGTAAAACAGATGCGGCTGCGCGTCCACTGCCGGGGCAAAGAGCGCTCCAAGGTGGGTTGGGCTGCCCGCTTCGAGTGCCCGCGTCAAAAAGCAAAGGCGGCCGCGCCCGAGAGGGCCTTTCTATGTATGCTCTGGGTACTGAAACTGCTACCTCGGAGATGCCAGGCAGCTGGCGGGCTGTCCTGCAGCACACTTGTGCCTTGATGTTGTTGATTGCGGCCGCACACTCATCGCGGAAGCGCCGCGAACATCGTACACAGACGCGCACACGGACGCATACTTGCACATACCCAATATGCTCAACAGAGCCAGAATGTACGAACGATAGCAAGTCTCAGAGTGTAATGCACGTGGTTTCTGTATTGCCCCTATATAGCAGCTATCAAAAAATACAACTCCCAAGACCGTACGCCGAGGCCTAAACTAGATTGTCTCGCAACCAAATCGCAGATTTTTTTTCCCTGGTCCTTGTAGCAAAAACAAAAATCATACAGCTCCCCCCTTCCTCTGTCAAAGATTCCCCTCCCCAGTTCACAGCTCGCCGAGCATGCCACTCTCCATCAGGCTCTGGTAGAACTCGGGCTCGAGGAACGTCTTGACGCTCACGTCCTCGCTAAGGCCCTTGCGGCGGCGCGTCTTGAGGACGAAGTCGCGGGCGGTGGCCTGGGCGGTGGCCGGCTGCAGGGGGCGGATGACCTGCTCGCGGTCGAGGGGATCGCCGGGGACTACGCTCCACGAGTCGAACACGAGGGCGACCATGGCGCTGCCCTGCGTGCGGATGCGCAGGTCCGTCTCGAAGCCGAACGAGTCGACGACGGGCAGCAGGCCGTTGACGCGATACAGCGGCGTGCCCGCGACGGGGCCGTCCGAGAGCACGTGGCCCCGGCGGCGCGCCAGCACGTTGTACACCTCCATGTACGAGTCCTCGGGGCCGGTGACGGACACGGCGTACACGGGCTCCATGAGCCGTGGCGACGCCATGAGGAACGACGAGTAGCATGCGCGGCGGGCCGTCGGGATTACCTGGCCGCCGCCGCGGAAGATGGCCTCGCTCGCGAGCACAATGTCCGTCAGCTTGAACTTGGTGTTGCGGATCGGCTCCTCGCACAGCGGGCCCTCGCGTGTCGCCCAGCTAAAGCCCTGCCGGATCGACTCGCGCACCGTGTTGAGCAGCTTCTTGTCCACTTCCGTGGGCAGCGTGTCGTCTTGGAGGATGTTGGGGCCGGCCTCATCTGGACCAAACGCCCAGATGCTGCGCGCCGCCAGCTTATCCCACCCATGCCGCTCCTCGAAGAACTTGGCCGTCTTCTTGATGGGGTCGCGGATCTTGACGGCCCCCGTCTCAATGTCGGTCGAGATGCCCTTATCGAGTTGCTCGGCTACCATAGTAATCTTGTTCTTCTTGTTCGGCGTATTGGCGTAGCACTTGGTGGCTGAAGTCTCCACAACAGTCTCGCAGAACCTCGTTACAGGATCAGACACCTTGATATCCATGTCCGCGTAGAGACGGCGCAAGTCGTGCAGGACACAGTCCATGTAGAGCTCGCCAGTGCCGATGATAATGTGCTCGCCGGACTCCTCAACTTTGGTGTCGAGGAGGGGATAGGACTTTTGAACCTTTCGTAACCCATCAAGCATCTTGGGCAGTTCTGAAGGGTTGATGGGTTCAACAGCAACCTTGAGAACTGACTCTGTAAAGTGGCTGACGGGTTTAAAGATGTACGCGTCCTCATCGTCTTCCAGCGTGGGCGGCACAATCGTGGCTGTCTTGACTATGGAGTTGTCAACTCCGTCCAGTAGCACGAGGTTACCAGCAGGCACGCCGTCAGTGGGTATGTTATATCTCGTTTGACCAATAAATACTTGGTTGATCGCTGTCGTCGTCATATCTTCCTCGTCATCAAGAGAGTATCCTTCTCCTAATACTCGAACCCGCACACCAGGGCGCGCGGTTCCGCTCAAGACTCGGCCAAAAGAATAGAAACTCTTGGCGTCGGGTTTGTTGAAGAGCTTAGCAACGTGTATGACAAGGGGCCCATCCTGGTCGCACTCCAGCATAGAGCGGGCCACCTTGCTATCCAGCGGGCCAGTGTAATGACGCTCCAGTAACCGTTGTGCCGACTCAACTGGCGAAGGTACATGCTGCACAAGCATGTCGACGAAGCCGGTAGAAGGCCCAAAGAACTGCTCGCACACAAGTTTCAGAATGACCTTAGCATCTGCCTTGTATTGCGCGGGTTTCAGCTGGATTCCTAGAGACTCTAGGACAGGCCGCAGGTCCTCTGGGCTGTCGCTGATGGAATGTGTAAAGATTTTGTAAATAGGCTCCAAGACAAAGTGGACGAATGATCTCGCGGCTCTATCCTCGAGTGGTTTCCGTGAAAATGTTCGCTTTTTGGGGTTGAAGTAGACGTCTCCCCACAGACGCTTCGCCAAGTCTTGGGCGTTGATGTCGCCATAGCTATCCGCATACATTTTGGCGAATGACTGTAGTGTAAAGCACCAGCCCAGATCGGTGCAAGCAAAGAGCACATTGCCCTTTTCGGGGCTGACACGCTTTGCCGCGGATGTGGCGGGTGCGGTGTTTGCGATTATCGTATTGACTTCCTCAATAACGTGCTTCAGCTTAAAATACGCGTCCTTGGGCGGCAACCTCAGCTCGACAATGAGGCGGTCCATTTTGTTGACGATCAGCGTAAGTGGCAGGTCTTGCAGCACGGCATGCTTAATGATTTGTTCCGCATTCACCTGCACGCCCTCCACCACATCGACCACCAAGCAGACACCGTCGACAAGTCGGAAAGCCGCAGCGACCTCGTCAACAAAGTTGACGTGGCCAGGCGTGTCAATGACATTGACCAAGTGCGACTTTCCCTTGGAGTTGGGCAGCACAAAGCTCATCGGTGAAGATTTGAGAGAGACGCCGCGCTCGCGCTCGAGGATGTGAATATCTGTGTATCGGAGCGCCTCATCACGCTTTCGGCCGACTCTCTTGTCAAGCTTTTCAAGAATGTCGTGTGTTTCCAGAACAAGCATGTCGGTAAAGGCCGTCTTTCCGTGATGCAGGTGACCAGCGAGCGCGACGTTTCGTATTTGCTCAGGAAAATTCATCAAGTCCGACATGAACTCGCGGCTGTAGTACACGGGTGGGAGGTCGTCCTCTTCGATGGTAAACTTTTTCGTCTCGATCGGTGCAATGATGGGCTGCGTGAGAGGCTGCGCATCCTCCTCCTCGACACGCGTTTCGACATCCTGGCCATATACCTGCTCGGCAGTCGGGTAGTATTGTTTGTCCTCATGGAGAATGACTGCATTTGAAGGACCATCTGCACGCGTTGACGTTACTGTTAGCTTGATGCCCGTCGAGTCAGTGGCGCATCGCAAGGCGCAACTCACCGTCCACCTCCATAAGCTCATCCTCATCTTGGATATCACCAGCAGCGTCATCAAAGACATAATCAGCGGCGTCCACGCCCGCGTCGGAGCCGGCGTCCGACTCGACTTCCTCGCCTATGAAGTTACCGAACCTAGTCGCGACGGGGTCAGCGCAGAGACTTTATGGCGGGGTCCAAGGACAATACTCACTCATCGTAGAGATCATCCATCTTGCCTCGAGATATGTACAACAGCAGGGGTCAATGGCTGCTGGAAAACGGACAGGCGCTGTTGCTCTAATCGGCGCGGCGCGCATGGGTAACTTTTTCGAGCTCTGCTAGACCTCTGCTAGCAGTCGCGATGCGTCACGTGGAGATTAGGGGGCCTTATCGTAGCCGCCAAGTCCGCTAACAACTTCCCTGTTAAAGAGGGAAAATTAGCAGGGGCTCAGCGCTCTTCAGGGCTGCAATTACCTTACTAAGACTGGCGCCAGCAGCGACGGGGCAGATCGGTTGGGTCGTACTACTATAGTATACGAGTCAAGGGACGAACTCAACTTACAACAACAACAGCCGATGCATGCATGAGGCGGAGGCACGGTGCCCGTGAAAAATCCACTGCGGCAATATGATCTTATCAATCTTTGATATATAAAGCTGCAGAATTTCCCCTAGATTTTTTTAGGAGAAAAATAGCTCAATCCCGGCCCGCCATCGTGCGTACCAAGCCTTCAGCAGCCGGCAAGTGGTCCGAATACGGCCAGAGCTGCCCCTCACCTCCCACCAACTAACTAACTGCCCACCAAAACTTGGAGAAACCCGAGTGACAAGGCGGTCGGTACATGGGCTGCTCGGTTTTACTACAATAATTAGACAAACTCGCTCCTCGCTTCCAGTGGCTTCCCCTTTTTTTCTATTTTAACCATCCCCTCGCACTTCTCCTTGCTAATCTTTCTTCTTCATATCTCTCCTCTATCATCCTTACACACACCCTATTCATAGCCCGTCAAAATGTCAAACCTTCCTCCCGTCTACATCGTGTCCGCCGCGCGAACCCCCATCGGCTCGTTTCTTGGGTTCGTACCCTTTCTTCTCCCAACTGCTCGACACTTCTCAACTACTCGATAATCTCTTCACAAGTCTACAGACGGCCCGCTGACAACAATAATAGCTCCCTCTCTAGCTTGAGCGCAACTCAGCTCGGCTCCGTCGCCATCAAGGGTATAGCAAACTGCCCCTCATTCTCCCAATCAACGCCCCTCCCAGCAGCTAATCAACCCTAGGCGCCGTCGAGCGTGCCGGCATCAAGCCCGAGGAAGTCGATGAGGTCTACTTTGGCAATGTGCTCTCCGCCGGGTACGCCATCTCCCTATCTTCTACTTGTCCTCTACTGACCGTCACCCACCAAACAGTCTCGGCCAAGGCCCTGCCCGCCAGTGCGCGATCGGCGCTGGTCTCCCACAGTCGACCATCTGCACCACCGTCAACAAGGTCTGCGCCTCGTCCCTCAAGGCTGTCGTCCTCGGCGCCCAGAACATCATGCTCGGCACCTCTTCCGTCGTTGTCGCCGGCGGCACCGAATCCATGTCCAACGCGCCTCACTACCTGCCCAACCTCCGCACAGGCGCCAAGTACGGCGACCAGACTCTCGTCGATGGCGTCCTCAAGGACGGCCTGACTGACGCCTACAAGAAAGAGCACATGGGTCTCGCTGGCGAGCTCTGTGCCTCCGATAACGACCTGTCCCGTGAGGCTCAGGACGAGTACGCCATCAACTCGTACAAGAAGGCTCAGGCTGCCACCGCCGCCGGCCTCTTCAAGGAGATTGTCCCCGTCGAGGTTCCCGGCGGCCGCGGCAAGCCCAACGTCGTTGTAGACAAGGACGACGAGGTCAAGAACCTCAACGAGGACAAGCTCAAGGCCATGCGCCCCGCTTTCAAGTCGGACGGCACCATCACCGCCCCCAATGCCGCCCCCATCAACGACGGTGCCGCTGCTGTCGTCCTCATGTCCGAGGCCAAGGTCAAAGAGCTCGGCCTCAAGCCCATCGCCAAGATCCTCGGCTGGGGTGATGCCGAGCGCGAACCCGAGCGGTTCACCGTCGCCCCTGCCCTCGCCATCCCCAAGGCCATCAAGCACGCCGGCCTCACCGAGAATGACATCGACTTTTACGAGATTAACGAGGCCTTCTCCGTCGTTGCTCTCGCCAACATGAAGCAGCTCAACCTGTCCGCCGACAAGGTCAACGTCTATGGCGGTTCCGTCGCCATCGGCCACCCCCTGGGTTGCTCCGGCGCCCGCGTCCTCACCACTCTCACCTCTGTCCTCAAGGAGAAGAACGCCAAGGTCGGGTGTGTTGGTATCTGCAACGGTGGCGGAGGTGCCTCTGCTCTCGTTATTGAGAATCTCCAGTAAATGCTCAACATGAGCTACTAACAAAAGTTACATGATTGAATGAAAGGGAGTTTCTTTCTGCGAACAAGGCTCCAGGAGCCCACACAAAAAGAAATTTGGCGTTCAAAGCAGGACATGCCATTGCAGTCTCTGTTAATCTTATAGACATTTAATGAAGACTAGATCGAACCACTGGGTTTGCGTTTTCGTAGCAGCGAAGTTTTTAAAGTGACATCAGTCAACAAAGTAGAATGACAATTGAAAAGGTTACCGAACGTAACTAAACCAACTCCTACCGAAAGATGATAACACAATAAGGGGACCCCAAGTGATTGAAAACCTCAGAGACCTCCAAACCGAAAGGATTCCACGGAGGGATCCCAAAACAAAGTCCTCCTCGAAGTCCCCTCGTTTTTGAAGGTCTCCGTGCTATACGAAAGCAGTGTGCTGACTTTGAGTAAAACTCGTAATTCCAAAATTCCCGGTATAATTTCTCATTGCTAGCAGAGCAAAACAAGACCAAAAAGAAAGCAATCAATAAAACATAGATGACGTAACAAGAGAGACACTGGGGCAACGAGCATAATGAATATCCCTCCCCTTTCAACGAATAATTCCAAAACGCGTGGGAGAGAGAGAATACACGCAAGAGATTGGGAAGGCAACTTTGATCCCAACTTTCCCTACCTCCCCAAGAAAGAATTAACAAGCACGGCCCCTGCAAGAGACGAGCAGCAGTACTTCTTCCTCCCGCAGTCTCATTCGTCCCAAGGTAGCATGCCGTCCTAAGGTAGGCTGAGCCAGAAAGACCACTATTGCGTCTCGGGCTTCCCACCCGGCGCCGGAGGCGCGATGCCGTCGTCCATCCACCGGCGAAAGTTCTTGTTCTGCTCCTGGACCTCCTCAGGGCTCATGTCCTTGGTCCATGCTGGGTTGTGCACCATCTTCTCGAGCAGCTTGCTCTCGCGGTGGGCACTGAGGGCGGCAGCGAACTTGTCGCGGCGCTCGCGGCCCTCTTTGGTCTTCGGTGCGTGGTCATAGATGAAGTACTCGGAAGTGCCGGGCGTCCAAATCATCTTGGAGCTTGTCAGGCAGATGGAGATGGCCAGGCCCTCATCATACGCGACCGGCTTCGGGATTCTCTCCCCGTCCGACTCCGCATCGCCCGAAGGGATGTTCCGCGTAAGAATCACCCTATGCAGTCCTCTGCGTGGGACACCCTCGGTGGGTTCGACGCGGATGAAGGAGGAAATGTAGTATTGCCATCTCTCGCGAAGCTTCATCTCGTCCATGTAGAAAGTGGTGTCGTCGCGCTGCAGCCAGCGTACAGTGGCCTCTGATTTCTGCGGGAACTGCACAAATTGTTAGCGCATGCGCGTGCGTGACGAGCAAACGAGTTACTTACCCAACAAATGACGAAAATATCACCATCCTTGACACACTTCTCAGCAAACTTCCTGGCGCTTATCTCGGTCTGGTAGCTGGTCTCCTCCTTCTCGCGGCTGTTGAGATACTGGTGGATGAGGTCCGGCGTCTTCTCCTTGACATCAGTGCTGCTGCAAGTGAGTGCAAGCCGGCACAGTGTTTTCAGAAGATCTTGGATGGTGTACAGTTTCCAACCATTGCGGAGGTAGTAGTGTCGCATGACATCCTGGTAACGGTTCTCGTCAATCTCGCCAGTGATATAATCCTCAATGAGCTCCACGGTTTTCGGCCAAAAGACGGAGGGGTCGTCTTCGGGGGCAAAGAAGTCCATGTGGTTCTCGATTAAGCCAATCTCCTTGGCAGGCAGGCGGCGGCTCAGTCGCTCGATTTCCTTAGTGACGTTGTCACGACTGCCCTTGATATCCTGAAGACGCTCGTATAGTTGGTGGAAGATGCTGAAAAACACAAACAATGTTTGGTTGCAGAAGAAATTGTACCAAGGCCGGCTAAAAAACCCATCAGCCTTGAGTTCGCCGTCGCCGTCCAACAGGCCGTTATCGGAACCGGTCACGACAGCCTTGGGCACACTCGGCATCCAGCGCTCGTTCGACATATCGGGAGCAGGAGCTTCATCAGGCGCGTCGGCCATTTCTTCGTCATTGGTCGAGTTGACGTCGGGCGTTGTCTCCTTGCTCCCCGACGTGCTGTCTTCCTTCTGGCCTCGAGGCTTGCTGCCGATGCGGCCTGGATCGAGTACCCCCCTAAGCAGATCGCCCTTCTTTCCGTTCCTACGGCTCCGGCCATTTGACAACTCAGCAGGTGTGTTATCCTCGATTTCTTCGTCGCCAGATTCCGGCTGCATCCTAGGCACCCGCTCCTGAACCACTTCTTCGGGCAGTTCAAAGAAGGCAGGAATGAACATCTCGAAAAACTCCAAGATCCGCTCCTTTTCCTGCGTACTATGCTGAGCATTGTGCATACTATAGAGCATCATCATGCGTAACAGGTCCATGACGACCTCCTTATCAGAAAAGCTCCAGGCGGACTGATGGCGAGGAGCCTTGCCTTTGAGCGCTCTCTCACGGCGCTGCTCCTCATGCTTGGTCTTGATGACATCAACCAGGTGCTTGGCAGTAAGATTGCGCTTATCTGTCGATTTGACCAAGATGCCCATGTGATCAAGACTCTTAAGGTGCATATTCTCCGTCTGATTGTGCCATACTTTAGCCCACTCTCGCTGAGAGAAACGCCACTCCTCGTCTTTTTGCTTCATTCTGGCCAGCAGGATCGGAACAACGGCAAAAGGATCGCTGTACAGGTCGTTGACGACATCGATGCCTCGCTCCCCGTAAATTTTCTTGCAAATACGCTTGAAAATTGAGGTGCTCTGGCCAGCAAGAGCGCCGGGCATGCTGAAGGAATCTCTCTCGGACGGTGTCATGGCTAGCATCTGCTGGGCAATGGGCTCCAGGAGTTGGATACACTTGAGATTAGCCTCGATGAAGAAATCGTAGTCATGGCGCTCTTCCTCAATGCGATGAAGTCCCTCTTCAAACTGGTTCTTTCGATGGGCAACGAACCCGGAATCCTCACTTGCCCATGTTGGGTGCGAGGCCCACTCATCGTTGAGAACCGAGTTGCATAGTTCATCGCGCCCGCTGCAAGGCTTAAGACGCTCCCGCTTAGGCAGGAGTCTGTAGCTGGGACCGTATCCCCGGCAGTTACTCAGAGAGAGCTTGTCGGTAGGTGGGGCGGGACGGTTGTCGATCATTACATCGTGGACATCAAAGCCCACCCACGATTTCCAGAAAGCCAACAGGTCGGGGTTAGACTGGATAAAGACACTGCCTTTGTGGAAAAGTGTGTTTCTGTCAATGATATTTTGACTGTAAAGATTGCAAAGTTTCAAGAACTCGTTCATGGACGACCGGTTGCTGAGGAACTTCTTGACCTTTTCAAAGAATGCAAGCTCATCCATGTTGGACGTACCAGATGATCGAGGAGGATATGGCTCGGGCATCACCGGTGTCAAGGTAGGTTCAATCGTCGAGCCATCCAGGGTGCCGCGGGCGTGGCTCAGTTTCGGCCTCTTGCCGTTGACAGCTACAGCTTGTAGACGGGGCTGCGACGTAACCTCGGCGAGCAGGGGAACTCCCCCAGCAGCCTGCTTATCATTTCTTGCGCGTTTCTTGTCCTTGCTGGCGCTGGCTGGGGGGGCGAAGCTACCCAGTGGAGGCATCTTCTGTCCGTCTCTGGCACCGGGTTGCTGGCCAGCGCCGCCAGCCATGCCATCTTCAGCTCGGCCACCGGCCGCCTTTGCCTGACCGGCGGTCTCCGGGAGAAACTGCTTGAAGTCTTCCAGCAGGTCAGGCGCGGCATTGAAGAGTGTCGTAACCTGCGCATATACATCCTGTATGGGCTTCTGCTCTCGCTGGTAGGTTTGCAAGATCTCCAAGAACTGTTTGTATATATCCGGCTTGTCCTGGAATCGGTTTTTGATCTTGTTGACATAGCTAATGGCGTGGTTGAACTCGACAGGGCCGCGTCGCTCCATGCCTGCCTGAGCCGCTGCTGCAGCGCCATTAAGCCCGGCTGGTCCAGGCGTGCTACGCCCAGTAGCCGCATTAGCGCCAGCCTGAGCAGGAGCTTGCGAGCCGGCGCGGTGTCCCGTGGCTTCGTAGCCACCACTCTGGGCGGCCGCTTGCACGAAAAGGCTGCCGCCATTCTGAGCAGGGGCACTGAAATTAGCCTCCGGTGACCTCTGAGGCCACTGGGAACCACGCTGCTCAGGGAAGATGGGCTGGCCGGGGCCGTGACCATCAGGAGGGCCACCCCGTCCAGCAATGCTTTGGACAGTGGTACCCATGGGCGTAGTAACTCGAATGGTATTGGGGTCGTTACCAGCGCCGCACTCGATTCTGTACCCCGGAGGTAGAAATGTGTTGAAGCCCTGAATGAGGTTGGGGTGGCCAGCGAATAGCTCTGAGACGCGGTTAATGACGCCAGGTGTATCTATACTGTAGGTACCATGTTAACTATGTTATCACACAAGTACTAGAATCAGCACTTACGCCTGTGATTTGAAGTCCTTCATTATGTCGAGGAAACGATTATATACGTCAGGTTGGTCATGGAACTGAACCTTGACCTGGTCTAGATATGTCAACGCATCCTGTGACGGCGCGTTAGTACTCTGCATTTCGTGGACGACAGTCTTCGCGAGGGCAGATTTCAGGCATGGACGACCAGAGGAGCCCGTACGCTCGCTCGTCGCACCAAAAAAGCAAGGAGGGGTATTTTCCCATTCCAATCTTCTTACATTTAGGATGGGCTGCTGGCCCTGAGTAATGCCGCCCTGAATCTGAGGACCACCTGCTGGTACATTAACCATGGGTGCGCCCGGCTGCCCAGGCCGCTGGGCGTCTGGTGGCAGCTGTTGCTGCGGCTGCTGTTGCAGAGGGCCGCCGAACACCGAGCCGCTGCCGGGAGGCGGCGGCGGCGGTCCGCCCTGCGCGGGCTGTCCGTGAGGTATGGGTCCGTAACCCTGATGCTGGCCGCCGACGCCGTGCTGGAGGGGACGCGCGTGGTCGTTCGGCAGCGGCGGGGGGGGCGCGCCGTAGCTTTGCATCGGACCCGGGGGTCCGCTCATCGGCATGGCAGACGTGCTTCCGTTGTGGTTAGCAAGGAGGCCGCCCGGGCTGTGTATCGCGCCGGGGATGCGCGATGCAACCGGCTGGTGTATGGGTATCGATCCGGCACTGCTCTGGTGTGGTGATTGGAATCGGTGGTCGGCGGCCTCGCGCTCGCGCTCCTGGTCGCGTCTCGCCATCTCCTCGTGCTGCTGGAGGGCACGATGTCGGTCGTCCATTTCGCGGTCGCGGTCGTAGGGCGCGCCGCCGCCGGCTTGGCCGTGGTGGCCCTGGTTGCTGTTCATGGTCTCTGCAGCGACGGCGGGAAAAAAATTAGCCACACGTCGCTCTCGTTCAATCAATGTCCCAATCCCGACTTCCGATTCGCTACCGCATGCGCTGGATGCGAAACGAGAGTCGGCGTGGCTCGCCCGTTTTTCGGCCAGCCGACGACGCAAAAGCTCAGGAGGGTCTTGTCGCGCGATCGCAAGAGAAAAGAGAAAGGCAAACTCACAGCTCGAGGGGGGCACAGCTAGGCTGGCGAAAATCTACATGGAGATCAAGACCCCTCGTGCAGATGAGAAAATTTCGGGATAAAAAGCAGTTGCAAAGGAAACAGGATGCGTGGTGGAGGGGGTCGGGAAACAAAATGCCAACCCTTGCTTTTGGGTGCAGAACCTGGGAAGGAAGCTCGCCAGGATGGAGGGCAGCCGGCCAGGACCAGATCTGGAGCCCATTACACAACAAGCCTTTTAGCGCGGACAGTTCCGCATCACGTGCTGATAAGAGTTCTTTATCAGTCAAATGCGGAAGCTGCGACGCTAGCCGCTGAAGCTGTGCGCTAATCCTAAACAGGTGTTGGTTGCACCTCAATGCCGATTGCTTCACATGGCTTGACATTGAATGACTTGACATTGATTGGCTTCACGTTGAATTGCTTCACATCGAATGTCTTCACATTGGAGGCAAGAAATTGAAATACCCCGATATTAAAATGCATTCTCGAAAGACTACCAGCAGCGCATATTCCTTACTCCTATGATGCTCCAATAACGCCAGCGAAAAGAAGAACATAATTAAAATACAGGCCCATCCAATCCACACGCTCAGTTTCACCTATTCGCCTCCTAACTGCAGTTTCTCACCGGTCAGGTCAGACTTCTACGCCGCCAGTGGGGGTTTCTTCTTCCAAATGATTTGATCCTGCGCCGCGGCGCAATCTCACAGCCGGTCAGGTCAGGCTTCTACGCCGCCGGCGGGGGCTGTGGCTTTCGAATGATTTTGATCTTGGGCCGCGACGATACCGCGCTTGATGGCGTCTCCGGCGCGGGGCTTCTTCCCGCACCTACCGAGGCGGCGACTGGTGTGGAAACCGCCCTCACAGCAGCCGGCGTGGAACCTGTGCTGACACTGATCTTGGGCTTCGGCGCAGGCGTCTGCAGGGATGCGGCGTTGCTCGTGGGCAGAGGTCGTCGAACAACGTCGCCTGAAGGGAGCGGCTTGCGAATCTTGAGAGGAGTGCTCTCGGCGGATGACTCGGGTCGCGAACTTCCCGGCAGAGCTGTCCTGACCGGGGCCGGAGCCGGGCTAGGGGACAAAGACTTGCCCAAGATAACGGCCAGTCTCTTGGGGTTCGAGGTCTTGAGAGTGACTATTCGGCTCTTTTTCCAAACCCCCTTGGCCCCCCCGGGTATGCCCGTCTTGGGGCGTTTAGGCGCAGGTGGCGCATGCTCTTCCTTGTCTGGCCGGGGTCGCTTGGCAACCGGGATCGGGGTAGACGCCGGCGACCCATTTGCTCGAGGTTGGCTGATAGCAGTGATGCTATCCAGAACAAGCGGTGGCTTAGACGATTGCCTTGGGAGACTAGAAATGGACGGCTTGGTGCTGATCTTGATGGACGGAGTCCTGGCGAGCTTCTTGGCATCAGCCCCGCCGTTTAGAATCGGCGCTGGAATCGGCGCTGCTACCACGGCTGGAAGCGAGACGTTTGGCTTAATCTTGTAGTAAGACTTGAAGTTGACAAGCAGGCGGTTCGTAAGTTGCTGAACCGGTCGCTCCGCCTTCCAGCGCTTGGGCAGAGTCAGGGTCAGAACCCAGCTCTGCGCCTCCTCAAACATCATGGAAGCCAGGTCCAGAAGATTCTCCACCTCCATCCGACCTAGGTCCGGGTGGTCCAGGGCTCTGCGCATGGCCGTGCTGAAATGCCTCTCATCGGCTGCATAAGTCTCTTCCATCTCCTTCCTCAAAGCTTTCAGGGCAGAGTCCAAGTTTTCCTTGCGAGCAAACATTTCTTTCCTCGCTTCGATTTCTTGTGCACTGTCTTGTACAAGCAATAGGCCATCCCCGTCATCAACAGCAGAAGGTTCAACCTTGGTGGCCTTTGTGTGCTCTCCAAATGCGATGGCAGCAAGTCCCCGAGCAAGGGCGGCAATCAGCTTTGATCGGACGTAGGGAGACCGATCTGTCATGAACGAATACATCATGAAACTGAAGAATGTAGGGTCCATCATCCCGCCAAGGTCAATCAAGGCTTCGAAGCACTTAATGCGGATCAAATCTCTAGTTCCATCCAAAAGGTACTGTCCGAAATCGACAAAGTTTTTGGGAATCACTTCCGCCTTCATCAAACGCTGTTTTGCATCTAATCCTGCCAGCGTCCAAGTATTTTGGTACGAGTTGGTCCATTCGTCACGGCGCAGGACTCGTTCGATTTGCTCCAGAGCTTCCTCCAGGAACGCGTTCTCCTCCTCGTTGGGAATCCTATTTTGCCGAGTGAGCCAGTCATCCTGTTTGGACGGAACAAGCGAGATAGAAAGCGATTTAACGAGGAAAGCAATGTAAAAGTGGTCCGAGTATGGATTGCCCTCATTGTTGTTTAAGCGAAGTTGGTCGAGAATGAAGCGGCGCGCTTCCATAGGACACTTGTTGGTGTGGTCGCGGACCTCAGAAATCGCCTTGATAATCGCACAGCGAACATTGTATTGCTTCTTGTCGGTAAAGTCATTCGGGCGAGGCTGGTTCACATTTTCGTAGCAGTACATTTCTCGGAACGCTCGCATGAGCTGACGCATTCCTAATAATGGAATGTCTTTGATGTTAGACTGTCGAGTCAAGGCAGCAGCCGCCATTGTCCGAATTCCATGGAAATATCGCCGGTCAACAAGTGTTCGCACTAGGAAACCAGAGGCAATCGGATGAAGGGGACCTTGGGCCAGGTAGAGCATGGCGTCTTGCTGTGCAACAACATCCCTGTCTTGTTGCAGCTGCGACACGTACATGTACGGCTCCAAAGTCCGCGTCATGTCAGATGCCCACTCGAAATCGGCATCCAAGCGGATCCATTCATAAGACTCCTGGTCCATTTTTCGCTCAGTCTCGGGGTCCCAGTCAATCAGCTCCCAGTCGCGCTGATCCTCGGGGCTTTGCAACACGTCACCGAGACAATAGAGCAAAGCATCGTCGTTGTTCTCCGCAATTTCCAAGTTTTGGCCAACATGCTTCTCCTTCATTCGCCGTGTTCGCTTGAGTCGCTTATATTTCGTATTATAAGGGATCTCGAACTTTGTGGCTCTTGTAGCATCCTCGCGAATCTCCAGAATGTGCTCGTATGGGGTTCCGTCGGCCTCGTGAATTCGTACAGTCATGGGGCCGGTAAACAGCGGTTGAATATCTCCAAGAGGTACTTCAGCTCGTCGCTCCTTGATTTCTCGCAAAAAGTCGTCTTTTTCAAGCTGCGGTTTCTTTGCCTTGTGGAGCTGAACTTGACTCAATGTCAATTCGACACAAAGCCTCTTCTTGTTGAATCGTGCCTTCACATCGAATCTCGGACAGCCGGATCCATAAACCCATTGGTTCCAGAAGGTTTCTAGACGGTATCTAGATCCCTTTTCACACAACGTCTTGAATTTCTCCGTGTCCAAAATGCTTGACTTGTCACTGCCCTCTATTTGCGCACGCGTCAGAAGCTTTTGTAGCACTCTGGTCAGTCCGTGGCCACCAGATGCCTTGTTCATACGCTTATCCAGGATGAAGAAAACAAGAGGGGACTTGAGTGTCATGAAGTTCATTTCCCCACCATCAAGGTGCAGGTTGGCGCCGAGATCAAAGATGGAAGGACGACCAACATCGAGCTCGGTAAGCTTATCTGACATTGTCTTCATGCGGAAGCGATATTCGTTATTTCCACAAATGCGCTTCATGAACAAATCGGTCATGTAGTAAGCCATGCCCACTACAAGCCACAGGTCGCTCCGCGCGTTGGGTATCATGTTGATACCAATCCATTGGGATGTTAATGTGAGGACAAGTTGCCTCGTGACCTCGATTTCGGTATCAATGACGTCTTCCGGGTATAGCAAGCGATTGCTTGCGAATGCTAGCGAGTGCAATGACACCGTATCATCAACCAAATCGTCGACAAAGCAAAGCTTGAAGTTGGAAAATGGGTATCGGGCAAACGTGTAGGTGAGGAAGTCTGCGGCCATCGTAAGTGCCGCAGAGGTGTGTCTCACCCAGTCTCCCCTTCCCGGTAGGCAATAGGCGTGGATTTTCAGAGCGCTCATGCCAAGCTTGACCTCGTCCTCCTCTGTTCGAAATTCGGAAGACAAGTCGATGTGTTCAAACGGACCAACCGCAAATCCTAATTTTTGTACCGACACCTTCTTCTCCGGTTCAAACGTCATGATTTTCATGGACTCGTCATCCGGGTCTGTCGTCTCCTCCACGAGAAAGCCCGAACACACCACAGACATTTCCCGAAGCTTGTCTTCTTCAGCCAGTTTGAACGACCGATCGAGAGAGTTGGATTCCTTCTTAGTCGCCAACGCTTGTTGCAAGGCGTCTCCGAGGGTCCGGGGGTGCTTGATCGAGACGCGCCAGTCACATCGCGAGCCGTGGTCGTCGACGCAGGGGAAGATGCAGCTCGCGGTGCCCGGCTGAATCGAGTGTCGGGTGTACATGTGCGTGAAGCGGCTGTCCAGAGAGTCCACTCCGACGAAATGCAGTCCGTCGCGAGGGTTCCTGTTAACAAAGGGGATGGTGATTTTGTATTGCTTGTGCGACTTGTCCGGGGCGTCAAGATTCGACATTGACTTCCTAACGATCAACCTCGGGCGATCTCTGTCGTCCCTGCCGCGCAGCTTCACCTTCAGTGACCCATAGGCCGGCGTGCACCCCTCAAATTCTCTATTTTCAGCGGGCACGTCCGATTTTCGGGTGTGAAAAACTCCCCGGGCGCGAATGCGACGCAGATCGTAATGTTCGACTCTCCAGTTCCAGCCCTGGGGCTGCGAGAGCTTCTTGTACGGGTCGTTGTATTCCGCTGCGGCCCTTCTCCTTTGTCCCTCAATCGCTTCGCCGTTCACTTCACGCATCTCGGCGATGGTGATTCGGTTCGTATCGATTTCGCATTGTGCCGCGTCAAGGAAAACTTCCTCCACCTTATCGTTAAAAGTCACGAGGAATACGTCGGTAGTGCCATGAATGCATCTGTCGCGAAAGTCCACTGTGAGGCTAACCTCTTGCTTGAGGATAAAATATTCCTTCACAGGGAGATCGTCGACGGGGGGCAAGTCGTCGTTGCCGCTTTGCGCAAAGGGCCGTTCCGATTCACTGTCCATCTTCGCGGTTGTGGAAAGTGGAAAGGGCCACAGATTGAAATCCGGCCGCCCTTTTAATAAATTCCCAAGTGCCACAAAGGACTGGGGGCCCGGCACCACTTGGTGCGAGTAGTGTCGACGGCGTCGTTGTCGAGGGGGTTCGCGCGCGCAGCAAAGTTAGGCTAGCATCGCAAGCTGTTTTCGGAGGGAGCGCGCAGCTCAGCTGTGCGGATAAGAGATAGATTCGGTTTATTCTCCGCAGGTTTCGCGCGGGCAGAGGGCTGGCTGCCTCCACGGTGTTGCACTGCTTGTCGCGATGGGGTGTGGTGCTCCAGTGGTGGTGATGAAGCAGTCAAGTTGCCAGCCGCGTCTGGTTCACGAAGCTAACGCACGGGCCAACTGCTACCTGCGACTCAGCAGCACCACCTCATACAAACTCGGTATTATTCCTTGGAAAACCATCAGCAAAATACTACGCCGCTGCAGATTACTACTGTTCAATCGAGCTTTAATATTTGCTTTTCATCTGTTCCGAATCTTGAGGTTTATCCATTGAACTTTTCGAGTTCTCATTTTTCTAGCTTATTAGTATAGCAAGCGCTGGGGCCAGAACTGCTGAAACTGCTGAATGAGGCGTGAAAATAAGAAGAGAAAATATTGTTGTTACATTGCTGCAGTGTGGCTTCAGCCTCCGTATCTATGATTGCGCCGACGGGAGAGATTAATAAATTCCGATGCGCCACCATGAACCTCCCTAAATAATTCCTCCCAAAATGTCATGTACAAAACCGAACGCCATTGCGAAGAAATATGCTGCTAAATCAAGGTCGCCACGCCAGGCACGAATCACCGTCAGAGACCGAAGAAGATAAGGGAGAATGTATATCACGGCTTGGACCGCCTCTCTCGTCTCCTTTTCCTGGCTCTAGCCTTCAGAAGCTCGTCATCACGATAGTCTTCTGGCAAGTTAAAGTCCATCTGGGGAATGTCCGGTATCGGATGGCCCCAGGCCATGACGTTTCTTCCAGCTCGACGGTGTCTGTTGAGCGCTCCATCACGCTCATACTTCTTGCTAAAAAATGATTTGAATTCTTTGGGGGTCTCTGATTGCTTCGTTGCTGTGGCTGCCGAATCAGACCGGGGACGCTTCGCTGCAGTGATCTTTGAGCGAGCCATCGCTTCTTGCCGTAACTGCTTCGCCGGCGACGATGAGGAGGCTTCACTGGTGTTATCTTGTGAGTTCATGGTAGTGTCGTCATCTTCATCGACGCCGCCCCCATCTTCACTTCTACTTTGGTTGGTCGCGGTGCTCTCCTCGACATCGTCCATGTCCTCGTCTGCTACCTCTTCACTCGCCGCGGCTTCTCTCAGTTCTTCTTGGGCTTGTTCAGCCAGTGTCCGTTCTCGTTCCAACTTTCGACGCTTTTCTTCCAAGCTCCAGTTTTTGAACTTATCGAGGATACCTTGACAGCCTTTGATGAAATGAGCCCGCGCAGGTTCAAACATCTTTTTCTTGGTCTCGGTGATTCCACTGACACCCATGACTCTAAGCCAGTCGTGGCCTTGCAGGCCTTCTAACAAGCGGATGATCTGATCTTTTTCGTGTTGAGCGCGCCCTTTTTCTGTGTTCCGTATTGATCTCTCAACCCTCTCGGCTCGTCGGTGTATTGGCTCAAACGTCGTGTCTGGGAGAGGGTCCTCCAGTGCTCTATTTTTGTACTGTGCTTCCAAAAAGCCAAAGTCTATTTGTTGCGCATCGACAACATCGGTGTATAGTGCATCACCATAGCCTCTCACAGGAAACACTTCCGGTTGTGGTTGTGAGGGGCCAGCTTGGGGGACGCGTCGAGTACTGGAGTCGATGATTATGATGGGTGTATCCATGTTTAACAAATCTGCAGCAGCTGTCAGTACATTGAAAGGCCATCTTGGGGTCAAAAAAAAGGACATTGTGGATCTTTACATACGTTGTTCTTTGGGCTCGTTGCCAATGACCTCGTCATAATCTGGAAAGTAGGCGGAGAGGTCGCTCTTGAATCGAGTGGCCTCCTGGGACCGGAGCTTGCGGCCAGGCTCTCGACCGGGTTGTTTTGTACCAGCCATGTCGGGCTGGAGCCTATCCAGCTCGTGCTTGATGCCATTGATGGCTTTTGCCTTGTGCTTTGGCACGTTGGGATCTGCTTCGGCGTGCGGCAGGCCGAGCTTGTTGCCCGGCGCAGCAGTAGGGGCAGCCGCTACCGCTACTGCGGGAGGAGGCTGCTGGGGTGGTGTTGGGAGGGGGGCCTGCACCTTCTGCTGTGGTGCGGCGACGACGGCGGCGACGGGTCGAGCTCGGATCTCGACGGCGATCCTCGTCTTCTTCGTGTTGCTCGTCGCGGAAAATTCGTGCCCGGCGGTGGCCTCGATGCCGCGTTTCGTGCGACGTGCTTGCGGCTGTTGCTGCGATGGCGGGTGGTGGAAGAGGGTCGGCGTCGCGCGTGCCATGGGGGCGAGCCCATTGATGTGAGGTGGGAAGCCTTCAGGTCGCCGGGTCGAGCGGGTGACGGAAGCCATTGACGATATTGCAGCGGCCTGGCATTGTACTTGGCAAGGTGGTGATGTCGCTCGCGCGACAGGTGCGTGATGCTTTTCGCGCAGAAATTGGCCGGTTTTTTCGTCGAAAACTCGCAGGCCGCCCGCGTAAAACCGTGAAGTGATGATGCGGATCCGCCCAAACAAAAGAACTTGGTGCCCCTATAGCGAAAGGCTAGCGGCGTGTTTGAGCGCTAGCAAGGCGAATTTACTGGTCCCCTACAGTGGCCCGTGCCCGGGCAACAGCGAGCTTACAGGGGCCAGTGCCTGTAATCGGCGAGCTGTCGGTGGTGCTTCAGGACTTTCATCCACTGACGCGACTTAAAACCAGGTAAACAATCTAATGTTGTACAAGACTTGTTCGCTACCCTCGACATGTTACCTAGATCCTGAACATCCTCAAGCCGCGCAGGTGTTCGAGATATTCGAGGTTCAAAGCGATTTATTGATATCTCAAAAATCATGCTTTTGATGTATGTATTGTGAGTGTGTTGTTTCCAACGTAATTCCATCAGCATTCCAAAACAACCCGGAAAACCAGCAATCCCTGAGGCGCATGCTACCCGCACGATGAAGCACAAAATAGTTTAACAATGAGCATCCGTTTTATTCACCTCCCTTGATGTCAAGCTTCTTCATCGCCTTCTGCGCCAACCTGGCATCTGATTCCTTTGGCTTTTTCTGTAGCAGCTTATCCACAAAGCTCTTGCTCATCTTCGTCGTCTTGATATACGTCTCCAACCCGAGCAGCACCGCATATGACTTGGAAATCGTCAGGTGGCTCGTATCAACGCCCTCCGCCTTCAAACTGTGCAAAAAAGCTCGAAAATTGGAAGACGGTGGCCGGTAGTGGCCGCTCAGAGGAGATAGTGACTGCAGGCGCCCGTTTTTGATCTTGATGAGGCCAGCTGCGGATATGCGGCCGCCTTGCAGAAAGGACGAGTGCTGAAAGGCGCCGGAGTCCTTGAGGCCGACGTAGAGTCGGAAATTGGTATCGGCGACGAATATCCAGCAATTCTTGCTGATAGTCTTGCGCAGCAGCTTGTTGATGATGGTAGATGTTGACAGGTGGTGTATTTTTTTGACACCGGAGGCATTGTCAAACTCTGGGGTGGCATATTTGGCGGCACGCTCAGCTTCTCGCCTCGATTCAAGAGAAGAATCTGAGTCGGAATCAGAGTTGTCTGTCAAGTGCTTGGCGGATGGCGTGAATGCTGGTGTAGTATCGTCAGCTGGAACAATACCATGGATACTGTCCTTGAACAGCTCCGTCGTGTCGATCCTTGCGCCATTCTTGGCCCAGCACAGTCTTCCCTCGGTATCGATCTTGACCAGATAGTATTGTCGCTCTTCCCGTGACAAGTATCGGACCCGTTCGCGCTCTAGCTGCTCACGAGGGCAGGCCTCCATATTCAGTTCGTGACCCGCGCCGTAGTCGAGCCAGTAGAAGAAATTCTCCTGGGCTTCAGATTTCTTCCACTCCTCGTGGTATACTTTCAAATTAGCCCCGTAGCGATGCTTAACATCAATCAATTCCAGAAAATACTGCAGCCCCATGGTGAGAGCTTCCGTTCGGCGCTTCGCGTTATCGGCCTGGCGCTTCTGTCTCTTGGCGGCTTTGTCTTCCGGAGTGGTCCCGTTCGTGCTTTCCGAGTCCGAGTCCGATTCACTGTCCGAGGCGTCATGGCCAGCCCGAAAGGCCACCATGCCTACCTTTCTCCAATTCTGGCGAGCGCCGGCCGCAGGAGGTAGTGTTTCTCTGGCGACGGTCGCGGCTTGTGAGACAGGGCGCGGCCGTGGACGGTTTGTCTCACGAAACTGAGCGTCACGGACGGCGGCGGCCCAGCGCGTACTGGGATTGATGCTAAAGCCGTCCATTTCTCTCCGGGCACGGTAGCCTCGGAAGGTCTTTTGAATCACTCTGGCCGCTGCATCTTGACCGTGCTCGTCTAGCGGATGTGCCGAGTCGGCGGGAAGCATCGTTTGCGCCTTTATTTTCTTGCGTGTTTCTCCTTCTTTTTCTGCTTGTATCTGAGCAATCTCATGAAAGCGTTGCTTGGTTGGAGGCACGAGTGAATCTAGGTATGCGGCGTCGTGTACTAGGTCCGTTGAGGTTGACAAAGCGGCTGCCTCAGAGGTAGCCATTGAGCCTCTTATTATAGTAAGAAGAAGATGATGGCGGGGCCGTGCGACTGGGGAGAAGCGCTGGTGGTCGCGTGGCCCATAGGAAGCCAAAGGCCCCAGACAGGATAGGATGGGATCCAGGAGTCGACGCAGAGATTGACTGGCGTCTTTTGACGGGCGAGTGGGCAGTGTAGTGGCTGATGCTCAGCTGAAGCAATAACGTTAGTAGTGTAACTACCTGATCCGGGCAGTTGGTTGGTGGCGCAAATGTCCGAGCTGCTGGAGCGTAAGGTGGCTTGCGACCTTGAACGTATGTTAGGGATAGGGCTGGCGGGTATACGTATGTTTTGTCCTGTTAGAAGTTAAGGAGATTCCCGGGTCTGTGCTATCAGATGAAAGAGTCATGATCCGCGGCCTGAGGGCAAGTGCGGAGGTCAAGGTATGTACATGTGTGTGGCCGGTAGTCGCGGATGGCATATCTGGGCATCTGGGTGGAGATGTTTGAGCCCAACAGCTTTCCCAAACGATCACAGCCTCCAGTGACAGGTCAAAAATAAGAAAAAAACTGCAGACAATCGTAACTAGTGGGGAACTTGAATGCATAGCAAGCTTGAATGCCAACGTTAAAATGGTGGACGCCGAATCTGGCATGGGCGGTCCGCCTTATGACATGGACGGTGCCAAAGCACAAGGCTGACCGACCGACCACAGCCACAAAGAGTATCCATACAGTAGTGAGTTGCCTCTTGGAGAATACATGGCATGGGAAATTAGCATATAATATTTTGTTGGAATATAGACATAGAATGAGAAAAACCCAAAAACACAGCAACGCCAACAATTGGCCGCTGTGGCAATGGCAATGTCGCTACGAAAACAAAAAGTCCTTCAAGACTGGCGACCCCGAAAACTCGGGATTCAAAATGATACAGCTAGTCGGACTCGTCAGCGCGCGCCGCGTAGATGCAAACTCAATCAACAAACGCTCTTACTTGAGAAAATACTGTAGCCCTGCTCGTCGTTTTTCCAAAAACTTTGGTCGGAATTTCGATATCACGCTCTTGGGCGGTAGGCTCGGCACCGCGGCATCAAAGTTTGGAAACGACTGCACCAGCCGGTGGCGCAAGGCGTCAAACTCGGAGTACCGCTTTCGAATGTTGATGTAGCTCCCCTGGGAAATTTTGCCAAAATCAGCATCGCATCAGACGGAGACCGGCGGCGGCAACGGGGCGCGCGCTTGCAAAAAGAAGCTCGCCTACCTGAAGGGTCTCTACCCGCACGTTCCACACGACAAAGGCGCCAATGTTGGTCGCGCCGCCGTTGACGACGGTGTGGTCGACAATCTCGACGCTCCTCGCCCAGCAGGCGTTGTTACGCTCCTCCTCGCCTTCGTCGGCTTCGTTGTCGAGTAGTAGGATGGCCCCGGCCGGCGGGCGCCCCGAGTCGGACGAGTGCGTGGAGGGCCGCCGCCGTGACGGTACATTTTGCCAGTATGGGGGCACTATCGTAGCCGCGGCAGGGCCTGAGTGTATCGACGAGTCGTCGATCGTGTTTATCGTAGCGTCTTCTTGGTCGATCGGGCCGTCGGAGACTTGCTGCCCCCCGAACCACTCCGAGCTCGGCGCCGCGCCGTCGTCGCCGCTACCGGCATGCGCCCTAGGGGCGCCCTCGACAATGTCGCCTGGGCTCCGAGTCTGGACCGCAGCCGCGTCCCCGTCCTCCGCGGCCGGTCCGTGATACGGATCCGCTTCCATGCGCCCTAGTTGTGTTCGTGTGCGTGGCGTGCGGCGCAGTCAAAGCACATCGGCGCGTAAGGCGCGTGGAGGTGGCGAGGGGACGGCTAAAGGGGTGAAGGGAGGCTTGGTGAGAGGAGGGGTCGGTATCAGATATCGGCGCGGGGTCGAGAAAGCGTGTGCGTGCGGCCAAAGCTGGCGAACGTCCAAGAGATGCAAATACCGCAATTCGAAGCTTCAGTGAGCCAAATAATAATAATAATTGTAATGCTGTTATGTAGCGCCAAGAGAGCAAAAAAGGTGTTTGATGCCAATCCAAAACCGGCGCTACTCCCCAGACTTTTTGGGTGTGGGGCCGCACCGAGCTGCCTCTTGCTCGGCATTGGTGTGGATGGCCTGATAAGTCACGATGGAATGGACGATTTCTCAGAGACCCGGAAATCGGAACATGGAATTTTTAGACGGGATATTGGAAAATCTCGTGTTACCGTATGAGCAGGCTGCATCAAATAGATGGGAGGGCTCAAGGCCTTACGTGATCGCCGGCGCTTGGGTTTAGTGTTGAGTACATAGGTGTCTCATCTATGTTGATGCTAATCGAAAAAAAATGTTAGTGCGGACTTTGATTCGGGAGGATCATCAACAACTCCTGGATCCAGACGGGAGTGCAAATATTTAGGCGAGGGTGAAGAAGGCCTGGAGCCTGAGCGCTGGCCACCGCGCCGGGGTTGGAAACTACTAGTACCAGTAACTTGGTTCATTCGTTGCTAGAAGACGCAAGGAGCAGACAGTGACAAAGGTACGGTGAGTTGGGACAATGGAGAAACATGCCATCAACCAAAACATGTCTGATGAGCTGGACGGTGATGGTGGCGGGGGCTGTGTAGCTGCAGAATGGGGATTCGGGGAGACTGGAGTTTATTTTACCACCAGATGGAACCTGGACCCTGAATTCTTCACCTTGATTCTGCGGTATCTGTTTCGCGCGGAGGTCGCTAATAGTTCATGTTTCGAATACTGGAGATGCTTTCATAAACGGCACAACGCAACAACAAACATATTACTCCGTTCTTTTACGTAGACCGCCGACGACAGCCGACCGACCGTATTTCTGCATGCAAAGAAAAGCCACAATGACAATCAATGCCTGCAGCGACAGTGCTTCGCTGGCATGTTTATATGTTATGCACGTCGACGGAGGCTTTCCCTTCACGCATGCAAAGCACAAGTCCAGTCCAGTCCACAAGCCACGGCATTCCACTGCAGCGCTGAGACTATCTGACTAGGTAGTTAGCATGACGTTGGGCTTTCGTATAGAGTGAGCGCCTCCATTCGACATCGTATCGCAGTCTGTTTCGGCTGGTGGCAAAGCCTTTGGTGTCGTTTTGCGCGTCCTCATGACCAATGTTTTTCTCTCCTCGTGTTGCCGTTTCGTCATGATGAGGATTTGTTGTGCGAGGAACCACCCCCCGTTTTCGCGGTGGCCCAACAAGGCCCGGCTGAACAATTCCGTACCGCTGCCGTCGCCGCCACTGTCAGGTGCGCCGCAAGGAGAGGGGGGACCCCTGCTAATTTCATGGCCATGCAATATCGTATTCCTAGGGACTTTCCGGTCTTTGTTTCTTGCTTTGAGAGATTGTTCAGCGGCATCCCGAAAGGCAAGAGAGGGATGGATGCACGAACGTCCTTTGTAGCGACATGATACCAAAATACCTCGTGAAAGAAGCGATTCACACCCATGCAACCCGCATGTTCGTGCTCTCTGGCGATGGCCTGTTCCAGTAAGATGAGCTCTCATCTATTTAGTGGCGCAAAAGCAAGCAGCGCTGTGGCCTTTGTGGGTATTCGCTGGGACTCGGCAGCGCTCAAGCTTGCTTGCTTGGGCGGGGGCCAAGATGCCATGAAGCGAATAAACTTTTATTCTAATATTAATATTAAAAATGACCGCTATTGAGACGGTTGCTCTCCCAGGAGTACGGGGGCTGCTGCGAGGTGATAGGTCGAAACTGCGGTAACCCGTCGCTCCGGAGCGGCGCGGTGCGCCACACACACACAAGCGGATAGGATAGGCATGCGGAATCTCGTCTCTGCGGCGAACCGACGACCCTGGGTTATTTCATTGTGCGAGCATGGGCTGCAACATGATCCCTGGCATCGCCGCATGGAGGCCCGGCCTTGTCCTCCAACTCCAAGCGGACCAAGCCGTTTTGGTGGGTAGACAAGTTGGTTATAATCTGGCTGTCTCTCCTGCAGCCCGTTCGAGTCTCAACTTTTTTTGCTTTGCTGATTGTACCATCTTCTAGTTGCTCACCCCTCGAAAGTTTTCTCCTTCGCTCGCTCTTGATCAACTTCTATTCTTCTCTTCGTTTCGTCTCTCTCGTTGACGCATTTTGTTCCTGTTCTTTTTTAGCGTGCATACTGTATCTTCCGATCAGCAACACTCGCTTCTCCTTGATACTCGACTGAATACTTGGAGTTTCTCTTTTTGGTGAGATTGCACACAGTCCCGGAGCCTACCTGGTATTCTTGACGGGCTAGCCGTGAATTAACTGTGAATCACCATCTAGACCATTCAGCCAGTCTAGCACCTTGGACTGCAACTGAAGAATTCGAACCCGATCCTTCATCTTCTCGGAACTGCAACCTCTCCCAACTCCAAAAAATAGCCATGGTTTCATTCAAAACGACGGGCATCGTCGCCGCTGCGGCTCTTGCCACGCTCGCTCAGGCCGATTACCAGATTGACCCATCCACAGTGCCCCTTGCTACCCGACGTAAGTTTATCAACCAAACCGGAGACCCAGCCCTCCATTGCTGACTGATAATGCCAGAGCGATGGTGTCGTGACGAGAAGCTCACCTGCCCCTTGATCTGCCAGCAGACCGAGCCGCGCACTACCCTTGTCAACGACTGCGACCCTGTACGTCTACTCTTGATGGATGACTTGCTGAAGCTGAACCCTCCCAAGTGGCGTGCGTGAATCGATGCTAAAACCCAAGCATAGGAGACCCTGCAGTACGGCTGCCTCTGCGGCGACAACAAGCAGCCTAACGTGTCCGAGTACAGCCTGAGCATGCCCTACTACGTCTGCACCGAATGGGGCCGCCAGTGCGTCGCCAAGTGCAACAACAATAACGTGTGCGCCTCCGACTGCCTCCAGAACCACCCGTGCGGCGCGACCAACCCGCAGCGCCAGAACGCCTCGGCAACGTCGACGCAAGGGGCAACGGCCACCCAGACCGGCAGCGACGGCCTCTACACCGGGCCGCCCGGCTCGAGCAGCGACAAGAAGACCGGCGCGGGCTCGGCCCTTGAGGCCGGACGCTCGTGGGGATTCGCCGTGGTGTTTGTCGGCATGTTTGCTGGCTTCGCCATGCTGTGAGGGGCCCATGAGCTGAGATGAAGAAGGTTCTTGCTCATTCTAATAGCATCGGTTGGACTGCTGAGTTTCTGTTGCGTTGAGTGCATCTATACAATAATTTTTTTTCGAGCCGAGGTAGTTGGACGCATATATTAGCGAAGCGATACTTTAATACTAATAATACTCCGTTACGCAGCGAAACAATTGGAGATTGGAACGTCGGTGAGATCATGTGCTGTGAGCGGAGGAAGAGGGAAACGGGGATGCTACTCAGTGAGGCATGTGTGGCGAGTGACGACCATGTTGCTGTTGGATGGGCGGCTGTGATGCGGATTCAGCGTGCAGGATATGGCCTGCGACACCCGACTCGACGCCTCAATTATCTTGGCAGTGCTCGTGGAGCTTGTGAAGAAATTAGTGATGCCGTTCTGGTGGTATTCGGGCACTGGGCTGGCACCAATGCGGTGTGGTGGACTAACGAAGGAGCGAATCGCGGCAGTCATGTTTCGGCTGTTGAAACTGACAAACGTCTGTTAAAAACTAAGCAGACTACTGAGCGTATATTGCCACTTGAAAAGGCATATTGGCGAGCCGTTAAGTGATCGACAAGAGCCACCAACGCAAGGCTGGCTGGCATCGGCTGAAGCGTGGCGGGGCAACTTGCTGGCGATGGGGACATCTATCCGGATGTAACGCCGACTTTGCAGCTCACCAGGCTAGAAAAAAGGCAGAAGCTTTAGGTGTTAGCTGCAGTGGCGTCTTGTCACACGACACTGTTGGGTTCCTGGAGGCGGGGGAAATAGGGACATCGGGACGCTGCTCAAGGCAGGCGGGGAAGTGTCGATGGAGGCGGGGAAACGAAGAACTCTTGGGGTCGAGCTGAACGTGGGTAAATATATATCAAGATGGAACTTTTTTGTCTTGGAGGGTGGAGAGTTATCGCTCTCTATGGGCCGGTTTTAACCAGTGAGGAAGCCGGTGACGTACACTTGCGTGGGAGGCAGGAGCAGGAGCAGGAGCGGGAGGTGCGAGATGCGGTGTGATGTGATTGTGCAGCAGCTACATCTTGATTTAGGCGTTGGCGACGGTATGTGATTTGTCTTTTTGACGATGCTGTTTCCGATTTTCATGTCGCTTTTCCGGCGCCTTAGTAGTTCCTGTGTTATAGATGCGGTCATTACGCGTTGCATAGTGACTTGGTGAGACAGAGGCACAGAATCAAGATGCGGCAAGTTCCTCACAACCACATGCTCCACTGTCACGCGCCGTTCCTCGGTTCCTGCAGAACAGCGGTCTGCTGTAACTACCTTTTATTAGCGCCTGGAGGCTGGCTGCTTGCTGGCGATTAACGTCTCCAAAGGCTTTTAACCGAGTAAAGGGAATGGTGTCAAAGAAAAGGGAAACTAGAGGTTGAGAAAGAGAAAGAGAAAAAGAAAGGGACAAGGGAGAAAAGGAAAAAGTTGAAACAAAAACAGGATGCAAGAATGTAATAGACACGGGAGTAAGATTATACCTGGCTATCATGCTTCTTCCGCTCTGCCTCTGGTGGCTGCCGACACCTTCACGTGTTGGATGCAGTGGAATTGCAGCGCCGAGTTACAGTGTTAGTTTGCCTGTTAGTATCTGTAGGATGGCGCCTGCAGGACGGGCCAAGGGACCCAATTAGCGTCGTCAGCTGCTAAATCTTCAAGTTTGTGGCTGGATCCGTCCCTCTGCTTCTGCTGAAGCCACAGTGAGGTACCCTGGGAGGCACCGAGTTCAGCGCCGTTCCCGAGGCTCACAGCGGCCTGCACACCACCAAAGACCACCAAAGGCAACCCCCCTAAAGCGGCCCCTTCCATCAATTATTTTTTTTTATACTTCCTCCCAAGCCAAAGACGAATTAGCGCTCTCCAATTGCTGGGCCTCATGCACCCACCAAATCTTGCACCAGCGAATCGACTCGTCCTCCTTGCGCATGTTGGTTTCCTCAACAAACTGCACGGCTCCCCGACATCTGCAACCCAAGTCTTTCCTACCTACCACTAACCTCACTAGGCCATTGCCAACTGGTTGGCGCCTCACACCCGCTCTTTTTTTTTTTTCCCCTTGCAGCTCAGTCAATCAGTGGCACGCGCACACCCCATACACACGGCAGCCAGCTTCTGCTCTCACACGCCTTGACACACTTCTTTTATATGCTCTCCTCGCCCACCCACCCCCCGCTTTGTCTTCCCATAGCTACCCATCATGTCGTCGACGGCTGACGAGTCGCTACCGCTATTCCACGAGAACACTGCTGGCCAAGGCCAACAAGACAACATGGTCCCCAACACCAGTATGTTTCTCCTCTTCCTTCCCCTGATTCGAGACGTCATCATCCGTCCGCTCTGTCGCAGGCCTGCGTCCCGGCCTCTGACCGGAGCTCTGCCTACCAACCTTTGCGCACGCACGTGTCAACACCGTTGCTGACCCTCTCCCAGAAAAAGCCCAAATCGAATGCATTTCGGACGATGCCCTCATTCATCTCAAGTCCTACAAGTACTCCAGCGTCGACAAGTCGCCTGTCTCCAAGTACATTCTCGGTCCTTGGGTACGACATCCCGCCTACCCGGCCGCCACACGGCATCCGCCTCCGATACTCCCGCGCATACCCCGATCTCCCTCCCCTCGATTCATCTCTATACGAGGCTCTCTGCTCCGCTATACACTACCCAATACTGCTGATCACCAAATATCCGACGCAGATGCTAACACCCCATCGCTATAGTGGAACTTTTTCGTCACCCTGTTGCCGCTATGGATGGCTCCTAACATGGTGACTCTCGTCGGCTTCTTCTTCATCCTGGCCAATGTCGCTCTTCTTGTCGTCTATATCCCTGACCTAATCGGCCCCGTAAGTCGAAACTGAACCATTTGTGTTGCAGTTCTAATCCGTCGCTGACACCACTGCAGGGCCCTTCCTGGGTATATTTCAGTCTGGCTTTCGGCCTCTTCATGTACCAGACCATGGACAACGTCGATGGCAAGCAAGCCCGCAGAACCGGCACCTCGAGCGGCCTCGGCGAACTCTTCGACCACGGCATCGACTCTCTCAACTGCACCCTCGCTAGTCTTTTCCAGGTCGCCGCCATGGCTCTCGGCGCCTCCCCCGCCGGCGTCTTCACTGCTCTCTGCCCTTGCGTCGCCATGTTCTTCTCGACCTGGGAGACCTACCACACTCACACACTCTTCCTCGGGTTCATCAATGGCCCGACGGAAGGTTTGCTCATTGCTTGCGGCATCATGATTACTTCTGGCATTTGGGGCCCCGAGGTTTGGAGTCAGCCAATGGCAGGCATATTCGGCGACAGCCTGCCTGGTCTTTCTGAGCTGCTTGGCGACACGTCTGTCCGCGATATCTGGGTTCCCCTCGTCGCTGTTTCGCTGCTGGGCACGCACGTACCTTTTTGCGTCTTCAATGTCATCGATGCTCGCCGCAAACAGGGCCTTCCCGTCGCGCCCGTCTTCCTCGAACTTGCGCCCATGACCGTATTTACCGTCACTATCAGCGCCTGGCTCGCCTCGCCCTACAGCACACTTATGAAGGAGAACCACTTGGTCTTGTTCTGCTGCACCATGTCGTTTGTTTTTGGCCGGTTGACCACTAAGATGATCCTAGCCCACTTGACGCGCCAGCCCTTCCCTTACTGGACTGCCATGCTCTGGCCTCTGGTCGGCGGCGCTGTTCTCACCAACCTGCCTCACATCGGATTCCCGCAGCTGAGTGCTAGTCTCGAGGCCTACTACCTCTGGGCCTACTTTGTGTACGCCGCTATCCTTTATTTTCGCTGGGCCTTTGTCGTCGTCAACGCCATCTGCAACTTCCTGGGCATCAACGCGCTCACTATTCCCAAGGACAAGCAGATCGCCAACAAGCGCGCTCACGATGCTGCAAAGCTGCACTAAATCCAGAGCTGATGCACATGGCGAAGCCAGTCTTTTTTTTTTTCTACTTCACTTCTCGGGCTATTTGTCTGGCATTCAACATACGATGCCCGCCAGACACAAGACTTGCGAGTCTCCTGCAGTGCACTTCAATACACTCTGATACGACGGCACTTTCGATGCCGCTTTTGTGATATATGACTCAGGGATAAGGCGGCCCTAGAGCGTTGCATTTTTCCGGCGTATGGGAACTGTTGACAACGATTTTTACCGTTGTATACATAGAAACATATACTCATGGTTTATTGTAATTACTGTTAGTGCTGCGAGCGCTGTCATGATTCTACAAGTTCGAACCAAACTTTGACAAAAAGTGAATACAGCGAGGTTGGAGGCCAACTTCCTCTGCTACATATCGGTAGGTACCTAGATAGTTGGAATGGCATACTCAACCATCACTGTGTGGTGCGTGCATGCGTTGGTGAGACACGACCTCGGAGGCAGTACCTCTTGGCGGTGGCTGATCCACTAGTGTGGATAGTCGAGCAGCCATACATTACCTCAGCCTCTACGACACCATGGCTTGTTCTCTTACATCTACAGCTAATATCGAACAAATCTGCCAGTCGAATCTACCTTTCTAAGGGAAACACACATGCTATATATAGAAAAACCCCATAATCGACAACGCAATTCTAGGGACGAGCTCATTTAGAATGCGCAGCCGCTAGGCTTCAACTCGACACCGAATTGAAACACCAACCACCAACCACGACATAGGCAACATGCGGGCATCTGCGGCGCTCCTTTGGACCTTTGGGACGCTATCGTCCTTTGCGAGCGCAATTGCCGGCACGACACTCACTGATGACGACCTGCGCAACATCCCCTCGCCGGGCTCCGACTTTGACATCAAGGACGGCAAGCTGCTGGCGCCGATCCTGATCCCACGAGTGCCCGGGACGCCGGGCCAGACCCAGGCGCAGAAGCACTTGGTCGACTTCTTCGCGACACAATTGCCCGGGTGGGAAAGGACCTGGCACAACTCGACGTCGCGGACGCCGGCAACGGGCGACCGCGAGGTGCCGTTCGACAACCTCATCTTCCGGCGCGACCCGCCGTGGGCCAAGACGGGCGACGTCGGGCGGCTGACACTGGTGGCGCACTACGACAGCAAGCGGACGCCCGAGGGCTTCATCGGGGCGACGGACAGTGCGGCGCCGTGCGCGATGCTGCTGCACGCGGCGCGCAGCCTGGACGCGGCGCTGGCGGCGCGCTGGGCGGCGATGGAGGCGTCGGGCGAGGCGGACACGGCGCTGGAGCCGGCGGCCGGGGTGCAGATCATCTTCCTGGATGGCGAAGAGGCGTTCGTGCAGTGGACCGACGAAGACTCGCTGTACGGGGCGCGGGCGCTGGCGGAGCACTGGGAGCACGACTTCCACGCGCCCGCCTCCGCGTACCGCACGCCGCTCGGCGCCATCAGCCTGTTCGTGCTGCTGGACCTGCTCGGCGCGGAGGCGCCGTCGATCCCGTCGTACTTTGTCACGACGCACTGGGCGTACCGTAAGATGGCGCTGCTGGAGCGTCGCATGCGCGACCTGGGCCTGCTTGAGGTCGCGGGGCCGAGTCACGCGTTCCTGCCGGACGGGGAGGAGGAGGGGGCGGCGCAGCGGTTCGGCGCCGTACAGGATGACCATGTGCCGTTCATGCACCGCGGCGTCGACGTCCTCCACCTCATCCCCTCGCCGTTCCCGCGCGTCTGGCACACGCTCGACGACGACGGCGAGCACCTCCACATGCCTACGACCCGCGACTGGGCCAAGATCGTGACGGCGTTTGCGGCCGAGTGGCTCGACCTGACGGGGATGCTGCCCCAGCTGGGGCCGAAGAGGAACAAGCGGGCTGAGGCGGAACCGGTGCCTACGATGGAGCGCGCTGACTTGTGATTTTTCCGTGTTTGGCTCTGTTCTTATATGGTATCTCTGGCTGGGGCTTGGTGGATTTTATTGCGCTGCATTTTGACTTGGCGTTTGATAGCGGACTTTTCTACGCATCTTGGAAGATTGATGGAAACGTGCTTTGTAAGACAGAAATAAACCTCCATCATAAATAAAAAGACCTCATCAGTTCTCGTCCGACTTTCCTGCACGATGGTATCCTGATGCTTTCTCAGGCCAGGTCCCTGGACGGTGGGGCACTGGGCCAATCATACGCGACCTGCAGCAACCACGTAGCCACATTTGGGAAGCTCCCCCGGTGGGAGCTTGTGTGGCCTCTTCGAATGCTCAAACGACATCCGCGCAAAGCGACAAACCAACCCAATTCATCCTATAATGCGCATCTCGATCGCTGCAACGCTCTTGGCGCTCTCTAGCGCTGCCTCCGCCGCTACGCAATGGAGCTTCACCGACGGGTCCGTGACTGTCGCTGCCAAGGGCGGCGAGGGCGTCACTGAAAAGTACGAGACGAACACAGCTTGCCGCACACAAGACCATGATGCTTTCCTGGCGCATCAATTGGCGTTGGGAATGAGAACTGATGTTTTGATATAGGTTTTCCGCCGCCTCCCGCGCCAAGAATCAGGTCGATCTGGGCCACACCGGCTCGCTGAAGCTGTCCCTCACGGCCGAGGAGGGCGGCAAGGCCAAGCGCCCGCACCAGGCGTTCCTTGTCCTCCGCGAGGCGGCATCCGGGCTCGAGGCGCCGTTCCCTCTGACGATCAAGGAGTCGGGAAAGGGAAGTGTCAAGCTGGTACGGACCATACGTCTACGATGCACGCAAAATGGCAGAAGAAGGCAGAAACGAGAATTACACCAGTTTGGATGCTGACCAAAATTGCAGACGCAAAAGGATCTCCCTGTCCAACTCCTCCACTCGGCCGCGCCTTTAGAGGCCAAGATTGTGCTGGGCTCGTTCGGCTCCTCCAAGGCCATCGTGGCCTCCGTGTTTGACATTCAGGTCGTCCGCGACCCCAACAGCGCCAACACCTACGAATCGCCTCTGCGGTACGGAAAGCGCCCCGAGATTCACCACATCTTCCGCGCGGACCCGAAGAACCCGCCCAAGATTATCTCGCTCGCCTTTGCCGCCGCAGTTTTGGCCGCGATCCCAGTCCTATTTATCAGTGTAAGTGGGAAGAAACACTGTGATCGTCCGTTCCAATATTCTCGCTAACGAAGGTGCCTATTGACAGTGGCTTGCTCTCGGTGCGAATGTCAGCCACGCTGGGAAGGCCCTGAGCGCCGCCCCCATCTCGCACGCCGTGTTCTACGGCTCCATCCTGGCGATGGAGGGCGTCTTCTTCCTGTACTACAGCAGCTGGAACCTCTTCCAGACCCTGCCGGCGATTGCCGTCGTGGGCGTGGTTGCGTTCCTGAGCGGTAACAGCGCGCTGGGCGAAGTTCAGCAGCGCCGTCTAGCAGGCGAGAGATAGAGCTCTGAGAAGTGCATGCATCGTTTGTGGGCGCAACTGTGAGAGGGATAGGCAATGTGGTATTGAATCTATAGGGCCATCTCTCTTGTTACCTGGCTGCCGAGGCAAAAAAAAGGCCAGGGAAAAGAAGAGATGAAGTGGTAGCCGAAGTAAAACGGGGACGGGTTAGGTGAATTGAGGGGAGGGGCCGTTTTGTGGCATGCGGAGACGACGAGGGGAACAAGACAGATGGCCTTGCAAGGGTAGAATAAATAAGAGCAAGAGTGCAAAATGGATTTTGCTTAAAATAAGAAGCTGCATGTATTTCAGGAAAAAGGATGGGTGATCGCAACAGGGATTCAGAGGGTTGGCTGCGCCATGTCCGAAAATAACCCCCGAACCCAAGGACACCCCAAACGAGGGGCGAATTGTGAAAGTCTATTAGCCGAGGAAGTGTTGGAGATGCCGGAGCCGAAAATCCAAAGCCGGACGCCGTTCCCGTATCAGGATGGGCTTGGGTGCCGAGCTGGGCCGAACGATGGATGGCGAAGCGTGCTAAGAAGCAGTCCAAACGGTGAGAGGGAATGTCATTGGTGTGATGAGGGGCATTTATTAATCATTTTGTAAAAAAAATTCAACTGTAGATTAAGAGTAGAAAACTGTATGCAAGTGAGAGGGAAAATGCGGCTGAAATCTGGCTCGGCAACAGCTACAACCGGGGGCGGCAGCCGGGCTGCGGTCCTCCCCCCCCCTCTTCCTCCAAAAGAAAGCTCTGAGGCGAACCCCGGCTCTTTCTGCTGAACCCCAGACCTCAACCCGGTCCCCCCTTTTGCACCTTGGCAGTAGCAGTAAATAATTCAAAGAGACGTGATGTCAGATGTTAATATGAAGCCTGGAGAAATGCGTACTCGGCTAGACAGACATGCGGGTAGCACAGACAGCGCACGATACCCATGGCCCGCTGACCTAAAACGTAGAGGTAGACCTCTCGAGGCAAGATAACGTCGCAACGGCCGCGGTTCGAGTCAGTCTGGGCGACGAAAGGTCTCCGCACACCGATCTCACTCACGTATCGGGCCTTGTTAGTCAGGAAAAGAAGGTCCTTGGCTTGTTTCTTGCCTCCTTTCTGCGGGGGTCCCAAGACAAGGAAAGAAAGACACATAGAGGCAACAAGTGGCGGCGGGGAATTCCTCTAGTGCATCTATGTATGTGTACTCCGTAGTACCTACCCCAAAACAACTGTTCTCGCTCTTGAACCCGTACATTCCCTCGACTCTCTTCCTATCTCTTTGATTATTCCTTATCCTGTCATAAATTTATTTTATCCATTCATAACTCTATCTCGGCTCTTTCCGCCTCCGGCCCCTTTGTCAAGTAGCCGTTAACTATCTGTCGCCCCTCCTCCCCTCCCCAAATTATAACCAGCCGCCGCGCCTCGGCCGACAGACAACCTACCGACAGCGCTTCTCAAGATAAGAGACGGACAGCCTGCCTGCATAGCCATGGCTTCGGAGTAAGTTGGTCGAGATAACTGAACCCCTTGCATATTTATCACGCGTCTTTTTTCTATCATCATTCCTTTTTCATACTTTTGTCCTTGTGGTCGCTGCGCATCTTCCTTGGTTGTCTTGCGACGTACACTCGCCTTGCGCCGCCGGCCCCGTGTGTCTGTTAGCCTCGGCAACAGAAAACGAAGCAAACGACCAGCGACAGCACCGCATTGGAAGCACGAGAGTGAATCGACAGCAAAAAGTATAGCACTCATGACTTACCAACCGCCGTATAGTGCTTTTCGCGCCCCGTCGCTGGACGAGACGCTCAACCATCCGGCGTTTCCCGGCGCCAAATGGAGCCTCATACCAGACAGCCAAGGGAAGGCCACCGTCGCCAAGGACCGCTCAGGGCCGATTGATATTGCCTGGCAGATCCACGGCCACGGGCCGGTAAAGATTGTGGTACGTGTGAGAATTATTGGGAGATGTGTGTCGTTGCGCCCTCGAAGAACAACAGGCCCCCCAGAGTTTGGGGGTGACGACACTCAACATGACATGGGACAACACTGGCTGACATGCAACCGCTCTCACAGCTCATCATGGGCCTCGCCGCCAGCCTGAACGCCTGGCAGCGGCAGACGTGCTACTTTGGCCATGACCACGCCGACAAGTACACCATGCTGCTGCTCGACAACCGTGGTGTCGGCACCAGCGACAAGCCGCTCGCGCGCTACACGACGACCGAGATGGCCGCCGACGTCGTCGAGGTGCTCGACCAGATCGGCTGGACCGAACCGCGCTCGATCCACGTCATCGGAATGTCGCTCGGCGGCATGATTGCTCAGGAGCTCGCCTGCGCGCACCCGCGCCGCCTGCGCAGCCTGACCCTGCTGTGCACCACCGCCGCGCTCGAGAGCGACCGCCCCGCGCTCGAGACGCTTTGTGACCGCTTCGACCTGCTGCGGCCAAAGGGGCTGGAGCGCATCATCCACGACACCGCCCACCGCCTGTTCCCGCGCGCATGGCTCGTCGCCCCCGATGAGGCGGCCAACCTGCCCTCGCCGCACGCCACGCGCCGCTGCGGTCCCGCGCCGCCGCCAAGAACAACGACGAATAACAATACAACGACGGCGACGATGCTCCGGCCCAACGACAGCGGCGTGGACCTGTCGCCGTCGTCCGAGGGCTCCATGGCCGAGGCCATGGAAAAGGGCCTCGACCTCAACGGCACCGGCACCGGCACTGGCGGCGAGGAGATGCGCGCGTACCGCCGCTTCGGCAGCAACTTCCAGCGGTACCAGGCTGAGGAGATGACCAAGTACTACCCGCCCAACGTCTTCTCGCGGCAGGGCCTGCTGTGCCAGCTTGCCGCCGTCGTCGGCCACCGCAAGTCGGCGTCGCAGCTGCGCGACATGGCCGACGCCGTCGGTCGTGAGCGCATCCTCGTCCTCCACGGCACCGACGACCGCATGATCGGCGCCAACAACGGCGAGAAGCTCATTCGCATGATCCACCCCAGCGTCGGCCTCATCGTCGACGGCATGGGCCACGCGCCCATCATGGAGCGTGCCGCCTGGTTCAACGAGCTCATGGAGACGCGGCTGGCCGCCTGGTCCCAGATGGACTAAAGACGAACCCTCTGTTTTGCTCTCAAATACACCCCCCGAAATCGTTCTTTTTTCAGATTCTTGTTTGGATTTCTTTTTAGTCATTTATTCCCCCTCTCTCCCGCAGGTTGGATGATGATATGTGCAATGTTTTGGGCCGTCCTGACAGGCGAAACCGCATTTGATGCGTAGGAGGGACGGTCGGCTATCGGCGCTCATGGTTGTTCTGGGAAGCATTTGTTGCATACATGTATGCAAAAAACTCTGTAGCAGTTACAATTTCACGTCTTTTCATGTGCCTTTGCATGTCCTAATTTTACTCGTATTTTTTGGGGTTGAGTATTTACGTATTTCAAATTCAATTGCCTTCCACCTTCCCGCCTTCTGTCTGTCGAGGATGGACCCGTCACTCACGGAAGGACAAGGCCAACGCCGCTCAGGTGCTTCTCATCCAGCTGGCCGTTGGCGTCCATGCCGCTGCTGATGGCCTTTGTGCGGTAGTTGAACAGGTAGTAGTGCAGCTGGCCGTCGCCGCGGGCAAACTTTTGCTGGTCGAGGAAGAGCGCGTTGTCCATGAGCGTCAGCGCGTTGAAGACGTCAAACTTTTCCTTCTTGGCCATGATGAGGGCGTCGCCGACGAGCGCGTTGAGGCGGGCCTTGAGCGCCGCGCGGTCCTCGGGCTCCGCCAGGCCCGTCTCGGTCGCGTAGTAGAAGAGGTACGCGACGCGCAGCACGTTGTGCCGCGCGTTCTTGATCACCGACGACTCGACGCAGTAGAAGGAGACGAAGTCGGTGACCTTTCCGTCGGCGCCCTCGACGACGTACGTCCACACGACCTGCTCGCCGCTGGGCTCGACCTTGGGCACGAGCCAGTGCGCGACCTCAGCCTCGGAGAGCTCCGGCGCGATGTCGTAGCGCTTCTTGGCGTAGCGCCGCTGGAGGTCGACGACGGCCGCGACGTCCCCGGCGCGCATGGTGCGCCAGCCCTTGGTGCTCGTCGATTCGGGCACCGCGTACTTGCGCACCTGGTACTGCGGCTTGCTGCCGTGCGGCAGGTAGCTGAAGCCGACCTCGTACAGCTTCTGCCAGTTGAGCGGGCGGTGGTAGTACTGGCACGTGCTGACTGGCCGCGGCAGCACGACGCCCGCCGTGTAGAGGCCCTGCCACACGCCCTCGAGGTTGCTGATGCGCGTCACCTCCTTGATGAGCACCGGCGCCAGCCGCTTGCCGCGCAGCTTCTTGTGCACGCATAGGAAGTTGACCTCGGAGCAGGTTATGACCTGGTCGCGCACGCGGAGGTGAACCGGGATGGCCGAGATGAAGGCCACGAGCTTCCGAGACTGCGAGGCGCGGACGCCCACATGGTACCTCTTGTCCCAGCCGGGAGCCATCATGGCCCTTTGCGTCGAGCGGTTAGCATGTCCCTCCGAATATCCGTGGTCGATGGCGAGCTTACCATCGGAGGATTGAGGGCGAGTAGTTGAAGCGGAATGTCGAGTCGTCGTCCTCGACGTAGTGGCCGTTGAGCAGCTCGTAGACCTCCTTGATCTCCTCATCGCTGGTTAGGTCTATGGTGACCCATTCGAAGCCGCTGACGAGGCCGGCGGGCTCCTTGGAGATGTCTTCGACCTTTTGGATCTTGAGCGGCCCGTCCGGCACGGCCTGGTTCTCGTCGAAGCGCGGCACGGGCTGGGTGGCCCAGAACTTGTACGAGGCCATGTCCTTGACGTTCTTGCCACTGGCTGCGAGGCCTGACATGACGTCCTCGAGCCGCATCTTCTTGAGCATCTCGGCCGCCTGATCCGGTGTCGGGTTGGAGGAGCCGGTGGCCTGCACCACCTCTTGCGCCAGCGCAGGGTTCAGCGCGATGAGCTCTGAGAGCTGCTGCGGGGAGAGGGTGTCGAGGATCCGCTGCATGTCCTTGGTAGTTTGTTGCCCGCTGGCGTCGCTACTGCTACCGCTGCCGCTTGGCGCATCCGCTGGTTTCTTGCCATCCGAGGCCATTGTATTTCTCGTTCGCGGGCCGTCCGTGGAGGTTGTTGGGGGAATGTTAATGGCCAGGTAGCTGTATTGATCGGTGGTGGGGTTCGGGTTTTCCTGCCCCGCGTTTCGGTTTTGGCGGCTGTCGAGCTAGTTGTACTTGCCATCTTGTGCTTGGCTTACACGCCGCCGAGCTATTTGAACAAAGTAATAAAGAGGTGGTGTGCCTTGGATAAAAACTATAGAAGAATATGAGTATTTAGATCAATCACTAGGAGTTTGAAGTGATTGTTCTTTGAACAAAACTTTACGCCTCCGTGGGCTCCGAAGCCTTACACTCCGTGTGCTGTGAGGAGAGAATGAAAACTACATATCGATTCTGCTTTAAGTTATGTAACATCAGCAAACCCTTCTACTAATAGTTTAGTCAACACATTGAAAATCACCCCCACCTCGAGCTCTTATGTTGCCAGTGGTAGACGGAAGAGGACTCAGCTTTCCTTGCTATCACACAGCCGAAATGGGCTGCCTGGAATTGGGCCATCAGAGTATGTAGATCAATACACGAATATTTGCACGAAAAGTATGTAAATAGAGTTCCGATAGACTTCGGAGCTGGCCTCTGGAAAAAAAAAAGGAAGCGTTGGACGGCATTTCTGGCTAGTAGGGATTTGTTTGTCCTCTCTTACGACATGTACGGACTCAATCGTCAAAACAGCGCTGGACGGCCATAATCATGTTGGAAGATCCCATGATGTAATTGTGTCCTAGAAGTATTAGATTTTAGCTGTACTTTGTCAGGGTTCACGTACCACCATAGGGAACTAGCTCCTGTCGAATGATAATATCAGGTTCCGCTTTCCATGTCGTCACGGCTGCATCTTCGCCTTTGTGAATTGTTCTCTGCTCTTTCATGGCGCCGAACTCAGCCTCGTCAACACTGCCGACAAGCTCACCGGCAGCTGCTTTGAAGAGCTTGTTGTCCTCGGTGTATGGGATATCAGAATCGTCCTTTGCATGCAATAGACTCAAGCGAAGACGCGTTTTCGATTGACGGACAATCCTGACTAGACGATCGGCGGAGTGCCACTTGTCAATGACGAAGCGATCCAAAAGCTTGACGAAAGCCGGCCAGTAGCTGAACGGACCGAGCAGGGGCACGATGCCACCCATGCGATAGCCGCCAATCATGGTAGCTAGGTCGCTGAAACCGGCCACAAGAACAATTCCTGCAAACTCGACACCCTGTGCGGAGTATATTTCCGCAACGCCACTTGCTACGGCTGTTCCCAAGCTCTGGCCGAGAATGACGATACGGCTAGGAGGGACACCTGCCTCATTAATTGCCCATTCGACCAGTGCACGCGCATCCTGAATCAGGCCAGCCTCGCTCGGCATGCCAGTCGAGTAGCCAAATCCGCGGTAGTCAATAGATAGGACATGGTACGAGCTGGTATCGGTCAGTGCGTGGAAGGTCTCGGGCCGCATGCCCTGAGCAATGTGCCCAGCATTCTGCATGCGATGTCAGCGATGTGGGAGTGTTAAACAAGGAATACAGCCGTGGAGGATTCATACTCCATGAACTGCAGACAACCCGTTAGTAATTTCACCACCCGAAAGACAGATTGGCACTTGCATGATAGTATGAGCCTTGCCTGGGGATCACCCTTTAAGAGTTTAAAGGCCTCCGTCTCGGTAATGTCTGCAGCCAAACCCGAAGGCTGGACGGCTAGGCTATTCTCATTTTTGTAATACAGTGGAAGTGGGAGAATATGCCAGGCATATATTGACTCTTGATCTTGTGTTGTGAGAGTGAATGGCGTGACCTGGTTTTCTACAGGGCAGGTTAGTGACGGGGGAGGGGACGGCGCGCATGGGGAGGTTAAGTCGTACTGGCGAAGCCCCAGTAGGTAGGCTCATTCACGTCATATAGGAAGAGAGTATTTATTTTGTGAGCGTACAACGCGCTGCCTGACTTAGCTGAGACGCCGTTTTACAAGAAGCGGCGGATAACATACTGACGCTGGACAGACGGGATTGTGGCGACGCCAAGCAAGACCGCGTAGAAGAGGAAAGGGGCGGCTCCAATGGCCAGGGTGGTGGTGAGGAGCGTTGGAGCCATGATGATGAGGTGATTTCCGCTCTCGCTCGCGCTTCTGAGCACAAGGCGGCGGCGCAGCAGACCCTCGTCGACACGGGGCGGATTGGATGAGTGATTAGGTGTAGGTGGTTGTACTCTCTGGGCAGAGCGCGCGGTGCGTGGCACAGCAGTAGCACCGGGTTACGGTTGGTGGATGGGGTGGGCAGGGTGTGCCGACGACATGGGTTGGAGAAGAGGAGGAAAGAGACCTGTGCCGCACGTACGATAAGGTAGATCTTGATTTATTTTTTCTCTTATTATTCTTCGCTTATTCTGCAATAAAGTTCATTTCCAGATCTGGACTTCTGGTATCTGTGAGTCGCATGGACTGCAAGGCCATGTGCCTGAGAGGTGTGTCTTGTCGCGTTTCAGTGTGGGTCGGGACGTGGTATAGCCGCCGAGTTGGAGTGGATTTTTTAGTGGCTTGGTGCTTTGAAGGCTTTGGAGGAGGGAAAGCTTGCTTTTTAGCGGCTGGCCAGCACCGCTCTAACTCACAGGTTGCACCGTCATGGCCTGTCGTGGTGGCTGCATGACCCGCAAAGCCCGCTGTAAAGTTACCTGCAACACGGCAAATGCGCTGCGCCGACCTGCCCTCCAGCGTCTCTCTAGCGGCGGAACCCAGGCTCTGGCGGCGGCCAATCCCAGCTCGGACCTGACCTTGGTTGGCTGCTCTCGCCGTCCTGGCCGACATTTCAAGGTTCCAGTGGGCTTGGGGCTGCCGGCTCCGCCTGGCGCGTGGGCCAATCAGGCTGCGCGCTCAACTCAGTGCCCTACACTGCCGCTGGCTCGCTCCTACGCGGACCTTAACGGGCACTTGCAGCGCGCTGGCTCGCTGCACTGCGCTGCACTGCTCTGCACTGCTGCACTGGACCTGGAGCACCTTTTGATTTGACAGCCCTGTCTGGCCGCTCCGTTTCCCGCCCTTCCACCTCAACCCAGGTCAACCTCTCTCTTCCAACCTCCAAGGCAGGCCGCCCCTTTGCTTCCAACACGAGACAGAGACTGTGGCTGCTTCACTCCGCAACACTCAAAGGCAGCTCGCTCTGCATCCCCGTCAGTATCATGGTTTGCTAGTCTCTCGCCGCGTCCTAGGCCTGCCCATCTCACCACTCTTTGCTTCCATGGAGAGGAAGAGAAAGTTGCCGGCCCGGGCTGCGGCCCGCGCAGAGCAGCTCGCCAAGCGCCGCAATGCTTCAACTCGCGACCGTACAAAGACTCCCACTCCTGCTTCTACGCCAACGCGCCCCGAGCCTGTTGTCGAGGAGTTGCCGCCCACGCCGCCGCCGCCGCCGCCGCCGCCGTTGCCAACATCTGTCGAGCCAGGCAAGCCGTTGCCCACCATCGAGGTCGCCCAGTCCCACAACCTGTCCTCAGAGGAATACCAATCCATCTCAGAAAGGTCCGTACCTCCAATGGCTGCACACCACCCCCCCAATTCATTCGTCTCCCCGTGCTGACTTGTCCTTTCCCACAGTGGCGTGCTAGCCGAGTCGCTTGCGCGATCGAGACAACGATGGATCAGCGAAGGCCTCTTCGAAAAGTACTGGACAAAGCCACACAAGAAAAAGGGCGTACTCATTGAGGATCCTAAGAACCCCCCAAAAGACTCCATGACCAAGATTGGTAATGTCACAATTACCATCGAACCGCACATTGTCGAGGCAACTATGTACGCGGTTAAAGGCCCCAAGCAAAAACCTACAGCCCAAGCGCTTCAAAAACCACCGCAGCAACAAGCAGCTCGGCCTATAATTCAGTACGGCCCTGCGAATGGCACCATGCCGCCACCCGCACAGCCACACAGTGTACCGAGTCCTATCAACCGGCCAGCGTCGACGCATTCCCCTTCACTACAAGGGTCAACCCCCCAGTCTGGTACCCAGCCAACAAGCCAACAGGCGGCCGCATCGCCCGCACCAAAGAGCGCCACGCCCAACGCAGGCAGTGTGCAGCGCTTCCCGAAACCGTCAAGCCAACCACAAGGAGCTGCTGCTAGTTCCGCGACGGGAGCAGCGACAGCGCCTGCAAACCCTGCGGCTTCTCCTGCCACCCCACAGCCCCGAGTAACGCATACAACCGCCCCCGGACCATCCCAGCAAGCCGCTCCTCAGAGGACTTCTGCGACTCCAGGTGCCAGTCCTGCGCCCGCAGCAGCAAAACCCACTACAACAGACCCTGTCATTGCGCTTCTCGCCCAAAAAGCCTCAACCGACCCGGAGTTGCGAGACCTCATGAAACGTGTTGCAGTTGGCCAAGCTAAACCCGGTGAACTTGCCCATTTTCAAAAGATCATCGACCAATTGAACGCCGAGTACAAGAGTAAAGGCGGCCAGCAAGGCCCGTCGGCCGATAGGCTGCTGGTGGATGGCAGGACCGTCAAGTACTTTGCAGAGGAGGTCCGCACAATTCTTGACATTGTATTGGCTTCAAATCCAAACCAAAAGTCAAGTGAGCTGCGCCCACCTCCTGGAAGTGACCCTCTCGTTGTTCTGTTGGTCAAAACTGCCCTTGAAGATATGCGCACGAGAGATATGATTCGCAGAATCGCTGAAGGCCGCCCCGGAAACACGGACGCGACAGATCTTAAGGAGATTCTCGACCGTCTCAACAGAGACGCAAAGACAGCTCCCCAAGGCTTTCAGGCTCAGCCACCAGGGCGACAGATCACTCCCAACGGTGTTCCCAACAACGGCATGAGAATGCAGCAACCCCACACCATGAACAACACGAACTCCCAACAGTCTATGCGCGCAAAAGCCCCAGCATCTGCCTCTAGACCGGATATTGCTGCAGTAGTTTTTGATTTTGGAGCGGGCGATCGATTTTTGTTTCCCAAATTCAGCATCTTGGAGTTTCTGCCCACCGCATCAGGTCAACAAGTGGTCGCGTCTTTCCTTATCGTGCGCAAAGGGAGTACGTCTGAGTACGGAGGCGATCCTCAGCTCGACTACTACCAACCGGTGACTATTCGTCTCCAGACAAATGTTGGTAGGCATCTAGAAAATCTCGCGAGGGCCGTGGCTCCACAGGAGGAGGTCAGAAGATATATGGACGACGTTATGGACAACATGACTCGTGCTGAGTATGTTCTTTTGGCCATGCAGCTGCCTCGCCAGGCCTATGATCCCGACGAAGAGGTCGGGACGACTGAGGTTACGGGAAATAACAGCCCAACTTCCAGTGCGGATCAAGACAAGGCGGAAATCATAAAGCCTGGCGTGTTGTGGACAGTAAGTGCTGGGTCCAACAGATCGTCGATGACCCCATCACGCCAGATCCCTCGCATCGACGCCGAGGAGGAATCGCAGCAGAAGTACCAGCGACTCATTAGATCTATTGAAGAGAAGGAGTATGAGTACGTGTGAGGGACGAGGACAAGTCGATTGAGGAAAACATTCATTTGTTGGAGTAGATGTGAGCATCTCGTGTTTGGGTGGCACTATTGAATCTTTCGCTTGGTTGGGTTACTGGTTATTAATGGCGTTTAGGGAGAGAGGTTTCTGTATGAGATACATGACACACTGTACATAGCCAAGACAAACGGCCGTAAAAGCTTACCTATTATTCAATCCGACATTTCTGTACGACCTTTGCGCTCCTTTGGCTGGAGCAGCTAGAAGCTGCTATGATAACTGCTCGACTTTTATCCACGCATTGTCCCTGGATTGCTGACTGCATTCACACACCAAGTTGCCTTCATTAGCTGCATGAATCGTCCGGTGTCCTTGGGCTGTTGCTGTTGGCGCTTACTAGTATGCAGGCAGCCAGGATCAGCGCCAAGCTAAGCCCCACTGGTGACGTCCCTAGCTGTCTCTCTACCTAGCTCTGTCAAACGATGTGCCGTATTACCTACTGCAACATCAAGTTGATCTGAAAGCAGCAGGACTGCGTGTGCTACACTCACTCGTTTTTCATTAAAAAAATTATCGCTTTCTTCTATACATCTCGGCTTGCAGAAACCCGGACAGAGATACTCACCGTACACGATGGGGCAGTCAATGTCGGATGAACAACCACCACAACGCTCAAAGGAAGAGCTGCTCCAGGACCTGGTGAGTAACGCAGAGCGCCTGGAGACCCCATGTTCCTGCAGGACTGACGTTTTTCTTCTGTCTCAAACGCTATAGGCGGTGAGGTTCAAGGAGAAGTGCTTCTCCTCGCTTGAATTCTACTCCCTCAAGGATGTCTTCAAGACGCTGGCCGATCACCAGGGTGGCGTCTCGTACCTGAAGGAGGACACCGTTGCCCGCTATCTGGAGATACCCGACATCCTTGGCGCTTCGCCGGTGTTGTTTCAGATGGTGTCATACATAGGCGCGTTTCCGTTTCTGGCGGAGGCGCCTGTGATTCTTGAGCTTCCGCATTTAATAATGGTAGTGGTCATCATGACGGAACGATACAAACGGGTCCTGGATCGCGGGCCGACAGACCGTACAAAGCTGCTATTCAAGAGCATGGCGGTGTATGATCGCAAAGCGTCCGCGACAGGGCCTGCTTCTCCGACTGTCAAGAGCGACGAGCCAGATCGTCCTGGCAACAACTCGTTGGGATTTACCATTGATCAGCCCGGGCAAGATGAAGACGACGAATACGCCGACGACGACCTCGTTCTGACTGCATTTGAATTACTGGATATTGGCGACGCCGTTAAGCAAGGAAGTGTTCTAGAGGTACATGGCGCAATTATACCCACGGATAACTTCCGCAAGCTCGTGATGCTACTGCTTCTTGTCGCCCCCTTGGGTGAACAAGACAGCCTTTCGCGTTATTCCAACAGGGTCACTGGTATCGAGCTCGAGCACCTACGAGCTTCGGCAGAGAGTATTATATCATCCTTTGTCGACGTGGAGACATCGCCTGGCATTCGGTACCATGACTTCAAACGACTTATTCCTATTATAGCACCGAATCTCTTTGCCGGGTTCAACAACCTCTTTGGACACTTTTTATTCTCCAAAAATCTCGATTTTACAAAACACAAAGGCGACGAAGCCAAGCTGGAAGATAAGCCTGCAAAGCTGGCTCAGCCGCTGGTGCTCAACAACGGCGAGATCTTGAATGGCCACCTGTTGGCCCAAATAGCGACATTCTTGCCCGCCTCGGACCTGTTTCACCGCGTCCGCCTATTATATTCAGGGAACGATTCAGGATTCTCAATAGGTAGCTTCGAATCGAAGGTATTTAACTGGGCCGCCCCGACGATATTGCTGGTGAGCGGAAGTCGAATCGCAGACAAGCCGGGTGGCGGGCCGGAAACCAAATTTGCCGAGTCCCTGCCTCTAAAGCGATATCCGAATGGTAGCAAGGGTGAGCGCGTCACATTTGGCGTGTACGTCCGCGAGCCGTGGAAGCACACGCACAGGGGCTGCTTTGGCGACTCCGAGACCGTCCTCTTCCAACTCGAGCCTGTGCACGACATCTTCCGCGCGTCCACCATCAACACAGACTACGTCACCTTCACCAAGGCACCCGCAAACCCACCGTGTATGGCCTTTGGGTGCCCGCATCCCAAGCCGACCAAGTCCGGGCGCAGCTCCCACGGCACGTTCAGCCTAGGCGCGGTGTCGTTGCTATTGGATGACTCCTTCGAGTTTGGCGTCTTCCACCACGACTTCTCGTCGCGCGGCGGCGCGTTCCGCACGAGCTCGGTGCGGCAGGCCAACTTTGAGGACCGCTTCCAGGTCGAGAAGCTTGAGGTATGGGGCTGCGGCGGCGACAAGGAGGCGGCGGCGCAGGCGGAGAGGTGGGCGTGGGAGGAGCGCGAGGCGGAGGCGCGGCGCAAGATCAACCTGGGCTCGGGGAGCCAGGAGCAGGATCGGGCGCTGCTGGAAATGGCCGGCCTGATTGGCAGTAATCGAAGTGGTGGCTCAATGGGGTAGCCGGATACAATGAGCATATATATAAGTACTTGGTTAGGATAGTCCCCAACAGCTGCTTGTTGAACTCGTTTCATATGGAACATAGTCTATCAATTGCTGATACAATGCTGTGGGCTCAAAGCTCCTATATCGTACAAGAGAGGCGTTTTCTTTCCCAAGAACCCATTATATACATACTGCAGGCCATTTTCGGCCAGAGCTTTATTTCTTCGATTCGCCATCTTCCTTCTTCTTTGAACCGTACACCTCTCCCAAGGCGTCCAAGGAGCTCCTGGGGTTCTCCCTCCTCTTCTCAGTCGACTCGACCGCCGCGGCAGCGGCCACCTGCTCCTCGGCTGCCTTGGTCTCGGCCGGTCCCCAGAGGCCCATGCGACCTAGGATGCCGCCGGTGCCGGCCGCTTGCGCCTCCTTCTCGTCCGTCTGTCCGCCGTCGACGGCCGGCGCGCGCCCGGCCTTGGCTAGCGCCTTCTCCTCGAGCATGGCGCGCATGGCCTTGTCCTCCTCGTCGCGGGCCTCGAGCTCGCGGATCCACTTCTGGCGCTTCTCCTCGGCGTCCGTCTCCTCCTTGACGCGGCGCAGCTCCTTGCTCTTCTGGCGGTCCTGGTTGTAGTACATGCTGCCGGCGACCATGGCGATGACGGTGAAGCCCTGCGCGGCGACGCGGGCGCGGAACATCTTGTTGGCCTGCTTGGAGTCGCCCCGGCGGAGGGCGCGGTATGCGTTGATGAAGGCGAAAACGGTCAGGCCGATGCCTACGGAGAACGGAAGGGTGCGGTTAGCCGTCGTGGAGGCTCTCGTTGGTCGTCATCGGCATGGGGAGGGGGGGTAATTTACCGAGCGGCACGAGAGGCTCTTCCTTGATCTTGCGAAAGACTTTGTGGAGTGCCTTTTCATTGCGAAGTTCGCTGGGAAAGGCCCCGTCGCGTGAGCAGTGGCGATCGGAGCTGGGCCATCAATTGGGAAACACATACTTGTCGTCGTCGAAAGACGAGGGCATTCCGCCCGAGCTGGGTGGTGGTAATTGCGCCATGATGGAGGATTATGGTTAAGGGCTCCGGTGGTTTGCGAGGAGAGAAAGAAGGTCACAAGCTCTCCAGTCGTCGAATCATCGATAGTAGAAATCGCAAGCTAATAATTTTTGTTAATCAGTATGGGCAGGCTGTTCTGGGCAAGACCCACCAGCTAAGAGCAAGCTTTCCCCAACCTCAGACTACCTACAGCTTACCAAGCCTCCCCTTCCTCGCTTGATTTTTTTGATTTCTGTCAACAGCTTTCTTCCTACATACACTACACTCAAGGATGCGAGTATTCCTTCACGACTTGTCACAAGGTATCATATTCAAACGCTATTTAACGATCGGAATCGACATCTAATTACAACGAGCCGTTGCGGCATCGATCGGCCCGCGGCCAGGGGCGCTACGGAGAGCATTTTAGCAGCCCGAGTAACATGATACCGCGACCGTGATGTGGTTTCCGACACCCTCTACCGAGAGCCTCACGAGGCCACGGGTGGCTGTCGCTGTCGTTTCAGTTGTGGCAGCCATCTCAGCAGGCTACTATGCATACCGTAGCAGCTTGCCGCACCTCGTCCTCGAGCTGCCTCCTGGCACATTGCATAGAAGCAACGCCGTGCGTGGGCACCATCGCCGCTCCCGGCCGTCAGGAACCGCCAGCAGCTCGTCCTCAGATGTCGCCGGCGATGAAAACGCGGAAAATGCCGAGGTGCCGCCACCGCCACCCCCGGCGGAAGGCGAGCAAGGAGGCGTCGAGGAAAACAACGACGATGAATGGTGGAACGACCCGAATCAGCTACCACCTCAGAGAGCGGGCCATAACATCGTCACATTGCTGTTCAGGGTATCGGAGGACAATGCCCGGCGCAATGGATACGTTCATAGAGGATGCCAATGCAATGCCTGTGGCATGGTCCCCATTCGTGGCATCCGCTACCGCTGCGCAAACTGTGCCGATTTTGACCTTTGCGAAACCTGTGAATCGCAAGGCAGCCACATCAAGACGCACATTTTCTACAAGATTCGAATTCCGGTCCCGCCGTTTGGCCACAGACAGATGCAGCCAGTCTGGTACACCGGTGACCCAGAGTCTTGTCGTCGTGCAGTGCCTAGAGGAATCATGGCGAGGCTATCCAAGGAGACTGGGTTCGAGCGGCCAGAGCTGGAGGCTTTCTGGGAGCAATGGACCTATATGGCGAACACGGAATGGCGGGATGACCCTGATCAATTTTGCATCGCCATGGATCGCAAGACGTTTGAACGGTGTCTCGTACCGACAGGCGCATCTGCATATGCAGAACCCAATCTGATACACGACCGCATGTTCGCATTCTACGATTCAAACAACGACAACCTCATCGGGTTTTCAGAATTTTTGCACGGGCTGTCCTACCGACGCAGGAAAGACAAACTGCAGACTGTGTTTGACGGCTACGATATTGACAACGATGGATATGTCGACCGCAAAGACTTCTTGCGCATGTTCAAAGCATATTATGTCTTGTACAAGCAAATGCATAAAGATATCTTGGACGGCCTCGAAAACCAATTGTTGTCGACCACAGAGGCAAAGCAACTGGTTCAAGGCCGACAGCCGCTCAGCAGCCACTTTGGACGCGATGAAAGAGTGCCGCAAGCTGATTCCAACCTGCGATTTGAAGGCAAAACGTACCATCCCGACGGTCATGTTGATGTGGAAAGAGACAAGACAGACGCGTTTGTTGAAAACGAAACTGATACTGCTCCACGAAGGGATATCCTGACAAGCCTTTTTGCATGTGAGACGGACAGGAGGGCAAGACGTCGACTGGTAATTGGACATGATGGAGATGGCAACTGGCGGACGGCTCGGAGAGCCAGTGGCGGTGATACCGACAGCACTTACTGGCTTACTATGCTTGATCCGCCGAACAACTTGGAACAGCTCACAGATGTTTTGCGCAGCATTAGCAATGGTACTGAAGGAGACATTGCACTGCGAGACTCTGCTGACGAGGATGAAGGTAATGAAGCGGACGACCAAGGGCGCGACTCGAACGAATCGGAAACCCGGGCACCGACAGAAAGCGAAGCCCGCGCCATAGCCATCGAGCGTAGCCGAAGACAAGCTCCTAGGCTCGAAAAGAAGCGGCGTGACATGGCCCGGCGTAAAGTTCATGATCGATGGAGACGTCGACAGTTTTATCTTGATGAGGAAGAAGGCTGCATGGCTCCGGATGACTGGAGTGACGGTGAGGATATTCTTGTGCAAGCGGCGCAAGCAGAAATGGAGGAGAAGTTGCGCCGAGAGAGTCGACGAAAAGGTGCCCCAGTATCTGCTCTGCTCGAGCCAGGGCCTGACGACTTTCCGTTCAACACCCGGCGCGATGAAACCTCGCATGCTTCTCTGTCTGCGGAGAACGACGCCGGGAAGGAAATCCTATACCAAGTGACGCAACAGGCATTCAACGAGCTCCTGGATGTCATTTTCAAGCCCGCAGAGGATCTTGCTGTACAGGCTGCTGAAACTAGGCCTCAACGCGCACTGTACATGAACGAGATCAACGAGGTGGACCCGTCTGAGCCTGACACAGAGGTAGATAGCGAAGATGGCGCAGAGAAGACGGAGGGTGACAAAACCTCTGGTGACAAGTCGGTCGATGAGAAGAGCCCGGTGGAATCACGAGTCGAGGGCGGATACTTTGCTCAGCCGTCAGAGCCTCGTAACGCGGTCGAGCTCGAGTCGGGAACCAGCTTCGCGGAGACGCTCGAAGCAGCGCGGACGGTTGAGGCAGAAACCGAGTACCGCGATCCTACGCTGCCTCAAAATCGACCAAACAGCGAAACTTGGACGGAAGACCCGCCAGCCGAAGCTCCGCCACCAGAAGCTCCCGAGCCATTACCATGGCACCGCCCCTCGGTGAAGACACTCAGATACTGGCAACGGTTGGAACTGGCGGAGCTTCAGGCTAAAGATCGAGGCGGTTGGGGGAAGCTGAACTTTGCCGAGTTTGAAGAAATCTACAAGTCCCAAGAGATGCAAGGGAACAGACTGGACTATCTGGGCAGCTGGATTGACTTTTGCATCCCATAGAAGGATCAGAAGAGACCGCCAATGATGTTATGTCTAGGTGCATTGCCCAGCATTACGTACAGTGCAGCCAGACGTCTTCAGTTCTGGGGATGGCTGATTCCAACTGTTGGTAGGACATGTGGTTGGCAGTTTTGTATTATCCAGTGAAAGCGGACGCATGTTTAGTCCGGGATGACAAGCGAAAATGATATTTTTTCTACTTTTTGAATGGTTGGTGCCTCGACGCCGTTGGCTTTTGTGTCCATGAGCGTAGATGATGGTTGCGCGGGCTCGCATGCGGCGAATAGATGATTTAGAGAATACCTTTCTCTACCAACCCGGCCTTTTATGGCAACACAACTCGACGACGACTTGAACGACAGAAACCAGTCTAATCAAGGCCGCGCTTTTACTGTATATACATACCTCCGTGTCGGCCGGTTAATCTCGGCCGAACCACCCACACTTAGGGCTGAGGGGCTTTGAGGCTGAACAAGAAGAAGCACCTGTCAACTTTTTTCTTCCCCGAAACACCTGTAGCGAAGGTCTGGGCCTGGGGGCAGATTTCGGATGCATTATTAGCAGCCCCGTCCATTGGCTAGCGTACTCATGAAACGAGGGAACTCGGTGGACAGTAACTAAACCAACTACGCGACGTCGGCCAAATCCCAATCCAAAGGGGGGGGGCTTGGCTGGATCAGGGAACTTACCGCGAGCCGGAGCTGAGTGAGGCGCTTCAGATCCGGGGCTTGTCATACTTGCCGAGAAACTGCCCTACCCTCGCCCTGCCCCTGGGATTCGATTCGGGGGTCGGTCGCCATCTCCGCTCCTCTTCTCGTCGCTCCGATTTCTCCGCACTGCCCCGGGGTTCTTCACCATATGACGTCTCGAGGAAGCTAGTCAACTCGTTAGTTTGGGACTGAATTCGTATGACGGCGGGCCAATTTTATCTAGACCCGGGCCGGGCGCCGGCGTGGAAACTGAAAAAGGGGAGAGTCCCGCCGCCACGTTTCCGTTCCTGTATTTCTCTTTCTTCCCCGACCTGTTCAGGAGCAAGAGGGTTACTCTTGATTCCCTTGTAAAAGATGGAAAGGTAATAGGAGCCCGGTGTGGCAACGTATAGACTTTGAGTTGGCCATGTTTAGCAAGGCGCAACCGCGTCCGTCACGGTGTCCACGTTGGCAAGCGATGCCGGCAAAAAAAGATCAAGGTGCGTTTTTAGCCACTTGCGGGATACCCATCCATCCGATTGAGGGAGTAACGAACGCGGCCTCTAACTTGCCGGCGCATACTGCGCTCGAAACAGTGCGACTATGTTCAACCGCGATGCGGTCCCCTGTGCCACGGCCAAAGGTGACGTGCGAGCCGTACAAGCAGCAGTTCCACTTCATCCACGCCGAGGCGCCGTTGCCACATGATGGCCACCGGGCTGGCGGCGGCGGCGACGACGACCGGGCCATTACAGTAGCGTCGGCGCCGAACGAAGAGCGCCTGCGCGGTGTCCTTGCCGAGGTACCAGCCACGGCACGTTGCGACCTAGCAAGCAAGACTCCTCACGAGAAAGCGGCCGGCCACAGGCAGCGGCGTGGTTGCTCGGCCCGGCACCGGAGGAAGAGGAGCATCAAGCAAGGCCGGCATGACGACTGGTGGCTCGCGGCGCTCTCAGCAGCGAGCCCAGTGACGATGATGGAGATGGCCGGGGGGCTCGCTGCTGAGAGCGCCGACGCCTTCGACCAGTTCCTGCGGTACTACCTGCCGGACGGGCCTCGCCTGCCGGCGCACCGGTCGTCCGGGTCATGGCTGGCGACGGCGCGCGCGCACCGGCAGGGCTTTCCCCCCGCTCGAGGCCGGCACCTGCGCGCTCGGCGTGCTGACCCTCGGCCGCACCGTCGGCGACCCGGGCCTCCAGCGGCACAGCGTGAGCCTGTGCGGCGACGCGCTCGGCTTCGCGCGGCGGCTGATCGCCCGGACGACGCTGGACAACGGAAACTGGCTCCCGGTCTTGGAGACGGTCACCCTGCTGTCCTTGTTTGAGGTGAGGGAGGTGACCTGTGTGATGGTGTTCGCCCCTGCTGACTTCTTGGCTTCGTTTTTTTTGGGGCAGGCACTGGCAACCCCGTCTATGCAGCAGAGGACGTTGAGTCATGTCACTGGACTCGCCGCGTTGTCAAAGCTGGCTGGTCCATCCGCCTTTCAGGAACCAGAGACTCACAACATACTTCTACATATGCGAAGCGCCATCGTATGTCCCTGTTACGTGTCCCTCTCGCAGACACGACTCTAACCCCTGCTTCACCAGTTATACACCGCGGTGCTGGAGGAACGAAGCAAGTTTTCTCGCGGACCCGCGATGACTGTCGGAGCCCTGGGCCTGTATCCCCAAAGTTAATATCGCTCTTCCTGCCGACGCTGGCGGCGAACCATTTCCTGAAGCGCAACAACGGCGATGACGAGGAGGTCATGGCGGCGTGCAGGCGGACGGCCAACACCTTTATCGAGAGAGGCTTTCAGCGTTTCCGCAACTATGCATGATCTGGTGGGAGATGGATGCTTAGAACTGTTTCCGCCGAGTAGGCTGACGCGGACTTGCATATATACACACGCATGCCCTGCTTCGCAAATACAGTCACTTCTTGGCAGCCCGACTTTCAAGCATTGATTCAGTATGAAATGAAGACATCATTCATTCCTCCAATTTATGGAGAGGAGTTCTGTGTGAGCAAACGCTAAAAGGCTTGAAAAGAAAATCCAAACGCCATACTATGCATACAGCATGCCAGCTGCCAGCTTTTCCCCTGCTCGGCTTGGGACGTCTCAGCCGAGCCAAGCAATCAATACAGCAACAACGAAGCAATACAAACAGTTTTTAAGAATCCAGGGCCTTGATGATGAGGTAGCTCGTGCCCGCGGCCAGCACGCCGATGATGAGTGTCTGGATGGCACCCCACAAGCCGGCGCGGTGGTTGCGGATGGCCACGTAGTTCTTGACGTAGCCAAAGATGAGCAGGATGACCGCCGTGACGGCGATGGAGACGACGAACGCCTCGCCGACCTTGGGCATGATGAAGTAGGGGATCATTGGGATTAGGCCGCCGACGAGGTAGCTGAGGCCCATGGTGACGCCCGAGATCCAGGCGCGGTGGATGTTGGGGCGCTCGAGGCGCAGCGAGAAGTCGACCATGAAGCGCGCCCAGTGCGCGCGGTTGCGGCACAGCTCGTCGACGAGCGGCTGCGCGGCCGCGCGGGGGACGGCGTACTTTTCGAGGATCGTGTAGACCTCGGCGCGGCGCGCCTCAGGCATAGCGTCGACCTGGTCAAGCTCCCGCGCCTCCTGCGAGGTGTAGTGGTCGCGCTCCGTCACGGCGGCCAGGTACGCGCCGAGGCCCATGGAGATCATGCCGGAGAAGAGCTCCGCGAGGCCACCCATGATGACGATCTTGCTGCTGCCTAGGCTCGACAGGCCGGCGGTGAGGGCGAAGGGCACCGTCAGGCCGTCGGAGAAGCCGATGATGACGTCGCGGAGAATGTCCGTCGTGTCGAAGAGAGCGCCCTCGTCCTCGGGCATGCCCTTGCTCTCGTCGTACAGAGGCGAGTACCGCTCAACGGCGGGCTCTCTGGGCAGAAGAGGGGAAGATTCATTGTTGGGTGCCATGATGACTGTGAATGTGTGTGTATGTAGGTGTGGGTGTGTAAAAGATGGGAGGTGAAGCACAAGAATTGGCTATACTGGGGATGAGTGTGATCAATTGGGGCCGGTGGCCAGAGGGGCCTTTAAGCAACCAGCTTTTGAAAGATTTTATCAAGGGGTATCAAGTAAATGAGATGAGGGTGAGGACTGCTTCAGCTCCAAAGTCAACCGTTCACGGCCAGGGAGTCGCTCCTCATATACCCTTCACACACAGCTCGCCTGCAAATCAACACAGCCAATCAAAGCAATCGCATTGCTGACCCTGCAATGTCATCCAAAAGCAAGCGATTCGGTTGGCCGGGGAAATCGGATTCCCTTCCAAAAGTCGCCGCTCGAACCCTGCGGTGGTTCGCTGGTAGATCTGGAACCGACCAATCAGAGCACTTGTTTTAGTCAGCTCACGGTCACCTCAAATGCAACCACACCCAATTGGGTTGGCCACGCTTGGGCTGACATCAAAGGAACGTGTGTGGACAAGGAAAAAAGATTTGGGCCCAATATTGGCCAGTGGTTTGTTTCCCTGTAAGCCACCGGCCGATGGTGCCGATGACTTGTCACCGCTGTTGGGAGGGGGAGACGAGGTTCTGACGTTGAGGTTGGCCACCGCTGAAATCTTCGGAGACCGGTGAGCAGGGAGAGGGGCGAACGCCGAATTATCCCCCACCGCCCAAAATCCATTTATTTCACCCTGTTTGGGAAGGTTTCCTCTGGCCAAACTAGAAAATCGTCAAGGGAGAAGTTGGCGTCATCCCAGGGGAAACCATGCTCGTTCAACGGCGGCGCCAGCGCAGACTCGACATCGAACAGAGCAAAGTCCCTGTCGTGACGACCATCATCCGCACCCTGCCCCAGCCGCAGCCAGTCGAGAGCGCCGTCCCCCAAGTCCGAGTCCGTCCACGGCGATAGCGTCCCGCTGGTCGGCGGCGACAAGGTGGTCGACGTCGACCGCGCAGCCTCCTCCCCGGCGGCGCGCAGGAACTCGCTCGGCGTGACGCCCGCGCAGCGCTTGAAGACCCTGTGAAAGTGCCACTTGGAGAGTCCAGTCTGGCGCGCCATCTGACTCAGGCTCTGCGCACCACCGCTGCTTCTCCTCTCCTCGACAAAGGCGCGGATCTTGCGCACGGCCAGCTCCTCCGGCATCGCCCCCGCCAGCTCCGGCCGGCACCGCTTGCACGCGCGGAAGCCGGCCGCCTGCGCCGCGCGGCCGCAATCGTAGAAGCGCACGTTGGCTCGCCGCGCCAGGCGCGCCTTGCACGTCGGCCGGCAGTAGATCTTGGTCGTCTTGACGGCGTAGACGAAGAGTCCGTCCGCGGCGGCGTCCCGGTCCTGCACGGCCCGCCAGCGCCGCGCGTCGTCGCTAAATGACATAGACAGCGGTTTAGGATGTGGGTTTTCTTGCGCAGAGGCCATTTCGTATTGATGTTGATGGGTTCATGGCGGGCGAGTTGAGCCGTGGCGGGTGATGAGGAGGTTCTTATGGGCGGTTGCAAGGTTCACGTTGAGAAGCGGGTCTTGCTTTCAAAGTGGCCAATCGGCTTGCATGCACGCATCATCAACTTGGACGGTTCACGATTGCTATCGCTTGGAAGTTGCGGTAGTTCTCATCGATGATGTTCTCATTGATCGTGTAAGTTTTATTTCATAAGCCATTCCTCGCTAGAATTCACTGTTTTATTGCGTTCCCTGCACCCGGTTCTCCTAAAGCAGACGCCTTCCAAACTTAGAGCAACTTCAACGCACTTTTTGAGCTAAAAGTACAACTAAGATTAATCCTCTCCCCTTGACTTTTTGTGATAGAAACGCTTTGAAGGCCTGTCGGGACTTTGTAAAAACTCTCTCACGCGTCATTACGTTAAAATGCATACCCACCTGTGTGAAGGTCATCCTCACCAGGCTCAGACAGGCAAAATTGGGCATCAGTCAACAGGCCACCCGCGCTACCCTCATGAGCAGCTCCCGTGGTGGCATCCCACATCTCGTTTGCAGCCGCCTCGGCAGTACGGCCGATTGATTGGAACTCTGGCATCGAGCGAGGTGCCCGATAAAAGCCAGACGGTGGATAGAGATCGCCCTGCAAGGGACAGACGGACGAGAACTGCCGCCAAGAGGAAGCTGTGCTTCTCGGAGCAGTAAGCGGGAAGGGAATCGTCTGCTGTAAAAGCGGGGCGGCATTTTGTGCGGGCGTTTGATTAAAGCTATAAATGTGCGGATCGAAGGACTCCCGGGTCTGGTTTGCCAAGGCCCAAGCAACAGAACATTCTGTCGGATACTCCGGTGCCGTGTAGAATACATCGCTAGGAGTCCGGGGTCTCTCCAGGTCCCGACTATCGGCGCAACCGGGCTCCCTCTTGATCGCCTCCGGATGTTGTGTACCAGCTTGAGCGAGCTGTGGGCTCGGGGCAAAGAGACCCTGGCCTTGGGCAGGACATTCTCCGGGCATGAAGAGCCCAGAATCGTTAGAACGCGACTCAGGCGCCTCTATTTTGACCTTTCTAAATGCTGGCTGCTCTTGCTCCCGAGTAGAAGGTCCTGGCCAATCGTTCTGGGACGGACGCGGAGGAGGCGGCATCGCACCTTGTTGCGGGGAGGCCGCACTGGACCTAGCCGACAACGTGGTAGGTTTTGCAGCAAAGACATTGTGCACAGAACCACTTTCGCGGTGGTCAATGGTGTTAGATGGCTCGTCGGTCAAGTCTATCACACAAGCTTGGCCTGCTGAAGTCAATGATAGCCCTGCAGTATGAGGTGCGTCTTGTCGAGCCCGTTTTGGAGATCTGCCAGTCTCAAGGTCCTCAACGGTTCTCCCAGGCGACAGTAATACGGTTAGCATAGGCATGACAGTCACCTCTGGCTCAACCACAATGACAGGCTCCTCTATATGGCCCGCCCTATTCTCTATCCAGCGCATGATATGGGCGGCCACGTCATCACTGTTCGACTCCAGAAACATCAAATGTCCGTTGCCGTACGTCTTGTATTTCTCCAAGAATCCGCAGTCAACACTGAGACCGGCCTGTCTCATGAAGTGCATCGTGGAAATGTCATACTCCGAGTGGTGGCTTGCTTCACCAGTGAATATCACATGCCGCATCTTTGACAAGTTGGTAAGCTTTCGCACATGCATTGCGCCCTCGCCATGCGTCATCTGTTCCTCCAAATAGAAGCCGTCCGGGATCTTGTCTGGGCTATACTGAAGAATCATTCTTTTCCCGCTGCTGATGTGGACAAAGAGAGCCAGATCCAGTGGGTGAATGTTTGGCTCTCGTTCCACGGAAATGTCTGGTCTAGCAGGAGGATCGAACGTGAGGGGGATGTTCGACAAGCCGTACTTGAGACGATCTGAGTTGAATGTGGTGAATGAATCATACTTTCGAGTGCCATTTCGCAGCACGGTTGTTTCACAAAATGGCGGACCAGGAGGCTCGACGGCAACTACGCCAACGACCAGGTCCGGCATGACGTCGACTGCAAGCCATGACGCCGTCGCGCCGGTGCCTTCACCGATCAACACAGCTTTTCCAGTAACCTGAAGCAGCTTCTTGAGCGCATTCTGTGCGAGAGTCTGCCGCTCTTCGGGGGTGAAGAAGAGCGGCGTCAAGCCGGCGCAGTACCTTTCGAAAATGCCATCACCGCGCATGCCGGACTGATTTGGTTAGCAAATGATGCAAGCAGCGAGCATATTGACAATTTACTTGCCCCTGGCCATTTGTCGTGCTTCAGAACCGTCGGCCAACGGAGGTGGTCGGCGTAGCTGAACAACTCTGGAGCAGTGACATCTCTCTCAATTTGAGAGGCTTTGATGCTGGTGACTTCGGCCACGCTTATTGCTTCTTTCGTGAGGTTATGTGCCTTCCCTGTGCCTGGAAAATCGACGAGATAGACATGGAAGCCCTTTCCAACGAAATACGAGGCCCAGCCGGGGTTTCCGTCGGGTTTTGTGAGCCAAACCTGCCGTTCTCATTAGCATTGTTTGCCACGGTATTGATGGCACCCGAGAAACCAACTTGACTCGAATGGTAGTCGCCATGGATGAGAATTAGGGGCCATTTTTGGGTCTTTCTCTGCGGCTCAAGGCTTTCAACATACATCTGGCCTCGGATGTGTGTGCGCTGCTCAGGTAGGCAGCCCGCTTGCCATTCGCTGTTGACGAAAAAAGTTGTTCGTTTCACGAGGCTCTCGCCTTTTTGCATGTTGGCAGCCGCTGGGTCCTTTTTGGGCGGCATTATGCAGCCACAGGGAAATCAAGGTAGGAATCGGGGATTGTTGTGGTGTTGAACCGACCTGGAGCTTGTTTCGAGATGTGTGTTTTCGTCGGTGGAAATGCGAAGGAGAAGAACAGTAGAAGCAGAAGTAAAAGTAGCCGTAAAAAAGAAGTTCTTAGAGAAGAGGAAGCAGTAGAAGGAGAAATGGGCAAATGAGAAGTGCCGAAGCAATATGCGCGTTTGTGGTGACAGCTGGCAACCTCGGCACCAACACGGAGCCAACGCAGCCAACACAGTGAATTCAAACAAAGCTGATGATGCAAACGGTAGCTATACATACATACATTGTTTCGTATCAAGTTCATACATGCCTATGGAGAGCCGGTATCGGCGATATCCTCCTTCATATCTGGGAGCCATCCCTTTGGCCGCTCGCTGCCGCGAACGACGAGGCCGTAACCCAGCTTCTCGACCTTCCTGACGCTCTGGCGCATGGCCTCAACCTTGTTACGGTAGTCGCGCGTAGGCACGTCGGGCATCATCTCGAACGCGCAGCCCAGCTCCTGCATGTCGCTGAGCAGATTGCGGCGCGCGTACTCGTCACTGAGTAGGCGGCCCGTCTGCGCCGTCGTGACGGTCGCGAAGCGCATCAGCTCGCCAAAGAGGTCGAAGACGCCGTAGACGTAGTCGTGCTCCGTCAGGCTGACGCCGGCCGGCACGGCGGCGCGCGCCTCCGCGGGCGTGATGAGCGTCTGATGCCGCAGGTAGTGCGCGAAGGAGAGCGCCTCGACGAGCTCCTCGAGGCACCGCAGCGTAGACTGGTAGCGGTGGCGGTGCAGGGACGACTGCAGCTCCGGCGCGACGGAGCCGAGGAGCGTGGCGATCTCGGTCATCCGGCCGTCCACGTCCTTTTGGATGTTGGGCGGGAGCTCCTTGTTGAGCTCCTTGACTCTGTTGCGTAAAGTTGTGCTGGTTAGCTTGGCACGGCAAAGGGCAAGCAGCGCATGTTTGTCGGCGTGTACCTTTGTAGAGCAAAGATTCTAGGTGCAAGTGTTAGCAGGAAACGCAGTCTCACGAAAAGACGGTTGGAAAAAACACACATCTTTTTACTCTGTGCTGTTACGTCCCTCGAGACCTTGACAAGGCGCTCGCGTCTGTCGTGGTGCTGGTCCAGCTCGTCTCGGAAGCCCTCAAACATGTCGTGAAAACGGCCTCGCGGCGCATCTGGCGCGATCTTGGCGCGGCCATTATGGTCCCGCTTGACGCCGGTAGCAGACATTGAAAATTGAGAAGTCGATAATTATGCGTATCAAAATGGCTAAAAATAGTGAATCTCCTACAATAATAAAGATGGATGGAATGCTGACAGGACTGTTTGTTGATGATGATTGACGAGGATCAGTTGTTAGAGTGGACCAGGCACAAAAAGTCTTGGTGGGCTTGTGTGGATCTGCATCTCCAAGTTGATGAGCTTCCAAAAAGGGGACCTTGTCGTATTTTTGGACAACGCGACGTCATCCACCAAACATCAGCTTTCCCTTTTCGAGGCATCGCAGCATTTCCAGGCAGCGGCTGTTTCAATCGCACGAGAGGCCCATCCGGATTGTGCTCTGGGGCCGACAAGTCATGTCTCGCTGGCATTCTCAGTGAACAGCTCATCATCATCACCAATCAGCACGGACTGAGCTCAAGTGACCTTCACACGGCGTTGAAACACGCCATCCACCCAGAAAAAATGGCCAAATCAAGAGGCGTATCCGGCAAGACCGGCAGCGGTGCGAGCAGCAGCCTTGGCTCTCTGCACGCGCTGTTCGACCCTGTGCCGCTCTTCTCCATCGCCGTCGCCCTCCGCGCCGTGCTCCTCGTCTACGGCGCGTGGCAGGACGCCCACTCCGCCGTCAAGTACACCGACATCGACTACCTCGTCTTCACCGACGCCGCGCGCATCGTCGCCTCCTCCCCCGGTGACGGCAGCCCCTACGACCGCGCCACCTACCGCTACACGCCGCTGCTCGCCTGGCTGCTCGCCCCGACCGCGCACCGCCGCCTCTTCGACCTCGGCAAGGTGCTCTTCGCCCTCGCCGACCTCGTCGCCGGCTGGCTGGCCCTGCGACTGCTTCTGCGCCGCGGCACGCCGGCGCGACGGGCCGGCGCGTTCGCCGCCCTGTGGCTCTGGAACCCCATGGTTGCGGCCATCAGCACCCGCGGCAGCGCCGAGGGGCTGCTCGGCGCGCTGACCATGGGGCTGCTGTGGGCGGTGGAGCGACGCCGGGTGGCGCTCGCGGGCGTGTTGCTCGGCTTGGCGGTGCACGTCAAGATTTACCCGTTCATCTACGCGCCGGCCATCGTGTGGTGGATGGACGAGAAGAGGATGGCGACGGCGATGGGCAGCAGCGGCAGCAGCAGCGCCCAGAAGAAGAAGGAGAAGCTGAGCCTGATCGAGGCTGCGATCGGTTTTGTCACGGCAGCGCGCGTGAAGCTGGCCGCCGTCAGCCTGGCGACGTTTGCCCTGCTCAACGCGCTCATGTACTCAATGTAAGCCTTCCTTCCTAACATCTACCCCTCTCGTGGACTGACTAACCCTGTCACTTTCCTCCCGAATTATAGCTACGGGATGCCGTTCTTGGTGCACACGTACTTTCACCACGTCACTCGCATCGACCACAGGCACAACTTCTCGCCGTACAACGTGCTGCTGTACATCAACTCGGCAGCCACGTCGTCTGCCGCCGTCGGCGATACCGCCTCGGCGCCGCCGCTGCGTACCGAGTCGCTCGCCTTCCTGCCGCAGCTCCTCCTGTCGTGCGTGCTGATTCCGCTCGCGCTGGCCAAGAAGGACCTCGCCACGTCCATGATGGCGCAGACGTTCGCCTTTGTCACCTTTAATAAGGTCTGCACCTCACAGGTACGTAAAACTTTCACCTCATCCCCTTTCACTTCTTCTTCTTGTCTCCGCCCCCTTCCTTGACACCGTGTACTCACGAACCGCGCTTCAGTACTTTCTCTGGTACATGGTCTTCCTACCACTCTACCTTCCCGGCTCGTCAATGCTGCGGAGCCCCAGGCTGGGGATCACGGCTCTTGTCCTCTGGGTTGTCGCGCAGGCGGCGTGGCTGCAGCAGGGCTACGAGCTCGAGTTCTTGGGGAAGAGCACCTTTGTGCCCGGCCTATGGCTGGCTTCGCTATTCTTTTTCCTGGTCAACTGTTGGATACTAGGCATCATTATCAGCGATGGAGCCGAAAGGTCTGTACTTCGAAAGGAAGTTCACTATGAATAGGGGCCATGTAATAGCATCAATCTTTTATAACTGTGCACAGAACAAGTTGATGTATAAAGCCATTACCCCAAGCGTGTACTATGTTGCCTTGCAAATGTAGCATAATCCAAGCAACTGATCAGATATTAAGCCCTCCGCCCAAACTCCAAATAATAACCAAATTCCCGTACGCCCCAGGGTGTATTCTAGGCAAAATTCCAAAAAAAAAATTATCCAGTCTCTTCGCTGCAAACAACGCTATGCCCGAGTTTCAACAAAGAATGAAGCAAGTCCAACGCCGGTATATAATGCAAATTGGGGTAGTTTTGGTCGACGGGGTTGCTGCAGCGTCTTAAACAGCGATTACGCGGTTCTCAAATATTTCGTAGTTGGCAATCTTGATCGAAGTCATGCGCGTGCGCGACAATTCGGGTGGGACGATAAGTCGCCCTTCTTTTGTGTAAGATATGTTGCCAAAGCTCTCGCTCAACTCGGGAAACTTGCTGCCTGGGCGAGCTTTAGCCATCTCGTTGATAATTTTGTCACTCCAAACTCCGCTGCATTCGCCGTGCTGGAACAGAAAGTAAGGGTTCAACCCAGGTACAGCCGAGTCTGCCATCGAATTAGTAGGGAAGACAGGTGTCAAATGTTGCGATTGCACGAACCTAGATCAACAAATCGAATTCTCATATATTCGACACGGTGGAAATGCGCCAGTGATTTGACGGCGGAGATGACGAGCCTTTCAAAGGCAGCGATAAAGCCCTTATCCTGGATACCGGAGCCAGAGTCAGAGAAGATGTTGGAGTGACGACAGCAATTTTTGAGAGTCAGGTCGATTGAGCGCAGTCGACTGGAAGATGCAAATGCGCTCTGACTAGCCACTTGGAAAAATTGATGGCAAACACGGCCAGTGTAGGAAAACCGTTCGAGGCTGGGCACAATCTTCGCTAGGACAGTGCAGATGTGCGCTTGACGGGACGCCTTGGCAAAGAAGGCAGGCACAACAGCCTCTCGCCTGTAGTCATTCTCAAGACACAGGCTGAGGTGCTTGATGCCTGCCGGGATGTACGGCAGAAATTGAGAAATAGTAATGTAGCTTTTCGACTTGGGCTTGCTGTAAGCGCCTCGCCATTCCTCTATATTGGGTAGGGCACCGAGAATGGAGACAAAATCATGGTTGTCCCGCATCAGGTTCCATTGACCTTTGGTGACGAGGGTTGTCACCGAGCTCACAATAGGTAATATTGGCCCGTAGTCGAGGCCGTGGCGGTTATGATGGTGGGAGTGCACGACCTTGGGCGCTTTTCGACGCTCACCACCCTCGAGCGTAAGGATCTTGGTACAAGGTAAGGCAAGGGAAACGAATTGAAACACATCTTGCAGGGTGCAATTGTCCCCTGGTAGGGTGTAGATGGCAAACGGCAAGCCGCCATCACTTCGAAAGACAGGCAGTACAGGTGACGGAGAGATTGCCTGTTGCGGGTAACGGGGCTGGAATACCGGGAACCAAATTTCGATATGCTTGACGTAGTTGGCAAGACGCTGACCGGGACCAGCAAAGTGAGAAATAGCCTGGTCGATGGAGCTGAGTGTGCCTTTCAACTTGATGTGGCGGTATAGTCGCTTCTGAACCAAGACTCGCCAGGTGGAGTTGATAAGGGCCAACTGTGTCGTTTCTCGTCTTCTCGAGGAGCGCGGCGCCCTACCTAAGCCTCTCGCTGAGCTGGGGGACCATAGACCAGCTCTCAAGGAGATGGGCGCGCAGACTCCAAATAGATGGTCGAGAATGACTTCGTGGACCTCGACCGGGACTCTCGTGAAGTGCGTAGCTGGTCGACTCCGGTCCCGAGGGTCATCGACCGCTGGGGGGATGGAAACATTTTGTGAGCCAAGGGCGAGGGAGAAATCCGATGTGCTGGAGCATGCGGTCTCCCTGGTGTCAACGAAAGGGTAGGGTGTGCTACTCGGTCGGGCGGGAGGCACAAAAGGAGAGTCGGGCTCTTGGAATAGCTTCGCGTCGGGGCTGATACGGGCGCCTTGCGCAGGAGGCGAGTCCAATAAACCGGGTGTGACAGGCGCAAATCTGTAGGGGAGGCGAATAGTGGCGTGTTCGGGGGGGTCTTCTGAGAGACGCTCTGTCAGGCGGGCATCTACAAGAGGCGGGCTATTGCTCGCGGCGAGATCGCGGTCGAGGGGGGAAAAGTCGGCCATGATGGCGCACGATGAGCAAATGAAGCGCGCTGGGGGAGATGCGATAAGAGCATGTCAGTTAGGCGCGTGCGACGAGGGCGGCAGAGAGGCGACGTGGCGGGCTCGAGGCGCTGAATTTCGAGGGATGGACAGAATTCCGCGATCGAGAAGCTGGTAGGTAGAATAGACGGAGACGAGGCGAAAGGGCGGGGTGGAAAAAGAGCAAGGGCGCGCAGAAGACGGTGTCGGACGGGTCAAGGCGGTTTAGTAGCCAGCTAACGATGTATCATCGATTCGAAGATGATGAGATACCTAAAGGGAAATGCGGTGGCGGCTGGGGCGGGCGGGCGAACGTAATTATTTTAGCCACTGCGTAAAAGACAAGTGTCTTGGGGGATTTTTTAAAGCGTGGCAGGTAGCAGAGCAAAGCGTCGATGGAACGCAGGGTCCGGAACTGCCGCAAGGGCGGCGCGGTTTCAGTGGCAGGGCGGCAGGGCGGGTTCTTATGTCGGATGGTTAAAATGAGGTCTTTGGGGATGGCGAGACACGCGATGCTGCGCTGATTCGCCCGTGAGTAGATGCGACCTGAGGGCGATTGAATAAAAAGTTGTCAGTCTGGCGAGAGGAAGAGTGGCAACAGCACGGAGGAGAGAATCAAAGAAGACAAGAAGAAAGCCAACAGAAAAACGGCAAACGCAAACGCAAACGCAGATGAAGTTCGCAAAGGGAGAGGAGAAGAAGAAGAGGAGATACCTACCAGAGATGGAGGGATGGGGTTGAAATGGATGGCAAATCTGGCTGGGTATCTTGGTACAAGTGGAGGGGACGGACCTCACAGGTACTTGGGTAGGCATGTTCTGTTAGGTATGAAGGAAGTACCTTAGTAGGTAGTCAGGCCACACCTACTACAATGTTAGTATGTACGTCGTGTTGGCAAATTGGGGGCAGAGTCACAAGGCCATGACAAGGTGGCTGTAAACAGAGGCAAAGGAAAGTACCTTGGCTCATTACAATACACGGCAGGTACCTTCACACGGGACACAGGCTGGTGCTGGTGCGGGGGCTTCAGCGAGACGGCAAACCCTTGGTCAATACCAGTATTTAGCAATTGGAATAGTCGTCTTATTCAAGAAGCAGCGTTATTAAAATCTAGGACAGCCCAGTTCGGCGATGGCGACCCAGAACGCCTTGCCTAATCACCCGCCCAGAATATCGAAATTACCCCAGATGCCCAGGTTCATGCCCAAGCCAAGGTATTATAAATAAGGCCAACCAAACTGCCCAAAGTATAAAAGACTGGTATTAATATCTCCGAGATGAGCCTCTGATCATCATAAATGATGTCAATTTCTAATCAAGCTGTAAATAGTTGGGCCGGTCTGCCGATGCCCAGCCACGCTTCCCGTCTAATCAACGCCCTATCCGTATCCGTACATGGCAGCAAGATCTGGTGATGGCGCCCACTTATACAAATTTGTCGGTGGCCAACTCGCCGACTTGACCCGCCTGCCACGTATTAACGACGACCTCAGAACCTATCAGAGTTGATGATAAAAATACTGCTCTCCCATTTAAACGTGAAATTGTATTTGGCTTTTAAACCATAGTATTTATTGATACTGATAGTGTATCACAAGCTACATGGCTTTCTATTTCGCATCTACTCTTGTATTGATCCTCGTCAACAGCTGTTCCGCTCTCCTTCCCCCTCTCCTATTTCCTTCTTCCCTTTTTTCTTTGACTTCTTTCCTTTTACCTCCTTTCTTTTAAATCTTGCTCTCTTTCTACCTAGAGTTTTCTACAGCCTCGGCACTGCCTCTTTCTTCGCGGCTTTCGTCGTCTCCGGCGTCGTATCAAGTCAGGCTCTCCAACCGGACCCCTCTACTCTGCCCTGACCGCAGATGGAGTCACCATTATTCATCATTTCAGGGCTCACTATGACTTCCGTAACTTATTTCAGCAAATTTGTCTCCTACTGTCTCCTACTGTCTTTTATTCCTTGCCGACTCCACATCTTCGCCGCTTCCCGACACCACCATAAAACATCCACCACTACGGAGTAACTGCACTGCATCACGCAGCGCCCATTCGGAGCGCCAGCACATTACATGAATGCGCCAGACCTGAGTGGGCATTATCCTCCCCATGATCTCTGTCACATCTTGGAGTTTCCCGGCGCTGGGGGCACCCGACCCTTCCACACCCAACAGGCTGTTCATGCCACACTTCGCCGCCTTACTGCTGTACCGAGGGCACACCGAGATGGGAAAGTACATGATTTTGCCACAAAAACGTCTCTTTCGCCGCCAGATCGACAAGTTCTGGGTAAGGAACTGTTCTACGGCCGATCCTGATTTGCGGTTCATATTGGATTATCCTAGGTTGATGAGGGTGTGAGATTCACCGTCGCTGAATTGGTCACGCTGCAACTGATAGATTTCATTCTCACGCGCCGTCGAAACAGCTGAAGCATGGTGCTTTTACGCACTAGTCTTTGTTCGCTGTTCTTTCTCTTCGTTGCCGAGAGCCAAGCCCAGGGCAGGATTCGTCAATGTAGTCGTCTTGCATCAACCGCCGGTAGGAGCCAAGCCGCATCGCAATATACTTAGTCCGTAAGACTGCATCCCATGTTATAGCTACCCAGTTTCAACCAAAACGTCAAATGCAGCTCTACGCCAAGTTACTAAAGGGCGGTAACGACTATGCTTTGGAGTTTTGTGTCAGAGCAGTGGCGCTGGGATAGCTTTCCCCAAACACATTAGGCTATCGGCTCATCGGAGCACCTTTCATCGCCATCAAAAGTAGCAGCGGCGCTGAACATTCAAAAGTTAAGACACGGAAGACATTAAAGGCGCAAGGGGGGCTGTTCAATTTTCGGGAGCGTCGACGGCATTTATTAATGTATCTCCAACAGCGAGGCAGAGGCAGCCGACTAACGACAGCCACCGTCGGAGAGTTGGTCGCCGTCCGCAAAGACCCGAAACGAGCGCAAGGCCTATTCCAAGGCTTGGCTGCAACCCCCCCCCCCCCCCCAGAGATCCTCCATTTTCGCTGGGGTCGGGGGATTGGAATGGCCATGCGTAATGCAGGTCGGCTTCGTGGGATGCGTTACGAGGATGAGGATGACTAGTTAGAGTAGGGTTTCGTATGGCGACATGATCTTTTTGTTTATTCAAGCAAAAAACACCTTATTTTTGCGAATTGCAAAAGCGTCGTCATGCGTCAAACCCGAGAGTGTACTGCAGAGCTGTCATGTTTTAGCTTTTTAGCGAGGATGGTGGGGGACGGGGGAAGAAGCGAAGAAGCCAGTGTATGTACGGTACCTATGTATGTAAGTCGCGTCAATCATGCCCGCTGTATGTAGCTTAACTAATAATAATAGTTCACCGACAGTATCCGCAGAAAGGTAGCACGAGGCAGTGACCGTGTTTTCTCCTTTCTTGTGCCTGTCTTTCTTTTTTCTTTTTTTTTTCTACATTAGCAAGTGCTTTTGCTTTAAATTATCAGGAAGACATCATTTCCATCACGTTGGCCGCATGCCGCATGCCGCATGCCGCAGCCCCCTACCGTCGCTGGAGAGCCAATCAGTCAGGCTGGACAGCGTCGGCGCCAAACGAGGAGAGGACACAGGCTCCAACAACGCCTCGTCGCCTCTGTTTCGCTTCGCTTTCCTAGCCGTGAAGCCCCCCACCCAAAATCATCAACACCAAAACCCGACACCCCTCCTCTTCAAACGCACATCCTCTCTTCAAACGCATGCCTACCTCTACATACGTACATTAGTACTGGCCGGCTGGAAATTAGCTGGCATTTAAGCTACCATGACAGCCATGCACTAGGCCGGCTGGCTCCAAGCTGACGAACGCCTTCCCCCTTGCCGTTCAACACAGCACCCCCTGGAGCTGCCAAGTTGTTTGGGCTGTGCGTCCGCGTCCTGGATTCAAAACCGTACATCCCGCAGCCTCCGACAGGAAGCTGGGGTCTGCAACAAACCCTCCCTGCCCTCATCGTGCTGCCGAACCAATTATCGCTTCGGCTAGCGTCATCGCCGGTGGGCAGGGTCCTGGCCGGGGGCATTTTGCGAGAGCCCACAGCCTCCCGTTGACCCCATCCAAACGCCTGATGGCCGCCAATGTAGCCCAAGAGGAGAGGGGTGGGGGCGTGTCCGCGGAATCAACCAACGACAATCCTCCACTACAGCAACCCAAAGACAGCCACAGGTGACATACATCCCGACTTACATGTCGCACCACCCCCAACCCAGCGGCTAAACAATACTGACCTTCCAGTAATCTGCACAATTCGAACTCTGGATTTCTGAGTTACACCGCTGTGCGCGATACATTGTTATTATTAGCCAGCATGTGTACGATATCTCCCTCCCCCCCCCTCCCCCTCCCCCTCCCCGTCGCCCGTCGCCCGTCGCCCGTCGCCCAGAGCCACCTGCCCACCTGCTCGCCGTTATTTTCTTGCTCTATCTGGCCCCCTTGACCTAATTCACCGCACTTGTATTCATACAGCATCTATATTCTTACCCTCTTCGTTTGACCCCCCATATAGCAGTCAACAACGCAAGGTTTCCAACAGACGGGGCAGTGCTTCAGGAGTTCAGATGCCCTCGTCTCCTCCCCTTCGGTCATCTGCTTCCTCTTTTGGTCCTTGAGTCTTGGCATTTTGACCCTGTTTCTCATTATTCCCGTTTCTTCTTCTATTTGTATACCTCATCACCCTCGTACGAGCCTCAGGTCTTGTTCCCCCCAGTCCTCTTCGTCCTCTATCTGTCCGGTCCAGTCTAGGGGCTTTGGCGGCCCTCTTCTTACTTTTTCCTCCCTTTCTTCTTCATTTCCTTCTATCGTGTTTGGCTGGGCCAGCAAATTTATTGTCTCTTGTTTTGTACTACTTTTATTCACTCTTCGTTCTTTCTCTCTCTCACCACTGTTCTGTTCGGCGCCGCCCTAGTCGCAAAACCACCTTCACGTCCTTATACGGCCAACAGCTCTCCATATTCGGATAAGTACGGTTCACGGACACTCGACTACACAGCTGCCTCGGTCTTCATCTTCATCATGACGCAATTACACATGCTTTCGTCCTTGATTCTATTACTTGCTGGCTTCGCCGCCGCCGCTCCCACCAACCCCGTCGGCCTTCCCGACTCGACTGGCTTTAGACTTCCCATCCGCAATGGCAACGTCGCCGCGGCCAGCATGGTTCCTAACCGCTACATTATCGTGTACAGTAAGGGTTTCAACTCCACAACCATCGACGCCAAAGAGGCCTCCTTCGCCGCCTCCCTGAAGAAGCGCAACCTAGGCAAGCGTGGTCTCGGCGGCAATCCGCTCTCCACCGAGGTCAAGTCGTACACTTTGAATAAGTGGCGCGCAAGCGTCCTCGACGCCGACGACGACATGTTTATGGAAATCTACAACTCAAATGAGGTCGACTACATCGAGGCCGACACAAAGGTGCACACCTCGGTCACCATCTCGCAGACCAACGCCACTCCGGGCCTCGCTCGCCTCTCCCACAACCAGGCCGGCAACACCAACTATGTCTACGATGCCTCAGCCGGTGAGGGTGTCACCGCTTACATTGTCGACACGGGCATTCGCGCCTCGCACATCGAGTTTGAGGGACGTGCCGTCCAAGCTGCTAATTTTATTGACCGAGTTGTAAGTCAAAGCCTTGAAGAAACAAGTCCTACGTTTCTAGGCAGCCGTGCTGATACCGAGGTCCAGGACACGGATGAAAACGGCCACGGATCGCACGTCGCCGGTACTATTGGTGGTGCTACCTATGGTGTTGCCAAGAAGGTCCAGCTCAGGGCCGTCAAGGTCTTGGGTGCAGATGGCGGCGGCTCCAACTCTGGCGTCCTTGACGGCCTAAGGTTTGTGTTTCAGGATGTCCAACAACGGGGGTTGGCCGGCAAGGCCGTCATGAACATGTCTCTCGGTGGCCCCAAATCTGATGCCATCAACACCGCCATTAAACAACTCGTTTCCGCTGGCATCATCCCCGTTGTCGCCGCGGGCAATGAGAACGTATGAGTTCCCTTTTGATCAAGTTGCCGACGTGCCCATACTAACTGGCTGTCTTATAGCAAGATGCGTCTGCAACGTCGCCGGCCTCTTCCCCCGACGCCATCACCGTCGGCGCCATCGATGCCGAGACCGACGCAAAGGCCTCCTTCTCCAACTTTGGCCAGCCCGTTGACGTCTTCGCCCCGGGGGTCAACGTCCTGAGCGTCGGTATCCGTTCCGACACGGACCGGAAAATGCTCAGCGGAACCAGCATGGGTACTACCTCCCTTTCCCTAGTGACATGGAAGCCAGCTTGCTAACATTTTCGGATAGCCTCGCCTCACGTGGCCGGCCTTGCCGCCTACCTGATTGGAGTCCAGGGCCAAACCCAGCAGCCTGCGGCAGTCGAAAATATGGTGGAAGGGCTTGCTTCCCGGACCGGCGCTTTCGTACGTGGCAACCAACGGGGAACCACCAACATCATTGCCAACAATGGCAGTTAGGGGGGGACTATGTGGGAGATTAGAAAGCGAAAGAGTATAGGGTGGTGATTCCAGCGAGTATGAGAATAGAAAACGGCACGCGACAATCTCGCTCCTTTTGTGCATCCGCCTATTCTATCCATGCTCGAGTCGTGTAGCCACCATCACGTATGCGTCATTACCAGGTCACAGAACAGCACAGGCATAATAATAGCGAATTTCTTTAGAGGGAAGGACCCAACAAAGCCCGAAACGCGCAAGTAAATAATATTCATGGAATTGTGAAAACTAAGCTTACCGGGTGGATATGTGTCTGCCTTCCAACAGCAAGTCGCCTTTTCGGACAAGAAAAGAAAGAGCAACTCGCGTCGTGCCCGCTCGTGAGAGGAGGCTTAGAGCAAGGTTGATATAAGCACTTCTTCGGCACAACCACAGTCATGAAAGGACTGAATTGCAATTTGACATCCGTGCTAACAGATTTCTTCACATGGCACAAGCTGGGAACTTGCACAAAAGGATCAACTGCCCAAGGGCGGGTATAAAAATGGCATTAGTAGTAGTAAGTCTCGTAAAAAGGGTGAGGAGTAACGGGCAAGGACCCGTTTGCAATCAATCGCACGCCGCCTCGTTAAAAAAAAAAGAAACTCGCATGGTATATATGCTGCGCGTAAATTGACGTCCCGGACGAGCGAAAGGAATAGGGGTTGAAGAAGAAGAAAAAGCAATTCGACACGTATATAGTAAGACAGCCCCTACAACTCGTCGCGACCGGCACCGGCGAGAGGTTGGGGGGGTTTGGGGGCATCGAGGCTGGTCCACAGCTTCCTCACGTCGGTCAGTGTCGAGGAGAAGTCGGCGCCGAAGAAGCTAGCGATGCCAACCTGTGATTGGGTCAGCAATTGGTGCTACACTACGCCCGTTTCTGTAAAGACCTACCATGAGGAGAGCCATGAAGACGAGGGACAATATGACAACCATCCACAGGACGAAGCCCTCACCGGGGTCGGCAGTGGGTTCGTCCATTTGTCTCTTCTTGTTGGTGGCGTTCAGCTTCGCAGCGTCTTGTGTAGGGTACAGTGTCTCGATAAATTGCTCGATCTGCAATGTTGTCAGCACGCAGCCGCGTGGACAGCGGGTTAGGGAGAATTCTTTTTGCAACGTACCTTGGCACAACGGGCACTGATGGCCAAAAAGTTCGGATCTCGCGGATCGTTCTTCTTGTGGATGCGGCGGACGTATTTGCGGAACACTTCACACACGGTGAAGAGGTTTTGTGTAGATTCGAGCATGACCTGGCAGGCGTCGCCCTTCGTGATCTTGACGTTGCGCTCGAGGATGGCGGGGTTGCGGAAGACGAGCTCCATGGTGGCAATGGCCATGGTCTGAGGAATGGCAACAAAGTTGAAGCAGCTCTGGTCGCGCATGCCAGCCATGTAGAAGAGACACTCCTCCACGTGCTTGAGGGCGTCGAGCACCATCTCCGAGATACAGTTCAGAGCCTGCTCGCGCTTGGAGAGCTCAAACAGGTCCTCCCACTTATCGACGTGGTTGCTCCAAATTTCCTTGGGGTACCAGCGGCGGCCGTCCACCCAGTCTTCGTGGATGTCACGGATGATGTTGGTTTTTTGCAGAAACTGGCCCATGGACTCAGTGAGGGAGGGTCTCTCTGCGAGTTTGGGGTTGGCAAGCTCAGCGCTGACAAAGAGTCTCGTCAGGCCCTCTCCAACAAGGCCAGCGACGTAGTGGCAATAAAGCTCGTAATCCTCAATGGTTTGCAGGCCGTTCTCAATCTTGTCTGTGTCGGCGGCATAGTCAGCCATGCCGTTACCCATCTTCAGAGTGAGGTCTTTGATGATTTCGTAGTATTGTGGCTTGAGTTGCTTCAGCTCAGCAATGACAACATCGAAATGCTCGAGCAGCTCAGCATCTTTCTCCTTGCTCTCGTGGAACTGCCAACCGTCGATTTCCATCGTCTCATGGAAGTTGCGCAGCATTGGGGTCTTCTTGTCGAGAGGAATCGTCATGTCATCCTCGATGGTGTCAAGACCGCGGAGGACGAGATAGAAGAGGGCAACAGGAACGAGAAGCTCAGGGTTCAGCTCTTGGATAACCATCGCAAAACTACGGCTGGTCATGTTGAGATAACGAAAGCACTCCTTGAGATTCTCGGACTCCTTGGTTGGGTCGCGCTTATGGACGGGTTCATGCCAGAGCTTCCTAATGAACAGGTTAGCCATATTTTCAATGTAAGCTCTCGGTGTTACTTAGCCGCACCATTGTAAAATGGAACGCAGCTGATTGGGATGCATCAGATAGTAGAGCGCACCCATTGTGACGGTTGTGTTCTTTTTTTGTGTTTGATCTCGTTCTACCGTATGGAGTGCAGGCAAGAGACTGCAATTGAGAAACGGGTGATTTGAATCAAGCTAATGACTCAATGTGTTAGATGAGAGAGAAGCAGGAATAAAAGACGCGGACCGTGGCTGAGATAAATAGGCCTCAAGAACGCGGGGGAAGAGGGAAAAGTCAAATGAATTCGAGAAGAAAAGTGAGAGAAAATGCTGGGTAGGGGATGGAGCTAGTTAGGTAACCTACACGTGGGGTTGTGTACCGCAAAATTAGCACCTTCATTGGCGGCGCCAGGCAGCGGCAAGTGGACTTTTTGCGCCGGGAAAACAGTGCCAGCGCTTCCGAGATTAGCCTCACCAGGTACGATAACGAGTACGATGCAAGATTCAACACTGTAGCCTGCAAAAAGCAAAGAACAATAGAATAGGTCAGTAGTGGAGATAGATCGGTGACTATCTACTCGGCCGAGTCCGTATGAGCTGTTGAACACTTGTTTAACTCAAATACATCACGATGACAAGTTCGTCAGCTTAGTACCACCAGGAACTGTACGCTGGTGGGCGTTGCACATGTGCAAGGATGTCAACCCTGCCCAGGGCTCTACATGATGTACAATTATTTGTACATCAATCATACATGCAAAGCAAGACAAGAATCTACGCAAATACTTCATCGTTGCACTCCTCCTACAGTATTACCTATCCCGCCTTTCCAACTATCAACATCCTCCAGCCAGCTGCCTGCACAGCCATCTCACACGTGGCTGTGCCGCCACAGGTGACGGAGAGCTCGACCCTCCGCCCCTCCATTACGTAGCAGTCGGTGTTGGTCATCCTGAGATAAAATTTCCCGACCAGGCACCATCACCTTTGCGGCTCCTTACTATTTCTCCTTCACAGCCGTTCTTCGCGGGTCGCCGCCGTTTTCCTCTGCATTTGCGGCTCTTTCGTATCCCCCGATTATCATTTCTCCATACAGTCTGCCGTGCTTCCCGAACACGCAAAAATGGTTGTCGATACGGTCTACTACGATGCGCTGGGCGTCCAGCCCACCGCGACCGAACTCGAGATCAAGAAGGCCTACCGCAAGATGGCCATTCTCCACCACCCGGGTATGTTCAACCCTCTCAGATGATGATGCGCCGTGCAGAACGCTCCCTATCGCCGCTCATCCCGCTTATCGGCCAAAGCTTGCTGACCCAGGCCCGCATCCAGACAAGAACCCTAACGACCCTACCGCGCACGAAAAGTTTCAGTCTATCGGTGAGGCGTACCAGGTCCTTTCCGACAAGGACCTCCGCGCCGCATACGATAAGTTTGGTAAAGACCATGCCAAGCCGCAAGAAGGGTTTGCCGACCCGGCCGAGTTCTTCTCATCCATTTTCGGCGGCGAGGCCTTCGTCGACTGGATCGGTGAGATCAGTCTCATGAAGGACCTGACCGCCACCATGGACATCACCATGCAAGAGGAACAGGCTGCAGCAGAAGCGGCTGCAGCGGAGCAAGCCGCCGCCGAGGGCACCGGCAAGGATGAAGCCGACTTCCCCGGCACTGCAGAAGCCGTGAAGGAATCTCTCAAGGACCAAACACCTGCCGCCGCCCCTGCCGCCTCCACCACTGTGCCTCCCCCTACTGTTGTTGTTGATGAAGAAAAGACCCCCGCACATGCCGCTCCTGGTGCAACCCCGGGTGCCGCCCCTGGGCCCGCCCCGAGCCCTCCTCGATCCGAAGCCACATCGCCGGCTCCCTCGAGCAGCTCTTACGGTCGCACACAAATTCCTCTGCGTCCTGCGCTGGCCGACAAAGCTCACGACGATAACGACGCCCCCGCTTCCCTCTCCGCCGAGGATGCCAAGAAGGATAAGAAGAAGTCAGGTCTATCCAAGGAGCAGCGTGAGCAACTGGCCGCATTCGAAAAGGAGCGAGCCCGTGTCCGCCAGGAGCGTGTTGACAACCTTGTGGCGAAGCTGCAAGACCGCGTCAGTGTGTGGACGGAGACGGACAAGGGTGAGGATGTGACCAGAGCCTTCCAAGAAAAGATGCGCCTCGAAGTGGAAAACCTCAAGATGGAGTCGTTTGGTATCGATATTCTGCATGCAATCGGCCAGACATATGTCTCCAAGGCTTCCAGCCTACTACGCAGCCAAAAGTTCCTCGGCTTTGGCGGCTTCTTCAGCCGCCTCCGCGACAAGGGCACGCTGGTCAAGGAGACCTGGAGCACCATCAGCAGCGCCATCGATGCGCAACAAACCATGGAGGACATGGCTCGCATGGAAGAGAAGGGTGGCGAAGACTGGACCGACGAGAAGCGCAGCGAGTACGAGCGTCGCGTGACAGGCAAGATTCTTGCCGCCGCCTGGCGTGGCAGCAAGTGGGAGATCCAGAGCGTCCTGCGCGAGGTCTGCGATAGTCTCTTGAACGATAAGAAGGTTCCTCTGTCCAAGCGCCTGGAGCGTGCCCAAGCTCTGGTTCTCATTGGCGACATCTTCAACAGGGTATGTGAAGCATTACCACGTCACATCTTGATTGACTAACATTGCTTGATTTCTTCTAGGCTCAACGCTCCCCCGAGGAAGAAGGCGACTACCTCGTTTTCGAGCAGCTCGTGGCCGAGGCTGCTAAGAAGAAGGAAGACGAACATAAACACAAGAAGGATAAGAAGACCAAGGATAAGTCTGCCGCTGCTGCTGCGGACGTCCCTAATGTCCCCAAGGCATAGATAAGCACCCCCGTCCCAACGCTGAACATTATGGGTATGGGGCAAATGACGAGTGGTTGGGCGGTTGATAAGGATTGATTGTTTATATTCCCCGAAAGCGAGCGTATGGAAAGCTGCACTGGGCAGAAAGATGGATGCGATGGCAGCGCTTTAGGAGAAGCGGCTGATCAGTTGATGAGTAACAAAATTCTCGGCTTGTGAGGTTATCCTCCTTTCTTCTTGCAGGATTACTTTGGTGTTGTGTTTTAGATGGACCGGATACTTTAGAAAGACGTAGGACAACGAAGGGACAATATCCCCCTCCCCGCCTTAAATATATAATTTTGCCTTCCAACAGCGTCCGCCGAGCAGGCATCCATCCCTTCGCAGTACCGCTATTTCTGCTAAAAATCAATGGTTTTCATAGTACCGCGTGATGGCGTGGTGTTTGAGCGAGATGCAGAGCCGGGGCGGGAGATTGAGGTGTTTTTGTCTATATACCGACGCGCCTCATTAGCAGGCAACAACTCTTCACGTGGCAATATTGTTTTGGTGGAGTATTTCTTTTCCAATATCCGTCTATATACTTAGAGAGCAATGCGGCCGCCGCTCCATCTGCAAGAACTGAGCCATGATGCTCCAATACCCTAATGGCGAAGCTAACGTTCCAATGGAAAATGGTAGCAACAATCAACTGGTCGAGCAAGAACAGCCACGCAAATAGTCCTCGGTCTGCCACTAAAAAATAAAGTGCTGTTCCCCAGCTGTCCGTATGTGTTTGTTTTGCGTGGTAAAGAAGAGGGTATCTGGTATATATAAAAGAACAAAAAGAAGGAGTGTACACATGGAAGAAGCATGCGATGAAACAGTAAAAAGCAAGGCGCATCGAACAACAATGCAGAACAAAGGAAACAGAAGAGAGAATGCAGGCCCGACAACTTAGACAACAGGGGTTATTGTGAAGAGCAAAAAGAAGGGGGGCCAACACGCTGTTGGCTGTCAAAGGAAACCGCGCTATGCTCGCAAATATAACCATCTGAGATCGCTCTCCCCAGGCAAGATGAAAGGTAGATATGGTGTAATAAGGACAAGTCGTCGAAGGAGTGGATCGGTATTGTCGGGGAGTGATGGAAAGCTAAAGCGCGGTGGAAATGAAGTAGGGCTGATGTCGTTACCGGGCAATTATGAACGAGAGTAGAGTGGTGATGTGCGTCACGCATGACTACCAGGTCATGCACGAGAGATGGTATATAGGTTATCGTGCTACTGTGGTCGATGGTGATTGCTATGAGCCGTCGTCGCCGGGGGGGAGTTCGATGCCACTGTCACGGTCTGGTTGGGCCCTCAAGGGTGACGAGGACGCTGCTTCTTTCCGGGCCATGTGGTGGTCATCATCTTGGAATGCCAAGTCGTAGTCGTCCTCATCGACGGGGGAGAGAATGTGACCGCCAAATTCAACATCAGAAACACGAACGTGATACTCAAGAGCTTTTTGGCCTTCCTTGATAAGTGTCTCAGTCCAGCTCAGACAGCGCTTGATGCTTTGGTTCATCTTTTGGCTATCTATCAGCAGCTCTTGGTGTTTTGTGAGGTCAAGCTGTAGGCGCTTCTCGTCACGTTTGCGACGCATGGCGCTGATAGAAATTGCAGACATGGATGCCGTGTCATTCATGGAAAGGTCGGACTCCTCGATGGAGTCGTCGAATTCCTCCTCTTCCTCTTCGCTCTGTTCATGTTCACTAAGATCGGAAAGATCTACAGGCGGGTCGGTGAGAGCCTCTGAAACTACACGACTGTTTGGCGCAGACGTGAGAGAAAGTCGGCCGGAGCGAGAAAGGCGGCGATAGCGACGTAGCTCAGCAGTCTGTTTTCGAAGCTGCCTCTCCAGCGTTCTGTTGATGGCTTCGAGTGATGCGTTTGTAATTTCGAGATCCTGGACTTTGCGCTCTCTGCGGGCGTTGGCGACGAGCTCATTCACACTATCGGAAAAGTGAGACTTGCTGGGACTCTGCGGTTCCGACAGAATATCCGGATCGTCGTCGGAGCCCTGCAATTCCTCTGCGGCATGTAACAGCGACGCCATCGTCATAGACGTCTGCAAAATTCCAGGGCTGGCCGGTGGTGATACGGTTTCAGAAGGATTGGGTGACATTGTCAATTTCGGAGGCAGCTGCAGCTCCGGCCCAGGGCTGCCGGTGGCTCGGGACTGACGTCTGGGAGGTTTTGGCGGCGCCTCAATGCTAACCCGCCTCATACCACGCTGGCCTTCGGGATTGAGGGTAGCGGGGGATGGTGGGCTTATTTGCGATGAAGCGGGAGGCATGGCGTTTCTCAGGATGGGGCTCAGAACTGGTGCAGGCGTTGAAGTATGTTTTAGAGGTGATGGTGGACGCTGAACCACACCAACGACGGTGGCGGACGAGCCGAGAGGAGGACGGCCTCCAAGCGCCAAACGAGGTCCCGAAGACAATACAGAATTAGAGTTAGAGTTAGAGAAAGCAGGCTTGGGCTCCATTTCAGGCGTCCCATTGGCGTAGAAGAACTTTGTAGAAGAATCTTGTGTATTGGGATTCGGAGGAGAGAGCATAGGCACAGGATTTGGTGTGCTGGGGGCTGAGCGATCTGCGCCATTGCTGAGAGCGGCATTGGCGTAGAAGAAGTTTGGGCCCTTTTGAACGGTGGGTGGTGGTTGACGCAGTTGGCAAGGGGTTTGTATATTCTTTGCGTCGCTTGCATAAAAGAACTTGTTTGTATCGTTGGCATCAGGCGGCATTTCGGATGCTTTGAGGCCACTATCCGCGGAGGAGGTCAAGCCCATGCCACCAGGCCGCGGACTGTCACGATCCCATCCATTGACGCGGTTATCCGGTGTCGGCGTGGCGGTGGGTGTGTTGTTTGTGCTCTCGACACGGGTCTGCCTATGACCAGTGCGGGGGGTCACATTCGTAGCAAGGAAGCCAGAGACGGGAGAGGCGACATCGTTCGCAAGCGTGGCGACAGTCCCTTGAGGTCTCCTGGCCAGCGAACCGAGAACAGGAGCACCTTTGGCGGCAACTTTGGGGGTGAGAGGGGCAGGGCGGTTTGCGGCGGCTCGAACAACAGAGGGCGGCTGCCTTGGTCTATCTCCAGGCGGCATCGTGATGCGCGCGAAGGCAGTATTGTGGTTGAGGCCGGGCGTTACCAAGCGGTCATGGTTACCGCGAGGCCGTAGAGGAGACGCGGCGGCGGTGGCAAGGACGGGATGCAGGGCGGCGGGTGGATATAACTGGAGGCTGTGTCTTTGAGTCGAATACGTGGACGGGGCAGAGGCGGCGACGGTGCGAGGATGGGGTGGAACGCTCTGGCGACGGTACTGAGGGTGGTTAGTCCTGTCGGTCTTGGGCGTCGATGAGCAGCGTTCCAGAGTCGGGATTGAGGGTGGTCGAGAGGCTTGGCGAGACAGGCCGCGATGGTGCGGCGTCAGAGGGGGACGCGGATACTGGCGCCGTTCGTTAAGGCTGCGAGTGGCCGGAGCTGGTCGTGTTGATAGCGAGGCGGCGAGAAGGTAAGCTGGCAGGTGCATGAAAGCCAAAGAAACGTTTTGTTTTCTTTGAGAGCCAAAACCAAACAAACCACGGACCGCGACCAGATTAGCGCCTGTGGTGATGGAGAAGGTGTGCACACCATCTCAGTGCTGGCGTGGAGTCCATTGTCAGTGGGCAACTTGCGCAAACGGCAGCAAGCAGCAAGCAACAAGCGAGCAAGTGACCTGAGACATTGCAGCAGTTCGCTGGGGACGGCAGGTACCTCGAAATTACAGTGGTCTTAATAGGGGGGTTTAATGGAGGGGCTGCCCAGTTTTAGGCGGGCAGCGATCACGCCCTCGCCGTAATTGGAAGCTAAAAATGGTCAGATTAAAATTTGGGCTTAGGCGACGGCAAAACAGGCGTGCTGTATACTATGTACTGTACGGATATGTAGGTATGTACATAGGTAGTTATATCTCCACTGTGACAACAGATGGGATTCATCGCAGCATCGTGCAGTCTTATCGAATTGCATAATCTCATCTGATGACACGAATCTCCATGTTGTGGTTGTGGGTGTTTAGGTAAGGCAATAATAAGGTACCTACCTACCTTAGTACCTATGTAGGTAGTTGAAACTATGAACTTATCATGCCGTCCTCCCGCTCAGTAGGAAACCCCGCCATCATTTTCTCCAAACCACTTGCACTTCGTCGAAGCCTTAGTCGCTCATGCAGAGATGGCATCAGAACAAATATTCCATCTCTTTCCTCATCTGCCTAGGAAGCTCCAAGACCGAGTCTGGTACTTCTGCTTATCCCGCTAAGTAGTATCGCTTCGCGCTCCCCGATTGCAATTCGTTGATTAAGCCGCATCACCGCCCCTTATTGCCAGTGTGTCGACCTAATGCAAGTTTTGTTTTAATCCCCCTACGATTTACGTTATACGCTCGGATCTGAATAAACAATCAAGTTGCGATAATACGTGGGTTTTACAAGAAATAGGAAGATTGCCAGTACTAACGCCAAAAGTTTAGTTAACTTATAACATTGCGAATTTGAGAGTCATAGCGGTGACATTACCTTCTTCCCACTTAACACAGAACAAGAACAGTCTTTCGGTTTATGTTGTCAGAAAACGAGCTTATTGAAGGGCAAGAGTCTGACATATGATGTAAATAGTTATATACATATATGTACAGGAAACATTCTTTTTATGACCAGAATTCTCCTCCGTATACATTTGATTCGTTCGCCACCTTTTATTGCCCCGGACCGGATTGAGATGGTTTTTTTATGGGCTCTCTGCATAAACTTGTATTATTATTGCATCTGCATACCTATTATTGCATCTGCATTGACGTAATGTTAGGCCCCTTTGCTACTCCAGGATGCATCCCACATGCTTGTCTAGTCAGTCACCTGCTCCTGCCGAGAATAGAGCTTCGAAGCCGTTATTACAACTTGAATATAGACTTGTCTCCCTTCCCCAGCTACGGCCTAGATTCGCGCTAGGTATTACACAACACGCTACACGTAGCCTTGTGCAACCTGTCTCTCCAAGTTGTGGTGCATGATAGAAACAATGTTGACCGAAAACGCCTTGTTCCTTCCACCATCGGATATTTGAGCTAAAAGTTTAGATCGTGGCTTATGACCTCGTAAATCTTGCAGTACATGCCGCTCACGCACCGGCAAGTTGATGGTAACCAAAATGCAAGAGTCACCACTGTAGGGTACCACCAGCCACTATGACAATGCGCCTCGCAAGCGCCCGCCCCGCCAGCCTCGCCACACCTGACCTCATCATGCTTTACAATGCATTCACCACTCACCATCCGTCATTATCATCACTTCCTATCCAGATCCGGCCGCGTTACTCGTCTCCATCGGCATTTTAATTTCATGTCTATGGAAGTTACCAAGTCTGTCCCGCCCCTTTTTTCTTCACCTCCTTTTCCTCTGCCTATGCTACAGCCTTCTCCCATATGGCCACTCCAATAAGGCCAACCGACGACGGAACCCTGGATGCTGACGTCACGTCACCCGCTGTTGGCCATGTTGGAGCTTTTCTCGAAGGCCCTCAAAGTGCAAGTGATGGCTTGCCAGGCTCACCTGTGGCATGCCGACGATGGTCAATGACCCAGTTGATTGACAATACGGTACAGGGTACCTTCGGTGCTGCTTCAGGCTTCATCCAGTGGCTTGACACCACTCCTGGCCGCGGTGTCTTGAAGTGTACAATCGCGTACACGCTGGCCAGTATGGCGACATTTGTGCCATTCTTGTCCGACTTTCTCGGCAAGCCAGATGGCAAGCACGTCGTTGCCACCATTACCGTCTACTTCCATGCCGCTCGCTCAACTGGCTCCATGATTGAGGCTATCCTCATCGCCATCGTCGCTGTCGCATATGCCGAGCTCGTCTCTCTCATCTCCATGGCCACCTCTGTGCTTGTCGGATCTGTCTTTGGACTGGTAACACTGGCACATGTACTTGTCGTCGTCGTCTTTATCGGCGGTGGCTTTGGTTTCATGGGCTGGACCAAGCAACGCATGAACAACCCACTTGTCAACGTCGCCAGTACACTGGCTTCTCTCGCCATCATATCCGTCGTCACAAAAGAAACAGCAGTCATTGATAATGTATTTTCAAACCAAAAAATTGTGCAAGTTTTCAAGATGCTCATCATGGGAGTCACATGCACTGCTGTCGTTAATTTGCTGCTCTGGCGCGTCTCTGCACGCCAGCTACTGCGAGCATCGATCACACAGACATCGGTCTCACTAGGAAGCATGCTTTCTGATGCAACTACCGGTTTTCTCGCCAGCGCCACCCAGGAGGCTACTTCACCAGACTTCCCCGACTCTTACGCCTACTCGAAAGCTCACGCCTCTATGCTGAAGCACTTACGCGAGTCTAAGTTCGAGCATTACCTTCTTGGCCATGTTCAAATATATCGTCTTGAAAGATCGACTGTTAGATCCCTGGAAACCTTGGCTCAATCCATAGGCGCATTGCGCAGCGCCGCCAAAGCCCAGTTTGCGCTACTCAACGGTGATGGTCGTGATGCCATCCTCTTTCGGATCCATAGTACTTCAGCAACGCCGTACGTTGCCAGAGATATTGACCCCTTCTCCTTCACCGGAACTGAAGGATCTCAGGCGACAGAGACAGGCTCTAGGGACGCCCCAGATCTCCGCGCCGCCGGGCGGCTCTTTGCAGACTTCGCTGGCGCAGTTCGGCGCCCAATGCAAAACCTGTCTGGCATATTGTGCCAGCTCCTGACACAAATGCCGTTCGCTGGTGCTCCCGACTATGCAATCCGGATCGATGAAGCTCTGCGTGAAGAACTGACAAAGCGATTGGAGGTATTCAACACTGCACGTGCGGATGCTTTGCAAAGCTTGTATTATCGCATTCGGCAAGAAAATGACAGTGGTCATCCCCAGATCGTGTTGGAAGAGGTCGCTGCTGCTTGTGGCCATTTCTCGTTTACTTTACAAAGCTTCGGCGAGGAGATGAAGACGTACCTGGACGTCTTGGAGGATCTCAAACATAGCTACGACCGTAAACAGTGCACCTGGCGCTGGATGCTGTGGTGGAGGAGGGGTAAATCTGACAATGGATTGGCAACGCTGCCATTTGATGCGCCAGAGACTGAGTTTCTGGTTAAGCCGATTCGAAAATCGGCCGTGCCAGCGGGCATTCCGCGTTCGATGCGCGAACGGCGAGATACATACAGGTGGGACGCGGCTCCTAATGCGAGCAAGATTTTGTCGAAACTGTCACAAGCGTCTCTTCACCTGCTGCGAAAGATGGCGAGCGATGATGGTAAGTGAGGGCGAGCAGTTTCCAAGGTGACTTGGCTGACCGTTAATAGTTTTGTTTGGCCTCAAAGTGGGCATAGGTGCCGCGCTGTGGGCTATGCTTGCATTCATTGAGGCAACGCGCGATGTGTACAACCATTACCGCGGCGAATGGGGCCTTTTGTCGTTCATGATTGTCTGCTCCATGACAGTCGGAGCCTCTAACACGACAGGATGGGCTCGCTTTATGGGAACTTTTGCAGGCGCCTTCTTTTCGCTGTTCAATTGGACGGTGAGCCAGGGAAACGGCGCCGTGCTTGCAATTCTGGGAAGCTTTGTCGCATTCCTCAACTTCTATCTCATTGTCGCGTGCGGTCGTGCACCGCTCGGACGCATGACAATTCTGGCGTACAACGTGTCGACCCTCTATGCCTACTCTCTCAGCCAGAAGGTTGATGATAATGATGACGACGAAGGTGGCATCCATCCCCTCATGAGGGCGATTGTCACGCACCGTGTCATCTCTGTTTGCGCTGGAATCCTATGGGGACTTGCCGTATGTCGGTTTGTGTGGCCCATCTCGGCGCGGTTGAAATTCAAAGAAGGCATCTCAGTGCTGTTCCTGCAAATGGGCCTCATTTGGCGCCGCGGACCGCTTGCTATCCTTCTGCGCTCCGACTGCTCCCAGAGCTACCTCAAGTCCGGTGAGCAAGTCGCGTTGCAGCGCTACGCCGACCATCTCGAGACCCTCCGCCACAGCGCGGCATCCGAATTTGAGCTGCGCGGGCCGTTCCCATTCGAGGCCAACGGGCGCATCTTGCGCAGCGTAGACCGGATTCTCGATGGGTTCTATTCCATGAGTCTGGTTGCGCAGCGCAAAGCAAGCCTCTCCAGTGGCGAGCGTGCGTTGCTTGAGTTCACGGCGCCGGAACGCGCTGTGCTATGTGACCGCATCTGCCACATCTTTCAAGTGCTGGCCAGCTCTACGATGCTGGAATACCCATTGACGGACGCGATTCCGAGCATCGCCCGCGCGCGTGACCGGCTCCTGAGCAAACTATTTGAGTTTCGAGAAGCCCATGCGGCACGTCGGCAAGCAGTCCTGGGCATCGGATCGCGGTCCAGTCAGCATTCAGAACAGCCAGAACTCGCATTGTCCGAGTCTGGAGCTAGACTAGATGTCGTGGTTGGTGAGAGGGACTATGCGCTTCTATATGCATATGCGCTCATTACGGGCCAGGTGGAAGACGAACTGAAGATTACGAGGCAAGAAATCGAGGGTCTACTAGGGGTACTGAAAGATGATCCTCTTCTTACTGAGTGAGAATGAGTTGATCGTATCTAGCTGTATTGCAGCTTCATTGTCATGCAACCTCCTTCCTATGTATGGCCGTCTGTCTATACACTAAATAGTAATTACCACGGTACATCATTACCCACCAAACAATACAAAAAGTATATGCATAGCTCACCAAGATGTCTTATAACAAGTTCGCACATATTTACAGTTTGAGTCGGCCAGTCTCAATCTTCTTCCAGTCCTTTTCACTAAACGGTACGTACGTGTCGCCCCTTAGCCAGAACATGCTGGCGTCGCCCTGGCGGGCGTCCTTGGAGGGCTTGACGCCCAGCCTGCGCAGGTTGTACTTTTGCTGCTTGTTGGTCCCCGTGGTGTCCGCGCCGAGGCCCGGGACGACGCGCAGGAACAGCGGCACCGCGTACGGGGGCAACGTGGCGCGCAAATGCGCCGCGAGGCTGCGGAGGGTCTCCTCGGCTGGCACCGCGGCGTCGTCGCCGAAGCACACGGTGACGCAGCCGGCGCGGCCGTCGTGGTGCGGCAGCTCGACGCCGTAGACGTTGGCCTCGCGGACCGCCGGGTGCAGGCCCATGACCTGGCTGACCTCCGCCGTGGAGACGTTCTCCGACTTCCAGCGGAAGGTGTCGCCGATGCGGTCGACGAAGAAGAGCAGGCCGTCGCCGTCCTGCTTGAGCACGTCGCCGGTGCGGAACCAGGCGTCGCCCTTGCGGAAGACGTCGCGGAGGACCTTGGCGCGCGTGGCGGAGGGGTCGTTGAAGTAGCCCTGGAAGCGGGCCTCCAGCGCAGCCTCATCGTCGACCCCGCCGCCGCCACCGGGCAGCCGGAAGAGCATCTCACCGGGACAGTCGGCCGGCGCGCGGCGGCAGAGGCCCGTGACGGGGTCGCGTAGGGGCGCGTCGGCCGCCCAGTCCATCTCCGCGAGGGCGGTGTCGCGGCCGACGAGCGTGCGCAGGAGCCACCCGGCACGGCCGACGGCGCCGACGGCGTGGTCGTTGCTGGAGAGGTTCCAGGTGGCGAGGGTGCCCTCGGTGGCGCCGTAGAACTCGGCGACGGTGGTGACGCCGAAGCGCGTCTGGAAGCGCTTCCACACGTCCGGGCGGAGGCCGTTGCCAAAGGCGACGCGGACGGCGTGCGCTCGGTCGAGGGAGGCGCCGGTGACGGGGTCGAGCTCGGGCGGCGCGGCGAGGAGGTAGCGGAGGGTCTCGCCGACGTACTGGATCACGGTGGCGTGGGAGGCGCGCACCTCGGGCCAGAAGGTCTTGGTGGAGAACTTGCGGCCGAGGGCGAGGGTGCTGCCGCCGATGACGGTGGCGCAGAAGCCGAGCAGGGAGGCGGAGGCGTGGTAGAGCGGCATGCACTGTCGGAGGATGTTAGACATCTGAGGAGTAGACATGGATAGGAATGAAGATGGGCAATGACAAGGCTCACCGTATACATGACATCGTCGCCTCGACCGAGAAAGTTGACGCTAAACTTGGAGCTGACGATGAGCTTGGCCCAGGACACGATGGCGGGCTTGGGAAGGCCGGTGGTGCCGGAGGTGTAGATGAGGATGCCCATGCTGCCGGCGGCCTTGTCCGAGCGGTCGCAGTCCGGCTGGCGCGCCGGCTCGGCCGACCGCGCCGCCCCCTGGTGGTCCTCGTCAAAGACGACAATCTCAACACCCGCCGTCTCCTTGCGCACGAGGTCGTCGTCGAAGTGAGCCGCGACGGCCGGGTCGACCAGGCAGACCTTTGCGGTGGACGACTTGATGCAGTGGGCGAGCGGCGCGCTGGTGAGGTTGTAGTTGACAAACGCCGGCTTGGCGCCGAGGCTCCAGAGTGCCCACCAGAGCATGACGAAGGTGTCCGAGTTCTGGAAGTCGAGGGCGACGACGTCGCCGGGGCGGACGCCGAGGCGCTCGCGGAGGTAGGCGCCGTGGCGGAGGACGGCGTCGTAGAGCTCACGGTAGGTGTAGGAGGTGGTAGTGACCGGGGCGGCGGCCGGGGGGCCGCCGTCGAAGAGCACCAGGACGGGCTTGTCGGCGTGGCTGGCGCTGAGGGCGCGGGCCTCGAGTGCGTAGAAGAGGTTGAGGCGGTCGGCCCAGCTGCCGTAGGCCAGGCCGGCGACGCCCCGCAGGATGCCACCGAGCATCAGCGCGTCGTACCACAGGGCGGACCGGGCGTTGAGGTAGGCGGCGGCGCCGAGGGCGGCGGGCACGGCGACGGCGAGCGGGATGGCTGGTTGCGGCTCATGGCGTCAGGGCTCGGAAGGAGGAGTACGTGGGAGGTTGCGGGTATGATGAATGCATGGAGATACGTACAAGACATGGCTAGCGACGAAAGAAAAGAACCAAGGGAAGAAGAGAAAGAGTCGCCTCCCCCTGGTGAGGCGAGTGAGACAGCTGGCTGAGAGTTGAGCAGGGGGTGGTGGGTTGATTGATTCAGTCGACAATCAACTCTCAGAGGGAGGGCAAGGCAAGGTGAAGGAAGGAATACGGCAATGCCCAAGAAACGATGGAGAATTCCACTGAAAAGCAGCTTAATAAAATAAGAGACTGCCTCCTCTCCCTCTCCTCCCCTTCCCTACCCGTTGGTTGTTAACAGGTATATATTAATTGATATCGACTTGGTACATGTGGAGCTCTAGTTCATCCACAACTCAAAAGAGGAAACAGCTTTTCTTGCCTGATCTGGCGTAGAAGCCGAGGCAGAAGCTTGCCGGATGCTAATTCTCAGTAGTGAACCCCTCAGTTCCCCTCATTCCCTCCTCCTCACTCCTCACTTGAGCTGCATGCATGCAGGCCAGCTTTCCCGCCTCGTACGGGGGTGGGCTTGGCGGGGAGCGGAGCATTAGGCTGGCCGATTTGTTGATGCTAATCTTGCTCGGAAAGTGAAGCTGGTGTTTTTTCTTGTCCGTGTTTCTTCACCCGAGTTGAAGGACTCGTCTCTTCTCCACCAGGAAAAACGGTTGTAGCTGCAGTATATGCCGCGATTGAGCGCGCGTGTGGTGGGTGATACGGACCGACGCTGTGCTTCGATGCGGACGGGGGAATGCAGTGTCGTCGAAATAAGTAAAATCAAAGTACTGTACACCGTCTTCCAACCCCCTCATCACCTTCTCAGCTCGCCCGTTGATCGCCATCGCCGCCATCTTCCTTGTCCGTGCGACAGGGCCGGCGCCTAGCCCACCGTCCGTTCCCGCTCCCTTTCCTGTCTGGGCGGCCCGCAGGGACACGGCCTCGAAGAACACGTAACGCGGCAACTGGCTAGGTATGGGTAAGACTAGTCTCAATAACTAGTTGTTGCTTGTGGACAAGACCATGGCTATCTAGAAAGTTGAGTCGGCTGCTTTCCTCCGTACCACATAACCGAATCAATCGTTACGCGCCCTCGAGCATGTCGACCTGCACTTGACCGAGATGCAGGTAACACGGCGTCCGAGGGGACACCTCGTTCCAGGCACAAAACGCCGTGAAAGAAATTACATTCTGCAACCTTGACCGAGGGCCTTGTATAACGCTTCTGGAACGGGGCTGGAAATGCCACGACATGCTTGTGCTTGACTGTCCCGAGACAAGCTTAAGACTCTTGCTGACAATATGGAGTTTTCGTAACGGGCAAGTTATTATCTTGTTGAAAATACTCTGTGTTTTGCACAACTTTACTTCCTCGTCGAATGCATAATGTAGTCAAAAAGGCCCTCGTTTCTTTGCCTTATGCTGCCAAGACGGGAACATTGGTTTTTTATTCCAAAAAAAAAAGAAAATGAAGAACAAGACTAGAATATAATTCCAGAAACTCAACATAAAAATATACTCTTTTTATTCTCCCTGTTCGTGCCGTTCGTTCCCCGGCTGCCCCTACCAAATGACCGCCAATTGTCAGCGACGACAAAACGAACCCCACACGTCGTTTTCTCCCACCCGCGACCCAAGACTGACAATTTACATACAACATCAGCAACGACCTTCTCTTAGCCGACTCCATCAACGCGCCTCTGCGCCGTTCCCCGGCCCTTCCTCCCCTTTCCTTATTCCTTCTGCCATGGGCCTCCTCGGCCTGTCCCTCATCGTCGCCTCCGTCGTCTACGTCATCATCCGTCCGCCACCATGGCTCCCGCCCGCGCTCCTCTCGTGGCTACCGCGCGGCGCCGGCTCTCCGGCCGCCAAGATCACCGACGCGCGCAAGTCGAAGAAGCCGCGTCCCTCTGCCCCTCCCCCTCCTCCGCCGACATCGATACCGACGATAGCGGAGCCCCGTGAGGCGACCGACCGCGCGCCCATGCCGCCGCCGCCGCCGATAATGGTGGTGCAGCCACCGCCGTCCGTCGCTGTTGAGCACGACGACGAGGAGCGGCAGCGACCCGAGTCTCCTACGACGCCGAAAGCAAAGGCCGCGCAGCCGTCACGCAGCATGCCGCCGCCGCCGCCGCCGCCGCCGAGCTTCTCCCTCACGACCGAGTCGATGCCGCCGCCACCTCGGCCGACCCCCTCCACATCATCTTCGTCCTCGTCCACGATGCCTCCTCCGCCGCCGCCACCCTCCTCATTGCGACCATCACCAACCTCATCCTCCGCGGCGCCCGCCCCTCGACCCCCGACTCTCAGCCAGTTCCCCGCCGCCAACTCCGCCCAGCGCGCCCGCGGACCCCTCCCCGACGGGCCGCCGAGGCACCGACGCGTGGATGGCGCTCGGCGGGAGGGTGTACAACGTCACGCCGTACGCGCGCTTCCACCCGGGCGGCGTAGGGGAGCTGATGCGCGGCGCGGGGCGCGACGGCACGAGGCTGTTCGCGGAGGTGCATCCCTGGGTGAACTACGAGAACATGCTGGCGGCATGCCTGGTCGGCATCCTGGTCGAGGAGCCCGCTGCGGGGGATGACGTGCCCGGCGGCGGAGGGTGCCCGGAGAGCGAGATGGAGGCGATGGATTGATTGGCCGGATGGACTGAAAGCTCCCGGCTATGGAGGACAACTGTACATTATCCCATTTGAGGCGCTTTTTCTCCTATGGTTAGAACTGGAGGCGCGTTTCTTTGTCTCGTGGTTAGAAGTTCTTGGAATACTGCATCGCATTTACGCAGCTAGACGATGAATGCATCAGAATAGAAATAGAAGAGATACCCTTGGTAAATTCGCCCTTGTTTGTTTCTTCTCAGACATGACTATGCAACCTACCGCTGTTTATTATTGTACATTGTTTCGCGCACGCCCATTCCTACCCATCAGCGTCTCTTGCCAAACTTAAACTTGAGCTCGTCATCACTGTCTTCCTCGCTGTCGTCTACCTGGATCGGCGGGGGCGGCGGCCGTTGCCGTTTCGAGGACTGGCCAGACAGCGTACTGGGCGCCGCTCGTTTGCCCAAGCTCTGTGACGTTTGCGCCGACGACTGGCTGCGGCTTCCCCTGGAGCCGGCAGTGGCCTGAGCACCAGCCCTCCGACTGTACGACCCCCGCGGCGGTTGCGAGTCCTCCCCCTCCTCGGAGTTTGCATCGTCGCTGTCTTCGTCTGCGGCCGGTTGGCTGGCTTTCTTCGCGTTCCGGCTCAGGCTGCTGGACATTTCCGAGATGGGCGGAGGCGATTCGCCTCGTGGCGCCGGCTGGAACCTGCTGCCGCCCGAGTTGGTCCGCGGTACCGAATCCTCCTCCAGCCAGTAGTTGTCTCCCACGCCAAACTTCTTGCTCTGCACCTCATCAACCGTGATTATTGTTCGCGCGGGCTGTCTGCCCACGAGTTCACCGCGACGCCGAAACTTTTTAAAGTTCTTGATGCCGTTCCACTTCGGATCCCAGCGACCATCGGCAATGTCCTGATCTCGAGATCGTATGGTGCTCTCTGGCTTCCGGAGCTCAATATCCTCGACAATATTCAGTCTACGAATCTCCCCAAGGTCGATATCAGCAGGCAGCTGCGCTAGATCCTCCTGCTCAGCTCTTGCACGAGCCTCTTGCTCCTGACGGTGCCTGGCGGCTTCGGCGAGGATGTTAATTTCCTTCTTTTCCTTCTTAATAGGCTTTTGCAGCTCTTGTGGAGGCGATTCGCGAGTCACTGGTGCAAAGTCGTTACCCATAGCTATTCTTTGTCGCTTGAATCTGGCCGCGGCTGGCGCCATTCCTTCCATGAGATCGTCTTCTGCAAGGGCGGCTCTCTTTTGTGTCACGTTCGAATCATAGTCGGGGGGTATATCGTTCTCCTGGGATACAAACAAGCCACCTTCTTCGACGGGTTCGTTTGGCGGAGGTGGTGGAGGTGCTTCTACAGCTGATAGTTTTGCCTCATCCATCTCTATGTCTGAGCCATCGTCAAAGCCCATGAAGCGTCTTTTCACTGGTTTCCGCATTCGTGGCCGTCTTGTACTCGGCTCTGGCTCGACAGCGGCAGCAGAAGAGTCTTCCGCCGGCGGAGGCGCTTGCGATGGAATGACCGAGGTACCTGACTGCTCTTCAACCTCGAGTGGCCGGCGAAGCATGCTGGCATCCTTGGTCAGAATTGCCTCTAGAAACTCATTCTGTTCGATAGGTCGATGATCCAGCCGTAAGGAGACGGTTGTGATGAACTGGGTGTACCACTGAACATGCTCCCCCTTTGTCGGCAGATACCGCACAACCACAACACCTTTACCTTCGCTTCCGTCATCGAAACTGCCGAGACCTTTTTCTCCAGCGACACCTTTGACGTATCGAACAAAATCATCAGACGAGGTTTCTCCGGGTTTGACCGTTTCGACCAAAGCTTTGCCTCCTCCATTTGTAATTGGCGCGAGCAAGTTGTTATATTGCGTCGGATCGTAGAATATGAAGGTGTATCCGTCAAAGACATCAAGCCGACCCGTGTCTGGTGTGTATATTTCGTCGGAATGTTCAAATGGCTCTCCGCCACGGGGCGGCAGGTGCTTCATGGGATCCGGCCACGACTCGTCAAAGTTTTGCTCCAGCGCACAAGTCTGTGAGCCGTTTCCGTCGTCCACTGGCTCGGCGGCCTGCATGACTGCATCGAGGAAAGACTCAGTCACGATGAATCGGCCATTGATAAGCGCCTGGAGACCTTTGGCCGTATTGCGCTTCTTGGCGACGACATGGGTTGTAAAGTCTATGTTGTAGTCGGCTAGCAGCTTGATGTCCAGCTGCTCGAATCGCGATCGGAGGGCACCGAAGGGTTTCGCCTGAAGTTCTTTGCTTGAGAATGAAAAGGTGAATGCGGCCGGTCTCCACGTCAGACTGTCACGATCGTGTCAGCGGCGTCGCGCAAGCGCAAGCGCAGGAGGGGAGGGGCAATACCAAAACTTGTTGGGGCACTTGCCCATGGTCATCTCGACGTCCTGACCATTGTCGACCACGTATTTTGTGCCTTTGAGCTTCTTGCCGTTGACTAAGGTTCCAATCTTGGTAGCCAGGTCTTCGATTGTGATCTTGGAGCGGCGTGATGGGTGCAGTGCGTCGCCGTCGCTAACGGGGTCGATTGTGATGGTCAGGTGTTTCCGAGAAATGGTATTGTGCGAGATTGCGAGCTGGCCGGCTGTTGATGTATCATGATCAGCTAGTTCTCAGCAAGACCCAGAGCGCCAGTACTCACCTTCAGCCACTGTGCGTCCAAACAGGTACGTCTTCCCTGGCCGTAACCATAGCCGGCGGCCTGCGCATAGCAGTCAGTAGCGGGAACCAACACTATGCATTGCCAGATAATATCCATACCCTGGAAAGCCTCTTCATTTTCCAGTAACCACATTGCACCGGCTCAAAGACGACCAAGGCAGCTATTCAACGGGTCGCCATGGCGTTGTGCCGTTGAGGTTGCGTGAATCTTTTTGCGGGGACGCGACGGGGAACCGTGTTAAGCGGTTCAGCGCAAATCGCCAATTCACGTGGCTTGGTGGCTGCCTGGCAATTGTTCAACACCCAACACAATCTTAACTGTAGTCTGTCAATAGAGAACCTTCTAGGCACTTGGCTGCAGTGCTAATGAGCATAAATTGTTTTGTTTATCTGGCTTCGTGGAACATGCGTTGCTGAGATGGAGATGGAGCCTCGAGTCGTGCTACGCAACAGCCACACGCCGTTGTAGAACCACCTACTGTATCTACATAGCTGAGATGGGGTCATTGCTTGTCAACTCGAATAATTCATCTGCGCTGTTTGATACGAGTAATTCACATACACACGACTAGGCTTTCGCGATCATCTCCGGTGGCGTTCTCGCAAAAGCTTGTCTAGCTTCCCATGATCCCCTCGTCATGATTTCTACCAATCTCCAAGCTACAGAGAGAGAGAGCATCTTCATCTAAGAGATTATACAATTATCTAACTTCAATAAATATACGGATTTGTCCGCCATTAAGCCAGAATCTGCTAGCATATGCTGAAAGTAAACTGCCCAACGCCTTGTATCCAAATCCATGCCGTCTTTCGTGTGTTGCCTCCAATCAAACATCGGCCCCCGAAAATAAAACCAGCCGCCCGTCATAAGCAAAAAAAGAGAGTAATTTATGCGCTCAGTTCAACCGGTGCTTGCTGAGGCCGCGGCTGCACGTGGCTCGGATTCGGCGACGCCGCCTCTATCTCACTCGGCTGGTAGCTCGAGCCCAGCTGCCCGTGTGTCGGCGCCGGCGATCCCACCGAGCTCGGCTGGTTCATGGGATCATCGCCTCCGGGCTGGTTGGGGTACTTGCCCGGCGCGGGCGCGTGGTAATCCGGGCCGTACCTCGACTTCTTCCGGCGGTAGAGGAGGAACGCGCCAACCACGAGAAGCGCGACGCCGGCGATGCTGCCGACGACGATGCCGGCGATGGCGCCGCCGGACAGGCCTCCACTGCCCGCCGAGCTGTCCGCGGACGGCGTGCCCTGGTTGTCGGTGTCGCTCGCGTTCTGGCTCGGGGTCGGGATGCTCGTTGCAGTCGACCCGGGTGCGACCTACGGTGCATATTAGTATGTACGCTTTAACGCTGACGAGAATGAAGGAAGGGTGGGTCATTTCCACATACCGAGAGAAACTTGATTCCCCAGGCCTCGATGCCTTCCTTGGTGGAGGGCGTGCGCGTCACGGGTGCCTCGGTGGCTGGTGTGACGCCGAGATCCGTGACGACACCCGTCCAGACGATGCCGCTCGCCGTGGCGGTCGCGTGGCAGCCGTATTCGTTATCCTTGCACATGAAGGAAAATGCATTGCCAGTCACGCTGATACTTTGTCAACACATACATGGTCGGGGGGGGGGCTTTCTCGGTTGATCGGAATACGAACCTGGGACAGCACGTTATCGTGCTCACGGCCGCCGACTCGCCCGGCTTCGCGGACCCGGCCGTCGCGCAGGCGCGGGTGTAGCCGGCGGGACAGGCGCTCCCGTCGGTGAGGTACGGCACGTTGATGGTGAAGGAGGGAGGGAAGCAGTCGCCCGAGGGCGTGTTCCCGGTGAAGACGGGCGTCGGCGTGCCGTACATGTTGCTGAAAAACTTGGCCCCCCCGTCGGCGTAGAGCACCCGGTAGTAGTTGGTGCTTGCGAAGCATGATGTCGGTGCCGTCCATGAGGATGGGAAGCTGTGTAGGGGAGGGAGCGTCGAGGTGCTCGTGGACTTTGCGTTGGAGGTGGATTTGGACGACATTGTGACCAGTCTTGGAACAATTTTTGCCAAGATTCAATTCGTTGTATCGGCGGTCCGGAGACGGAGATGGCCAACACGGATTGGTCTGGGGGTTGGTTGTTAGAAGTCGGAAGCTAGGGCGCAGACTCTGGTGGTTGAGATTGGGGCCCAGCAGCGAAGTATTTGCCACATGTATAGATCCACGTCGAGTATTCTTAGATGGACGCTCTTATGTCCAGACAAGGCTGGGCCGAGTAGGCTAAAAGTAATTGGCTAGCAACTGTCTTGTGTCATGGACACGCTACCAAGATGATCATCTCCAGTTGGGTTGAACAGGGATGATGAGGCTCATTTACATGAACAGAACTAGATAAACACATGGCACAGGATAGCCCAGAGTTATTTTCAAGCAATGTAGAACTACATAGAGATGGATAAGAGTACCTGGTGCTGTGATGGAGAGAACTAGCCCTCGTCTACTGTTTCTTTTGATTCCTCATGACTCTTACCGCTCCAGTGTCGTCAGGAGAAAAGAAACAACCTCCCGCACACTCTAGCATAACAAGAGTGCCTTCCCGTCAGCATAGCGAGCGCCATCTTCCACTTTTTGCGGCACCGCAGCGGCAACCCGGCGACTAGGTTGAGCCTATTTCCCACCAAAATCCCTGCTAATGTCCATGATGATGGGCTCTTCTCCAGAAACAGCGACGCCATGCACATCCTATTGGCTGCAAAGGCAACGCCAAAGTCTCACCTTAACTGGGGCGCAGAACACTTGGCAACCAACTTGTCAGTGGGCCGGCCTTGTGTGCTGCGCCTTCATTTTCAGGGCCAAATTTATTATTAGAAAATTTTGAGAATTTAGTACACTGTCAGGGCTGAAATTTGCCTTGCTCGGCGGAAGCAAGTCATCATATGCTCTCAACAGCCTTGTATGTAACGGGGTACACACACCTTAATTTCCAGACAGGTTGTTTATCCCCGTGACTGCTGCGCAAGTCTTGTCTCAATTGGGAAAGCCGACGAACAAGGCAATCAGTCATTTGAAGGAGAAGGGATCTTCAGAACATTGAAATACCCAAACACTATCCGGACTCTCATCTCACAATCGCGATCAACTCCGGCAACAAAATTTTCCTGAATTAAATATGTATGAGATGTATATACATCTATTGTTCCTATGTAACCTGTCCGACTCTTACGGCGGTAAAATATATACACTGTGATGTAGAAGTTCAAAAAGGCAACCGTCTCCGCGGCCTCGTCAGTCAAGCGGCGCCTAGTTGGTATCAAAGTGATACAACGTCTCAGCCACAATCTCATACTCAATATCAACATGACCATTTTGACACGCCAGCGGCGACAGCTTGCTGAGCGCCGAGTACGAAAAGTCCAGCCCGGCCGCGCCGTCCGGATTCCAGTGAGTGTCGTCGCCGTGCGCACAGCGTTCGCAAGCCATCCCCGATGAAGAAGGGCACGTTGGACTTGACGCCGTTGACGGTGACGACGACGCGCTTGCCGCAGTACTTGGCGAGGCCCGCGGCCGTCTTGAGCGGCAGGTTGCTCATAGCGACCAGGTTGCTGGAGTCGACGTCGTTGAGCGACTTGCGGTGGACCTGTTGCGCATGACGGAGCCCAGGTCCTGGTTGTTAAAGTCGGTGCCGCAGGCCTGCCGCTGCTGGATGTCGTAGTAGTAGGTGCCGAAGCCCTTGCCCTTGAAAGTGGTGGAGGGCTGCGCGGAGGCGGCGCCTGCAGCGAGGGCGAGGGCGGTTTCGAGGGCGCTGAGGGTGGGCTGCATTTTTGATGGAGTGAAGTGGCAAGGAGATGAAACTGGTACTGGTTGCCTGAGGCTGGCTGGCTTGAAGAAGCCATCATCATTCCTTCAGCTCAAGACACGGGACAGGCCTCCTTCTTGTATCCCTTGCAACCAACTACCAGCAGACACGACCGACACACGGCAAATTAAAAGGAGTCAGCAATCATTGCCGCGCGGCATCCATCATTCAGTCCGGTGATCCTCGGACCGGTAATAGTACATTATGTGCTCCCTCTCAAGTCCACGATGTGCCATCCCAATACCCAGTACACGTTGGCGGCATGATAGCGTGAGGCACAAGAGCATGCAAGGTACCATTGAAGGATTGTTCCCCATCCCAACGAAGCCAGATTCGGAACTTCTGGCAGGAACGGGAGTCGAGAAGCTCCGTTTTTGACCTGAATTGGCATACTCGAAATCTCAATTGATCATCTCCCGCATCAGCACCAGTGCCTATCGGGGTAGGTCGACAATGCGAATGCGTCTGAATTGGAGGAGCACACTAGAGTTTCCCCGGTCAGCAGCAACGTTGCGAGATAAATTTTGGAATTGTAGGGCTGATCTAGGGTAGGTCTGCTGGTAACTTATAGTCATGGTCCTTTAAATTGCGGACTGGGGCATTCCACGGCGTTTAATCGCCGGCCAATCTTGGCGCTTCGGCGATGGTCGGGCTTCCGTAACGCCGTAGCGACATCGACTGCCTGGAAAGCTTGACAGCAACCAGGTTATATAGGCAATAAAACGTTACAATCGAGTGGGCAGTCATGAAGCCCCTCTCTTCCAAACTCTTGGTCGCCAGACGTGGCGATATAGGAGTGCCAAGTGCCAACCCCCTTCTTGGCGTGAAAGAATACCCTCACTGACATGTTTTTGACCCATTCTTATTTTACTTGTTTTTTTTTTGTAGTTGTATTTGTGCAACTTGTTCCATCCAAGATATTATTAGAGTCGCCTCGCAAAAGGGACATGTTATAAAGACAATTCGCAAAACAGGTTAGGTATCATTGGTATCATCCATCCTCCATTCCGTCAGGCATCCGAATAAAGCAGACTAGAAAAGACAAAATATGCTCCGTGGCGGCCTTTTCGCTTGAGCTGTCGGGACGCGGGTGCACATCAATTCGGCACGGGGCTTGCGCCGTCTAGGCCTGGTGCTCAGCGCTCTTCTGCTTGCGCATCTCATTGGCGTGCTCGGACCACGGGAAGTGAATGACGGGCACCTGGAAGAAGGAGTTTCTATCGGCCGGTTAGCTACTGAGCCACAAGTTTCTTGGACGGGGTTGGTTGGTGTGAAAAACTTACGAGCTGTCCTGGATACCGGCAAGGGCATTGTACCAGGCGAGGAAGGCTGCGAGGAAGCCAAAGAGGCCGCCGGTCTTCTGGAGGGCCAGGGCGGCGGTGGCGTTGCCGAGGTTGGTGGCCATCTGCTCGCAGGCGAGGAAGAGGAAGGCCAGGTCGAGGGTGAAGAAGAGCAGGAAGAGGGCGAGGGTGGAGCGGAGGGTGCAGAGGACGAGGAGGGTGGTGAAGATGAACCAGCCAAAGAGGTAGAAGCCGAGGACGTTGGCGACCTCGGGCTTGGTGTAGGGGTCTAGGACGTGGAAGGCCGGGGTGAGGATGATGGCGTAGGAGATCCAGAAGCCGCCGTAGGAGGAGAGAGCGGTGGCACCAAAGGTGTTGCCAGTGGCCATTTCCCTGTCAAGATGGTTAGCAAGCTGATGTGTTGGGGGCGCCGAAGAGCACGGCATTGCGATGGATGCTGAACATACCACATGCCAGCAAGGAGCTGGACGAGACCGCCGTAGCCAAAGGCAAGAGAGATGACAATGTTGGGCGCGGCGGTGTCGCGGGCGTGCATGTTGAGCGCGGACAGGACAAAGGTGGTCAGGGCAAAGGCGGAGAGGCCGAGGGGCGCCGGGTTGGCGAGCTTGCGGTGCTCGTAGGGCTGCCAGTTGCCGACCTGGAGGGCGCCGCCAAAGGCCTGGGTGTCCTGGCCCTCAATCATGGCGCGATAGGTCGGGTGCTGCCAGCGCGCGTACTGCTGGTGCTGGTTCTGGGCGTCGACGGCGCCGTTGGGGGGGACGATGGGGGCGTCCTTTTCGGAGGTGCTGCTCATGGCGGCGTCGGGGATGGCGGACATGATGGATATTTAAGAGAGGGGAAGGGAGAGCAAGGAAGAAAGAAGGTATAGTATGTACCCGCGGAAATACCACACGAGAGGAAACGAGAAGGATGGTCCGAGGAGAGAGGATGAGGTGGGGGAGAGAGAGAGCAGTGCCCTCTTATTATAAGCAAGCTGCTTGGCTATAGTTTTATAGTTGCGTATGAGCGGAACCCCCAGATTGCATGGTCGGTCCATCCATCTCCATCTGGATGTCCATTCACCCATTCACCCATCCATCCATCCATCCATCCATCCATCCATGGAAGCGAGTGTACCCCAACAGGCGGCACAAAACTGGAGTGCAGACATGCTGGGGGAGTTGGATACTACTACGTTCACGGCAACACGGAAGCCCTGTCGCATGAATGAATGGGGCGGATACAAGCTATGATGTGGAATGGACCGAATAGCGGACGGAGCTGGCGTACGAAGTAGCTAGTTGAGTGAGGGGAGGGGTGTGTGTGGGGGGGGGGGTTACAACATCGAGTCCACAGTGATACCTCTCAGCACAGAGTACGAATTACTGTCCGGATTATGTCCAGTATGTACAGCAGGTACAAAGACAAGCATACATGTCTCCTTTTGGAATTCTTGTCCAGTTAATAAAATTGATGCTCAAGGGGCTCATCAATGCCAAGCAGGGGACACGGCAAAGCCACACGGCGACTCTGCTGCTAGCCGTCCACCGGCCCCCATCACGGAGCCGCGATTGCCAGCAAGCACAGGATAGGAGCATGATGCGAATAATTATGCAAACAACCGTTCATTAGCGAGTCCTGGTTCAGCAAGCTTTAGCAAAGACGGACGGTACACGACCACCGGCTACTACGACCTCGTGACGTCAATGACCTCGCAAGCTGTCCGTAGTTGGCGATTGCTTCTCAAAACTTGACCGTAATCCATCTACAATGCTTGGGTCCGAACAAGGAGAGAAACAGAAAGACAGAAAGCGTCTTTCCGACCGCGTGCGGAACTCGACAACATTGACAAGTCAAAAAAAAAAAAGTGTGACTGGGGGCAGTGAGTGAGACCCCCCCGCGCAGGCCCGGCTGCAAGGGTCTGTTTTCAATAATAGTTGATACTGATATCAAATAAATGAAAAAGAAGAAAAGAAGAAGAAAAAAACCGCCCCCCGCCCCCCCCAAACGATGATCACGGCGAGCGGCGGCGCAGCTGTCAGCCTCCTGTGGTGCTACCCTTGCTTGCCGGGGCCCTGCGGAGGTCCGAAGGAGGTCTCGATTGCCCACGAGCGAATTGCGCGGGTAGAAGCAATTCGTTTTTGTTCCAGCGATGTGTGACTGTGTGTGGCGGAGATTATCTTTGTTGCCGAGACGCGAGCAAAAAAAGAAAAAATCACAGACAACACTCGCTTCACTCATTATACAGCAAGCATCTATTTACCTGCCTTCAAAACAATCAAAACAGACAGACGCCATCCAATTCACTGGTACCAAAACTAGACTTTACCGGTACACAACTGCCTAGCCAGTTACTGCTACTGCCACGGCACGCACGCGACAAGGATCATGACGCAGGTATTCGCAAGCCTGAGTCGAGAAGATAGAGCCAAGATGTCACGAAGGAAGAAACCACTCAAAAATGAACAGGCCACTTCGTTCTATTTGGCCTTTTTCTTGGCCTTCCTCCTCCCCTGCCCTGTCCTTGCTTTGGCGATTGATTGCCTGACAGAAGCAGCCAAGACGCGGACTTGTTTCCTACGACGCCACCACCATGCGACAGAGGCAAAATGAGGAAACTAGAAAAACCAGACCTGCAGCAGCCGAGAAGCAAATTGTCTTGGCTCGACGCCCTCTTCACGATCGCGGCTTGCCAAGGTCGATTCGCGTTAATAAGCAGCAAGAGCCGCTGACTCTCTCGGCGGAGCGACCGCATGTCTCTCTACTACGAGTCTACTACGGTTGCAATTTAAAACTCGAAAAAAACAGCCGCTGACCAGGATCATCATCGCAGCAGGCAACAAGGGCTCTCTCGTGCGAGTTCAAGTAAATGTCGCGCAACCGCCTCCCCTGTTCGATTCGCACTCGGCGGCGCGCGATTGGTTTTAATGATAACCCAACTCGAAGTGAACAATAACAGCAGGTGAGCATTGCGTTCGAAGGGTTATCTTGCTCCACGTGGTCCCTGCATCACAGCTCGGCAAAAACAATTCGCAAGGAGCGAGCCACGAGGAGCAAAACGCCTCGACGGTGCCCTCTCTCCCTTGCTTGCTTGCTTGCTTGCTTGCTTGTGTGCTTGTGTGCTTGTGTGCTTGACTCAAACTGCCCGCAACGCCCCCAACTTCGTGCAATTGAACAAGTCGTTCGTCTTCCTTTTTGTTTCTTGTCTCTTAGATAGATGGCAGCCTGACCTGCGTGCCGCCTGACCCCGCCATGGTTCATACACTGTCTCGCCCTCATTGCGGCCACGCTGCTGCACTGCGCGCATTGAAGTCCGCATGTTGGAGACTGTGACGAACATCAGAGACAAGAACACTCCGGTCATGTCCGTGGCACAGCAGCTTGTGGCGTCCTTGCAAGGCTGCTTGTGTCTGTCCAAGCATCTGTACGGAGATGCTGCCTTTTCGTTTACACATGCATCCGTATATACAGTACAGCACAGCACCAATTCTATGTAATGCGACCCTGTTCCAAGTTGCTTACAGATAGTTACAACCCCAACCCCTCCGACCGCTAGTTACTCCTCGATTCGACGGCTGCGGGGAGAAAAAAAAAAAGGTCGCTACTGGTTTGAATTCTCTTAGTTCCCCATTCGTCGTCATGCAACTCATGAGATCATCCAGCCGAGCCAGCCAAAACCTTTTTCCTTTTTTCGTGGGGCATTGCTACTCTTGCACCCCTTCTGCTGCTAGGGAACCCCAACTCTGTTAGACTCGCATTGACTTTTTTGTTCTGTCTCTTGGAGTACAGTACGGAGATTACTAGTAGTTGAGTCGTTGTGCTCTGGGAAATTTCGCTGTCCAAGTCTCTTCCCTGCCGGTTGGTTGGCACACTAACTAATTACATCACTATTTTGCGATCAAAAACACAGCAAATCAAATCATCCATCGAGCAGGGGCAAAACGTGGCAGTCCCCCCCCCCCGGACGGGCGCAGTTTAGAGCCGAAAAGCTGAAACCACATCAACCTTCTTCCATCTTCAAGGGTGTTGTCAGTTGTACGAGTTGTACGGATTACTCCAGACTTTTCTGCGATGCCGAGGATAACAACAGCCGGGAGTCCAGGGGTATGGGTGATGGCCCATCATCATGCAGGTGGCGCAACCGCCAAGAGCCCTTTCCCCGTCTGTGAACAAGGGGAAGCAAAAAAAAAGGTGGCTGGTTTTATTTTAGAGTCGTGCTGCTTCCCGAACAAGAGGCATGCATTTCGAGAGTGGTATCGGGCCACAAATTCTCCAGCAAAAGCACCGTTCTGACTGGGTGCAATATTCCTGGTCGGTACATAGGTCTCAGCTCGGATTTGGTCTGTCCATCTCGTCCATCTGCCCGTCTCAGTGCTCCATCAAAGACCCCATGATGGTCGGACGAGCGGCGCCGAGTTTTGTTTCCAGGACGGTCCACGGATTAACTAGCTCGTTGGCGAGAACTGAGACGCTGGTCTTGCCCATCATCCAGCCAGCATCATGGAGCAATAACTGGGCAAAGGACGGGGGGGGGGGGGGGACCCCCGTTGCTCTTTTCTTTTGCTCTCCACAACGGGCGAGATGGCTCCCTGCAGCCGCGGCAGCCTCTTGGGCCACCGTTGGCGTAGCTCCCTCCGGCTTTTCTGCATGCAGAATGCGCCGAGCAAGCGAGCAGGGCGGCGGTCTGGTGCAGATACTGCCTGCATCAAGCAGCAGTCACCACGGCAAAGACGCCGCAGTGCTCATTCGTACACGGATTACCAAGAAATTGCAAAGCTCACGTCGCAGAAAAGCCTACCCTGGCCCCCCCCCTCCTCCCCCGGTCCTCGGCCGGCTGCCCCCCCCCTTGTAGAAACCTCCGTACACGTGGCTTGCCTGCCACCTTCTTCAACCTGAGGCCGTTCCCGGCAGATCTCAACAACCGGAGCCTCCGGGCGCTCCTTCGCGGGGGATGCGCGCGCTCTCCAAGAATGACTCCATTCTCCCACAATGCAGCGAGATTATCACGGCTTGGCGACCCCATTACAGCGGTCAGCTCTTCTCTCTCTGTTATTACTTGCCGGTGAGGGTCCATCTCCCCCTCCAGGGGTTTTCAAAAGAAACAGGCTGGGAGCTGTCAAGGCTCGAGCTTCAAGTTTCACCCTTGCGGGGTTCTCCCCCCCCTTGCCCCCAGCATCCAGACGTGGGGAAGGGGCGCCTTGATTCCGACGCGCCATCCATTCCGCCTGCTAGCAATTGGCCAACTAATAATTCGTACAAGTTTATGTAGTTAAGTTACCCGGTATTTGCTTTTTTAGCCCATTGATCAGCCAACTCGATTCTGTGTTTTGTTATTCTTTTGCCACTCCGTTCGGCCTAGCCCCTACCTAGCCTTGTGGCAGCTACATAGTCTGCCAATGCCGTCTTGATTAGAAAATTGTCGTGAATACCTACTAATTTATTCTAGGTGTACCAAGGTAGCTGTACGAGCTGTCGGACAATGAGCCAACTTTGCTGATGGGAGCTTCACTGGGGGCAGTGGTCAAGATCAACATAGGCGCACTATCAACTGTTTCCAGGTTATCGGCGTCGCTCAGGGATGCGATATCCTCACCGTTGTTGAGCAGACGTCGATCAAGCCGTCATAATCATGTAGTCAATCCTCTAACAGCCTTGTTGCTGTGAATCCTTACAGGCCGCCCCAGATGACCGACCCCCCTTGTTTCCAACCTCGCCACCCTCCCTCTTGACTGTTTCATTTACGGCTCACCTTTTTTCCCCCCTCATGATGCAGTTGACTCTTCCCACGGTCCAGCGGCGACGAACACGACAGAATGCCATCATCTCCTCATTTTTAGTTTTCGGGGGGGGAAATGTGGTGGGGGGAGGGCGTGTCTGTAGAACCAAGCTAGTATGGTTGTCCCATAGAGAAAGGCCATCATAGATGTCTTTGGTTTCGATTGATTTATAACTTGGCTAGTCCCGGGGCTAACACACACGGTAGCACCGGGACGACGCCCATTTTCTTTTTCCCCAAATCGCCCTTCTTTCCCTTCATCCGAACGATTGTCCGTGCACCAATCTTCCCCAGGGTTGGCGAACCTAACTACCCACAGACGCTGTTGACCTTACCAACTCTGGGGAAAACTTTAATGACAAATCCTGGACGAAGCGTGTGTTCGTACTCGTAGGTTGCCGTGGGTTGGCTTGGCTCGACGGTGAGCCATTGACGCCGGTGGACCGCGGGTGATTCTAAGATTACGATGCTTGGGCCAACTCGAACCACTTACTCGCTACAGGGCAAACGTCTGTCGACCTCACGGAAATGACGGGCTAGGGAGACAAATTGCCTGTCTCAAGTCATCCGTCTTCGCCTCTTCTCGACCTCGTTGTACTTTGGAGAGCTTGTTTCGCAAATACATCCATCGCATTGAGGCTGGAGCCGTCGTTCAACTCTTCAAAGCCACCGGCAACTTCTCTCATCAGCCTCAAGTGTTCCTCTCTTAAAGGTCTGGATCGAGTCTTGTATGGATACATACTAGTAGCATGCAATGGCAGTCCGTACCATCGTCCTGGTACACACCCCTATGCATGCATATCAGTCCTGCGCAGCTCATTCATTGGTCAAGTACTCGTGGGCTGGGTGTCAGTCTTATACAACTGGTATATCGATTTATGGGCCCGAGCTTACAGTAGAAGGAATAAAATTCGCGAATAATTTACCTAAATAGTTGATTGTTGATAATGTAGATATGCAATTCCTTCCGTGAATTGTGAGTCATCAAATTATATGCTGGCCTCTGATGGCAAGAGGCTGGTTCCAGCTAGAAAAAGGCCACTGAACATGCTGTAATAAGATTCTGTCCATCTTTCCTCCGTACCGTCATTTATCCATTGCAACCGCCTAAAAGATACGCATGCCTCCAGGGTGTATGTTTGACGCCCACGCCCCTCACTCACCGTCGATGCATCTGAGCCATCAATCAATAGGAACTTGGCTAGTTCAGGGCCAATAACTCAGATAAAGTTCTGTACCTTGGCTCCTCCTGATTCTGTGCCTGGCTGGTGTAAACTGAGACTGCCCAATTGCCGCCGCAATAGTCCGAGCCATTTCCTTGGCATACCGTCGAACAAGCTGTCGCTGGAAGAAGCTGAATGTTTTCTGCAATCGAGTGCCCGCACCAACAGTCTCGGCCATCTTCTATCCCCGCCATGGAAAAGCCGTCCAACTTGCAAAATTCCATGCATTTTCTATTCGAGACATCTCCGCGGAAAGAGCCGCCTGGCCCTCCTCCTTTAACGACCCTCTCTGGCGCGTCACTGAAGCAGCCCAAATATCTCCAGTCGTTGGGACTTGAATAGTATGAGTTTGTTCCTGGTAGGCTGTAGTTCTTTTTGTATGAATCGGAGCTCTGGCTTGCTTCTTCACTTTGCTCCGAGTACTCGGGTATCACGTCATTGGTAGTCGTGGGCTCCGTTGACTGACTCAACGGCTCCGTACAGCCTTCAGTTATGAGCGATGTAGGGCTGGTGGGCTTTTCTCCCTGATAGCCATAGATTGGCGGGGCTTGTTCAGGTTTTTCTGTAGAGCCACAGTCGACTGGAAGTGAAGAATAAGCCTTGGGTGCTTCGCTGGCGCACGAGCATACTGGACAGGCCACAGTTGGAGTAGCAACGTAATGCTCAGCATAATCACTTGCGGATATCGGTACTAGAGTCTTGTAAGCGATAGAAGCGAATATTGTGAGGGATACCTTACGTGACTGGGTTGAATAAGCAGGGGGTAGAGTCGAGCTGCAACTGGTCTGGGGCTGCTGGCCATAAGGCTGAATTGATTGAGCAGGCATGTTGCCCCCAGGTACCTCGGTCGTAGAATAAGGAAGGGCCTTTTCGTAATTTGGAGGTAGAGACGAAGATGAAAACGGAGTGAAGCTATATCCCGCCGTCGGCGACATGGTTATCACCGTCCAGTCCATTGCACTTGTGACTGAAGTCTCCTCTGGCATGTAACTTTGCGGGAGCTGCGAGGTTGCTGATGGCGGCTGTGATCCGGTACAGCCACAAGGGATGACAATTTCGTACATGATGCCCGAAATTTGTTTTGAAATCGTACATATTGGGAGTCTGAGGTGATCTGCAGCAGCACACATCAGTCCAGCCACTTGATTCAGGACATCGTAAAGTTCCGTGCTGGCCAGATAAACTCTGGAGCTGATCATTTCGCTCACGAAGATCCCACCCTGCCAAATAATATTTGCCATGATGCCATCGGTATTCTGGGTGTCAGAAATGTGAGGCGGTTGAAGGTGCTTTCCTAGGACGGTGGCAATGGCTGGCAGGACCAAGGGCAGAATATCTGTAGGCGAGACCGACGAATATTGTGCAACGCCAGGGATAATAGACGCAATCCCCATGCTGTTAACAGGAAGGATTTCCAAGATTGTGTCGAGCAATCTTGCGCCAGCACCAGAGTCAATGACGCAGACTTGCTCAACAATATCGGAGAGCATGCTGAGTAGTGATGGCTGTCCCGCGCACACAATAGCGTCGTGGATATACGTATTCTTTTCCCTTGATTCTATATTCTTCTTCTCAATATTTGCGTCGTACTTGAGTAGCTCACCGTTGGCTATTGCCTGTTGGAATGCTGCGGATAGTGCTGCCAATGGATCAACAGCAGGCACAGGAGTGGGAGAAGACGATGTGCTCGTTGCTTGCCCAACGTAGAGATTGGACATGACTCCAGTGAGTCCGCCGAGTAGATCGATGGGAGATTCAAAGTTGCCAATGTCCGGTGTCGCTGTTGATAATCTTCGCCTGCGGCCGGAATACTGGTACTATTAGACGACACACCCTTCCTTTTCTCCATCACTCTTCTTTGCTTACCTCACGGGTCAAGTCTTCATCATCTTCCAACCCACGTTTTGGTAAAGACGGTTCCCCGGCCTCAGACCATTTTCCGACGAGCAATGTGGTACATAGCATGCCAATCACCAAGACAGCCAGGCTGCCAAGGACAATACAGCGGCGGCGAAGGGTGCGTGAGTAGATTCGTGCAGGCCAATTTCGGTCCGCTCTGTAATAAAGTGGCAGCGCCATTGCAACGTTTCTTCGGGTTGGTGTATAAGATACGATCCAAGAAGAGCTCCAAAATCGATCCCCAAAAAAGCGTAATCTGCTTGAAGTGTTGTCAGAGGTTAAGTAAGGACCAGCGGGTTGAGACTGGTGGTGGGATTAGATATTCGCATGTGCAACTCCACGCCTCTCGCTCCTTCCCCCTCCGACTTAAAACCACAGCCGCACAATCGCTTTCCCTTCGGCAAGAACTAACAGCAGGTCAAAGGGGCATTTCTTCAGGTATTGCAGCTTCCATCACCTGCACTCAATTATATTCAACCAAGCGATCTGACGCCGGCTACTTGGCTCTGCATGCCAGCCGTCATCTCAGGCCTACGCCATTGCCACAATCATGTTCGCTATTACTTACTCGATTCCTCCTTCCCCCATCTAGCATCCTCTTTACCCTCCTCCCACGTATTCTCAACATATGCAATCTGCTCCTTGACTTTTTGAATGAGCTCCTTGTCTCCGGTATTTTTTTCAATGTTATCGCTACAGAATAGCCGTTAGCAATGCATATATTTGCGCTTCTCGCAGGTCCAGCCCTCGACTGGTCAGCATACCTTATCTTGATCGCCGGTCGCCCGGCAGCGGAACTGAGCTTGATGACTATATTTAGAGGCAGAGACTTTGTCCCGGTCTTTCGGTGCGTAAAATCATTTGTCAGAAAGGTTCCAACACCAAATCTGGGCAGGAACCCGTAGTCTTCCGCGGCCTTCTTGTATTCTAGGCATTTTTCCACATCGAGAGAGTCTGAGAAGACCATCACTTTCTCCCTGATGCCTTGAGAATCGTAGTACTTGCGCAGAAGCTTGACGTATTCCTTTGGATCGCCGGAATCTTGTCTGATTCCGGTGAAGAGCTCGGCATAAGTCTTGCGGGACCCGTTAGGTTTGCACAAGGTCGATTCTGGGGTGCCGCCTTCCGTCGTTCGCGCGGGTCGGCTGAAAGCGTTCAAAAATTCGGGTGTTCCAAACGTGTCGGTAAGGGCTATGCTTAAATTTGTACCAAAACACCCAACCCAGTGTCTCAGAGCCTCCTCCGTAGCATTCTTGTAGTCATTGAAGATGGCCGCTGTTCCCATGAACCATTCATGTGCGACTGTTCCGACCGGTGGAATGTTGAAGCGCATGGCAAGATGCACGTTGCTTGTACCAGAAAGCTCGCCAGGGTAGCCTTTGAGCGCTGCTTCCTTGGATGCCTTCACCAGACCCCGGAAGACGAGAGCCTGCGTGTGGTAGTCACGGCGACGTCGTGTACCAAACTCTGACAGAATACAGCCTGATTCGATAAGTTTCATGCCTTTTTCGAATGCTTTTTGTTCTTGTCCTTCATAATCCCAATCGGTATCCATGAAACGAAAATAGGCCTCGGATGTTAGGGCCAATAATGGAATTTCATAGAGTATCGTGTCTGACCATGTGCCAGAAATGCTCACATGTACGTCGCCTATGTCACTATCGTCGCCTGTGTCCGAATCAACAGTTTGGAATGTGATGGAGACTTGCTCCCTCGGTCGAAGCCTGAATTCTTTGAGGAATGCCAGGTAGTCGGCACTCAGATACTTGCAATGCTGCTCGAGAAACTGGTGCTCTTCGTCGGACAGGGATATGTTGCCGAGTTCTAGCTAAACTTAGCTGGGAAAAGTTACTATGGTGTAGATGATTGCTCTTACTTGTGATTTGCTCTTGGAGCCATAGATATGCCACCCTCGACAACCTCTTCTCCGGTGTACGATTGGTGAAGGCATAGGTAACAGGGACATCCTTGAAGTACTTGAAGACGGCGCATTGCATGGTCAATTTGTACAGGTCGGTATCCAGAAAAGAGATGACACCCTCTGGGAAGGGTGAGGAGCTGTTGAAATCCATCTTGACCCGGGTTGGTTAATAACTCGCTGGGACTCCGATACAGAAAGAGGGTCAATGACGGAGGGGTCGGAAGTGTCGCCGAGCTGAAGCGGCGACAGGCGGGCGGTCCCAAAATTGAAGATCGTTTCGGCAGAACCTGAGCTTTCAGAGCAACCTTGGACTAGGTGGTCGTGACTTGAGGAGAAGAGTCAGCGGGGCACTGAAGCTGGAGATGCCATGTGTGGCCGAGCCCCGCCAAATCGAGGGTGACGCTTGGTCAGCCATCGGGCTTCGTGTAACGAGGCTTAATATGTAGTACAATTAGCATTCTATTAGGAGGGTCGCGTCGAGACCTTGAACACTTGATTAAACTAAGGTCAAGCAATAGGCAGAACTTACATATAGCTACGCAAAGAAACACTGGAATCTTGCAGAAAATCAAGGTGTTGACACATCCGGCACGGATGAACGTTCTACCGAGAGACAGGGCACATCATCTCGCAGTCACGGATAACTTCAATCAATCAACTGATACTCTCTCATTCCTATCATGTTCCTAGACCTAATTCTAGGTCAAGGATCTGCTTCGTATTTGCGTATTTGCTAAAGCAGTGGTCGGGCCATCTCCTGCTCATGCGGCTGCCTAGTTCTAGTTGGGCAAATCACAGCTCCATGGCTGGCCAGAAGAGTAGGGAGAGGTACCGACCACGCCCTTGCGACTTATTGCGCCACATGCAAGAGTATGTATTGTCAGGGAAAGCCTTTTGCACTGTACATGCAGAAGAAGATCTGTGAGGCTATGCGTGCTAGGCCGAAAAAATGGCAACATGTCGAACATAGTAGCTGGACCCGGGGTGCGAGACGAAAGTTTTATTACACCCATAAAAGATTACGATTTCGCGCTGATAGAAATAATCCTTGCCGAATACTTGCTAGTGTTGACATAAGGCCAAATAGACTACGCCAGCAAAGCGCGACAGCGAGAGCCAGGGTGCTTTGTACCTCGATTTTCCACACGATGCGGGTTCAGAGCCTGGCAATAGAGATAGTAATACAATACGACACATCGAATATGAAACATCTAGTATTCGCGTACCAGTAGAGAAAGAGTCCGAGTCCGGGGCAAAATGATTCTCCGACCGGAGTAACTTGCATCGAGTCCGAGCGTGCACTGTAACTATCGTGTAAGTGGATCATCGATCCGGGCATTCTTAGCATCACCTTTTACTATTAACAGTCAAGCATCCGTAACACCTCATGGAGACTTTTATTTATCGTGCGTGTAGGTTTGACAGATCAGATTGAGCACATGGGTCCCTCGCATGGACCGGACCGTATACGCGACGGGCAACTCGAGTCGTAAATTTGATACATCGACGAATCACACGAGGATAAGGTTGCAACATACCAGAGCCTAAAAGCAATAGTCTATCTGGGGGCAGATTGGCACATCTACTGAGATGATCTAGTTCAATTCTCTGTCCACGAACGATACCCCATCCATTCATTAACAAACCATGTCCATCCATCATTAACAAACCATGTTAGGTATACAAGCGGCACTTTCTCCAAGACTGAAGATACAACGTCGACGGATAGCACAACTTCAATATTGCCCATGTAATACTAACAGGTATATACTGCTCAACCGAATTCCGTAATATAGTAGAACAGATTGTTCCAAGGTTCAACCTTCGCTCTACGAAGCAAGCTCATGTCTTGTCTTGGAGAGTAAACAGCTTTCAAGATACGTTCTGCCTATTATTCGATACTATGAGAAACCAATTGAGCCATTCATTATCAAGCTAGGCTTGCGAAAGCAGCAAGAAGATTAAATCGAACGCAGCACCACTGGGGTAAGGTTATCTGGATCAGTTGGGTTCCACAGTAGCCGCCAAACGCCCACATCCTCGGTAGCAGCCGCATAAAATGGGTTCTTGTAGCTACCGTTGACATGGGCAAAGGCACTCTGCCCATAAAGCAGCATATTGGTTGAGCCGCTTGAACTGTCGGTGACGGTCACCTCTGGGTGAGTGGAATTGTTGTCTGCAGGGAGAAGGAGTGCGCCGTCGCCACAGGACACATTCGGTGACCGAGTCGTGTTGGCAGAGACCGTCCATGACGCAGACACGGCGTCCCGGTCGCGAGTAACTATAGGAGGACTAAGTCAGTGACTGGCTGACGCTCGGTCTGCACCGAGTTTGAAGGAAGAACATGGTGACTGCCTTACAATAGATGGAAGTCAGGTTGTCAGGAGAGGTAAGATTAGAGACCATGATGAATCCTATGCTGATTAGGACGTGGATCTTGAAATTTGAACATAGTTTAACAGACCAGAACTAACCTTCCTTGCAGTAGAGTTCAGCACCTCCAAAGGTCCCGGTAGTAGAGTAGCAAAGCAAGCTGAAGCTATCATTAGCAGCTGAAGTGGCAGGAATAGCCGCAGCAACCATGACGAAGCCAGCAAGTTTACAGTCCAAATCGACCTTCATGATGTTGATTGGATCGTTGCTTGATGCAGTGGTGAGAACCTTAGAACAAAGCGTGGAAGGACAGTGGCCAGCTAACGGATAGGCGAACACACTTCTTCAGTCCAGGATCATGGGATATTCAACACCATATATACAGACGATGCCATGAAATCTCTTGGCCAACTTACATCAACAAGTGCTTACGATAATAGCTGCGCTTTGATGTTTAAAATGAGGTAGCTCCACAAGGGTCTCGTATGATCTTCGCCGGAGGAACGAATGATATTCACATCAGCTACGGAGAAGCTTTTTGAGTATACTTATCGACCAAGACAGTGATAGCGAAAGAAGAGAGAAACTATCGAAAACGGTGAGTCGCCACAGAGAAGACCAGCCAGGAATATCCTTGTAATAGGAGTGGCAAGGGAGCTCAGAGATAACTACGCGAAGGCAGTTGTATCGGAAACCACAAAACATTGCGCAAGTCAAAGAAGACAAGATAGTATTTCTTGGACGTAATTTTGTATATAAAGGTGTTGTAAATCTGCTTGTCTTGGGATTAAAGATCTCCGCATCCAACCACCTTGATCAGGCATCAGAAGCCATCACATTTTCCTTTCAAAGTCCTCATCTATCGGCTGAGAAAACCGCCCCTCATGTATATCCCAATGCTTTCACTTTTTTACCTGCTGTCTATGGCGAGTTGCAATGCTTTGCTCCCCCGCGCCGCCTGCTCTGGGAACACGGCAACAACTCGGTCTCAGTGGTGCGAGTACAGCGTCGACACGAACTACTATGACGAAGTTCCTGATACTGGCGTCGTGAGAGAGTACACCTTCGATTTGGTTGAACTTACTGCCTCACCAGATGGCTTCCCGCGTACCGTGTACGCCTTTAACGGTATTGTGCCTGGACCGACCATTGAGGCTGACTGGGGCGACACTGTCGTCGTCCATATCAACAACAACCTCACTTTGGCTAAGAACGGAACGTCAGTTCACTTTCATGGTATTCGTCAAAACTATAGCAACGGAATGGACGGTGTGACGTCCATTACACAATGCCCACTCCCCCCAGGCGACTCAATGACTTACACCTGGCGCGCCACACAGTACGGCACTTCGTGGTATCATTCCCACATTGGCTTACAGGCTTTTGATGGTGCCGCTGGTGCTATCAAAATCAATGGTCCGGCAACTGCAAACTACGATGTCGACGTTGGTACTATTATGCTCTCAGACTGGACGCATAAGACCGTGGATTCATTGTACTCCGAGGAGTTAACAAGAGGCCCGTCGTTCTTAGACAATGGCCTCATCAACGGGACCAACACGTGGACGAATGGTGGGTCAGTGGTTGGGCATCGGTTCAGCACTTCATTCACAGCAGGCCAATCGTACAGACTGAGGCTCATTAATGGCGCCATTGACACGCACTTTAAATTCAGCATTGACAATCATAGAATGATTGTCATCGCCGCCGACTTTGTGCCGATTGTGCCGTATGAAACCACGGTCTTGGACATTGGTATGGGTACGTTATAAATACTCTCCAGTATACTATTAACTAAGGGCTAATTATATGATCAGGTCAAAGATACGACGTTATTGTTCGTGCAGACCAGCAATCGGTCGCTCAGAATTTCTGGATGCGCGCTATCCCACAGTTCTCTTGCTCCCTCAACAGCAACAAAGACAATATTCGTGGTATTATATACTATGGAAGCGAGGCATCAACCCCAGCCACCTCAGCTTACCCATATATTGATAGCTGTGTTGATGAGCCAGCGAACAACCTGGTCCCCCATCTGGTGCTCAGCGCTGGCCAACAAGAACAATCCGACCTCGAGCCAGTCGGTCTTTCGCCCACTGATGATGTCATTCTATGGGCTATGGACAAGACATCATTCTACGCCAACTGGGAGAATCCCACCCTACTTCAAATATACAACAACGACACCAGCTATACTAGACGCAGCCACGTTATTTCACTCGACAAAGCGAACAGCTGGGTCTACGTAATCATTGAGGCCACAAACGCCATTCCACATCCTATCCACCTCCATGGACACGACTTTTCTATTGTGGGACAAGGACCTGGTCCTTTTGTCAGGTCGAAGAACCTCTTCAGCCTGACCAACCCCATGCGCCGTGATGTGGCCATGCTTCCTGGCTCTGGGCATCTTGTGCTGGCTTTCAAAACGGATAACCCGGGTGCGTGGCTAATGCACTGCCATATTGGGTGGCATACCGACATGGGTCTAGCTCTTCAGTTTGTGGAACGGGTTGAGGAAGCACGGGAGCTGATTGATTTCGACTACCTTGACAACAACTGTGCGAAGTGGCGCGAGTATACGGAGCTGGCCAGTGTCGAGCAAGAGAAGTATGACGACGGCATCTAAGGAAACTGCAACAAATGTATGTAGTCACTTGGGGAAGTCAAAAGAGAATACCAGGAGACTTGTCTTCGAGGCGTCTCGATAATCTGGGCTGGTTAAAACTAGGTACGTGGGAAAAACTAGTGGGAGCGCATTCCACCTTCAACGCCTCCTATAAATACAACAGTTTCAATCTCAGTCATTTCATGTTGCGCAGACCGTTTATTTCGGCCACACGGTGTTTGTATCTCTGCAATCTCTCTTCTATGCGCAGGCCTGGGTGCTCAATGGCTGTCTCCTGCGCACGAGACTTTGGTATCTGGATTGCCTGTTATGTTTGGATTTTAATATTACTCTTAGTAAGTCGATAAGTCTTAATTCAAAATGTAAATGCTACGTTGCGGTTTCTCATCTAGGAATGCTTCTGGTAGCTGCAGTGAAGCGTACGTTAATGGGCTAGCAATGTTTGGCCGTGATTGTATTCTGCTAACCATAGATAATTCTCACATGCATTTAGGAGATTTCTGGCTATTTTCTGCCCCTCTATGCTTTATTTTTTGGTTCTTGATTTTCCTTTAAAAAAGTTCTGCACAACCTGTCCATAGGAACATTAAGTAGGTAACTATAGGGTACCTACAAATAACCTAGGTCCGCACAGATGCATGTATGTATGTATGTATGTATGTATGCATGTACATACATACATATGTACATAGTGTAGGTACATAGGTACCAGCCGCGCGCAGTGGGGACCACTGGGACCCCAAAAAAATTCCAGGCTATAGATTAGATAAGAATCTTTTTTTTTCTTCAACCAGCTTCAGCATCTTGTCGCGAAACTCACTCTGTCCATCGTAGCCTCCGCTGCCGCGAACCAGTAAGAGCGACAATGGCGGCCGTGGATATTCACCGCTGTCGCTTCGTGCCCTACCAGCCATCCGCGATCAACGCCGTTGCCTTTTCCCATCCGAGAGCAAGAGACAACAAGCACGCTGCCGTCGCTCGACTTGCAGTTGGCCGAGCCAATGGAGATATTGAGATATGGAATGCTGCCGCGGGTATTTGGCAACAGGAGCTCATTATTAGAGGTGGAAAGGATCGCAGCATTGATGGCCTAGTCTGGGTCAACGAACCGGATCAAGACCTCGGCGAAGGCCGCATCCTGATTGGCAAGTCTAGGTTATTCAGCATCGGCTACACCTCGACCGTTACCGAATGGGATCTCGAAACGGGAAAGCCCAAGAGGCATGCGAGCGGCCAGCACGGCGATATCTGGTGCATTGCTGCCCAACCCTCGCTACTCGACGATCGAACATCCTCTTCCGTCGACGCGCAAGGATCTAACAAACTCGTCGCCGGTACTATCGACGGCGAGCTGGTCATGTACTCGGTTGAGGACAATGATCTCCGTTTCCAAAGAATTCTTGTCAAGTCGCCGACAAAAAAGGCTCAGATGGTCAGCATTATCTTCCAATCCCGCAAAGTCGTCATTGTCGGATGTTCCGATAGCACCATACGAGCCTACGATATTGCTAAAGGGCACATGCTGCGCCGCATGACCCTTGGATCTGACCTCGTTGGCGGTTCTAAAGACATCATTGTCTGGTCTGTCAAATGCCTACCCAACGGCAACATCGTCTCTGGCGACTCTACCGGCCAACTTTGCATCTGGGACGGCAAAACCTACACCCAGCTACAAAGACTGCAGAGTCATAAGCAGGATATTCTCAGCCTCGCCATCAGCGCAGATGGTAATTCGATCATGAGTGGTGGCATGGACAGAAAAACTGCCCTCTACAAGCAGAACCCTGGTGCTGGTCAGCGATGGGCCAAGGTTTGGGGTCGCAGATACCACGAGCATGACGTCAAAACCATGGCTACGTTTGAGCATGCCCGCACCAGTGTTGTTGTTTCTGGAGGCCCTGACTCAAATCTTGTCGTTGTTCCGCTCAAGGAGATGGGACGCGAGCATCACAGAACGGTCAGCGGTCTTCCTCACCAACCACCCCTTATCAGTGCCAGCAAGGCTCGCTTCATGGTGAGCTGGTGGGACCGCGAGATTCATCTGTGGCTGCTACCACAGCCTGCCTCGGACCTTACCAAGCTTGATGGCGCCGACGACTACGACATAAACCAAAACAGGAAATTACTCAAAACAATTGTGGTGAAAGGAGACTCGAATATCTCCTCAGCCAGTATTAACGCTGGCGGCACCCTACTCATTGCTTCGACTTCCACAGACGTCAAAGCCTTTGGCTTGAAACACATCAACCCGACGAAACCGGCTGATGTTACGCTTTCTTCGATCGAATTGCCGGAACACATTACCAAGCTCGGTGCCAGCCGCGTACAAATATCGCCGGACGGATCTTGGCTTTGTTTCATACAGGACGGTTGTCGCGTCGTCATCGCCAGCATCACATCCGAGTCGAGCAGCTACACAATTTCGCAGTCCCGCCGTCTTCGCCGACTACACCGCTCCGTGCCCAAGTACATACTCAATGGTGGTCTAGGCTCATACGAAAGAAACATTACCCACATCGCTTTCAGCCCAGATTCGAAAGTGCTTGCGACGGCTGATCTAGCTGGATTCATCGATACATGGGTGCTACGTGCTGCTGGGGACGATACGGCTAACGGCCATGCAAATGGAGATGAAGGTGACGACGCGTCAGCCGATGACTCTGATTCATCAGACGACGACACCAAAAGTACCAATACAAGTGAAGTTGGACGGTGGGCTCGCAACCCCAATGCGAAAATGATGCCCAAACTGCCCGCAGCTCCGTCTGTCCTTACCTTCTCAGATAGTGCTCCCGGGCAGGAGGGGGTGGAGGATTATACTCTGGCAGCAGTTACATCATCATGGAATGTCATCGCATTCAATGCCCTGCAAGGATCTCTGACTCCATGGTCTCGCCGTCATCCTCGTAAGGCTCTTCCCGGCCCCATTCACGATATGCTAGACCTGGCCAAGGGCGCTTTTTGGCAAGGGTCCAGGCTTTGGATTTACGGCATCTCTTTTCTCTTCATGCTTGACTTGAGTCAGGATTTGCCTGTTGCGGACAAGGATGCTGGTGACCAGCTCGTCCAGCAGGGCACAAAGCGCAAGCGAACAAACATGAGCGGCGCTGGTGGTCGCATGGCCAAGGAGGGCCTTAAACCGCAGCAAATACGCAAATATGCGGCAAATAAGTGGGAGAAGGTCGAAATTGACGGGCCCAGCCCTAGCGGAGACGTGGATAACGAGAGCGACGACGACATGGTCGATGTTGTAGACAGCGAGCTTACGCAACTTCGCGCCACAACCGACCTTGAAGCCCAATCAGGAACGGAGGGCGAAGACGGACGGAAGAAGTGGTGGATTACATACAAATATCGCCCAGTACTGGGTGTCGTTTCTTTCGGCAATCACGCGGACTCCCTGGAGGTGGCGCTGGTTGAGCGTCCGGCATGGGATATAGAGACGCAGGATAGCTACTATGCTGGCGAAGAGTGGGAACGAAGATAGTTTGGAGTTTGGTGGATGCATACTGGTTAAAAATGGTGAGTAACACGACTAGATGAAAGGCTCGGGGGTTTATCATGTCAGGATATATCTACGCCATAGCAAGGAGTGAGGGATGCCAGCGTGGTGGGCTGTCTCTTCGCAGAAAAAGACTTGTACAATGAAGAACATATTTTGGAATACAATTGCTGGCTTCTCAGATGAAAACTAAATTGAGCTGAGGCGCGCATGGGTTTGGTCTTGTGCAACACTCTCAGTGGGCAGTATTTTGGCTGCATTTTATCGAATCGAATAATTCTACAATCGCACTGTCCCCCAAATTCTGCTTGCACCGTTTTAATTCCACACAATTCACTGAATCGTCAATCGTCTAGACGAAGGGGTTGATGATGGATAGGTCACGATATCCTCGTAAGCAAGCCACGACTCGCATCTCACACACCATCCTCCACGTAGCGAGTCGAGATACCACTAACTGGCTGTGCATACAACGGATAGCACTGACCGACTGTAAAGTATGCTCCACGGCAGGCCGGCGGCGGGGGGGGGGAGAAGGCTTCGGGAGCAGTCTACCGTCCCGAGGAGCCCAACGCGCGTCCCGAGGCTCGCCCCGCTGTGCATCACGAGCGGTAAAACATTTTTATATTATTTTATTGGGGGCCCTTGACTGTGTGCCGTAAGAGGTATATGAGTGAATTAACTGATGCAGAAAACTCTATTGGCGGACTGTTTACCTTGGCTTGGTACAAACTGGGCGTGAGTGGCGGAGGTTGAGGGCTGACCAAGTAACCACAAAGTCCGGTGGCTGCCAGTATAATGCATAGGCTTATTTGACGACGGTTACGGCTTTATTTTTTCCAGGAGACGAGAGTTATGGTCACGGGTAGAGTCTTTGACTCGTGTATGGTAAGCAGGTAGCCGGTTGTGGGCGAAAAGGACGCATCAGCTGCAGAGCTGCTCAATAAGCAAAATCTCCAATAGGATATTCCCGGACCATATGCTCGACGCCGACTGGTCTGGTAAAACGCCACTTGCTTATAAGATTGTGCGTGTACTCTCATCATACATGGCAAACCGGCCTGGTCGAGAAGAGCTGTAGGAGGAAAATGGAACGGCGCAAGCTGAGTGCCTAGATTCGGGAATCTAAAAGCGAACGACGAGCCAAGAACTAAGATAGTTGCATACGTGTGTATCCAGACCGTGGTCAGGCTGGGTTCAGGGTGGACGTAGGGCAAGAAAGCGAGAGTCGGGTGAGATCTAGCGGCGGGATTTGAGATGACGCGGCCATGTTGAGCTCTCTGGGTGTGGTTCCCGAACGCACGGCTCCGAAGAGGCGAGCCGGACGCCCGCGGGGATCCAAAGCCTTGTCAGAAAAGAATTGTATTTCGAATAGGGCGATGTGAGACAGGGTTGGAAGATGTGCCAAGCTGCTCCAATTCCAACGGATTTTGCTGTTAAGTGGCAGGAGGATGACACGGAGATGAAGCGGCTTAGCGCGAGGACGGTTCGGCGTTGGACGAAGGGTGCAAGGGAATGCAGATCCATTGATGGGACCAGGTGGGCCGTATTGCAACCCGGCAAAAGTTGACATGCCCATCAACTTACGCATCCATGTCGGATGGGGGAGAGTGTAGGTATTGTGAGTTTGTCATGGACTGAGTTGTTGTACGCGTTGATTGTTAGCGAGACTCTTCGGACAGCCAAAACATGCCCAGTTAAGCATACGGAAAATGTTTGGAAAAATGGTCTTTCATATAAATGTCAGACAGAGCTGGTTTTCAATTACATGGAGTCGGCGGATTCCCAGAGTCGGCAGATACCAAGACATAGGCGATGAGTGGCCTCATTCGTGGCTATGGCGAAGCTTCAGGGTGGAGGGGAAGCCATGGCAGCCATGGCAGGCTAGGAAAAGCGTGGGCCACGGGTAGATACCAATGCTACCCTCTCACTCTGGATGCGCAAACATGGAAAACCGATGGATGTACTGATTGACAGACATCCAAGGCAATGTGAGCAGTTGAGGTTAACAAGTGGCGGGGCTTTGTCGTCAACTGCGTCGCAACCACTCGCCACAGCAAAGTCATAACTACGACAGTGCGGAAAACAGTGTAAAGTCTAGCTTACTGTGGATTGGCTTACGGGTTCACCACCAGAAACAGGACCGTGTGAGAAAAGTAACGTTCAGCCAGTGGAAAGTGGCTGATGTCGATCCATTTGAGAGAGGACCCCTGAAGCAGGCCAGGCACAGCCACAGGGAAAAACACCAAGAGTTATAAAGAGCAAGTGCAAGGCCAATCTATTTAAGAAAGCCGGCGGGTTTTTACTGGTAAGGTAGCGAGCGGTACGGATACGGGGCAAACTTGGCATCGCAGGGGGGCTTCCCAACTCGCGGTTGTGTTGCTGGGAGGCTTTTAAGTTGAGTGTCCATTGGCTGTCGGAGAAACGATGCAGGAGATGGTGGCCACAGGCCTGGCTGCAAGCGACAATACAAAGCGCCTGCAAAGTCTGATGGGATGGTATTGGGATGACTTTGGCCACTGCACTGGTCAATCAATTGCCTCGTCATCGTTCCCAGACCGACCGAGTCGGCGACGCCACCAGCAATGACAAGGTACTGGTACCCGCCGGAAGGGGGCGGTGCTGGATCTAGAAAAACGTGGCTGATGGGTACCTCTGATATGGAGAGTGGGCTGGAAAGTACTTTCATAGTAGGTACCGTTTGGTGGTGGGGAGGTAGGGCAGTAGGCAGAGGGGATTGCGAAAGAGCCTGTCGTACTGCGCAGGTACGAAGTAGGTAGAGCGACGTAGGGCTATCGGCGGGAGTTCCGGAAAACTGGAAAAGTGCAAAAGGAATAAAGCACGGTATTATTGAGTGCCATGCCATGTTTTATGCATCTTGTTTTATTATATTCCATTATACTGAATTATGGTCGTGATCAAATCCGTTCAGTCCAACTACAGACTCGCCGGATACAGGTACCTCTACTTTGAGGCTGCGTAGGCCAGGCCCAGTCCGGCCCACCATGAAGGATTCGACGAGCGCTCATTGGCCCGCCACCAACAGCTGACGCGTAAACTCGCAGCGATGGCAAGCAGAAGACGCACACGCCCTCCTCCCGAGACACTGCCAGCGTCCCCAGGGCCCCCAGTCCAGTCCCAGTCTTTGAAGGCCCAGTCAAATCCCCTTCTCTCCCAGCACCGCCGACGCCCAGTCAGGTTCAGCCCAGCTGCTCTTCAATCCGCATCCTCTTCCTGGCCCGACCCAATCCTCCTCTCCTCCATCCAACAACCCATCGTCGGGAGGACAATTCCAGCCTTTGCGAAAGAGCGCTCGCCCGCTTCCCTTTCTGCATCCCCTCGACAGTCAAACGACTCGACTTGTCGTCTCTGGATCCCCGGCGACACCACGAAACCCTCCAAGCGCTGCGATCCACCCGCCTTGTCTTGTCCTCGAAACTGTGGCCCTTGCGATTCCAGCCTGGTCCGTGGCAAACTCGCAGGTGTACGTAGTGCTCGGCTGACGACTACTCATTACGCCTATCGGGTTCGACTGGCCAACCCCGACGACTACCTACCTACGTCTCACAACAGCATCGTCACCTGTTGACGACAACACTCGCTTTCCTTTTCCTTCATATTCTCCCTCACCGTCCGATACTCGACTCGTTTCCTTCCCGTCTCCATCCAGCACCTCTCCTCCCTCACCCACCATGACGAGCAGAGGCGGTCCCTTCAGCCCTGCCCCGGCTGATGGCTCGTACGGCGAGGAATGGGCCCACGATTTGCGCATCCGATTCGAAAGTCTCCTCCGCGACAAGCGCATGAATGACCTGCGCTCCAACTCCCGACACCAGACCCCCAGCGCCTTTGAACGAGCATCCAGCGTTGGTTTAGAAGGGCCTTCCACGCCTATGAGCGATCGCCCAATGTCTTCACACACACCAGTCACGCCGCCTTCCTACTCCTCCATCAGACATCTACCCATCATTCCCTCAGCACCGACTGCTGGCGACCGCGATTCCCAGAAATTCCGCAACCTCCTCATCAGTCTTTCGCTTACTCCCACCAAATACGAGAACCCCGGTCTCCTCGACGAGGCGCTCCAAATCATCCCGCTCGATCGCATCTACGGCGAGGCTGAAGAAGAAACTCAGGTCCTGCAAGCCGAGGCTGAGAGTATGGGAGACGGCCGCAAGCCAGAATGGGGCTATCAGGACTGCGTCATTCGCGCTCTTCTTCGATGGTTCAAACGTTCCTTCTTTACTTGGGTCAACAACCCACCCTGTCCTGTCTGTCTGTCTCCAACGATTGCCCAGGGCATGACCGCACCCACTCCTGAAGAGAGTGCTTGCGGCGCTCTCAGAGTCGAATTGTACCGATGCTCCGCTCAGAATTGTGGCACCTACGAACGATTTCCACGATACGGCGATGTCTGGCGACTACTCCAAACTCGACGCGGGCGTGTCGGCGAATGGGCTAACTGCTTCAGCATGCTGTGCCGCGCCGTCGGCGGCCGTGTTCGCTGGGTCTGGAACGCTGAGGACCACGTCTGGACTGAGGTGTACTCGGAGCACCAACGCAGATGGGTCCACGTCGATGCCTGCGAAGAGGCATGGGACAACCCACGCCTCTATGCGGAAGGCTGGGGTAAGAAGATGTCCTACTGTGTTGCCTTCTCCATTGATGGCGCCACGGATGTCACGAGACGATACGTTCGCAAGAATGAGAACGCTAGCGAGCGCAACCGATGCCCCGAAGAGGTTATGCTGTATATCATGCAAGAAATCAAGACGATACGCCGGCAGAACATGAACAAGGACCAGCGGTTCCGCCTCGAAAAGGAGGACCAGATGGAAGGCGAGGAGCTCCGCGGCTTCGTCGTTGCCTCCATCGCCCAGGCGGTCACTGACCTTGTTCCTGGCGCCAGCTCTTCATCCGGCGCCAGAGCCCATGGCACTCATGGCCAAGACACAAAGCTGCCTGCAGAGCAGCCCAGTCACCAGTCCGGACCGTCGGACTGGGTCATGACGCAACCAGATGCCGGCCCGCGATACCAACCACGAGATCCCAGCCATCGACGTCACCTGCCATGAGAATAGGCGCCAGTGTATGTCATCACCGGCGACGCTTGTGGTAATGAGTTGTGGCGGGTCCAAACATAATCTTCTTGCACATACATATACACTACACACCAACCGGGTTCGCGGCACGTACGCCGCCCTTAATGATGATACCTCTTCCGGTTATTATATATTACAGAGACCATGATAAACGCGGTCTTACCACACGTCACGTTGAAGACAACGGACTCCAACACACTACTATTTCCTTTTTACGTCACATCCAAGTCATACAAAAGCCGTCTTTGCATAGACTCTGACGCCTTTCCTGACCCACAAGCTTGGTCAGATGCTTGTACTTTATTCGGTTTCGTTTTTCCATGGTTTGGGTTCTACGGAAAGGAGTCGGTCTCCAATCTGCAATGACGATGTTGCAGATGAACATTCGGGTTGTTCAGTCTCTTTATTGTCACTATTCTCTTTTTTGTTTCTTTCACAACTATGGAGGTCTGGGTTGGGCTTCAAAACAAGCACTCTGGCGTTGGGTTTCTTTTGACTGCATGGCTAGGCGAGACAGCGTTGTGCTGGGGTGATTGGGGACATTCATGGCACCAGTGGCTGACTGGGCGGGCCGTTCAAAGATAGTTCAAGACAACAATAGACTTGCGGAGCACGCGCTTGTCCATGAAAGACATGTTCTTTGTTGAATTGTGCAGATGAATGATAGCGAAGAAGGAAAGAGAGACTGACGAGTGATGGATGGTAGGCAAGCAACATGCACCGATCCACAAGCCCGAGCGCCGAGAACCACGCACACGAATACGCGCTACGCGAACAGCGTATGAGCTAATGATCCAACATGACCATGTTTGACATTATCATATTGTCTAGTCATTACATGGGCTTTTTTCCTTTGTCCGATTTTGGTAATCTTTGTCTCATCATTTTTCCCCCGCCCACGGATCTGCATATGCATCTCGCCTTGCTCCTTTGTGCTGCCCCCCTGTCTCCACCACCACCACAACCACCCACCACCACTTTCCCTAGGTACCCAACTATCACAAAACCATGAGCAGCAGCACCACGCCACGCGGCCACAAGCGGGAGCGGTCCGATAGCTCGGTGGAGATTGTCTCCGTTCGGCGCGTCAGGAAACCGAACACGGAGCCGTCAACGCCGGTTCCACCGCCGCCACCGCCACCGCCGCCGCCGCCGCCGCCGCCGGAGCCAGAGGAGCGGCCGCGACACGAGTTCCAGCGCTACCCACCCCACGGGTTCAACAAGATATGGCAGCGCGCCAGAACGGAGCGCTTCACCGTAATAAGCCGGAGACGGTACGACGACGAGGCCGACGGCTGTCCGCAAGAGGAGTTTCAGCTGGCGGGGACGACGGGCAACGTATACACCATCCACGTGGACCGCGAGCCGGACTGCGACTGCCCGTGGGCTCGCAAGGGGAACCAATGCAAGCACCTTGTCTATGTGCGTGCGTGTGTGTTTTTTTTTTTTTGGTGGCGCAAGTTAAGACTCTTCCATGTAATACTAACACCATCCTGCCCCCAAGATTCTTCATCGTGTTCTCGAGGCCCCGTACGAGCTCGTGTACCAGCTCTCGCTTCTGAAGAGCGACCTCCGTCTCATCTACGACAAGTTCTCGCCACCTCCTCCCGCCGCTCCCGCCAAGGACTGCGGCGGCGGCGGCGGCGGCGGCGGGAAGCGCAGGCCAGTCGAGGGCGACTGCGCCATCTGCTATACTGAGCTCGGCGGCGATGACGACGGGGAGCTCGTGTGGTGCCGGGCGTCGTGCGGCCAGAACATGCACCGGGCGTGCTTCAGAGGATGGGCGCGCGGGGGTGCCACGACGTGCCCGCTGTGCCGCAGCCCCTGGCAGGGCACCTGGCAGGGGACGGCGCGGCAGGGCGCCGTGGCGGCGACGGCGGTGAACACGGAGCGGGCGGTCGAGGCTGAGGAGGGCTACCTCAACGTGGCGGACCAGCAGGGCATCAGCAGCTATCGAGGTGAGTTTGGGGAGATTGTGGGGTGCTGTGGAGACCTTTCGCATTGCGAATGTTCTGAAACTAACGCCGACTTCTCATCCCGATTGTGCAGATGATAGCGAGTACCAGCGCCGAAGAGCGCGGTGGGAAGCGAGGATGGAAAGGATGGACAGGTACTACCGGGACTACGAGGATCTGGACGACGAAGAGGATTATTAGAAACAGCGTGGTGGCCATGCATTCAATCGTGCGCATCTTTTTCATATATCCTCAGCGTGTTTATTTTATTCCGATCAGCGTATGGCCTCATGTTCTCAGCTGCACTTTTCGACTGTTCGCGGTCAATTCCAGGCTGTTCACCACGGAGATAATTTTGACAACGTAGTGGAACGCATTTTCAGGCAACCTTTATACTTCGTCCTCAATCTGCGTCACCGCCGTTATAAAAATCCCGCCAAGACGTCGTGGCGCTCAGCTGAGCAGCCTGAAATCTGTCCGCTCCGCATGTCCGCATTCTTCGGCGTGGAGTTCCTCTCGGTGGCCCATTTGTCGCCGAGCCTTGTGGTAGCACGACAGATAAAGACATCCTGGCGTGCCGCTTACGAGATTTTGTGTCTTTGTCCATGTCAAAAGCCCTCATCTTGAATACAAAACATGGAGCCTGTACCGCCCACGATGCGCGCCCTCGTGGCGCCCTTTGAATGCACGCCGAAGGACTACGCCATCCACGAGGTCCCGACGCCCAGAATCACCCGCCCGACGCAGGTCCTGCTGCGCGTGCACGCCTTCACCTTTACGCCCGGCGAGTTCCGGGTTGCCGCCGGCTGGATGAAGCTCATATACAAACCCACGTGCGTCGCACACCTCCGCTCCGGGATATGCACACCCCCCATCCCGTCCTAACCTCCGCCTCCTCTCTCCTCCAGGTACCCGCTCCAGCTCGGCATGGAGGGCGCTGGTGAGGTCGTCGCCGTCGGCTCCGACGTCACCGCTTTCAAGATCGGCGACGCGGCCTACGGCAACGCCTTTGAGCGGCCCGCCTTCCGCGGGCCCCCGCCAGGCCTCGCCTCCGAGTACGCCGTCGTCGACGAGCGGCTGCTGCTGCCCAAGCCGCCGCACCTATCCTTTGCCGACGTTGCGCCGCTGACCGGCGTGACCGTCACCGCGGTGCAGGCGTTCCGGCGCGGCATGGCGCTCGCCGGCCTGGAATCGGTCCAGGGCAGGACCGTCTTTGTCGGCGGCGGGCTCAGCGCCACGGGCTCTGTCGGCGCGCAGTACGCCAAGAACGCGCTCGGCGCGGGCCGCCTCGTCTCGACGCTGTCGACGGCCAAGATGGCGCTCGTCGACGAGCTGCTGCCCGGCGTCGTCGACGAAAAGGTCGACTACGTGCGGACGAGGGTGAGCGGCGCGGTGGCGCCCCGCAGCGTCGACCTGGCGTACCACACGCAGTCGACGGCGCCGCTCCGCGAGACCATTGCCGTGACGCGCGGCGGCGGCGCGGTGGTCGACATCGCCGGCATCCCGGATAGGCAGCTGGTGCGCGACGTGCTGGGGACGGACCGCCTCCCCTGGTGGCTGCTGCTCGCGCTCGAGGTCCTGCAGCTGCGGAGGTGGTGGCTGCTGCTCGGCACGGGCGTCGGGTACGCGATGATCTCGGGGGCGCCGGACGTGCGCGAGGACCTGGAGCGCGCGGGCGAGGTGGTCGCCAGCGGCCAGGTCAAGGCCGTCCCGACGACGGTGGACTTTGACGACCTGGGCGCCGTGAGGACGGTGTGCGGAACGGCGTACAAGGGAAAGGGCGGCGTGGGCCAGATTGTCGTGCGGATCCGATGAGCGCACAAGCATTCACCACAGCACGAGACGACAGGCTAATCAAGTACGCATGTTATGGTACATCTTGGTATTTGTAAAAGTTAATCAAGCAGAGGGGAGAGGGCAGCTCTTTTCAATCTCATGTGCTCGGCGTCTCGCCAATCTCCTGGAGCTCCTTGCGGCCCATGGCGATGAGGTCGTCATTGTCCAGCGTGTCCTTGTCGAAGCCGTGCACCGCGGCGCTGACGGTCGCGGCGCCAATCTCGCGGATGTCAATGAGCGGGAGGCCGATCACGCCGGCAGCGGCGCCCGCCAGCATCCCAGTGACGAGGCCCATCCGCTCGGGGGATTTGACCAGTCCCAGGCGGAGGAGGCACGTCTCCATGACGCCGGCCGACTCCTTGGTGGCATCTAAGAGTTGAGTTTCGATGCGGCCCTTGAGTTTGTGTGTCAATGTGGTGCCAAATGGGCGTGGTGTCATTTAGAGAGATAAAGAGAGAGAGAGAGAGAGAGAGCAATCACGTACCCGTATCAGTGTGTAGTCTCCGAGAATCCAGGGCTTCTTGGTCTGGTCGCGCTCTGCCTTGGCGCCGCTGGCGTAGACGAAGCGCAAGGGCTTGCCGCCCTCGGGCCGGGGCAGCTCCTTGAGCGTCCTGAAGCCCTCCATGACGTAGTCGACGCAGATCTTCTTGACGAGCTCAAAGTCCATCGCCTTGGACGCCCTCGGCGTGACGGCCAGGAGCCTAGTCCGGAATTTGTGTCAGTTGCTTTCCATCCATTCTTGCCCGCCGGAGAGTTGCGCGTACCAGATGCAGGCGTCGGCACCGGAGAGCTGGCTCTTGACGTCGTCCGGGTAGTTGGTAAAGTCCTCGAGGGTCACGGAATGGAGCTTCGCAAGGGTCGGCCCGGTGGTGATGCTCGTGGGCGGGAGCGTCGGACGGCGGCCGAGAGCGACGACGGAGGTGACGGAGTTGTGGGAGAGGGCTTGGCGGATGACTTCGGTGCCGATGAGGCCGGTGGCGCCGACGACGATGAGCTTCATTGCGGGAGAGTGTTTTGATTGTATGGTTGGAGGGAAAGGATGAGAAGAGAATGAGTGATAAAGTAAGAAAACAAAAGTCGAACAAACAAATCAGAGATGAAGAGACGGGACCAGAGTCTACATTTGCATGCCACGTACGGCCCGGATTTAAGGCTGCGGTTCCGGGGCGAAAGAGATCGCTGGCGGTGACGACAGCGCTACCTACTGGTGAGTTGGGCAAGGCTGGGGGCCACTTCAGGCGACGGGCGGATGCTGATGCAGGCCAATCACATTAAGCTAAATGTTTCTTATTCTTTATCATTATAATTCGTCCCTGATAGGTTCGTACCTTGTCTGGTCATCCATCAGGCAGGGTCTCAGTCTCGGTGTGAGAAACGCCGTGAGCACTTGATAAGAGATTGAGAACCGCCCTTTGTATTCATCTCCGGAAACAACTCGGCAAAGGCATAATGGTTTATTGAACTATATCATCCCCTAGCTAATGCATGCCATCACAGCCCTCCTGCGACATCCCTTCACCACCACCGTGGCGTGTACTCGCGAAAGGCGTTTGAACCGCAGTGAATCTCTCCCACACCGAGATGGTGAGAATAGTAGTCGTCAACAAAGGTGACCGTCATGTTTGACGCGGCGTATGCCTCGGCCGTCGCCTCCAGCAGCACGTCCTTGCCGTCGACGGACGGGCCCCAGGGGTTCGGCGCCAGGTAGTGCTTGGACGTGAGCGCGATGCCGTTCACCGTCGACGGGTACATGGAGTAGACCTGGTACGCCGTCTCGTACGCGCCCAGCGACGCCTCCTCGTCCTTCTCGTCCGGCAGGTCCACCCCGTACAGCTGGTAGTCGCGCTTGCCGGTCATGGTCTCGTTGTAGAAGAGGCCTGGGATGCGCAGGATCTCGGCGTCCACGAGGCCCGTCTCGCGCCGGACCACCTCGACGTTCTTCTCAATCTGCCGCGCCACGTACTCCTGCACGCGCGCGAACAGCGGCAGGGCCAGCACCCCGTCGACGGTCGTGTTGGGCAGCGGCGGCGGCCCGGCGTGCGTGCCGAGCATGTCGTTGGGGAACGGCGGCCGCGACAGCGCCTTGTCGGCCCCGTGCCCGTCCCGCTGCGCCTTGCGCAGGATCTCCAGGCCCTGGAGGGGGTCGTGCACGGCCATGACCCAGCCGCGGTCCGACGGCGCCGGCAGGAACTGCATGAACTCGTCGACGTGCCCGACGTACAGCCACGACGTGTCCACCTCGACGTTGGGCTGCGCCCCCTGGGCCTCCAGGAACTCGACCATGTTGGCCTTCTTGCCGTACCGCGAGCCCATGATGGTGCGCCCGGCGGGATACGCCTTGCCTTGGTGCTCGTACGGCGGGATCGTCTCCAGGTTTCCCGTCGCGTCCTTGCCCGTGTCCTCGTCCTTTTGGCTAGGCAGGTGCTGAACGGCCCCGACCGTGTCGGATCTGAGCTGGTCAAAGGCAATGTAGTCCTGCATCTCTAGCTTGGAAGGCCGGATGGCCACGCGGAGGGTGACTGGCCCGGACGGTCCTGGGATGCTCATGTAGCCCGCCTCGAACTCATCCTGCGTGAACACCGTTTCTCCCCTCACCAGGCGAACCGGGGCCTCGATGCCGGCTTCCTTGGCACGCCTGCCCAGCTCCGCGATGAAGTCTTCCTGTGGACCCTTCTTCATGAGCGTCGCCACGATGAGCTCGGTCGCGTCCTGCAGGTGATGGTGGATCAGGATCGGGGCAACGCGCAGGGCGACCGAGTCCTCGGCGCTGTCCGCCCCGTCGCGAACCGAGAATCGCAGCGTGACCCGGCCGTCCCAGCCGCCGGGCCGGCGCACGTCCCGGGCATCGACGCCGAGGCTCAGGCCGCTTCGGAGCTCCTCGGCAGAGAAGGTATGGTTGGCAGCGATGAAGCGCCAGTCGGAGCCCGCCCGCTGAAAGAGGCGGATGTTCTTGCTGGCAGCATCGCCTATGACGGCGACGGAGCCGGAAGCAGAGTCACCGGCGCCGGTCAGCGGCAGGGTGGCAACGGGTGCAAGGTACTTCGGATTGCGCAGCACATTGTCGGAAGCGTCATGACACTTGTCCAGGTCCTCGGTCCGGGTTGCGTTCTCACCGGCAAAAACGATCAGACGAGAGCACCGCCGGCCAGAGTCTGCAATGTTGGCAAGAAAAAGTGCACCACGCTTGTCGGTCCAGGTCTCTTTGTCGACTGAGTCGGTATCGCCAACGAGATCGATATGGCCGTCTCGATTGGTGTCAGCCAAAATGACTGGCTGTAAGGCTTGGGCTGCGCCTGCAAGGCCTGGGGTCGTGTTAGATCAAGAACAAACGTAAACATAGAGGGTCTTCGCTATACCTAGAAGGAGCAGACTGCTCACTCGTACAAGTTCCCGCATGTTGGGTAAGAAGAGAGGTCAAGACGGCAAGTGTTTGGTGACAGTAGTGACTGTGAAGCCTCTTGGAGCATGAGCGGACTGACATCTATGATGCTACATGGTCTTTTATATTCTTTTCTACCACATGTTGCTAACCTCTATCAATGCACATATCATCTATATTCAATAAAGATCTTGGCGCTCGTATTTCAAACTTGAATTGAATTTCTACTGTCACATCTGCTCATCAACTTGGACTAGCCGTTGGTGAACGCCAACTACATAGGAACCTCCCGCCCCTGGCCTAATCCATTTTAAGCCCGTGCCGTCATGGTCATGGGGGTACCTATACGCTCAACTGTGGAATCAATAATGCTGTCGATTGAGTTTCTTTGCATATATCTGGGTTCATAGCTGGGTCCTCGTACGTCATTCGGGACGGATCCCGCTGATTCCGTCCAGGTTCTGACTGGCGAGATATGGTATGAAAATGCCTGTGTTTCTTGTAGTTTTAATTTTTCTTCTTGTAGTCTGCTTCTTGGATGTATATCATTGTTGTTAGGAAGAAGCCACTTGTCATATCACGCTCGGACGGCGGTGCAGTGCATCCTGTCATTGGAACGGTAACCAGAGTTACTTTCAGATGCGGCATAGTTAACAATAAATTCAATGTTAATTTGTTGTTAGAAACTAACGATAAGTCTAACATTTTGAGCCACTAATATCGTGTACTTGACTTTGAAGAATGAGGCATATGTTGGCCGAAATTACACTGGTGTCTGGATCTCCATGGAGCTGGCTCTCTCTTGTTATCGTCAACCCCGCAACCTTAAAAGCGTACCCTAAGAAAGATACGCCAGTCTGGCAGTGATCTGCGGTGAACTTGACTGATTCAAGCCGCCAAGTACAGCAAGAAGTCACGAAGCCGCGCGGCGATGCGACCAAAGAAAATTAGAGGGACTGGTGGACTGTTGCTGAAACTGAAACAAGAGAGATGTTCAGCGACTCAATTTCGTACTTTTTTATGGACCACAGGTGGAAAAGCGCGCATATCTTGACTACCCTCTTTCGTCCCCCTCGATAGAAATCATGGCGAGTGATGTCATGATGGCTACACTGCATCCGTGTACGTGTACCTCTCGCAGTAACTTGTCTCATTGAACCCGAGATATGCTGGGAACGCCATCATCTCGGAACTATTAGTACAAGAAAATTTCGGAAACATTCACGGGAAATCAAGATGAAGATTACAGTACCCTCTCCGGCAACGGGCCGCATCGCGCATGGCGGCATCCCTCCCATCTTTGCGGATAACGGCGGGTCACTTTGCTCTGCAGAATCGTCCGACAAGCGCCAAGACCAGAAGAGCTCAAGTTTAAACTCAGCGTTAATGGATTTGAATGGGGCTTGCAGTCTTATTATTGCAATGCGTAATCAACTACGATCTGGATTGGCAACAAGTGAAGGGGAGCATTACGCGTCCTATAAGACTAGAGCTGAACAACCCTGCTTCAAAGCCCATCAGAATACGAGGTCCCACCAAGCGACTTGAAGAAGCATATAAGTAACCCTGATATTTTATTAAACACTTTAAAGACATCGTAGGGGGGGGGGGGGGGTTGCAACAGGCAAACAGATAGTTGGCGAGGATGAGCTTTGTGATTGGTCCAATTGGGATAAGCAGCGCTTAAATAGGTCTAACTAAATTATCTATACTAGGTAAATACCTATTGACCTCTTGCGCTAGCGACGGCTTGTTGGTTTGCTGGGTAACGTCATGGCAGCCAGCCTATGGCCACGCCGAGAGCGTGCGTACGGCTATTCAACATAGCAATAATCACAAGGTCACCTAGTTAATCAGATAACAGGATTATAGCATTACTAATAAATAGTGGTTCTCCTTGATTACAAACAGAAATTGGAAAAACATCCCCAAACACATCTCTGTCTCGCTCGGTTGTGATAAGATGACAAGCCAAGATACACTTTGCACCAACCATTACGGAAACCAGCGTTTGACCTTGCTATAAAGGCTGGCATTGTCCTTCATGGCCAGTACATCTGCCTCGATTTGGCCGTACAGCATGAAAAGGTCGTCCCACTCCTCGTCGAGGGTAAGCATCCTGTCCATGGCGAATGGGGCGTGTTCTTTTGCAAGAATAAAGATTCCCAGCGTTCCGTACGTCTTCAATGAGCTTCTTCTGGTAGGCCCACGGCCGCCTCCGGGCGACGGGCCCTGCGTTCCACGAGGCTTGCTGCGAGCACCTGCTGAACCCCATGGGCCTACCGTACAAAACTTTGAGATAGCATCCCTTCGCAATGTCGGAGGTGCTGGGTTTAGGACAACGGTCTTCATAATTCTTGTGTTCCTCACCTCTCATCTTCTCAGTCAGGTCATAGAACTCCTCGCGCTCCCCATTGCTGAACTTGCCGCTTAGATAATCCCAGAGGATGACGTGGTACCCCGTTGCCGAATCCAAGTCCCCAGTCTCGAGGGCTGCCGTCATGAGCCGCTTCTGGAAGGCCCATGAGTCCACCACCAGCGGCTGCGGCTCAGTCAGGCCGTCGCCGCCAGGCCGCATCGCCAGCGCGGCTTCATGCTGCTGCAGCTCGCTTCGGAGGGCCGTATTCAAGGTCTCGTGCAGCGCCTCGAGCTCGGTAAGCTCGGCCTCTCCCCATACCTTGATGTCATTTTCGGCTTGGAAGAGTCGTAGTCGGGCCAAGTGCAGATCGTCTTTGTGCCATACTCATGCTGTGAATCACAGTTGCTTGCTCTGTAGGGGGGTGTAAAGAGAGTATACCTTGACCGATTCTCGTTTGCTGTTCATGTCACAGGGCTTTTCTATTCTTTTACCTACTTGTAGTACGGAGGCACAGAGTACGATTATCGTCTTTGTTCCAAGTTACATAGACAAGTATGATCATCGTCTTTGTTCTAACTTACATAGACACGAAACCTTACGCGTACAAAAGACACCAAGCGCCAACCTGTTTCCTTGCTGGCTGCACCCCCTCGCCCGATAGAAGAAGGCTTTGAGGACGTCTAGAAATATTTTATCTGGCTTCCCAGCATTCTTTTGTGTGCTTGATGGCTCTTTCTTTCGGCCTGGTACATTGCTGCATGGTTGTCGCCGATCCACACGGCTGCTTCGATGAGCGCCCGCTGTCCGCCCATCCAGGACTATGCTTCTATCTGTGGCTCATTCAGCCCCTGAGCAAGCTGGGTGGCCGTCCGAGGTCTCGAGGGGGCGGTTCACGTTGGTTGTCGGAACAAACACCAGGCACGTAGTCATCGGCAGCATGCAGGTAGATAAAGAAGTGAGTTGCGCTTCCTGTGAGTGCTTTTATTCGGCCTAAAGGCCCTAATCATCTTTTGCTTGTCCCAATTGATACAAAGGCTTGCGGCTACGTACATCTAGTCAGGTTAAGCAACTTCCACATACTGTATGTTCATATGCCTCGGGATGATGAACGCCTTCAGTGGGCGACTGCTAATATCCATCTTGGCAGCCGCCTTTTCTTCCCCGGGCGCCTTCTCTTTCGGTTCCAAAACCACGTACTCTCTACCGAGCGGGACAAGGGCGTGCCGGTTTTGAGCCCATTTGCCAGGTTGATGATGGGCCAAAATTTCGGCGGTTGTGCTCAGCGCGGAGTCGACTGCGCCAGCGATCTATGTAGTCGGGCCAGTGGCCCATAATGTCAGCCAGCGTGAGGAGGAGAGGGAAACAGCAGACAGAGAGATGCTAAATACACGAGAGAGAAAAAAGAAGAAGAAAGGATATAAAACTTACCCATGTGTGGTGCCTTGACAAGTGCTCGCCCGCAAAGTAAATGTTTCCCTCTGGTTGCTTGGCGACTTGGTGGTAGCGCGAAAACTGCCCAGGCAGGAACATGGCGTCACCGCCACAAAGTTCGTTCATCCACAAGATGTCATGGGCCTCAATGTATTGGTCATGTACATTAACGTCTGGCTCATCCGCGTAGAACTTGCTCAGGTCATGCAAGCAGATCTTGATCCGCTCTGCCGGCGGAAGGCCAGCCCATTTCATGGCGTCCGTCATCCAGCTGTAAAGAAGCAAGACGCCAGACCCATCTCCGCCAAGGTCATTCGACGGATAGACAATCCAACGGAAGCGGAGGTCGGTGGTGCTCTGGCCTCCCAGTGCGGGTGTTGTAGACCTTTCCCAAAACCTGGTGCGGAAGTGCAAGCCGATTTTGTAGAGTGGCTCGAAGTGTGTGCCACGGATAGACTGCTCCTTCATGAAGGACCATCTCGGTCGGTCGGTGATGCTGTGGAGCGCCGATGGGGGAACCGCCATGACCACGGCATCAAACGTTGACGTTGCCATCTGATCCGACTGGTTCCCCGTGCCGAGCTCCACGTGGCCATCGGGAGCGTATGAGATGCGCCCAACTCGGGAGTTGAGGCGGATGTTATCGGAACCAATCAGGGCTGCGGCACATTCCGTGATGCGCGACATGCCGTCCTTGACAGTTGCCCACTGTGAAATATCGTTGGTTCTGTTCTTGGCGGTTGGAAAGCCAATGTGCCAAATCCAGGGGCAGGGGGCCTACCTCTTGAGTGTCAAAGTCCAAATTCTGCATCACGATTTCGGTAAAAGACAGGTCGTATTGGTTCGTCTGTGAGCAAAGCAACTCGACAAACTCAATCACCTCATGGGGCCAGCGAGCAACCACGCGCAAATACGCTCGAAAGGAGTACTCATCGTACTCTAGGAGCTCCTCGAACCCGGCGTCAAAGTTGGTCCGCAGTTTGTTGAGCCACGGCAACACAACGCTACCCAGCAGCTCCTGTGCCGATCTGCCGTGGAACTGCGGCGGAAGACCTGCCTTCGCGGCCCAACGAGTATCCTGTAGCTTCCCCTTTTTGCCTTGGAAGAAGGACAAGTTATTCTCGTGATCGAGAATATAGGGCATCAGTTCGATCTTCTTCTCAGCTGGGCCGTACGTGTTCAGGTAGCGGATGAGATCAAAGACTCGGCTGTGCAACGACGAGCGCGGAATTCGCATTGCGCCAGCTTCAAAGTAGGCGCCATCTGATGTTTTGTGGCTGAGTGCTCGTTTTATAGGTGCAGAATCTTGAGGTGCAGCCTCCAAGGGAAACCGATAGGTGTAGATGCGGCCACCTACACGATCTGATGCTTCGAATATGGTCACTTTATGACCCTCCCGTTGCAAAAGCAGACCGGTATAGAGGCCCGAAATACCTGCGCCAACAATTCCAATATGCATTGCTCCCTTGAGTAGTGAGTCGATGTTGTGATGCAAGGGAAAGGGGAGCAAAAGTTGTAGCTAGTTGATCTGCGACTGAGTGTGAGCAGTGCCAAGATGGCAGCGAGCGCTACCACAGGACATCTGAAATACTCACTCCAGGGCCTTTTCTCATTCTCGGCTACGGTTGTAAGACACATTTACTTTCCTGACGACTAAACTACCGCAAGAGGAAGGAGTTAAATCCGATGAAACAGTCATGGCCTTGACGCTGCGTCAGACCTAACAACGTGAGCTACACTGCGAAGGAATTGCCGAATTGTCGGATTTGTAGGATTGGAGCTGCCAGTCTCCTTTTTTTCATACTCCGGCAACCCTGCAATGCGTCATGGCCTCATGTAGTATCCATAATCATACGAACTATCCACAGCCTCTCATAGTCAGCTCGTAAAGTCGCAGTACTACTTCAGGTTCATCGCACCCAATCTACATAGAGGGCTTTCCAGGGTTTCTAGTGCAGGATGACTGCGTTATTAGCGTGAAGCGAGCTGTAGTGCGGACTTCGGCGCTCGTTTACTCCTTCGCTCAGGTCAACACTATAGTTGGCGCGAACGTCGCCGATCTGCTAGCTCTAGCTCTCTGCAGTTAATCGTACAATACAGCTACTATTCAGACACCCTCTAGAGCGTCCGATTATATTGCTTTATTATCAGGAATCCGAATAATTGCGTGGCTAGGCCGACCCGGTACTGCGGGGGTGATCGAAGTCACCCCTAGCCAAGAGTAGTTGACAGTGTATAGATTGCGTCTAATTGTTTAACAAGATCTACGAATAATAACCCAGAGGCAAAAGTGAAACAAACTATAAACCTGCATTTTATATCTTGATTCGTAGAACTGCTCCTGTCTTGGAGAGCCGTGACGCGGTGAAAAACCCTGCTGCGATAAAAATCATCAGTCCACCCCATATTTGAGCGTTGGTGTAATTCCCGCCAGATCGATCAATGATGGCGCCGGCCGTCTTGATTCACAAAAGCTGTCAGCATAGATGCTAATTTGGGGAGTCCTGCATGGCAAGAGGAAACTTACAGGTGGTCCAGCAAGTGTAGCAAATGCGACGATGGTATGAACGGTGCCTGACCGGCTTCCCATCTTGGTCGGGTTTTGCGTCAGGCTTGCGAGGGCACCGAGAAACATGCCCTGGCATAAGCCATTGGCAAGGCCAAAAAACACGGTGAAAATATACATCCCAACCCGATCATGGACCGCGATCCAAGCCAGCATCAGGCCAGCGAATATCGCCGTGACGACAATGTATGTATTCATTGCCCCGAAATGTTGATTGGCAACGAAGCCAATCAGTGGTCGAGCAGGAACACTCATGCCGTTGGAAATGAGCAGCAGCTGAATCGAGTCAGACGTGGAGAATCCCAGGATGTTTCGAGCAAAGCTGTTGATCTTGAATGCGACATTAGCAAAGGGTTGGTTGATAAAGGGGAGAATTTCAAGCATACATAGAATGAGGCAAAAAATAACGCCCAGTAGAGCATGAATGCCCCGATCGCGAAGAAAAGGTACGGTTTCTCGCGAAAGGCAGACCACTCAACGAGGGGACCAGATTTGCGCGGCTTCAGACGAGGACGAAGTAGCAACAGGGCAGTACCAGCCGCCACCAGCGCGACGAATGCAGAGACACGAACCGCCCAGGGAAACCCAACTTTGGGAATGAGATATTGAATGATGGCTGGAAACACGACACCGCCGATTCCGGTGCCTGTTGCTGCACAAGTAACGGCCATTGTGCGCCTCTTGTCAAAGTATGAGGTTGCGACGGCTAGAGGCGGCATGAACATGGTACCAAGCCCAAAACCGACGCATAAGCCCTGAGATAGAAGAAAATGCCAGTATTGGGTGCCGAGACTCGTCATGAAGGTTCCCAGTACGACAAGAAACGCGCCGACGGCGACGGTCGAGTGAATGTAGCCGGCGTCCGCAAGCCTGCCAGACACGGTGCACATGCCATAGGTGAGGAGAAACTGGACAGAGCCGATCCACGAGACCTGTGATTGCGAGATTTTCAGGGTATCCTTGTAATACAGCTGATAGACGCCAAATGCGGACGGGGAGCCCCATGAAACCATGCTGATGAGCAGCATGGCGAGGACCTGCAGCCAGGCGGTCAAGCCGCCGTCGGGTGGGATGAAGACATGGTCACCGCTGGTGGCGTCCTTTTCTTCCGGGCTGGTTGGAGGGGGAAACGGCGCGGGAATTTGCTCCTCTCGGCCGTTGCCCTTTTCGTCTGCCTTTTCGTCCATGTCTTTTGCCCAGTGTGTCGGAGTAGTCAGGGGCACGACGAAACAGGCGTAGCGAAATAGCAAGCAGTCCAAGCAAAGCGGCAGTCGATAAAGTTGTCAGAATCGAGGGTATTCAGAGTGAAGTTGACAAGTCGCGAAAAATGATTGGGTAGTTGGGATGAAGGCTGGACAAGAGACAAGATGCAGAGTTGCGGCGCCCCCTTGCCAAGGTGCTCGTTTAGCTCCCATGCAACCATGTTATTGTACTGGGCATCCTACAATCTGCTTTGAAATCAAACAAACGAAATCGGCTAGGACGGCAAGTACCCCGAAACATGATTGGGGCAAAAAGCTTGTTTTGAGCAGAGCCTGATTTCCGGATAGCCAGGGCCGCCTTGCCCGCCTCCCGCATCGTGCAGATCTGGCCACGCGGGTCCCGCAGCCGAAAACATGGAGGGATCGCGAAATGCGTCTATCATTTCCCGAATAAGCTTCCCTAGTTTAGGCTGGGACGCATGTAAGATTTGCTGCGTGCCGAATGCAGCAAACTACCCGACAAGTAGTTAGTGCGGTCCTCGCACCCGGTCAGCCCCGGATTCCCGAGGCCGAGATGGTGCCCACCACGGCGCAGTGATGAATGACAGTTGACAGCTTCTAGCATCTATGTAGGACCCATGTATGTATCTTGTCTTGTGCTTGGTCTCTTGGCGCTAGTTCCAACGCTTCGCTTACACCTGCCGGGTGACGTCGATGGCCATGCCGCCCAGCAGCTGATACAATTTGTGATGAGCGTACAAGCAAGCTGGTTTCGCCGACTGCTCCTTGTGAGTTCTCATCTTCGTTGCTCTTTCACTTCACATACCCGGCACTTCTATTGGTTTGATACTACCTTTATACTATAGAATGCAGACATTTCTACCCCTCATTGTGCTGAGCTGCCTTGGTGCAGTTGGCGCAAGCCATCATCACTACAATTTCCACGAGTACGATCAAGATGTACTCGCGCAGCATCCCGTTGCATATACCGACGCTGAAACACCTCTGCTGCAAACTCGCAATGGAACCTACGCGGGTATTTACTCGCCAAGCTATGACCAAGACTTCTTCTTGGGCGTCCCTTACGCCCAACCGCCGGTCCAAGGCCTTCGCTGGAGGCTGCCACAGAGCATCAACACTTCTTTTACCGGTACACGCGATGCAGTCAAGTATCCGCCAAGCTGCGTCGGCCTGGGTGGCGATAGCTGGGGCTACCCGCTCTCAGAAGATTGTCTGTACCTGAACATTATTCGCCCTCATATGCCACAGGGCCATCCGTCGGAGACTGGGACTGATGGCAATCTGCTGCCCATTGCCGTGTGGATTCATGGTGGCGGCTTTTACATGGGTGGTAGCGGCGATCTGCGCTTCAACATGTCCATGATTGTTGACAACGCTCAAAAATCCGGTACGCCTTTCATCGCGATAAGCCTAAACTACCGTTTAAATGGGTTTGGGTTCTTGAACTCCAACGAGATACGCGGCGAGGGGGCTACTAATCTTGGGCTCCGCGACCAGCGTCTTGCATTGCACTGGGTAACTTGATACTTCCGAGCCCCTAGCACCAGCCGCTACGCAAGTCCGCTAATCAACACGCAATCACCAGATTCAAGAGAATGCGCGTCGATTTGGTGGCGATCCACGCAAGGTTACCATTTGGGGTCAAAGCTGTGGCGGAAACAGCGTCGGCTTTCACATGCTGGCGTACGGCGGGCGAGACGATGGCCTCTTCTCTGCTGGTATCATGCAAAGCGGAAACCCCGAACCTTGGCGAGCCCTCAACGGCACTGATTTTTACCAGCCATTGTATCGCAATGTCACCCAACATGTGCATCCGTCGCCCGAGTTCGCCGCCGCCCACGATATGAGCTCTGACGAGACTTGCGCGGCCGCGGCAGACAGCCTTGCATGTCTGCGCACTGGCAAGCTCGAAGAGCTCAATGCCGTCTTCAATGGATCCCGAGACATCAGCCAAAAATGGTTTCCCGTGGTGGACGGTGACTTTTTGCGCGAATACCCGTCGCGGCAACTTCGTCGCGGCAGCTTTGTCAAGATCCCAATCATCACCGGCGCAACCACGAACGAAGGCCACTGGTTCGTCCCACCACTCGAGGATAAGCCCCAAGACTTCCTTACCTACTTGAAGCGTAATGCATCCACTGAGACAGACTTTGAAATCATCGGTTGGGCTAACAGGCAAACGCAGATCCCCAAGTCTTCACCGGCCGTCCCTACCAACTCGGTCTGCCATCCAAGCTCGCAAATCAGCTCTTCGAGGCCTACTGGCCAAGCATCTGTCCTGACGCACCAGATGGCAACTGCACAGATTACAAGAGCCCTCGAATTGAGGGCATGAGTCCTACTTGTATGTTCTCTTATCTCCAGCCTTCTACGTAGGTGCCAACTTGGTAATAACGTCCTCGTCTTACTGCACATAGACCTTCGAGCATCCACCTTCGCTGGTGACGCCGTCTTCATTGCTCCTCGCCGTTCAATGTGCGAAGCCGCTGCACGTTTCGGAATGCCGGCATATTGTTATCGCTTCGATGCCATCCCCAACGGCCAGCAAGCCCCAACTCATTTTCACGAGGTCTCGTTCGTTTTTGACAACACGAAAGGCCTGGGCTACCATTTACCCATCCACCCGCTGCCCTTCACCGGAAAACCTGAGAGCTACTTTCAGCTCGCAAAATTTATCAGCCGCTCTTGGGTAAGCTTCATTGTTGACCATGATCCCAACTCATGGCGCCGACAGGGCCAGTGGGACGGACTGGAGCCAGAGTGGCCTCTCTATGACAAGGAAAATGCCCGCAACTTTGTTTTTCAGCCGGGTGCAAGCCATTTGGAACCCGACACGTTCCGCAAGGAGCAGATACAGCTGATCAACGATCATGCACATCTCTTCCAGCGATGAATTCTGCATGGTGCAATTCTTTGGCTACACTGGAGCTTGTGACAAGTTAAGAACGGAAAATGAAAGATTGACGCATAACAAGTTTAAGGGACAGATTCTCCTGTCTATAGCAATTAAATAGAAAGTCAGTATACTATGTTGCTTGACTACATAGGTTCTTCATCAATGGCGAAAGGTTCTTCTACAGAGTCTACAATACCCGTCTCAATCCATGACATGACAAAGCACCAAAACGACACCAGCAAATAACCCCAAAGACGCTGCAAGAATCTGCATGAGACTCGTCCAGGCTGAGCTCCGATAGTTTGCGCAATTCCCCCACACGCTGTGAGATGAATACGCGAATATCGCAGCCCGTAATCCTGCCTCCACCAATTTTGCCTCGCACTTCCTCTTGCCACCGGCCTTGACGGCTGTCAAGTTTGCCAATAACTAGTATGTTCATGTACAGGCTGACAGCATCATAAGCCAGGATGTTTCGGTATCCGTTAAACCCGGAACATGTTGATAAAGAATGCTGTCGTTAGCGTGATCCTTGGTGTATGCACGAGCATCCTACCGGGTTTCGCGCTGCCGACCAAATAATAACAGGAACAGCACGTAAGCATCCTTCGACGTAGGCTTGGTTGATCTCCTCGGTTGATCTCCTCAAAAGGGAATCCGGTACGAGGTCGGATGGTTGTAGGAGTAAGCCTGACACGTAGGCAGATGTACGTTTGAACTGCCGTGGCAACGCCAAGTTTTTTGAGATTGACGAGTTTCGGGGTCCATAACAGGCCCCAGGTCAGCCTGATCATAAACCCCGCCGATCAACAGTAGCTCGAGTCTGTGAGATCTCGTAGCTTCACCCCATGGGTGTGGGAACAAACTCGATGGTGATGTGGCTAATTGAGAGACGTGAATGGGCCCGATTCTGCACCGCAAAAGAACTTGAAGCTGTACCGATACTACTTTTCAGCTTGCAATGAGCGAGGGCGCCCGCCGGAAGAAGCAGCCGTGAGTTCTCCGAGATGACGTTGCTGTTGACTCACAGCCTCTTCTCGATTCTATCTCTCGGAACGAAGCTGACTATTCATTGTGGACAAGATACTATCTGTGCTATTTGTATATACAGAGAAAATTATTTAAGACGGCACTTCCCCTAGACAAGTCTCTCATGTATATAGCACCAGCTCCTTAACAACTCAGAAACCTCACTATTTCCAAGTCTGTTTTCCACTCTTCTATTTTGAAAAGGCTCATCTCAGACAGCCAAAGAATCAACATGCCTTCCCTCAAATCCCCTCCCGTTATTGACTTTTCAGACTTCTTATCTGGTGATCCTAAGCGCATGCAGCATGTCGCCGATCAAATCCACGAGGCCTGTACTACCCAGGGCTTCTTCCAGATCATCAACCACGGTATTTCTCTACAGCTCCAGAGAGACACCATGAAAGCATCCAAGGAGTTCTTCGCTCTTGATGCGAGTGAAAAGATGAAGTTGGACAAGTCCAAGGCAAGCTTCAGGAGATTTTACACCTTTTCTCACCATCTGAGTCTAACACTAGAAACAGAACAAATACAACCGCGGTTACGAGGTGATGCATGGTCAAATGATTGAGGCCAATACACGACCTGATCTGAAGGAAGGATACTATGTCTCCCGCGACCTACCTATGAACCACCCACAAGTGAAAGCGGAGAAGTTTGCTCACGGTCCGAACGTTTGGCCAGAGTCTCTTGGGGAGCCATTCCGCAAGATTTGTATGGAGTATCTGGATGAAATCATCAAGCTCACCGAAGAAGTGCTTCGTGCTACTTCTATGAGCCTTGGTTACGATGCCAATTACTTTGACGAATTTTGCAAAGACCCCATGTGCTTCTACAAGATGCTTCACTACCCTCCCCAACCTGCTGATGCGCACGCGCTCCAACGAGGTTCGTTCAACTACTGCCTTCAACACCGAAAGACACTGAACTTGGCTAATTGACGTAGGAATTGGTGCCCATCGTGACTTTGGTGTGATTACACTGCTTCTCCAGGGCGACGTTGCCGGCCTCGAGGTTTGGGATGACGACGCGAAGGACTGGTACCCCTGTCCTCCCGTCGAGGGCGCCTACGTTGTCAATATGGGCAACCTGTTCGAACAATGGACCAATGACGTGTACATCTCCAACGTCCATCGCGTTATTAACCGGTCGGGAACTGAGAGATACAGCATTCCGTTCAATTACAACGGCAACCCTGACTTCGTCATCAAGTGTCTGGACAAATGCCGTGCGAAGTCTGACGATGAGAAGTATGCTCCTGTCAGTGTCGAAGACTACGTTGTGCAAAAGTACAAGGATGTCTACTCTCGTGCTGGAGTTTACAAACAGGACACTTTTGCGCCTACAAAGACGGTCGTTGCCTAGTGACCCTGGGTCACTTTCCGTAGCGACATAGTTTTTGCAGAGAAACCCAGAAGCATCTTGAAGAGGTGGTCCTCTTAGTATACAGCCAATGCAATTCTATGATATTTCTGACACGTTTTCTACTGCACCAGTCAGCAAGGAGTGCGCGACAAATTATTGTAAAGTTTGCTGTCACCTAGAACCCGCCAACATCGAGTCCTCCGCAGAGAGCAGCTCAAAGAACGTGAAGATTACTAGGATGAAATGAATCACAAAGCCCAAGCGCCACGTTCTATCACGCAGCCTAACTACTTTAACATTCTAGTATCCTTTTCCGTCTATCGCCAGCGGAAACAAGACGGGTGCCCAACGACGCACAGTGTCGCAATCATCGATGGAATCCTCCGTCTTTCTTGCACTGGCGCATTGGTGGCCTCGTGGGGTCGCTTGTAGCCCAGTGTCCGCGCTGATGAAAGTTGGCATCGTTTGATGTAAGCTGCTACAGTAATAAACTCCAGCACTGTTGAGATTCGACTGAGAACAGGGCCCGACACCCCGCCCCACAGCTCAAAGGCAGATGGCCGTGGAGGTTTACTATACAAGGCAGGTACTTTGCTTTAGAAAAAGAAAGAAAAACTACACTTGGAATTGAAAATACCATTTTCAAAACATTTGTTCACAAAGATGGCAGAATCGCTCACAGCATTGGATGCCAAACTTGGCATTCCTTCACACGTCGCGTGCTACGCTGTGGAGCCTCTTTACGCGGGTGGCCGCTGCAACTGTCACGACGCGGTCCCGCCTCATCAGCCTCCCCCGTTTGTGCGAGTCCAGACGTGCCAGCTTCATCTTCCACCTCTTCCATCTCCATACCAACACTCCTAACTTTCCACCATCATCAATCTTTGCTCTTCTCCAATTTATTTCCAAATACGCATTTGACATTTTTCTCCTCTTTAATCGCCACATCCGTCTGGACGTCGACGTCGGCGAGTCTATACCAGAGTTCTACACATACCATCATCACGCAAGACTTTCACCCACATCAACCACACAATATGACGCTCAAACGCAAAAGATCATCTCCCGAATTCCCCTCATCCCCGCTCTCGTTTTCCTCGGCCTCTAGTTCGCCTAGCAACGGTCCATCCACAGTCGACTTTACGCCTCGCATGGGGCTCATCAACCCGTGCCATCTCAACAGCCGCACGCTCAAGCGCCTGCGCAACGGCCGACCCTCCCAAGAAGAGATACATCGTGAGTAGCCCGCTATGGTATTCTGGCACCCATTCTCAACCAGAACTCCGCGCGGCATCTTTCACACCCGCTAAGACCCTGTCCAGAGCGCACGCTAGAACTATTATATACCGCGCAGCACCAGCAACCATATCAAGATCCGCCTTCGCCGTGTCCCAACGTCGAAGCTCCTCCCGAGCCGGAGCTGCCACAAAATAGCCACGACAATAATCAGCAATCGTTGCATCGGTTCTGGAATATAAAGTCCCGGCCGACTGCGGCCCCGGACAGAACCATCGAGCCAATGCACATGGACGAATCCTGAGTTGCTGAATTGCAGGGATACATGGCATACATCTTCTTGAGCAAACGACTCGCGCCACAATGAAAGCCACCGCTACAATGAAAGCCACTGCTAAATAGCTAGGTAGTGCCTGATCAGGGCGCACACACAAGATCGGGGAGACATCATCCGCTGCCGGTTGTGCGACGATGAAGTTTTGTTGTCTGTCGATACGCCACGTCACATATTAAAGTATTATATGCAGCTCATTACTTCCAAACATGTCATCTTGGCCGACTAATTATTAATGTGAATGATTATATCCCCTGGTTCGGCTGCGCGGCGCCATGGAAATCCGGCTCTTCAACAAGTCATGAGGCTTGTTAGTACCCAGATCGTCACGGGCATGCGGAGTATCAAGCTGGCACTTGGAGACGGCCTCCCTCGTTGCCTCAACACCAACATTTGTGAAATCTCCTCACTCACAGCAATGCAACAACATGGACGATTCTGATATGACATCTGACAAGGGTAAAGAGTTCCCCAAAAATGTCGTTGGCGATGCAGAGGGCGCTCCAAAGAGGGAGCTCCAAGCAAATGCGAACAAAGAACTACTCTAACAGCTTGAAAGCGAGCCCGCGACCAACCCAACCGAGCCAGGCAAGGCTAAAGGAAGAAGGGCCAAGAAAGGAGACCGTAACAGAGGGGATTGAAAGAAGGCGAAGGGAAAAGGGCCTGCCACCCATTCCTTCGACCTCCGGACAGATCTGATGAACTCGAAGAAGGTTGAGCCTCGTCCTCTGCACTTTGATAAGTAACGCTCTCTAAAAGTGATGTAGGCGATAACCATGCTGTACTCCGCTATCACGCGTCACGCCATACGACGCGCCAACAATACTGTCGTCAAGTATGGAAGTGACCTGATCCGCGCTGAAATTTCAGCCATTGAGTTCCGCAAGGCGGCCGGTATTCCTGTCCCAGACATCCTCAGCTTCGGCCAACGCAGTGAAGGAGGGGGCAGACGTATATAGAGATGACTTATATTGAGGGGGAGACGCTGAGCGCGGCGTGGAGGACGATGAGCCAGGAAACACGGCTCGACATTGCACATCAACTGGGCAGGCTCCTCAAGATCATGCGTGCGCTGCCCCCTCCGCCAAACTTCATCGGCGCGTTTCAACTCGACGAGTTGCGGGACTACCAGCACAACGACGTCTTTGTCCGCCCGGCTTGCCGCAACGAGGAGGGCCTTGACGAGTACCTTACCGAGGACTATACAATCCCTGCCTGCGTGAAGCGCAGGTTCCTGAAAGGCATCGGGACCAGCCACAAGTTCGTCTTTTCCCACGGCGACCTGGCGCCGAGAAATATCATGGTGCACGACAACCATATCGTGGCGTTGATCGACTGGGAGGCGGCAGGCTGGTACCCTGAGTACTGGGAGTACGTCAAGTTCATGCACATCGCGGGCAGAGATACTGAGTGGAGAAGACTTGTTGATGTGATTTTCCCGGAGAATTATGATAACGAGTCTCTACTGTACACGGGGCTGCTTCATTATCAGGACTCCTTTGGCAGCTCAAAGAGTCTGATCTAGAACGCTGAAGCGAAGAACGGGGTGCCAAAGCGCAAGTATTTAGCGGAGAGGCAGGGCGCGTTGAAGAATGTAGATGAAAACGCGAAAAAAGAGCACAAGGACAAAAATAAAAAAGAAGACACGATTGGATGGGCAGCAAAATAATCCGGATGAGAAGATAACCAGATGGGACCTACCTCATGCTAATCATAGGTCCGTGCTGCTAGGTGCTAGATATTACTTGCCTTTTGTCTTAACGCATGAAATAAAACCCGGTAACAATATGAGAAAAGGCATCAACTTCCCAACAGCCAAGAGCTTAAGGCACTTCTTTGACAATGTCGACCATGCCGTTGATACCTCGGGTCAGTGTCACGGTCTCCGTCGTGAGTCGTCACAGGCTCCAGTTTCCAAGGATCCTACGCAACCAACCAATGAATATTGCGCAACACCATCACAATGAGCATACAGGGACAGGTATGAGATACTAGTGATTGACTATAGTATAATTAACTAAAGATGGCACGCCAAGAGGCTTCTCGGCTCTAACCACGGCGGCGAGTGGTAGGGCTCTTCTTGGTGGGTGTGGCCGAGGACTTGGCCACGGCGGGGGTAGCCTTGACGGGGGCAGCCTTACGCTTGCCCTTGGCCTTTTCCGATGGAGCGTTCCAGTAGTAAATCATCTGGATAGCGAGCACGGCGTTGAGGGCAAAGCCGGAGATGAAGCCGTACAGAATGAGCTTGTCATCGACCTCCTGGAGGGTGGTGAAGATGCGGGAGAGCGAGCCGGCGAGATAGTTGAAAACCTGGAAAGCATAACAGGTTAGGAATGTGATTCTCACGAGAAAAAAACCTTGCGCCGGACACGTACGGTGAATGCGCTGAGCTGGCCAGTGCCGCCCTGCTGAGCAATGGCAAGGATCTGGGGGACCTTGCTTGCGACGCCGAGGACGCCAGCGCCGGCCTGGAGGTAGCTGAGGAGCTTCAGGTCAAGAACGCCATCGGTGAAAAGAGCACCGGCACCGGCGGCGAGGATGGCAACAAAGACGGCAGCGAGGGCCGCGCGACCGCTGTAGTTGAGGATGAGGACGGAGATGACGATGTTTTGGCCGAGGATAAGGGCGGTCTCGCCGTAGGTGCTAAAGGGGAAGCCGTTGCGAACGTTGTAGGCGAGGGTGATGAGATAGGCGGCGGTCTCGAGGAGGTAGGAGAGGAAGGAGACGCCGTCGGCGGAGCGGGAGGCGACGAGCTTGAGGATCTGGGGCACCTTGACGATAGAGGAGGCGCCAATGATGCCGATGCCGAGACCCTTGGAGATGCCGAGCTTGATGCAGGCGGTGTTTTCAAGATCGATGTCGAGGAGGATGGCCTTGTAGCACTCTTCGCCGATGATCGAGGTGCCGAGGTCGCGGATCGGGCCGGGGAGGTTGTGGGTGATGGGCTGGAGAGCTGAGCGGAGCGCGTCCATCGTGATTGCTGTCGTCGCGTAGCGTAATTACAATGCGTAGTTGAAAAAAGGGGAATGGGGTGAATAGAAGCGAAGATCGGGGCGATAGAAAGAGTGGCGTGATTCCGATGAGAGCACAAGCGGAGGTGTGTGTGACAAACTGAAGAAAAGCTGCTCGCGTCCCTTTTTTTTTTTGGTGTTGCCATCTCCGGTGGCCGTTTGTGGACAAGCTGCGGCGACGTTTACAGGGGGGATGGAGGGGCGGAAGACGATCAGCTCTGTCTCTGTCTGGCATGTGCGACGCGACGTGCTACAGTAAATGCAGGGCGAAAGCAACAGCCTGCCTACCCTGTAGCTGAGAAAAGGGAAGGAGCCGCTTTCTCCCGATGGCTGTGGCTGCTGTTGCAAGGCTGCAGAAATGCGTGGAAATATTGTGACGCATCTTTCTGGTTCCATCGGACCACTCTGCGCAATAGGCGAGGTGACTGCATTCCTCAGTGCAAGGTGAGCCACACAGTCATAATGTCTGGTGACTTGGGCGATGCGCCTACCTAGCATCCTCGCCAACTCGCCAACTCGCCAACGCTGCCAACAGTTGCCTGTTGCAGAGTGTGGCCAAGCCGCGGCTAGCCACTTAAGGCACCCAGAGCCCAATTCGAGGTACTTTAAGCAGGTACAAGGTAGTTGGCTACGTCAAGGTGCTGCCATTTCGCCTTTGGTGCCTTGCAATGGGACCAAGTTGGCCAGTCGAGTCAGCGAGGCGTACAGTTCTTGTCGGCGGGCTCCCTCCGGTGGTCGAAGGAAGAACATGGAACAAACAGGTGGATGAGTCGGCGCGACAATTTATTTGCACTGGGACGGGTGGCTGCGTCGGGATACGAGGTGATGAGGTATTTCTTGACAATAAGTGAAACAAATAATGATGCGTGTTATGCTATATGAATGGGTTAGTAATAGATAGGATTATTGAGCAAGCAAGCAAGCACGCGGGTTTTTAGTAAGAGGTATATTTCCCCTGCAGGCAGGCTGCGACGGACGGGCTCCAAGGTGAATTTCTAGAGGGCCTTGAAGGACCCTGTCGCGGGAACAACCGCTGAAAGCGCCCACCCGGGACGGCCCTGGTCGCCGTCAGCTGGCCCCGGCCAAGCAGGCGGCAGCTGGCCAAAGTTGGCTGGCTTGGTCAGGTCAAACTTGGCTCCCGTCATGCTCATGATGCGCTGGCAGCCTGACGTCGTGCGTCGTGTCGAGCAACACCAACAAAAAGGACCGACCAGTCCGCGATGACATGTCACCATCCGACCACTTCTTTTCGCGTTTTACCTGCCCTGTCTTTTCCTTTATCTGACTTCCATCTCTGCCTGACCAGACAAACCCAGCACGGCACCTACTAACCAGCCAACCACCACCACTCTCCGCACAACACAAGGGCCCACTACAGCTACAGACAGCATCTATCAGGCGCCAATCCCCCACCACCACCACTACTGTTGCCCCCCCCTCCTCCACTCTCTCCGCAGCAGTTCCAACCATCCTCTCTCAACCAGTACATCCTCTACGGCCCTCCAAGCGACCGCATCGCCATCCAAACACCATGGCCACGCCCCCGAGCGGCGGCACGACCCCCGGGTCTACAGTACGGTACTGCTACATGTTCGAGGATGACAAGCGTCCGACCAAGCAGCTTGACGCCCTCCTCAGAGCCATTGCCATGCACATCGTAAGTCTGCAAACACCCCACTCACTCACCGCCTGTCCCTCGCCGACAGGTCGACTCAACCGCAACACGATACCGTTACAGCCATGGCTGTCGCGGAGTCACGTCTTTATCCTCAGAATTCTAACAACATGTGTCGCAGGTGCTTAATCTTGGCGATCGAAATGAAATGCAAATCACTCCGAAGAAGCTCGCCGCCTTTTACAAGACTGTTGGCGGTGATTATGACTGTTAGTGCAGCCCCCCAACTATGCCCTCTATTTGTTCGGCTGCTAACAGGTCTCTCCTCTAGCTATCTTTCTCGAGATGCCCGACTCCTCCATATCATACATCTGGCAAGTCACCGGATGCCAGCATACCCTCCAACCTACCGATAACGACTATGCGCCGCCGTCCATACCCGCCTTGACGCCCCGCGGCTTCTGCCGGTGGGAGTCTGTCGAGATCCTACTCGGCCCCGAGGAACACGTACCATTCTTACAGTTTGCTGTTAAAAACTGGAATCTGCGGCACCCAGAGACTGGCGAGTCCTTCCCCCCAGACTTGCCCTCTGACGTATTCCCCTCCGAGGCCGATGAGAAGGTCGACTTGTGGCATAAGGCTTGCGGGGAGCGTCTGACGCGCGAGGCCGCTGGTCGGCCAGCTCGCGCAACCAGACACCCCAAACGCGAGCAGGAGCCCGAAGCCGTCGACCCCAAGTTTGCGGAGACTCATTCCAGAAATCAATCGCAATCTGGCACACCGCGCCCGCGAACAAACGAAGGCGACTACTTTGGCAGATCATTCAGCTATGTTAACGCGCCGCCTAACCCTCGCCCTCCTAAACATGGTCATTCCAGCCGCTCGCCTGAGAAGCCTTCCAGAAACAACCGTAGCTTCAACGATAGAGTCAGACGGCGAAGTTTTCCCGATCTTGCTGCGTCACCGAAAGACGCTGAACCGGAAGAGCGTTATCCTTACGAAGACGCGTATCTGGGTCCCAAAGAAGCACGCCGTCCGACCACGAGCAGAAGGCATAGCCATCCACGCCACTACTCCTCTGACGAAGATATGGAACATGAACCAGTCGCCCCAAGAAGCAGGCGCCGACAGGCAACCTCACCCACGCCGGCAATACGCCGATTTAGCCCACCCGATTCAGGTCACGGCAGTGGATCGGGAAGCGGCTCGTCGCGCCTTCATCGACCAGAGAGCGATTTGAGAAGGCGGGCTGGACCCAGCCCTCTAGGGTCCCTGCGCAGCAAGTTGAGCGAAACCGTCTCAAGCATTTTACCGAACGGCCTCACGTCGCGACCTAGTTCCCGGAACCAGGGCAGTACTGAGCATCTCCGTCAACGAAGGAGCCGCGAACAAGTCCGCCCTACCCGCCTCAACCGCAGCCACTCGGATCTGGAATCAGACGAAGACTCAAATCCGGAGGTCCATGCCGATGTACCGAGACGACGACGGCGACCAGAGGAGCGGGAGCGCGATAGGTACCGCGACCGCGGTCGTTTCCGGGATGAATTGGACAGGGATGATGACAGGGACTCTGGCATGTATCATGACCGCCAGCATAATCGCCGACCAGATGTGTACCGGCGGACTAGCAGCCACGCAGATGTGGACAGACGGAAGGACCAGGACAATTGGGATCTTCGTGATAGAGAACGCCTCAAAGAAGAGCGCAAAAAATGGGATAGGGAAAGGGAGCGGAGATCTCCTCCGGAAGAGACTCTCGGAACACCTCCTCTGAACGGCCAGCCTTTTTCAAGACGGTATCCCGAGCCAGCAATAATATAGCGGAGACGCACACGATATGACGACAGAAACAGCGATGATATACGACGTAACGGATACACTAGTTTGTCCTTCGCAAGAACAGCGCGACTTGGATTTGACGAATTTTCACTTCTCTATTTAATGTCAATGATTTTCAGCTCCAATATACTATTGAAACAAGTTTGCACAATCTTGGCGCCAGAGGCAAGAGAGGAAGGCACGAAACGGCCGAGATGGAGGTAATTGAGGACAGACAGCCTAATCAATCCTGACAAAACTTATGGTGATGCCTGCCTGCTACATCCTACATCCCTTGTCAATTCACATACTCTTTCAGCTGAACATATGTACCCTGCATCCCAAATATCAGCTGAAAAGAACCTGGATGTATCAGAAGAGGAATGGACCAGGCGATGCTTTAATGCTAGAGTTGCGCCACCTCTCTTGTACACACGCCGCACCCAAGCGCCGCGCCCGGATGATCGGAGCTTATGCATGGAAGCCTGTAACGAAACCGAATAAGAGGCAAGAGCTATTTTCTGACTACAGCGCTAGAAGCTCGAGTTTCAGATTGGATCCGTTTGGCTGGTGACAGGGCTTACGGAGGTTCACCTTGATAACCCTTGCCCGTTGGCTCGAACCCCGAGCCCCGGCCGAGTCAGCAGAAGTCAGGCTCCGCTGCCAGCCACCGCGATAGGTGAGACTTGAACCAAGAGAAACGGGTGGAAGAATGCAAGCTGAAAGATTCGGGAGAAACTAAGACCTGAGTTTTTGAAAGCGGAGCAATACGCTTGACATTTCAAGTCACATCGTCGGTATCGACGTACCCAACACGGGTGACTTGCAGCAACAGCTTCAAGAATGGAGACTATTGCATTCGCAATAAGCAGATGGAAAAAGGTTCGGGATATAGGAAGCCCGTATAACAAATGATTCACAATTTCAGGCCACATAGGCCGCGATGACAGCTGCCTAGAGATGGGGACTTCGAGCCCGGACCTCATGGAAGATCCGACGGGACATCCACACCAAGACCCATCTAAGCTTACCGGGACCAGATTTTACCATGATGGAGCTTTTTGCCCTTGCAGGAGAAGATGCCCATTCTCCAGGATGAACCGCATGGAGGGCTGCAGAGGGGCAGAGAGGGGCAGAAGCCTCATCCCGGCAGGCACGCAAGAGTTCCACGACGGGGCCCCTTGAACATGTGGCACCTTCGGGGTCGCCGACAGTGATGGACAGCGCCAGTCAGCAGGAGAGATGAAGAGGCAAGGAAAGAAGGGCCATGGGGATAATCGGGCGCTCGTGGTTCGTCCTGCGCTGTCACCCTGGTAGGGAGCGCCGCGGAGAGTGGGTGGCGCTCATCAGCAACCGGGAGTGAGGAAGGTTCCTCGAAGTGAGCAAGGGGACCTGGGCAGTCCATGATTATTCGGGATAAGAGCACGGAGAAGGGAATATGGAACATGCGAAGTGCATGTAGCAGAATGTTGGGGATGTGTGAGGTGCTTGTCTTGTATGAGGTAAGAAGGTGCTGTGTACTTGGCTATGCAGGCTCATGATGAGCTTGCTTCTTGCCCAGGAGGAGCAATGGAATACATTTTTTACTTGTGCTAGGATTTTACAAAAACCAATACGGGCAAGTCGTTAGCGGACCAAGAAAGTGCTTGAGAAAGCCACCACATCGCCAAGAATCGGCCGATTGTAGAGAGGGTTTCCCGTGCGGCGATCTGGTAACCTAATTGGGAAAGGGAACGGTCACCCGGGGCCAAACTCGTGTTAGCCCATATGGTACTCTTTTCCCTTGTGGCGAGACCCGAAACCTTGTCTACTTGGGGTTAATTAAGAATGGAAAGTACTTTTTGCTTGCTTTCTCATGCAGATGCCGTATAGACAAAAGGGTATAGGGCGCAAGTCGTCGAACATGCGCTGAGGTTAAACGTGGCACCGGTACGACGCTGTAAGTTGCCGCAACGTGAGACAGCACTCACAACGTACAGGGCACTCTAAAATGCCCCGGGTTACCTTGGGGAATCATAGGGCATAGGGCCGTGCATGTGATGGAAGGACCGGAAGAAGTCTGTTCTTCGATGTGTGGAGAGGGGAGAAGCAACCAACATGGAACGGCCTCTGGCTTGGGAACCGGCGAGAATTGTGCTCGTCCCATTTTCTGTTCCTGGCTCTCTGGGACGAACATCTCGACTCCCATGAATCTCAGCTGGTCAAATAAAACCATCATGGCCCTTGTCAAATCATCAGCTTTGGGGAGAAGCCGTCCCGGCGACACCATGCCGGGCAGTGCTTACTCGAGACGGGCCCTTTGCTTCCATACAGCGTCTGCGACCCTTGAACAATGGAATACGCCTCCCCCCTGTTCAAGACTTTGCACGCTATTCCTGTGTTTAACATGTCACTACTCTCGTTCTTTTCTCCGACTAGGCAAGAGCCAAGGACGAATCTTGGACTTGGCTCGTGGGGAGCGAAAAAGTGAAGGCTTACTCCGGAGCACGGTAGCATCGCCGCCCCGGGTCCGTATTGGTCACGAATGATGGGGGAGGGGATCCGCGCGGGACGGGAAAATGGAGTCAATGAGAGCGAGGAAGAAGAAAGGGGGGGCGTTTGGGTTTGGCTGCGGGTACGTGGAGGCCATGAGGACAACCCAGCTGCAGGAGATGACCCCCCCCCCCCCCCCAGTTTTCCAGGTCATTGACGGAAGGCAAATGACGACCTGAAATCCATCCGTACCCGACGCCAATCTTATCCTGGGCAGAGCTTGTGCATGTCTGAGATCTGTGCTTGTTTGCTTTGCCTTTGTCGAGATCTTGTCCTGGTGTTGAGGCGAGCTGCAGGGGAGAGCTTTGTAATTTTGAATTTTGTACGTGCGCAACTGATGCTGAAAATAGCACTGGGCAAATTGTGACAGGATAGTACGAAGCATGTAACTACTTCGTAGTAACTAACAAACTCACTTGCAGTTGGAGTCGCAGTCACAGACGGCACGCATGTCAGCTTATTACCATGCCAGTCTTGCTAGTCGGCCCTCGTTGGCATGTACCAATGGGTGGAAGCTGGAAAAGTGTGCCAGTCCAGCCACGAACAAGACAAAAACAAAACACGCCCTTGAGTACTCATCTCAGCGGACAGGGACAGGACAGCGCCCAAACCACCGGGTGGCCGCACGCACGCACCCTCGAGGCCCGAGGGGAGGCAATCATATCGGCCTGGCGCTAATTCGTGCCATTTGATCTTGCGTGTATTTCTTTCTTACTTTTGCGCGCTGTTACTGACACCGTCGCCATCGCCGTTTAAACCATCATAAATATTAGTAAAGAGGCTGCCATGAAAGTTGGCGACAGTCCAATCAGTGTCACTCGTGCTCCCTCGTACCTACTCTTCGCTGAGCAAACCCGCATCAAGTCGCCTCGCGCTAACAAATTAGTGCACAGTCAGTTTGGGGCGTGGGTGTTGTATGTATGCATTCGGTGTCCTGGATGTTGTAGTAGCAATCTATCTCCCCCCCCCCTCTTCTTCTTCTTCTTTTCTGGCTCGACTCATTTGCCTCTTTTTTTTTTTTTGGCCCATGCCCAGAGCAACCTCGCCTGTGTGCTGCACATGGCGTCAAGGAGACACGGCCCGAGGGGGAGGGGAGGGGGGAAGGCACCCCTGCCCAGACTCAATTTGGCGAGTCAAACAACATTGGCCAGCCACGCCAGGCACGATCGCCGAAACCTAAACAAAGGTGAACAAGGTTCTCGAACCTGAGGGCGAAAATCAATAGCGTCTTCTGCCTGTATTTTGCATCTTGACGAGCCCAAGGTAGCAGGAGGATAGCCCATCACCGATCAGCGTCGGGTAGGGTACCGTCGGCAGAAGCGTCAAGTGCAGACGGACAAAATCAGCTGTCATGAGAAAACAGGAGCCATTTGTCCAACGAGATCGAGCCCATGTGTATCCTTCAAGACTGGGGCTACACTAACATTAGTTAGGCTATTCTTGATGGTTGCATGTCCCGCGCGGACTGCGAGAGCAATTATTAGGGGCCCTGTTGCCTGTTGCTGATGGGTTCCGTGACAGTGGCAACAGTAATGATGGCGGCAATGATGATAGCGATAATGATAATTAAAGAGCTAGATATTGGCAAGGTATAATAATAGCCAGGCTTGATTTTCATATGTTGTGCTCAAATCTACCTGTGGCAACCTCGCATGTCCCTGCCGAGCTGCCTGCCTACCTAGTACAGGTAATTAACGTGTCCAGTAAGATATCCTGGCCCCCCCCCCCCCCCTTCCGTCCTACCAGTAACTCACTCCCCAGTCAGCACAGCAAGGCAAGCAAGTCTATCCCATCCCACGCCGCCTTCATAACCCCGGACTTGCCCGCCCAAAGTTATTTTGCCTTTTTCTCTCCCCCGTGTATATTATACATCGACCTCCCCATCCCTCCCCAGCCTTGTCTATTTACTCTCCTTGTTATACTCCATCATCTCATCACGCTAAACATCGACATCAGGAATAACATACAACAACAGCAACAACAACAACAGCGATACTACAACCCTCATTCTACACCTCTGCATCACGCCGCTCGACTCCGACTCCCCCCCTTGCAAAGACGGACACACCGACTCTTTCACCGCAGTTCAACAACCACACACGTCGAGACAATCGTGATAACAATACCGCCAAGATGATGGGCCGCCCGATCGAAGAGGTCGTTTACGACCAACTCTTCCCTCGCCCCAAGTCATCGGACCCCCAAAACTTCCAGTCCTTCCTCCAGCGCTCCCTCATCCCCGAGGTCCGCCAAGAGACGCACGCCTTCTACGGCCACATCGACACCCAAGAGGCCAAGTACCCGGGCCTCGACTACGAGCACCCGACACATCGCATGCGCCTGTCCCGCTGGCCCTGGCACCGCCGCCTCTTCCGCGCCTTTGACGCCCTCGGCCTCACCCACTTCGAGATTCTCGGCCTGACCAAGTGGGAGGGCACCAAGTGGGCCAAGGAGAAGTTTGAGCGGGAGCACGGCTTCACCATCAGCGACACCACCGACGAGGGCTTCCCGACCTGGCAGGAGGCCGCTGACTGGGAGCGTCCGGCCGCTGCCGTTGCTGCCGTTGCTGCCGCTGCTGCTGCTGCTGCTGCGGCCTCTCGTAGCCCAAGCCCGAGCCCGCTAGATAGCCCCAGCCCCAGCCCCAGCCCCAGCCCCATTAGCAGCGGCATGTCCACGCCGCCCTTCCAGCCCGCCGATGAAGATGAGGAGGACGAGGATGAGGAGAGCGAGGACGAGCTCGAGAGCGTCGGTGTCGAGCTCAACGCGCGCCTCCGCACACAAGCTGCCCGCCGCAACGCCGGCGATAGAGACGCCGTCTTGGACGAGGCCTGGGAGGAGTGGCTTAAAACGGCCATTGAGTCAGGCGAGCTCGCCGTCGTCACCGAGCAGATGACCGAGTCGGCGCCGCGTCGCGCCTCATCCCCCTCGGCCCTTCCGGCCGCCCTCGTTCCCACCGGTATGCTCGACCTCGCCCGCGCCGGCCAGTGGATCGACATCCCCGAGTTCCTCCAGCCCATGCTCCGCGAGGTCGTCCGCGGCGAGCAAGCCCCGACCGGGCTCTCCTCCCGCAACGACCCGGCTCGCCCGGCCGCCGATACACCCGGTGCTCTCAGCCGCCAGCTCACCGCCGCCACGCCGCGCTTTGCAGTGGGCTACTTTGACTTGCCGCAAGACCCCCCATCCTCAACCACGACCAATGTTTAAGCATTTGGAATGGAACTGGGGGAAGTCGTCATAAAAGTACCATCTATATACGTCAGGACACACGACCATACACACTAAGCTCTGATCGTGATGCAACGCGGGATCAAGCTCATGCCAGTGGAGCGCGCATTCACTCGGGGCTTTTTATGGATTGTTTCGGAGTTATCGGGATACACTGCACACAGCGTTGTTTTGTTACACAGCGATTTTATTCGTTTTTTTTTCTATCTTGAGCCTTGCTTACATCCTAGAAGCCACGACTGCAAAAGGATGGTCACCCTTTTAAACGCCAAGATGGGCTGACGGCTTAAGTGTTTTGTGGTTGGACAATTAGGTCGACCCATTCCTCGTCTATAGTTTCTTAAGCTTTAGTTATCTTCTTGACCGATTCATCTGGAATGAATACACAATTTTCTTTGGATAGTTACAAAATCGTGTCTGGCTCTGACGTGACATAAGCTGACGGACGACTCTGTATCCGCACACCCAGCTGTAAGCACCCTTTTATCTATGCTTGATCAGCACTCAAGCGACACTCAAGTCATTATTTGTAAACACAGGTCATACTACGACAGCTCAAGACTCAGCAATCAAACAAAATCATTGTTCATCGTCTAGCGTATCGTTCTTAAAGGTTCAAACTACCACCTCATTCATCCAATGCCCTTCCCAAGAAATAACGCCCGCTAAAAACATGTCAACCAGGAAAGATGAACAACTTGCTGTACACCGCCCCAGATCCATCAACCCATCAATACAAAAAAAAAAGTTTAACAATCCTGGTAGTAACCGGGTTAGTGTCGCGTTGCCAGGCGCCTTTCCAAAAAAACCGACAAGGAAGCGGTGGCCGGCTCCCCTGCAATGAGTCTCCAAAACGCCGTGTAGAAAACATCGCCACAAGAAAAAAGTCCAATACAGGAAGACACTCTGACCAACCTGGCTTTCCAAAGTAAATATTGAAAAAGACAACGAAAAGGGATCAACGCCAAGAAAAAAGAGGAGGGTGCGGTTAAAAGTAAGGCACGGGAGCGGAGTCGATCGCTAGAGGCTGCTCGGGAGGCCGGACACGAGGGCAACGTGGGGTTCTGAGCGCTACTTTTCCGGCTCCAGGTGTGACCATTCGGGCACCGCCCTGAGCTGCTGCCACATGAACTTCTCCAGCTTGGTCGCCGACTTGGCGTAGGGCGTGCTCTCGTTGTTGTACTTGCGGCAGTTGTCGAAGATGAGCGTCGCGTCGCGGATGAAGTCCTCGGGCGTCGGGTACTGGTCCGCCTCGAGCTTGTTCTCCATGGTGCTGAGGTCCATGGGCTCCTTGATGACGTCGTAGTAGTCGGCCACGTCGTCGCGGTTGACGGGCACCAGGAACGGCCAAGCCGAGTTGTGGTTCTGCAGGTCGTTGAGTAGGTGTAGCAGCTGGTTGTAGTTGGGGCCGTGCCGCGGCTGGCGCGCGAGCTCGTCCATGTCCGGCGACCAGCCGGAAGCGCGGATGGCGGGTATGTCCAGGGGGTTGATTTCTTTGACGCCGTTCTTCCACTCTTTTGGTGGCGAGTGCACGTTGTGTGACTTTGAATAGGCGCGGATCTTGGCCTGGACGCACTCCTTCTGCTTGAGAAGGAGGCGCCCGACTTCTAAATAGCGAACCCGCGGAAGCATGGAGCACTGCATTATGGTTCCGCCTTCATAGTCCTTAATGTACCCCATCCAAACACTTCGGTCTAGTGTAATCTCCTTTGTGAAGCCCTGCTTTTTAAAGTAGCCAATGGCGTAGTTGTCGGCATAGGTGAGGAAGTACATGACATCGCTGGTTGCCTTGACATAGTCCTTCAAGTGGCACATGAGATGCGCGCCATATCCCTTGACCTGTTGGTCGGTGCTGATGGCAAAGAATACGATCTCGGCAAATCGACGGCCCTTGAACGGGCGGAACGTGACACCACCGACCACCTCGAGCGGCTTTTTGACGATTGCTATCGACAAGTGTGTTCGGTCGTAGACTAGTCGTGCGATGTAATCCTTGGGCATCTTTGGTAGCTGCTTCTGAAACAGGCATTTAAGGCCGGTCAGAACGATGAGAGATTCGCGCTCTCCGTCGTTGTTAACCACCCGGAGTTCGATTTCGCCATTTCGCTCTTCGATAACTCCCGGCTATGTCGGAAAGACCCGTTAATGAGAGGAAATAAGTAACAAAGCAGTGTGAGTGAGAAGCTTACCTTGTCAGGAAATGGAATGCGCTTCAGTGCAGGAGCCGACTGGCCCTCAGTCTTTGAATCCACGCCGTCTTCCGTCTTGACGTTTTGATCCTCGTCTTTCGCTTCGTCTTTATGTTCGTCGTCGTCGTCTTCGTCTCTACCATCGTCCTTATCGTCGTCTGCGCCATCGCCGGCTCCGGCATCGTCACCGTCATCATCACCGCCTGCGTCCCCCCCAATCGCGGCGCGCGCGCGCGCATCTATTTGCTCGTTGTCCTTGTCGTCTAGCGTCTCGTCCTGCGGTTCTTCGGAATCACTATGCCTAACGCGCTTTGGAGCTGCAGGGGATGGGAGGTCCTCGTCCGCTTTGCGCTTCACTGAGAACATGCGTCTTAGCAACGCGCATTGAATTGAAAGTTAAAAAAACATACTTTCTTCTTTATTTTCAGACATGAGGCATCCAGTAATATGGAATGATTCAAACCCGCCGTTGATGAAGTTGTCGATGGTGGAACTCAACCTTGTTGCGCCGCATCTGCGGAGCCAGCCTCCGCGACAGCTTGGTGGGTCCCTGCTTACGTTATGACGCTTCCCAGGAACAGGAACAAGTGACACGCTAGTCCTAATTGGCGCCAACGGGACACGCATTCACATCGTCAAGTCGGGAGCTTCCAGTAGTCTTCTTCCTGCGACAACGTTACGAATCGAAGCTTTGACCCCTCTTATCAAACGACGAAGGCGTGCGGCAGTATTTAACAAGAGCTCTCGTCTGAAATTCGAGTTCGTCCATCACAAACATATACTACATGGATTCATCGCTACATGAGGTCTGGCTAGCTGCTGCTGGTAGTCCATTCCTCCCCGCCGTCGGCAAAGACAGCCAATTCCTGGTCGGCTTCGTTCTACTACTTCTAGGAGTTTCCGCTACTGGTGTCTTTGCATTGAGTGAGTCGAAGTATTCGCGATCCCAGGTGTGCGCTGTCGCTGACAATCCTAGATCGTTCACTGGTCAACGTTTTCGCAGTAGGCATCCCAGCATCTCTGGCACTGGCGTGAGTCGCTAAGCATTCAATTGGTCTTCAGACAATACATGAGCTAACTATCTCTAGATATGGTGTTGTGTACATGTTCTGTGCTGTCGGAGTCTACGTCTGAGATACCCCTCGCTCTCGTACAAGTCGGAGCGATAATACTGTATCTTAGCTGCAACACGAGAACAAAGGGCCACTGAGCGCCACATATATCTGATTTTTATGGTTTAATTTCTTCATTTCTTTTCTTACTTCAGTCGCCATAGAAACACCTCGACAACACGCAGCAACTCGCTCGCATCATGGCGGATAAGCAACCAATCCTCCGCGCCGTGGCGACGTCAACACGCCCTCTCTACCAGCTCCTGCGGTGTATCAACTTTTCCTCGAAAGTTCATGTTCAAATTACTGAAGAAGGCATCCGTTTCGCAGCAGATCATGCGAAAGTAATGCAAGGTAAGCACCACGGTGGTTGCGTGGAAACAGTTTACTGATGACCTTCCAGGAGTCGCGTTTCTCAACAAGTCACTTTTCTCATCATACTCTGTCAATCTACCACCTGCAGAGGGTGATGAACCACCGGAACTTCCGAATTTTCAAATACCCCTCTCATCTTTTCTCGAGATCCTCCAGATTTTCGGCGCTGTTGATGTTGCCGCGCGAGCCCAAAAGGCTGAGCAAGACCCATATCGAAGCAATTTGAGGAATTATCGACCAGACGCGTTCAGCAACCAGACACTGGGAATATCGGGAACCTGCACTCTACTATACGGTGAAGAAGGCGACCCATTCAAAGTGATGATAGAGGAGTCAGGCGTCCAAACCACGGCTGGTCTCACAACATATTTGCCTGAGATTACAGACGACATACCTCTAGATCGGGACGACATATGCTTCAAGATCATTATGCAATCCCGCTCACTGCTGGATTCTCTAGCCGAAATTTCACCTACCGCGCCAATGAAGTTGTCGATTACAGCATCAAAGACAACCCCGTACCTGTCCTTTAGTGGCAAAGGTGACTTGGGTAGCTCGGATGTCGACTTTGCGCGGGGCAGGGAACTACTGGAGACGTTCAGTATTAGGGACAAATGGACGCAATCATACAAGTTTGACTTTGTCAAGAACTCGACTGAGGCGATGCGGATTGCGAACAAGGTTAGCTTGCGAGGTGATGGGCAGGGAGTTCTCAGTTTACAATTCCTTGTCGATATCGAAGGAGGAAAGCGAAGCTTTTTGGACTTTCGGTTTGTTCCGTTTGCTACCCTTGACGAAGAGGAGGATGAAGAAGAAGAAGACCATGACATGGGGGATGAGCAGGAGTTGTAAGAAGAACAAGGGAAGCAATTATGGGCGCTAGAACAATATGTGGAACAGATTGGGACAAGAAATTTGGCAGAAAAAAAAATAGAACCGAGACTCTGATGATTTTGTTACGCGTTTTTAGTTGATGAATTGGCGACCGGCCTATCATATATCACATCGCTTACGGCGGCGAAATCGATTTCGACAGGTCAATATCGCACGTACCAGTAGACTCGTACCGCTTTGTGTCGCCACAGACTCGTATCGATTTTGGCATAAGTTAGGCCTGGATAGTATATCGGCAGGAATGACGGCGTCGACTATAGACGGAGAAGGGTGTTGTGGCGCCATTCTATTGATGTTGTTTATCCACCTCAAGGGAGAGAGGACCACCACCAGAAAGTCTAAATCGCAGCGCCGCGCGGTCCGAATGCTTTCTTTATATTATGCATGATTACCTGCTTTTGAGTCGTAAATTATCTCGTCTTTTTATTTCTTCTGTAATACGGGCTAGCGAGCGTTTGTGAACTCTCTCTTATCACCTACTCTCGTTTTTTCTTTGCAACTCGGGATTTTCGATTGGTGGACGATCAATCACCAAGCGTGGCTTTTCAGCTCAAAGCGGAATATTGATTCTCGAGCCAAGAGAAAACCAAGCCATCCGCCAAGCCCCAGAAGTCGGGACCCAAGCCTTCGCATCAGCTGTCAATATTTCCTTTTCCGGCACGATATAGCTGGAAGCAAAAAAGATGGACTCTTCTCTGAGCGTCGTGTTACAGAGAGCTGCAACCGACTTTACACAACATCACCCGTCCGCGCTTGTTTCATGGTTGGAATACATGCTTTCTGGTGTATCCATGTGGTTCACGACGTGCATCGGAAGCCGAAAGCCGGCACGGCCTCACGCCAAGCACTCGTCAATGTCGGATGACACGAGCTTGGCCTTGCAGGAGGAAAAGGCCCGGCCGGCTCAGAGACCGAAACCGAGGATTCCACAGCATGTGCCGCAGCATGCAGCTTCTTCTTTCCTACAGACCGGTACTTCTCGTGCCATTCGAGAAGCAAATCATATTCTGTGAACGATGGCGCTGTTGCAACCTTGCACAACACAACAGATCTAGCCTTGCACAACATGCAACAATATGATGCGAGCCGCATTTAATACGCCGCCTACTCGAACACCATACGACACTTGAAGTGACACTTCCGCGAGGTCGCCCGACATAGTATTAGACGGCAGCCAAAAATGACAACCATTTATTGAGACACGGCCTTCGGTGATGGAGTCACTAGCGAAACAGAGTTGTCGAGCAGAATGCACTGGGCGGCGGTGTCTTCATTTCTCTGCACAAGAACCTGGCCAACACCCCCGACAACCAACCGTCTGTCGGAGGTCGCCCTGCCCTTGACACGGCTTGCGGTACTGAGGCAGAGCTGTACAAGCATTTCGTTTGTGATGGTGGCGCTTTGTACTTGGTAGAGCGGAGGCATGTTGCGGCGAATCGAGCCAGAGCCGGATTCCTTCATGTCAGAGAGGGAGATGACATTGTGAAGGAGGATTTGGCGAGTCTATCCAAGTCAAAATTTCAAGAGATTTATGTCGAGATTCCTGTCAGATAAGATATGATGCATTCATCTGTGTCGCGCTTTAGATAAGAAGAGGAAGGGGGGAGGGGGGGATATTTTATCGTGTAAGCCGCGATCTCGGAGCTGGCCAGGCCTTCATTTCATTGCGCCTCAATTCAAGACATGTATTGTTCCCTCCATGGACTTTCCGTTGCTGCTTGCCAAAGTTAACGTGATAAAATAAATTTGTAGGGCGCATGCATACTGACGACCCCGCGAACGGACTGGTAGTTAGGCTGCAGCTGCTGAAGGTTCAGCCTCTCCCGTGTCTCGGAGATCAAGTCTAGATCATCATACAAAGCTAAGTGTTTGCTCAAGGCCAAGGTTTGCAGACAGCACGAGGTAGGTCAGCTCACTCTCTCGATAAAATAGGGCTCGGTCGCTGTTTCCTCGACCAGAGAACTCGTGGACTGCTAGCGGACTTTTCCCCTGCGAGACAACGTCGATCATGCTTTTCCTCTTGCGTCATTTATGCTTTGCTGCTTTTATTGTCGCCTGTGGCGGCGCTCTGCTTTCCCATCTCCATCCCCGTGAGGCGGCGGTCGGCCCTCTGCCCCCTCTGTCAGTCGCTCAGAGGCAGGCTTCGTCGTCATCCAATCAGACCTCATTTGCTCATTCAAACACGCCATTCGTCAAGAGTTTTAACCCTGCTCTTTCTGCTGCTATCGCTGCCTGTACCATTGCCACGTATGCCTTTCTCATCAGCAGCAGCGAGAGACTGCTGGAAGCCTTTGCTCTGCCCCGTTCGAGCATTGAAAGGCGCATCTCGACACTTCTCGCCACATTCTGGATCTTTCACGTCGGCTTGAAACTTGTGCTGGAGCCAATCCTGATCGATGGTAGTCCACAGATCTACGTTGCATATCTCTGCAAAGATTCTGTACAGGGAGCTTCAACAACTGCGTCTCGATTCTGTCTTGTCGGGCATCAAGATATGGCGGTTGAAGAACCGGAGGAACCCTTGCACAAGCGAGGTCGCGATGACATCCACGTCCGGTTTGCTCCCGCCTCATACGTCATGAAAAATATAACTCAAACCGCAATATGGCAAGTTTGGATCCTCTGGGTGACTGCCTCGATGGTCGCTTTGACTGTCACCTACAACGGGTTCATTTACCATGAGCCTGGACCTGACGCTTGGTTTCGACTTGGCTTGGTCATGGCGTATGCAACATTCAATGTTCTTCACGCGTGCCTGGCACTGCGATGTTTTAAACAAATCCTCGATTCAATAGGGAATCAGGCTTGTTGGAGCCTCATCTCGCGAATCTGGATTTTTATAGACCGCGCTGGGGCTATTCATGAGCAGGGCACTGGCAACAAGCTACACGTTCTGAAGCAGTTCACCTGTCAGCTTCTTGGCTACACAAGCATCGAAACCATGTACAAGTCAATCCCCAACAGGAGGCGGCCGAAGGAAGAGGCAGCCAACGCCAATGAGCGAACGAGTCAAGAGAGTATCGATGCCGGCTTAGCAGCCGGCCAATACCTGGTTGAGGAAGACAAGACGCTCATGGCGTCAGCGCAAGAGGCGGAAAAAACTGTCAAGACATTCATTGATGGCGAGGTCAAGTCTTTCGAAAAATCTGCCGAGTCAGCCTTGGAAAAGACGATTGTCAACGTCGCCGTGATGCTGGGCGTCTGCCTATCCACGGGTCTTGCACCGCTCACCACGGTGCGGTCCGGCGACTCGACGGCGGCCCAGCTCGGCTCCTACGCGCTGTTGTTAGCCTTGGGAACCGGCACAGCAGCCCTGGCTGCGAGTCTTAGCCACCTTGCCAATGCTAGGGACGCCGCAAACATGCTTCTGAGGCTCCAGTCGCACATGCTCACCCTGCCGTACGATGGCCGGAGCGTGGACGCTCGACGGAACACCGTGACGATGGACAGAGACGGCGAGTCCCCGATGGTCCGTTGGATGGACCTTTTCTTTTGCATCAGGGGATGGAGGTGCGTTCTCGCTCCGTTCTTGGGGCCGGCCCTTGGACTCGTGCCATTGTCGGAGCGGAGGAGCTCCGCGATGCAGGATCGGGGGTACTGGGGAGAGGTAGGACAGGATCTGCGCTTCACGGTCTTTGGCTCCACACTTGAAGCTTCTACTCGCACGAGGGAGGTTATCAAGAAGACGGGCATGAGTCTTCGTGCAAAGGTGCCACAGAGACCAGCTGATGCGCAAAGGCCAGAACCTGCTGCAGCAGAAGACGGGACAGGCGGGATTGAGTTGGCCGAAGTCAGTTCCCTTATTAGGTAGGCAGCTGGACGGCTCTACCTGGCTAGTAAATGAGAATTGTGAATTGTCCATGCAAGAATTCCACCTAACTAGGGGAGGGTAGGGGATGGTAGGCACTATATGCATAGAGTGGGCGTACTGGCACCTTTCAGCAGTTGAACGACATCTTGCATAGACACCTCTAAACTATTTGCTTGATTGAATATTCCTAGGAGACGCTAGTGGCACAACCCGGATTGTTCGCTTCCAAGATGATCGTCTGTTCAACACTCATGTCTCAGAGCATCTACACATATGTACTTGCTGCGACCAACCCCGCCCTTGTATGCCGTATGTACCTGGGGTTGCAAGGACGACCTGTTGCCTCCCACGTGCCGTCATACAATTAATTAATGAAGCAGAAACAGCCCCTATTGGCAAGTGTGGTCACAGTCTCCCCGCAGCTAGGGAAACAACAGACCCTGGCGTCTCGGTCGCGCCTCGCTCGCCCTATCCCCGTCACAGCGAGTCGACACGCGCAGCATATGTGTAGCCCAGGAATGCTCAGCGTCAATATATTCGAAACTCTTGAAGACCTCGGTAAAATAATAAAATTGCACATGGCACTTGTGTGCTTCGAGAATGCAGGCATATTTAAAGGGCTTGCCGCGCTGTACAAGTACATACCCCCCGCCCCATTTCACGATGCTCGTCGCTTGTGCCATCTTGGCCCTGTTCGCCTCTTCCGCTATCGCTGCGCCTGCCCCTCAGCTTGGCGGCGGCGGCGGCGCGATATGCTTTGATGACATGGACTGCCTTTTTGTAAGTGATGCCAGCCAAGAGCTGTCTCGGAGATGCGTCGATCGGGGGCGATGGAGCGATGAGATGCACAAGTTGGCGAGGTATAGAACCTGTACTAATATCATCCATCTATTTACTAGTCTGGCGGTGGAAAGTGTGTGAGGGACAAGGCGAAACCACTTCTCGGAGGCATTCTAGGGTGAGTAGACTCTTGCGCACTTGGTTTGGGGGCCATAACACGGCTAATCAGGAAGCAGAAATTGTGTCAAAGCTTAATCAGAAGATTAAAAAGACTGCGAGATACGATAATAGTTTGAGTTAGTTTTTCAGCTAATTTTATACTTTTATCAAGTTCTCTTCCAACTTGCGAGGTTCTGCGGCGCCCCAACGTAGCTGATTGTGCGCGCTGGTGGGTGACGATAAAGCAGTGAGGCAACGGGCCTCTTTTCCGCGTCTTCATCTCCTATCCCTTGTGGCCTTCAACTTACTCTCGAAAGGTTGACGTCTCCAAGCCCGGGTGGGCGCCAATGCAACGATCTGATCTCCTCGCAAAGACTCGTCTGCCAAGACCGCGTTCAAGGCATTGGACTGCCGACCAACGGTCCTTCCCTTTCCACTTAAGCATGTTGGCAATGATGATGATGGGCGCGTCATTCTGCCGATTCTTCTGATTCTTATCGAGGGCGGCAGCCTCGAACATCTTGGACCGGTCAGGCCCCGGCCGAATTAGCTGCCTGCTCGCTGACGCGTCTTTTGGGCTCTTGGGGAGTTGGTAAATTATTTCGAGCCCCAAGACACCCAGCGACCAAATATCAACCTCTAGTCCGTAGCCATCGTGAGAGTACAGCTCTGGTGCCATGTACCGCAGTGTGCCGCGCGAGCTCTGTAGCAGTGTGTCATTTTCTATCACTTTTGCGAATCCAAAGTCGGCGATGACAACTTTGAAGAGTGGTTCCATTGTAACCAGGATATTCTCGGGCTTGAGATCCCGATGAGGTAGGTTTGAGCGGTGCAGGAAACGCAGGCCATCGAGAGTCTGCCCAAATGCATTGACCGCGTGCTCACAAGTCAGAAGGCCAGAATCTTCGCAGCTCTTTAGGTTACCGGCGGGATAGTGGCACATGACCATAACCGGTTTTGGCTTCTCCACAAAGTCCAGAATTTCAAGTACGTTTGGCTGATGTTTATTAGATAAGATCGTACGCCGGGAGGTGGGTTTGATAGCGCAACACTCACATGACGGTGATCTCTTGCGAGGCTGAATTCACGATTGATATCTGATATCCATTCGGCCTCAACCTCATCCTGGCTGCGCTTACTGAGTGACGATGGGGGCTCGAATGTCTTGACTGCGACAGTTTCTCCGTCCCGTGCTCTGATGGCCTCATGCACCGTCCCGAAACTACCCGCCCCGAGCTTTCCGAGACGGATGTAGACCAACGATTCCCGAGGTGTATGGTGCACAGTCGGGTTTTGGGTCATGGGAACACTTTGAAACCGATGGCCTGGAAGCCAGGCATTATAGGTCGAAGAGGGCGCTCGCATCTCTTGGCGAATTCCAGGAGGTTTGCCAGGTAGCGTCTCTGCGCCCTTGGATGATGATTCGGAAACTTGATCCGGAACTGCGTACTACCAGAACGAATGCGTACTTCATCAAAACGGGCTTTCTTCGCGCCAGCTGCAAAGGCCATGATCCACGTATCCGCTGCCTTGAAGGCATTTTCGTTCCGTATTTTAGTGCTCCAAACACAAGAGACTGCAGTCCCGTGCATAGATCCAGGATCATGTAGCAAGATTCGGAGCTGGCTGTCCGCGGTGATTATGTACTGCCTTCGGCTGATGCCCCCGGCCCCAGGATCCCCAATAACGACAGCTGAGAGGGTCGGATCCGTACCAAACTGCAGGCCTGTCTGGGCACTATGAAGAACTTCGTCGAAACGAAAACTAGGCGATCAACTCCCTCGTCGGAGTCGGAACCGGAGTCATAGCCATAGGAGACGCTGCCTCGCGAGGGCCCCCGACTCCTCCTGGCTGGTTGCAGACGGGCAGGTCGAAACCACTTCTTGTTTTCTTGCCGGCGAATTGCTGCGCAAGCTTTTGTTCCTTCCATGAGAGGCGGTAAGAACTGTAAAAACATTTGGGTCCTCCATGGGAGCTAACAAAGAATTGGTTTGTCAGGGTTGCCGGTTTGCGGGGGGAAGGAGGGGCTCAGTCAAGAGAGACCATTCATAGGTACACGGCTGCAACCTGTGTCTGGGTATTGATTGGTTGGGCTTGATTGCAGCTGAGACTGTCAATTTTAGCTGCTTTGCTATTGCAAGTATCTCGCTGATTCTTACCGTTGAGAACCATATTTTGATCTGTCATTCAACTATTAATAATAACTACCTAACACAGCTGCCCATAAGATCCATCTTGGGACGCATGCCTGAGAGCTCTGTAGTACCGGAACCTCGACACATTAGGACTAGGTACATTAGGTAGTTTAACTATCTGTCAACGGTCCCTGAAGATCAAGCTTACCGATCAAGTACTGGGTACTTTTAAAATGTGACCCACTCCCGCGATCACTTGCACGCAAACTGTTAGAAACAACTGTGCATACCAAGTACAAAATACCTTGCTGGCAGTTGTTCCAGGGGCACCGCAGTGGGTCGCGCTTTGCTTTTAGTTTGAATTTCGATCGGCTGGTCCCGTTTCCTCCCCATCACCCTTCACCCATCAGCTCCTAGTTAGCCGCTGTCTCGTCTCTCACAGCCACCTTACTACCAGTAAGGAAACGCACACTCGCGCCGCGTTTCTTTAATACCTTCTGGCCGCTCCAGCTCAACTCGCCTCAACCGCTTGCATTGCAGTCTATGCTGCGCGACACTCTCGCCGCCTTTCCGTCCCGAGCCGCCAGCAAGCCCGCTCAATCAACATGGCCGCGCTCCAGTTCCAAGACCTAGCAATGGCTATCGATGACGCCTTGTTGAAGAGACTGACGTACGTGAGCTAAAAACGACGCCTTATGGCTATTGATGTGTTCTGATTGAGACAATGCAGGAAAATGACACCGCTGCTAGACGATCAGAAAGAACTACAAGAAACACTAGAAATCGAAGCAGAATCGCGTGTGGCACTAGAAGCCGACGGATGCCCTCCATGCTACCCAACGGAGATGGATATATCCAAAGAACCACCAACGAAATATCGACAAATAGTCGAGTACTGGAAGGCATTTTTTTTTTTGGAACAGACGATGTTATTCTCTACGCACAGCTGGAGGGTTGGAATAAGTTTCGACGAATCTAGGCACGAGATCGGCAATTTTTTGCCAAGTGTTTTGACCAATTCACAGCCAACGTGCGTGCGTATCTAAAATCCCACGGGGTAAACGAACAATTCACCCTAAGCCTAGATCCCAAGGATCAGGCCCCGCGAGATACCTGGATAGAGTTCCAGCATTATCAATTACGGCGCCTAGAGAGGATGGAAAAAAAGCGGGATGACTTGCAAGAGAAGGTCGGCAGCGCACACGACGGCTCATCTCCGACAACCCCGGGGTCTGACACGGTTCCTAATTCTGCTGCCATGCTCAACCTTGAGAGTATACAGAACAAGATCGAGGCACATGCTATTTTGCGAAAATGGATTGCGGAAAAATTGCCTACGCTAAGCCCAGGTCTGACAGAGCGCGACCAGCCAGATGTGCCACGCACGCGGCGGGCCTCTGCTCGAGCGCAGCAGCCGAATAGACAGCCGACAGGTGGCGAGAATAACAATCTGCCTATTACGCCAAAGAAAAAAGGGCCGAAGACAGCCGCTCCAAAGAAAACAGCTCCAAAGAAAACAGCTCCAAAGATAACAGCTCCAAAGAAAACAGCTCCAAAGATAACGGCTCCAGAGAAAACGGCAAATTCTGCGCCTAGGCGAACTGCCTGTGCTCAAGTCCAGCGGCTAAAGGGGCAACCGGCAGGAGACAAGAACAGCACGATTCCCAGCATGTCAAAGCAAACAGTAAATACAACGCGCAAGCGAAAGGCTTCTCATCTAGACATCAACGTCGATGTCGAGACAAGTCGGCCGACCAAGGTTCGCGCTGCCAAGGGATTTTCTTCACCCTCAGCCTCCTCCCGGCAGATCAAAGCCCGGTCAAATGCTAAGCAAGCAAATTCCAAGTCAAAAGGTAGAGAAGCAGGGCCTGAAGCAACACAATCCCCCGTCGTTACACGAATTGGCCGTATATCACGAGCGCCAGTGAGATACACGTCATAGCCTCGATTGTATTGGTCAAATCATTGCTCCTCCCATGTGCCGTGATCATTAACCCGTTGCCTTGAACTCCTAACAAGCCATGAGAGCTCCAGATACTCGTACACGTCCCATATAGCCCAGTTCATGGCAAGGAAATTGAGCTCATGATCGCAAGAGACTACCCTCAAGTGAGTATGTGCTAGACTGGCGAGATGCCGAAGCACGGTTGGCTGAGGCTGTTACATGCCTTTCAAGGCAGTGCGAAGTGAAATGTATTGTATATTCATTCATACATTCTGCAATAAGTTGGATATCACGATTTGCTTCCACAAAGCTTCTCAAGCGTCTGCGGATGTAGACGCGATGGCACTAGGGAAGAGCCAGCAAGTTGGTCGACGCCGCCCGTCTGTTCTGTGAACAAAGCCCGCATTCAGTTCTAGGGCGAGCAAGTCCAAGCTTTAAGAAGTTGAAACTTTGTGTGTGTATGTGTATGTATGTATTCGGGCAACGTTGTGTCACGACACCTCGAGAGTACTACCCAGCCAAGGGCGGCTAGTTACTGCATGTATGTGCGCAACCCAGCATCCACAGGCCCAGTAGCTTCATGACATACTAGCAAAATTAATTAAATATTGAGTCCCAGCAAACATGTCGCTTTTATTTCGCAGACGTAGGAAGAGGCTCTCGATCTCTATGCCGGGGAACCCCTCGGCAACTGTCGTGCGCCCTGCTAAAGCAAACAGTTGTTGCAGAATACATGCCCCGCCCCAAACAGGCAACATAAAAAAGCCACAAGACCCAGGAGACTAATACTTTATATCGACTTCCTCGTCCCTCGTGATGCCGTCCCAAGTCACGGTGAGCTGTGTTGTGGCGCCGATGTGGCTGGCGTCTTGTCGCGCGCCGTGCAAGGTCCCGTCCGGCGGAATGACGGATGTAACAACGCACATCGCAACAAGATTTTCTAACAATTCAAGCATGGCCTTTGTGTAGATACAGCTAGGACCACACTAGCAACACAGAGTTGAGCGTTTGGGCCATCGTGGTGTGTAGTCTACGTGAGGCACGCAATCTCCGGGGCATCTCGAGGACAGGAACACAAAACTTACTACGTTGGGCATAGCAAACCTCGGATTACGGCCTGGCATCCACGCAATCCCGATAGAGGAGGGTGGTTCCCCGGGTTTGAGATGGGCTACGATCACGGAGCTTGTCAGCCTTTGGGCAGGACCGGGATGCCTTGGACGCCCTGCGTGACGAGCGTAAGCCGGCGACAAGGTCATCATATACTGGACAGTTTCGGCAACAAGGCAGATGTCAATGTCGTTATAAAATGACAAGCTCTACCGGGTGGGCAATGACCTGATCTCGGAATTTACCATTTATGGCAAATAATAGGCATGGCAGTAGAAGTGAGCCCCAACGATTATGCCGCTGGCGCCTCATATGACGTTGGGACACAGGTGGCAGCAACCATCTGTCAGCCAGCAAGGCTACCTTAATGGACGATGGGTGGGCGATCTGGGCCGATGCAACCCGTGTGTCAGCAAACGGTGGATTTATGAAAGGGATTTTACAAAGCCTTTGCTCTCGGCAGGATGAATAGGATTATTGGTGGATCGTCCGCCTTGCTGCGGGAGGAAGCGAGTCGAATCATCAGGCGAGCCAATCATGACGAGTCGGCGCGGCAAATAGCATAGGCACGAGGCAAGAAAGCAACCGACCGGATTGGCTTTTTTCCAATAGGTGGCAGAGCGAGCTTGCGGCTCTTCTGAGCTGAGGACATTTTTTTCTTACCACACCAACGGTTGATGATGATGTTCGCTGGGACAGCCTGAGTCAGCTTTTGATGCAGCCCTTCCCTCCCTCCCAACCCCCTCCGCCCCCTTGCAAGGAAACGCCGAGGCATTGTGGCTGCTGGCTGTCAGCCTTGAATGCAATTTTCCGGGCCGCTCAGAGGCAATGGCAGGGCTTCATCGGACAAGAGGGATGAGTGCGGGAGGGTGGTATTATGGATTGAAAAGGCGAAGAGGAGAAGGAGCGCGCCGCTTGGCGAGGGAAGAAAGGATCCGATCTGTGGGCGCCTAGCTAACCCTTTGATACAGGCTGGGAGTTGGTGTCACGTAGCCTCACCGACAGCTGGAGGGACGACATTTCCACTAGTACGAGTTCTCCGGGCAGGTTACCTGTTTCTTTGAGATGGCGGGCGTCCCTTTGCTTGGCTGGCACTGGCCACGTTGCGTCTGCTCCGGTCATTACATGTAGCGACTGCATTACAGTGGCTTGATCGGGAAGGTCAGGTTCGTCGACCTACTAGTTAAAATAGTTACGTGATGTTGTTAGTGCAAGGACCCAGCGAATGCTATTAATTGGCCACCACAATCTCTGCAATGGAGAGAGTAGTTGGAAAAGGCCAAAAGTGCGAGTCAACAGCCCTGGCGCCGTTTGAGACATCCCAGCCTGGCTTCTTCGCGGCATTGCACTGGTAGTTAGATCGGTGGTGCCGTCGCAAAATCAAGCGATTGGTAAGAGAAACGGGAGCGACAAGAGCGACAAGAGCGACAAGATAGACGGGCTTTCATGAGGAGGAATCGTAGGACAGCTGCTTGTTACCTCGGCTTCACGTTGTTGAGTTGCACTTTTCACAGAGTAAGAAGGAGGAGAAAGGGAAGCGGGAAAAGAGAAGGCTGTTCGAGGTGACGCGGGCGTCAAGGGTCTCACATGTGCTCGAGGGCTCGAGCCAACCCAGCTGGCAGGGACTACCAGGTTGAAGAGGGAAGAAAGATGGGCTTCGTTGCAGCACACAAGCAAACAATTTGTTGGGCGCATAATTATGGCTACAGAGTAAGGAAGAGTCAACTACTGTAAAATTCTGGTGGTACAGAGAAAGTACTGTTGGAGTCATGCGCCTCGCCCAAAGGCTGAGCCGGCTGGGCTGGGGCCTGGCTGCTGGCTGGGGATGGGCTGCGAATGCATTTGTGGCGAGTTTGTGTCGGCGCAATTGGTCGTCAGTCACACCCCAAGAATGCTCACCGGAGGGCGGGGGGGGAAAGCTGCGTGTCTCTCTCTCGCGAGGCAAGCAACATGACGAAGGGGATTGAAGCTTATTTGGGAAGCGAAACGGCGGGCGAGCGATCAACAGAAAAAGAGAGGGAAAAGTACCTTGGATGGGACGCGAAAGCGCCGGCCCGTTCCCTCGAAGCGGAAAGTGAAGTTTTAGTTGAATTAGCATAGCAGGTAAAAGTACCATAACTAATGAATTGGTTAGTGGTAGCATAAGTGCGGGAAAAGAAGGCTCGTGATGACCTGGCAGTGGACTTGGCCGCCGATCCCTCCCTGGCCGTGTTCCAACGTTTGGCATTATTTCATTAGTACTGCTGATAGTTAGTACTCTGTAGGTAGATAGGTACATAGGTAGGTATGTATGTATGTAGGTACATATGTAGGTAGGTAGGTAGGTAGGTAGGTAGGTAGGTAGAGGGCCAGCGTCGGCCTGTCTGTCTGACTGTTGTGCCACCCGTTTTCGCTCTCTCATCAATGCCAGACAGCCAGGCCCGGCCTTCTGAATGAGCCCTCATCAGCGCACCAGGCAAGTGTTAACGTTAGTACATACATAGTTAGTGTGTACTAAGTAATGCATAATAGTGGCGTTCGCCCACCGCCCACCCTTGTATTCTGTACGAATAAGCCTTCCCTTTTCCTTTTTTTTTTTTTTTTTTTTTTTTTTTTTTTTTTTTTTTTTTTTGCTGAAGACAAGTTGGTCCCTGCCCATCGGGTCAGCTAGGCCAATTGGCCATTGGCAGCCGAGTCGATGCGACATGCCATACTGGGCATCGCGCAAAATTCTTGGCTCACACCACCTTGTACAGGCCACCCCGGTCCTATACCGAGAAGGGCTGCTTCCTCTTGTTGTTACCTAGTGAAAGTAGTTAGTACGTTGTACCCGTAGGTGCCCGGTGGTAGCTGTATTGATTGCTTCCCGGAGCCAGTTGCCTTGTTCTTACCGCCGTCTCCCTTCCCGTAATCATGAGTCGCGCGCGCTGATGCCGGCAAACCCAACCAACCCCGATGTGGTTGATCAGTGAGCAGTGAGTGAGCCATGGGATGGGGCGGGATGGGATAGGAGGGAGCCTTGGGTATTCCGGCGCAAGGATGGGCTGCCGAGGATGCAAGTGGGATATGGATGTTGCATTAGATCAAGACTTTATAAATAAAAGGAAGCGCATTATCACCGCCCTTGGCTGCCCCCTTCTGTAACAATTTGATAAAATATACATCCATCCATCCCTTTTTTTCCCTTCTCAGAGAATAAAGACAAGAGACATGCATAATAAATAATACGGATACAGAACACACACGAGAGAACAAACGGTTTCCTTCCAACCCCAAGGCTCTGTCCCGTCTGTGCCATGTCTCATGCCGCTTACCCCAGCAAATCCGATATCAATCCCTTGTCCCCCCGCCACAAGACGACCACACACAACCGCCTTCTTTCTCACTCATAAAGACTTTTGTCGTCCACATTCGACACACGGCCAGCATTGACAAATTCGCCTGTGCGCCATCCATCATTGTCGACCTTTGGCTTCCCGTCCGTATTAGCGCCAAAGAACAAGCTCCCGACGTATAAGACATTAGCGGTGTGCCCCCCACCATCAATTACCATCACCATCACCATCACCAACGCCACATCAACCGAGACACAAACGCACACAGCCAGGCCAGATAGAGAAGGCAGCCACGACAACAACAACGAAAAGTGTGGAATCGGGGTTTCCATATAAATCCAGACAGAGTAATCTGTAGACATGGTCTACAGAACCTGAGCTGCTCTCCCCCGCCCCAAATTGACAACCACCACGCAAGCAAGCCGCGAAGACAGGAATGGACAGCTCGTCGCTCGGGCTCGCCTGGGGCCGCTTCTCCTCCCATCGTCGAGCGCGCTCCAGCGACATCTCAGCACCTGGCAGCGACGCCGCACTGCCACTCATTGCGGTGACGAGCAACGGCACCCGATACCTGCTGCCCTCAGAGGACGCGACGACAACGACATCACCGCTACTACTAAAGCCGCCCTCCGTTCCGCAGCACTCCCGCTCCAAGTCCTGGAGCACGTCAAAGGAAAAGAACCACGAGTTTCCCAGCAGCTACAAGGCGGCCTTGAGCCTGCCGACGAACCCGCTCAGCAGCCTGCGCCGCGCCGCCAGCAGCGCGAAGAGAAGCCACAAAACCAGCAGCAGCATCTCGTCCTCCTCCATCTCCTCCAGCTGGAGCACCTCGCTACACGGCTCCAGCAGCTCCATCGATATTCCCGCCCCTCAAAAATCGTCGCCACTCACGTCTGCTGCTTCCACGCCGCCCCAGCGGCCGCCGCGACCGCCATGCGGGCTGTTTGAGGATGAGCCGGACGCGTCGCCGCCGGGCGTAGAAGACGACGACCCCATGATGCAAGGCCTGATGCTCAAATCCGATCAAGCCTTTGCGGCCGTTGGCTTGGCGCTGGCCGATGCAGCCTACAGCACGCACATGGTCACACAGGCTGCTGCGCTGCCGACTGTGATGCGCAGCCGATCGGTGCTACTCCCCCAGAAAGGCCTGGGCTTCCTCGCATCACCGACCACGACCACCACGCAGTCGCCGGCGCCGCTGCGAAGAGGGCCAGGTGGTCCCCTCGCCAGCAGACCCGTCCGCAGGAACTCGCTGCAGTCATCTCACAGCACGTCGTCGAACAACGGCCACGGCGCTGCGCGTCCCCAGCCGTCCGCGACGACAAAGACCAAGAAGATGGGCAAGCGCAACGTCATGCTGCCGCGCAAGCTGCGCCTCACCACCATCACCCAGAGCGTAAACGAGCTGCTGGCAAACCGCACCTCCACCGCCGCCGCTGCGGCCAAGCGGAGGTCGGCCGGCAGCCTCTCCTCCACCTACTCAGACTACACCGAGGAGGACAACGACCAGCCCTCCCACAAACGCAACAGCTCCATCACGGCCGCCAGGCGGCAGCATCGCCGAGGCACCAGTTTCGCGCTGTGCGCGACCGACGACGAGGGGACCCTGACCGCCTCGCAGATGTACCACCGGGAGATGCTCCCCAACTCGGTCGCGGCCTGGATGGGCACGGACTCGGCCCTTGCCGACGAGGACGACGCCGCTGACGACCAAGCGCCGGGCCATGAATCCGCCACCAATGAGTACGACTTTTTGGTCACCTCACCTAACCTCCCCATCCAGCCACCTCCTCCCCCTACCTCCTCAGCGGAGAATAATCATGCAGCGGGGGCGCGCTCGCTCTCCGTCGAGGGCGGCGGTTCCTCCCTGCCTCCGCTTCCGCCTCCTCCTCCTCCACCCAAGAACCCTGCGCGGTTCGGGGCCCGCGCGCGCACGTCCCACCTCTCCCCCATACCCGAGATGCTCGTCGCCACGCCGCCCGCCGAGGGCCAGCGCCGGCGGCGCAAGAGCAGCGTCAAGATCTCACCCAAGTCGAAACGCGGCAGCGGCGGCGGCAGCGGCGGCGCCAACAGATCCGTCGCCACCACTCGCGACTCCCTGTACCTCGTCGGCACAGCCTACTCCCAGACGAGCCCTCTGTTTCGGCACGGGCACATTGAGTTTCAGCACAAGGGCAAGGTCAAGGCAGCGGGAGATGAGGAGTGCGAGGAGGTGGTGGGAGACGGCCAGCACCTGGACTGGCCCGCGTTTCACTCGTCGGTGCTCTGCGATGCCGACGACCTTGAGGCCGGCTTCGCCCAGGACGAGGCCGACGCCATGGCCGACGAGCTGGGCGACTGGTTCGACGAGTTCGGCTTCGAGTCGCACGGCACGCTGATCCGCGGCAGCTGCGTCGTTCCCGCTGGCGCCTCCTCCGGCTACAAGGAGGAGGGCAACGGTGCCAGTCGGGCCGCGGCCGCGCGAAGCACGGCGTCGTCCCGCAGCAGCGCGTCGACCATCTCCGACGCCGAGCTGCCCATGCCCGCCAGCCCGGACCGCTCACCCTCGCTCGCCAAGATGCAGGGCTGGTCGTTTGCCCAGGCCGAGCGGCACGACCACGCGCGCCGCTACGCCCGCGGTGCCGACCCGCACGCGTCGGACCCGATCCCCGTCGCCGTCGAGGAGCAGACGAGTCCGAGAGGCCTCGGGCTCAACACGTACGGCCTCCCGCAGGGCGGCGGGCAAGGCGAGGCGGCGCGGGCGTCGAAGCTGGGCGGCCCGAGTCGCGGCCCGAGAATGAGCTGCAACTTGAGCGATGATCTGGGTCAGTTCCTGGCCTGGAACCCGACGGCCTTTCACGACCTCGAAGAGGACGATCAATGATTTGGATATCTTTTTCTTTGTCCTTTTTTGGCTTTTTTTGTTGGTTTGACATTAGATACCCCCACCGTCCTTCTCTCGAACGCTTTTCCAAAGTTTATACAAGGGATATTATATTATCAGGAATTTCTTTCTACAAGTTATTGGAATGGGACAAGCGAGCGAGCTGTATTCATTCTTTCGGACAGAGGCAATTTGCCATGTTTTTTTTTTTCACTAGAGATAGTATACACGTTTCTAGATATCTCAATCCATTTTTCTCTACAATTTTACTTGCGTATTATTGTTTAACATTTTGCCCAAGTTTGACCCGTTTGTTGTGACATTTCGAAGCTGCCGCGCTCTAGTGGTGAAACTCCACCACTGGCCGCTCTTCCTAAACCCCGCCATCAAAGCAAACGCGAGCTTAGCTGATTCCTTCCCTTTTCAACTCCAACATCCAACTTCATTGCAAAGCCCTTCCTATAACTGCCGAAGCTTAGTCACTCACGCCTTTACCCTTCTTAAAGCAACACACGAGAAACGATATAGAAGAAGCCATCAAATAGCCCCAAGTTCCTATCCAACCCCAGCACAAGGCAAACCCCCGCGTCTCAACCAAAGTGCCAGAAACAAAACGAAACGCCCAAATCACTATGCTTCGCCGACCTCCCACCACGCTCTCCATTACCACCGAGGACGTCTCCGCGTATGAGGACCGTCGCTCCAACGAGGCCCTCGCCGCCGCGCAGCAGGCCAGGGCCGAGGTGCCGAGACCGCCGCGGTGCCGGGTGCTGGCGCGAGCCCCTCGGCGGGCAGGAGGGCGCGCGACGAGCGCATCGGCCTGGGGAGACGAGCAGGCGGACGATGAAAGGGGTGTGCACGGGCGAGGGGATTGGTTGATGGGTCGATGATGCAAGCGACAAGACAAGCCTTCCGGAGAGGCTGCGCAGACGGTGGTTCTATTTTCGTCGGGTCATCAAAGCGCAATTTACAGTTTTTACCATGTCGCTCAGCTCCCTCAGCCTTGCAAGGGTAGGGCGGTGCCTTTTCTGCTGCAGCCGTCCAGCCTCTCCCGACCATCGGGCCCAAGCGGCACACGCGCTGCGATACTTTCGGCGCAGCCCCCATCCAATTACCAGAAAACCTGTTTCTTGTTTTCTTCTCTGCTTGCCATGATCTTTTGACTTGAATGGAGAAGTACTTTTGACAAAAGTTTCCACGCACAAGATGCACCATGAGAAGAATGGACGCGGCTCAGCCCATTCAGCACGCGACTACACGCAACAGAGAAATTGAAGGAGACAATGATTCATCTAGTCCCATCGCTATACGGAGTACGGATCATTTGGAGAAGGAAGCAACGAGTGTCTCACCTCGCGGGAAAAGAAAGCTTATTCGATGGGCAGGACTCATCGCACGGCCCCATCTCACGGACTGCATCGTCGCGATTATAACACAAAACGATCCGTGTGTCTGTTTGTCTGTGGGCCACGATGAGAGGCCGATCGTTGGTCCCGAGACAAAATCAAGGCGCTCAGCCCTCGGTCTCAGGTCTACCGGATATTTTATTACGAGGCTGTTTTGAGGGGGGGCTGGTGAGCAATAGAGCACGTATGCATAAAGGTAGTTTAATCTCCATGACGTTGACATGTGTACTTGCACACCTCATTTCTTCGCGACCTCCGTGGGCAGTTCTTTTTCAAGGCACAATATCCTATTGGTCGTTCTGGAAGCAGCAACTCCAGTTTCAGCAGCGGAGTTTAGGCGCTCTCGCACAACCTCTTCCCACCCGGGAAGCATTTCAGCTGGGCTGAACACGAAGGCGTGCGCCAGGCAGCCGCCGGCTCCCAGGGACCCTCGAATCATCTATGAGAGAGCTGCCTATTCCTCATGATTACACGGTCTCACGACAGTGCTCGGGCTCGCCGAGCAACGGGATGTTGGTGATTGGACGTCTACAGACCTAGACAGCTTGGACCCGGCTGCGGCCAGCCTGGTCCGCTTACCACCCTTGGTCGCCGTGACGGACATGGTACCGCCTACCAACTCCAAAAGAATATTTTCGTAGACTTGCTAGCTGAAAATGGCAAAGGGGGCCAAGAATTTCCGTTCATCATCCCCGAGTCATATTCTGCGAGCGCAGGTGCGGACAAAACTCATACTCTGAACATCCTTACGTCCTTGCTTTCTTGTATAGTACTCAGTTATAGTTCGGCTAGGTGTATCATTGGCGAAGAATCTCGGGAGCCTCCGGGATGGCAAGGCAAAGGCCGATCAACATACGGTGAAGTATTAATAAAGCGACGCTTCCGCCACGGCTTGGCCTCAAAAACCGAACGGCAAGCAGGGCAATATTTTTATTTAGAACGTCGCTGTAGCAACACAACCTCGTCGAGCCGTACGCCCGCGCAAGGCGTGCTTCTACGGCTTCACTAGTCATCACCGATGCTGTCAGTCAGACGAGAGACAAAGAATCGTGGCCAGCAGCAACCATCCGTGGAGCCGCAAAAGCCTTACCTACGGGCCGGGGTGGCGTCCGGAGATCGGCAAGCTTCTTTGTTTACAGCTGCTTCATTTTCTCTTATAAAGCCGAAAGAGAAAAAAAAAAGCATCCGTCGCCCCGACACAAAGAAAGCGTTGGTCCCAAAGCAAGCGGTGAGCGGGATCGGTGAACAACACATTACAACGGAGCGAACTAGGACGCATTATCATATCATTGTAATCTGTAGCTAAAAGTATAAGCATATTCTAAAGGGAATAAAGCTTCGTCTAAGCGTGTGTGCAGAGCCTTTGCGTTCCTTGTTAGTCAACAAGGACTTGGCCTCCCCAAGCGCATCCAGCGTCCCGCTGGTGGTATTAGGTATGTATGTGTACGTTTGATGTGTATTTTGTGTGCTCCTTTCAAACTTCTCTCCGCCGACCCTGTTCCATTTTTCACCCCAATACCAATCCGAAATCCTGTACTCCAAAAAAACAAAGAAAGAGCCAGTTCAAATCCAACTATACAATGCAAGTAGAAACAACAGGCATTGCAATATCCCTGCACCGAAAACAAGAAGGGGAGAAAAGACCAAAGTCAAGTATATGATACAACCTTTTCTGGTGCATGTTCCAGCGACCGTCTTGAGTCGGCAAGGCTTCTTCATCCCAGCCGGGTGAGCTGCACCCAAACGAGCACCGTCATCCACGTCAAGCGCCAAGCCGTCGTCCAAAACTCTCTCGTAATGACCTTGACGACCTGCTTGCTGCGACCAGCCTTCCACTGCTTGTCGTCGCCGTAAAAGTCCGCGTCGAGCGTGATGCGCGGCCCGCGCCCGCGGGCACCATAATCGTCACCCCAGCCCCAGCGTCGACCGCCGCCGCCGCCGCTCTTGCCGCCGCTCTTCTTGGCCGGCCAGCGCGCCGCCGAGCCGTTGGACATGCTGCCGCGCGAGACGGTCGACGCTGCTCCGCCGCCGCCCGATAGCCTGCCAGTGGACGACGTGCCGTGCGAGGCGGCGCCGCCGTGCGCGCGCGACGGCTCCGGAGGCTCCGCCTTGTCCTTGAACACGGGCAGGAGCGAAGGGCCGCCCTGCTCGGGTTCCAGGGCGAACGGCGTCAGGTTGAGGACCGGCACGAGGAACGCGCGGACGGCAAGCACGCCGAGAGACAAGACGACGAACAGGATGTATCGCATGTACGTGTGCAGCTGGTTCGGGAGCAGACACGAGTGCGTCTGGATCGTGGTTTTCGGTGTGCCGGGCATGGGCCTGCCGTCGGCGTCGACGGGGTTGTACATGCTAAGCATGAGGAAGCCCGGATTGCTGACTCCCATGGCCATACTCATGCTCTTGACGGTGATTTCTCGCACGCTGCCTTTGGCTTCGGAATGGACAAGCTCGCAGTAGTCGTGGTCGTCGCCAGAAAACACATGCACGACATTGCCCACGCTCTTGATCAATTTGACGGAATCTTCTTCGCTGAGAACGTTCTGGTACTGATATCCAGCAGCGACTGGAATGGCGTTGCGCTCGTCCGGGTTGACCGGTTCGCTTTGGCCTTTGGGCCGTTTTGCCGGCGGCCAGTGTTCGCGCATGGGACCGCAGGGTGTTCCCGGGGCCCGATACAAAGGGACATGTGTGAGCAGAATCGTGGGGAATTCGGCATGGCCAGCACCTGGGTCTCTTGGTGAACGGGTCGTATCCGATGACTCGAGATCCACGACTTCGTGCTTGAAGCGGAAATCACGGTCAAGGGAGTGCCAGACCTGGAGTTCCTCCATGGCAAGCCTGCGTTTCGTCGACTGCACTTCCTCCAAAAACTCGTTGACGGGGCCGTAAATGGGCTCGAGATCGTGCGAGTACCTGTAGTCCGAAGTGTCGGCGCTGAGCGACACCGTGTCGACAGAGACGATGCTGTGATTCCCGACGACGTCTACGCGGTTTACGTCGCCAAAGAAGGCGCCGAAGCGGTTGCGTACCGGCACCTGCACCTGCGCGCCGAAGCCGAGGTCGTGGTTCCCCGGCAAGCTGGCGACCAGCCGGCGCCCCCGCTGATACGGACCTGGGACGTCACCTCCCAGGTTGAAGTGGTCGAAGAAGATGTCGCCGAAGCGCTTGTATTCACGCACCCAATAGTCCTCGCCGTACTTGCGGTGCCACGTGTTGACCCATTTCTTCTCGTCGCCCGATCGCTCCCGGCCCCATTTGGGATCGACGAAGCCCTCCTCCCGCGTCTTCCACTCGCGGCCGCCATCAAACAGGTCCCCCAAGAAGAAGACGCTGTCGGGCTGCAGATGGCTCTGGAGCGCCTTGTAGCCTCGTCGGAGGTAGTTGTCGGTGATGGTGACCGTCAGCGTCGAGAGCGGCCACGGACGGCCCGGGTACGAGTGCGGATCGGTGATTTGGGGGTCCGCGATGAGGACCAGGCGGTGCGGGTGTGTTCCCTTGGGCTGTGATGCGTTGCTCTCGTCAGCCTCCCGAAGTTGGTGCGCCGCATGGCGTCGCGCAAGAGAGTACTTACCCATGCTTCCCAATGGTCCCAACTGCAGTTCTCGACCTTGCTGTCAAACACCCACCGCTCACCCCATAGCAGAATGACGATCCAAATAGCCACCAGCGCATGCGGCAAGCTGAGGAGCCTCCTTGAGACCAAATTTCTGCGCACCTGGTGCACGGCAGCCAGGGTGACGGCTGTGGCGGCCCTCAGTCCCGGCCCTTGCAGCCAAGACAATGCCCTCTGCGCTTGTAGCTTTGCTACATCAAAGGCACTGTCAGGATCGAATCCTCTCGCCATGCCGTAGTATATATCAAGCCGCCACCAGGCAGGCTTCTGCGTCGGGTGGCTGCTGTCCGGGATTCAAAACTGCGGCCTGTCGGCTCGTCCGCTAAGGGGTTTCGGCGCGGCTTTCGGAGAGGTAGGAGGTGGGTTAAGCCATCAGCTATGAACGAGTGACTCTAGTCGGCACTGGTTGCTCTCTGCCCTCGTGAGATATACAAGACACAAAAACACTAGATTGGCGAACAGATGGAAGATGTTTAGAGGAAAGGGGGGGTTGAGAAGCGTCGTCTGGAGATGGCTTGTTGCGCGACGTGGAGGTCCGTCTGATGAGGCGTCCCCACCTTGCTTGCATTGGATGCTGGGTTTCTTCTGGCGCAAGACGCCACCAATTGGAAAGCAAACTCGCATCCTTCACCTTGCTCTAATAAAATTTTATGTTTGATTCATCTTTCGACAAACGCTACGGCATATCCGATTTTATTCCAAATCAAGTTTCATCTCTTCTCTTCCAAGATATTTTCCCCTGCCCACATCCTCTTCTCTTGACCCCTTCCTTCCACCAACGCCACTTTGGCTTAGATCAGGGGTCGCGCCAAATCAGCAACACAAGAAGCGACCACGTAAAAGAATAATATTTGTACAATGTTTACGTCTTATGAATACTTCATAGGAATTTACTGTCCAAACTCTGTTTTCCAAAGTTCATGCGTTTCATACCATCCAGTCGTCTATGCTTAGAACCCAAAACGCCATGCACCGAGTAATGTTCAATCCGCCTTTCAATATTGGCGCCTAACCGTTCCTGCTTCCGTTGAATCATCTTCGTAGTCCTGCTCCGGTGTGTCAATTGAACTAGGCTCCTCGGGTCTTGAAACTGGAGGATCTGGCCTCTTGCGGAAGCTCAAGAGTCTCTTGAATCCAGTAGGCTGTGCTTGTGGCTGCGGCTGAGTCTGGGCCTCTACCAACGAGTCCTCTTCTGCTTTGTATTCAAAATGCAGCCGGGGCACCAATATTCTGTATGGCACCGTGATTCCTGTTGGGTCTCTTGGGTTCACCTCGACGTTCAGGCAGATGTCCAACCCGCCCTCAAGATCCACGGCAAAGTTTGACGCATTCTTCATTTGCTTAGTTGTAAGCCCGGTGGGAGCCCTGTGGAACGGTTTGATTCTTGGATCGTCGTACGGCTCGCTCGCCGGTTGACTGCCTCCAGTTTTCGCCCGCTGAGGAGGACGCGGGGTAAAGTACGCATCATCCCCATCGGAGTATTCGTCGTTTGTGACAGCGCCACCGCGGAGGCCAAGCGGTGGTTCCTCGTGGGCCTGGCCGTAAGGGCTAGGGTATCGCCCTTGTGCCGGTGCATCCCAACGGCGCGTAGGATCCTCATCGTCATCGTACTCCACCACCTTACTCTGGCTGCCTCTCCGCAAAAAGCCAAAGAGTCCCGTTTTGGGCCGATCAGTGCTACCAAGAGACATGCTTCTCGCGAGTTTAGTCGGTGGCGAGGAGCCCTTTTCGGAATTCCTACTCGTCAGACCTCGAAGTAAGCCACCAGAGATCGGAGGCCGCGGTCCGCGAACAGACTCGCGAGATCCGTCGAACGGCTTCGGTCCCGAGCGCTTGCTAAGCGAAAACCGCCTGAGAAGTCCACCACCTCCTGTCGACCGTGGAAGACTTTGACTGCCATCGTCATCGGATTCAGGCGGTGTTGGTGGCGGTGTCACCCCCGGAGACCACTGGCGAATCGAGCACCAGTTTCTGTGCGGCAAAAGACGCTTGTTGTTCCGAGGCCTTCCGTCTGGACCATGCTGAAATATCGGGATCATGCTTTCATCAGTGTTCTTATCGAAATGGTGAACCTTGTGCCTCTTGTTCAGGACATCAGCAAGGATATCCGGGGGTGGCGTGTTCACAATTGCTGACGAAATAATATTGGGCATGTATCGCGGGTCCTTGTGTTTCGCAAGTCCAAGCTGTGGATTGGAGAAGAATTGGCCCACAGCGGCCAGATGCGCATCGCCACTGAGAATCGTAACTCGTACCGACTTGTCCATGGCGAGGTCTTGCAGGTCTTCCACCACTATGGTTCGCTCTTTTTTGTGGCACTTGGCAGTCCAGTGGTCGTTCAAGTCGTCCAGCACCTCCACACCGCCGTCAATGTTGTTGAGCATCTTCCCGAAAACTCCAGTCCTTCCCAAAGCCTTGACAGGATCCATAAGTCTCGACGTCAGGATGTTTTCGAGCCAAACCATTCGTGGGTATGCGATTGGCACGCCAAGCAGAACCAGAAGATGTTCGATCTGTCCCTTGCGAACTTCGAGATACAGCCTGCTTGTAATCTTTTCCCACGTTTTCTCGTCCACAAGTTCACGTTCCGTTCTCTCTGTACGAGTATCAACGGCAAGCAAAGCCGTTTTGCCTCCCATGGAGACGTAAACACTGCGGCTCAACTCCTGGATATACGATCCAGGGTTGTCACCGAGTATCCAACTGGGCTCCGACGTCTCCGTTTCTGGGATAATACTCTGATGCTGAAAGAGCATGTAGTATTTAAATGCAACCGCGCCAAGGCCAGAAAATACCGGCGAGCTCATGTCGCGATCAGGGTAGGAGCCGCAGCCTTCAAAGACGTCATGATTGCCGTACATGTTAACCATGGGGATTTGAGATGCGGCCAGTCCAAAGAGACCCTGTGAGAACCACGTGCAATACCTTTCAAGATAGAAATCTTCCAGCTGGTTCTGCATCTCTGGGGTGAACTGCGTATGATGCTTGTCGAAGGGGTTTCCCTTGTCAAGCCAATCGCCAAATAGCTCGCACTCATCCCCCACACAGTCGTTGTAGATTTGGCCTCCGCCGCCAACCATGACGTGGAATGGCTTCGCTTGGTGAGTATTAAGGACGTCGCGCCACATAGGATCTGGTCCGCTGAAGTTGTCTGGCTTCGCGCTCAAGCTGAAGCCATTGCAACTGTGAAACATGATGTTCATTGTCTCGCCCCTTGGTGGCACCCAGAAGGCCATGCATGGTCCGCGATTGATGCGATAAGCAATGCGCTGCTGCTTTTCTCGAAGCTCAATCTCAACATTAAAGCGCCAGAAAGTGTAGCCTCTCTCTGTATGGAGTTGAAAGCCGCGCACATCCTTGTACTTCTGCACTTTCTCCCCGTCAACACCTGCCCGACTCTTACGGCTAGTAAATGAGCCAGGGTAATCAGGCGCACCATCCGGAGGCGGAACATCTGGAGGGCTTCGCGTCATCTCAAAGAGCCCATTATCCGTTTCGTCCATGGAAAGGTCTTTGCCTTCCTCTAGGTGCTCTACGGGACGAACGTAGAGCGTTTCTCCGCGGCGGCCGAGTTTCGGATGGCCAGCTATGGGATCAACATACTCGGGTGACAACTCTCCTTTAACATGGTGCGGCGCTGCTGGCAAAATGCTAATGTCCTGAACGAAAAGGCGAAGCATCGGTGCGATTTCATAAGAAGAGTCTGAATCCTTCGTAACAATCATGATACTGCCGCGCCACATTTCCCGTTCCGATACAGTCTGGCCTCGTTGGGTCCTGGAAGGAATTGCTTCCTTGCGAATACCACAGTATCTTAGCAATGGCCCACATCTGAGGTAAAGTTGGGGTTTAAATCGCGTTGGCTCAACTGTATCATCGTACTCTCCGTCAAAAGCTTCTGCTTTTCGAAGGCGAGCTGTAACGTTACCGCCACGGCCCTGCCCTTGCTCCCACCATGCCTTGTAGAAATCTGGTGAAAAGTTCTCGGCGTGGACATCCAGTAACGGCCCAGACAATGTCCCGATAGCTGCCTTTTCCCACTCGTTCAACCATTTTGGCGACTGGTACAAGCCTTGTCCAGGCTGCAGGGCATCTGTATTGGAAAAACGCATATTGCCAAGGGTATGCTGGCTCTCTTTTGGCGTCCCTTCATCGCTATCGCCTCCCTCAAGCCGCTTCCGAGCGACGGCAACGCCATCCTCCGGCTGCGGTTCCTTGCATGAAACTGCCCCCGTAAATCCCTCCGGAACTCGGGCTGCTTGGTATCTCTCGTCCGTCCCAGGCTGAAGGTAGGCTGGCTCTGTAGCCCGACGATGAATACTTGGAGGATATACGCCATTCGTTGTATGAGGTTGTTGCTGTTGTTGCATGTTCATCATATGATGACTGGAGTTATCATATTCGGATAATGGAATCGGAGGGAGGTCCTTGTTCTTGCCGGAACGAGGAAGAGCAGTGCCAGGTACAGGGACCAACGGGGAGTAGTTGCGAGGAACCGCTTCGGAGCCAATGCGGTGATTCTGTAGGAATCTTTCAGGCTGGTCCTGTCCAACTCGGTTACTCCCTGCGCGATTCACAGGATGGGGGGCTGCGAGAGGTGATGCCCTTTGTTGCACTGACTCCGGAAATTCAGTACCACGAGGAGCAACAGGAGACCTGGCAGTGCGATCCCTGTAGCTTAGGTTGCGCTGGGGAATATTTGAAGAAGTCTGAACCCGGGGCTGGTCATGGCTGTCCGACCACTGAGGTTCAATCGCGGCTGAAGTCACAGTGCCTGGCTGCAGTTGCTGAGTCCAGTCGCGATGGGCTTCAGTGCGCGGCCTGGCACCAGCATCATTCGTGGAAACGGCTGGCTTTGGTATAGATTGCTGCGTTGGACGTCTAATCCCGGCATCAGGAGATGGAAGCAGGTCATTTATTGGGAGCGAGCCAGCCAGAGCCTGGGTGTTTTGGGCTGCCCGCTGCCTAGCTCGTTGTTCCGCAGCTTCCACACGGGCTCGTTTTTCTTCTTTGGTCATGCTGTCCAGTGTCAGCTCCAGATTTTGTAGCGGCGATCGATTGGTATTGGTGGCCAACTTTTTCCGTCTATCAGACGTTGCGCTTGTAGAAACCCGTCGAGGTTGCCCAGCATCCCTGGTCGATGTCGCCGCAGCCATTGGGGCTTGGATTGTGGCCGGAGGCATATGACGATACGCAGAATACGATTGATCGTCCACAATACCTGTCTGAGGCTGGTAGCGCAACGTTGGTTCGTGCCTTGTGGCCGGAGCCTGGGGAGGCGGTACAGCCGCCATGTATGGTTCTCGATAGCTTACTGGAGGACCGCGAGGAATGTCGGGTGCTTCCGGTAGAGACGGCGAGGCTTGTAGGAAGTACTCGCCCTCCTCGTACGGCATCCGACGTGGCTTTCGATCAGAACTGTCCGGGGCGAAATCGGCGAGGCCGGGTTTCTGGTAGGATGGAGGTCGTGGAGCCAAACCGTGGGGAGTAACGCTGGAGGCTGTTGGCGAACCGGGAGCAAAGATTGATTCGGAAGGGGCTTCTGTATAGGCCGTTTGTATAGATGTACGGTTCGTTCGTCGGGGAGGCTGACTGTCTAGGGATTGTCTGGGTTCAGTCGGGGGAAGTTCGTTCTCGCTAGACTGGCGCTGGTGACCGCCTCTATTGTGCTTGGGCAGGTCGCCCCAGTTTTGGGCCGACATGTCGGTCGCGTCAGTCGAACCTCAAGGGCCGGTGAGGACGATGTGGAAATAATGCAATGCAGAAAATTATGTACAAGTCGGGTGGGCTGCGTATCCGCACATAAAGTTGCAGCCGTGCGCTGTTACTTGATGCACCCCCGGTCTCTGCGTCTGAGACGGCAGCAATGTCGCGCGGATACCTGAGGTGGGAGAGGCGGAGCTTCGGCAAGGCGGAAGGTGGCTAAGATTAGCACAATGAAGGCTCAGGGATACTAATCGAGAGGCTGAAGCAAGGCAAACAAGAAGCTATTCGGATTGCTGAAAGGACTGCCGAAGGTTGGTTAGCTGCCAACGATCCACTTGGGGGCATGCAGATGATCGAGGCCAGACTGAACAACTGGCTGGCGCATACTTACACCACAAGCAAACACAGGAGCAATGTGGATGGCCGAGGCGGCGGTAGTTGGTCAATGACTCGCAGAAGCCGCAGGCGTCGAACGCAGACGGAAGGAGCGGTCGGGCATCAGCATTATTTGGTGGAAGCTCGAGGGGGCTGGTCGAGGTGCAGAAGAGAAAAGAGGTGGCTGGAGCGCAAGGATTAATTACATGGATCTCGTCTGAGGTGCAGCCTGCAGGACGAGCAAGTACGGGATGTGCGGAGTACAGGTTATGGTGAGTACAACGACGGGTGTACGGCTACTCCAATGTTCTTGATATGTAAGCAACTTTCTCCGATGATGAATATGTAAGAGTAAATTCGAAGACAAGGACGTCATTCATCTCCTTCGCAGAGTGAACAAGACTTTTTTCACGTGGCTCATAAGCGGTGGCTGGACCTTTGTAACAATGGCCGTTAGTGGATTTACAGCTAACTTTACGGCCCGCAGCGGGCGAGGAGATCTTTATTAGACTGGGAAGCGTCTGGATAATAAGCTCCACCTGCAAACAACTTTGTGCTTCGGAGCCGGACAACACATAATAAATGCTTTTAGTAATCGACCAGACAGGAGTATTCAAGTATTTCAGGAAACAAAGAACATTCCCAGTGGGGCTATGATGGGTCGAAATACGGGGAAGCAAGAAGCGACACCAAGACAATCTGTCTGAGTAATCCGTGCGGATGCGGACACAAACATTGGAAAATTATTCAGACCCCAACTTGTGCGAACCGAGGTGCTACCTGGGCCGGCTATTACAATGTTTGGGCAGATTAGTAGATGCATCCCTGGATAGTTAGACAGAATGTAGAACAAACAACACCATCAATCGAGCTCTATCATATTAGGGGAAGAGGCGACGGAGCGGACCGGTCAAGACAACAAACACGAAGAAAATACAAATGGGACGGACATCTCACTTGTCTCGGAAGCCGTATATGTGTAATTAAGGAAGACATGAACATCAAATCACGTGGGTCTACTAGCTCAGTCGGTTAGAGCGTCGTACTAATATCGGTTTTCAAACACCAATGTATGGTAATGCGAAGGTCACAGGTTCAATCCCTGTGTGGACCAACGATTTCTTTTTTGCTCCAGTTTAACTACAGACTACTGGCCTCATTCAACTGTCGTCTTTTTTTATTATGATCAAGAACTAGTTAGTTACTGGGTGTGAGCAAGTTTTGTCTTGTGATTTGGTCTTCCTAATTTGCATTTTTTTTTTTCTTTCAGCATTACAGCCATACACCATGGCTCATGCCATCGGGACTTATCGTGGAAGTATTGGTGCTGCACCTCAAACCTAGGTGATTGCATATTAGCCAATGGAAAACGCGGACCTCAAGATTAAACTGCACACGCTTCCGAGTTGTACTTTCTTTACCGTAGGATTGATTTAGGCAGAGGAAAAACCGACAGAAAGGCAAAATCCCACCACCTCCCTTAACGCGACTGAAATATCCGTCTCGAAGCATTGAGCATTCGATACCGCTTTCATTCAGGGTAAGGAGTAGTGAGGTTGCGCGAGCAAGGTCTAGTTATAGGTTGCATGCTCCCTGCAAGTGACACGCAGCTGTCATAAGCGTTTCACAAGAAAAGTGATTGACCTTGAGATTTGCCCACGAGTCATTTTGCATCACTTCTCCTATGTTTAACATTTGCAATGGAAAATCGCTGTTGCTCATGTTTCACCATTCTTGGTTCCTGCATGTAGTGTGGCGCTACCAGCCACATCATTGTGGCGCATGTGACACTTTTTAGTTTTTTCCTTCCTCGCCGCCAGGAGGGCCTCGCCTCATCCGCACCTTCTCCAAGAAACTCGCATCTCTTGAACCCCCCACCAAAACACACTCACAGCGACTGCTTTGCCTGGTGCAGAGCCGCGAAAACCCACTGCCGAAGGAAAGAAAGGCACCCACTTGTTTCCTTCCTCGAATCTCTCGTCGAATTTCATACACCTCCGTCTTGCGACCCGACCCGCCCTCCGAATCTGTTTTCTCCCTCCACACAATCGCACCGCAATCATGGCCGCCGTCGCTGCGGAACCTACCTTTGCCGACCACCAGGTCGATTTGTCTACGATTCCTATCTCCCCAAATGGAAAGGAAGAGTCCAGTGCTGTGGACTCTGGCAAACCCGTCACCGTGTTCCACGACAAGGACAACTTCAACGTCAAGCACCCGCTCCAGAACAAATGGACCTTGTGGTTCACGAAGCCCCCTAGCGGCAAGGTACATAACCACACGGAAGATTCGCGCGCCTCAATGGTATCATCTCTAACTTGATTGGGCAGGGTGACAACTGGAACGACCTCCTCAAGGAGGTGATCACATTTGACTCTGTTGAGGAGTTCTGGGGTGTCTACGTATGTGTATTCGCCTCACCGGTGCTCATTAATCATCTAACAAAATGATAGAACAACGTTGCTGCCGTTTCGGAGCTAGCCCTCAAGTCTGATTATCACCTCTTCAAGGCCGGCGTGCGACCCGAGTGGGAAGACCCCCAGAATAAGCACGGTGGCAAGTGGTCCTACCAGTACAAGGACAAGCGAAACGTTGACGTCGACCGTCTCTGGCTGCAAGTTGTCATGGCCGCTATTGGCGAAACTCTTGAGGAGGAAGAAGATGGTGAGGTCATGGGTGTCGTTGTCAATGTCCGCAAGGCCTTCTATCGCATTGGTGTCTGGACTCGCACTACTGGCAAGAGCATTCCTGGCCGTGGAGATGGTGATGTCTCTGGTGGAAAGGGTCGATCCAACGAAAAGGGCCGCGAGATTCTTCTCAGCATTGGTCGCCGCTTCAAAGAGATTCTTGAACTGCCCAACAGCGAGCAGGTCGAATTCTCTGGACACACGGACAGCGCCCACGCTGGTAGCACGAGAGCCAAGGCGAAGCACGTTGTTTAAATTAAATGGGCAATGCTTTTCTTTGGGAGAGTCGACAGCTGTAGCACGAAACTTGTGCTGCAGTTGAGAACCATATCTGGAAGGCAGCTAGAGCCAGGCTGCACACCGGTACGCAGAATTGCAAGCTACTGCATGAGTGAAATCATGATGGCTGGGGCTACCTATGCCACAACACCATTGGGAAACAAAATTTGCTTTTCCCATATATAAGTATTAGGGCGGGCGTTGCTAGGGAACTTTGATATGATCGCATTAGGGCCATCTGAAGTTGTCAGCCGCCATGCGTGGCTACGAAAATAGATTTCTAATATTATGACCGTTATTTCTGGTTCCAGTGATGCTATCTCAAAAATAAAAATTCATTCAAAGCGGTGGTAATACATGCCATCTCGCAGGGAGCTGGGATCACTAGCAAGTGTTGTGTTTTCTATCATGGTATATACGTTCGACTAAGATGCTGGTACATTTACTTTTCGTCGCCACTCATATCCTCAGCAAAGATGGCCTTGACGAGCTCTTTTTTGTTGATCTTGCCCATGGCGTTGCGCGGGATGTGATCGACGACCCTCATGACCTGCGGGATCTTGTAGGCGGCGAGCCTGCTCTTGAGCGCGCGGCGCATCTCGAGCGGGGTCCAGCCGGCCTGCGCGCGCTCCGGGTCGAGGATGACAACGGCTCCGACCTTGTGGCCCCAGTTGCCGCTCGGCACCGCCACGACGGCCGCCTCGGCGACCTCTGGCAGCGCCAGCAGCTCGCGCTCCACCTCGAGGGCGCTGACCTTTTCGCCGCCCGTCTTGATGATGTCGGCCGACTTGCGGCCGAGGATGAAGTACATGGGGCCGCGGGCCCACGCCTGGCGGGCGTCCTTGCTGAGACCCGCGGCGTCGGGGGCGGGGCGGCGCACGGCGACGTCGCCGGTCTTGAACCACGGGCCGCGGCCGTCGCCGGCGTCGTCGACGAACTCGCGGGCGGTGGCGTCGGGGTTGCGCCAGTACTCGCGGAAGATGGTGGGACCGCGGAGTTGGATCTCGCCGGCGCGTTCGCGGCCGCGGGCGTCGAGCTGGTTGTCGTTGTTGTCGTTGTTGGGCTGGGGGATGACGGCGCCGGTGTCGGTGTCGACGAGGCGGACCTCGACGGAGGGCAGGGGCCAGCCGACACTAGCGTCGACGCGGTCGGCGAAGGAGAGGCCGCAGCTAAGGGCCATGCCGACCTCGGTCATGCCGTAGCGCTCAAGGAGCACGTTGCCGCCGCTGAGGTCGGCCCAGGCGGCTTTGACGGGGGTCGGTAGCGCGGCGGAGCCGGAGATGTTGACACGCAGGTGGCGCGGGGCGATGGCCTCGCGGGCAGCGGCCTGCACGGCGGGCGGCAGGGACTTGTGGCTAGAGAGGAGGCGGCTGTAGACGGTGGGAACGACGGTGAAGAAGGTGACGGGAGGCGGTGGTGTTGTGGTGGTAGTAGTGGTTGTGCCGTTGAGGGTGTGAGTGGTGCCGTCGGTGGGGAGGAAGGGCGCTGCGAAGCGCTTCCAGACGGCGTCGGCATTGAAGGGAAACATGAACTCGATGGACGAGCCGGCGAAGAGGGGTGTGAGAACGGCATTGACGGTGCCGTGAATGTGGTGGAGGGGAAGGACGTGGAGGAGGTGGTCGGCAGGCGAGTACTCCCATGCCTGATGGAGAGAGCGACACTGAGCCGTGAGGACGTGTTCCGGGAGTAATACCCCTTTCTATATCAAATTGTGAGTTGGAGAATTGCGAAAGAGGTTCACAGCGAGTCTTACTGGTCGATTGGTTGTGCCCGAGGTGTATAGCATTAGGCCGGCACCAGAGAAGTCTTGGTCGGCCAACGACACGGCCTCGTTGGTGTTGCCGCTGCCGCTACCGGTGTGCTTGGGGAGCTCAAAGTACACCGGCCTTTGCTGAAGGTCCGTGGCGAGCACCTCCCTGGCCTTGGCGGCGAACTTGGGCGAGGAGATGAGGACGGAGGCGGCGCTCTGGTCGAGGATGTACTGCAGCTCCGGAGCGGGAAACGGTGGGGAGAGGGGCACTGCTATGGCGCGGGCAGCCATGATGGCCAGGAACATGACTTGTGCGATTTACTTCAGCATAATTTTCTCTTTGAAAGCAAGGATTGCATGGTATTGGGGTTATTTGGGGAACATGTTGGCGGACGTACCGACATAGTCGTAGCTGTTTTCTATCAAAAAGGCGACGCGCTCGCCAGTCAGAGGCTTCCCGCCGACGGCCTCGCGCAGGCGCTCCCGCGCGCGGGCGACATCACCGAGGAGCTCGCCGTATGTGAAGCGGCGACCGGACAGGGAGTGGACGACGACGGTGGACTTGGGGTCGTGCGCGGCGACGGCCTCGAGGATGGGGAGGCGCGGGAGGAGCGTAGTCCCGGCCTTGGTGGAGAGCATCCTGGCGCGGCAGCGATGCGACTGCAGCAGTAGCTTGGCTGGGTGGACGCGTGTCTCGTTCCTGGCGGCGGCGGCGGCGGTGACGACGATGGAAGAAGCGGCAGCGGCAGCAGCAAGGGCGCCGGGGAACGTGGTCAGTCGCCGGTTGGCCAGCGACAGGGCTGATGGCGCAATCATGGGTGAGGCATAAGACGGCGGCGGCGCCGGGACGCACGACCGCGGGGGAAGGGGAGGGGAGGGGGGATGGGCCTGGAACCTCGGTGTGATGGGAATGCCTTATCGAGAAGGGAAAGGAAGCTAGTCGGCGAGGAGAGGGGGGGATAAGCTGCAGATTCGATGGCGGTGGAGTCTGAGGGTGACAATGGAGGTGTCAGCAGCAAAGAGCGAAGAGCAAAGAGGAACGTTGGAGTGGGCGAAATGTCCGGGGGGCCGCGATGTGGAGTTTTTGGTGTTGCGATGCATGCAGCAGAGCAGATTTGGCTGGGCAAGTTGCCGCTACATTTGAATTTGCAGCAGAGCAGGTAGGTGCCGCCAATTGATAATGTTAGAGTTTCGAACTATCTACTGCTTGCTTGTTTTCTGGTGATTTTTAATGTATCTGACGCTGGTTGTAAATGGCTAGCAATTGACGAGACACTACAGCTTTATAGATCGGACAGACCGCGTGGAGTTGGGGTAACAATGGAGGGACTGCTTGGGGATGAACTTGTGGTGTAAAATTGGGGGATTTTTGCTCATGTTGATTGAGCGAGTAAATGTTCTCTTTCCCGTTCTCTGATACCTTGTTATGGATGGTTCCTTCATCTTACCACATTCACGGGTCACAATTGCCTCAAGGTCTCAGATTGGGTTGCACCCTCACATGAATGAGGTTCACTGCAGACATGATGAATTCACCAGTCTCCCCATCTACGGAAGGATGGCATCGTGAATGTTGCATCGCATCTCATCGAGCATTCTAGCTCCACCACCTCGTGTGGCACGGCAAAGCCTGGATCCCCGGAGCAGCGAGGACGGAGCCTAGAAGCAGAGGATCTGCATACTGTGGTACCTTGCTATCCAATCAAGCGGCAGGTGATTTTCACGGATGCAGCGGTCGAAGATGGAGGAAAAGGAACTAACTGAAAAAAAAAAGCCTATAAAAAAAATAAGAAGTTCAAGTGAGGAAAAATCGACAGGCTGCCCTTGTCGTTAGTGAGAAGTCTTCTGGTGGTGGGCGGTGCGTGTCGGCAGTTTTTCTCTCGGCCAACCTTGGGCACACCGCCACTGTTACTGGCTGTCAGTATTCACAAGAACGGCGGACAACGTGTATTTGCTTTGTTATTCTCGAATTGTCTCTCGGCGGCTATCCGTCGCTAGCCATGCTCGCAAGGATGACTCGAGTTGTCACCCAGGCCGGACATTTTGCTTGTTCCGTTCCCTCGGGATACAGGATGTACGGCTTGCTGCATAATCGTGCACAGTAGGTCGTGCTATACATGCGGTGCGCTTCGGAAACAATGCAACATGTAGGGACGGAACGGGCTGAAATTCCAGCTCAAAATATAGGAAAGAAAAGAAAGATAAAAATTTGTTTTTAATAGAGAAAACTGTGACATTCTTGTTGCGATTTCTTGCTCTGCAAACGCGTGATAGCTGCAGGTATCCTGGCTGATACCACCGCCACTTTGTCTCTGATATTGGTATTGACTGGCATGATGCCAAATACCACATCCCAGCCTTGTAGTTATGCGCAAGTATGTATACGCACATGGATAGGCAGATACCTGCAGTAACCTACCGATGCATATACATGATGCGGTAGACAACAGCGGTAGAGCGGTAGGGATGCTCTCAACCAATGGCAGCCGCCTCGCCTCATCTACAGACTTTGCGCTCCGTTCTCGCTGGTATTACAAGCAGACGGCAAGAGCAAGTCCAGTGCCGTATCAAGTTGGATGCTCGCTAGAGCCAGAATTGCTTTTTTATGCAGCGGCGCAAGCCAATCCTGGAATGTTCTACCGGCGAGCTGAATGCAACTCTGGAGGGCTTCAGCAAGTTGAGTTCGTCACCGCCTCACAGCTCTTTGTAGGAGAAAAGAGTGGCTTCCCTGCAAGCCCGCCACGTCTTGGAGGTCCCCCTCGTAAGTTGGTCCCGGACGAGCAGGCATTCTGAATGTGCTTGCCTGTCGTTTGCATCGGCTGATACAAGGGCAAGGGGATAGAAAAAAAATAGTAAGATTGATATTTTTTTTTCTTGGGAAAAAAAAAAAGGGTCATCTGCACTTGGGTACCGAGAACCAAGCCCTTGTCGTTCTTGACGCTGTCCTTGTCTGTTGGGGGTTCTCACCGACTAAGGCTTGTGGCGCACCTTGTTACTGCTGTGGGTGGGATGTACTGAGGTACCACCCTCATCAATCGCGACAGGCACAGGCACACAGGCACATGCCACTATCCATCGGGGACGGGACGCGGATTGATTGACATGAAAAACAAGAAAATAAATATGCGGATACATCAGTGTACCAGTAGAAATAAAAATATTGCACTCCTTGACGTTATATATACCCCGATCTTTCGAGTATTTATTGTCCTTCTTCATCTTTATCTACCTGCCAACGTCGACTCTTTCCTCACTGACTGACTGACTCTCTGTTCCCCACGTACCTCGCCGCCCTCGCTTGACAGACTTGGCTTGAACCTTGTCCGCCACTGGCCGCCGCTCTTTGCCTCACTTGCTTCTTATCGAGAGAAAAACTTGACCGGCTTCAAGTCTTTACCTCATCTCGCCAATCCCAATTCCATCACAGATATCAATCCTGACATCAATCAATTGGCCGAAACTATCTATCCGGGACGCCTGCTGCGGCTAGATCTGTTCATCCCATCCCATCCATCCATCCACACGCACACTCGCGCCACCGCCGGCCCAACGGGACAGGAAAAAAAACGTTTCGCCAGCACAAAAGACCAACCGCCCCGGATGTTGCGCAGATACGCCCTCGGCTTCTCCTCCGTCGGAAGGCAATTCTCAACCATGGGATCGACAACACCCGTCGAGGACGCCATCCGCGCCAAGGTCAGTACCGGAATGCCTCTCTGGTGGCCTTGACCGCGTTTCTTCCCGCCTTCCTGCTGACTCAGTAGATAGATCACTGCCGCTCTCAACCCTCTCACGTTGGAGATTTACAATGACTCTCACCTCCATTCTCATCACAAGGCCATGCAGGGCAGTACTTCCAAGGAGACTCACTTTCGGTATGTTTTTTTTTGCTCTTCAAGATTAAAATAATACAATCGGAGAAGAGCTCCGGCTTCGGCATCAAAAAACATCGGACTGACCGCTTCCCAACCGTCATCCAGCCTCGTCATCACATCAGACGCATTCAAGTCCAAGATGCAGCCCGCCCGCCACAGGATGATCTACGCCCTGCTGCGCGATGAGATGGCCCAGGAAGGCGGCATCCACGCCCTGCAGCTGCGCACCCTGACCCCGGAGGAGGAGGCCAGACATCAGCAGCAGCAGCAGAAGAAGAAGGACGACGAGGCGGCTGCCACCACCACCACCACCAAGGAGGTCGAACCCGTCACCAACGAGAATGCGTAAAGCCGACAACACTTCTTATGCTGCCCCGGTTTGTGCGTTCCCGCGCCTCGAATCCTCCTCATGCCTGAGATTTTCCTTTTCCTTTTTCGCAACTTTCAAGAAAGAGAGGCAGCTGGCCGAGATTGATTTAGACGGATCATTACAACTCCCCAAGGAGAAACAAGAAAAAACACAAAAAATAGGGATACCAGGCTCCCCAAGTTTTTTTCTTTGTTCTTTTATCTTCTCAACATTATACTGTCTGGTCTACCCGTTCGATACGGCGACTTCTAGATACTCTGCACACGCCCATCACGATATGAATAGCCAATTACGAATTGAATGTACAATTTAGCCAAAAAATGAGTCAAAAAAAGCTAGCTTGTGCCATGCCATGACTTTCTTTTATCTAATATTCGTAACTTTGGACGTTCAAACTGCTGTCACAAGACGCCCATCACATACACCAACTCCCGGCTAGAAAACAGAACCGGCCTTGCTGCTCGAACTACGGGCGCTGGCCGAGGCTCTCTTCTGTATGGCTGCACGCATCCGCTCCCTCCTCTTCCTCGCCGCTTCCTCGCTGGTTGACGCCTGCCTCGTCACGAGCTGCTGCATGTATTGTGTGCCCACAGGCGTGTTGGATCGCATTGAAGACGGCGGCGGAGCGTCCGAAAATGCCCTACTGCCTAATTGTGGCGAGGCTGCCCGTGAGCTCGGAACCAAAATTGCCGGAGGCGTGACTGGTTTTGGCGGCGGCGCAATCACTTTTCTTTTTATAAGTGCATAGCTGGGAGCAGCCAGCCGTGAGATGGACCGTTCTTCTTGAACCATCCCTGGTGCTGCCGCTTGTTTATTCATCCCAGCACTTTGCAGAACTCCCCCATCCTGAACATCGACTTCCATTGACCCCTGTAACTCCTCTGGTAGCGGCGTGGACGACGCTGCCTCTGGTTCTATCGATTGTGGCGCAAGCACGTCTTCTGCCGGCTCATCCTGCGGCTCCTCGTGTGGCTCATCCTGCTCTATCAGATTGCGAATTGACGTAACCTCCCGCTCATAGAACGCCAACACACGGTCAATATTATCGTTCTTGATGATGTGCCGATTATACAGAGGCTGACCGCTTTGCATGTTAAACCATTCGATGGCCGAGAGTGGCTCTTGCTCTGGTCCTGCGCCATGAACGTAGTCAAGGTATTTGCATGAGAAGAGGCGTATGAAGTCGTCGTATAAATAATCTCGTAGGGCGCGCTCGCCTCGTAGGTATTCCAGACAGAGGCAGGCTTTGATGAAGTTCATGAGCGTTCCATTATGCGACTTGCAATAATCAGGGTAAGCAGCGCTGAATTCTGTGAGAGGCGTCGGCATAGAGTCCTGAACGTCTTCAGCGTCGTCATCATCTTCACCATCAGAAACCTGCGGTAGTGTGTTTGGAGGCCCTGATAACAATGGTTGCGCCCCTTCAGCAATTGGAGCTGAGCTTTCGACGTCGCTCGTCTCTGCTGACGTATTTTCATTGGTCTCGTCGACTAGGTTTGTGGCATTTTGAGTTTGTGTCTGTGTCAGAGTCGCAGGCACGATGGAGCTGGACACAACTGTCTCTTGTGTCTCTGTAACCGTCAGAGGCTTTAGAGACCGCATGTGACTGCTGGTCATACTTGCACCGTCTCCCTTGGTATGAATTGGGCTGAATTTTATAAGCTTATGCCTCTTGAAGGGTCGCTGCCGCTTTTCATCCCCGGCTCGTTTCGGTGTCCCAGCAGCAACAGTTGCTGGAATGATCTCATGATATGGTTGTGCGCATGGTGGCGTGTTTGCCACCTGCACTGGAAGTTCCTGTACCCGTTGACTGGGGCATACGCGAGGGTGCTCATAGTGATCCTCAGCCGCATCCTCTTTGCCATCCTCTGCGTCTGGCAGCTGTACTTCCATCTCCTCCTCTTCCTGCTGGCTTGACGCAAGCGCCAAATTGGGGTACCGCTTCCAATCGACTGGCGCTCTTCGACAGGCTGCTCGAGCGAGCTGTGGATGAGGCGTCTCTTGGACGAGTGATGATTCAGGCATCGCATCTCGCCGCGGGCGAGATTCAGGAGGCGATTCCGACCAATCAGAAGCGACGCGCTCCGGAGAAGATGCAGTCGCACCGCAGGCCTGTGAAGACTTTGCGACCTCTAGTTGTGCATCTTTGACAGGCGGCACTGCATTACTGGTCGTCTTTTTGACACGTGCTTCATGAGCTGCCAATACTGTCCGCAGCACGTGGTCGGGCACGTTGGCCGGGCCATGGGATGTCTTCTTCAAACGGTGTATCCATGATTCATCCTTTGCCAACAACTCCTCCTGGTCCTTGGGGATCTTCTTGCCATTTTTGCCGTGTATCGCGTCAGTGATGTCCTCGAACTGTGATGCGCTGTAGGACATTGGTGCACGGGTTGCTGGGTGCGCCGCAGATGCACCACCGTACAGAGTCCGTTCTAAATCGGGTTGTATTGCTTCACTGCATAGCCTTAGTAGAGCCAGACAGGCTGCGATGGCTTTTCAGAACAGCAGGAGCAGAGACGTGGATTTTTTCGTCGTTTTCAATAGTTTGGGCAATCTACCCGTGCAACTAGCACAACGCGAAGCGTCATCGTTTTAACGCGTTGGAGAAGTGGCAAGTGGCGTCACCTGGTGGAGCCTCTTGAGCCTCTTGGAGCTGGAGCTACTGTACATACCTGCTTGCTGCTTGCTGCTAATAAACCCTGCTAAATAATAATAAACCTGCTAAATCCACTGGCATCTGCACCGACAGTGTGTATGTACCTTAGCTCGTGGCTGCCATGGAACCAAACGGACGCAAGCTCCCGCATTGCAAGGCAGCCACCCCAACATACCTATTCTTTGAAACATCTCTGCCGCTCAGCATCATCGCCAAGGATACCCCATACTCGACCTGCGCATCACACCGCACTCTTTCATAGGCATCATCGTTTGCCTGGTCACGCCTTGATTGTGCCTGCGCGACCCCGTCCACGACTCCCTCCAGTCATTCGCTGCTTATTGCCTACCACGTCTCGAAACGCAGCCGTATCCTACACAGAAGCGCACTCCTCAAACCCCGCACAACAGACCATGACGGCTGCATACGACACTGGCGTAGACACACTTGTCAGCTGCTAGAGCGCGTGCTATCGACTCTTTGGCTCTTGAGCTGTGTGCGCTATGGCGAGCAGTACCACGGCCAAGCCGCCCGGCTCGCCGGCGTCCACTCGTGGCTCACCGTTCAGTCGAAGAACTCGACGCGACTCTGTCAACTCCATTTCCGCCAGCTCCCTGATAGACAAGGAGCAGATGTCAAGCACCCTCGACAAAATACACAACTCGGCAAGCCAGTCCGGGGCTCTCACGACCTTCAACGACTTTGCACCCCCGCCCCGAGCCTCGCCTGCCGCCGAGGGCAAAGCGTCAACCGGTGATCTTGTCCACCACGGTCTCAGTGGCCTTTACACCAGGTTTCGAGAGGCTGTAGGTGCAGTGAGCCCGACGAAAGCGACGAGTCGAGATGACGACACCACGATAGAAACAGCTTCGAAACGGACATCGCTCTCAGGCAGCCACATCTCCAAAAACTCGGTCTCGTCCCTCAACCGCAGCGACGGTGCCATCACTACCGTGCCAGAATCATTGCAAACTGTCCCATCAAAAGACCTATCTTCTAGGAGCGCCAGCATCTCCGAGGAGAGCCGCGGTCTTCAACAACCGCCATCGTCTAGAGGCAGCGTGCCTCTTATCACTGGCTCAAAGCCATCTTCGTCATCTGGGCGCCCACTTCTTGGAAGCAAGCCAAAAAGCTCTTCTACCATCGACCCCGTTACGGCCTCTGCTCCAAACCCCCCAAACCCTCAAAGAGATGCCAGCAGGAGCACGATCCGAACAGATGGCAGCGGTGGACAGGAATCACGTCGAAGTCTTGGCCGAAGCGATACGCACCACAGCCTTCCGATATTAGACATAGCTACGTTTGACGCTACCGACGGTAGATTACTTCCTATCTCGAACACGGACGACGCATCTAGCTACGATGGAAGTATGGACGCACCAACCATGTCGCCTCATTTACAAATGACGTCCGCTCCTGCAAATCATACACGAAGCCCCTCTGCAAGCTCCTCCATGTTAAGCCCGGATCACTTGAGACGGAAGCCTGCCGTGATTGACCGAATAAGTCGCTCTAGATCAACGGTGTATTCTGTCTCTCGCGATTCTTCACTCGACCGGGGTGGAGCCCCGCACAGCCCAGTCGAAATGGCCGCTTCTGAGGTGAACTCTCACGAGGCGCTCTCCCGTCATGGCGGGCATGCACGTTTCATTTCTGGAGATGCACGCGATCCCAGCTCAACAACTTCCCATGAAGGTGCTTCTGACCATATGAGTGCCCAACTGGATAGGATGGGGCGGCGGCAGGTGCTGGGCAAAGAGTTCTGGATGAAGGACGACACAGTCAAAGAGTGTTACCTCTGCCAGGCGCCATTCTCTGCATTCCGGAGAAAACATCACTGCAGAGCTTGTGGCTGCATTTTTGATTCAAAGTGTACAAAACTAGTGGCGGGCGACAAACTTGGCGTGCAGGGCACTCTGCGTGTTTGCAAGCGTTGTTTGGAGGCAATCAATCGCCGCCAGGAAGGCAGTGCATCAGATGATTCCGGCGACGAGCAGTCATTTATGCCCAGAATCTTCGGTCCAAGTCAAAAGCCCGGCCAAGGCTCACCATCACAGCCAAAGCGCGACGGGGATCCTGTAACAGCTGCACCGGAATCCTCGAACGGACAACGTCCCATTGTCACTCCTATGATGGCAATTCCTGCCACCCGTCGGGTAAATGAATCGAACCGCAACTCTGCTGTGCTGGAGATTGGATTACCACAACTTAGCCGGCCTGGATCGTCCCGGTCTCTGAAGTCTCTCACAAATGCACGACCGCAATCATCAGCCGGGCACAAACGGCATCACTCGAAACATGGCTTTCTCGGGCGCCTTAAAGGTGCCGCGGAGGAACGCGCTCCATTTAGAAGGGGTGTCGATGACGATACGTCCAAAAGGTCCAAATTTCCCGCTTTTCACGACGATAATATTATCGACCCCGAGCTTGCCGATTTCATGTCAGACGACTCTAGCGGAGACGAGCAAGTCAGCATTTTTGCAACCATGAACTCAGCCGACATGCACACTGCAGGATTCGAACAAGAAAAGTCAAATTTGTCGCCCTTCATGAATGCGGGGAGAAAACATCGACATCGACCCGGAGAGAAGAGCATTAGTGGCATGAGCCACTACAGCCGCGGGGCTGCGGATGATACGAGCGCGCCAACAAGTGTGCTGAATCACCGACGAAGCAATAGAAGACGTAATATGAGTAACGTCAGTGGAGCTGCACATCACTTGGCATCTCCAAGGCCAAAGTCGTCTATATACAAAATTCCAACGGGCTCGACAGAAGCTCTTGTTCCAACGGACAACGGCGATCACCTGCACATGAGATCTTCCCGCAGAGATTCTGTACCATTCAACATACCGTCAAACACAGACCTGAACAGTTCGAGTTTGAAGCATATCGACAAGCTGCTGCATCAACTTCTAGAAGATGCTGATGTTCTCGAACCTGAAGCTTGGATCAAATCTCTTGTGCCAATCTTGCTTCGGTGTACCGATGATGTCTCTCCAAACGTTGCAAAAGGGGAGGATATGGATATTCGCCACTATGTCAAGCTAAAAAAGATTCCCGGAGGCCGGCCACGAGATACTTCTTATGTTTCGGGTGTTGTTTTCACAAAGAATTTGGCTTTGAAAAGCATGCCACGCAGGATCGCAAACCCGCGCATCTTGTTGGTAACTTTCCCCATCGAATATCAACGTCACCAGCAGCATTTTATGAGCTTGCAGCCGGTCATTGAAGGCGAGAGGGAATATCTTCGCATCGTGGTTCAAAGGCTAGCAAAGCTTTCGCCGCATCTTGTTCTGGTTGAGAAGGGCGTGTCTGGCATTGCATTACAGTATTTTGCAGAGCTCAACATCTCTGTCGCGTACAACGTCAAGCATACTGTAATTGAAGCAGTTGCCCGCTGCGCCGAAGCAGACATCTTGAGCTCCCTAGATAGACTGGCACTGCCCGTCTCCACGGGACGCTGCTCGAGCTTCGAGGTCAAGACCTTTGTCAACAACAACTTTCTTCGCGGCAAGAAGTCATACATATTTCTTGGAGGCTGCCGCCCGGACTTGGGCTGTACGATATCCTTGCGAGGAGCTGACAGCGCCACTCTGTCAAAAGTCAAGTACATTGTTGAATTCATGTCGTATGTTGTGTACAACCTTCGCTTAGAGTCTAGCCTGCTGCGCGACGAGTCCATTGAGCCCGACGAAGGCGAAACCTCACTTTCCAACTCCTATGTCATGAACGAGAGCTTCAAGACCTCGAGCTCGACCGAAGACGGAAAACAAGCGGCTCGCGTCGCATCACAGCACAGTTCAAACGAGAATGAACAACAGCCTCAAGCTACAGAGAAGGCTGATCTGGATGGAGCGGCCGATGCTGGGCAGTCAAATGAGGAACGACCAAAGCTTCCGTCATTACATGATTCTCATGACAGTGGTGTGGGAGATCCGCCGGTGCCAGACGATGTACCCATGCCCACGTTTTACAGCGACATGGTTGCCAAGTATGAGACCAAGATTCTATCGGCTTCACCCTACGTCAAGTTCACTCAGCCTCATGTTTTGATGAGAGCGCGAGAACAGGAACGCCGACTTCTCTACCTTCGACGTTTGCGAGATCAAACAGTCATTGACGAGCAGGATGAAGCGAGTGCTGGTCGTGCAAAGTTCCAGCTGATTAAACCCGAGATGGTTGAGAAGATTGGCCAGAAGGCCCCGAGGCAAATTATGGAGATTTTACATGCCATGCATGATGCGGAATACGACAAAGCGTTCTTCAACTACCAAACGGGAACTCGACAATGGGAAGCATATATCCAAGGTAACTTGGATCTATTTGACCCTTATTCACACCAAAACATTGTCGTTTTGTATTCCGAAATTTGCACCGAAACCAAAATTCCATGCACAGAGCCCAGCCTCATCGCAATTAACTTTTACGATGAGCAGCATGTGTATACTGGCATGGATCCCGACTGTACACTTGGCCAGTACATTCAGGATCTGGCAGAGACCAAGGACGGAATCTGCGACTCGAGTGGCTGCGAGAGGAAACTGATTGAACATCATCGTACGTATGTTCACGACCAATATCGAATCACGGTTTTCGTGGAGGATGCACCACCGGGAGTGACTAGGCATTCAAGTCTTGGGGATGGTATCACCATGTGGACATACTGCAAAATCTGCAAGAAGGACTCGCAAGAAGTTCCAATGTCCGATGCTACGTACAAATATTCCTTCGGGAAATATCTCGAGCTACTCTACTGGGGCCGCGGCCTTCGTATTAAACACGGCATCGATTGTCCTCATGACCACTCTCGAGATCACGTCCGGTATTTCGGCTTCAATGATGCTCGCGTTCGCATTCATTGGGACCCTATCGACCTCCTAGAGATTGTGGTACCTAGGGCCAGAATCACTTGGAAGGTTCAAAACGATCTCAAACTGAAGAACGAGATTTTCACCAGAATGGAGGAGCGCTGGCGCAAGTTCATGTCATCTGTCAAAGCAAGGCTCCAGAGCATTCGTATCGACAGCGTCTTGCCAGAAAAGGCCGAGCTCTGCAAAGCAGAAGTTGAGGTTCTCACGAAGAAGATGCAGGGGCAACTCCCAATCATGCTACGCAAGTTAGAGGATGTCTATGTCAACTCAAAGTACTACGAAATCGTCCCCTTTAATGGTCTCGTACGTGAAATGCTGGAAGTTGCGGGCGAGTGGGACCAAGCTTTCGCCAAGTTCGAGGCGGACTTCTTAGGAGACAAAGATATGCGGCAGCTGACGATGATGCAATTGAAGAAGATGTTCACCGACGAGTCCAAGGAAACAATGACCAATCCGGAAGAGACAATGGTTTCGGCCACTGATAGCGACAGTCGGCCATCACAGGGTTTCTCTGAGATTGACGAAAAGAGCACGCAACCAACAGAATGTACCGACATGGATGGAAGCATTCTACGTGGAAGTCTTCTACGGAACCCGGATGGAGAAGACAACGAAAAGGCCGAGGTCCCGACAGAGGATACCACTGAGCGTGTCGAAGCACTTGATTTGGCAGGCTCTGGCCCGGTTGTGTCTGGATCCAGCCAAGCGCCTGAAAAAAAACCTGCTGAGAGTTCCCAAGCTGAAAGTGCCGAATCGGTTGATTCCTCGAAAACAGCATCGCCACCTGTCACCAGAGACAGCGCATCGGTCGTTGTGGGTGATGGCCAATCGCTTACAGAAAAGGTAGACCGTATGCGGCGTGAGCAAGCCCGGAAAGCCGGTGAAGACGCGTCAAATAACAAGCAAGACGAGAGAGGTATACCGCGCTCCTCACCTCCCATAATACGGGCCACCTCGCAACCCCAACGCATCCCACGGGCCATGACAACTGTGGGCAATCCCTCGAACGTTGGAGATCAAGTCGAACCTGCTCCAGAGCCGCAGGGCGAGGGGTCAATCAAAGTCGATAAGCGCTTATCGGAGAGACTTGGCTTGTCTGCTCTGAAACAACGTGGGAAATCTGCCACATCCGGTATTCCTCGTCTGGTTACCAAGAAGAAGGAGTCGAAAGTTTCCACTCTAACAAGACACTTTGAGCAAATCAGCCGCGAGTTTGAGAAAGAGCGCATACGTGACAAGAAGAAGCGGGCTGCTAGTCTTCGGCATCCGCGCGCGTTGCTCCCAAGAACTTCCACAAAAGTCACTATTCAGGTTTACGACGACTTCAACGCAGCGGTCGAGGAACCCGCCCTAATGAACGACGCGGCTGGGGAGCGAAGACCCGAACAAGTCAGTACTCCGGCCTTGCCCACAGGCAATACAGATGCTGCCAAGAGTGACCAGTTGGCGGAGTCCCCTCCCCTGCTGGACCCTGCACCAAAGGCACCGGATCAGATATCTGTAGCCGAGACGGATGACACCGCGACTGGGAAAGAAAACCAGCAAGACTCGGATGACGAAGAGCGTGCAAGTGACACTGAACCCAGTGTTTCGGATGAATTTCTCCCCGATATCAAAGAGATTGCCGATTCTACGCAGGAGATTCCACTTGAACTTCCTAAGCATCAAAGGAATACGCTCATGAAGTACCTCACAAAGTTTTGGGCAGAACGGTCCGCCAGTGGCTGGTCTGCATTGGATTATCCCATCAACCCGACGGATCACATCTTTGTTGACTCTAATGTTATTGTGCGCGAGGACGAGCCGAGCTCTGTGATTGCGTTGGCCCTTAATAGCGAAGACTATAAAAACAAGCTCGAGGTCATCCGTCGCGAGGCGCAAGAGATGCCCCAGGATGAAGTATCCGACGGAACAGCACAGGCCAAGTCAACGCCTGCGTCGGAGCATCTGGGCCGTCATTCGGATGCCAGTGACCTGGAGAAGAGTTTGTTGTGCATCACGGGAACGCATTTGAAGTACCAGTTCAAGGAAGGCGCGGCAGTTATGACGTGCAAAATTTTCTATGCTGAGCAGTTTGACGCTCTGAGAAGGAAATGTGGCATCGCTGGGCGCATAGTTGAGTCTCTTTCACGCTGCATGAAGTGGGATTCACGTGGTGGCAAGACCAGGTCTGTCTTTTTAAAGACCCTAGACGACAGATTGGTGTTGAAGGTGAGTCAAGCGGCAAGCAGCAAGAAAACACATGGTCAAAAAAGCTAACTGCGACTAGTCCTTGTCTCCCATCGAGACATCGGCCTTCTTAAACTTTGCTCCGGGCTATTTCACCATCATGGCGGAAGCATTGTTCCACGACTTGCCATCTGTTATTGCCAAGATGTTGGGCTTCTTCCAAGTCATCATCAAGAATCCGATTACAGGCACAGATGTGAAGCTTGATCTCGTCTTGATGGAGAACCTATTTTACGACAGATCACCAACCAGGATTTTCGACTTGAAGGGCTCTATGAGAAACCGTAAGATCCAGTCGACTGGCGAACAAAATGAGGTTCTCTTGGATGAGAACATGGTGGAGTACATTTACGAGTCTCCGCTGTTCGCGCGCGAGCACTCCAAGAAATTACTGCGAGCATCGGTGTGGAATGACACGCTGTTCCTCGCTCGACAGGATGTCATGGACTACTCCTTGATGATTGCTGTTGATGAGGCCAGAAAAGAGCTCGTGGTGGGCATCATCGACTGCATCAGAACGTACACCTGGGACAAGAAGCTTGAAAGTTGGATCAAGGACCGTGGGTTTGCTGGTGGTGGTCGTAATCGACCAACAGTTACAAGTCCCAAAGAGTACAAGTCTCGTTTCCGAGAGGCCATGGCAAGGTATGGACCGTAACACTGCGATGGTGAAGCGAGCGCCACTAACACGATGTTTCAGATATATCCTCCAGGCTCCAAATTGCTGGCATTTGTTCAATAACACCCAGTACCCAGTGTACTATAGTGGACGTGCTAGATTTGAGGACCAGCCTGAGCTACAAAAGTGAAAGTGAACGATGCGCCGAAATTTTTTTTTGGGGGGGGGGGAAATGTTGAATGTTTACCTTGTTTTGGGAGGATGGATATGTACGGCGTTGAAAGATTTGGGATTCATTTACGAAAACACGGGCATATAGCTATTCATACAGGCATTAGAGCGAGTTTATGAGGATATGCATAATAATGAAACCAGTAACAACTGTTCTAATACACTAACTAATGCTATGAAGACGACCGCCGCCGCGCATAGCTCTATCTGTTCAATAGCCATCGAACAGCTTAGCTACTGGAGTTATCGTCCACCTAAGCAAGCGTCGTTGAGCCGACCTTCATAAAGCGGGTCTGGACGAATCACAGCGCCTCACAAACAACAACCTCTCATTCAACATACCATGATTTATTCGTAGCGACACGTCCGCCTTCCATGTCGATAGAACTCAACTGGGAAACGCTCACAAGCGGCCCGGACGGAGAGGCGCTGGCAGAGAGCATCCGCGGCTTCATCCACGACAAGTTCCAGAGCGTGCCTCTGCCGCGCTTCATCAAGTCGGTGACGGTGCACGGCTTCGACTTTGGCAGCATCGCGCCGGAGCTGGAGCTCAAGGACATTGCCGACCCGCTGCCCGACTTTTACGAGCAACCGCTGGAGGATGACGAGAGCGATGAAGACGAGGAGGAGGAGGAAGAGGCGGACGAGCAGCTGCACCAGCACCACCCCTACCCCCACCATCACCATGCAGCCTCTCGGGGGCAGGCGCCGCCGGGAAGGAGCAATCGACCTTCGGACCTGAAGACGGCCATCCGCAACGAGTTCTCGCATCACCACCACGACTTGACAAGCCCGTTCATGGGCACGTCCACGCCGGGCTTGCTCGGCGGCCCGGGGCTGAGCTACCACCTCCACGGCCACCTCGGCACGGGCACGCAGACGCCGCTGGCCGCCGTCGCGGGTGCGCACCTCGGGAGCAGCTGGCTCGGGCACGGCTACGACTCCGCGTCGGCGGCAGAGGCCACAGCAGCGGAGGCGGCTGGTGTTCGCATGCCGGAGCCGAGCCACAGCCGGAACCCCTCCCAGAGCAGCATCCTCTCCGTGGACAACTTGGGCTTTCTGCCACCGCCGCAGCCAGCAGCGTTGCAGGCTCTTTCAAGCCGCGGGCTCCGGGAAAAGTCGAGCGTCTCGACGCTGGCCCCGACCTCGATCGGCACGTCGCGCCCGCCGACGCGGGACGCGCACGCAGACTCGGCCATCATCGACTCGGACTATGACGACGCCAACGACGGCGGCGGTGGTAGAGCCGACGACGATGATGCTGCCCGGACGGCGCCGCTGCCGCCGCGGCGACGCGAGCCGCGCGTGGAGGATGTGCAGGCCGTCTTCCGCATCCGGTACGCGGGCGACGTCCGGCTGAACCTGACGGCCGAGATCCTGCTCGACTACCCGATGCCGAGCTTCGTGGGCATCCCGCTCAAGCTCAACATCACGGGCCTGTCGTTTGACGGTGTCGGCGTGCTGGCGCACATACGGAAGCGCGTGCACTTTTGCTTCCTGAGCCCAGACGACGCGCTGACGGCCGTGGGAGGGCCCGAAGACGGCGGCGGCGGTAGTCGGCCGGGCTCCATGAGGAGTGGTGCGGCAGCGGAAATGGAAGCGGAGGGCGGTGCCGGTCGGGGCGGTGGTGGTGGTGGCGGCGGGAGTACGCGCTTCGGCGGCCTGCTGCAGGAGATTCGCGTCGAGAGCGAGATTGGAGGGCGGGAGGGCGGCAAGCAGAGCCTCAAGAACGTGGGAAAGGTGGAAAAGTTTGTCCTGGAGCAGGTGCGCAGGATATTCGAGGAGGAGTTTGTATACCCGAGCTTCTGGACGTTTTTGGTGTAATGATATAGGTAACCACAGGATGTACATGAACAGAGCAAACACAAACGCGAATGGAATTGCCTTTTTGTTTGTTATTATATACGAGGCCCTACTGGGGTATTTGAAGCTTTCCTATATTCATATGAGAAAAGATTTGCTCTGAACGCGCGCCCCCGGTCACGTCAACGTCCGCCGAAACCCCTGGTATGCCTGCTGGATGTCCATGTCCAGCTCCCGCGCCTGCTGCTCGCTGAGCTCCTCGCTCGCCTTCATCTGGTTGAGCGTGATGAGCCACTGCACGATCTTGCCGCGGTTCTCAAAGTCCTTGTCCGTCACCTTGTTGACCGACTGGATGACGTCGGATAGTAGCGGGTGCAGCTGGTCCTTGGATAGTAGGCCGAGCTTGACGGCGTCGAGGAACGTGATGAAGTCCTGCGTCGCCTCAAGGATCAGCACGCCGCTGGTGTTGCCGCCCCGGTCGGACGCGCCGCCGCCGCCGCCGCCGCCGCCACCACCGACGGCGGCCGAGGAGGAGGGGGTCGTGATGGTGGAGGGCATGCCGGCCTGGAGTCGCTTCGTCGCGCGGGGCGCTTCAATCTAGTCGTCGAGTTAGCGCGCGCGCGGCCATCGCGACAAGTTTCTGCGGGAGGGGAGGGGCTGCTCACATCCCACTTCGCCTGGAACTCTTCCAGGCCGCCAAACTCTCTGGCAATGGTCTCGTCGGCGAGCAACGCATTGTACTGCCGTAGCGACCGCTCGCAGATCTCTGTGTATTCCGCCTCAGATACGGCGTCTTTGATGAAGGCCTTCTCTAGCTCGTCCAGAGTCACTATGATGCTGAAGAGTTCGGCGAGGGAGTCTTGAAGGTCGCGTTCGGCTCGCGTGCTTGTCAATGTGACTTCCTGGGGCGATGACGTATCTGGTGAGCCAAGTGGTTCTGGGGGTGGTCAAGTAGCGACATGATATCTGGGCATACCTCGTCTAGATTTATTGACGCGGACAGCGCTGTATTGGGAACATAACTGTGTGGCGTAGGCGCATAACCCTGCCGCGGAAGCATTGTGATGTTATCGTGGATGGGTCAAGGCATTGGCACAGGGGGAAATCTCCAGGCGGATGATGTCGCCTGTAATCACTGATGGGCAGCTCTTCAGCGCCACTGGGCGCGATAGCAGGTAAGGCTACAGGCAACTGTTTAGCGGGGAACTGGAATCTCAATGGGGTCAACGGCAGAAAAGCCTCACCGCCCTGAATATCAGGGTAACAGGGTTATCGATAAGCCAACTCTAGAAAATTTTTGGGACGCTTTATTGTTTCGCTCAGAACGCTGTCGGCGGACAATTGCAAATTCAACCGCAGTCTCTCCCATAGCCAGGGTCAGTCCAACTCGCCCGCTTGCGAGTCGCAAATAAACTGCCCACCATGGCACCATCTAAGAAGAACCTCAAGGCTACCAAAAAGTTCGAAAAGAATCATTTGCAGGGTGTTCTGGACCGGAGAAAGGTGACGGCCAAGATCAAGCAGAAGCAACAGATCAAGGACAAGCAAAAACAGCGCAAGGCCAAGGATGCCGAATTCTTTGGCAAGGATGGCAAGCCGCGGCCAAGCGGCCCCAAGGATAGAAAGGTCAATGACATGAGCGTTGACGACTTCTTCCAGGGCGGCTTCGAAGATATCATTGACGACAAGTCCGAGAAAGCCAAGCTAGGCAAGAGAAAACGTGACGAGCCCAAGGCAAATGCCGAGGAGGATGGAAGCGACTCGGATGCCATGCAACCGCAGCCAGTCGCCAGCGACAGCGAGGACGGCGACGACGATGACGATGACGCCGGCATGAACCAGGAGACCATGGACGGGCTTGCCGAAAAGGACCCCGAATTCTACAAGTTTCTAAAAGAAAACGACCCCGATGCGCTCGACTTTGATGACAATGCCGATCTGGCCGAGGTTGATGAGCTAAGCGCTGGCGAAGACTCGGAAGAAGAGGAGGAGGAGGAGCAGCAGCCTAAGAAGAAGAAGCAAAAGAAGGCCAAGAAGGCTGAGGGAGAAGCAGACGCGGCTGAAGCAGACAGCAAGGAGCTTACTACGGCTATTGTAGCTGGTTGGCGCAAGTCCATGAAGGAGAAGCAGTCTCTGCGCGCGACGAGACAAGTTGTTCTCGCCTTTCGCTGCGCCGCCCACCTCAACGAGGACGACATTGACGAAAACGCGGACCAAAAATGGACCATTAACAGCCCCGAAGTGTTCAACGACATCCTCGTGCTCGCCCTGCGCGAGATCCCTCCCGTCATCAACCACCACCTGCCCGTCAAGGAGTCGGCCTCGGGCCGCGTGTACGTGCAGACGGACAGCAAAAAGTTTTCCGCGCTCTCGCTGCTACTCAAGACGTATACGTCGGCCATTATGCACCTCCTCGGCACGCTGTCTGACGACCGCACGCTCAAGCTGACGCTGTCTGCCATCACGCCGATCCTGCCGTACCTGTTGTCGTTCAAGAAGCTCGTCAAGGCGCTGGCCAAGGCCGTCGTCAGCTTCTGGGCGCAGCCCGCGAGTTCCGAGTCGACGCGCGTCACGGCCTTCCTTGTGCTTCGGCGGCTCGTCGTCATCGGCGACAAGGGCATCCGCGAGTCCGTCCTCAAGGCCGTCTACCAAGGCCTCGTGCAGGGCTGCCGCATCACCAACCACAACACGCTGGCCGGCATCAACCTGATGAAGAACTCGGCCGCCGAGCTCTGGGGAATCGACGCCTCGGTCGGTTACGCGACCGCGTTCGGCTTCATCCGGCAGCTCGCCATCCACCTGCGCAACAGCATCGTGCACAACAAGAACGACGCGTTCCGCATGGTCTACAACTGGCAGTTCACGCACTCGCTCGACTTCTGGTCCTGCGTGCTCGCGCACCACTGCACTCCCGCCAAGGCCGCCGAGGCCGGCCGCGAGAGCCCTCTCAAGCTGCTCGTCTACCCGCTCGTGCAGGTTACCCTCGGCGCTATGCGCCTTATCCCCACCGCGCTCTACTTCCCGCTGCGCTTCCACCTCGTCCGCGCGCTGCTGCGCGTCTCCCGCGCCACAGACACGTACATCCCGCTCGCCTCGCCGCTGCTCGAGGTGCTCGCGGCCGCCGAGATGCGCCGCGCGCCGCGCGCCGCCACCCTGCGCGCGCTCGACTTCGCCGTCGCCTACAAAGCGCCCAAGGCGTACCTGCGCACGCGCGTCTTCCAGGACGGCGTCGGCGAGCAGGTCGTCGAGCTCCTCGGCGAGTTCGCCCTCCTGTGGGCGCGCTCCGTCGCCTTCCCCGAGCTTGCCCTGCCCATTGTCATCCAGCTCAAGCGCTGGCTCAAGCAGGCGCGCAGCGCCGGCGGCCGCGGCAACAAGAACGCCAAGCTCGCCACCCAGGTCGCCCTGCTGGTGCAGAAGCTCGAGGCCAACGCCAAGTTTGTCGAGGGCCGCCGCGCGGCGGTCGACTTCGCGCCCAAGGACCGCGCCCAGGTCGACGCCTTCCTGCGCGACTTCGACGTCGCCAAGACGCCGCTCGGCGCGTACGTCGTCGGCCAGCGCAAGGCCCGCGCCGAGCGCGCAAAAGTGATGGAGGAGGCCCGCAAGGAGGACGACAAGAAGCGGAGGGAGGACGAGCGCGCCGCCCTGGAGGAGGAGGGTGACGTGATGGACTCGGACGAGGACATGGAGGTTGACGACGAGGATGATGAGTTTGACGTGGATGAGGACGATGAGGGGGAGGGGGAGCAGGAAGATGAGGAAGAGGATGACGACGAGTAGTGTGTGGTGCAATATTGCGACAACAAAACGCCATGTAAACCGGAGTTAGGCTGTATATACATCAAAAGGATACCTTGACTTTTTTCTTCATCACTGAACTCGACATTGTTCAAAAAGGCACAGAAGAAGCGAATACCAACATTTCAGCTTTGACAACAAGACTAAAACACTCTTATTGACAGCTTAGACAAGGTCTAGTCATGGCGCGGCTAATGAGGAATATTATATACAACAATGCATGCTACAGAAAAGTCCTCCTGCTACCAAATCAGCCGTCCAGGACCCGTCCTGGGGTTCCGAAAGAAGACCAAATGATAAAAGATACACGAAAAACGCCAGCTTCCAGTAATGAATGCCCGATGATGGGTGGGAAGCGAATTTCCAACGAAGCAGCCAAAAACATCCAAAAATGCAAAAAATCAGGAAAACGCCATATTAAGCCTCCCCAACTCCAAATCCATTTGAAAACAAAAATCTCCCCTCCAATCCGATCGGCCTTTCAGTCTCCAAATGCAAGTCGTTAAGATAAACGCCAATAATGTTCGCTATTCATGATGCCACAAGTACAGGAGCGCCGCTTCTCATTTTTGATACATTGGGCAGCATTAATGAATGCCTTCCCAGGTGAGTTGGTCAGTGGCGTCGCGGATAGACATGCCGGTGATGTTGAGAACGGTCATCTCGAGTTCCTCCTCTGACATGGCCTGGCCAGCCGCCTTTTGGCCCTCAAGGACGTCATACAGACTGTAAATCTGGTCATTCTTCACCTCGAGGCTCTTGAGCAGGGCCCGAATGTCCTCGGCAAGTGCCACGCGGTCCCGTTTACCAATAGCCTTGTCATGATTGTGGTACTTGGTTTGCAGCCTCGAGAGCTCAAACTGTAGATGACGAGACTCGTCTTCCAGGCCCTTTATGACGAGGGCGAGGGCATGGCCAGGGAACTGCGCCGGACGCATTGTCGGGTCTTCGACGGAGAGGTTGCGGTCCGTTACGGGGACGGGGCGAGGTACAGTGACGCGCTTCTTGCCGGTGGCGAGCTCCGTAGATGAGCTGCGGTGCGAGGTGATTCGGGTGCAAACAATGCAATTGCTGCAGCTGTGCTCACAAAGGCCGTCAAGCACACGCCTCGCGTCACGAGACAGGGCATGGCCGATGCTTTGATGGATGCTCTTGGTCGTTTCGGTCGTGATGTCTGTCTCCATGGTGCGCTGAACATTTTTGGTTTTGCGAGGATGAGGGGTCTGGTCGCGGTTGCCAATAGGCTTGAAGATTCCCTGCACAGGAACGCTCAGCTCAATCGCCTGGTCCTGAGTAGCGCCCAGATCCAAGGACAGAGGCCCTGTAGTCTCTTCGTAGTCGCTATAGTTCTCGAAGTGAGCCTTCGGTGCCTGGCGCGAGGCAGATCGACGCTTGCTGCCTTGGTTGGCAGCAGTCTTCAACACCCCAGGCTTAGCCGGGATGGAAAAGGCTACCTTTTGTGCCTGCTCATTGGTGGCTTGACCCTTCTTCTGAGACGCCTCCACGTTCTGGTTGGTGTTCAGTACAGATTCAGTATATTCGCCATCCGTAACGTTCTGGCTCTGACCAGTCATCTCCAGGGGCATATCAAGCAGTTCCTTGGTCTCAGTGGGAGCTTCAGGACCAGATATGTTGGTATCAACCGTCATCTCAGGTAGGAAGAGACCAGCGGTAGTGCCCTCGGTCTCAATGTTTGCTTTGGGAGCTGGACGGTAGTGATCAATCTGCTCCTTGAGGAAAGTAACTTCCTCCTTGAGCTTGATATTCTCTTCGTGCAGGTCATGAATACTGCGCTCAAACCCAGAGTTCTCGCGCCTGAGCATCTTATTATCGTTGAAGTATTTTTCATTGTGTCGCACAAGGCTCTGGTTATCCTCTCGCAGAGAAGCGAGCTCCTCATTTTGCTTGCGAAGTGCTTCAAGCTCTTCGCGAGCAGCATCAAGCTCGTGCTGCACCTCGTCGAGATCTTCATTGAGAACCTCACTCTGCTCAAATTGAGATTTGCTGGCACGGAGAGACTTGTTCTCCGCGAGCAAAGACTGCTGCTGCTGACGCAAGCGGTCATTTTCGGAACGCGTTCTATCCATCTGCGACCGCAGTGACTGTAGCTCACTTTCGAGCTTGCGGTTATCGTCGCGTAAAGACGAGTTCTCCAGCTCAAGAGCATCGCGGCTGTGGGTAATGGCAACAAGATCGCGGCGCAGAGTATCGTTATCCTGACGAACTTGCTCAGATGAGTCCAGCTGCTTCTGAGATGTCTCCAGTGCCTTTTCTTTGACCGTGAGTTTCCGGGTTAGCTTGTTTATGTCATCGCACGCCTCTTGCAGCCTGGTGAGTACACGATCCTTTTCATGTGAAATGGAATCGTTGGCGATTTCGCTGGTGCTGAGCTTGCGCGTAGCTTGGTCTAGACGCGCCTGCAAAGAGACAATCTCGGATCGAAGCCCTATGACATGTCAGTACAAAACCCTTTTTACTTGATTAGCAGATACGTACGGGCATTGTCTTGCGTGACTTGGTCGTGACGGTGCCCTTTGTCCAGGTTGTGGCCCTTCTCTCTTGACTGGGCCTCTAGCCGTTCAACTTGCTGTTGCAAGCCCAAGGCATATTCTTGAACCTTTTCATGGTGCTCCTGAAGAGAAACAATTTCGTCGCGGATCATATCCATCGAGACGAAGATTTTTTCCTCTTCTTGTGGGACCTTGATCGAGTCGACAGGGATGTGAGCAGCAGCAGCAGGGCTTGCCTGCCTGTCGTGGACCCGGCCCTGCTTGACGAAAATTGGAACACCATTCTTCATGGATCCGCTGAATCGAAGGGTGCCGGTCACAAAGTCGCCAAGATGAGACACATCGGGCATGAAGAATGAACGCGCGTTTGCGCCATTGTTGGGACTGGCGATGGAGTTGGGGGAGGGAGGCACTGCGGTAAAGCTAGATTTGGCAGAGGACCCATTGGGTGACGAGCCGTTAGCTCCTGACATGTGCTTGGGGCTTCCGGAGGCCTTGCGTAACTGTTCGAGGGCTGCTGAAATTGATGGTCGTCTTTGCAGGAGCGGCATAGGCTCTGATGGCGCGCGGTTGTGGGCGCGCGAGAGGGGACCGAGGTGGCGATTGTTGCGGGAGAGGACGGGCGCGGGGGATTTCGAGAGAAGAACGGAGAGGTCGCACTCGTCGTCGGCGCGGGGCTGCATGTCGGCGCGCTTGCGCTTAGAGCCTTCCCAGATGTCTCGCGTCGAGTCTTCTTGGAGGAACTTGAACGAGGGCACGATGTGGCTCTCCTTGTTGGGCTTGGTCTCCTTGTTGCCGAGAGAGTTCTTGGGCTTGGAAAAGTACTCAGGCCACTTGCGATGGGCGGCTTCCCAGTTGACGGGTAGCTTCCTAGCGCCGCCGGTGATGCGGGCAATATCCTCGTTCAGTCTGCGGGTCGATTCGCCTTCGGGGTCGGAGAAGACAGAGGTCATGGTCGGGCTGACGGTGCCGTGGGAACCGGTCGAGGAAGGCGGCGAGTTGAAGGGGTTCTCGCGGTTTGCATGCATCTCGCGAAGGACGCGAGAGCGATATCGTTGATCACGGTCCGTTTCCATGGCTTCTGGGACGCGTGCGGCGCGGTGCCGAGATGGCCAAGGAAGGAACGCAACGGTGACGTCGGGTGTTTATGAGGGCGCGAGCAAGGCTATTGCATGAAGCTGGTCAATTCGGCGAGATATTGGTAAATGCTTTAGAGACGAGGCGGGAAGAAAAGCAGGGAAGAAACGCGTGGTTATGGGCTAAAGAAGACGGATGGAGAATGAAGATGGGGAGATTTGGTTTGCTGACTGGGATGTTGGATTTCGAGGTACCTGAAGTTGGTGTGGGGGCCTTGCTTGTGCTTCCGTTTTGGGCGGAAAGTAAACAAACCTGCTGTGCGAATACGCGGTAGTTTTTTTTGTGGGCGCGCCTGAGCTGACTTGTGGACGGACAGACAAATAAAGTGGTTAGCGAAGATACCTAAGATATAGGGAATAGGGAATACTAAAGATGTATAAAATACCTAAGACATGTGAAATACCTGAGATGCCTAAGAGAGGTGAGATATCTAACAGGGGACAAATTACATGTTCCACTTACCGCACTTACTGTAGGTGTAATAGGCGACAAGACAAATTTAGCTGCAGACAGTCAGCGGAAGATGCTTTCAGGTCTTTGAAATATTGGCTAAATTTGGCGATTTTGTAGATATTTTTGCGATTTATTTCTCAATTTGCCTTTTCCCATGTGGGCTCAAATTAAAGAGATGTAACCGTGGACAGGCGAGACGCTCAGTTTCGCCTGGTGATCTGTCAACGGAAGCAAATCACTGAGAACTACAAATTTAATTCTGTAAAATTTAGGCAACACTCAGACCTTTCTTGCAACATTTTTCTGGCTTCTCTGTTGGCTGTATTGCCTCTTCCATCACGGCTCATTAGTCCTCTGCAAGCCGACCCGTACTCAGTTCTTCTCGTTGCATGAATAACCAGACTATGTACTCAATACAGAGTACAAATTGTGCAACACGTATCCTGCGAATCCATTCTCACTGTCCAAAACTACGAGTGACACAAAGTCAAATATCCCGCTGGACCACCATTCCAACTCTACCAAAAAAATAAAAAAACAAACCGATCGTTGTAACAAGTTTCAGCAAACCCAGATCCTCTCCGCGTTGTGTCTTGGCAGGCAAGCCGCTGCCAGCGCTGTATGTAAAGTTGTAGTGTTGCCCACCACACATGCTGCAGACTGCAGTGAGATGCTTGGCGTCGAGTTGCATGATTCTTCAATACCACTTCCGCTTCACACCACCTCTAATAACAACAACTACCACTCCTCTCTTGCGTATTACCCCTCATCGTGATGATCACAGATGTCGTTGTGCCGGTGGCCCGCGGAGAAGAACATTGGGAATCGGCCCGAGTCTTCTCCCGCTAATCGGCGCGTTACAGTCACGCTAAAGACTCTACAAATCAAATCAACCTAATCAAAGAAGCAGTGAAACCTTGGTTCTTTGCCCTACAGCAAGACTAACAATTTATTAGTCTCTGGCCGTGAAGCTCAACCTTCCAATTTTGGCGGTTCCCGGCAGCGCTCGCTCCTTCACACTCTTCGAGCTGCCTCCAAGGAGGGGGTGGCGCATGCGCCAAGTGTATCAAGCCCGTCCCTAGCTACATACGAGTCAAGGTAGTAATGAGTTCTAAACTGCGCAACTAACCTTCATTGTTCACTTGTCATTCTTGAGCCGTCATACTTTGTGCTCTTCCGCATCCCGCCCGGCGCCGTTGACACTGCGAGCGCTGTCCGCCTGACCTTTTGACCTTTTGACCCGACCTCCCATCAAGTAATCGGCCGAAATTATTCGACACCATGCTACACCCGCAGATGCACCCTCAGTTTGTTTGGGTGTCTTGATTCCTGCGGAGCTTCTTGTATTGGCGCGTCAGCTTCCTGGCATGCTACCTTGCTTGCTGGGGGCGCACTACGCAGAGACATGATGCTGAGTTATATTAATATTGCGTCCGCCTGTCCTCTGGCTGCTTCTAATGGAACCGTTCTTGAGACTCTCGGTCGCCCTCATCTTGCGCTTGGGCTCCGTCTTTTGGACCATATCAACACCATGACCGCTTCGTTACTTGCCCTTGTTCTTTGCAGCTTTGCAACCGTGCCCAGCGTCTTTGCTGACGCCAACGCCCCCTACTGTTCTGTCCTTGAGAGCGCCAGTGCCAGTTCCACGGTTGAATGTCGCTCGCTGCCGAATGATTTTCTCCAAGTTCGAGGCGCTTCTTCCATGTTTGCCTCTTCGCGCTCCACCCCGGACACGACCATTTTGCAAAATACCTTCAAGGCTCTTGCCGACTTGCAAAATGACTATTTCAAGCAAACTAGAAACACTTGGCCGGATGCCATTGATTGGACTGCCGCTGTCATCCAGACTATTGTCTCGGCCACCATGTCGACTCTCACCCAGTCCATAGACGCGGCCGTGCCAGGCAAGGACTGGAAGCAAAAGGAAAATCTCCTTTCCTTCCTACATGAGCAAATTGTCAGTTCCTATTTTGGTCAAGAGGCTGATAGGATCCTCACTGAGGTATTGACTCTACTTGTTTTCTCATTATTGTTTAAATTTTATGAAGTCAACTAATAACCGGTGCTTGCAGGCCTACGATGATGTGCTCTGGGTCGTCCTTGGCTGGGTGGAAGCCGTAAAATTCCGCCGTCTTCACCAAGATCTGCATTATCCCGACGGAGGATTCAATGACAGGGCCATTCCAACTGACATCACCCAGGCTGTGAGGTCCATGCCCTGGCACGGGCAGTTCTGGGTCGACACCTTTGCCAGCCGCGCCAATGACTTTTGGGACTTCTCATCCCAGGGCTGGAACACGGCGCTTTGCGACGGCGGCATGACGTGGAACCCACGCTTGGAGACCTACAAGAATGCCATTACCAATGAGCTGTACATTGCTGGCTCCATCGCCATGTACAAGCACTTCCCAGGCGACCGCCTCAACGGCACTGGCTCGCGAGACCCGCGCCATCTCCAGGCGGCCAAGGACGGCTACGAATGGCTGATGAATGTTAACATGACGAATACTCAGGGTCTATTCGTGGATGGCTTTCACATCAACCACAACATCCCCAACAACACAAAGTGCGACCAGCGCGATGAGATGGTCTACACGTATAATCAGGGCGTTATATTGACAGGAAATCGTGGTCTTTTCAGCGTGACTGGGGACCCTTTCTATGTCGAAGACGGCCACAAGTTCATCAGAGCTGTCATTGCTGCGACTGGCTGGGACTTGCAGCTCGGAAAGCCTGTTGACCGCCTGAGCGGAGGGAAACTTCCCCCCTGGCGTGGCCTTGGACGCTACGGGTTGCTAGAAGATCAATGCGATGCGTCTGCTACATGCTCACAAGATTCGCAGACCTTCAAGGGCATATACTTCCACCACTTGACTGCATTCTGCAGGACCCTCGAGTTGACACATGGTGACTCCAAAGTCAATGAGCAGGCTCTCATGCAAGTGCGGCAGGCACACGCCGCATCATGCCGCGACTACATTGACTGGATCAAGCACAACGCCGATGCAGCATTGCAGACGCGAGACAGCAAGGGTCACTTTGGCATGTGGTGGGGAGCCAACGTGTTCAACGTGAACGTGCCGCGCTCCGCTGATGGCATCGACCACTTCGCTGCCAACAAGACAGATTACCGGAACGAAGGCACCCCGCGCAATGCTCTTTGGGGTCTTGCGGATGCGTTTGTCCCTGGCGGAGGCAACGCCACCGCAAATGCCGGTGTACAGTTGTACTCGGCAGGCTCAGGTGACCCTAACAGTCGCGGGCGCGGTCGCACGGTCGAGACACAAGCCGGTGGCTTGGCCCTGCTACGAGCTTATTGGGAAATTTCTCAGTCTTCATAGAGTATGCGCTGGGACGAATAAGCTCGGGGTCTTTTCTTTACGTGGCTGTGGCTATGTTGGTTGCCATGATAGAGCAGGGATGAATGGTATTTGATCAGTAAATAGGTGCTATTGAAGAATTAGTAAATACCAAGATCTTCGTAAGATGCGCTAGTTGCCCAGGCTATTTGTGTTTTACGTGTCTTTTCTCAGACTCGGTCCCGAGAGGCTGTGTGCTGACGAGAAGCGCTAGGACGCGAGTGCGAGCAGAAGGCGAGAAAAGGACGAGAACCACGCGAGGGCAAGCCTTGTAAGGCTGCTTTTTGGCGGATACCCTTTCAGCCACATGGAAGTGACTCGAGGCAGAAGCAATAACGTCATTGGTGTAATTGACTAGTTGATTTCGGTTTCCTGCGAAAAGGTTGCAGATGTCGGAGGTCCGGTGCGTGGCCAGTAGACTAGCCGCGTCATCACTGCGTACGACAAGGCGTAGGCGCAGCGCAGTGGTGTAAGTTGATTCGTCGGCGCGTATGCGGCGTTGCGTATGGGAGGATGCAGCTTACAGTTCGAGTATTTGGAAGTTTTCAGTGTATATATTCCCAGGCATTTTCCCCTTGATCTGGGTGGGTTGTTTTTCAACACCACTTACCTCACTTACAAACAGTGCCTTACCCTATACCACTTACAACAGCACTTGCAACCGCACACAACCAACCCTCCACAACTCAATCAACAACACACACACACACACACACACCATCACAATGGTTCTCGGACTCCTCGTCGCCCTGGCTGCTGGCGTGGCCATATGCCACAGCTGCCACAAGCGCCACCAGCGCGTCGACGCTTTCCGGCACGAGTACGAGGCGCACAACGGCGCGCCGCTGACCAAGGCGGAGTGGAAGCAGCTGTGCCGCGAGCACAAACAGGCACTCAAGGCCGCCAAGCACGCCCACAAGGAAGAGAAGCGCATGCGGCGCCACGGCTGCTGGCGGACGTCGGTCCCGGCGTCCTTCCCGGCCCCGGCCCCAGGGATGGATGTCAAGCACAGCTACGAAGAGGCGCCTATGGATTACAACGCTGCGCCGCGGCTGAGCGACAAGGCGATTCAGATTCCGGTGCAGGGCTCGGATGAGCCGCCCGCGTACGTGCCGGGCTCGATGGCGCCGCCGCCGGAGAAGATGTAAGCCGGCTTGGCGGTGTAGAGGTCGGACGGGCTGGACGGATTGGGATGGACGAATTGCTGCGAAAATCTTCTGGTTGTTAAGTGTGGAAGAAGAGGCTCAGATACACGATTGAACTAATTAATAAACGAACTTTCTACTCTTGAGTTACGCTTACTCGTCAGTGAATACGAGTCAGATACGCGTCGAGTCGACACGGACGTCTGCTGCTACGGAACTGAATCTATAGCGGGGAGACCTATACATAGGGATCTTGTCGAGAATGCCGTATTTACTATCGGCGCCTGTGTGGGTGACCTGATTGTGTCCGTAGTTGGCAATTTCGGAGAGAGGTATACAAAGGGTAATTTTGACCATTATCTGAACCCGCACGTCCCATGATCGTCCCGCGGCAACTTTCAAAAGAAGCTGCATCACATGCTGCAGGAAGACGGGTGGCTGTGGTGGTGCATGGTGCGATTGCGCGCCGATTGGCTTGAGAACGGGATGTTGAGGGACTTACAGGATATGCATATCTTGAAGAGGAATAATTGATGGAGCAGATTTCAAGTCTGCAAGGGAATGGGAGCCAGCCGAGGGGATGTTGCGGACTCGTGGGGTAGCGCCGCGGGAAGGATCGGGCGAGCATCTGGGCCCTAGGGCAGTCGGTGATGGTGTGGGAAAAATTGCGGTGATGGTATTACGGGGCGTCTATTCGTAAGTCTAGATCGATTGGTGAAAAACGGTGTCCATGGCACTTTCGTTGGTTCACGACATGGCAGAAGTCGACGACGGTGGCTTGGCAAGGCCCTGACCCTACCGAGATCCTTGCTATAGCATCCACTTCAGATGCTGCCGAGGCGGTCTTGGACTCTTGGAGAGCATCGGGCACTGACTGATAAGTCGCCTGTTTCTTGGTCAAAATCGGGCACTAATAACTGCGGTCTGGTTCTTGATGGAATGGTTCGTGGAGGTGAAAAGGACGAGAAAATGCCCCGCTATTGAGAAGCAGCCATTTTTTTTCCTTGTCTTGCCCCTCCGCCGGCACCGGAACCCGCCTGGCAAGTCACAAGCTCCCGCCCAAGGAAGCCTAGCTGCCGTGCTATAGCACTCATCTGACTCGCTAAACCATATCTGAACCCGAGAATGAATTGGTCATGACAAAAGGAAATGCAAATGACCGAAAATAGGGTGCCACATCGGCCGAAGTAAGGACCGGCGGCGGAAGAAGTTGTTGGGGAAGGGATGGCAGGTGGGCTGGGCATCTATCTATACGTAAGACACTGATGAAGTAGAAAAAAAAACGAAAATAAAGAATCAAGCTAAATAAAAGCCGTTGACAACAACTTTAACATTACCGCAACAACATCAACCGAAACCGTCGCCGTGACTCAGTAACTCGGTGTCTCTATCTTATCTGGTGGAGAGCCATGGGTCTATGGAGCGACACCGCAGCGATTCTGCCCGGCCACGCAAAACTAAAACTCGAGCCGCTGGCCAAGGAGCTTGAAGCTAATCTTAATCATCTCTCTGACAAGAATCACGATACAAATACTGGTCCTCCTATCAAGTCGAAGCCGTTGCCACCGCCTCAACTCATCCGCCACTCTAGCGATTGGCTTTCTCAACTCTTAACGTCGACTCCCGGCTGGCCGTTGTCGACACCGCCACAGCACAATCGACGACCCTCCGCCCACTCCCTCGACATCGCCGTCGATATGCCCTCGCTCAATGGCGTCGTCGCCTCCCACGAGGAGGAGACGAATGGCAACGCACAAGACCACAATGGCACCACCGCCTCCGTCCTCGCCCGCCGACCAAAGACGCCCACGACATCCGCCATGGCCCTGACCGAGTACAGCGTGTGCCCCTCGCCGCCATCGGAGACGGCCCAGGCGCGCATCAAGCAGATTGTTCCTGACGAGTTTCTGCTACCGGACGGCTACCCAGATGTATGTAAAAAATATTTCAAGGCATAATTGGAACCTTGAAACTGAAAAAGAAAACTTGATTCTTTTTGCCAGTGTCTAACTCCTCCCTCCTAGTACCTTCGCATGATCCTCTCCGCCACGTCCCGCATCTACGAGGCCTGCAAGGCCACCCCCCTCACCCACGCCGTCAATCTCAGCAACCGGCTCGAGTGCAACGTCCTATTCAAGCGCGAGGATGAGCAACCCGTCTTCAGCTTCAAGCTGCGCGGCGCCTACAACAAGATGGCGCACCTGGACCCCGCGCGGTCGTGGAAGGGCGTCGTCTGCTGCTCAGCTGGCAACCACGCGCAGGGTGTCGCCTACTCGGCGCGCAAGCTCAAGATCCCCGCCACCATCGTCATGCCCGAAGGCACTCCGAGCATCAAACACACCAACGTCGCGCGCCTCGGCGGCCACGTTGTCCTGCACGGCGCCGACTTTGACGCCGCCAAGGAGGAGGCCGCGCGCCGCGCCGCCCACGACGGCCTCATCAACATCCCGCCCTTTGACGATCCCTACGTCATCGCCGGCCAGGGCACCATCGGCAACGAGCTCTTCGCCCAGGTCAACATGGCCAAGGTCGAGGCCATCTTCTGCGGCGTCGGCGGCGGCGGCCTCATCGCCGGCATCGGCGTCTACGTCAAGCGCATGGCGCCGCACGTCAAGATCATCGGCGTCGAGGCCCACGACGCCAACGCCATGGCGCAGTCGCTGCGCAAGGGCGAGCGCGTCGTGCTCCGCGAGGTCGGCCTCTTCGCCGACGGCGCCGCCGTCAAGTCGGTCGGCGAGGAGCCCTTCCGGCTCGCGCGCGAGGTCGTCGACGACGTCGTCGAGGTCAGCACCGACGAGATCTGTGCCGCCATCAAGGACATGTACGACGACACGCGGTCCGGGCTCGAGCCCGCCGGCGCGCTGCCCATCGCCGGGCTGAAGAAGTACGCCGCCGCCAATCCCTCGCGCGATCCCTCACGCACCCTCATCGCCGTCACCTCGGGCGCCAACATGAACTTTGACCGCCTGCGGTTCGTCGCCGAGCGCGCCACCCTCGGCGAGGGCAAGGAGGTGCTGCTCGCGTGCACCATCCCCGAGCGGCCCGGCGCATTCGCGCGGCTCGTCGAGGCGGTGATGCCGCGGCCTGTCACCGAGTTCTCCTACCGGCGCGCCGGTGGCGACGCCGCCAACGTGCTGCTCGGCCTGTCCCTGACGGCGCCCGTCGCGCAGCGCGCCGACGAGCTGCGCCGGCTGCTCGCGCGCGTCCGCGACGACGGCACCATGACCGTGGCCGACCTCTCCGCCGACGAGCTCGCCAAGAGCCACCTGCGGTACCTGGTCGGCGGCCGCGCGGCCGTCCCGGACGAGAAGCTCTTCATGTTCACATTCCCTGAGCGGCCCGGTGCACTCGAGCGCTTCCTGCTCGCCGTTCGGCCCAAGTTCAACATCAGCCTCTTCCAGTACCGCAACTACGGCGGCGACGTCGCCAAGATCCTGGCGGGCATCGAGTGCCCGGACGCCGAGCTGCCGGAGCTGCTCGACTTTTTGCGCGAGCTCGGATACCCCTTTCAGGACTGCAGCGACTCGGAGGTGTACAGGATGTTTCTGCGGACGTAGAGGCCGTTTGCGTGATTCAACATTGCCTGTCTCGCTCTCGTTTACGACATGCACAGATCTTCATGGCGTTTGTGGATAATTCTCCTTTTTGTTTTTATTTCAATGCTATATATAGGACTGGGTATGGACTCCTGCGCTGGTATTTAGACGCGGCTGCTGAGGAACAGGGCCAGAGAAAAGTTTCGGGCTCTTTCCATGGGCCTTCTTTTTCCTTTACATTTCTGTGGCAGAATGGATATTATATGACTTCAAGACTTTTCACGTGATTTGGCAGAGCTACGCTTGCTTCTCGGTAGCCATCTGAAATGTGTTTGGCTTGTACAACAAGCCAGGGCTGGGACATTGAGTGAGTCAGGGTACAATAAGAGTTCCTCCCCAACCCAGCCGATGCATGTCTGGGAGCGCGGAGGCTGACAGTCTCACAATGACGATCACGTACCCCAACGGCAACGGCAAGGCCGCAGCGTATGTACGAGCATCTACACGTATGTAACTTATTAGTGGTAGATAAGCCGCGTCGTTGGAGGCGGGCCTTGGCAAGTACAGCCGGAAACCGGGACCGAGGGCGGCGGCGCTCTCAGGCTGGGCTCGAATGCGCAGTATACACCAAAGCCGTATAGTCAATGCATCAATTATGCATGGCCATGGCCATGTTCTCGACCAAGTTGTGAAGCGGCACCGGGACTTCCTAGCCGTGATTCCGATTGGTACACGGTCTGCATGGGATGGGGTGTGCGTGTGAATTTGCCAGGTAACCGCAGGTCGAGTGGTCGCGGACTCCTGAGCTGGATTCGGACGTGTGGTCCGAGGGAATTGGGGGCTTGAATGAAAGACAAGAACAAGCTGGGCGAGGCGGCGAGGCAAAAGAGACGGGCAGATGCGTTTGTTATGATCATCGTTGCGTCGCAGCTGAAAAAAGGTGTGGTAGGTGGGAAGGAACCCATTAGTGCAGGCCAATGTGTTCCATGCCCTGCATTGTTGGGAAATTTTCTGCATTTGCCCGACGTCTGCCCAATCCTCCCCTCCAACCTCCTTTTCTCTTTTTCTCGGCAGCAAGAATCAAGGCGCAGGTCTTGGTCTGCAAGAGTTGGCCACGATAGAGAAAATAGAAACGGCTTGGACATGTGCATGTGGTGGAGGGAGGACTGACCCAGCGCCCAGCCCCGGGTACCTTATTTTTTTCGCTGCTGTGGGCCAGGCTGCGGCCTGTGCTGTCCTTTTATTTGTGAACGGGAGGGCTAGCTGGGGTCAGGGGGAGGAACTTGGGGGGAAACAGCAAGATTAAAAAAATTGCTGTTGTAGAGGTAGGCTAGTCTACCTCGGCAGAAGGCCTGGAGGGGAGCGATGCAACGCTACGAGGCGGCTTGTGGACGGGATATTCGTATATACATAGGTCCTCGGTATTCAGGTAGTATTGGCTTGCTGGGGAAGACCTCGTTTATAGCGAGTCTTGTGTTTGGTGGCTGAGTAGCACGAGGAGGGAAGCATAACTTACGAGTAATATATTGTCCATCGGCCATGACTGGCTGCGATTCGTTTACTGGCTTCGGGGCTGTCTCGTCAGCCTGTCACCAAGGTTTGGGGTGCCTCCGACTCGGAATAGCCATATCTAAAATAAGGCCGGCCGCAGACTCGCCGAGACCATTCATGGAGGTACGAAGAGGGTGTGCACAGCGCGAGCCCGAGTTTCAGGAAGGCGGTTGAAGCAGTGTCTCACGTTGGTGTTGACAGTGCAGTGGACAGATGAAGGGCTCAACGTTTATCCATCGGCATCATCCGTGCCTGGATGCAAAATGAATTATGCCAATATCTGCAGCTGATACTTCCAAGCACCCTTCCATGCCCCGCCTTGAAAATTAGTGTACATGCAAGGTACGGGTAATATTCATAAACTTCATCTATGTATATAGTTGATGCATAGTCAACCACAGGCAAATACTTAAGTACATTCCTTTGCAGATTTCCAAGCAGCCACCTACCTCTAATCTGGTACCTGAGTTCGTCGCTGCAACGCACCTCCGTACATGAAGCCCGCCCCATCAACATCGCAATATGGGTCGTGGGTCGACAGCTTGTTTGCCTCACCCCATGCATCACGAGTTGTCAGCGGCCAGCAGCCAGCGCCGCCTGGAGTCATCTCAGATCATCTTGGCCAAGTTTGCAGTTGTGTAATAAGTGCCTGAACATATTATAAGATCGCCGAAATTAAAAAATAATTCATCGTTACCGATGCTCACCTCCCTTCACTCCCTCGACCTGCGACCTGCGCCGTTTGCACCCCGCCAACGTGAGACTTCCACGGCTTCTCCATGCGGACGTCGGAACAGTACCTGCGGGTACCTACCGGCCCTCTCCTGACCTACCCAGTACCAGGGAGGTACTCGGATATGCATCAACCCCTTGTCACTCCTCCTCACTCCCACAATGCTTTGCAAACAATCTCTGGCCCCATTCCCTTTCCCATCACCAGAGTTTTACAATCCTCCCACTGCTCCTCATCTACGGACTCCTAACAGGTAACCAGCCTAGCCTCTTGCTCCCCAAACCCATTCTCCAACATTCTCATCGTCAATCGTACTCTGCAATTTTCAGTAGTTATCCGCCTTGCCCGCTAGGTAATCCACCCCGGTCCCGACGCCAACGCCTGCCGCCGCCATTGCTCCTCTTCTGCCCCACGCCGCTAACTGCAGCTACAGACTTTGGGGTCACGCTGCCTCGCTCTTCCCAGTAACCACCAGCCATCATGCTAACGAAACGATAATCACCCTCATCACTCCCAACGTCGCTTGCCTGCAACCGGCACACATCTCACGCACCAACCCAAATCAGCCTCACCATCACCCAAGTCCGACCCTCCCTCCCTCCCTATCCTCTGACTACCAGGGCATTCACTACCAAGTAAGTGCGCCTACCTCCTCCTAGCGAATCTCTAGGTTGCTCGTCTACCCTGGCCGACAGCTCGCATTGGCCTGCTTCTCTGTTTGCTTGCTGCTCAACCCGCCACCTTGGGCCATCCATTATTGCCGCTGACGCAAAGTCCCCTCCTCCAGCTCCCCGGCCTCGACGCCTTGCATTTCCGTTTCTGCGACACTTTTTTTCTTTTTCGCCGCTCACGCCCTCCCATCCCCAGCTCTCAAAACTCCCGATCGTGTCCAGTTCCTGTCTGCGAACCCAGCGTGCGCGACTACCCACCGCTGAAGCTCTCCCGGCGAAAGCCACACAATCTGTCTGTGCCAAGTTAGCTACCCCGTCCTCTGCCCGCCCTCATCATGCACCCGCAGCTAACCCTGGCTTACCTACAAGTCGACAGCCTTGCCTCGAATCGCACGCGACACCACATCGCCCGTCCTGCGTTTGACGACTTCCCACACCAACCATAATCCTTCCCCGACGTTTCTCGTCTTGCCGTGCGTCTAGCAGAGCGATGACCTCCATCGCATCCGCGCCTTTCCTGCGATTCATCTAACCCGTATCACCTACCCGCCGCCCACGAGTCGCGCGATCTGTCTCGCCCCGAACCGTCGCACATAATATTATTATTCTCTGGATCCCCGTCACAGATTGCCTCCCCAGCACGAGCGCGCCTTTTGCCGCCCGCCTTCGAATCTACACTACATCTACGAAGCGAAACATCGATAGAGCATGCGTGACCCGGTACGACCGGACTTTCACCTGCTCTAGTTGCTCCGACAGATACCTTAGCTACCCACGGTGTCACCAGCATCTGTCAACTCCTGGCTTGCATACGAGTCCTCTCTTGCCCAAGCAAACGGCCCCCAGGTGCTACTGTGCTCACCCGAGCTTCCAAGCTCTAGCGCAGGAACCCGGTTGCAGGCCCTTTGTCGCATCGCACCTCTCCAACCACAATGCGACGAAATCGCTCGTCCGGTTCGTCTTCGCCATTTCGAGCCCTGGCTCATAATCAGCCCCCCAGCAACCCTGGAGATTCCGTCTCCCTCATCCGCTCCTTCAATGTCGAGACCAATCCGGCTCGGCCAATACGGCCTTCGCCCCTCACGGCATCTACCATTCGCGATATGCCACTCGACTTGGTCGATCGTCTACGCTCCTTTCCACTCTTTCAATCAGCCCCAGAAGATTTCCTTGTCGAAATTGGCAACCACCTGAAACCTCAGGTGCAAGCCGCAAATGACCATGTTGTCAACGAAGGCGACGATGCAAAGGCCATGTATTGGCTCGTTCGCGGAGTTGTCGCGGTGACATCTCGCGATGGCGAGGCAGTGTATGCCGAGCTTAAATCTGGCGCCTTCTTCGGAGAGATTGGTGTTTTGATGGATATGCCCAGAACAGCGACTATTGTCGCTAGGACAAAGTGCCTCCTCTTAATCTTGAAGAAGGAGGATCTGCAGACAATCATGCCCAAGTTCCCACAGATGGAACAAGCCATTCGCGAAGAAGCACAAGAACGCCTGACTCTCTTGAAGAAGAAGCGACAAGAGGGGAACTCCTTGTTGAAATCACCGTCCGGCGACATTGGATCCCGAACCGCAGCACCAGGCGAAGTCTCGCGAGGCGATAGCGGCGCTCTCAAAGATGGCGCCGTCGTCAACTCTAAGAAGCGAAAGTCACCGAGCCCGGGTATTATCGAAGACCCAGCCGTTGGGAGCGCTATTGGCAGTGGATATGTCAATATTCGCCATACCCTCCGCGAGCTACCACTTTTTGCAGATCTCCCACCAGATATCCTCCATTTTCTCGGCCTCAGCGCTCAGCCTAAAATCTACCCTCCCTTCAACGATATTGTCAAGCAGGGGACCTCTGGTAGCGAAATTTTCTTCATAGTTCAAGGAGAAGCTGAAGTCATCCACCATTCTGCCAATGACTCGTTGTTCAAGAGCTTCCGTATTCCCAAGAGACCCCGGCTCAAGGCGGGCCAATACTTTGGTGAGGTATCAAGCTTGGGTCTCTCGCGAGAAAGGACTGCAACTGTGCGATCCATCACTACCGTGGAGTGCTTGATGATCCCTGGCAACACACTAGATGAGCTGTGGCGCCGATGCCCAGCAGATGTCAGGGCTCAAGTCGAGGAAACGGCCCGAACGAGGCTGAATCAGAAAGAAGACGACGTTGAAATGACCGACGCCGACGGCAAGCCTCGCTCAGCGTACTCTGATCCTCCCACGCCATCTTCCCCCTCAAAACCTCACCCGCCACACCTGGTGCTTACGAACCCATCCAAGCCCGCCTCTCCAAGCAAGGACGATTCAGATCGTATGGAGCCCAAGGACCCCGATCCATTCCTGAGCGTCAATATGGAAAATTTACGTAACAGAAGACGACACTCTCTAGCACCACCGATACCAACCCCTGATCAGTCTGGTAGAGTGAATGGAGGGTTGCCTTCGCCCGACGGAACGACGTTGAAGGTTGCATTTTCACAAGCCTCTCTGGACTCCGATATGCCTACGAAGCGCGCGAGAAGGAGCTCCCGCCCAACACCTGGATCAACCGGGCCTGTACTCTCCGACGCCATATTCGTCCGCATATTCGAACACTTTGATATTGTCGAATTGCTCAGACTTCGCATCGTGAATAGCCATTGGCGGCAGATCATTACGACCCATCAAGACGTCTGCAGAAATGTCGATTTGTCTAGCTACAACCGGTATGTCACGGACCAAGTTCTCACGCAAGTCTTGGCGCCATTCATTGGCACAAGAGCCAGGATGATCGACCTCAACAACTGCTTTCACATCAGCGATGACGGTTTCTCGGCTCTGTGGAAGAGATGCGGCAAGAATGTGGTCTCGTGGAAGATGCGATCAGTTTGGGATGTCTCGGCCAGCCAAATTCTCGACATGAGCGAGAACGCCAAGGAACTACAGGAAGTTGACTGGAGCAACTGTCGCAAAGTAGGCGACAATCTCCTGGGGCGTGTCGTCGGCTGGGTAGTTCCAGAGCATTCCCCAACAATGCAGAAGAAGATGGCGACGCAGTCACACAAGAAATCGAAATCGCGCCATGTTGAAACGGCAAAGGAAAACCCGCCGCCGCCGGGCACCGTGATTGGGTGCCCGAAGCTTAATACGTTGAACCTATCTTACTGCAAACATATTACAGACCGATCGATGTTACACCTGGCTGCACATGCATCGGACCGGATACGTTCACTTTCACTTACCCGATGCACATCCATTACAGATGCTGGGTTCCAGTCTTGGGCACAATACAAATTCGAAAAGTTGACATATCTTTGCCTTGCCGACTGCACATACCTATCTGATCATGCGATTGTTGCTTTGGTCAATGCCGCCAAGAGTTTAACGCACCTTGATCTCTCCTTCTGCTGCGCCTTATCAGACACCGCGACTGAGGTAGTGGCATTGGGGCTGCCAAAACTGCGCGAATTGCGCTTGGCTTTCTGCGGCAGTGCGGTTAGTGATACCAGTCTACAGACAATTGCCCTGCATCTACCCGAATTGGAAGGACTGAGCGTGCGTGGGTGCGTACGAGTGACTGGAAAGGGCGTGGAAAGTTTGGTCAAGGAATGTACTTGGCTGAGGTGGCTTGACGTGAGCCAATGCCGGAACCTGGAGGGATGGCTCCGAAACGGTGGCCCTTTGAAACTGGGCTCGGCAACTGAGCTGCAGAGCGGATGGTCTTCGGACGAAGAAGACGAAGGCCCCAGTTTCAGTCCGCCACGGTTCGGGCCGGCAGTGATGAGCGTCGATAAGCTCGCCAGCACTTCGAGCTTTGCGCACCGCACGGGGCTGGGAGCAGCAAGGATACGACGACAACCTGTAAATTTTATTGTGGAAAAGGGCCCGGTTGGACTGAGATAGAACAAGGTGACGACGCCAGTATATATACGAGGTTACGGAAGCAGGAAATGGAGATGATACCCAAACAGCTGTACTATGTGTAGACGACGGGAAGCAATTGGATATAATGGTTACGATGTTAGGAGCAAGAACTGGATGCTGATATGTTTTAATAGGGTGGTGTTTCGGGGCTTGCGGCATGGTACAGGCTGCGAGCGGCCGGAGCATGCGATCGCGGGGCGGACATTGCGGCCCCGGTTGGAGACAATTGCTGTCGGTCTGGGCGCAGTTTTGTGGCGAGTGCTGGCACGAAGATTCGACTCCGTTCCACTGCACGTGACCCCGGACTTAAAAACTGGCCACACAACGGCCGGCTAGCTTGCTCCGCCAACCCGGGTCACTTTCGTCATTAGCAAGCAGGCAATTGGTAAACGACTGCTTGGCCTGAGGCAACCTTGATATTTATTCCCACCTTCGCCCACATCGTCATCCATCAACCCTGCCCATCACATCCAAGCAACAACTCACATACGCACAACAGAACATCATGTCGTTTACCCTGAGTATTCGGCAAGGGCCTGCGCGCCTCGCGCAGCGTCTACCCGAACTCACCAAGACCAGCAGCTCCATACTGCGTGCCGTCGTCCCCGCACGGAGTTTCCACCAAGCCGTGTCCCGGAAGCCCATCGCATCCCGCATCACGACAACGACGACACGCAGCGCCTTTCGCCAGAACGGCATCCGCTTTTACAGCCAGAATGGTGGCCGCGGCCAGTATCAGCAGACGGCGTCGTCGACGGTCAGCAGCGGCACCCGCAAGCTGCTGGTCGGCGGCGCCATTTTTGGCGGCACGCTGATGGCCATCAACGTCGTCTTCAACCGAGAGACGCGCGACGACGGCGGCATGCCCGTATACGAGCGCGAGTACCTCAATAACACGTTCCTGCACACAGGTCTGGGCGTCGGCATCATCGCGCTGACGGCGCGCCAGATGGTGCAGACGGGCTTCGTGTACCGCATCATGACGACGAACCCGTGGGTGGTTGGCCTCGGCGGCCTAGCCCTGAGCTTTGCCACCATGATTGGCACTCGCTCGATTAGCCCCGACAAGTAAGAACAATACCATTCACCTTGGGCCTTTCTTTTCCATCTTGGCACAAATTGCTAACAAAATTTCGCAAAGCTACCTGCCCAAGTACGCCCTCTGGACCGCCTTCAACGCCACCCAGGCCGCCTTTGTCGCCCCGATGCTCGCCTTCATCCCCGGCGCGCTACTCGCGCGCGCTGGCCTCTACACCGTCGCCATGATGGGCTCGCTGGCCGTCGTCGGTGCCACCGCCAAGCAGGAGAAGTACCTGTACATTGGCGGCCCACTTCTGGCTGGCGCCGCCATCGTCGCCGCCTCGGGCTTCGCGCCGCTGCTGCTGCCCGTCACCGCCGTGCGCACGCTCGCCTTCACCGAGAACATTTGGCTGTACGGAGGCCTAGCCGTCTTTGGCGGCTTCACGCTCTACGACGTGCAAAAGGTTCTGCATCACGCACGCTTGGCGCAGGCCGGCTACATGAAGCGTGATCCTGTCAACGAGAGCATCTCGCTCGAGCTCGACTTCCTCAACATCTTCATCCGCATGGTCCAGATCCTGTCGATGAACCAGCGCCGCAAGTAAAAGGAAATCGGAGAACAGGCCGCGTGCGGACAGTGGCATGAGGCAGGAATTGAGAGGCAAACTGACCTAAGGAAAAGACCAACTTCTCCACTCATTCTTTGCGAATGCTACGAAGCTTGTGTTTTTAGTTGATATTCCTTTGTTGTTGTAAACTAGATATATACCAATGCATTAAAAAAAGTAAATGACCTTCAAGAGTGTAGCATGCTGAAATCTACCACCACTTTTCTTGCCAACGTGAAAACCAGGGCGTTTCTGCGACTACCCTGTACGGAGCGGATTATCACGGACAGATCTTTGCTGGCCATCAGGAAGCTGACTGAGAAGCTTGTTGGTCAAGGATCCCATTACTAAATGTAGTGCATGCTCAAGTGCGGGGAAATTTTAATTCTGCGCGGAAAATTGCCTCACTTGGATCACTGTGCAATGTTGGTGCGTTACAAGTCCGTCGGCTGCAGGTCCTAGATATGGCAAACTAGAAAGTAGAAGACGACAGCGAGGCTTCTGTATCTGGCATGCAGTAGTTTCACCGCAGCTTCCCATGGTGTAGGGATTGACTCTGCCAGAACTCTCACCTAGCACGTCATCAAGAACTGGCCTAGTTTGATGGGTATAATATTTAAGAAATATTACGAGATGCGGACACAAGGCTTGTAGGACGCTAACAGGAGGAGCAGGATCAACGTTTCCAATCGCACATTTTCTAGGGTCGATGTGGAGACCAATTCTCAGCTGGTTGCGGACAACCTAGGTGGATTAGTAGGCGGCGGAAGGCTATCTGGCGAGTCAATCTGGTATTTGGTCGTGGATTGGTGTGTGCTGGACAGTCGGTAAGTTTACTAGTTCATGGCATTTCCTCCAGGACAAAAGGGTACGAAGGACGACGCGGGGAGCTTGCAGACAGCCCCTCTGGGGGGCTGTCGGACAAGAAAACTTCCTAGGGCTGGGCGAACACTACCTGCTGTCGGCGCACGACGTCGTACTCGACGGCGGCGCGGGGCAACGAGACGATCCGAAGCGGTGGCATGCCAGACGCACCCGTCATCAACTCCAACCACTTGGCTGGGGGTTTGCGTGAAACGGGTGAGATGGTGGTGGCGGCGGCGGCGGCAGCGGCGGCGGCGTGCCGGGGCCGGGCCGAAAGCTGCCAGCACAGCGGTGCAGATTTATTCGACCTGGCTGCGCGACAATGTGAGCCTCGCATTCTATTTACGCGGGCTGCAATAACCGTGGTCGACACGCGCAGGTTGAGTGTGAAGCGTGCAAGGGCTGAGGGTTTGTGTTGTCGGGGGTGGTTTCCAAAAATCAATGACCTGCTCTTCGCATGGTTGAGGAGTCGGGGGAATGAGAGGGATGAAAATCTGGCTTGGTAGATCTTTTCTATTCCGAGGCTGACGATTGGTGCGCGTCGCGGTATGCTAGCGGAGAAGATTGCGGATGACATGCTCAACAATTCGTCGTCACTGACGGGACCAAGTCGGGGCTCGGACAAACATGCGATCGGGGCTCGTTCATAGTGGGCCGCTGCCGATATGAGCACGAAGCGAGTAGTACGATGGCGTTAACCAAGCCTCAACAGGGAAACCGAACCGAGATAAATGAGATTTATTAAAGGGCAAACATTTCAACGTGATTTTAATATCTGCGAAAATATGTCTCTGCTGCAGGTACACGCCAAGGATCAGTCACGGCCGGGGATGCCATGTCCGGTCCTCCTCCCTCGATCAGAATACAGATTACCTTGGTACGACGTAAGATATCCCGACAGGGGCTAGCACCCGGTATTGCAGAGGAACTGTGAGACGAACGATGGTTGACCGGCATTGGCACATGACCAGCCGCGCAGGGGGCCGACGAAGACGAGTTGAAAGAATGGATGGGGAAAAAATGGGTTATCAATCTGGACAGGGGTCTCAGTCGTCTTACTGTACTTGGTCTTGGCAGCAGGTGAGGAATAGTGCCTTATTACGAATAGTATATGCAGAGGGTACCTTATTATATTATAGTCATGTGTACTAACTATGCGGTGGATGACGGTGGCCACGCGATCTGCATTGCGTTGAAGAAGACGAAGGATGGCTCGAGTATCCCAACGAGGCAAGTTTGCAGAATGAGTGCACCAATCAAATGAGTTCCCATCTTCTGATTCTCGCGGCATTTACAAGCACATGACAGGCACCCCTTGGTACAACCCCTGGTGGGCAAGTCAATCCCTGGGGCCAGGAGGCCCAGCGCCCACAGGGTCGCACTGACAGAGAGGCTTGTTGGGGCTGTTGCAGGGGATTTGGTGATCAACCGTTGGCATGGTGGTATCCATCTGTAATTAAGGTAATCATCAATGGTGTTTTTTACACATCGTTTTCTGATCCGAGGTCCGTCGAGATTTGATTTATTGGCCGATTTTTCTTTTACAGCAGCAGGGGAGAGGCAGTCGGTAGACAATTTCGAGAAGGTGTGGCTAACCTGCCCGGGGCCCATGAGGATGTGATGGATGTTGCCGGCGGCTTGTCGATCGGCGCGGGCGGCACAGAGTACCTCTCGTAGGTAACTACCCAGGTATACGGTACTAGCTAGGGATAACGTTATTAGCACGTACCTGTAACACAGATGCATGCGGCAAAAGTGTTTGGGGTACACAAATCGCCGCCCGCTGCTGGTGGTCCCCGAGCCGGGCTGGGATTTGCTGGACTCGCCTCACCCTGGCTCGACCTGACATATGCAACTGGCAGCTTCGGCAGTGGGCAGTGGCTGGACTGGCTGCTGGCACTCGTTGCAGCCTGCAACCCACGCCCGCCCTAGTGGTGCGTTGTGCATCATCGCCACGCACCACTGCCCTGCTGCCGCCCATCAATCTTGCCTTGCCCAGCTTCCTGGATTAGTAGCATCTAGGTAGGTCCTCGCACAGTCGAGGGAGCTCTTCCTTGCCCGTTTATCTACCGAGACGAACAAGCTCTCTCCTGATCGTCTCTTGGCTTCTCTGCTCATTTATTTATCCGCCGCCGTCAACCACTTACCGTCCATCGGACAGGCCACTATATTGCCGCCACCCACGCGCCCCACTACCGAGACGAGGGTCTCGAGGTCGGTCCTCGGCGGCTTCGCTCACCAATTCATTTTTGTCGCACCTTCCCATCCGGCCATCTTCCCCGCTGCCCGTTGCCCTGGAGTCTTGTTACACAAACCCGAGAAGCAAGTCGGGATTATTCAAGCGAAAAGCCAAAGAGGGGAAAAGGACGATAGATGGAGACAGAGACAGTGCACAACAAATTGAGACAACTTGCTTCTCACCCCCTCCGTTGTCGACGCCTCTCGGGCCGCTTATCATCGTGCTAGCTGTCTTATTAGCTTGGCTGATCCAGACACCAGCCAAAACCTCTTTGACCTCTTTTTTTCCCTTTGCCTCACCAGCCCATCACCCCATCCATCCATCAACTCCATCCATCATCCACAATCTTCCTCCTCACTCCTCATCCTCCATCTTCTTGCGGGGCTCCTTACCATTCTATCCTTGGCGCCGGCCCGCCCTCTCTGATCCTCCGAATTCAAAATCCCCTACGCCAGGGTCCTTGATCGTTTTGTCGTCTTCTCACCAAACATCACTACTCGCTCGCTCGCTCGCACTCGCACTCGCCCTCGCACCCGCCCTCAACCATTCGCTCACGCATCGCATCGCAACCCACAGCACTGCGCTCGTCCTGCCGCTCCCCCCTTTCCTCCCCGACGGGCCAGCAACGCGACAACCTAGCTTGGGCTTTGGCTGTTGAGCCCGTCGCTGCCCACAATGTCAAGCGCCAAAGCCACCAAGAAGAGCGCATTCTCCTGCGAGCCCTGTCGCCGTCGCAAGGTCAGTCTCTCACTTCAATCGTTTGCATTTTGCTCTCTGCCAGCTATTGCCAACCCGCCGCCTCAACCTCCGAATCCGCCGCCCGCCCGCCACACCCGCAACCAAGAATCAACGCAAATAGCTGACCAAGGCTTTATTTTCCTTGACCGCGCAACAGGTAAAATGTGGTGGTGAACAACCCATGTGTCAGCGATGCGCCTCGCGCAATGATGAATGCGTTTACAAACTGTCAGTGTTCTTCTCTCGCCTCGTCTCACCTTGCCCGCTGCGTTGGTGACGCCGTTGCCCGCCCGCTAGACCGCCGGACGCTGACACCTAAAAACACCCCGCTAGTAACCCCACGCTCTCGTATACGCAACGCCTTGAGAAGCGCATCAAGGAACTCGAGGAGCAGCTTGCTTCCTCATCTCGGTCACCTCCTTCCATCACCGCATCGGCCCATTCCAGTCCTTCCACCGCCAGCACCGGTTTGAACGATGGCCGGTCACCTCCCAAATCCCATCCCGACGAGCATTCATTTAGTCGCAGCTTTAGCGGACTCAGGGTTGACGACAAAGGCCGCATAACGTTTGGAAACGGCGCCTGCGCTAATGAGCGACCGACAAACCCCAATTCCAGCGGCGTCTACACATCTGCCGAACTCGACCAGTCGATACGAGAGAGGCTTGTCGCCAACGCCATGCAGCAGCGCGCCCTCGAGAACTTTTCAGGAACACCAGTGCGTTGCTTTCCATTGCAAGACAGTCTGCCATCATGTTACTAACGTCGTCATTCCCAGGAGCCGTTTCAATACTTACTCAACGTCCATTGGTGCTGGATTCAACCACTGTTCATGTTCATTTATAGACCAGCCTTCACTCGTCAGTCACCCCGCCACTGCCCTTGGGATCTCCATCTTGTCGCAGGGTTTGGATTGACATACTAACCTCTCACAGGCGATATGCAGAATATGGGCCAATACTACTCCCATATGCTCCTCAATGCCCTCATGTCACACTCCGTCAACTGGGGGAGAAACGACCCGACTACGCGGCACCTCCTAGACGAGCACTACGGTGGCGGACAGATCTTTGGAAAGCATGCTAGGAGCATGCTCTTCGAAGACATGAAGCAAGGTGCTTGTACGATCCCCATGGTACAGACATTGCTGCTCCTCAGCGCCGAGGAATGCGCCTTCGGCAACACGATCCAGGCCTGGACGTACAGTGGTCTGGCGTTTCGTTTGATGGACAAAATAGGCGTTTGCTTTGACGGCCAACGGTATCACGGCGCTGTTCCGCTCAATGACGAAGACGTTGAAATACGTCGTAGAATATTTTGGAGTAGCTTTTTCTGGGACAAGATGTTGAGTTTGTACATGGGTCGAATGCCAACCCTGCATCTCACACCTGCCTCACCACCACTGGTCATGTGTACGTACCTCGGAACGATGCTCGTCTTCTTTTGTCCTGCCCACTCAAAGGCGCTAACACGGGGTGCAGACGATGATTCGGCCGAAAACGAGCCATGGGAGCCTTTTGGCATGCCGCCCGATGGCAGAACATGGAATTATCCACCCTCCACGGCCCACTCGGCCACCTGCTTCATCGCCATGATTCGACTCTCGCTCATCTTCAACGAAATCTTGCTCCACATGTACGATCCCGTCATCCCGAATACCGAGAACGAAATGATCGAATGCGTGACGATCCAAGGCCCGGCGCTGGATAAGTGGTGGGATGATTTCCCCCCATACCTCAAGATGGAGGCTACCAATCTCCCAGCTATTGGCCCACCAACACATCTCTTCACCTCGAAGTAGGTCATGATTCGACTTCTCGCTCGGAAAGCCTTGTACTGACAACCGACAAAGCTGCATATTTCACACATACAGGATACTGTTGTACAGGCCAATGCTCACGCGCCAGTACGAGACAGGCATCGATGGCCAGCTGCCGTGGAGCACGTATCTTGTCAACTGCGTAACATCGGCGACGGCGACGATTGCTATTTTCGATCTCTTTGCGAGGACGTACAGTATCAAATACTGCGCCTTGTCGATATCGTATAGCATGTATATTGCCGCCTCTGTGTTTTTGCTGCAGGTGAGGGCCATGCCAAGCGACTTCCAGGCCATCAGGCGCCTGGACTATTGCCTCCACATGCTGCACAGAGTCATGGTGTTCAATCCGAGTAAGTGATGGTCGATCAACATGTCAAGGGCAAGTCGCTGACAGAATGTGTGTAGTTATCGGTCGCTCCACGGATTTCATTTTGAAACAGCTCGTGGGTATCGGTATTTCGTTCGACGTGGCTGCCGGCTGCCTTGTAGAAACCGTATCGCGTCGCCCGCTCGCCCCTCAAAATACACAGCTTTATCAGCGCCCGCTCGAGTCGACCACAGAGCTTGCTGCGCAGTCCTCGACGCACGCCTTGTTTTACTCGACGATCGGCGACGACTTCGGAACCGGGGCTGTGCACCCAGACGTATACCATGCGATGATAGGCCTCGAGCCTGTGACAGTTCGCTTTTGTACGCTGGACGATTGAGCACTCTCGGATCGTGCTGGATCAAGAAGCGACACTCGTGCGCAGACAGGCAGGGTAAGTAACCCGTGCCAAGGCGTAGTCTTCATCCGCGTCTCTAAGCCCAGGCTTCATCTTTTGTTTCGGCCTATCAAAAATCATGACATAGGTGTCGGAAAAGATGAGAGGTTGCAAGTATGCAAATGCCACGCAGGCCCTTCCCTTGTCTTTATATTGAGCGAGGGAGGCTCCTGTTTATAATGCCCGAATGGGCTGCCCAGGGCGGGCTGCGGCCCTTGTCCGCGGATAAAGGTGGGCTCCTGGATAGGCCGAAAACAAGGCAGCGGGGACGCTAGTTCGGGCAACATCCGAAACCGTGCCGCAACAACCACATCCGCGCCTGCATCACCACGGAAGTTGACCGCTGCTAAACGGGAATAATATGACTTGACACGGGGCTACGACTGACATGCTACACTCAAGCATTTGGTGTTGATGCAGTGCAACTGTCTCACCGCTCAAGTGACACGGCATGCGGTCAGAGGCTATGTGTCAAGACAGGCGGAACAAACATGAGGGAGTGAATGCCGTTGCGCTGTGCGAGCGAGCACAGGGAGCACGAGTACCGACATTCTATTCACATGGTGGCGCATATTCCACAAAATCCAGGAAGCGGAGGTGCTTTTGTACCACTCGGCCGATATAGAGACCCGTATCCCCGAAGCCACACACAGCCTTATCCCACGGTGTTGCGCGATGTGAGAGCTCTGTGACTGCCCATATCAACAATACTATCAGCATTTACACTCTCAACATCATCAACGCTATCAACACTATTAATACTATCAACACCATCCGCACAATCCTTATCGTCCGCAATGTTAGGCTTCTCCAGACGACGGCCCGTCAGTGGCCCGCAGCTGAACTCGGGGACATTGTTGTGGCGGCGATCAATCTGAACTTGCAACCCCCCGGCGGCATTCGCTTGATATTTTTATTCATTTTGTCTACAGCATTTTTTGGGACGTCGGAGTTTGGGGCAAGCAAAATACTGGAAGCATGCTTTTTGATGAGACCAATGACGGATAAAGTGCTACGGAGCACACACTTTTGTCTAATTTTTATTCTCCTTCTCCTATAATGAAGGAATTACATAGATGTATTCGTGAATACACACAAAGTATCCACACTATAAGGGTACTAACGGCTTCACGGAGACGTGTGGATGAGGATACGAGGCCTCTGAGGGTGGAGGGATAACCCGGTCAAGCCCATGCAGGCAGGGGAGCGAACGAGCAAGTTAATCCACCCTTTGATTCTTTGCCCTTTCCCCGATGCATGCCAACCCAGTGGCCAGTCCGTTTTGCAAAAGTAGAGGAAGCCAAGGTCTTTTCTTGGCTCGGGCGTCATGCAAGCTAAGCCTGCCTTTCTCCAATTCTACAAACCGAGGAGTACGAAGTAACACAACATGATCAGCAGCGCGAGAGACCCATGGCAAATGACGCGCGTAAAGTCTTTACTCATCGGTCAGTGCCCGGCCGGCCGCTTCTCGCACCGCTGCTGCGGGCGACGGAACGGCCCCCCGCTCGCCTATTCCCTTGGCCTCGGCAACCTGGGCCGGGGGAAGCAATGCGGAAAGAAACCGTTTTCGTGGCTGAACTGACATGGGTTACGTACCCGTACGTGTTAACTCCGTCAGCTTGGTCACGGGGTGGTTGCATCTGGCTTCTCATAAACCCGTTGGCAAGCTTCCCACGGTTTGTAAGCACCAGCTTGCGCATGCTCCCGTTCTCGCTTGGACGTTTTGGAAGTGCCAAGGGATTTGCATATTGTGGCAAAACCGGGCAGTTTCCGAACACTCCTGCTGTATCCAGAAGCGAAGGCCGCAGCAGGTCGGCAAATGCGAGAATTGGGACACCGTGTGCTGCTCATGATATCCTTTCCAAATCTGGATATCGTGTCTCATTTCCTTCTGTCCACATCTGTTGTTGTCGTGTCGTGATTTCTGAACGAGAGCATGTTACAGTTACCTGGCCAGTCGAGGATGATTACGTGTACTCCCTTGGCGATGAGTTAATGCGGCTGCTTGCCACGAATCTGTATGGGCACGCCTTGATACGTGAAGAACCGCAAGTGTGGAATGCAAACTCTCCATTCACTATCCATTCACTCCGCCAAAGTCTTGAATTTTTGGGGGTGGCCGAGAGCTAGGCCATATGATGCGCTTGGCCAGACAGCGATCCGCAGTCGGCCGCCAGCGCTCAACGGTTTCTGTACACTGCTACCACAGGGGGCTGCAAAAACGCAAACGACACTCTGGAATTTACTTGTGGCAGAATCGACGACAGCCAAAAGGCTCTAATAAATATCTTATCTGATTCTAAAGCGCCTTGTAATAGCGGGTTTGCCCAGCTGACGAGATCTTTGGCAGGGAAGATGTACCGATCCCATACAGAGAGCCCCGGCGATGTCATTCATGGGCGACGCTAGCTTGCTTGCATGCCTGCTAGATAAGAGGGAGAAAGTATGGTTACTTAATAATGTGCTAAAACCTAGCGCGTCCAAATTTTGGTATATATTCGATAATATCATGCAAGAACTAATATGCAAGGAAAGGGTATTGAAAAATACAAGGTGCTGCCACTACTCAAACTTGTACGCGCCCATCTTCCGAGGCGGCACATGCTTCTGAAACATGGCATCAATCTCGTCAAATGTGCGGTCTTTAAGTTCGGGAATGAGAAAATAGCTTCCGATAGATGCGAGGAGACCCAGCCCTCCAAATACAAATCCGACCTTGCCCTTGAGATTTCCCTCGTCGGGATTGATCATGTAGGGGATGGCAAAGTTGAAAGCAGTACCCATGACAGCCTGGGTAGCCGTCGCAAGAGCGATTGTTTGGGCACGAAGAGTGGTGCTGCTCGTCTCTGAGAGGATGGTAAAGGCCATGGCCCCGAGAGATAGGAAATAGAAGAAGGCGTAAATGACAGTCAATGCTGCCTGTGCCCACTTTGCGCCACCCGTATGAACAAGGTCCAATATTCCGATGAGGAGCAGAATTGCAGTGAGTACTCCCATGCCGCCCAGAAAGAGTTTGCGGCGGCCAAGACTGTTGACGGTAAACCAGCTGACAATGTTGCCTGCTAGACCGCACGCGGTTACCCCAACCCCCATGTTGAAGCTGGAAGCTGTAGGCAGACCGGCAAGCTGGAAGAAGTAGCTGGAGAATCCAAGAACAAAAATGATGCCGACTAGGTGCTGACAGCAAAAGATAAACATGCTGATGACGGAGCGGATCAGGTTGGTTCCTCTGAAGCAGTCGATCAGCCTGCCAGTGTCGGACTTGGCAGCCTCCTCTTCTGCAATTGTGGCCTCCAGTGTTAGTAGCTTGGCGTCTGCATCAACGCCAGATCCGAACAGGCGGCGTAGGGCCGCCTTGGCTTCTTCCCGCTTCCCCCGGCGGGCGAGATACCAGGGAGATTCGGGAGCGAATGGCAAGAAGGCGAGGAAGAAAGCTGGGAAGAAGAGCTGGATCGCAAATGGCGCGCGATACGCCCAGCGCGAAGTCCACTCCCCAAAGCCGGCCACGGCCCCGTTGGCAATGAGCTGGCCAGACCCGAGGCCGAACTGAACGCCTGCCGAGGCAATGCCACGGAAAACAACAGGGCTCAGCTCTGAAGATACCAAGGGTGCAAGCGTTAGGTAGAACCCAAGCCCAACTCCAAGAATGAGCTTCGATATTAGGAATGCAGCCTTGGCGGTGGATAAAATCTGGCCGATAATACCACCAGTAGCGATAATAAGCCCGATCAGCAAAGAGGGCCGGCGACCGATACGGTCGGCTGTCCAGGCGCAAATGAAGCCGCCAAAGAACTGACCAACGCTGCTAATGGTATTGAATGCGCTCTGCCAATCAGCGGGGAGAATATATTTCTGGTCGCTTGGTCTGTAATAGCCAAAATCGCGCCGGAAAGATTCGACACCAATCATTGCACCATTGACCTGAGCATCAAAGCCCCTGCATCGTGTTAGAGCAATGTGCACAATAACCAGGTCAGACTGGCAGCCGTAGAATGGCCGAGGAGGATGTCACATACCAGCCTACTCCAGCCATAGCCCAGTAGAAAATCCACCAGACGAGGACGGGGTAATCTTTCAAGACTTGCTTCACAGTGAGCTCGTGCTCGGCCTTGTTGTCTTGCCTCAATGCATTTTTAGCCTGCATTACATCCTCGACGCCCGAGACGTGAGCCTCAAGTGTGGCATCGAACTTGTCATCCATGGTCGCGATTGGTAGAAGGACCGGTCGTCGATGGTACGCTATGGTGGTTCAATAACGTTGGGGGTTGTTGGTTTGCGGCACCATTTTTGGCGAAGGAAGCGAGAGTGTGGTTGTCGGCGTTTATTTATGATTCCAATGGAAACGGTGAACCTCTTCGCCGGCCATTTGAGGGAGCGGTCTTGAATCAATTGCCCAGGATTGGGTAAAGAAGACTAGCCTGGGGCCTGTTCAGCCCGCTCTGCTTAAGGAAAAAGGCTTGGTTGTGGAAGGCTCTGCAGCGAGCTATTTCGGACCGATTCTTAACAGAACCATATGGCAGCTAGGAACTGAGCAAGCAAGCCATGGAGAAAATCCGAGGTGATATATAGATGCGATGGGTGGGAACTGTTTCCCAAGGGGCGCCGTTTGCGGGGAGCCAGAGCGAGCGTTGAGATTGTGGAGGGCGGTTCTCCCCGACGGCGGCGCACACTTGCTTTCAGGGACCATGTGCGCCGTTCCAGCTCAATATGCGGGGAAAGACGAGATGATGCGGGGGTGAGACAAACGATGGAAATTAATGACAAAAATTGGGGGCGGTGATACAATATCAGGATGATGGCAGATGCTGAAGAAAGAGATACAGAGAATGTAAGGGGAACGCGGTTGTAGATGCTGTTTGGTGGCGGGTTGGTGGACAAGGGACAACGGAAGATGGCCTCCCCCGGCCCTTGGCAGCTGGCAGCTGGCAGCTGCGACCCCACCGTGTGGCAAAACTTTTCTCTTTGATTTGCCTCATGACATCTCATCATCACTATCACCAAAGTCAACACCATTGCCAACGCCATGAAAATGGGCAACTGCATATTTCCTCAGACAGCATCGATTTGCCAGCCGCTTCAGCTTCTCTCCGCGCCACTCCCCCCTGTGCTCACACGTCGTGACAGCAAAGTATGGCGCGTTTCCGGCCGCGTCGAAGGCTGAAGATTACACAACTCCCAATTCTCGGGTAGCTCATCCTATTCGGCCAGACTACCCTTGTCGTGGCTGTTTGCCATCACGAGGTGGATGGCTGGCCCGCCTCAGCGGAGCCTGTGCCTGCGAACGCCGTCGTCATCTAGCGTTGAAAGCTGGGGAAGCAATGCGTGTGGCATGCCTGAAGCAAGAGATATCACCAGTATTTTGCGGATATATCCCCAGGCCCCCCCACAGACAGCGCCACAGGCTAACTGTTGTCGGCTTCAGGCCTAGGAGCCCTGTATTTCAACAGCGACACTCCCCGACGCAGGACTACAATCTCCGTCTTACATGGCCATCGTATCTTCTACCTGGTGGACGATTTGACCAGCGGATGGGTAGTATCTATACAACCCAGCCCAGCCATGCCTTTGCCTACAATGACGGCTGGTGTGTTGCCAGCTGCAGCCTCGTCTGCAGCCCTACACGACATCCACAATACCCGAGTTGATGATTCCGCGGCATCACCTGGTAGCCTACCGGTTGATGCAGAGACCTCTCCCGTATCGCCGACAGATGCTGCTGCGCCAAGCCGAAGACCTGGAAAGCGCCCGGCTGCACGTGGTACAGCGTTCTATCCGCGAAAACGGGCCAACACCGCTTGTCAAGTCTGTCGCGCGCGCAAAACCAAGTGTGACAACCTGAAGCCCAGTTGCTCGTACTGTCTGAGTGTTGGTGCAACCTGCGTTCAGTCACCGGTCGACCTGTCGAGCTTCGATCCGGCTAGTCTCAAGATTTTGGAGCGTCTAGAAGACCTGGAACAGCTTCTGCGCGAGGCTGCAGCTCCTTCTACAACCAGGAACCCGCCGCTCGCTCTAAATCATGTCTCAAATCACTTGGTTTATACAGCCACTGAAGATCAGGTCTTGAACACACAGCTCTCCCCCGAGAATCCCCTACGCGTGAGCTCGAACGGCCACACTCAACCCCAGGAAGTTGAGACTGTCGCCGAAGTAGATGGACCATTCTTAGACAGTATCCTACCGCTTCGTGTGGATCGAATTCTTCAATGGCCTTTGTTTAACGATCAGGGGCAGAATGAGTCGCCTTACTGTCTCCCTGCGGACGCCATCTCTACACCGTCCGCAGCAGCGTCCGCAATGGCGGGTTTGGTAGACATGGAGTCTCACCGACTATATCGACTTCTGGACAATTTTTTCCTCTACATTCACTGCAAGAACCCGATTCTCGATGAACCATCTACACGCCGCTTAGTTGGTAATGCGTTTCTAAACGGCATTGATTGGTCTCCAGCATCCTGTCTGGCCATGATAGTATGCGCTCTTGGCAGTGTTGCCACACCATTTGGTGATAGCCATCAGACCAAGCCCGGATCACAAGCATACCAAGACTCGCAGGTCTTTTTCCGCGCCGCACAAAAGAGGATAGGTATTTTGCTGGTGAGCTCTGATATTGTTGGAGCGCAGTGCCTTTTCCTGTCTGGCGTTTACATGATGATGGTATTTCAGCCCATTTACGCTTGGCGGTATTTTTCGCAAGCACTGGCTGCCTGCCAGCACTTTCCTCTCCTTGCTCGAGCGCAACACATGTCTGGTGACTCGGATTTCTCCCCAGACTCAATGGAAATGGGACGTCAGGATACCCAGGAACAAGCGGTATACTGGTCGGCATGGAAGTCAGAAAGGGAGCTCCGAAATGAACTAAGCCTGCCAGACTTTGACATTGTTTATTCCGGCAGCACACTCTATCCTCCCTTCTTCCCGGCACCGCCGGTTCCACCAGCAAACTCCCCGGACGGCCCTGATTCAGAGGCACAGCGAGCTAAAGGCGCTTGGCTATATTACCTGGCGGAAATATCACTTCGAAGGCTAACGAGTCGTCTTTGTAGCGAAGTTACAAAGCTGCGCCAAAACACGCCCTCCAACTCAAGATTTCTGAAGCTGCTAGGCGATATGATCACAGAGTACGAGGGTCAGGCGCGCGAATGGTCCGACAACCTTCCTTCGGAACTATCTATACAAACTCCTGTGGCTGAGGACGGCATCTCGCGATCTGTCCTCCGGGGACGATTGATCAATTTGTATGAAATGCTCTACTGGCCTTTTGTCGTGGCCAGCCTAAGTGCTGCCGCCTCCGGTATTGCCGTGAGTGACTCGGTATCTCGTTTCTCACGCACGGGGCTGGAGATGCACGTCCATCAAGTTCATGTAAATGAGCCGGGTTTCTTTCACCGACACCATGGGTCGATGTTCATGATTCGGGCGTGCACCAGAAGTGCGTTGGTGCTTGTCGCCGCAGCGAAATCCGGCATACCAATGCCCGCCAACTGGCAACAGTCTGTATACAATGTGGCTGGGATGCTCACATATTGGGAAGACGAGGATCGTGATTTGATACAATGGAGGACAACTTTGGAAAACGAATTGGCCTCAATTTTAGGACGCTGATGTGAGATAAATGAGCAAACATTCGAGAAAGGACCCTTTTTTCTCTCGCACAAGTGCTTTGCGCACCAAACTGATTCTCCTAAGATTCTTGTTTTGAGCTACTCAATTGAAGCAAAGGCGCAAGTTGTGGCCAATAGCCCATCGCTCTGTCATTCTTCTTTGTGTGGGCTCCTTATTCACACAATCTAGTGCTTCTTGGCGCGGCCTTCGAGCTTCTCGAGCTTCGCAAACGCGTTGGTCGTCGCCCTAGCACTCGAGAGCAGCAGGATGGATGGGATGACGATCCAAAAGGCGTTGAGGAAGACGTAGTACCCGACAAAGTAGTACGGCTCCGGGCGGGAGAATTCGAGCCCGCGAACTGCGAACTCGTACGTGCATGTGCCGTAGTATAGGACGTCGCCGTAGAGCTGGCCGAGCGAGATGATGGACTGGACTGGGTGGCGCCAGGCGCGGCCGCGAACGACGCCGTACGCGCAGAGGAGGGAGAGCGGACCCCAGAGGAAGGCGGTGACAGCCTCCATGCACGCCAGGAAGCTGTCGCGGGTGAGGTAGCGCGAGTCGGAGAGCGAGTACTCCTTCCAGAGCTGGGAGAGGACGTGGGAGGAGGCGCCGATGTGGTGCTCGTGACGGGCGTAGTGTCCTGCATAGAGCTGTTAGCATTTGAAACTTTTTTATTCAGATTTCCCGCTTTTGCCGTTGCGGCCGTCTTCGTTTCTTCTCGTCGACGCACCTTCGAGGCCGAGATGGATGACGCCGCAGAGGACAAACCACAGCGCGGTGGCCACCTCGGTCGCGGGCATGGAGGGCCGCGCGCGACGGATGAGGACGAAGCAGGACCCCAGGATGGCGGTGAGCGTGGTGGTGAAGATGGCGAGAATCTGCGCCGTCGATAGCGTGTTGGCGACGTAGCCGTCAATGACGACGTTGGGCGGGTAGTACGAGTGGTTGGCGGAAGCCGTCATTTTTGATGACTCGAAATTGCTAAATCGAGATGGCGAAGTCGGGTGAGTTATTGAACTGTTACGGGAAAGAAACGAGGCTGGAATGCGAGAATATATATCTCTGTTTGGGGCCTTTCTGTTTATTCCATTGTGCCCCCATTGCCGAAGCTTGCCTCGATCGTATTCGGTCATCGCCTCATGTCGAAAATCCCGGATCCGAGCCGGATCTTGACGAGCGCGAATAACGCTGCGGAGTTGGCCCTGTCCCCCCCCCGATACGCGTATATCCAAAGGGCAATCTTGCATGAATAAAAGTCTATTTAATCCACAGATATTCATTGGTAGAATACAAACTTGACCGACCCGATCGACAGGGCCCGAGTCCGAGGAGGGGATCCACCTAAGGAAATCACTTCGGGGCCGAGGACAGCGAGCTGAGAACAAACACCCAACCCCTTCTCTGTTCATACACCGCGAAACTGCAGCATTCACCTACTCCAGCGAGTCCAGGAACCGCAGCAAGTCTTTCCTCGTCACCATGCCGACAAACTGCGAAGAACCGTCTGCCACGACCGCGACGTAGGCCACTCCTAGCTTGCCAAACATCTCCACGGCGTGCTCGATGGGCGCCTTGGCCGACACGCACACCGGGCTCCCGTCGACCAGCTCGGAAAGCTCCCCCGCAGAGAGGTCTACGACACCGCCCCGCTCCGCCGTCGCGTCCTTGTCGGCGGCGGCCACGATGGTGCGCAGGTCGCCTCCCCAGACGTGGCCGCAACAGGTGCCCCTGTCGTTGACCATGGCGAACCCCGGCTCCAGTACGTTCCGGGCAGCAGCCTGCGCCAGCTTGCCGCGTAGGTGCGACGCGCTCGCCTGGCGCTCCGGCGTGACCCGCAGCGTCAGCGCGTCGTCTCCCTCCCCGTCCGGCGGCGTGGTCAGCAGCGCCTCGACCAGCAGCGGCGGGTGCGTGCGGGTGCGCCGCCGCAGCGTCTCTAGGGCGCGCTCCGCGTCCAGGCATGGGTGGCCGACGAGGCTCTGCGCGACGTCGTAGACGCCGTCGGGGCTGATGACGTCGGCGACCCATTTGGCCGTGAGGATGGCCACCATGAACGGCGGGACGTAGCCGACCTCGCCCGTCAGCTCGAACATGATGACGGCCAGGCTGACCGTCATGCGGCACACGCCCGCGAGGAACGCGGCCGACCCGACCATGGCGAAGACGCCCGGCGACGACGACGGCACGAGCTGCCCGACCATGCGCCCGAATAAGGCGCCCGCGTCGAGAGCGGGGATGATGACGCCCGACGGAACCTTGCAGCCGAACGTGATGATCGTTAGAACCAGCTTGACGAGCGTTCCCGACACCAGCCAGGCGTAGTATATTCCCCTGCCGTGCGTGCGCGCCTCAGCGGCGCAGATCCAGTCCTCCTCCACGCTGTTGCAGTCCACGAGCAACCGCTCCATGACCTTGTCGCCCGTCTCGCGGATCAGCGGGTTCGGGTACTGCAGCAGCGCCGTGGCCAGCGCGACGAGGCCGACCTCGAGCACCGGGCTGCTGCGCCGGATCAGCGGCAGCTGGCGAAACGTGCGCGACCAGAGCGCGTTGGCCGCGCAGAAGACGCCGCCAAAGACGCCGCCGCAGACACCCAGCAGCGCGAAGACGGCGTAGTGCGCGGCGTCGTAGTTGACGCCGTAGCTGGTCTCGAAGAGCACCAGCTTGCCCGTGCCGGCGGGGTTGAGCTCGCGCAGCGCGGCCGCGGCGACCAGTGAGCACAAAAAGGCGCGCCACAGTACGCGCCGCGGGAAGTAGGTACTGATCTCCTCGTAGCTGAAGAGGACGCCGCCGATGGGCGCGCCGAAGGCGACGGAGAGGCCGGCGGAGCAGGCGACGCTGAGGGCCTCGCGCGCGCGCATCGCGTTCTCAGCGCCGCCGCGGTCCGGGGCAGGCAGCCAGCGCGAGACCAGGTGCCCGATGCAGGCCGAGATGTGCACAAAGGGACCTTCCTTGCCGAGGCACATGGCCGTGGCGACGGCGAAGATGGCGCCGACCGACTTGACGACCATGACTTTGAGGCTTAGCAGGTGAGGGATGTCGAAGCCCGAGAGCACCGATTTGATCTCAGGGATGCCGCTACCCGTCGCCATGTACATGGTCTTGACCACCACGGTGCGCTTCTGCTCCTCCGGTGCGATCCGGTCGCCTTGCTCCGCGTCCGGCGCGTCCACCACCAGCTCGTGCCGGGTCGTCATGGACAGCGCCGACGCCACGACGCCAAAGGCCACGGCCGTCGCGACGTAGATCAGGTACGCGCCGGAGAAGCTGTCCGCCCACGGCCGCCAGTGCCGACACGCACCGCCGCCGCCGCCGCCGCCGCCGCCGCCGTCGTCGTCATCGTCGAGCACGCAACACGCGCGCCTGCTCAGCCAGAAGCCGCCCGTGGCGGTGCAGCGACCCGTCTTCCAGTCGGACAGCGTCTCGACGCCGACGTCGACGATGAAGGCGACGAGGGCCGTGAGGCCGCCGACGAGGCACGCGGCGAGCCAACCTTGAGCTGCCGGGGTCCACCAGCGGGACGCGGCGCCGGTCTCGGCGTGGCTGCTCTGGACGAGCGCGCGGAGCCAGTCGGCGGTGCCGTAGCCGGTGTACGGGGCGAGAGCGGGCTCTGTGGAAGTTGAGCGGCGCTGGTTGCGTGCCCGAAACTGGTTCTCGGCAGCCTGTTTAGGAGAAGAATTGTCAGACGTGAATCCCGGCAAGACGTTGTCTGTAATTGCTGCTGTTGGCTGGCGGGGGGCATGAGGTCATACCAGGAGAGGGGCCGTCTCCGACACGCTTGCCGGAGCCATTGATTACGATGGGGGAGTGGAATTTGGAAATGCAGGAATCAATAGGTCAGTAGATTTATTTTGAAGGAATTGTCAGTATGGCCGTCCATGTTGTACTTGAATTCCCCTGTTGTGCGGGCTTGTCGCCGCGGAGAAGTTGATGACAAGTCAGTCAGGTGCGAGCGTCGTAACCTGTCATATGATGGGCACTGGGGGCAGGACAACAGAGGATCGCCGCGATGCACTGGCCGGGTATCTGCAGGGACTCGTCATTTGCGGGGTATTTGGTAGGAATCGACGTGTTTGAGCGACGGTTTTTCTCAATATGGGAAACCGTTGGCTTGGGGTTCTAAGACACAGTGTTACGCGAGGTGATGTCAAGCGGGAGATGACGCATGGCCGGAACAGTGAGTTAGACGACGGGACGATTATGGCTTGGCGGGCTCTTTGCATCATATTATAACCCCCCTTTTTGCTTCGTTTTTTTATTTCCTAAGATTTCATCGTTGACATTTTGTGGTATTTTCCTGTCCTAGATGGCTTCCTATCTAAGGCCACAGCAAGACAGCCAAGATACTGTCAACCCCGCGGCGGCTCCACTGCGCTACAAGCTCCCGTCCTGGAGGCTTGAAGCGCCCAAAAAAAAAAGTAGCCTATTTGGAAACATCTCTGTCGTCATGTCAATGAGGCAAATCATTCTTCGTCATCACCCGCTTTGATTCCATTCAGCATCCATCCTCGTCCGCAGAAGACCTCAAATCCACCCTTTTTCTTCTACAAATCGCTGCTTAATCTGTACTTCTTTCTTCTATATAAGAAACACCATCCATCCGTTCATCCATCATCCATCACGCCATTGCCAGACCCATTTGTCAGGAACAGCTTCCCCCCACCAAGCAATCCACCACCACCGCATCACACCCTGCCAACTTGTTAATTTTTTTTTTCTTTCTCGCCTTCCCTTTCCCTCGCCAGCGATGCCCTTTACGTCCTTCATCAACCGCTTCTTCACCCGCTCCTTTGGTCTCTCCCCCAAAATGTCCATCGCTCCCGAAGCCGGATCCGGTGGCGCCGCCTCCACCACCACCACCGCGATCCCCGACGGCGCGCAGCTCTGCACTGTTGCGGCCGGCTGCTTCTGGGGCACCGAGCACCTCTACCGGCGCCACTTTGCCGGCAAGGGCCTCCTCGACGCCAAGGTCGGCTACATTGGCGGCGACCTGAGCGACCCGACCTACCGCGCCGTCTGCGGCGCCCCTCCCTCTCTCTCTCCCTGCCCTACTGACAAGCGCAAAAAAAGACGCCGAGGCCGCGCAGATCGTCTTCGACCCCAAGCAGGTCTCGTACCGCCAGCTGCTCGAGTTCTTCTACCGCTTCCACGACCCGACCACGCTCAACGCGCAGGGGCCCGACACCGGCCCGCAGTACCGCTCGGCCATCTACTACCACGACGCCGAGCAGGAGCGCGTCGCGCGCGAGGTCACGGCCAAGGCCAACGCGCAGTGGTGGCGCGGCGGGGTGGTCACGGAGATTGCGCCGGCAGGCCGCTGGTGGACGGCGGAGGAGTACCACCAGCTCTACCTGGACAACAACCCGTCGGGCTATGAGTGCCCGAGCCACTTCCTGCGCCCGTTCAAGCCGCTCGAGTGACGGGGTGCGTTATTATAAACATGATGAGTATTATGTACATACTAGAATCAAACTTCTAGCTCACTAGCCCTTTTTTAATAAATACTCCTTTTTTTTTCAATTATCCGAGTCCCCCGGAGAATCCTGAAAGCGCTGTTGTTACTAATGAAAGATGTAAGGAAGACAGTATATAATAATATATAAGAGAGTGCTATAGCTATCACATTTATCATAGCTATTATGACTGATATGGCTTTTATCTTTTACACTTTCTTACAGACTTGCGCTGGACCCAGCTATCCATCACCCTACTCCTTCAATCCAACCACACAGATACGGAGCTCGCTGCTGCCCACCTCGAGGCAATCTCCTGTCCAGAGTCTCCCCAGTATGGCAAGTACTGGAGCGCTGACCAGGCCCGCGACTCCTTTGCGCCGTCACGGGAGCTGGTTGCTGAGGTCGCTCGCGCGGCTGGTTGCATCAGGCGGGAGTTCCCGCAAGGTCTCTACGAGTGTCGTTCGATCGGAGTAGGGTCTCTTTTCAGACGGCTGCTCAACATGAAAACTTGATGTTTCGCACAACGGCGTATGGGCACCAGGTGGATGGCAGATCAAGCATCTCTCTTGATGGAAATAAGCTGCCCGAGTCCATGTCTGAGCATATACACGCAGTGCATGTTGTACATGCAAAGACAAGGATGTCTGCTACCAATGGAAACAGAAAATTGACCCTGGGACAGCCTTTGAAGCTCTCTGCGGCCACACCCAACATCACACAGGTTGACTGCTTTAAGCATATGAGTCCAGAATGCTTACGGCTGCTATACAACTTCCACCCGCTGCAAAACACCGCGCACGCAGGACGCAGCTGCTTGCGCCGCAGCGTCAATGGTCTCCTGGCATGCCGTTTCCCAAGCAGGCTGCGTTTCATCAACGCCTCGGTGACAACGTGACCGTCTCCAGCTTCGGCGGTGGCTTTAGCAATCTGTTTCCCGCGCCTTTCTACCAACTCCCTAACGAAGTCTACTATAAGACTCTTCCCGTTGAAGCTGTAGAGGTGGTTTGTTGTTAGAGTGGGGATACCAGGCAGGACAGAGAAGGCTGTCCCAGGATCTACAACATTGAACTGAACAATGAAAATGTACACCAAGAAGTTGAAAAAAAGGTCAAAAATGCAACAAAAAAAGAAATAAAAAAAACATACAACAGCCGGTGTTCGCTGGTCGTCACCGACCCAACTACTACTAATCTGCCGATTAACAACAGCTTGTCTATGGGGGAGCAGACGGGACCCCGAATTCTCTGTTATCTATGGTCGTATGTGGTGGTTGTTGGTCGGTTACTGTATATAATCTTTTGCGACAGAAGTTTAACGAGCTGCTGCATTTTGTTGAGCGTGGCTGGATTTCAGCGACTGCTTTTTTGTATGATTGTATAATTTGGTGTTTATTATTCATAACATACACTTCCGGCGTTTACACGTCGCATAGATACCTCCAAGTTGGTGAAGTTATCCACTTTGCTTAAGCCTGGCAGAGACCGTCGTGGACGCTGGCCGGGTTGGAGGTGGCATCGCCCCAGTCCATGCCCTTCATCAGGCGGCCAATCTCGGTGCTTCCGTCGGCACGGAGGTAGTCGCCTACAATAGCAGAGTTGTCAGCAAAGGGTTCATGATACCGACCAAGGTTGAAATCATACCTCGCTGGGGCAAGTACCACCAGTCCTGGGAGCGGAAGGCGTTGTTGGTCAGCTGCGACAGGGCGTCGTTGAAGCCCTTGTAGTTGACAAGTTAGCACATATTCCCGGACAGCACTCGGTTCAGAGGCGGCCTTTCTCCCCTCTCAGAGCTTACCGTGTTGCGCTCGTTGTGGTGGTCGTGCTTGGCCCAGGCGACGTAAACCTTGGCGTGGTTGAGGTTCTTCTGGCCGTTGGGCCCGCCCAGCTTCTGGCCGGCCGTGTCGTCGTTGAAGGTGTTTTGGATCTGATCCCACTCGAGGGTCTGGTAGCCGCTGTGCTGCGACAGCTTGATCTCGGCCGGGCGCCACAGGCCGTCGTCGGACTTTTTCCAGATGACGATGACGCGCTCCCAGTCACTGTTCATCACCATAAGGTTAGCCCGCCCTGCCCACTTTCATCGCACCGTGGGAAAGCTTACTAGTGATGGCCAAACACCTTGGCAGGATTGAATCTAGAGGCACGACCCTTGGTTAGCGGCCAAACTCGCGCATTCGATGAGCATGTGGTCATCTCCAACTCACCCGTCCTTTTGGTAAAACAGAGAGTACTGGATGCGGATGCTGGTGTCGGTGCACTTTTGGTACGAGTAGTAGACCGGGAACGACGGCGCCGGGTTGCCGATGGGCACGCCCGGGGTGCGGCAGTTGCAGCCGGCGTCGGGCCAGTCGCACAGGTCGGCGGGTGGCGTCTGCTTGTTGTTCTTGTCGGTGGCAAAGGTCGGGATGCAGGGCGGGTGGTTGAGGGCCTGGCCGAAGAAGAACATGGGCGCGGCCTTCATGGCCAGCGAGACGCCGCCCTCGTTGAGCAGGTCGTTCATGTCCTTGTCGGAGACGGGCGTGGTGTTGGCGCCGGCCAGCGAGAAGAGGCCGGCCGCGGCGGCGATGATGCTCGAGGAGACGGAGATGCGCATCTTGTCTTGTGTTTTTTGAAAAACGATTGAAGTGCAAAAAAACGACGAGCTGGCTCAACTGGACGTTGACTTGATAGGTCCGGCCTCTTTGAATACTGACGAGAGCGGTTGCGGCAGCCATATATACTGACGGCCTTGGTTTGGGGAATCATTTTCCCGATGTGGAGGTAAAGCCGAGATCACTTCCGGCAAATATTCAATGCAGATTAATTTTCCACCTCTCGAGGCATGTCCTGGCGCCATCTCGGCGCGATAGTGCTTACAGGTTGCATCTGGATACCCCAGTTGTGCTGCCACTAGCACGGCATTCGGTGTTAACTCGAGTAAGGTCAGGCATGATTATGAGGAAGATTAGTTGAGAAATTCGGTACAAATAGTTTATGAAGTACCGACTAGGTAGAAAACTAATTGCTGAAAATGTAAGCCAGTCCAACGGTCACGATCGTCCAGGACTGGCTTAAGCCGTACCTGTCCCTGACCTCACAACAGACACAGCAGATTAGAGCCACCAATGTGCAGCCCTAGATTAAGTTTAGGCGGTACCTATTCTAGATGCTACAGTACGTCCCTAGGGATTGGATACAGGATGGCGTTCTCGGTACGACTTGTACGTTTCCCCAAAAAGGTCTTCAAAGTCCTGATGCGCGCCAGCGTCGATCAAAACCTGCTCGATTTCACGCGACCGCGCCGCGAACAGCACAGGACGCCGTCTAGGCAGCACTGGCGCATTGATATCCAGACCAGGCCACTGGGCCAAGATGCGCGTCGCCTTCAGCATTCGGCCTCGTACCGCTGTAGCTAGTAGGAGCAACACGTAGTCCTTGCCAGACTCGGCGTATTGCTCCAGACCCTGTTCAATATGCTTCGTCAGGGGAACATTGCTGTTGGGCCTCAACGCCACACGCAGCTTTTCAATCCAAGACAACTCGTCTTGTATCTCCTTGGGCATGGAATCGCTCCAATTTCGGCGCAAGAAAGCCAAAATCCAGTTGTCGGAGCCTGCTGCCGCCCGTTTCCAAGCTCGAGGCGTCAACCGTACAGCGCCGTGGGCCCGTTCACCAAGCATTTCCATCATGACTCGAATGCTCGATTGCTCTGCTGCCTCGGAGTCTCTTCCCAGCAAAGCCTCGATAAACGATTCGGGGATTTCATCGGGGCAAATCTTGAGCCCATGAAGAAGCAGTTCAAGAAACTTACCCGCTTTCCCGACATCCTCGACCCACGCCACTGCTTCCCATACGTCCGGCCTCATGGGCAAAGCGTTTTCATAGCTATCATGAAGTTCTTGGAGAATCGTTGGCTCGTCTCGGATACTCAGATTGAGGTAAGAGCACTGATAAGAGCACTGTATCAACGCTATCACGGCTGTAGAACCGATCCCCAATTTAACCATTTTCTTTAAAAGGAACGCATCACACTCAGGATTCGCCAGCGCCGCCGCTAGAAGCTCCTTTGTAACGCGAAACTTGTCCCCAAAGCAGCGAGCAAGCAGGTCGAACGTTCCCCCCAAGTCCCTAGTAGGCCGGTTTGTCCCCATTGTGTGCACTTCATCACCACACACGGTATAGGCCTCCAGCCTATAGCCCTTTGACAGGAATAACGGCGCACTCTCCTCCGTCACTTCAGTCACATTGCCATCAGCATCATGCTGCGCCACTGTGATTCCGTCTCTTGTTGTTGGCAGGAGAGGGCTGCGCAAGGACGCCGGAGAAATAAAAACGCCATTCCGCCTCAGCAACAACACAACACTCGTCTTTGGTCGCTCCAATACTACCTTATATTCTGGTGCCTTGTTTGAGCACTTCAGCAGAAATTCAACGATTGACCAACGGCCACAATCCACTGCCCAGTCCAGAGGATAAAGCCCTTCGATTCGTATGTGCCGGTAGCTTGCACCCTTGGCTACAAGTAGCTCTGCGACCTCTAGGTGGTTCTTCACAAGCGCAACAGACAATGGAGTGAGGCCATTTCCCACGGTTTGCTCGTCAATGACAGCTCTGTCCATTCTCCTCCGGAGCAGAGTAGTAACCACCTCAACATGTCCCTTTTCTGATGCCCAGAAAAGAGGAGACTTGTTTTCGAGATCGCATGCCAAGGTTTCGACCCTGATATCTTTCAACAAGACGTCTACTACCGCTCTATCGCCCCTAGACGCAGCATAGGACAACGGTGTCCGCCCGAAATGATCTGGAAGCGTGGGGGAAGCTTGCTGGCTTATTAAAAGCTTGACCATTGTGGGCTCTCCAAATTCCGAGGCCCAGCTGATTGCTGTCCGGCCGATCAGGTCCGGCCCGTTAATTTTGGAACCAACTCCCAATGCAGCTTGAACTACCTCTGTCCATCCTCGCTCGGCAGCGTAGGAGAGCACAGTGCGACCATTTTGGTCCGGTTTCGATACTTTGATGCCTTGTTGTGAGAGAAGCCAGAGAGTTTCGTCCCTTTTATGATCAAATATGGCCTTGATAATATCTTTGGCCGACGGCGGTCTTCTACACGGCTCACGCTCGGAAAGGTCGGCGTACCGCTGGATAACTTCGATAACTTGTTTCGAATCTTCATCGTTCTGCTCTATTAGACGCTCCATCGCAAACCTCAGCGAATCCAATCCACCTTGGGCAAAGAAGGCTTCCGGTCCGCACAGCAAGGAGCGATACAGCTCACAGAGCCGCAACACGATTTCGGCCCGTGCTGAACTGCATTCCATGTAACCCTCCACATGATGATAGGCCCAACGCAGAAGGGCCTCCGCTGTCTCGTATTGCCTTTCTTTTTTGTGGCTCTCAGCTTGTCTCAATAAAACTTCAAGAGATTCTATTGGAGAGGAAAGTTTGGATCTGCTCCGTAATGCCGAAATGACGACCAAGGATGCCTCTTGTCTTGAACCAAGCCCACTCTCCTCAAAACAGTCAATCAGCTTTGAAATGACGTCGTTCTTCAGAACAAACCGCTCTATCCCTAATCCGGCGGCTCCTTTAGGACCAACAGAGTCCATGATCGCCGTGATGGAGCAAAGAAACGACTGATAGATGTCTTGGGCGCAGAGGGTAGGCAGAGGGTTGTTGCTGCTGTCGCTGACTGGGAAGGTCGAAATCAAGGTCAAGAGCTCAGTATTGTTCAAGTCAACATCATGCCGCACCCCTTTCGTTGTTTCCCAGCCAAACAGTCGTAGCTGGGGGCCGACACTCTTTGCTGCAAGAACTTTGAAGTCAGCCTCGTCATCTTGCCACACCACACTTGGACCTTTATGATACGGAGACAAGTTCGAGGCCAATCTCCTTTCCGTTGTCTGCACGAGGAAGTCCCCTATCCATAGCTCCAGGTCCACCTTGGCTCGCTGCAAGTCTTTTGCATTCTTCGCCGCCGCCAGGATGCGTCCATTTGGTACTCCTGCCGCTTCTGAAATGGTAAGTCCGAAATTGTCTTGTGTCTCCTTGATAGGGTGAGAAATCATGCTCCATGCCGAAAGACCGATGACGGCTTCGAGAGCGTGTTGATCAGCCTGCCAGGAAGATAGCGTTTTGCCTTTTACAGGCCTAATTAGAGATAAGTGTATCTCACAGGATGTTTCCGACTGAGATTGCTGGTGTGTCTGGGGTGGCCGGGATTGTTCGGCCTCCTTATCTTGGCAATGTGAAAAGCCCGCAGCGATCCTTTGATCTGACTCTTCTGTGTTCGCCGTCGGTTGGCCGTTGGCAGCTTGATTGCCGAAGCGGGATTCGACTCGATTATGGGAGCTGAGCGACCAGGTAAAGTGCTGCGCAGCTTGGTAGACCTCTTTGACCATCCCATGGGCAAAGAGAATATCTGCAGTCGCCTCGATGGCCTTTTTCAACTGTCGGGCAGGCGGTCGAGCTCGTACCAGTTGATCTCCCCGTACGTTGGAGCGGCCGGCCCGGGACGGCTTGGACTGGCTGGTCAGCTGTGCAAGCCGAGCGCGATAGTGGAGGAGTGTAGCAGGGCATATATGCTGTTTCGGGTCCTTTCTGCAGTCGGTGTGTTTGAGCCAGTTCATGTGCCCAGCCTTGATCATCCTGTCACTGGCCGTGGAGTGGGAGGCGGACCTGAGGATATGGATTTGATCTATCGGCTTGTCACACTTGTCGGTTACATTAACCGCGTCCGTGTTTTGTGGATTCCCAGCGTTGGATATCATTTCGATGCTCTCAACAGAGCTTGTCGTCTTATTTCTCTCCTTCATGACTTTTGATTCGGTCACGACGTTGGGCTTGGCGCCGCTCGCGACCTCGGCCTTGCCATGCCCGGGTCCTTCCATATCGCGCGTGCTTGACTTTCGCTCTGCATCAGCAACGACTGACCAAAGCAGTGCGCTATTCTTCGGGTCGTAATCACCGTCCCCGCCAATTTGAATAGCGAGCCAGTCCAACTCAGAGCCCTCCACCTCATCCGGGCGATCTTGTAGGCGATTTTCTTCCTTTTTAAGGCGCTCTGTGCGCAGCATGGATCGAGCAAGGCTCATCAGCAGGATCGCGCCGAGCTGGGTAACCGAAACTGACGAGTGCATATATCGCAATCCAGTAAACTGCGCGGCGAATCCGACGAGGGTCAGCACTACGCTGCAGTATACTTTCCACTCAGTTGTGCGCTTCTGGGTGTCCTTCCAAGAGGTTGTGTATTCCTCCAGGGGCTCTTTTGGGTCTGTTGCGAACGAGAACGGGTCAAACGTTTGATCTCCAATAACTTGGTTGCCTGGTTGCACGACGCGCAGCATAGGGTCGCCTTGGCCCGTTGCCTTTCGCTTGAATACCCTCTCTTTGGTGCTTCTCTCGACCAACATGGCGCAGAGATACATGCCAGAGCATTGAGCTACAGTTCCAGCCGCCATCAAACCCAAAGCCCAGTCTGGGGTAACGCGATCATTCTTTTTCCAGCGCCAACGGTATTTCACGAGGGCGGCATAGGCAATGATCCAGCATTGGAGGGACAGCCCTAGCCCTGCGGCCAACCTCATCCATCGCGGATGTTTTTTGATGCCAATATTGAGAGACAAGTTTGGGTTTAGCGCGAATCTTATCTCGTCTTTCGCGGAGCTAGGGGGTTTCTGGCCGTCTCTCGCAGCCTCGACATCGTCGTCTGCTTCACGGCTTCCCTGAACGGGTTTGCCATCTTCTGTCCAAGCGGAGCCTTTGGGCGGGTCACCAATATATTCTTGAAACGAGTAGATGCCAAAATTCGCCGTCTTATCATCTTCGTCGTAGAACAGTGCGTCAGTGGGGTCGTGAACGATTTCTAGGATCTTGGGGCGGCCAAAGACGCGGACAATGGACCCGTTGTGGTAGAGCTCGCAGACATCTCGACTCGTGGAGGAGCATAGCTCTGCTTCGGCGACACCGCCGCCTTCTTGGGCCCGGCCGATGAAGGCGCGCAAGGATGAGCCGCCACAGACGCGGATGGCAGAGACGACGGCAGTTAGTATACCGAGGGGCACCATGGCGAAGATGAAGTTGTCGAGCCACGACGTGGACTCGCTCAGAAACTGTTTAGTGACCTGCTCACCAAAGAGGGCTAGGATAGGGGCGAGATCTGAGGCGAGGTTGTTGGAAAAATCATCCCATCCATCCGCACAGGCAAGCATGGCGAGACAAGGCAAGAGTAGGACCCAACGTCGACGCATCATGGCTGAGTTCTGCGAGTGAGATGCGCTTTGTGTGATGATACACGCGAGATTAGGAAGCTGATTCAAGTCCTGAACATGGTTGAACATGAGACGATGCAGGAGAGACAGTAAGGAGCACAACATCGGAAGGCTTTCAATGTTTGGAGCCTTGCTCTCCTTCGGCGCTTCGCTCCAGCGGCTGACTGGGCTGAGACGTGGGCCATGCAGATATGCCAGCCAGCTCAAGCATCATCCCGATACAAGGAACCCCATGCCCTCCCGCTGTGCAGCTGTCCTTCGAAAAGGGGAAAAATGATGTGCGGGATTGGCCATAAGCCTGCAATGAGTAGGGAGCACCATCGTCAATCGAGGAGATGTATACGTAGCCCAGAAGCAGAAGCCAGAGGGGAGCTACTTTGTAGACCAAGTAGCTTGGCTATGAATAAAAGATGTTCTGCTGCCGATCATCATAGGCTGCGAGACAAAGGCAGCTGCGAAACAGGGAAGTTACAGTACATGCCAGCCACAATGTAAATTAATATTGTCAACGGCAGTGAGCAGGATTCTGGAGAGAGAGAAGCTGTTCTGATGGAGGGCTCTCTTGTTCTCTGCCCACGCCCACCGCCTGGTCAATGCTTACCAGGCGTGGTCAGGTCGATAATACATTGTATGTATATCCAAGCAACATGGACGGACCTGTGCACGCATATTCACCAAGATGTAATTTTTTCTAATTTTTTTTCTTTCTTAAACGATAGTATTAAACAAAAAATGCTTCGTATCATGCACCAATAATGAAACCCGTGCCAGATCGCGGGTTAAACAAATGCGCCAGGTTTGCAAAGTTTCCCAAAACCAGCCCAGTCGCCCAGCGACCAGCAGTCATAAACCGTCGTTGTCACATTAAAAATCCTCCTTGAGCTTTTTGGGGGTGTTGGTCATTACAGGATGCCAATCACGCAAAGGCGCCAACAAAGGCCATGGCAGCAGCTAAACAACACGGGTCAGCAAACGACTTCTTTATTTCTTCAACGTGAACAGCGTGTCTTACCTCCTAGGAGAACAAACGCAAACGCCGTCGCCTTCTTCTTCACACTCATCAGCCTCTCGGCCTCCTCGGACAGGAAGTCCTGCGCCAGGAGATCCACCAGCGCCGCGTAGATGAGCAGGCCCGAGGAGATGGCGTTGAAGACGCCCACTATGATGAGGCCGAACGCGCTGTCCGGGTCGTACGTGTTGCGCGCGCCGAGGCCGATCGCCTGGCCCAGCGGCGCGGTGACGCCGAACGCGACCACCAGCAGCCACGGCCGGACGCTGCCCTGCGGGTACGGCACGGCGGCGATGCGGGAGCCGAGGCCGAGGCCCTCAAAGGCCTGGTGGAAGAGGAAGGCGATGAGCAAGATGACGAAGCCGTCGACGGTGATGGAGAGGGTCATGCCGACAAAGACGGAGTGGAAGAGGATGCCGCCTTCCAGCAGGGTGATGTTGGCGGACATCTTGCGGTACACCTGCGGGTCCACCTCGACGCCGGCCTCGTCAAAGTAGCGGACCTCGGTGGCGGCGTTCTTCTTGCTGCTCCGGGGGGCGGCCACGTCGAGGGCCGAAGACGAGTCGCCAGTCCGGTATTCCGTGGTGGTGGGGCTGCTGTAGCCGCTCTCGTCCTCGGTGATGCCGCCCACAATCACGGTCGTGTCGTTCTTCTTCTCCGCGTCCGCGGTCTCGGGGCGCACATGATGATGCTGGTGGTGGCTGGGCTCGGTGAGGCCCTCGCCCGTGGGACCGCCGTGGGAGTGGCCGCCCGTCTTGGCGTTGAGGTACATCTCAATCACGAAGAGGATGAACATGGACCCCATCATGATCACACCCGGCATGGGCGGATACTTGTCCGTGAAGAGATCGGGGAGACATGGGTTCATGAGATTGCCAAAGGCGGTAGGAAGCAGCTATGTGGGTGTGTTGTTAGACGAAGGACTTGGTCAGCCAAGGTAAGAGGGACAACTTACGTGGACAAAGGCCGTGGCAATGAGGACACCCGTTCCAAAGTGCTTGCAGGCAAAGAAGATGGAAGGGGGTATCTTGAGAGACTTGAACCGCTTGGCCACGACGGGGAATCCGGCTCCTAACCGCGGGAGGTCAGTTACCAGCTCGACAGTTGGGTACCATTCGGAGAATTCTTTTTCTTCTTACCTAGCAGTGAGGAAGCCAGGATTAGGACTAACTACATGGTTAGTTGTTTTCGTGATGCAATGTAGAGGGGTATATGCAAGGAAGCCTACACAAGCCAACCACATGAAGTGGAAGGTCGTACTCGACCTCGGACTTGTCAGCATTGCCGCACTGGGGCTTTTCACCGGCCATCGTGAGAGGTGATGAGGTGAACGGATTATTTCGGGAAGACGGGGTCTGTGTTGTATCGAGAGCTTCGTCGTCAAGTCAATGGAAGGCGAGATGGAGAGAGAGTCTGAGAGTGACTGTGAGACTGAGAGAGACAGAGCTTCGGCGTCAGGTTGGCGGAACGACTTGGCGTGATTTCCGAGGCAGAAGTTTCGAAATATTTCGATCCGTAACCAGACAGGATCATGGAGCACCCGGCTTCTCTTCGTGCCGTGTTGTTGAAGAATGCGAGGTTGTATCGTCCAAGGCATGGGTTTTCAGCGTCCTTTTTGTATATCTCCGGCGGCCTCCGTAGCGCTCAATTCGCCGTGGGATACTTTTTTCTCTTCTCAATCTCCACGAGTTCCAGCCTTGTTTTCAAACCTCTCTACCCAATTTTTTTTATTTTTAATTCTTTTCTCATCCTTCTCTTCGCCATGGATGTGTGTGGGCTCATCCAAGGGAAGGGGAGCTTCAATCTGGGGTCCGTTCCATATCGCGTTGCATGAAAACAAAAATGGGCACGTAACCAATTCCACCAACCATGGAGAGGGGACGTTGGATGAGAATTGTAGCCTCCGGTTGGCCGAGTTTTCCAACGCATCTCCTCGCACGGTTGTGGGCGTTCTGGGGGCCGTCCTTACGGCGCGGCGAACGTTGTCTCAGGACATTCGATTTCTTCGCATCTCACCACCTACCTAGTCAAAGATGTTCAAGGAAAATGGGTACCATGATTATCGGCAATGCGTCACGGGCTAACTGACAGGGTGGGAGGAGCGCGCGAGAGAATATTTCTGTGACACGGACTGTAGCGGAGTTTAGCTTTTGTCTCTTTGTTCACGAGGCAGGCTGGGCTGTCATCATCGGCGGTGGTCTAAGCGGCAGACAAGTTGTTGACAAGGATATGACAAGGTACCCCGAAAACTTGGCGGCATCTTGGACGCCACGGGATTTAGCAAAATGGCGCAACATGGCGTTGCGGATACTGACTAGTAGTTGATACTATGTAGATTCAACTAGCTAACTAGTTGATACTAGTTACTAGATAATAGGCTACCACGGCTCGATCTATTAGGGTATCGTGGGGGCCGATGGCTGGAGAGATAGATAGCCAGACAGACAGACCACTGACACTCGGACATACACGGGCTGAGCAAGGACGCTATGCCGTCAATGCATTCCATACAATAAGGGTCCAACTGATGCCATCTCGCCATGGCACCTAGTTGCTCCTTGTTGCTTTTCTTTCCAATCTCAACGTGCTACATCGTCTCCCAGGATCAACAGCCATTGTCCAAGCATGTCGACCCAGCCGCCTCGTCGTTTCTGTCACACGCATGTCTGATGAGCGCTTGGCCTTTTCACCCGGTGGATTACGCGACGAGTCATACCCAAACATTTGCATTTGAAATCCAGGCGCAACCTGCATGCCCCCCCCCCCCCGAATACTTTTTCTTCGTGTCTGCGCGCGGGAGTTGCGGAACGGCTTACAACAGGTTAGCAAGTTACAGGTTCTCTCTCTTGGCTGCGGGCGTCGCTCGCGGTGGCGCCATACGGGAGTGGCTTTCAATTCCTGTGTTAACCTTAACACCGCGAGAATCTGGCTGAGTAGTTTAGATTGGCTCAATGTTGAGTTCTAGAGTGGTCTCTGCAGATACGTTGCAGTAGCTTGGCCAGCCAATGCAGCTTGCAGGTCAACTGATGAGTCTTTTAGTAAGTAGTTTGCGAGTCAATTAGATGATACGATTCATTTTTCTTTTCGAAAAAAATCTCTGCCTATCCGTTGTTATCATTTGGCGTTACTCATTATTGGAACTTTTGTCATGGCAGAGTCCGTCCTCAGGTATCAGTGGACAAGGCACCGCAACCAGGTTGTGTCACTCCCCAGTTCAATGGCATAACTGTTTTCAAGCAACACGATTCACAATTCAGAATCCATCCCCCATGGTAAAAGCTTGAATTCCTTTTGCCCACGCAATTCTCGAAGTTGTGGGAGATCGGAAATGTCAGGCTTGTGTCACAGCTTCCTTGGCTAGTGTTTTAAAAGTTGGCCGACTGGCCAGGCATGTTTCATAACATTCATCGTAACTAATCCAGGGTCCTTTCCTTTTGCCCCGGGTTTCTGATCTTTTCTGACGAACCCTGCGCCCGCCCGCCACAGTTTTGGGGAGGGGGAGATGGGGGCTATATCCTGTGGCGGTTTCAATAGGTAGTTATACGTCACGCTCCCCATTGGTTGTTGGTGAGATAGAATCTTGGGGTCCCCCGATGTAAGCGGCGCGAAACCAGAGATCGGCGGGCAGCCAAGCACGACGAGTAGCTTAATAGTGGTGGCTTTTATTCCTACGACTTATTACAGTTTTGAATTTCACATCATACAAAGCGTAGTGGAAAAAAACAACAGTTTTAAGAAAATATAACATGCCAAGCCTGGGCAGGATGAAATGGTTCGACAAAGGCGCAGCAGGTGCGGGCGATGAACAGAAAAGGCAAGACAAGACTGGGCGGCATGGAAGGAACGGTTCGAAAAAGGTGCGGGCGATGAACAAAAAGCCAAGATGGATCAATGTAGAGCAGGACGGGGCAGAGCAAGGGCGCAGCACGGCAGACGAACTCTGCCCTTCTCACACGAGACGCATGCCAAGCTCTTGACCATTCTTCCAACGCAGAACCTGCTCAGCCTGCAGCTTGTACCAGCCATGAATCACCTCACGGTCGACATAGCCCGTATGCGGCGTCAACAGAACCTGGCTGCGGCCATCCCTGCCCCATTCCGTCGTCCGCCACTCGCTGTCCGCGGGGAGGGGCTCCACGTCGTAGACGTCGAGGGCGGCACCGCGAATCCGGCCCTGCTGCAGGACATCGAGCAGATCCCTCTCGACGACCAGCGGCCCGCGGGCGGTGTTGACGAACAGCGCCTCTGACTTCATCCTGCGCAGATCGTCGGCGGTGACGAGGCCCCGCGAGCGGTCCGACAGCACGAGGTGCAGGCTGACCACGTCGGCCCTGCGGAACAGGTCCTCCCGCGAGACGCTGGCAAAGGTCGGCCGGCCGTCGGGCTGGACGACCGACTCGAACCCCGCCGCTCGGGCCTGCTCGTCGGCCCTGGCCTGAGTCAGGCTGGGGCTCCACGCGATGACCTGCATGCCCAGCGCCGCGCGCAGCATCCTGGCCGTCTGCGCACCCAGGCGGCCCAGGCCGACCACCCCCAGCGTCTTGCCGGACAGGCTGGTGCTAAGGCCCGTCTGCCAGCCGCCGCTCTTGACGCAGGCGTCGGAGGCGGCGACGTTCTTGGCCAGAGCCATGATCAGGGCGAGGACGTGCTCCGCCGTCGCGCCCACGGTCGGCGGCGCGTGGTCCGGGTCGGTGGACGGCGGCACGTCGACGACGGTGGCCACCACGACGCCCTTCTCCCGGAAGGCGTCGAGGTCCAGCGCGAGGTTGCGCGCGCCGTTGGTGAGCAGTAGCTTCAGCTTCGGCAGTCGCCTGACTAGTTCCGCCGGGAACGGAGTGCGTTCTCGCGTTGTGCCTGGTTCGAGGTAGGGTTAGAAATCTCGCTCACCATCTCCCAATCTTGGCCGCCCCGGCCAATGGCAACGGCTCGGGAAATCACGTACATCTGTCTGAGACCAGGCAGATGCACACGTTCCCGGATATTTCACGTACTGATGATTTCAAATGGCTCCAGCCGATGTGCCAACTGATCCCGAACGCTCTGCGGGGTCGCGGGATGATTGTAAGGTAGCAGCGTATCCTTGAAGTAGCTGATTTCAAATTCATCGCCAAGAGTTCCAAAGTATTGTTCCGCCACACCCTGGTAATCGTCTAGAACGGCTATTTTCAGACCCATTGTGAACCAGGATTTCTTGGACGAGTTATTTACAGAGTCAAGTTCCACCCCCGCAGCCAAGTCGTCGTGGATGGGGTAGTATATTGACCAGGAGAAGACTCGTCATTCACATATGCCGCTAGTTAGTCGTTGATTTGTAACGTTTCAATACCATGTCCACCACCAGGATTATAGTTTAATGTATTTTGCGAATTTCATACTGGATCTGTTTTACCGCTCTAATTCATCTTGGCCTTGCATCTATCGGCTTTTAATCTATTTCCTTACCTAGTTCCTCATTTCCTTGCTTCCGTCACCCTGCCTTACCGCTTAAGACTTTACCCGACTTTCACTTTTTTAGTCCACTCCTTTCTACTCACTACTTGTTCAGCCTTTATTTCATTCTTATAAACTGCAATGATTCTTTTTCATCATCATACTGTCAATTGCAGTAACCAAGATTCACTATTGCGCTATTATACAACGGCCAGGCGCCGCCACTCTCCGCGAGTAGCATCCTCGTCAGCACCCTCTCGCCAATTTTCTGCCTCAAATCTTTGGCATACGCGAAGCACCGTCCAAGCGAATGACCTCACCATTGAGCATCTCGTTCTCAATAATCTGGCGAACAAGGGAAGCAAACTCGGGGGCGCGACCCGATCTCGTGGGAAAGACAAACGTGTTCTCGAGGTTCTTTCGCACCTTGTCCGGCATGGCACTCGTCATTCCCGTCTCGAACAGACTGGGGGCAATGGTCATGGCGCGAATGCCGTAGCGACCGAGATCTCTGGCCATGGGAAGAGTGAGCGATCGGATGGCGCCCTTGGAGGCGGAGTACGACACTTGGCCGTTCTGCCCGTCGAATGCAGCGGAAGATGCGACCATGATGATGACACCATGATCGCTGTCCGGGGACTCGCGCTTGGTCTTGACCATGGCTTCGCAAGTCTGGCGGGCGAGATCAATGGTGCCGCGCAAGTTTACGCCAACGACAAAGTCGAAATCATCGATGCTAAAGGGGGTGCCGTGGCGGTTGACAATCTCGGTGAGAATCAGCTTTTTTCCTTCGTTTCTCTTGATGACCGGGTGAGCATGGAGAGAGCCGATTAATACATACAGGCGCGGGAAGGGCGACACCAGCAGCAGTGATGGCACCGCCGATGGTCTTGCCAGACTGCTTGGCCCATTCCACGGTGCCCTGGACAGCGGCTGCGATGCTCTCACTCTCCAAGACATTGCATACAAAAAATCGGGCAGCCGATCCTAGGGTTTTCACGAATTCCTGTCCATTTTCCTCGTTTTGGTCGAGGACAGCAACATGGCCGCCTTGGGCGACAAGGTCCTCGCAACAAGCGCGACCTAATCCCGAGGCGCTGTAGCGGTGGTTAGCATGTGGTGAGGGAGAATAGAGCGTAGAGCGTAGAGTTGTAGTCTTACCCGCCGGAGACCAGGAATGTGTGGCTCGAAATCTTCATGATTTTATGTACAGATGTGCGATTCAGATGTGTGATTCGATCAAGGACCTTCGATGATGGTGTTGTAGTCTGCAAAGATGATCTTCTGCTGGTGAAGCTTGCATCTGGCTCATGGTGCCTCGGCCCGCGGAGGGACCGCTGGGGCGCCGAAGGCCCGGTACTGGGGCCTTCCAACATACATAGGTACCTGGCGAAGTGTAGGTAGGAATCAGCATGACCATTTGTTGAAGGACAAAGAGGTGCACCCAAGTATATGTCAAACTTTCTATTAAAATGAGATGGCGCAGGAAAGTATACTTTTACTGGGCAAGAGACTACAAAGCATTGTCGCACAAACCAAAGTAGACGCCCCAGGTACCTTTGTACATACAGTACATACATATGTACATACATACAACATACTGTACGTACCTATCTCGACTCCCTCTAACACGGAGATGGAGCTGCACGCGCCCCAGCAATCGACAAGACACGAAACGATCAATACAGATCAGAACCGAAATTGCGGCTTAGAATGTGGAACTCATTACAGTATGCTATTTTAACATATTCTCTAAATAAATAGTTTCAGCCTCGTTCCAGAAGCTCTAGATGTATATGTGATGTCTGCTATTGTGCTTATGTAAGTGTTCCTTATCAGCGCACTCAGTCACCTGCCCAACGCCAAGAGCCGCTGAGTGCGACGGTCTGAGTTGACGCCAGTAAAGGCTGGCGCCATCGACTACTTCGACATTGTTCACCGCTGCCCCGCGATGCTGCTCGGGAGATGCCTTTGACACAACTTTGCACCGAATAGCCACTCGATTTCCATCACCATGACGCGACCCCGAGGCTCCTCGGCTGGCAGCGAGGAGAGCGCCGCCACAACCAGAGAGCAGGTAAGGGGTTGTTCGGCACCCGCGGGATGGGTCCGTTGACGGCTGACACGGGAGTGTAGGAGCTCGGAAGCATGTACGATTATCTGGCCAAGATTATCCTCCTGGGGCCAAGCGGGTCGGGAAAGTAAGATGCCACTGCAGATAACCCCAGTGACGACCATGCTGACAGCTGTAGGTCTTGTCTACTGCATCGATTTGTGAAGAACGAATGGCGAGTATTGTCATCGCAAACCATAGGCGTGGAATTTGCCAGCAAAATCATCAAGGTCGGCACCGGCGCCAGGCGCAAAAGAATAAAGCTACAGGTAAGACATGGTCCGGCCGGGCTGCGGCACGGACGCGGCTGACATGAATGCCATGGCCAGCTCTGGGATACAGCTGGTACAGAACGATTTCGATCCGTTTCCCGATCATACTATCGAGGTGCCGCCGGCGCCATCCTCGTTTACGACATATCATCACACGGTTCCTTCCGTGGCCTGCAGCCTTTCCTTAACGACGCGCGAGCTCTGGCCTCGCCCAACCTTAGCCTACTACTCGTCGGCAACAAGCTCGATCTGGCCAACGAATCCCTCGTCGACACGTCCATGCCGCCTCCCACGCCAAGCAGCGTCAGCTCTAACTCGACCATCACTGCGGGCGGCTTCGCCAGCTCGTACTCGACGATAAACACGCAAACCACGACGAGGGGCAGGGACTATGCGGGGTCCATCAGCGCCGGCTCCGTGCAAAAGGCCACCTACGCCCCGGACGGCCGCGAGATCTCGAGCTCGGAGGCTACACGGTGGGCCAGCACACAGGGCATCTCGGTCGTCACCGAGGCCAGCGCCCTGAATGGAGAAGGCGTCGACGAGATATTCGCCCGGCTGGCCCGCATCATCCTAACCAAGATTGAGCTCGGCGACATCGACCCGGACGACCCGATGAGCGGTATCCAATACGGCGATAGCAGCGCCTGGAACAACGCGAGCGACGGCGGCAGCATCAAGAGCTCCATGACGGGCGCCACCGTCGATGACGCCGGTCTTCCCGGGCTGCGTAGGAGGCGCAAGGGCAAGAACCGCAGTCAGAACTGGGGCGGCCTCCGCGAGTGGGAAGAGGTCTTTACCTTGACCAACAGGCGACGGGGAGGCAATTGCTGCTAAACAGTGCCACAAGCAGGAGCTTGTAGGAATTGATACGATGATGCGGGGGTGGTATTCTGTTATTTGAACTACAAATCGAGGCTTCTTGTCAAAGGGGAAGGGCTTCTTGATTCGCGCATTCGCTTGTTACGGACAGCATGGAGTTTTTGGAGTACATTCGTTTCATAGATTGCCGTGGTTCCCAGTGTTGCTGCTTGCAAGGACGGACGGGACTCTTGACGGGCCTGAAGCGGCAATTTATATAGTCGTTTTCCCCAACTAATAATCGAGATTTCCTTTTGTCTTGATCAATATGTTCGAACATCCCGTCTGTACTAGCTGACTGACTGGCTGGCTTATTGCATCGGCCGGACATGAATACTAAGTTAGTGATGCGGGGAGTCTCCGCAAGGCGGCTCGGTGTCATATAATACCGTTGACCATTTCACTGGGACGTGCACTAATACGCAGAATGCATCACTATACTTTAATACGCTGAACAAAAGTTCCATTAGTTTAGTTGCGCCATACACCGTCTTTTCATTGTCGTACTCGCAATGCTGTCCGAGGCTGGGAATTAGGTACCTTATTAGCTGTTTTTGTATTGCATTTCGACCTTCCTCCGACCTGCCCCTCTAAGCCGAGCCGACTTGCCCCGCCAACCCCCGGAATGGACATACCGACTTGTCCTCAACAATTCAGGCCGCCTATTTATTTCTTCACCTTCCTGCCACCTGCGGGCCGTCGCGTGGCCTCAATCCAACTCCTCCCGGCATAATTACCCCCTAGACGCTGTGAGCTCACATTCCGACGTCTCAGCCGTTTGTCGATAACCGTCGCTGCCATGGTGTCCATGGCGTCCCGCACCGTCATTCCCATTGACAAGAACTGGCAGTTCAAACAGGCCGACAAGCAAGGTGGCGACGAGTACCGCGCCGTATCTCAGTTCCCTACCAATGTCCATCTGGATCTTATGCACCATGGCCTCATCCCGGACCCGTTCATCGGCAAGAACGAGAACAACGTCCAATGGGTCGGCGAGGCGCAATGGACATACAGGACGACCTTTGCCAGTCCAGAGGTCAAGGCTGGCGCCAAAGCCGTTCTAGCATTTGACGGACTCGACACCTTTGCTACTGTCACACTGAATGGCAAGGTCATCCTCGAGATTGACAGCATGTTTCTTCCCGAGCGCGTCGACGTCACAACGCACCTATCTCATAGCGGCGACAACGAGCTGGTCATCACATTTGATAGCGCCTACCTGCGTGGCTGGAAACGCGTCGAGCAGTTCCCTGAGCACGTATGGAGCTGCTGGAATGGGGACAGCTCTCGTTTAGCAGTCAGAAAGGCTCAATACCACTGGGTATGTTTTGCTAATTCGACTTCAATTGTCAATGTGACTTTTTGCTGACCTTTCGGGTTAGGGATGGGACTGGGGCCCTGCTTTGATCACCTGTGGCCCTTGGAGACCCGTAAACCTCGAAATATACGAGTCCAGGCTGACTGATCTGTATACGAATATCGACATTGATGACTGTCTTAAACGCGCCAAAGTCACTGCGCACGCAACAACAGAGGGGACCGGGGCAACGCATGTCCGCGTTGATGTGTCCCTCGACGGCAAGTATGTGGCCTCTGAAACGATCCCCGCCACCAGCACTGCTTCGGTCACTTTCCATATTGCAAACCCTGAGCTGTGGTATCCTATCAGATATGGCAAGCAGCCACTCTACACCATCAAGGCAACGCTCCTTGCCGACGGCACTACCATTGACACCATCTCCAAAAAGATTGGTCTGCGCCGCGCCCGTCTTGTCGAGCACGCGCTCGAAGACCAGCCGGGTACCAGTTTTTTCTTTGAAATCAACAACATTCCAATTTTCTGCGGCGGCAGCAACTGGATTCCTGCGGATAACTTCATTCCTCGCATCTCGCCGAAAAGATACCGCGACTGGGTCAAGCTGGTCGCTGATGGCAACCAGTTCATGATCCGAGTTTGGGGCGGTGGGCTCTACGAGGAGGCGGAATTCTATGAAGCATGCGATGAGATGGGCATTCTTGTCTGGCATGACTTTATGTTTGGCTGCGGCAACTACCCTGTCTGGCCCGAGATGCTGGAGTCCATTGATCGCGAAGCCAGGGTCAACGTCACTCGGCTGCGTCATCACCCTTCCATTGTGATCTGGGCCGGCAACAATGAAGACTACCAGCTTGCGGAGTCGGAACCACTCGGCTATGATCGCAAAGACATGAATGAGGCTAATTGGCTGAAATCCAAATTCCCAGCCCGCTACATTTACGAAAAGGTGCTCGCAGACGTATGCAGAGACCTCATTCCGGATGTGCCATACCACTACGGCAGCCCTTGGGGTGGCAAGGCCACCACTGACCCCACGATCGGAGACATTCACCAGTGGAATGTGTGGCATGGCTCGCAGGAGAAGTACCAAAATTTTGACAAGTTGGTCGGTCGCTTTGTTTCAGAGTTTGGTATGGAGGCATTCCCATCCGTCAAGACCATCGACGCGTACTTACCCGAGGGCAAAAACGACCCTGAACGCTATCCACAGTCCTCCACCGTTGACTTTCACAACAAGGCTGCCGGTCATGAGCGCAGATTAGCTCTCTACTTGGTAGAGAACATGCGTTATGGTCCTGATCCCCTCGAACAATACGTCTACTCCACCCAGCTGATGCAGGCCGAATGCCTTGCCTCGGCGTATCGCCTGTGGAAGCGTGAGTGGAAGGGTCCCGGCCGAGAATACTGCGGTGGCGCGCTGGTTTGGCAGATCAACGACTGCTGGCCCGTCAGCTCGTGGGCCATTTGCGATTACTACCTTCGTCCCAAGCATGCCTACTACACCGTCAAAAGAGAGATGGCGTCCATCTCAATTGGCATGACCAGAAGGGAACATCAGTATCCCAGAGACAAATATACAAGAGCGCATATCGACACTAAGACCAAGATTGAGATTTGGGGCTCCAACCTGATGCTGGAGGATCTGACCGTTGACTGCGTAGTCAAAGCGTGGGACGTCGAGACCGGTAAGGAGACCTTTTCTAAGAATGTGGTAAAGTTCATGGTGCTGCCCTCAAATCGCTCAACGGAAATCTACGCCATGGATGTTCCTGTCAGCGCCCCTGGCCTGGAGAGTCGCACCGTCGTAGCGGCGTATCTCTTCCGGGACGGGAAGCAAATTGCGCGATACGTCAACTGGCCCGAACCTCTCAAGTACTTGCACCTCCAAAAGCCTCAGCACCTCACGGCGGAGCTCTCTTCGGACCTCAAGTCGGTCGCCGTCAAGGCCGAGGTTCCGGTTAAGGGCGTCGCGGTGGAATGTGAGGAGGACGGCGTCACGTTTGATGACAACCTGGTCGACATTGTACCTGGCGAGGTCGTCCACATCGGTGTCGGCGGTGCTTCGCAGAACACAGTCATTGCTACACGTTACCTCAACATGCTCAGCTAGTTGAATAGATGAACAGAGTTACAAGTATGATCTTCCTGAAGTACGCCCATAAATTCATGCCCCTTTAAGGCTTGTATAGCTTTATAAAAAGTTCTTCACAAATACAGCACAGGCCCTTGGCAAACAGCATCACGTCGATCACACTTCGGCAACATTTACAACGTCGCCTTGCTGGTTCACTGCTAGCTTCTTCTTTGCGAGGGATGCCTTTACCGGATTTTCAGCGGCAAAGATTTCATCCAATTCTTCGAGCTGGTAAGTGGTCAGCGCCAGTCACTATGCGGCCCGTGAATAAAGGGAAACCTACCGTTCTTCCCTTAGTCTCGGGGAGGACGAAATACACGTAAACGGTCATGACGGCGTCCCAGATGGTAAAGATGATGTACGTGCGCCAGCCGATCCTGGCCATGCTCACCGGCCAGGCAAACTGGTTGAGGAGGCCGGCCGCGTTGACCGCGAGGTTGCCAAATGCCATGCCCTTGGCGCGCTGCTCAAACGACAGCACCTCGACGATGTAGAGGCCCTGGAGGGGCGTGACGCCGACGGAGAAGACGGCGCCGAAGAGGAAAATCATGGCGAGCGCCGCGCGGGACGCATCGCCGTCGGTGTACACGGGCGCGCCGTCGGGCCCCGCGGTGCCGGCATACGACGCGGCGAACCGCGACGAGGCGACAGTCATGCCGAGCCAGACGACGGTGCAGCCGGCAAACGAGAAGAGCAGCAGCGGGCGGCGCCCGACGCGGTCGACGAGCACGGCGCCGGCGCACGCGCACGCGAACTGGATGACGTTGTTGGCGAGCGTAATGTTGCTCTGCTGCACGGGGTCCGCGTAGCCGGCGTTGTACAGGACGGAGCCGAGGAAGTAGCTGAGGACGGCGTTGCCGAGCCACTGCGCGAGCGCGGCGACGGAGACGCTGCACACCAGCCGGTACGCGGCGGCGCGGTTGCGGAAGAGCGCCGAGTAGTCATACCACCGCTTGTCGGCGCCGTCGAGGTCCAGCGCGGCCTCGTACTCGCGCATCTGCAGGGCCGGCCAGACCGAGTCCGCGTCGCCGGCGCCGTGATGGCGGACAAGGAAGGCGCGGGCGCGCTCGGGCCGCCCGTGGACCCACAGCCAGCGCGGCGACTCGGGCAGCCACGGGCACAGGAGCAGGACGAGCCCGCTGAAGAGGCATTGCAACCAGGTGGCGAGGCGCCAGGAAAAGGCCGCCGAGACGCTGAGGCCGCCGCGGGCGGCGCCAGCGGCGAGGATCGCGCCGGCAAGCCAGAGGCAGTTGTAGATGGCGCCGACGACGCCCCGGTACGCCGGGTGGTTGATCTCGACGACGTAGACGGGGCCGGCGGACGCTGCTAGCCCGACGCCGAAGCCGAGCAGGAAGCGTCCGCCCATGAACTGCCCTCCACCACCGCTATGTGCCGCGGTGCCCTGCAAGATGGTACCAACGATGACAAGGGCCGCTCCGACGGCCATGCCGGCGCGCCGGCCAAAGCGGTCGATGACGGGCCCGACGAGGGGCAGCACCGCGACGCCACCAATCTGATACATGGCGGCAACGATGCCCGCGCCGAGGCCATCGTGGCCGACGCGGTACGTCGCCTGGAAGTCGTGATTCTGCAGCAGGTTGTTGATGAGCGACGCGTCATAACCATTCATGGTGGAGCAGAGGAAGCCGACGACGGAGAAGAGGTAGACCAGGACCATGCCCGGCGCCCACGTGCGCGGCGGCTCTTTGAGGAGCGCTTCCTGAAAGGCCTCATTGCCGTGGACGACCTTTTCCTGGACGGGGACCTGAAGATGAAAAAGGTTCCATTGTCAGCAAAAGAAACGGGGAAATGTGTTGAGTAGAGACATCGGGATTGCGGCGGGCGCACTATTTTAGTATCTGGGCCGGCTTCACGCGAGCTGGAATTGGCGACCATCTTTTGCACCTCGTTGTTTCCCATAATTTAAAGGTCTTTTGAATCACGCGAGCGAGAAATCGAGCGACGTCCTTGAGGGAGGGAGCGTGAGGTCATCGCCGACTGTCGTGGCATCTGCGGAGGCGGGCCGGCGACTCCATTAATAAGTACCGGGAAAGCAAGGCCAGAGCTGCATTAACCCCTCAACCGCTCACGCAGGAGCCATGTCGAAAGGCAACGGCGAGCAACGGGCGGATAGGGCAGCCAGGCCGCGGGGGAGCGCCACTGGAAAACCGTCAATCCACCGTCGTCGCAGTCTCCAAGGTTAGCTCGGGACTATGAAGAAAGGCGTTGGCGCTCCCATCCATCTCGCTGTTCAAGGTCACCAGACACTTGCTCGAAGGTTCTCTGGGATAGCATCTGTCTTGTTTACGGGGAGTGACCTGTCGCTGATGGCTTGACTGGGGAGATAAGGGACGAAGCAAAGGAGGCAACTGCCGCGCTTCCAGGTGCACGTTCCAGAGCTCGATTTATTGATTACAGCTTCCTTAACCAACTTTAGAAAAATTACGGCGAATCTCTTTGACTACCACCGCATTTCGCCAAGCTGCAGATTTGTTAGTCCAAGCAGTCGGTCTTCGGCGAAGGATCCGGCTTGCAGTGCAGGCGTGCTTCTGCGTCAATAGCACCTGGCAGTGTTGATATGCACGAGCTAGCTATTGTGAATACCTCGGTATGCGTATTGCCTACTTTGGCCGTCAGGCACGGAGTGTTATATCGCCGCGCCGAAATGATGCCACGGCGCGGGTATATGGAAGACCGCCCACTTCAACACTGCCAAAGAATATGAGCATGCAGAAGAAAATGTGGTTTCAGTACTCATGTGGAGGCACATGTATGTCACCACGTATCGATTCTACTTCCGCAGGAATGCTGCAGGCAGGTGGTCGGGAACTGGTGGTGCCGCTCGGTGGCTTGCATCGCAGAACGAGCCAGAAATGGTTCGACTGCGGGTGCGGGGAAAGTTCTTGCGTCACGAGAGACGGAGACAAGACAGTCATTCAGCGTATGTTTAAGGTGGGCAGGCAATCGTCCATGGCACAGCGTTGTATTTAGTGGTTACACACTCAAGCGTCAAGGTGTCACGCAGTAAATGTCGGAGCTCTAGGAGCCACGCCCGTGTAGGTCAAAGGAGGCGCGAACAGTCAACAGACTGGGACGCAGACAGGCGTGGACTATGATGGCCCTTTCAATCTTGCAACCGAATGTTTCAATTACCGGCGAGAAGGAGACAGCCCAAGGGCTGGCCTCCCATCCGCCGCCCTGCATCGCCAGCCTGCTCCCGCCTGCAGATACAAAACGTATCGCTGACGGGAGACTCCGTTCTCCGCGTCGCCCCCACAGATTGTGGAAGCTGCGCGTTGTCGAGAGACTCGTGAGGAAATTCGAGTGGCCGTACAAAGATTCGCTGCGTTGTGTTTCGTACATTGTCGGGGGGTTTCGCATGTCACAAAGCGCACAGGGCACGCACGAGAGAAAGCAAAGAGAGAATGCCGCAATCCACCAGTAGACCTACCTTTCCAGGATCGGACCTTCATAAATCATATCTGATAGGCCTCCCGAGCGGCGTCGCATGGTGCGTGGCAGCAGTTGTAATGAACGCCAGGTTGATGATGAAGGGGGGAAAATTCTGACATCGTCCTTGAGCTCCCCACTCCACAAAGTAGCTCCCGCAAGTGGCCCACATCGATAAGATGCCGACTTACACACGGTAGGTAGGATAAGAATCATATTACCACTGTATTAGATTTCCAAAGCCAATCGTTAACACATAAGAAACTTGGGGGAATGCTTTCCTTACGCATATAGATTGAGATTGAGGAAGTGACAGACTGAGAAAAATGCAGATGCTACGCCTATTGGGTATTACACAAAATCCATTTACCCTCGTACACAATTTAGATGGCTCCAGCGCGTGCGGCCTCTCCTGCGTTGTCATAAACCAGCTCTTCCATCTTTCTCTTGGCCTTGCCCAGACTGTCCTCGCCAACGCCCATTCGCCGGGCAACGTATCTCTGAGCCACAATGCCGATGGAAAGAGAGAGCGTCTCCTCGATCCATTCCGCAACCCATTCTCTTGGGTCAACTGCTCCACTATCAATGATGTCGCGAATTTCCGCTGGGACCGAAGAGTCAGCTTCCGCCTGCTCATCGTCGCCAGACTTGGGCGTGAGGGGAGTGTTGGTGTCCAGCCAGCGTGCCCATTTGGCAGGCATGCTCTGGCTGACGGTGGCATATTCGATCTGGTGAACTGGATCGAGGATGAAGACAGCAAAAGAAACATGACTATCTTCTTCCTCTTTTTCAGCCTTGTCCTCCTTGTCCTTCTCGGCCGACGCCGTGCGGGCAAACAGGGTGCCATCGTCATCCGTCTCGATAGCCTGGATGGCCAGGAAAAGATTTGACGTTCGCACGGGGTTGGTTTCGCTGGAATCTTCCGTGGCCCTGGTCTTGGCTTGCTCTACACCTCCAGTGGCAGAAAAGTACTCTTCGGCGTAGCCTTCAGCGTTGGCACGGCAAAGCTTGGTGCCCTCCGTCAAGCCCTTGATTAGTCCGAGTTCTCGCACAGAGTCTGACTGGCGCCACCAAGGGCCATCTCGCCAGCCTGCATTGCTCTCGCGGGCTCTGCGAGAGCCACTCTCTTGGCCACGCTGGACGACCAGAAGGTCGCCACCCTCGACCTGCGACATGACACGAGAGAAGACACCATGAATGAGAGGGTCCATGGATGGATATCCGACAAGGTCGTGCGTGATGTGAATAAGGAGGCGCTCGTGGGAACTGATAGGAGGTGCAATTGTGTTGAGGATATTGGTAAAGGTCGGCAGAGCGCGATGGCGCAAATCGTCACCTAGCATACCATGTTAGTAATTATAGTGCTGCGTATCGATGCATCAATTTGATGGAAGAGCCTACCGTAATTCCGTAGGGCCCCAATGTCGAGGCCTTTGAAGCCCCTCACCTGTTCAGCCCATTTCTTCGCATCCTCGTTCTGCTGGACTTCCTTGTAGGCGGCTTCGGCTTGCTTCATGGCAGCGCTGGCCGTGGACATAATACCACCCCACCAGCTGCCACCACTTGCTGCTGGAGGCTGCTCCACGGCAACCTTCTTGTCGGCATCCTGAAGCTCCGAGCTCGTAGCACTGGGCGTGAAACTGGCACGAGCACTCCGGGCGCTGTCGGTCGACTTGCGCTTGTCTTCGGCGGCCGGGGCTCCGGCACCAGGTCGCTTTCCGCCGATACGAGGGGTGTGCGGACGGGAGGTGGGAGGTGCGGAAGCGAGCTGCGACTCGAGATCGGCGAGGATGTCTGTGTCGCCAGCGGACTTGGCGCCACCGGCCTTGGAGCTCTTGGGGGCGGCCTTTCCGGCCTTGGCGTCGCCGCCGATGCCAGAGAAGAGCTCGTCGAGGTTATCTTCGGCGGCAGGGGTCTTGGTCTTTTTCGACGCCATTGTGGTACGAGGTTGTGATGCTATGAAGGTGGTTTATGAATGACGTTGGAGGTCGATTGGAAAATGGGGGGAAGGGCTGAACGGATTGGTTACAGTTGGTGGGGTGACGACGCTGGAGCTAACGGGCAGCCGCCGACTGGGGTAGTCTACCAAGTTGGATGTTTACTTCTCTTGTCTCAACTTTTGTAGACTGAGAACAGAGTGACAAAATAGAAAGTATGAAGTCTGGGGCTCTACCATCGAAGTCAATGACATTCATAAAGCAAATCATTGAAGGCAATGGTCAAGCAGGTTTTGTCAACTGAGAACCTCCTTCTCCAAGTAAGTACCGACCAGCCTTAGATGCTAAGGTGTTTACATAGTTAGGTACTGCAGGTACTTGATCGAGGAGTGGATCACGAGTGTGTTCCAAGGCTCCAAGCCGAATCTAATAAGGGCTTGCTACAGTGCCCGGGGTGGAAGCGCCACGCGATAGTGCCGTTGTATGAGGGCAAAGAGAAACTGTTAAAGTTTACCGATATACACACAAAATGACACACGATCAAACAGTTCGGAATTGGCGTGTAGAAAACTAAGTATTCATGCCTCGAGTTTTGCGTCTGACTCGGGCGCCGACGACACCATAACCTGAGGCAGCTTGGGCGGCGGCTCGTATATGTTACCCAGCATTGTTGTACAGAACAGACAGAGCAACAGACAGCATGGGGGCCACAACTTGCACAAAGAAATACAATCAGACCTGTCGAACATCTAATGAACCGGACAGCCGTGACAAAGGGGTAGAGGCAAACTGCTCAAAAGAATACAAAAAAATCTTAACAGAAGCGGCCCCAAAAGAGGTTAGTGTAAATTCGCTGGAAGCGGCAATGTGATTGGATGGTCTCCATCTGCGGTGCAGCGTGGCTGCGGGAGCCTGTGAGCCTGGGGTTTGAGGCGACAAGCCAGGTACCTACGTTAGGTTCATAGCGGGATCATGGCAGAGCTGCGGCTGATTTTGCTAACAGCGGTACCCCTGCTATCAAAGTCTAATCCCAGACAAGGTCGAGATATTGGTAGGCGGTCGCACGCGCTGCAATAAACCGCTTGTTACCTCACACTCTCTCAACCATTGTCAGTGTTACAAGAGTGGCTGGTGCAGGCGAAATACCTGATAAACGCACGTCTACCTTGCTACCTATCTCTTTCCCACCAACCTATGTACCTGGTTATCTTTCTCCTACCTACTGGTAATATTTTCCATTGCCTTTTGCTCCCTCCCTCCCCGTCCACCTACCTACCTCTACGCTACGGCTGGCTGGCGGTACGTACCCAAATAATCCAGCACTCAAAACAAGTGGGCCCCCGGGAACCTGGGCTTATTCCAACCACGACACCTCGAGCAAAAACGAATGCCCAGGAGAACGAGTACAGAGCGCGCAGAGACACATCCTCAACTCTTTGCCATCAGCCTCTTGCATCTTCCTGCTCGTCGTCGGGGCCTTCTTCTGCTATCGCTCTATATTCCCATTCTGTTTTTTTATTCCGCCCACTCTTCTTTTATCCGTGTCCTTGACTGCCCATCTCGTCACGTTCTCACTTGCTGGCCGGCTCATACAAGCAAAAAGCCCACACAACCGGCCACCACCAGTCGCCACGCTTCTTGCTCGCCCCCAACTCAACTCACCTTTGCTCCCATTCTCTACACATCGCTTCCTCCTCTTATTTCTTTTCCTTCTTCTTGAATAATACCCCGCGCATCCCTGCGGTCCTCTCGCCTGCGCGTGCCGCTCATCCCAGATCCAGCCTTGCTGGCTGACTATGGAACGTGCCCGCAGAACTGTATCGATGGCCTCGTCCCGCCGCAGGACAAATCCCGCTTCTCACTCCCCTCAATCTACTCCAGAGTCTGTCTCTGAGCCTCTGCCGTCTGTGAGCCCCAGTTTATCGAATGACATCAAAAGCCCGCAATCAGCGCCGCCTGCTCGCCGCTCCAGCAAGACTCTGCAGCACACCTCCAGCTTTTCTGCTCCCGCCTCATCCCGCTCTGCCCATTCGAGGAAGCGCTCAAAAACGATGGATGAGTATGGTTATGAGTATGAGGCCGATGATATTGACAGCCCTAAGAAAGGGGGACACACTCTTCGTCGGCGTGCCCGCGTCGACTACACCTTTGAGCATATCGACGACGAAGTTATTGTCCCCAACTCAACCTCATCAACCCGCAACAAAAAGCGGAGATCTGACAACAGCTACGACTCGGAAGAATTAAATTCACAGGATCCTGGTCGCAGACGTGCCTCCCTTGATGCGGACACGTCTACTTCTCGCCGCCGCAATCCTGCTCGCAAGTCTTCTGCCGAGGTAGCCGCCTATATTGAGGCGCCAGAAGAACCTGAGCACAAAGTCCAAGACACCATTGAAGTTGCTGGCTCATTATCTGACCGTGAAAATTCCACTTCGCCTGCCGTCGAGCATTCAAATACTTCCAGCCAAGTTTCATTGCCAGCGAAGCCCAGCAAGCCTGATTCTGCAGGGCCTGAGACATCAACTCATGAGCCCACGGACACGACTCAGGATACGGCAACGATTCCTGAAGACCTTGATTCCAAGCCACACGATGAGGATCTTGATAGGCCAGACAATCAGCTACTGCAAGAAGCCGGCGCTTCTTTACCAAACGGCGCCACTTCTACTACCGCCGAGGCTAGCCAATTGGGAGCTACCGACAGCACTACAGTATCTGAGCCGCTGTCCCCGAAGACTTCCTCTCAGCAAGAATTAAATGCAGTATCGACGAAGACGGAACCGGCTGAGGAGAAGAATCCCAATGCTCTCCCCTTCGCAACGACACAGTCGCCCAAGGTTGATGCGGCGGCAACTAAAACCAACAATCCAACTACTGATCACGAATCTACCAACGGTTCAGAATCAGGTGAAAAGGGAGATCAATCCTCATCTCCATCCTCTCAAATTCAAAAGCAGCTTGACGGCTCACCTGACGACACCGCAGCTGACATCAAGAAAGATCCTGGTGTCGAAGAAGATGTCAGCATGACAGATGTCGGTAATGGTGAACTCAAGGATGAGCCTGCTGAAGATGCTGTACAAGCAGAGCCCGCAGAGAAGATGACCACACCTACTCCGACACCAGAAGCTAAAGATGTTCAACTTTCTCTCTCGACCAACGCTGACACCGTGGTAGAAGATGTCGTTCCTACCAAGGCTCAAATAAAGCCTTCATCATCACAAAACTCGACGCCCTCATCTGGTCTCGCTTGGCGGCCTCAACCGACTCCAGCCGGTCGCTGGGCATATTTGACACCTTATGTCGAGGGAGACACCACTACGTATCCCGAGAAGAAGGAGTCTTCTCCTGAAGATGAGACCCCTGCTGAAGAACCAGCAACTGAGGAGAAGGATACCGAGAAAGACTTGAACGGTATGGAACCCATGGTTGAGGATAACGATGACGCACCGGAGGCTTTCCAGGCCGAGGCACCGACCCCAGCTTTGAACACGCCCACCCGGGGCTCGCCCGTCGCAGATTCCATGGAACCTACCGCGGCAAACTCGCCTGTTCCAGTTGTAGATGAGGCTGATGATGGCGACGTTTCCGATTCTGACGACAACGAACCTCGGCGCTATTTCCGCTATCGGAAGCTGCGCGACGCCGAAGAGTATACTTCGCTTCTGGAAACCCCGGAGGATATGACAACAGAAGAGTTGTATGAGCTTATTGCAGCCGTGAATGTGTCCATGGTGCAATGGCAGACTGAGTGGACTTCCCTCGGAAAAGTCGTTGACGATTACGAGAATTCCCTACGTCGCAGAGCTCACGATGCAAAATACGAGGCCAGGACACGCAACCTTCGCCAACACGGAGTAAATTACGAAGAACCCGAATTCGTCGTCAGGGGCTACAAGGCCAAGGAGAAGGAGGGCATCAGCGAAACTCGCTACCTTCAGGGCCAGGATCGCATCATGGCAGCTGCATATGGCTTTGAATACGATCCTCACCCATCCAAGATTGGTCGCCAGAACCCCGAGACGCAGCAGGCCGGCATCATGACTCGCGGACGCTCACTCCGAAACCAACCTAGGCAGACGGCAAAGGCGACTGAGGCCGACGAGGTTACTGGCAAGCGAACTCGTAAGCCTGTCCAGCTTTTCGATCCTGCCGCGCAAGACATCAGCCGCAGCTCGACCCCCGTCCCGACAAGGACGCGGCGACGGAAGACTGGGAATGGCGATGAAGACATGGTGACTTCTAGCTTCAATGGAGACGGCAATTCAGAAATGGATGAACCTCCGTCGAGAACGAAACGCCGCCGCATTGGCCGCCTACAAACCTCTGCGCCCAACGTTGGTGACGACTATGGTGCTTCGCAGGACACTGCGCCGGAGGCCGCTGCGGATGAGACTGTCCGTCCTATCCGTCGTGGCCGCCACCGGGCTGCCATCCGATACGACGATGACTTTGCCGAGCCATCGGTCGATGACGAACAGCAGCCGAAGCAGCCGAAGCGACATCTTCTTACGCTGAAGATCCCGCGAGGCAAGAACTTTAGCGAGCCCTCGTCCGCCATCACCGACAATGGCGACTCACGCCCTTCCACCGCCTCTTCCGAGTCGAGCTCGCACACGGCCGAGTCCTCCTACTCCTTCCGGCCCAAGCGCCAAAAGCGATTCCGTGACGAGCAGGAGGAGGCCGAGGCTGCCGCTCAAGGCCCTCCGAAGAAGCGAGGCCGTCGCACCACTGACGAGGCGGCAGCCCCGATGACGAGCGTCCCCGCCGGAGATGCCACGCCGGCCGCGGCTCGCAAGACGCCTAAGATCAAGGTCGTGCGTGCGCCCCCGGCGAGCCGCACCGGGACGCCTTCGTCTATCGGCGGCGACGCCGAGGAGCCGCGCAAGGATTACAAGCTGATGACCAAGTCGGAGAAGATGTCCGCATCCATGAAGAGTAAGTCTTCTTCACCCATATTTTATTACCTTTCGCCCTTTGAGGAGTATAGTGTCTTTTCTAACGCGTTGAAACAGGTCGTTGGGCAAATGGCAACATGGCCGGAGCCGTCGAGAAGCGAAAGGCGACCTTAGCGGCCAAGAAGGCAGCTCAAGCCGCGGCCGATCAGAAGTCGGGCACGACGACGCCCAAGGGGAACAAGGCCAAGCCGAAGAAGGACGGCCCGCTGCCGCCGCAGGACTCTCAGCCCATGCCTCCTGCGACCCCCACCATGGGATACCCGTTTACGCCCGCTTAAGTTGAGGCGTAAAATGCATTATTGACGACAAGCTCGTCTTTACCGGAGAGACTGGTTCTGCAGGCTTAATACCACACACACACCTACACATACAGCCTGCCCCCAGCAAACTCGCGTATATAACCCGAGGGGTCTCTTCTTTTCAACTGCTTTTGTCCTTTTGTTTGACCGGTATGGCTCAAACATTTTGCGCAGTGCGATCAGTTGGGTCTTATGTTATGACCCTCTTTTTCTCTTTTCCTTACTCTTTTCCTTGCGTCCGATTCTGTCTGTCCTCACGTTTAGCATACGAGCCTGCGTTGGCGTTTATCGCGCCACGCAACCAAACGGGCTCCGGACTGGCGTTTGTTTCTTTCCACAACTCTCCTTTTGCACCTTTCAGTGGTTTTTAATGTCCAGTACTTAGTCGCAAGTTTCAAGGTCTGCTTGGTGGGTTTTCATCGGTTTGTGTTTGCGTCTCCACCTCGGTGGACGCGTTATCGGTTTTTCAATTTTGGAATCTGGGAATGGAAATGGGCCGGAATAATGTTTCAAAGGTCGATTGCATAGTTTTGAATTCAGTGAAGATGTTACCTTGCCTTGGTTGTGTTGTGTGTTGCGTCGTGTCGTGTCGTGTCGTGTCGTGTCGTAAATCATGTCTTTCTGCCAGTGAGCCTAGCTGTATGTGGAGGCTTGTAAAACCAAGCAACAATTAACATCATTTGCACGTTGCCAAGGCGCATTCTGACTTATTGTTTTCTTCGTAGTAACGGCCAATTCGCACCCAAAAAATGCCACCCTTTACCTACTAATGAAGAATGAACCCAAAACTGTGAAATTATCCTTCTATTGTCATAATCGTGTGTTAGTTTACCACTGCAGGGTAAGGCCTGTTGACCCTGCATCGTGTGTGTGGGCCTCGACATCGGCAGCCCCAACTCGGCTAGGACTTATTTCCTGGTCTAACGGCTTCACCCATACTCGCATCTCGCAATCGCAGGAAGATCACAGGCAAGATGATTGTTTTGTTACATTGATCTTGTGTTCGTTGTTGATGAGATATCTGGTGTAAATCTCCCTTGCACTTCGCAACCCAAATGCAGAGCCGACAAAAGACTGTAAACAAAAATAAAGAAGCATGGGATATACGTAGAATAATCCCTGCACACGCAAGACATCGCGTGAAGGATTCCAAACACAGTTTTGCCAATGTTTCTTATTTTTTTTGTTCATGAATAGTGTAAAAACATTTCGCCGTTTACCCCTCCGTTAATTTGCCGTGGAAATAAAAAACCGACATTTCGTTTTTGTTTCTTTTCTCCCCGTCTCCAAAACCCCCCCAAGCAAATTCTCCCCATTTACATGACGACGCCCGAGTTGGAGGCGATACGGGGCCACAGCTCAGCGGCCTCCTTGCCGACGGGGCCGGTGATGGCGGAGCCCTTCATCTCACCCTTGGGGTTGACGATGACGCCGGCGTTGTCCTCGAAGTAGAGGAAGACGCCGTCGAAGCGCTTCCAGGGCTTGGCCTGGCGGACGATGACGGCGGGGTGGACCTTCTTGCGCAGCTCGGGCTTGCCCTTCTTGACGGTCGCGACGACCATGTCGCCGACGCCGCCGGCGGGCAGGCGGTTCAGGCGGGCGCCGATACCCTTGACGGCGATGATGTAGAGGTTACGGGCACCGGAGTTGTCGGCGCAGTTCATGACGGCACCGCTAGAGGACGCAACGTGTTAGTTTCATTCGTGCAGAAGGTGGCTGGTCGAGTCGAGATTCGTCGTGAATTGCGAGGAATCGTCCGCTGGGGATGAGGGGTTGGTTGCCGTAAACGTACACAGGGAGACCCAGGGTCATCTTGAGCTTGCCACCGGGGGCACCACGGCTGTACGCATTCTGTCAGTATTTCCAATTCACGGCAACGAGATGCTTCGTTGTTCGCTGTGCTGCTCTGCCCGCAAGGCTGCTCCGAACGACGTCCGTGTAAAGCCGTGCGAGGCCGATGGGTGACGTAAATTCGGAACGGGGGCGCAAATTGACACTCGAAGGCTCAATGGCAGAGCGGCGCAGCGGCAAGCTGGGTCGATCGTCGTGCGTTATGATGGTTGTTGCCGTATTCGAGCCAAGGTTGAATTTTCGCTTGCCTGGTCTAGTCGTCGGATGCCGCAACCTCGAGAAATGTCGCCCGCAAAATGTCTTTACTTTGCCCTCCTCTTGCACGTCCTTGTTCCTTTCGCATGTATTGTCGAGGCAGAGAGCGTCGCGGTAAAAAAAAACTTACGAGATCTTGGCCATTGTGAAGGGTTGTGTGTGGCGTTAATTTCGTGATGGAAAACTGCCGTGTTGGGGATTTCCGGTCGTGATCGAGAGCTTCTACGCATTCGGGCGAAAATTTCCTGTGGGGTGAGAAACCCTACATGAAGCGAGTGAGCCCTCACGTGAAGATAAGCCTTGTTATCGAACCCTGCGTGGGGCGGGAGGGAAGCTGGCTGGGTGGGGACGTGGCTGGACTGCTGGGTAACAAAGTCATTGCAACAATAGCCGACAAAAGACTCTCGACAGCTGAAATGACAAGAGAAAAGAAAAACTAGTAGCTTTATTAAGAGAGACAACAACTCATTCGTTCTCATGGGAATGACGTAAATAATCACATCCTAGATATCTAGGTGGTTATGCCTGGGGCAACCATTGACAAGCAATGACAAGGTTTCCACGTCTGTTCTTTATTCTTTTTATCATGAAGGGCCGTATCGCATTCTAATGAGTAAATCCACAAACAAGTGAGCAACCCTTACCTGTATTTCTCTTTGCACTGTCCGAAATCCCGCTATCTTCCGTTTCACGTTGCTTTGCCGAGTCCTGACAGAACAAAGGTCAACGAGACCTTATTAATCGAAAATAAAGCACTGCTTTTCCAACAATCACACTAACCGGTGGCCCGGTTAGCTCAATCGGTAGAGCGTGAGACTCTTAATACGAGTTCACCATCTCAAGGTTGCGGGTTCGACCCCCGCATCGGGCTATTCCTATATATTCTTCGATTGAATACTTTCTTTTTTGCTTTAGGCGCATATGCGAGCACCCTAGCGATCCTATCAGCTTAGCAACTTTTTTTTTCTCGAGAGGCTTTGAATTGTATTAACAGTTTACTACCTACATAGTTACTTGTAACCTTTAATCGTTTTACTGTGGTCGGCAGTGATAGTTGCTGTTAATGCGGGTTTGTACTCGTTTGTACTTGACTCTATTAACGACAGTGTTTGAATTGTTTACAGTTATTATTATTAGAGTGCTGAAAAAATTATGTAACCAGACGACCATGGTTTTTTCTCTGCTCTGAAAATTCGTTTCCCATCGAATGGGAAGAAAGAAGCTGGTGCCTTATTGTGATTTGTGATTTGCGGCAATCGCTGGGGATGCCGGTGCCTGTGAAAAGTTTAGGGGCCCTTGGGGGGGTTGTTCTGGCGCCCCCATACCCCGTGGCTGCAAGGGGCCCCGCGCGCGCCAATCAGGAGGCGCCTGAAATTTCCTGCACCTCCCCTTTAATCGCCGACAGATCAGTTTTCGTGTCGTGTCTGCATCAGTCTCCAGAGCAAACCTGCCAAAGGGTTCATCTCGCCAACGCCTGCACTCATCGCCATCCACAGAGGCGCCTACAGCCGCTTGGACCAGCCACTCGCTCTATCCCACTGCTTTCGTTTCGCCGCCGTTGGTCGCCTGCTTGACGCTTTATCGGGACCCATTTGTCGTCGTCACATCTTGCGCACACCCCCTTGGACTTTGCTGGCTCACCAAACCGCGTCTTTCCCCTTCACCCTTTCGCATCATCTCAATCATGTCGGACAAGAAAAGCGATGACTACTATCCGGGCCGCGACAATGGCGAGAAGGAGCGCTTCATCCCTGCTGCGCCCGCCTTCGCCACCCGTGAGGCTCCGGCTGCCGTCTCTGAGTCCCTGAACAAGCTCAGCCAAAGTCCCGGGCTCTCAGTCCTGGCCTACTGCTTGTCCTCTATCAGCATGACTGTCGTCAACAAATATGTTGTCTCCGGCTCCAAGTTCAACATGCCCCTCATGTACCTTGGCATCCAAGTAAGGCGGCCCGCCCAATTTGAGTGATTGCCTAGCAGATTCTGACCTACTGTCTACTAGAATGGTGTCGGCGTTGCTGCCATTTTGGCCTGCAAGCAACTAGGCCTCATTACCACTCTTGCGCCTTTTGATACCGAAAAGGCTAAGAAATGTATGCGAATTGACGCCTTACTGTGTTACTTCGCAGAGTGTTGAGCGCTAACACGTCTCAGGGATGCCGATCTCGTTCCTTCTCCTTGGCATGATCTTCACTGGCACCAAGGCCCTTCAATTCCTTTCCGTTCCCGTCTACACCATTTTTAAGAACCTCACCATCATTGTCATTGCCTATGGTGAGGTCCTGTGGTTTGGTGGTCAGGTTACCTCGATGATTTTGCTGTCCTTTGGCATGATGGTTGTCAGTTCCATCATTGCTGCCTGGTCCGATGTTCAATCCGCTGCCACTGCATCTTCAGATGCCATGTCTACTTTGAATGCTGGCTATGCCTGGATGTTCCTCAACGTCATCTGCTCATCTACCTTTGTGCTCGGCATGCGCAAGGTTATCCGCAAAATGAACTTTAGCGATTGGGACAGTAGGTGCAATTCCGAGAAGCCGTCCGTCTTCAACTACTAACATTCAAATAGCCATGTTCTACAACAACTTCCTGACCATCCCCATCATTGTCGTCCTGACCTTCCTTGTTGAGGACTGGTCTACCGAGAACCTGGCCCGCAATTTCCCTGTTGAGAGCCGCAACAACCTCCTCCTGGGCATGGTTTACTCGGGCCTTTGCGCCATCTTCATCTCGTACTGCTCCGCCTGGTGCATTCGCGTTACTTCTTCCACTACATACTCCATGGTCGGAGCCCTCAACAAGCTGCCCATTGCTGTTAGTGGTCTCGTCTTCTTTGATGCCCCCGTCACCTTTGGCAGCGTCTCTGCTATCATGCTTGGCTTTGTCAGTGGCATCGTCTATACTTGGGGCAAGGTGCAGATGAAGGAGCAGTCCAAGATGACTCTCCCCACCACGAACCGACAGGTCATGAGCGCCAGCTCCAAGAGCAACAATGACGCTGCCAACTCATAAAGGACCACACTACGAGTGATGCAAAAAACAGCGCATCGCGGCATGACGGAATGCAACTTACGTGGTACACATCTTCTTCTTCGTTGCGCGATCCATCGCGATTATCATAACAATCATAGGGAACGGCGTCAGTCCTTCAGCGTCCATGGCGAGAAACCAGGCATGCTCCTAGCCTGGTATATTTGGCATTGGCATGTACCATTGGGTTGAAGCGGGTGGATGGATACTTCCTTGTTTTATGGCGTTTGCTTTACATGTGCCAAAGGCCCGGACGGCATTTTGGCATACATTCAGAATTGTATTAGTTATAGGCTGCACGATAATTAATTTGGGGAATAGATTTGAAAATTTGCGTCGCATAATTTCTTGGCACACAATAGTTGTCCGAGTGTTGACTTGCAAAGAGCTTGTCACTGTTGCAAAAAAGCCTCCACATGTTGAATACAGGCAAGTCTTCGAACTTTATTAGTCTCATCCTCAAAAGCAACCATTCTGATCCTCGTATTTCGTTGCTCAATGAAATCACAAAGGGTTGAGAAATCATTTGCTCGCCTCGGCTTCAGAGACAGATAGGCTTAGTTTTTACGTCTGCATGTGGGCTATTTACTCATTCCTGGCAGAAGTGGATAGCGGCACCCGCCTGCCGTGCTGCCGACTCTGAATATTAGCCCCTGTATTTATAGGTTAGTATGTACATACATACAGTACATATGTAGGTAGGTAGTAACTACTACTAAGACTCGCCTTTGAATGCCCGTCTGTGATTTGGCCACCCACTCAACAGCCAGCCCTACTGCGTTGGCTAGAAGCAGAGCCTTGTGGTGGGAAAGATCGGCCAGAAGCCGTTTTTCTAATGCGTTGCCCGAGAGAAATGGAGAAAAAAAAATGGAGGCAGAAGATATGAGCTGACAGCCTGGTTGGCGCCGGAGAGTGAGGCTGCTGAGTTAGCTACATAGCCCAACCCACCATCACCACCACCACCACCGTGACAAATCTCCAAGCTTCGGCCGCTTGCGACTCTAAATCTCTCCCTGCCACATCCCGGGTCGCCTTCATCTCTCGGTATTCCGGATCGATCTCGAGTATCTGGCTCATGCTGCTCAATACATTGTCCACTGTTAGCGCCCGCGATCCTTGCCAGACACCAATTTGTACCGCTTCCCCTCTTCTCTTATGAAATCCGGCTCCCGGCGTTAGCCTCGACAAATCCGATCGAGAACGCACGGCATTGGCTCATGTCGCACGAGGAAACGAGGCTCTCCTGCAAGCGCCCGTGACCGCCCCGCGACCATGAACTACTTCGAAGATTATGATGAGCCCGCCGCCGACGGCGGGCCAGCGAGCTACGAGCCGCCCGCCTCCATGGCATCGCCGCCATCGCCCGCCCAGCTCAGCCACGGGCCAGGTGGTGCAACAGCGGCCATGTCCAGCCGGCCTCGATCGTCCGGCAATGTCACGATATACCAAACCACCGGACCCGATGCCCACACCTCGGCCATCATGTCACCGGGTGGCTCCGGCCCTGCGCTCAACCCCCGTTCCTGCGTAACCTGCCGCCGTCGCAAGGTGCGATGCGACAAGCAGATGCCCTGCTCCAACTGTCGCCGCGCTCAGATTCCATGCATCTTCCCGGCGCCGGGCCGCGCACCGCGCCAGCAGAAGCCAAAAGACCCCAATGCGCCGCCAAAGACCTCCAGCCAGCGTGAGGTGGAGCTGATAAAGCGCCTGCGCAAGCTCGAGGGCATCGTCGAGGAGCTGAGTGGACAGATTGAGGTAGAATCTGGCAGCGGTGGGCGCCAAGCCTTATCAGAATCTCCGCGCGTCGGCACAAGTGGCGAAGCCTCTGCGCATAGTCAATACGCTTCCAGTCTAGATTTCTTTGGTGGGCGCCCATCTAGTGAAGGCGGCCACGATACGAATCCAGACGTTTTGCGAACGAGACGAGATGTTGGCCAGCAGTTTGGCCGGATGGTTCTTGGCGACCACAAAGGCACAACAAGATATGTGAGCAGTGGTTTCTGGTCCAAGATGAATGACGAGATTGACGCCATTCGCGCCGAAACACAGAGGCTCACTGATGATGATGACGAGTCTGAATACGATGAATCGCCTATGGAAATGCCAGATCCCTTGGGCACCGTCACCGACCACCACTCCTTCATCTTTGGGTATCGATCCGCCGATGTCGACCTGAGTAAACTGCACCCGCTTCCCTCACACGCAACATTTCTTTGGTCTGTATTTCAACAAAATGTTGAGCCTCTGCTCAAAATTCTTCATGTGCCTACCATCGATGCTTTGCTGCGAGAAGCCAGAGGAGATGTCACCACGCTGTCTCCTGCAGATGAGGCCTTGGTTTTTGTTTTATACTTTTCTGCCATTACTGCACTGGAACCAGAAGAGGTTCAGACGAATTTTGGAGCAGACAAGTTTACTCTTCTTGCTCAATATCGCTTTGCCGTAGAACAGGCGCTGGCCAAGGCGAATTTCCTCAACACATCTGACATCACTGTTCTGCAAGCCTTCACTCTGTTCCTGCTTGTCGGTAGGCGTCATGACGATAGCAGATTTTGCTGGTCTCTGACAAGTCTGATTGTTCGCCTCGCGCAAGGCATGGGCCTACATAGAGATGGGACGCACTTCAATTTGCCCCCGTTTGAAACGGAAATGCGAAGGAGGCTGTGGTGGTCCCTCATCACGCTTGACCTAAGATCCGGAGAGGAGCTCGGCACTGATATGGTGATACCTGATGGAGGCTATGACACATTGCTGCCTCTGAACATCAATGACGCCGATATCAGCAAAGACTCCACGGAGTTTCCCGAACCACGCGAAGGTCGATCGGACTGCGCTGTTGCCGTGGTCAGATATGAGATTTGTGCCATGGCGCGCCGAATTCATTGCGCATCCTCAGCCATGGCGTTGAGATCGGAAACGAGCAGTATCGCAGAAAAGGAGCAGATGCTGATCGAGGTATACCAGCGAATTGAAGACAAGTTTCTTCGGCATGTTGTGGATGAGATGGACCCTCTGTACTGGGTCGTTGCTATGATCACACGCGTCATCATGGCAAAGACGTGCTTGGTGATATACCACCCACTTCTTTTTCCTGGAGCAGAAGAACAGCTGTCGAACGAGGTCCGTCAGCGGCTCTACGTCGCCGCAATCGAGATTATCGAGTGCAATCATAAGTTGGGCACCGATCCCCGATGCAAACAGTACCGCTGGCTATTCAAGACTTACACAACCTGGCATGCCATCTCCTACGTTCTCGTGGAAACTTGCCGCCGGCCGTGGACGCCACTGGTAGAGCGCGCCTGGCATGCTGTGACAGGATACGAAGGAGATCCAGTTGAGTTAGCCAAGAAAGCCGACCATGCCGCGGTGTTTATCCCGTTGCGCAAACTCTTTGCCCGCGCGCGACGACATCGTGTCGCTGAGATTAGCAAGTTACGTGCTAATCCGGACGAAGCACGGCGGTTAGACTTTGCGGAGCGCATGAACCCGGAACCTGCTCGGTTTGGGCCTATTCCAGGCGCAGAGCATATAATGGACCAGGCAAGAGATAGTTGGCGCTTACTCATAAAACCCGAAAGTGCCAGCCCGGCGCCTTGGATGGGATCGAAAGAAGCCGGTGCCAGCAGCACAGTGTCGTCAACAGAGGAGACATCACAACGAACGCCCATGTCTACGAGTGCAAGCATCGTCACTGGACAGCCAGTGCAGGCAAATCCCATCTCGTCAACTAACGACGTCAACTACGCCATGAACTTTGTGGACGTGCTGATGGCTCAGCAAAACGTCCCGATGGCTGAATTTTGGGATATCAGCAACTTGTATCCAAACGCCGTCAACGCGAACCTGTCAGCCCAGCAAGGGGTACACAATCCGGCGTCGGCGATGCAGACACCCAAAGACGGCAGTGGCCAGCCTTTGCTCTGGGCTGATCCATTTTCTACTGCTGGAATCAAGCTTGATGATGTCTTGGCCGATGACGCGGAAATGGGAGAGGACTTCAACTGGCAGGATTGGAGCCAGAGCATTCGCGGGTTGGAACTTGGGGCTGCTCAACCCCAGCCTTTGAATCCGAATCAGCGCTGGGCATGAAACTGTGCAGTGATTTCTGCTGGGCGAGTGAATAAAGCTATATAGGAACTCGAAGAGCTGGAAGGTTTCTGTGCGCTTGGAGACGGGGAGCGTTTGCGCCGAGAGCGATGATACCCTGGTGAGCCTGCAGGCCATTGATCCTGCTATATTTTGTACAAATTTAGCAGTTTAAATACTCTGCAAATAGCTGAAAATAGCTGCTACGGACAATATGAACTTTCTAGTTTATAATTTGGGCACGAACTAGTGTTTTGCGTGATAGCTTATAGTGTGTGAGGCGATGTTGGGGTCATTGGTGGTGGGGCTGTGAAGCTTGATGGTATGTATGTATGTACCTGCCTAAAATTTTATGGTCTTTTAGTGCGCAGTGAACGACCTCCCTCAAAACCACGAACGAGAATACTGAACAACGAAGCGCGCAACATGGACCCCGATCGCCGAAATATGATCAACAGTTCCGGTCCATCGAGGTCACGCGATGGCATGTCGCCAAGATACGATTCGCACAACAGAGTATCCAAATCCTCCCGAGCCGCACCGTCCCAATCGGCAAGCAAGGTTGCCGCGAGCTATGTCTCTAGCGAAGAGCAGGCGCGTCAGTTTGTTGCCGACGAAGACAAATTTGTCCTGCGTCAGTCGAAGAAGAAGGCCGACATCCGCGTCCGCGAGAATAGAGCGAAGCCCATCGACTATCTGGCCTTCTGCCTTCGATACATCGATGAGGAGCGAGACGTATTTGACGACCAAGAGGGCGATGACGATATCGATGTGCCCGAGCCAGCGGATATTGTCCAGGGGCTTTCTTTGGAAGGGCTGAAAGATTTGGAGGCCGACATCAAGAACTACCACGTGTTAGAAACGGACTCTCGCAATAGGGAGTACTGGGAGGCTTTGCGCTCGCTATGCAAGTCACAGAAGGCAACGCTTGACCCTTCCAAGCACGACAGGCGCGTGGTTAACAGCGTCGATGATGACATCAACCGAATTCTTGCCCCAAAGACCTATGATCAGCTAGGTGCTTTGGAGAAGCAAATAAAGGCCAAGCTGCGGTCCGACGAAGACATTGATATAGACTACTGGGAGCAACTCCTACAGAGCTTGCTTGTCTGGAAGGCCAAGGCGGTCCTGGCCAGGACCGTCGAGAAGATCACGAAGAAGAAACTTGAGCGAAAGACCCAGTCATCTAGCAAGAAGAGCAGCGGAACGGGGGCAGCGCCGAGACAGACCCAAGCTCTGTCCAGAAGTACGCCGAACGTACCACCATCAGAACCGAGCGGTAACGCAGATGCCTCCCAGGCTACACAAACACTCTATGATAGGGAGGCTGCGCGGGGCGTTTCGGAAAATGAGGAGGTCTTTGCTGCGGAAGAGGAATTGCCGGGCACATCGAAGCCGCAATGGGCTGGAGAACACCAAATACGCAAGCCAAGATACTTCAACCGAGTCCAGATGGGCTACGAGTGGAACAAGTACAACCAGACGCACTATGACCACGACAATCCGCCACCCAAGGTGGTGCAGGGTTACAAGTTCAACATCTTCTACCCAGACCTCATCGACAAGACCAAGGCACCGACGTTCAAGATCATCCGCGAGCATGGGAGGCGGAGGGGAGAGTCTTTTGCGGCTGCAGGCGAGGAAGATACATGCTTAATTCGCTTCATTGCGGGACCGCCATATGAAGACCTCGCCTTCCGCATTGTGGACCGCGAGTGGGATTATAGCGCTAAAAGAGACCGGGGATTCAAGAGCTCTTTCGACAAGGTAAGTTTGATTAAAAGAAACTCGGCCGATCAGTATTGTGGTATTCTCTGTATCGCGCGGGAGCAAGGCCGCGGGGGAGCTGTCCAGCTAACGTGTCTCGACTCCAGGGCATTCTACAGCTGCACTTTCAGTTCAAAAAGGTAAGACCTACATACCCTTGCCGGGACTGCGTCTCTCTCTACCGGAAATTATTGGGGCTGACATGTTTGCTCGCAGATTTTCTACCGAAAATAAGGCCGTAAGGCAGGCGTGGAAGCGGCCCAAGTGCGCCGCGATATTTGCCATGTTCTGAGCAAATCGAGGTACAACATGGGCCCGATATATATCTTACAGTCTTGATAGGGATCTGGTAATTTTCATCGACGAACGAGGGCGGCAGGCTGCTGCCGGCATGAGATGAGGCTCATGAACGGGACCGGGCCGCCACACGGTTCGCTTCTATCGCATCTTGTACCGAAATAAGGAACCACCAATGCAAGGAAAAAAGCAAAAAAAAAAAAAAACGAAGAAGAAGAAGAAGCAAAAAGCATGAATAATGCCGGCCCGCTGAAGCGTGATTCTGTTGTTTCGAACGTCCGTGGATTGTTAGACTAGACTATGGGAGGGTAACGCAGGTTGCATGTAGCACCATGGTCTTCTAGAAAGTAGGACGAAGGCGATGCATGCATGCATTCATGTATGGCAAGGGAGGGGCGACGAGGAGTCTTTGTGGCACGAAACAGTTTGAGGCCTGCTTATCGGCAAGCAGCTACTGTGATTGCACACACAGCTACGGATACAGAGACGATGGATGGCCTGGAGGGCTAAATGCAGCTGCACCCAATCTGGCGTATTCGTGGCCTACCTGGTTGTCTTACACCTACACACGGCGTCGCCGGGCTCTACATGCAACTCGCCTTCTTGTTACGTGGGCGGCGGCTGTATTGGCATTGGCGATTGGGGGCCTTGTTTCAAAACACCCAAAAGGGGTTTGTTTCTTGGGCTGATTGGCCCACTGTTGGTGTTGCGGATTATGTCGCCTCCCGTTGAACGTCCCATTTGGACCTGGTTGCCCGTTATCATACATGGCAGTGGCAGTGTCTGCGTAAGAGGTGCGGTGGCTCCCCGCGTTGCCGCAGAAGGCGCTGCGGAAAGCCGTCAAGCTAAGGCAAGGAGCCGAGATGCTCTGCAGCAGGCCAAACAGGAGGTCGAGTTGAATGTTGAGCTCTGATACGGATCTCGTTGCGCCGGACAATGGCCGTCGCTTAACACCAAACACTCGGAGAGCCCATGTATGTACATGTGTATGCAGGTACATAGTAGAGGGGCTGGCAGGAGAGATTTACAAGGGCGAATAATCGGACCATTTCGGCAATGGGACGTTCCTTTGGCGAGGATGAGAGCATGTTTTGTGTGTTGAGTGTGCTGCGATGGTAGCACGACGATGGCCGGTTGAGGGAGCACGAGGAGTAGTTCAGCGGGTATTGTGGCCAGCGATGCCATTGATGATGAGTGACACAGATCCATTCATTGTTGAACGGGACGAATGGGGTAACATAACGAGCGAGCGAGTTGTCGCAGTAGCAGGTCTTTTCGCCCCTAACCTATCGGCTCTAGCTGTCTGCTGTGCTGTCTTTGGGCAACCTGAGGAGAATGAAGTGGTTCGATCAAAGGCTGGTCATCGCTTCCCGCTGGCCAGTCTTTCTGCCCTCCCTAGAAGTGCTAGCTACCTGTGTAGTAGGTATGTACCTAGACTCAGCAGTGACGCCGCCGCCTGCAGACGCCGGCCAGCGCGAATTAGAGGGTAGCGAGACACGCGTCGGCACAGCAAAGCTGCAACAGGCGCACGCACCAGAGAGACGCACGCGCAGAGGGTCGCAGTTACAGGGAAGACAGTGGGGGAGCAGAGCACAGCTCTCAGCGGCACTGGTTGGGATGAATGGACACAAGGAGGGGTTCTCCCCGGCGCACCGGCCAGTCCGATATCCATTGAACTTGACATGGCATGAAGAAGACGAAGAAGACGAAGAAGGGGGGGGGCATGGCATGGGAGGGCAGAGACGGGATGGGAAGGAAGAGAGAGAGTGTGTGAGGGAGTAAGTGAGTGCGTGTGGCAGAAGCCCTTCCCCTCCCCTCCCCTCCCCTCCATGTTCATCCATATCCATGCTGGTACGTACATGATGATTGATGCTGGCGAGGTTAGACAGCGAGACCAGTGGGCTGTTGTGGTGGTGATAGATTCACACCCTGCGCCACTGAGACAAGCCTCCATCCAGTCCGTCCCCCTGTTGAAGGTTGCTGGGTGCTCGGTTAGTAGGCTAACCAGACCAGGCCAAACCCACTCAACTCCGCCAGCATTGTCTACCTGCAGATCTGGGCCTGTACACATCCCTGGGATCCCTGGGCCCTGCAGCCGTTGTGGAGGGACCACCAACCAAGCCCACCAAGCCCACCAAGCCCACCACCGCCGAATGTCCCAGTCCCAGAACAGGGTTCATGGATGGCTCTTGTCTCTGGTCTGAAGCGTGCTGCTGGTCACTCGCTGGTGTCTACCCAGTACCAACAATAGAAGCGATTTAGTCCCGTGTCTGTCTGTTGGGCTTGCCTTTGGCCGACCAGGTCGGACGGACGGGCTGGTCGCGGGATCCACCACGCTGTAGACCCTCCTCCATCCTCCTCCTCCTCCTCCTCCTCCTCCTCCGCTCACACTCAATCTGGCCTGCTTCTTCGTCCCTCGACACCTGCAGCGCTCAATTAGGTGGACGGACGGACGTATCAGTACGGGCGGGCGGGCGCCGCTTCTCTTTCTCGCCTGCTGCTGCTGGCTGTTTTCTTCTCACTTATAGATGTTGCCCGTCTCCCCCATCTGTCTGTTTCCTCCACCCCGTCCGTCTTCTTTCCGGCAACCATAACTAGAACGCAAGCATCTGTCGTCTTTCTTCCCTTTTGCTTTGCTTTATTCATCATACACTCTTCGTTTTGCCTTGCCTCTACCCTCCTCTCCTCTCCTCTCCCCTCCTCTCCCCTCCTGTTTCCTGTTTCCTGTTTCCTGTTTCTTGTCTTTCATTCTGTGAAACGACATTGTTCCCCCAATCGCCTGCCATATCCTTGAGCGACTGCCTTTAGGCAAACTTTGGGGATACTGTCGGCCAATCTTCCTCTTCGCCACACCCAGCTCGCCTGGTTCTGCAGGAAAGCAGGCACAACGCTTGTCTCTCTTTTTTCCCTGGGCAAAAGGAGGAACCCCGGCCGCCAAACTAGACGGCGATATCCCGGCAGACATGGTCATGAACGCCCTTACACCAATCAGCGGCCAGGGTGAAAGCCATAATAAGCTGCCATCCCCGTCCACATCTCCCAGGCTCATCCAACACCCTCCCGATATTATCAAGTCAGAGCCCATAACAGACATCCACCTGGCCAAGTGGAAGGCTGAAGACGACCTTCTAGTCAAGGCCAACAGACAGACGCCCGACTCACACTCCTCCTCAGCCGCAACGCCCTTCTTCTGCCAACCACCAGCAGCCATCGACACCAGGAAATGCGAACCCATGTCTCCGCCAGATAACTACTCTGTTACTTCTTCCCCACAGACCTTTGGTTGGCCACCATCCTCTGATTCCGGCGAGAGCGAGCCTTGGACGCTGCACCACCACGAGCTGCTGCCCGATCACTCTGCCTACGCCAACTCGCCATCGTCGCCCGCCAGTGGCTGGGATTGCGCAGTACCCTATCAGTTCCAACACGCGCCTACGTCGGCAGCATACTTCCCGGACTGCAGCGTCTCGTTTCCCACCTCCACCCCTCCCCCAATGCAGGCCAACAGCTACTCGCCCGTGTTCGAGATGGCTTCAAGCTATGGCAGCCCACACTACCCGCCCAGCCATTTTGGCGATGGATCGCCTACTCAACACCGCCCGATGACTGCTGGGATTTCCGACATGAGCTCCCTGGGCAACGAGCCCACGTCGCACCACGACTACTCCGGGGTCATGCCAACCCCGCCGAGTGACTACCCGTGCACCTCGGACGTCAGCAAGGCCAAGAGCGACATCAATAGCCTGCCTTACTCACAACTCTTGTACAGAGCTTTCATGAGCTCAAATACAAGAAAGCTGTCTTTGCGCCAAATTTACCAGTGGTTTGAGGACAACACCAACAAAGCGGTGAACAACAAAGGTTGGCAAAACAGCATCCGCCACAATCTGAGCATGAACCGGGTATGTTGTATCCCATGGTATTGAGGATTGCAAGTTCCTCAAGTTCACATATTAACAAAACTTTTTTTTTTCAGGCCTTTGAGAAAGCACCACTCAAGGAGGACGGATCAGAATCGAGACGGGCCACTGAGTGGGTATTGGCCGACTGGGCGCTCCAAGAAGGCGTCCAGAGCACGACAAGGTATCGCAAGGGCAACATTCGCTCAAAATCACACGGCTCAGAGCGAGAGCGCATGGCCCACAGCTCTTACTCCGGCGGCCGCAGAGGCGTCGTCGGATACAACGCGCGCGGCCGCGAGAGGCTGTATAGCCACCACCGGATGCCGATGCACGGAATGGCGCCGGACTCGCACGTCCTCTACGGCGCTCCCGTTCCAGCTCCAGCTCACCCTTCGCACCTGGCGACGTCGCACGGGTCTTCCGACGTTGAGGGCTACGTGCCTCAGGCGGGCGGGCTTTGCTACTCGCCGATGGAGGCGCAAGAAGGCTACAATGGATTTAGCCAAGACGACGGTAGCAGCTACAGCAGCTACTCGATGTACAATCTCGGCGAGGCGAACATGGGCGAGTATGCCATCGTTGGCGGCGTTCCCGACAACACCCTTGCGGTAGCCCATGCTGGTGGCGTCGCGCCACCGCCAACAGTTGTGGTGGCATTCGAGCCTCCGCTGGCAATGTCAAATGGCCAGCAGCAGAGGAGCTACGCGCACGCTGGCTACGACACGAGGCAAGGAATCAGCGAGGGCGTACACGAATAGAGAGATAGGGAACTGCGAGTCGAGAGGGGTTTGTGAACCCAGGTATGATGGGATGGGAACAGCGTGGGGGAGTGTGAGTGACGAGCATTTCGCGCTGCAGTGCAACCTGTCACACGATCCACCACACGCACCAACCACCCCACTCAAATTCATTATTGCGAACATAATTACACTGCTGGGCGGGCGCAGAAGGGGCGAGGGTTGTTGACTTTTTTGATGAGGCAATGTTACAAAAGACGCCAAGTGCTGATGGAGAGACACGAAAACGATACCAATGAGAGAGTAAGAGGGAGACGATGATGATGAAGATGAAGGATATTTGGCTAGTGCTTGGATGAAAAAAACTAATTCTTATTTTGTGTGGTTTTTCATCATCATGTTGATTTGGAGTTTTTTTTTCTTTTTCTTTTTTCTTTTTTCTTATTTTCTTTTTTTACTCTTTATTATTTCATGGTGTAATATTATTATACATAGACGTCTATCGCGCCGGCCAAGATTTTCTTTGTTGACGATATAGTGTTAATTTATCTAGTACCGAAATCTGTGGACCGTTAAACATGAGGATGAATATGGATGAATATGAAGTAGGCTACCAAGGTAGCTTACGCGGACACATTGTTGGCATTAGTACTCAGCTATTATCCTCCCGAGGACAAGACACTCATCAGGGCGCAGTGAGGCGCTACGGTTGTTGCTGTACAGGCTGGTACGGAGTACAGCGATAGTCACAGCAACAACAACATCGGTGGCAGGTGGTTATACATGTACAAGGGGGGGGGGGGCTGTCCTTGAGCCGGCGAGTTGCAAAAGTCCGCTTGCGCAAGTTTTATACCATTTTAGTTTATTTTTTCTTTAACGTATCTTTATCTTTATCTTTATTCTTCTCTTCTCTATCTCATTTTGATTTCCTTCCTGCTCCTCAGATTGAGCACGCGAGGAGGGATCCGCCCTCCCCTTCTTGTCTCTTGCCTCCTCCTCGTCGTGCCGTGCCCACCGATTTGCGGCCCTGGCCTTGCGCAGAGGCCCAGGGGCGGTGCGGAAATCACAGCCTTGACCTTGGCTTTCTGCAGCAGCAACACGAGGGCGGAGGGGCGAGGCTCAAGGACAAAGAAGAAAACCCCTCCCATTTAGGAACCAGCGAAGATGCTAAATTAGGCTCAATGAAACGGGGACTGTTTTTGGATGTTTATAGAGGGGGGGCGTAACTTTGAGCAGTGGATGAGTGCGATGTGCGATTTTGCAATGTGCGATGTGCATGTAACTATTTCGTCCCATGTCCCTCATTTAACTACTAGGTAAGAATGTGGCTGGCCAAAAAAAAAACACACACACACACACACACATACACACACATACACACAAAAAAAGGCATCGAGGCCGCCGCCGGATAACAACGAGTCAAAATCGAAAAAAAAAAAAAAAAAAAAAAAAACCCAAAAGGAAA